TGGACCCTTGTTTCAACACAGCTCGATTTGACTACCTCCACCGGACGAGCTTCCTGATGCGGCAAGTCTCACGGTAGTTAGAAAACCGACAACTCCCGAACGGGGTGCATACTTCTCCACTTCTCGGCGTGACAAACTCAATATCCTTAGCTCCCGTCAACGGTGTTGATACCTGAACCAAATGGTGGTTTCCAGGTCATAATCCCGTGTTGGAAGAGGCTCTGATCGAAACGGGGTCCTTTTCCCGGTGGGCTTAATTGATGCGGTTGGCCACGGCGGTCAATCCTGTCAACAAGGTGTTGTCTCGCGGGGTAATCACCCATGGCCGGTAGAATCCGATGTGGTTCCATTCCTTTACCAGGATGTGATCATCGTCAATTTACCATTTGTCCTGGATGTGGCTTGCAATCTGCCGACCAAGAAGGAAGACGGAGTTTGGGAATCATGCCCAAGCCCCACACTCAATCCGTTCTTCCCAGACATTTGTCCAATCGTTCTCAGGAACGAATTTGGAATCACATGGAATGTTTTTTTCCGTGGCAGACGCTCCCACTCTCTTGGTAGTCATACAATAAGGTAAAGCTGCCATTACGTAGGGCCTGCCTGGCATCATCTACAGTGTTTAATGATTGCATATGTACGGTTCGCTTCATCAGCGCGGCTTTTCTTTTGCTCACGGGTTATCTCATTGCAAATGAGACGTAAAATAGAGAATTTGGAAGCAATCACTATGAAAATCGCATCTTGATAAAACAGAATACATACAGGTAATCGATGTTGCTAAACTGGCTTACATTTCATGCCTTCCCCTCTAATCTCAGCGCAAGTTTCATGTTATACACGGGTTCATTCTACATCTACTTTTTGACTCCCTGGGCTGTGTCATCTCTAGGTAGACATCAGCACAGGCGGCCCGCCCCGGGTACGTGGAGCGTTGGGGTGGGGTGCAGGCCAACTCAATATACTCTTCCAGAAACGAGACGCTAGTGCAGGATGAGTTCGCCATAATTCGGCGCTCGGTGTCAGCATTTCGAATTTTGGAATGTCTGTGGCTTGCCAATCTTGTCCGAATAGTATAGAAAAACCCAATGGCATCCGATATCCCCTTTGGCTGCCCCTCGAAAAGATCCTCTCTAGTTAGTGCAGCTCCTAGATTTCTTGTTAGGTGCTTGTGCTTCTACCTAAATAGGTATCTTCTGCCCTTTGTTCAAAGCTCTTAGCCTCACCTCTGATCCGTGACCTCTAATCCACAAGTTCGACTTTTTCGTGCCTCCATCTGAAGAAGCAGACAATGTACGAGAATTGGTGTGTTCACACCGCGGTAGCAAAGCTAGCAGTACTTTACTTACCCTAGCACTTCGACCAGCCACCATAGAAGGAAAAAAAGCACTTTTCTGGCCATAAGCGTGATAAAGAAGAGGAAAGAATATTGCTTGCTCATAAGACTGACAAGACATGACGGTAATTTACACACAAGTATTGAAAAAAGCGTTGTGCTAAGGGCAGTTGAGATCTCACTGCTACGACAGGGTCTAGGAAAGTGACTGAAACGGCCATTCAGAGAACCCTACCACTCTGCTCGAATAGCTAGTTATTTCGTCATATACGCACAGAATCTTTCTATTAAATTAATTTCTATGAAAATTATGTCAGCATTTAGCCGTAAAGTGCCCGCAGATTGAGCGCTGAGCATTATATGGGATGCGAAGCCCACGAAGCAATGCCACGAAGCAATGATCTTTACCGTTGAGGACACGGGGGGTTTCGCCCGTGTGAATTAACCAGGCAAAGTTTGAGTCCAGAACCCTAAAAAATTCCTCGGCGGCCCTTGAGCATCACCATGATCTGGCTTCATATGTTTGTAATTTTCAGTGAGCATACAGCGTTTGGTCAATTTCTTTGTCGTTGATTGTGTAGTAATGGTTTCCAGTTTTTGCTCCGGCTATATTGATATTATGAAACGCATCATAGCCTATAGTCTAGAGTCCCCAATATAAACCGCCTCGATATTACAGCGAATTACGTTGTTTCCCGCAGATAATCGGTCATTTGGAGAGAAATGGAAAGGATGGGTTGAGCCTGACCATGGCTGTGCCGCTGCCACAACTATAAAGTCTCTGAAGATATCGCGTTAGGATGTGCAACTATATTCCAATCATTTCACACAACAGTACAATCCATTTTTTTTTTTTTTGCTTTTTAAAATGAAGACCACTCCCTTTTTACTTGCACTAGCTACCACATCATTCGCTCAGCAACAGACGCTATGTGACCAATATGGCTATTATGCCAGCGGCAGTTACGGTGTCAGCAACAATCTTTGGGGGAAGGATTCTGGAACTGGCTCTCAGTGCACTTACGTGAACTCCGTCTCGAGTTCAGGCGTCTCGTGGCACACCACATGGACCTGGTCTGGTGGTGAGAACAACGTGAAGAGCTACCCTAACTCGGGTTTAGCCAACTTGAAGAAGCAGCACGTCAGTCAAATTAGTAGTATTCCTACTTCGGTGAAATGGAGCTACGACAGCACCAACATCCGCGCCGACGTCTCGTATGATCTTTTCACGGCTGCAGATATCAACCACAATACCTATAGCGGTGACTATGAACTCATGATCTGGTATTTCTGCCCGTTTTGGTTTCTTGTCGTCTATTGCTGACTATATCAAACACACAGGCTGGCCAGATATGGCCAAGTTCAACCCATAGGTTCCCAGGTTGCGACGGCCTCCGTGGGTGGCAATACCTGGGAGCTGTGGTACGGCGGCAACGGTGCGCAGAAGACCTACAGCTTTGTTGCTTCGAGCCCCATTACCTCTTGGAGCGGGGATATCAAGGGCTTTTTTGACTACTTGACCCAGTACCAAGGTTATCCAGCCAGCAGCCAATATCTCCTCGGTACGTGTCTCCAAAGAAAAGTGTCCTCAAGAGTGTAATATACTAACGAGTTAAACTTCCTCCAGCCATGCAATTTGGAACAGAGCCATTCACTGGCGGGAAGTCTACATTTACGGTGTCAAACTGGTCTGCCAATGTGAACTAGATCCATACCAACATATGCGGATTCTTCAAAGGGATCTCACGTGTCGTTGGGATGGGTGACAGGAGCACAAGAGGAAGCGAGGAAGGAAGGGGGGTGGTACATTCCACCATTTTTCGAATGTGCCTAGTGACAGAATAGTTGAATATAACACTCCAATTAAGATCGAGGTGTCGTTAGGTGGTGAGAGTCACCAGATCGATTTCTGGCTTATCGAAATCGGTCCGTCAACGTACTCGAGTCGGCCGCCGTACTAAAGAAAGACAGGGAAACTTATTAGACTATTCCTAATTGGATGGCCCTCGCCGTCTTCTTTGCGTCTGAAAGACATAACGCAATACTTTGGGGGCAAAGAATACTCTAGAAAACGAGGGCAGCCCAAGTATCGTCAACGCACTAACCATCATAGGATAAATGGCCCTGCGGGGCCTGTCTATCTTGGGTAAGGTCTAGATTGAGTTTACGCAAATCAGGGGTGTCTCACTCAGCACCCACTGAGCATGCCGCGGGTTAGTCGCCACGCACGTGACCGAACCAAAGCCGGATCAACCGAGTCCGAGCCCGTGCTGACATCTAAGCCTGAGCGCCCTCATAAAGCGGGCGGCAGCCCAGAGAGGAAAGGCTCCACCCGGCAGACATTATCCTGTCTAGATAGGTGCATACAATTCCCATTTTCCTGTCCCGCGAGGAGGAGAAAGAAACAATGCCTTCCAGTGACACAACACGAACCGCAGCAATACCAAATTGCTCCCAACCCATTATATCAGTCTCTGGCTCGTAGAGTGTGACTTTTTGCTCATTAGATGACCGCCAGAGCTTTGTCCATGATTTGCCTTTGACCGGGGCAACGTCTCGGCCTCGAAGTCTTTTCCCGGGGTGTTCAGTCCCGGGAAGGTCAAGTACTGTGGACAAGATGTACATGACAGTTGTGACTGCCCAAATTCTCAAGGGAGTAATCATGGTACTTCTTGCTCACATCCTCTCGCGTGGCACCGGCAAGGATAGGAATAGCCTCTAACAACTGGCCTTCCGCACCATTCTCCGACAGGAATACGACCAACGTATTGTCCCATTCACCCGTGGACTCGAGGTACTCGCAGACACGACCTACATTGACATCGATAAGATCTCCATTGCACGAATTGATTTGCGTTGTCCATCTTCTGGGAGCTCAGCCACGACGGCGTCGTATCCAAGGTGTGGGGAGGAGCTGGCTCAACACCTGCAGACACAATGCCTTTCTCAATCAAACCGTGCAAACTGTGATTCCTAAGAGCCAACGCCCCATCGTCTTATTGGCCTCCTGTGTTTCTGGACAACCCCCGGTGTTGCTTGTAATGGCCAGTGGAGCGCAGTGAAAGGGAGGTAAGCGAAGAACGGCTGATCATTCTCGTCCTCTGAGCGTTCTGTCAGGTACGTGAGCATATAGTCCGTGAAAGTATTAGCCGAGTAAAAGTCGTTAGGAAATTCAGTGGCCCCGTCGATGAACTGATCGTGCTCTATCCAAAGTCTAGGGCCGTTCAGGAGGGCGCGTGGTAGCTCGTCCATGCCATAAAGTTGCGGCACTTGATTGTAACATGTCTCTAAGAATCTAAAGTAGCCCGCATGACCCAAGAAAGCTCTCGAATTCGAATTATTTTGGTAAAGAAGAGCAGTCCAGATGAGATCCGTGATAGGAAGGACTCGAAACCGTGCTCCATGTACCGCTTCTGGGTAACCATATGTCATCGTCTTCGAAACAGGCTTGGATTTAGGATCTAGAAATGGTCCTTTGTTCGCCTTTCACCAGTTATCAAAAGCCCAGATGTGAAACGTTTATTTTTGTATGGGCGGTTACATCGGGGACTCTGATTGGTCAATTTGACAACAACCAGCAATTCCTACACGTTCCGCCCTCTGGAAACCATTGCACACATTTCTCGATGGCCAGATCCCATGTAAGAAGAAGTACTCGTTACAAATGTCAGACTTATCCAAGCCCCAGAAAATTCCCCGACTAAGCGTCAATGCCGTCACCGACTCCGAACGGTGGCAAGCCATCACCAAACGCGACATTACAGCCAACTTCTTCGTCTACGCCGTGACAACGACCAAAATATACTGCCGCCCCTCCTGCCCAGCCCGACTTGCCCGCCGAGCGAACGTTGAATTCTACGACACCCCCGCCCAAGCCGAGAAGGCTGGGTTCCGCGCCTGCAAGCGCTGCCGGCCGCATTCAGGACAGACCGCCACCCAAAGCAACCCCCAAGCCGCAGTCGTCGAGAAGGCATGCGAGACGATCCGGCACAACCTGGTCTCAGGGGTGAAACCACGGCTGAGAGATCTGGCTGCACAGGCGGGGCTGACGCCTAGCCATTTCCATCGCGTGTTTAAGAAACTGGTGGGCGTTACGCCTGGTCAGTATATTGCTAGTCGGGGGCAGAGTGGTTCGTCCTCGGATGCTTGGACGCCGGGTAGATTGTCGGAGGCTGAAACGCGCTCTGACTTTGATACCGGGGGCTTCGCTCCAGATCACAAGGGAGAGACGGGGTCAACGGGGTTGGCGGCGGTCAGTTGTCGGTCTCCGGTCATAATGGACGAAACTTGGAATATATTCGATGCTTGGTTTGAGCAGGAAAAATGGGTGCCTGATTTATCCTCTGTTGACCCTCGAATCATCTTGGCGCCCGAGTGATCAAATTGATGTGAATATGAGAGATGAGAATATGAGACATGTCTGCCTTAAGCCTAGAATTGTATGTCACCTTAGACCTTGGATACTATCCAAGTATACGAGTACGATCCCCCGCTAGGCGAGGTCTCGCCACTGAAACAAGGTTGAAACCCAGACGCTCTGTGCGCCTGCGTACCTGTACAAGTACGTGGAGGTGGAGGTACATGTAACCATGATTCCTTGGATTGGAGACGGAAGAACAACGTCGATTGGCGAGTCAGACCCTGTGGCAAGTGAATCGACAGAGAGGATAATTATAGCACAATGTTCTTAGACAATTTCCTTGTGTTCCAATTGGGGTCTGGCGTTCTCCACCGGCCCACCAACGCGTGTCACCTTTTTGGTAGTTTTAATTCCCCTGTCTTGGGAAATTGGATGGCATAGTGCTAATTCCCAGTAATATACGGGCATCAGGCAGTCGAATAGCAATCGAAATAAGACTGTCCAGCTGTTAAACCAGACATTCAAGTGAAATAATGAATGGGATTGTAGGCAAGACCCTTCTCCACTGATTGACAAGATCGACTGCATGCATACAAATGCATTGGGGATTCCAGAACTTTGTGGTCGAGATCCCCAATCCTTAATTAATCTTCCTTCCCAACCCCTCCCTTTCTTCCCAGCCCCTGTCTCTCGCTTTACTTGGCTTTCCTTATCTTGTCTCTGCTTTCGTTCATTCTTCCTTTTATTCCCCCGCATACCAATACCAACATGCACATGAACAAGAGAATCGGTCGCTTCAAGCAATGGGCTGGAGAGCGCATGGGCGGAGAGGCCAAGACATGCCAATCTGATGATTTCAAGGCCATGGAGACGGAGATGGGCGTGCGACATGAAGGTAGGAGAACACGACCACACGAGAATCATTCATGCTAATCGCTTTCCAGGCGTTGATCGCATTCACAAGTCCATGACCGCCTATGTCAAGGCCATCTCCAAGCGCAATGAGGGGGACGATAAGGAGAAGACCCTCCCGATCGCGCACCTAGGCAGCAGCATGGTTTCCCATGGCGAGGACTTTGACGCCAACTCCGAATACGGGCAGAGCCTGATCAGTAAGTTGTGATTTTGCTGGTGAGACGAGGAAGATCGTGTGACTGACCATTTGATCAGTGTTTGGACGGACGGAGGAGCGTATCGCGCGCATCCAAGAGCAGTACATTGCGCAGGCGACATCGAGCTGGCTCGAGTCCTTGGAACGATCCCTGACCCAGATGAAGGACTATCAGCAAGCTCGCAAGAAGCTCGATAGCCGACGACTGGCATACGATACTTCTCTTGCTAAGATGGAGAAAGCCAAGAAAGAGGACTTCCGCGTGGAGGAGGAACTCCGCTCCCAGAAAGTGAAATACGAAGAAGCCAACGAGGATGTCTTGCGGCGCATGCAGGATGTGAAGGAGGCCGAGGTTGATAATGTCATGGACATGGGAACCTTCCTCGACGCCCAACTCGAGTACCATGAACGGTCTCGGGAGGCGCTCCTCCAGTTGAAGCAGGAATGGGTTGGGTAAGCCTTCTCCATCCCCATGTTTTACGTGTGATACTAATAGCTTGCAGATTCAGCCAGACACAAACCCCAACCCGCCGTCCGACGCGTGCTCGTTCCAACACTGCCCACTCATATCAGGAGCGGTATGAGCCGTTGCAGGAAGAGCTGATCAATACCACTGAGGCCAGACCTCCCATTAGATCACACAAGACCATTGCGACGCAATACGCTGACTCGCCTCCACGCGAGAATTATGCTGCCTCACGGCCTGTTCTGAACCGGGTCCCTACGTTCGAAGGCCCGACTCAACTCCGACAAGAGCAATCGCCAGCTGCATCCCAATGGGTCCAGCAGCGTACTGCCAGCGAAAACTCAGTTGGGTACGGCCGCAGAAGCAGCACTCAAGTTGCAAGTGGCCGCGTCTCTGCTGATCCATACGCAGACTCGGAAGAGGTCAGCTCCTACGGCCGGTCCAGTCCCGAGCGTATGTTCGGCGGTGGTAGATCCATCTCGCCCGCAACATCTCACGGAAGCGTGGCATCTCGGCGACCCAGTACGACCAACATGAGTACCCTGGCATTGTCCAAGAAAGGTCCACCTCCACCTCCTCCTTCTCGTGCGAAGAAGCCCCCACCACCCCCACCACCAATGAAGCGGACACTCCTGGCCTCGACGAATGCCTAGGGTGATCTGCAGCATGCGTCCGTACTTTGAAACTTGATCTTGGTCTTGAGCATGGGGTTTAGGAGTTAGGGTGATTACGTTCGATGGCGGTGCCTATTGTTACCATATCAAAGCTTAACCGAGTTGTGCTGGGACTGTCCTTTCTGGATTTCATTTGTGGTGTTGCGTTGATTAATTCCCTGGAGGATCCCTGCTTGGACTGGTCTACCAGTGAGCCGGTGAATCTGACCAATCCTTGAAAATAGTAGACTTAATCATGCATTGATCGACTGTATTGTTCAGTGCGGCCAGTTGCCTTGTAGTTGCCTTTAGCTTCTAGTCTGACGATCAGACACAGCGAGTATGTTTACTTGGCTAGATAGACAGATGAAAAGAAAGCAATAGAATAGAATACGCATCAGTATAACAATGAATAGTGTAAATAGAGTGAATAGAGTAGACTCAACTGATATCTGCGATCGGTACCAGAACTGCAGCCCCAGGCACAATTGATCACAACTGACTCAGCATCAGGTGACCTACCCGGTTAGTCAGCCTCCTTGGAAATCTCCTCCCAGGTTGTCCTTCTGAGCACCCAGATTTCTCCGAGCCTGTCGCGCAACTCCGTCCCATCTCCATTTCCATCCATCCACTTTCAAGACGCGCCCCCCGAACGCGCCCTTTGGATTTTCCCCTCCCCCTCCTTTACCAGCTCGCCTCATTACTCGCTTTCTTTCAACCCCGTGAAAGTACCCGCTCCCCATATCCCATCGCGGGAGCTCCGACCACACCCCCAAACATCACGTCTCCCATCGCCAAGCATCCCATACAACCACCTTCTTGTCGCATTCACGACAAGTAAGCTCACCCATACCGTCGCTACCACCCCCTCGACCGCGCCACCCTCTCCTTGTACTTGCGCGATCTGGCAATTGGCACCAAGTGGAGACCTTTGCCCTCGGCTCAACTGCGCGTTGATTTTCAACCCCATTGCCTGCCGTTCACTTCATGAATTAAAGAAATTTACGCGTCAATATGGCTTCTCTGCACCCGGCGCCCAATATGGCGCCCGGCAATGTTAGCCTGCCTCCTAACCTCACGCAGCAAAATGTCCAAGAGATTCTTCAAGTGAGTTTATCGCTTCTTATCACCTTAGCCTTACTATATCCCGCCTCTTCAATGCGCCCTGTCGTACCTTGCTATTGAATCGTAGTTATCTAACCTTATCGCAGAAGTACAAGCAGATGCAAGAACAGGGTGTCCGCCCTGATGACCCCGAGTTCATCAAGGCTCACAACGTGCTCACTGCTATCCAGCGGCAGCAGAACTTCCAAAAGCAACAGCGTTTTGCTCAGCAGCAGCGCCAACAGCAGCAGATGAATGGTGCCACTCCTGAGACTGCCCCCAATGGCAATCATGGTGAGTCTTGTCGTGACCCCTATCCGACCACCCTCAACTCTCTCATTATATCTGACATGATTTGCAATAGGTCGCACCGCATCTGCTTCTTCGGCCCCGGGTGGCACCCCTCAGGACACTACCTCGGCCGCAGCCAAGAATGCGACAGTTGGCAGCGGTAGCTTCTCTCCAGAGCAGTTGGCCACCCTTCGCAACCAGATTTTGGCTTTTAAGATGCTGTCCAAGAACCTCGCAATCCCACCCCGCGTTCAACAGCAGCTCTTTGCAAACAAGAAGTCTCAAACACCCACCCCCACGGACATTGTTGGCACAGCCGAGAAGGTGATTGATACCGCGGACAAGTCCTCAACACAACCCCCGGAAAGTGTCGAGCCTGAAGAATTTGGCCGAGATTGGTACGGAAGTTTCCAGTCTCCGTACGACTCCCTCTCCGACACCATCAGCTATACAGACCACGCCAACCGCGCAAATCGCGTACGAATTCCCGCCCTCTTGCCCCCGGGTATGGACCTTGAACAAGTTCGCGAGGACCGTGAGATCGCAATCTACAACAAGATAGTGGCTCGGAAAGCAGAGCTTGCTCAGCTTCCTGCTAATTTGGGTGTGTGGGATACCAGCAAGAGTGATACTCCTTCATACGACGACTCGCTCAAGTTGAAGGCCTTGATTGAATACAAATCCCTCTCTCTCTTGCCCAAGCAGCGTCAGTTCCGCAAGCAGCTTCAGAATGAGATGTTCCACTATGACAACCTCGGCATGACCGCCAACCGTTCAAGCCACCGTCGCATGAAGAAGCAGTCTTTGCGTGAGGCTCGCATTACTGAGAAGCTTGAGAAGCAGCAACGTGATGCTCGTGAAACCCGTGAGAAGAAGAAGCAGTATGATCAGCTGCAGGCTATCCTCAACCACAGCGCTGAACTTGCCAATGCTTCCGTGCAACAACGCACTCGCTCCCAGAAGCTGGGTCGGATGATGATCTCACACCACCAGCACATGGAGCGTGAAGAGCAGAGACGTGTGGAGCGCACTGCCAAGCAGCGTCTCCAGGCCTTGAAGGCTAACGATGAGGAGACATATCTCAAGCTTTTGGGACAGGCCAAGGATTCTCGTATCTCTCACCTGCTCAAACAGACCGATAACTTCCTCAAGCAACTTGCCGCATCCGTCAAGGAACAACAACGTAACCTGGCTCAGCGTTACGGTGAAGAACAAGACTTCGACGACGAGTCAGACCAGGAGATTCTTGATAGCGAAAATGAGGAAGAAGAGACCAGCAACGGAAAGAAGAAGGTCGACTACTACGCTGTTGCTCACCGTATCAACGAAGAGGTCACATCACAGCCTACGATTCTCCAGGGAGGTACCCTCAAGGAATACCAGCTGAAGGGTCTCCAATGGATGATTTCTCTCTACAACAACAACCTCAATGGTATTTTGGCAGACGAGATGGGTCTTGGAAAGACCATCCAGACCATCAGTTTGATTACGCATATCATCGAAAAGAAGCAAAACAACGGCCCCTTTCTGGTCATTGTTCCTCTTTCTACCCTCACCAACTGGAACATTGAATTCGACAAGTGGGCACCAACGGTGCAGAAGGTTGTCTACAAGGGTCCTCCCAACGCACGAAAGCAACAACAGCAACAGATCCGTTGGGGCAACTTCCAGGTTCTGCTCACCACCTACGAATACATCATCAAGGATCGCCCAGTTCTCAGCAAGATCAAGTGGACCCACATGATTGTTGATGAGGGTCACCGCATGAAGAACACACAATCGAAGCTGAGCAGCACCCTCTCAACATATTACACCAGTCGCTACCGTCTCATTTTGACCGGTACTCCATTGCAAAACAACCTCCCCGAACTTTGGGCTCTTCTCAATTTCGTCCTGCCTAATATTTTCAAGTCCGTCAAGTCGTTTGACGAGTGGTTCAACACACCATTCGCCAACACTGGTGGCCAAGATCGCATGGACCTGAGCGAAGAAGAGCAGCTTCTCGTTATTCGTCGTCTTCATAAGGTTCTTCGTCCCTTCCTGCTCAGACGTCTCAAGAAGGATGTTGAGAAGGATCTGCCCGACAAGCAGGAGCGTGTCATCAAGTGTCGATTCTCCGCCTTGCAGACCAAGTTGTACAAACAGCTTGTCACACACAATAAGATGGCTGTCAGCGACGGCAAGGGCGGAAAGACTGGTATGCGTGGTCTGAGCAACATGCTGATGCAATTGCGAAAGCTTTGCAACCATCCCTTCGTCTTCGAACCTGTTGAGGACCAGATGAACCCCACTCGCATGTCAAACGATCTTCTCTGGCGTACTGCAGGAAAGTTCGAGCTGCTCGATCGTGTCTTGCCTAAGTTCCGTGCCACCGGTCACCGAGTACTGATGTTCTTCCAGATGACTCAGATTATGAACATCATGGAGGATTTCCTCCGTCTGCGTGGCTTGAAGTACCTTCGTCTTGACGGTTCCACAAAGTCTGACGATCGATCAGATCTGTTGAAGCAGTTCAACGACCCTGGGTCCGATTACTTTTGTTTCTTGCTCTCTACCCGTGCTGGTGGTCTGGGTCTGAACTTGCAGACTGCAGACACTGTCATCATCTACGATTCCGATTGGAACCCTCACCAGGATTTGCAAGCCCAGGATCGTGCTCACCGTATTGGGCAGAAGAACGAGGTTCGCATTCTGCGACTTATCAGTTCCAACTCGGTCGAGGAGAAGATTCTCGAGCGTGCTCAGTTCAAGTTGGACATGGATGGCAAGGTTATCCAAGCCGGAAAGTTCGATAACAAATCTACCAACGAGGAGCGAGATGCGCTTCTACGAACGCTCCTGGATACAGCAGAGGCAGCAGATTCGATTGGTGATCATGACGAAATGGATGATGACGACCTCAACGATATTATGGCCCGTTCGGAAGATGAAATTGGAATTTTCCAAGAGATGGATAGACAGCGTATCGCCAATGATAAATATGGTCCTGGCCACCGCTACCCTCGTCTGATGTGTGAAGCAGAGTTGCCAGAAATCTACATGCAGGAGGATAACCCTGTCACAGAAGAGGTTGAGATTGAGGTTACTGGTCGTGGTGCTCGTGAGCGCAAGGTCACCAAGTACGATGATGGTCTTACGGAAGAGCAGTGGTTGATGGCAGTGGATGCCGACGATGACACCATCGAAGCCGCCATTGCCCGAAAGCAGGCTCGCGTTGAACGTCGCAAGTCCAACAAGGCTGGTCGTGGCCTGGGTGATGACGAGTCATCACCTGAGCCCGAGCCTGAAATCGACGATGATGAGACACCCAAGAAGCGTCGTCGCGGTCCTCCTCCCAAGCGCAAGGCCGAGGAAATTGTTGATGAAACTCCTCAGCCCAAGCGCAAGAGAGGCCGTCAACCCAAGGTGCCGGATACTCTCAGCCCCTCTGATCGCGCTACCTTGACTGGTATTCTCGACAGCACTATTCAGTCTTTGCTGGATATGGAAGCTGAAGTTCCCCCAGAAGGCTCGGACAGCGAAGAAGGACCCATGGTCCGTGCAATTCTGGATCCCTTCATGAAACCTCCCCCCCGCTCCCTATACCCCGACTACTACATGATCATTCAGAAGCCTATTGCCATGGACGCAATCCAGAAGAAGGTCAAGCGGGGCGATTATCAAAACCTCAGGGGCTTTGTGGAGGATATCCACCTGCTCTGCCAGAATGCCCGGACGTACAATGAGGACACCAGTGTTTTGTTCCAGGATGCTAATGACATCGAGGTAAGTTGCCTTGTTGGTTTGATTGATAATCGGATACTAATCGTATAACAGGCCAAGTGTTTGTCCGAACTGAAGAAGCATACCGACGAGCACCCCCAGTTTGCCATCTTCGACAACCAGTCTGTTGGTGATGGTTCGACCGGCTTTGCCTCGGGCACGGACACGCCGATGACGGCTGGTACCCCCGGGCAGAAATTGAAGCTCACTTTCAGCAACCCCAACCGGGACACACCCAGCGGTGGCGACGAGGAGTAGCCCCTCCCTCAAGACCGTGAGCTCACTTAATCAACACCACGCGTTTCCGCTCTCTGCCTTGCGACTGCTACTTCCCGCCGCTTGTGCTTTCTTGTCATGTGTAATCCGAAAATATTCTTTTCTTCATTGTTCTGTGCCATCTCTGGAAGGCGTTTTCTCGCGAACTTTTATTTTTTTTGAATGGATTGGGGAAGGAAACCGGATGAAGGCGCTGTATTTGTTCCAAGCGATTGATTTCTGGGTTACTCTTGTACCGTCTTGGCCCTTTGCACAAGGTCGTGTGAGACCCTAATGTATGTTTCGAGTATGTACTGGAAGTTAGGAACAATGCCAATTGATTCAATTGCATATCAACGTGTGTAGGTATTTCTTGGAATGTATGCTGATTTCGGCGGACACGGGACGATCCGAGAGGAACTTAGTCCGTGCGAAGACACTTGCAGATGCTCACCGGTCTTTGTACTTAAGTACTTGTAACGTATAACGTAGACAATAGACCTGTCTCTTCGACCCCGCTATATACACAGTACCTCTTCACCCAGAATCCAGTCCATCCAACCAGCAACATGTCCAATAAAACCCTCGCCGGCAAAGTCGCACTAGGTACAAACCACCCATCCACCACCACAAACCAAAGCAAGACTAACCAATCTCTACAAAACAGTCACCGGCGCAAGCCGCGGCATAGGAGCAGCAATTTCCCTCAAGTTCGCCCAACAAGGCGCAGACATAGCCCTAAACTACAAAAGCAACGCATCCGCCGCCGAAGAAGTCGCAACCCAAATCCGCGTGCTAGGCGTCCGCGCCATAACCCTACAAGCAGATGTCTCGCAAGAAAAAGAAGTCGAGACCATGTTCAAGGAAGCGCATGATACTTTCGGACGCCTCGATATCGTCGTCAGTAACTCTGGCATTGAGCATTTCGCATCCATCCCCGATGTCAAGAGCGAGGATATCGATGCTGTTTTTGCTGTTAATGTGAAGGGGCAGTTCTTTGTTGCGCAGCAGGCGTATAAGTATATGGAGGATTTTGGGAGGGTTATGCTTACTTCGTCTATTTCGGCTGTTAAGGTTAGTACTTCCCTACCCGGAGGGTTGGAAGGGGGTTTGGCTGATGAGCGGTTTTCTTGGATAGGGCGTTCCTCGACATGCTATCTACGCTGCTTCCAAGGCTGCTGTGCAGGGTATGACAAAGTGTCTAGCTGTCGACTTTGGGCCGCGCAATATCACTGTCAATTGCATTGCTGCTGGCGGTGTCAAGACTGATATGTACACTGAGATGTCGGCCAAGTATATCCCTGGTGGGGATAAGTTGTCTCCCCAGCAGATTGAGGAGATGCTGAGCAAGTGGTCGCCTTTGGGTCGGGTTGGGGAGGTGGAGGATGTTGCTGGGGTTGCGGCTTTGATTGCTAGTCCTGATTCGCAGTGGTTGACTGGTCAGACTTGGCAGGCTTCTGGTGGTTCTTATATGGTTTAGAGAGGAAATGAAAGGGTTATGCGTATTTCGGGATTTTGATTATCATTTATGACTTGGTTTCTATACTCTGTACTCTTTTTTTGTTTTAGTATCTGGAGACACCTTGATCGACGGCTATACTTTCTGCCCTGGAAAGGTCTTCAGTCCTGAAGAGTCTGAGGAGGCCATGAATTCATGGCGAGCAACTAGACCCGTGGAAAAAAACAGGCATCGAAACTAATCAGTAGAGCTGGCGTTAATATTTCAATCCTGGAATGGGATATGAACACTCAGAATCCCATCTACTTTTACCCTGTCTTATATCCTTAGACACAACCATTGCTTAGCTGGACCGTGTTTAAGACAAGCTATAGACTGACATTAACCTAATTTAACAGTCTGCTGGAACTAAAAGCGTCATGTCTACCAAACATCATCTCTTTAGTCATAGATATGAATCTCAACAAGAATCCCGAAAAGTTCCGTGCCTCGCCATGTGGAAAGTCTCCTTTTCACAAACGCCTGCTGTTATCTGATGTGAAATTAGTGCCATGTCTTGGTGGACCATCAGACTAGTCCTATCCACTTTCACATTCTGGATGCAGGGGGTGAAGAATGTGGATCGAACATGTTTGACCAAGACTTCTCATGCTTTCTTCACATTGATCGCCTTTTCCACCTTGAGGACAGTACGTACATCTCCCGATCTTTAGCGATAGGAAACCGACGGAACAAACTTGAATGACAGTGCGCAGATTATCCACAGACATCAAGGGGCCAAGGATATAGCTAAGTCTTGCATGCCAAGCAATGGAGGGATAAGAATTGAAGCGATCGCATTCTATTGAAAACTTGATTCTGCAGTCTAGCCCTTCTTGAACGACTACATGTAGCTATAGTTGCAACAATACGTAAGTAGTCTTGTCCTACTCCACCACATCCCAGAATATTGAGCACAGTATAGACCGCGACGTTGGCTAGCTATTCAAGTAAAAATTCCACTTCATGGCTATGGATTGTAGAGCTCAAAGGGTCATCCAACCCGCAAAAGAGTAAAGTTTTGATGCACCCTTGTCATGAGGCTGAAAACACATAGGCTCGTGGAGCAACAACTAGAGTCCCCTATCAAAAGCTATTCTGCAAAAGCTGAAAGAATGAGACACGCATACGTCAAAAGCATCAACAACATGACGCGGTCGCCTCAGCCTGAAAGTGAAGTTTGAATCGGACTTTAGGGCTACAGTGCAGATCTGCAGGTACTGGGGAGAAAGTCTTACCCGGCCCATAGAAACCCATAAAATAGGGATATTGCACCCAATAGACAACCATAAATGCCCTCCACTAGCTCTAAATAGTTATTTCCGAGACCCTTCGGGCCTTCGGGGGCATTTACTATGCTAGGCGCCTTAATTCTATCAAGTGGAATTGCGCCTGTTTGGCTCGACTGGAGACTTCGCCGCAGGTTTCGCTTCTATTTCAAACGTAGTCCATTTCTCTGCCGTGCTATACGACTCAATGATTACGACAACGAGCTCAGCCTTGCTCCAGGGCGAGCTTTACCTCTGGGGTTTCATGGTTCGATCGAAAGGTAACGCGGCGGGTCTACGTATGATCTGCTGTCTGGTTTCCTTAAATTGAGGACCGTTGTTACAGTTCTTGAGCTATAAGTATAAGTATAGCCCTACGTCTGGTGTTCCTGCACTTCCATTTCCACACTCGTTGCAGATTCTCTTCGAACGCTCGTTTCTCCTCTTCCGTTTACTTCTTATAACCCAACATGCGTCTCTCCAGGGGCGCATCTGTTGCGGCCTTGGCTGTATCAGCCAGCGCCGCATCGCTATCTGATGTCTGTACCGTGTCGAACGTCAAGTCCGCCTTGCCTTCCAACGGCACTCTCCTCGGTATTGACCTGATCCCCTCGGCCGTGACCGCTGCCGCCGTCTATAATGCCAGCGCCGGCATGGGAAGCACCGAGACCTACACCTATTGTAACGTGACAGTCAGCTACACCCACACCGGCAAGGATGAATCAATTGTCATCAAGTATGCCTTCCCCGAGCCGTCCGACTTCAAGAAGCGTTTCTACGTTGCCGGCGGTGGTGGTTTTTCTCTGTCCAGCGATGCTACCGGTGGACTCGAGTACGGTGCAGTTGGTGGTGCCACCAGTGCGGGATATGATGCCTTCGACTACAGCTACGACGACGTCGCGCTGTACGGCAACGGAACCATCAACTGGGATGCAACCTACATGTTCGCCTACCAGGCCCTTGGTGAGATGACCAAGATTGGAAAGGCCATCACCCCCGGATTTTACGGCATGTCTTCCTCCTCCAAGGTCTACACCTACTACGAGGGTTGCTCCGACGGTGGTCGTGAGGGTATGAGCCAGATCCAGCGCTATGGTGAGGAGTACGACGGTGCTATCACCGGTGCCCCTGCTTTCCGTTTCGCCCAGCAGCAGGTCCACCACGTCTTCCCTTCTGAGGTTGAGCAGACTCTCGACTACTACCCTCCCCCCTGCGAGTTGGCCAAGATCGTCAACGCCACCATCGCCGCCTGTGATCCCCTCGACGGCAGAACTGACGGTGTCATCTCCCGTACCGACCTCTGCAAGCTGAACTTCAACCTGAGCTCCATCATCGGCGAGAAGTACCACTGCGCCGCCGAGACCAGCACCTCTCTCGGCTTCGGCTTCAGCAAGCGCGCCGAGGGCAGCACAACCAGCTACCAGCCCGCCCAGAACGGTAAGGTCACCGCGATGGGAGTGAAGGTGGCCCAAGCCATCTACGACGGCCTCCACAACTCCAAGGGCGAGCGTGCCTACCTCTCATGGCAAATCGGCTCGGAGCTCAGCGACGCCGAAACAACCTGGAACAACAACACCAAAAAGTGGGAGATGAACATCCCCTCCACCGGCGGGGAATACGTAACCAAGTTCGTCCAGCTCCTCAACATCGACAACCTCTCCGACCTCAACAACGTCACCTACGACACCCTCGTCGACTGGATGAACACCGGTATGGTGCGGTACATGGACAGCCTGCAGACGACCCTGCCCGATCTGACACCCTTCCAATCCTCCGGCGGCAAGCTGCTACACTACCACGGCGAATCAGACCCCAGTATCCCGACTGCCTCGTCCGTGCACTACTGGCAGTCGGTCCGGTCCATCATGTACCCTCACCTGTCGTCCGCAGCCAGTCTGGCCAAGCTTTCCGACTGGTACCAGTTCTACCTTGTGCCCGGTGCGGCGCACTGTGGTACCAACAGCTTGCAGCCTGGTCCTTACCCCGAGGATAACATGCAGACTATGATTAACTGGGTTGAGAATGGAGTTAAGCCTAGCCGGTTGAATGCTACTGTTTCGTCTGGTGATTACAAGGGTGAGACCCAGATGCTTTGCCAGTGGCCTACTCGTCCTTACTGGAAGAGTAACAGCACCTTTGAGTGTGCTTATGATAAGGCTTCGTTTGATAGCTGGACTTATACTTTTGATGCTTTCAAGGTTCCTGTCTACTAGATGGACTGTGTTACCTATGTGTTGTCCCTATTGTCCCTTGTGCCTTGTGGAATGTCCGAGTTGTAGGACATTGCACGGGCACGGTTGGGATGACCATCAGCCCTTTTGATTTGGGTTTCAAATCCCACGGGTGAATACTCGCCCTACTTTTATTTCTTGGAATTGACTTTCTGTATTTACTCTTCTTCTAACCCTCTCTATTACATTATTCCATTATCCTCTTCAAGTCAAGTTAATGTGAAGGAGATTTGCAAATTCGATTTGATATGTGAGATATTTCAAGGTATTTTCCAGAGAAGGCAAAAAAAGAAAAATAACAACAACAAAAGCGATTCCGAAGAATCAAAAGAATCAAGAATCAATGTAACAAAGAAACAAAAATAAACAAAGAAAGAACTCCAAATCAATCTCTTAACACCAATCTAATCCCCCAAAGTCAAGTCGTAACCCTACCAAAAAGATAGATTGAACCGCAAGGGCCAATTTAACCGAGAGTAAGAGTATAGGCCGCATCGACAGCGCAAGCCAGGGTGTTGACATCATCAGGGTGCTGGTAAGACTCAATGCAGTTGGCATCACCGGCAGCACAGGTAGCAGTAGTGCAAGACTCGTCGCTAATGGTAACGCCGAATCCAGCGGCAACGATAGCAGAGTCCTTGAGCAGGTTGATGGAAGACAGATCCCAAAAGAGGACCTCGCTGGACTGGGTGTACTCGAATTGCAGGATGGACTCGCAGGTCTCGGTGGTGGACATCTTGATGGAGATACCGCCGCCGTTGGTGTTGGTCAACCAGGTGTCGGTGAAGGTCTGGCCGGAGGTCAGGGTCTGCATCTCGCCCTGGGTCTCGGTCACAACCCAAAGGTAGACGTCCTGGTCGAGGTTGTTCTTGATGGCAATGCCGGAGCCGGTGGCGGTTGCGCCGCTGGAGGTGGTGCTGGGGATGGCGAGGGTGGTGCTGGTCCAGATGTCGGCGCTGCTGCTGCTGCTGATGATGGGGGCAGCGGTGGTGGTTGGCGCGGCGGTGGTGGTGGGCACGGCGAGAGTTGGGATGGAGGTGGTGGTTGGGATGGGGGTGACGGTGCTGGAGGTGGTAGGGACGGCCTCAGCGGTCGAAGGAATGGCGATGTTCACGTTGGCAGCCACGGTGGGCTCGCTGGAGGCGGTCTCGTAGACGGTCTCATAGACGGTTTCCCAGACGACAACCTCGGGGTTACCGGGGAGCGCAACGGGAAGCGCGGTGGCAGTAGCGGCCAAGAGGGCCAGAGTGTTGATGAAGCGCATATTGGCTGATTTCAAAGAAAGACTGGATTGGAACCTTAAGGATAGTGTTGTCCGATCTACAGACAGTAAAGAGAGTGTACGAGGCGCAGCCTCAAAGGTATCCAAAAAAGTGAGTGAATGATGTCAAAGAGAGGGAAAGAGAGATGTGGGAGGCAGCGCCGTTTTAATGGGCCCAGGCTGTCACATAAAACGAAAATGCAAAATGGCAAAAATCGATCTAGATGGCCATGTGGAGACCTAGCCACCATTGAAGAGATCCTATTGGTTGACAAACTTAGGGCTCAGGAGATGAAACCTGGTCCGGCCAACCCGGTTGGACTTCCGGTCGATACATCCATGGTTGCGCTGGTACCTGAACCGCCAATTTGTTGTTTGTCCCACTTGCTGTTCATTTCGCTGTTCGTTTCTCTGCTTGTTCGTTAAGGCTGTGGAGGTGGAGGGCCAAATCATCTTTCAGCACAGACAAGACTTTTCACGAGCCCTCGGGATAGCGCCGGATTACGCATGTCCTACGCAACCCCTCCCCCTTTGTCCGCCCCTGAATATCACACTCTTGTTCCTATATAATATTCTGTCTCCAGGTTTCAGAACGACAGTACTGTATATCTACTCTCGACTGTACTCTCAGTGATCTCCTACTAGCAAGCCAAGCCCGGCTCTAAGGGAGCTTATTCATTAGGGTGAACCGGATAGGAAGGAGGAAAGATCATCCCGATGTGGGAAATTACCCAACAGTCATCGTCCCCCCCCCCCAATAGTCGTTCGAACTATCTTCTCTAGTCAGGTACCGATGCAGGAACGCCGGAACTTTCCTAAATTTTAGTCCGCCACGTCGGCCAGGCCTTCTTAGGCACCTTCCAGAAGAAAACTCTACAAGTTACATCCTTGGCTCTTGGGTGGCAATGTAATTTCACAAGCAGATTGGATTGATCTTGCGAGACATGGGTGTGGCGGTACTCCCCGCCAAGCCATGCCCCGCTGCAACCAAGCGAACGTATGGATAATGAGGGTATTGTATGAATAAAGGTGTGGCCTAGACTATGGCGCCGTATGCAACGCCGTTAGGTAAATTGTTCCTGCGTGAGGATGTGTTCGGGGCTCGTCCGTCGACACTTCCAGAGCGTGCGCCATTTCTTTCGCTTGCAATCTCCTTGCTGTGTGTCTCCAGCGCATTGAAAACATAACCGAACACTTGGCGGTCAACATCGGAGGCCCACAAAAAGTCTAGATGCTCGTAGGTCGGGATCGCTTGGGCGCTCGTGGCATGTGGCAGGCCCTCGAGCATGACATTGATGTCGACCAGACTGTCACTGTCACCGTACAACAGCACGATCGGTGTTTTGATGTTGCGCGTTGGGTACTTGACCGGCTTGTAGAAGCGTTCGTTGGCCACAATGCTAAAGGGGGCATACAGCTCGTCATCGTAGAACTGGAAATTCTTGTTCCGGATAATTTGGAACCAATGAACCACCGATTTGGTGCTTGTAAAGGAATACAAATGCATATAGGCCGCTAGCTTTTGCGTGCGCTTGATGTTCTTGCACTTCCAGTTGAACAGAGCCGAAAGAGCGGTGTCGATGATGCGCACGTAGATTGGTGGGTAGAGTATCGTCTGCCACATGGTTGTCGATGATAGGATACTGCGTCGACCGAAAAGCAGGAACAGAAAATCGGGAGAGGCCTTCATCAGTGAATCCACGATGCGATTGCGCAGGCCAGAAGGCGCCATGGCGGGTGCCAGCGCGACGAACACGTCAATCTTCTCATTGAGCAATGGGTGGATAGCGAGGGTAGCGAACGCCTGAGCTGTCCCTTGTGAGAATCCAATGTACGATAAAGATGGTTGATTGGTCACTTCGAGGATGTACTCAATGCTGTTGGGAATGTCGGAGAATGCGAATTGGTCAATGGAAAAGTCCCAGAACTCGTTTGAACCAGGTGAGAACCGAGTCGATTTCTTCGAGTATTTGTTTCCTCTGTTATTACCCAGCCAAACATCATATCCTCGTTCCACCAACTGGAACGGGAGACATCGTTGTTCCTCTGTCAAGGCCACCCACACCTCGCTGGACATGAGCAGTCCATGGTGGAGGTACACAACTTTCTTTTTGGTTCCGCCCGGGCCTTGATTGACACGAATGTGCTCTTCTCCTTTGCGATACGCCAAGCGATGCAGCCCAAGGAGATAGCCGTCATTCGTTTGCACAATGTGGTCCTCCGCTTGGTATCCAAAGAGCGCGCAGATCTCCGTGAAATCAGATGCGTTTGCAATTGAAAGAGCAAAGTTCTCCTCTTTCGTGCGCTTATGACGAGTCTCAGTTGGCATCAAGAGATTGAATAATGCCTTGGATTGATCATAGCAGAAGTTGATGACTGGGCTTGCTGGTAAGGGGTCAATGTTAGGCTCAATATCGTTGCCAAGTAGGCGTTACTCACGGAGACACCAAGTTATGAGATGAATGATGGTCTCTAATGAAACAAGAATCAAAGATCCAAAGAGCGCTAGGTACTCAAACCTGGAGTTCGAAGATCAGTCGCCAAGCTCGTCTCGGATGGTAGCGTCCTTACCAGAACAGTCTCCCGATAAGTGGGACACGCGCCATGATGAAAGACTACGCATACATGTAGGTGTGATATGTATACAACAGAGAGAAAAGAAGCCAAAGCCAAAGCAAAAGGAAGGAGCACGACGTCATTTACTGCCAGGAACATGTGATAATGCTTATCTCATCCGGGGTTTTAGATGGCCAATCAGCGTCGAGCCAACTGACAGACCCGAATTTGCCGTGTTTCACGGCTTCACTTTGCTTGTGCTTGCGCTCTACCAAGATCGCCTCAAAATGCCGAGCTCATGCAATGATATCCGTATGTCACACACTCTCAAGTCGCACAACAGCTCTAGGGAGCATCACGCCCCTGGCTCAGCTGGACCTGCTACCGTAACCCTCCGGTGTCATGCAACGCGAGCTGACCCAATTTGACACCCAGGGGAGGCACTGGCCCAATGCCTCCAGGAATCGGACTGTATCATGGTGCAAAGACACTCGCCCCGTGAATGTCTCAGCTCTCCTCTCGCCGAGGAGCTGCCCATGCGATGCCAGCAGCTGCGCAAAGGATTCAGCGAGTGCAAGTGAGTCAGGACCCACGGAAGCGTCCAGGCTGTGCAACAAAAGGGAACTGTGACTGACAATCGGACTTCTACTCGACACAGGCGCGGTATGATCGACATGCGCAAACGGTTCCGCGGCAACCAGCCCATCTCAGTATCAAAGGAAATGGAAGGCGAAAAGTCCGAGTCTGGGGGACAACTATATGCAGGACAACCAGCCTACCAGTCGGTCAAGCCCATCAACGGCGACGAAGTACAGATGGACCCCGAGAAGACCCGTGGCCTGTAAAGGATACTTGGATTTGATTGCATGCTGGCATGGCCCGGAGTTCTGAGTTCTGTTACGCTTCAAACATACATCTCTTCTTCACTTATACCCGTCTCAAATTTACTGAGCCAATTTTCAACCCCACTTAGTTCCTTTACACTTGTGCAGTCTGCAAAAACATCCACCAGGCGCTCGGGCATGCTCAAGAAAGGCGAGTGCGAAGCGGGGAGTCGGTGGGTTTGTCCGGGTCTGCATATCTTCAATGCGAAGGATTCCTGAATGTGAGGTAGCAGTGCCTGGTCTTGCTCGCAGATGATGTAGGCACAGGGTATATCCTGCCACGGCTCATAGGTGGCTTCGCCGGAGAAGACTGCGCGTGAGGTATGCCTCACGGTGCTGTCCCATTTCTCTCGTTGCTCCGTGGTCAGATCTTGCCAGGCGACTTCTCCAGCGCCTTTCGCGTGAACATAGTCACCCTACTCACCGGTTAGCATGATATCAAGCAGGCGTGTACTGATATTATGATGAGGATAACCAACCTCAACCTTCATCCAAGGCAAAGGATCCCCACCTAGCAACTCCAACAGGCTCTGCCCCTTGTCCAACGCAAATGCAGCAAGATAAACAACTCTCAATACTCCGCCGTGCTTTCCATTGGCCGCACGGACAGACTTAGCCAATCCTTCCACGGCAGAGGATGCCACAACGCCGCCATAGGAGTGTCCTACAACAACGATATCTCTCCCCTCATCTGCCACAGCTGTCAAGACACTGTGAAAAGAGGAGACGTCGTTTTCCAGCGTCATCGAAGGGGGCTCTGCGCCAATTGAGGGATGAGCGGGACACTCGGACGGAAAGCCGAGGGCTTCAAGCCGCGTACGCACAACATCGAAGACGGTAGGATGCATCCAAGCACCAAGCGAGAAGACGAAAGTAGGTTTACTCATTTTTGCTCTGGGATAAAGTATTGTTCAACTGCTTGAGGGGTAGGGAGCTCGTATATACAAGTAAATACTACACTCTGCGCCGACGATGCCCTCTTCCTGAAATCTAGACTCTAAACTCTAGACTAAAACCCAAGGCATATACTGCAAATCACAGCCCATTGGGCAAAAGTCCGGTAAGACTCCGGCATGTCAATATCATTTCGTCCCGTGGAGGAGACACTAGACAACCCCATGTGGATCTCCGCGACCAACAGCTGTCCTCGACGTGAGGATCCGTCAATCAAAGGTGCTCTGCTCCTCTCTGTTTAGCTCATTCTAGGGCATTGGCGTGCTTTTAGTTGTTTTATCTTATCCTATCAGACCATCGTTCTACCGAAGCGAGGGGTTTAACTCCTTAAGAGTGTACGCGTTGTTGGGTAAAGTTCCGCTTGGATCCATTGCTTTGGGTGGTCTAGCTTTATTTATAATAGGATGGGGGAAGTCATAGGCTTGCAGTATTATCTCAAGGTACTTCTTTCATTCGCTGTTGGCTTCATACCTCCATGTTTCGACCTTACTACAACAGCTGTTCGATATGGCATATGTTGCGCACTAGACCAGACTACTTGTCTTTGTTAGAGTGTAGACTGTAGGCCCTAGGCTTGATGACTTGTATACAGCCAACCTGAAAACTGACAGTGGTTCTTATAAGAGACTATGATCATCTTACAGCCACGGAAAGTACCTTGATTCTCTGTTCTCAAATCAACACCGCTCTTGTTCGGCACAGATGCCTAGATGCATGTTGATCGAAGCTTGCATGCGCGGGCACGTCTCCTCGACTGTCTATGATACCTTGAAACATGCTATTATTGGACTTTCGAAGAGCGCATCTGAGGATTACGCGAAAGAGGGCTTGCGCATTACTGCTTTGTGTCCGTGATATGCTGCTACCCCGTTGGCGAAGAATGAACCTAGGATTCGGGAGAGTGCTGAGAAGACCGTTGCCACTAATGTTCCTTGGGACGACTGGCTTGCGCAGGAGGGTTGCTGACGGTGTTATCTTTTTGTCTGGTGGTCATAGTTGTTTTGTCGCGGGGACTTCGCTGTTTGTTGGTGGGGGTTATACGCAGCGGTAGAGCAGTTGGTTTAAGTTGAATACACTTGATCTGACTATTGGATATCATATGATCGAAATGATCTATAAACCAAATCAAACACTCGGGAAATCAAATTCATACAAGTAAATTTAACATCATGAACGAACAGTTTAGTAAATGCATACAGATCTACTGCGTCTTCTTAACCTTGTCGGCCACAGGAGCAGAGTACAGCCAAACAACAACGAAAGCCAGGAATCCACCGATGACCGACCAGAGGCCGGCGATCCAAACCCAACCGCCGCTGATGGCCCAACTGCGTGGGTACTCATCGTGAGCGAAGTGGCGGACAGTGACCTCGTGCTTCTCCTCGATGTTGGTGAAGAAAGGACGTTTGTAGTTGACGCGGAAAGAGAAGATTCCGTGCTGGTCAGGGGTTATGAACTTGGTGCTGAACACGGTGCCGGTTTCGGTGCGGCTGGTAGGCTCGAGGTTCAGACGGTGGAAAGGAGAGAGCATGGTGAACTCAAGCTGGAGCTCATCTTCGCCGGGAACCTCGAAGGGAACCCACTTGTCGAAGACGTACTCGGAGACTTCAATGTTGTAGACCTGCGGAGATTCTTTGTTAGTCTTGAATACATATGAATTGGATCTAGTTTCACGTACAGTCTCGTTCTTGATACGGTAAATGGAGGGGTTCAACTCGGCACCCTCAGTGGCGAGGTGGTGCTCGACCTTGTTAACCTTAAGGACACCAGTCTCCTTGAAAGCCCAGCCGGTCAACTGCTTAGCGAACTCACGGTTCACAGTGGTGGTCTTCTCGCCGCTGGGGGTCTTGACGGAGGCCGAGAACCACTTGTCCTCAAGGGCTTCCACCGAACCGAGAACGGTGAATCGAGCAGAGTTGCGGGCCTGCATAGCAGAGACAATGTTGAGCTGCGAACCGGTGGCCAGGATATCGTCTGCCGCGGGCATCTCCTCCTTGGGATTGTAGCTGTAGGCGGTAGCGGGGGCCTTCAGAACGGGAGCAAGAAGGGTGCTGTCGCTTCCCAGAGTCTGAGGAGCAACTCGAGGGAGAGCCAGAACACCCTCACCATCGAAGAAGGCCTTCACGTCGGGACGGAGGGGGCCAGGGCGCTGGAGCACAAGAACGTCATGCTTCTCGGCAGCCGAGAGGGTATCGTAGTTAAAGTGGTCGACAACAACCGCCGAGCGATCGTTTGCGAGGTGAATGTCGAGCTCGAGAAGGAGGGAGCTGACAGCGCTTGAGGTGGGGGACTTGCCGGAGAGGGCGAGGAGGATGTTGCCATCCTTGTTCATGAAGTCGAGGATGTGCTTGGGGGTCAAAGAGGGGCCGAGGCCTGTATACTTGAGTCAATTGACAAGTTTTCGAATCAAAGAGATCGATGTTGCCCACCTTTAGACTTGGGAGGGAGAATGAGGAGGTGGTCATAAGCTCTTTCGCCATGCTTGAAGAGGGAAAGCTGTTCACTTTTGGGGGATTCAATCGAAACATCGTAACCACGAGCTAGAATTCAAACATCAGCAGGTTACGTGCAGGTAGAGCCATACAAATTACCTTCTAGGTCAGCCCACAGCGTAGAGTACACGCTCTTCTGCTCTGTGTCTTCCAGAACCGCCAACAGACGACTGCCGGAGCTACTCAGCGCATTTACCGCAGCCAAGAAGCAGCAAACAAGTAACGCAAGGCACCACCGCATCTTGAAAAAATTCCGCACAGCGGAGCGGAGGAATCAAAAAGAAAGCGAAAAGGAAGGTGATGAAGTATGAGTATAGCCAGAAAGGGCGACGTGTTAATGGGCGAATGCCAAGACCCGAGAGCGCTGGGTCCGCATCTCCGAACTTCGACCTCACTTCTTCCCCACGGCTTCAATTTTGCTCCTCGCTTTCACCACTGCCATACCACTACCACCCGGTGGAACCGCGCATATATCTATCCGAATTCTCCTGATCTGTGAGATTCGATCCATTAGGCATTGACCTCCGACTTTGCTCGACTGAAAATCCCCGATCGGTCATCGACATCCGACTCTTCCTGCAACCATGTCTACCCCTCAGTTCTGGTCGACTCCCCTCCGCTACATCCGCTGGGCTGCGCATGAGAAGCCCGCCATGCTCTGCTCCCTCATCATCGGTTTCAGCGGCCCCCTCGCGCTGTTCGGTATCCCCCCGATCCGTCGCGCCCTCGGTGACGTCGACCCCGAGCCTATCCCCCTGACATATCCCAGTATGAACCACCTACCCTCTCCAGCTTGGCGCAGTAGCACCGAAATTATTCATGAGGTCTTTAAAACTAACCAGAATGCTCGATATTCAGTCCCCCAGGGTAAGCGGGTGATCCCCCAGGGCTACGATGACGAATAAACGATCTCCGAGCCATGCAAATGATAAGCTTTCGGAAATTTTAAGAATCATCGTGTCTTGTACTTGGGAGAAATAAACTCAGCGGATGGCAGGAGATGGACTTGGCTGTTCCATTCGTCAAAGTAGAATGATGAACATGGCCCAACATGAGCATGGGCAATCGAAAAGACTTGTTGCCAGCCACCTCTCTTGTGCATCGAAAATGCTTTGATACCAATATTTGTTGCGCGTATTTTGGATGTCGAGCCTGCGGCGCAGTGTATGTACTATTTTTTTGTGCAATCATAACCGACATCATGTCATTTTCCTATGTTCGAGTGTATAGTCTATGGAGGCCTCGGGTTTCGGAATGGTAGGTTCGAAAAGTATATTCAATGACCACGGAATATGGGCTTAAAATCATGGAGAGCTTGCCCTTCGAATGAGGGAAACGGTGCTCGCTACCTGCAGTAGTCCGTTCGCTTACGCACGATAAAAACACACGCACAAAGTGAAAGTTGAAAATGTAAACTCAAATTGAAAAGAGATAGTGGTCATCACGATGTTGGATATAAATCAGGGAAAAAAAATCATGACACAAGCAGGTTCATTAAGGCCATGGAGCCGATCCACGATCTTGCAAAAGCAAAACATCAACCACTGAAGACGGACCAACGCCGTAAATGCTCAGATCTACATGTAGCTCACCAGCCATAGTTTATCGAAGAACAACGCTCTCCTCGCAAACCAAATCAAAGGCATGAGAAACAAAAGGAGAATATGGAAAAGCCCCTTCATCCAAAGGGGGCAGACAAAACATGTTGCTAAGAAGACAAATCCTGTACACCGTTAAACCAACAACAAAACCGCATTATTGTGGGGGTGAGTATTCCCGGAATTCACGAGACCAGAGTGAGAAAGAAAACAGAACGCTCAAGCCCAAGCCACCTTTTCGCGAACTCAATCAAGACACATCAGTCCTACTCCTGGCTGGCAGTTGCACAAAAGCACGGGAGAGAAAGAGTAAAGAAGGAGACAAAGTTCCACGGGAAGTCCAAGCTGCTACCAGAAAGCAATTGGGTTCAATTCCAGTGGGAGTCCGTGGTAAAAGAAATGGGATTCACATCCGATGGAAAGTGGACTTCTCCAAACTGGGCAATTTGTGGGATATGAGATATCACTGGCCTGGTTTGGAGATCCTGGAATGGAGACATTGTAGGTTTTGAGAGGGTGGCCGAAAAAGAACAAGCATGGAGGTTGTCCAGGGTATTTTTTTTGTCGTGGACATCAACATTATCCTCAGGATCATTTGGAGGATATTCCAGGTAGGAAGTATCAAGTGGGGCCACATTGTGAATGGATAGAGAAAGAATCATGAGCAGGGAAACCAACCCCAGTGGGGGCGAACATTTCTGTCTACCGCCGACGATGCGTGTTGTCTCTGGTTGCTTGTGGCCTGCGCTCATATTCTGGAGTGTATCTGGGCTCCATTCCTCCTATCCGGGGATCCGGGGCAGTAGTGGCAGGATAAGCCATCCCGGAAGTTACGGGAGAATAGTCCTGTTCGGCATCATATCCTGGCCCCGGGTATCGGGGAGCATTGCTTCGGCCATTGTCGTATCCGTAACCCGTGGGGGCGTAGGTGTACGATTGAGGGTGCATGTCCGCCGCCGTCACGACGGGCTGACTGGAACCAGAATAGGAAACCTGGGGTGGAGGGTACGGGGCTGTACCTGATGCGTATGGCGAGTGAGTGGATGTGTATGCAGGAGGAGGTTGGGTGTAAGGGGCATTCTGGGATCCACTGTAGGGACTCTGGGAATAAGGATCCATGTATGACTGCTGCGCAGGAGCGGCAGTAAATGGTGTGGGGGATGGTCCCTGTTGTTGGCGAACCTCGTGGACAGCCGAAGTAGAATAGTTCGCTGGAGAGGTGGTTGGGGGGTCTTGAATGTAACTACCTCTAGGATAGCCTAGGTCGGCCCGGCGTGAGACATCCGCCTCCCAACGGGCGGAGTCAGCCTTCAGATCAGTTATCATCTCCTGTATCCAAGGTGTGGTTAGAATTCCGTCTTCAGATGTCCGGCTAGTTGTCGTTTTTTCCATGTCGACTTACAGATGTGAGGTTCCGATAGGCACGGATGAAGAATCCCGGGCGGCCCTATAAATGGTCAGTATAAACCACCCCGTGTCACAAGAAAAATAGGAAACGAACACCATGGTTGCCGGGTCTCACGAGTGCATCATTTCCAAGATAGCGACAGATATCTGCTTGAATGACTTCTCGGCTGATTCCGTCGCCGGGGATGAAATATTCATTCTGACGCTCCGGGCGCGATTCATAGCGGCCTGTCATAATGTCCGATGGAAATGTCCGGTTTAAATTTAAAGTCCTCGGATTCAAAGCGGCCAGAGAGAAAGGAGAAATCCGAAGTGGTAGATCTGAAAATCCAGGGGAAGTTGAGGTGGTGAGTCCGTTTTATTGTAGGATGTACAGTTTCTATGAGGGCGACGAGTAGGTTCCAAAGTCGACAATCACGACTTGAATGGTTTTCTCGATTCCAGGGCAAATAGACAACGAGCTATGATCCTTGGGAAGTGGCCAGAAAAGAAAATTTGATCCTGGTCGGCAATAGCAAATCCTTGGAGAAGTCCGGTAAATCCTGGGTGTAAAGTCCACGCTGTGTGTCCACTGGGGCAATTATCCTGGGAATATCGCAGTCCTAAAGGGTTGGCGAGTGAAGAGTGAAAAGCGAAGAGAGGCGTTAGGAGAAAGAGAACACGGGGGGGGGGGGGGATATTGAGGCGCCTTTAAGCTGTGTTCGGATGAACTAGATGCCAGAGGAAAGAGTAGAGATGGCAATGTCCAGGAGATAAGAGTAGGAGAGAAAGAGAGAGAGGAAGAGAGAAGAAGTTGAAAGGAAGAGGGAGGGGGGGGAACTAAAGTGGGCTACAGGCGAAGGGCGGTTGGGCCGTCTTGGGCTGGTGCCACGACTCCCCACTGAGATCAAAAGCATGCACGGTCGAATGTGGATTAGAGCATGTACAACGCTGTCTGTAGCCGCCTTTTGTCAAAGAAAAGGGCTTACGGATTCCTGTATTTGCATTTTCAAAGTACTCCCTACGAAAGTACTAGTACTTCAGAGCTTGCCGAAAGTTTGGAAAACAAGGCCGATCCCCCATATATGGATCAGCTTGGATTGCCCTTTAGTCTGTGCTCCCTGTTGAATATTAAAAAGTCTACAACTCCACTAAGTAGTGGATCGTTGGGAGAGAAAAGAGAGAAAAGAGAGAAAAGAGAGCTGACAATGAGATCATACGAAGAGTCAGATGCTCGATGGTGGCCAAGGGGGGGCACATAGGAGACCTTGTGATTGCTGCACAGTAAATATGATGACAGGAACGGCTAGGGAGAAACAACCGGTGGCAAGTTTGCAGATTGCCACCTGAAAAGCTGATGTCCACCGGATGGGCGTTGGGCACGAATGCGTTTGGGCACCTGAGGGTTGCCGCCTGTCCACTCACAGATCGGCTGTGTCAGCAGGATCGCACAGATCGGAGATCATCCTGACTTTGTTTTTTCACGTTCGAGACCGAAAATCCTGCAGACTGGCTTTCTCTGAGTCCTCGGAAGGCTCAGGGGGATATAAGCAGTCAGGTAGCGGGGTGTCGCAGGGCTTGAGTTGCAGATTTCCATGTCTTACATATGTACTGGAGCTAGCAACTTGGTATCTGATTGAACAAAGTAATAGAAACCAAACTAAACACAGGAAGCAAGCCATCTAACTCACGTTAAGTTACCTCATACAGTACACGTCCATGTAGAGCTTCGCAGTCAACAACGCGAACCTGAGGAACTGGAGCACGTGCCCAAGCTAAGCCACTTTGGGACATTCCACCTTCAAGCTCTCTCTTTCAATTACAATGGCCGATCGCGAGCCATGACGCACTCGCGATGTCCGAACCTACGTCCGAATCCTTGAAGACCTCCCGTTTTACCTACCGACATCTACAAGGACTGCGACACGGGTCAACGGCAACGCCCCTGCGCGTGATTGCGCATATCGATCTCGATGCCTTCTACGCACAATGTGAAATGGTGCGCTTAGGGACGCCACGCGAGACACCTCTAGCAGTGCGACAGTGGGACTCTTTGATCGCTATCAACTATGCGGCACGGCCCTTTGGCATCAGTCGGTTGATCAATGTGACCGAAGCCCGGAAACTCTGTCCAGATCTCGTCCTACAACATGTCGCGACATTTCGAGAAGGAGAGGGAGGACGATGGGCATATCGAGATGATTCGTTCAAGAATATTCAAACAGATAAGGTTTCACTGGATCCGTACCGCGCACAATCCCGGAAGATCCTTCAGACGATGAAAGACGCCCTAGCTACCTGGAGTACAAATGATGTGGAAGGGGAAACTCCGCGTCAGGCACAAGGGGTTTCGGCCAGCTTGGAGAAAGCCAGCATAGATGAGGTCTTCATTGATCTATCTCCCTTGATCTTCAAGGTGCTCCTTGAAAGATACTCAGAGCTTCGGACGGGTGTCCAAGATGAGAACCGGGATGCGCAACTACCCGTACCTCCAACTTCGGCCTTACAATGGGACACCGACTGCTTGATTGATTTGAATGAAAATGAAACAGAAGAGGATGACCCAGATTGGGATGATATCGTTATGTTGATAGGATCTGAGATTGTGAGATCGGTTCGGAACGCGGTGTGGGAAAAGCTCAGCTACACCTGTTCCGCGGGAATTGGTCGCAACAAAATGATTGCAAAGCTGGGAAGTGCTTGCAACAAGCCTAATTTGCAAACTATCGTACGAAACCGGGCTGTGCAGAATTTCCTGGGCAGTTACAAGTTCACCCAGATCAGGATGCTCGGTGGTAAACTAGGCGAACAAATCATCGACGCATTCAAGACAGAGAAAGTACATGATTTGCTCAATGCGTCCCTTGAGCAACTCCGTACCAAGCTAGATGACCACATGGCATCTTGGCTCTACGGCATTATACGCGGAGATGACCGCAGTGAGGTCAACCCTCGAACTCAAATCAAGTCTATGCTGTCAGCGAAATCTTTCCGACCGAGTATCAGTTCAGTTGAACAGGCCGAGAAATGGCTTCGCATTTTCGCGGCGGATATCTACGGCCGGCTGGTGGAGGACGGCGTGCTTGAAAACAGACGTCGCCCGAGGGTCATCACTTTACACCACCGAACCTCTCAGCCTCAGCCTCGTTCCAAACAGATGCCTATTCCAGCCTCGAGTACAATCGATGAGAATTTGCTTTTCGACCTGGCGAACAACTTGCTCCGTCAAGTCGTAGCCGAGGGACAAGCATGGCCATGTTCCAACCTGTCATTGAGCGTGGGAAGCTTCCAAGAAGGCGTTACCAACAACAGAGCCATTGAAGGTTTCTTGCTTCGCGGTGATCAAGCAAAGGCTTTGAACCATGTTTCAAGTCTTCGCGATGTCGACGCCCTTCCCAGCGAGCAACCGACTGAGAAACGGCGAAAGACTGACGGCGGGATGATCAAGTCATTCTTCGGAAAACCATCATCTCCGGAAAACACTGGTGCAAGTGGACCAGAAAGTCCACAGCCACCTCCCGAAGCCGAAACAGAACTAGCAGGGATCTCCCGCTACACATGCCCACGGTGCTCAAAGTCGATTATTGAGTATGAAAAAGAGGAGCACGAGGATTGGCATTTCGCCAAAGACCTTGCAAGCCAGGACCGCGAGGACGCCAGAGCTTCACAGCCGCCACCGCCACCCACAACAAGTAATACGCAAGGCTCGTCTGCTCGTGGAAGAGGCGGCCGGGCTGGAGGTGGTCGTGGCAAACCCGAGAAGGGGCAGATGCGACTGGCCTTTCAGTAAATGCCATCTCGGAGATCACATTCCAATGTACTTTCATAACTTGTTTCCATATTCCATGTTTTAGCTATGATATACCCAATCTATCAACGAGATCACGCAGTCTGACTATGCGTCTTGACCACTCAGTCTTAAAACCGAGAAATCAAAGTTGGCTTGTTATATGAATTTATATGTCAAATGTTAATATAGATGCTAATTACATTGAGCAAACGACCTCGGATTCAAGCCACAAGTAGAAATTCAACTTCCTTTCCCTTGTCCCCATGTTCGTATTTCTTATCTATGGCGAGGAACCGATCGTAGAAACGGGCATCCCGACAGGTGATTCACGCCATGTAATCTCGGTACTTCAAAAATCCAAATGGAAAGGAATAACCATGGAAATTTTCCCACCCGCTGTTGGACCTGGACAATGTAGAGATTGTCATAATCGTAGCCAACGACTGTATTTCACTTGAATCATCATAGTAGGTATTGTGTTGCGACTTGCGAATGACTCGGTCTAGGTCTGACCAGAAGCCTCAGACGAGGCAGTAGGGCGAGGCTCCATGTCAACAGGAACCGGCTCCCTAGGCGTAGGGAATGAACTGCTCCAAGAGATCGAAGTCGAACTTGGGTCTGAGACATCTGAAGTGTCGGGGTTCTCAGCAGGTAGTGCGAGGGCAGTGCCGAGGAAAGCAATTGCTAGGAAACCAAGCGGACGCATGGCGAAAAGGTATTTGTAAGTGTGTTTTTCCCTTGGATATGTCCGTATACAATCAATAGGTTATGATATTGAAGTCATGTCAGGACCAACTGTTTTGGGAATGCCGAGCACACTTATAAACAGAAGCAATGCCCCAGAGGGGTGGCCCCGGGTTCCAAACAAGTGGAGAAATATGGTCTCAGGTCCACATATTCAAACTGCCTTGACAGGGATAGATTGCCTCTGTCGATCGCTCATTTGGGGCGCTGTGCAGTACATACAGGACGGTGTGCACCCGTCCTCATCATACCTGTAGCTTGCATTCGACGAATGAATTAGCGCAATCACGGCAAATATGTACGTCGACATGTGAATTGTGCATGTAGCTGCCCTTGTCCAATATTGGCATCTTCGGGTTGTTAGGTCCTGCAAATATAAAACCCCCCGATCGGCGCTCTCAGTTCCCAAAATATAGCACGCCATGCAGGGGCCGGTTTCAGGTTCTAATTTGAACCAGTGTTGCTTTTTGCGACTGTTGGCTGGGTAAACAGGTTCAATCTCTAAGATTCAGTGTGTCTTTCGTTACTTTGATAGTTAGAGTCGCATTTGTAAAGCTATCCAGTCATTATGTGTAGGTGGAGATGATGAGAGTCATTGCCTACGGCATCGAGACACGTAACCTCGGCTTTTCAGTTGGGTTCATGATTGGTGGACTTATTGCAGTGGTTTGTATCAGATTGAAAACTATAGAGCTAGCCTTACGGACTAAAAATCTTGTTACTTTGGGTCTGTTGACCCTCGGGCCAATATTACGCATTGGTGTTATGAGCACTTGTGTATTCTCTAACAGTCTCTGACACTTTAGCACTCTCTGATTTGAATATAAAAATCACAAAAAGTGACCGGCTTATTTGGTTTATAGTGCAGATAAACGATTACTTAAGGCGAAGAAGGCTTATAGAACAATGAAGGGGAAGAGAAAAGGATACTTCATTTGACTATCTAGACAAGAGAGTCTATATAGAGCTACCTGAAACAAAGAGGTCTCATAGGCATAGGGCAAACGCGTACTGATTGCCTGACAAATGTGGTACTTAGTCCAACCTGACCCGAGAGACTGGATTTGACTTGGCTGATACGGTTATAGTACCACCAAGACATCGCTTATTGCTTAGCTGTCGATCCTGCCCAGATGGGACAGCACGATATACCTTGATCCTATGATCAGAACGTTCTCTCAACCACCAGAGTTCGGACATTGTCTGTCATACCACCCAATCTCATATCCAAAGGCCTGTTGCGGAGCCTTACAGGATCAGCAAGCAACACACCTTTGTCAACTACCGACGAACGTAACGGACAATCATTGCTTTCTTTCTCATATTCACAATCGACATGCACTGTAAACCAAGCCAGATAGTCTGGCACGACGATCTATATCGGATTGGGCTCTACAAACTTTGCTCATTGCGGAAAACCACTGTTTCATTGGAATCATGATAACCCCGGCGTCATTCAAGCGAATTGGTAAATGTATCTGATTAATGCCTCTAAGGAAGCTTTTATAGTGTGCGTGAAGACTATGAATAGTCGCGAACTCGATATTATCATGCCTTCGGAGCAGACGATAGGGTACACCAGCTCAGACGTACCACAACATTTGTACAGAGTAGGCAAAGGTGTATTCAACTAATGTCAGATTTCTTCTCAATTGTGAGATCTAAAAACTCATTCGACAAGGCTCTGGCGAAGTGTCATAGGTATCCCACCATTTAGAACACTAGAGGCTGACTCGGGGTCCGCGGGGGCCGATGCTCTTCAAGTGGATTCCTCCTCATCCCAACGCGAAGAAGATAAACAAAAAAAGTGACATTGAACAAATTTGACCCACTTCCTATCCATGTTTGATGAAGCTCGGCCTCAAACATTGAGATACTGGCATGTCGGTATACTGATTGATAATATTGCTGACCTGATATATGACATGATCCACTTCAAATCATGTAGCTACATCCAAGTTCCCAGATTCCCTATAGGCGGGAGCGGAATCAAAGAAGAATCCATGCCGAAAATCTATCGCATCTGATAGTGTTACATTGGAACATGGGCAGGTTGGGGGCCACGAAGCGGCCAACTAACCAATCAACTACAAAATACGCGGGTAATATGCGAGCCGATGGATAGGTGTGAGGATGCTACAGGGATTCTGCGGCCTTCTCTCAAATTGAAAAGGGTCCTGCCTGTTAATGGTCCGCCTCGGCTGTTCGGCGCAGCCCCATAGAACTTTGCCATCGAACAGGCGATGAATCCCTAGCTTTAATAGCGCAATGCACCCTCATTGGTGAATTTTGCCACATCACGAAGAAGAAACAGAGATGGAGATGGCTCGGCTCAAGAGAAAGCTCGCTCCACCAGGCACTAATGTGCTTACTGGCATGCCAAATAACCATTTTTCTGGACCCGGAACTTCTTGTCTTGAATCACCAGTCACATTGATCTTATGGAGTACTTCAAAGGCCAAATTGTCGATTCAGGTGAGTCACTTTCTATTACGTGAAATCCAGCGAAGTCAGGATGGATTGAGTTCCAGAGTTACAATTCGCCAATGCACAATGTAGCGGCGAAAGAGACGTGGGCAACTCCTAGGCAGACATGAAACGGTAGATCCACCATGTCTCACCACGGACCTCGAGTGATGGACCCTGAAGTCAAGTCACATCTGATAAGATTGCATGTTGGCCAACCATGGTACGGTACATCGGCGAATGTTTGCAGTTTGCATCAATAAATTTGCGCCAATGAACACCCGTGCCAAAATTGAGAGGGATGAAGATGAAATATAATTCCATCTGAACATAGCCAGGGCCAAGAACTATGTGGCTTGTGTCTTCGGGATTGGGGGAGGTACTTTTTGGAACAGCGCGCGCCATGGGAGCATATTAATCCAGCTAGAGTCCTTTTCGGTAACAAGAAAGCCCGGTGGAGCCACCAAGTGTGGACAAGGTCATGGTCCAGCCAAGCCTTTAAAAGGTCTTGTCCTCGCACTTCTACAAATGTAAGAAAGCTTGGTCAATTTGAAGGCATTCCTTGTCACATTCCTTGCATAATGGCTGCCGTTAAGCCCGCCTTCACGGAAGAGGTCAACCAGGACCCAACTTCTCTGAGGCCACAGCAAAATAAAGTATCAGAAGAGGAAGACCAGCAGGATGGTGTTCGAGTCGCCGAAGCCGTCACTAAAACGTGGTCGAAGAAGTACCTGATCACCGCATATGCTAGGTGAGAACAACCAATTGGTCTCGTTCAATCGGAGCTGGACTAAACAGAACTTAGTATGTGGTTGGTATATTTTATCAATTATCTCAATAGCAGTTTGACCTCCAACCTGTCGGCGTATATTACAAGTGGCTTCTCAGAGCACTCCCTGCTCTCCGTCATCTCCGTCATCACCAGCGTCATGGGTGCGGCGTGTTTAATGCCAATCGCTAAGGTTCTGAACCTGTGGGACCGTACAACCGGGTTCATCATCATGATCTTAATTGCTATCATGGGTTTAATTATGATGGCTGGTTGTAGCAATATTGCGACCTATTGTGCTGCCCAGGTAAGATACTGGCCATCCTCGGAGTCCGCCTCGATGCAAGGCCTAACATATCTGCAGGCATTCTATACCGTCGGTTTTACCGGAGCGATTTTCTGTATTGATGTCATGACCTCCGATACTTCATCACTTCGCGACCGAGGCATCGCTTTTGCGTTTACCTCTTCACCTGGCATGATCACTGCGTTCTCAGGCTCGCCTCTGTCAAACCAGTTCCATGAGACAAACTGGCGTTGGGCTTACGGTACAATCTGCATCGTCCTCCCTATCGTCGCCTCGCCCTTGATAGTGGTATGGCAATTGGCCAAAAGAAAGGCGACCAAGGAGGGTACACTCCAGTACAAGCCTCGGAGCACGCGAACTTGGCTGGACAGCATTTGGTTCTATGTCATTGAATTCGACAGTAGGTTACCCAATCACACGCCTGAACCGCCCCCAGAAGTCTGACTATCTTCTAGTTATCGGAATCTTCCTTATGATCGGCGGCACAATTCTCTTCCTGACTTCTTTCAACATTGCCGGCAACACCCAAGGCCAATGGAAGTCTCCCAAAATCATTGCCATGATGGTAGTAGGCTTTTGCATCCTAGTAGCCTTCGCCGTCTACGAGCGCTGGCTAGCCCCGAAGCCCTTCATCCCATACCATCTCCTGGTAGACCGGACAGTCATTGGTGCTTGTCTATTAGACGTCACTTACCAGGTTTCCTACTACTGCTGGGCGAGCTATTTTACATCCTACCTACAAGTAGTATACAACACTAGCCTTACACAGGCCGGATACATTAGCGCAATCTTCGATTTCATGGACCCAATTTGGCTCATTGGCTGTGGTTTCTGCATTCGCGCAACCGGCCGCTTCAAATGGCTCCTGTGGTTCGCTGTCCCGCTGTACCTCCTCGCCAGCGGACTGATGATCTACTTCCGCAGCCCGGGCCACAGCATCGGGTATCAGTGCATGTGTCAGATCTTCCTCGCTGTTGGAGGTGGAACACTTATTTTGATTGAACAAATTGCTGTTATGGCTGCGTCCACGCATGAAGAGTATGCTGCTATGCTGGCGCTGTTGAGCACCTTTGGAAACATCGGTGGTGCTGTTGGAAGTAGTGTGTCGGGTGCTATCTGGACGAACACGCTTCCTGGCAAGCTGCGCGAGTTACTACCAGCTGAGTTGAAGGACCAGTGGTCCACGATATATGAGGATTTGGAAGTACAGTTGAGCTACCCCGTTGGGTCGCCTGCTCGTATCGCCATCCAGAATGCTTATGCGTTCAGTCAGAGGAACATGATGATTGCTGGTACTGCAGTTATGGGACTCTCGCTGGCTTGGGTGGCTATTATGAGAAATATCAAGGTGCACAATGATAAGGACCTGAACAAGGTCCTTTTTTAGGTGGTGTGTAGCTTATAGTCAGGACATGGTGTGGGGCTATGGCGACCAAAGGACATCAAAAAGTGATAGCTGCGCCATGAATAACTTAGAGAAGAATGTGGAAAAAGCACAGGCATTATAGCGCATGTATTTCAAGCTTGGTGATCAACATTAGACCGTTACTTGAATTATCCCTGATTTCACGGCTCGCTGCCATGACAATTCATCCTGCAATAAAAAAGATCAGCACATTCAAATAAGCGCCGACCGCTTGGGAGGTACCAACCCCTGTAATTTTTCTCAAATAGTGGAAATCTATACAGTAGCGATTGACGATATCGCAAGTAGGTGTGTTGTTCATATGGAAAAGTTATAGGAGCATGTGTTCATGCACCGTGGACGTGAGGACCCATCTAGTGATGTCGGACAAAGCAAACACGGATACCGAGCCCTAAGTCCCCAGAACAAAGGGACCCGACCATGCTTGCTGAAAGCGGTAATTTTGTGCCCAAGAACCATGGATCGTTTTAAGCTCGACGGAACGCTCGGGTAACCAAAACATTTCTGATTTTTATAGATCGAGCGAACAATGGGTCTGCTTATGTGGCTCCACGTACTGTACTCCGTACAGTCCGTATAATGCATTGACACTTCAGCAGATCTGAGAATGACATCAGCGTAGATCACCTTCGGCAGCGATTCAGCGTCAGACGGCCAACGTTTACATTCCTTGATCCACGTCATCTGCGAACTCTTTTGAGTCTCTGCACTTCACTTTCTTCGTTCATTTGTTTCGAGTTTCTCCACACTTCAACCGGTGGCTCGAGCGAGATAAGCTCAATTAAAACGTGTAGGGCTTTCGGGCTCCACTGTGACTTAGCCGCCAGCCACCAGCCACCAGCCACAGCGCTCAGCTTCTGACGTTCACCTCGGAAACTTCAGAAGACTGTCACGTTTATCGTGGGAGCTGAAGACGTTGTCGTGACGAAAACCCAGTGTCGAGGGTCTGGTGCCTTCCAGCATACTTGGGCTAGTATCGCATGTGGTAGTTTGTGATACCCCGCACTCCGCCCACCATGTCCCGCCGCGCACCTCCCCGCGATCGTTACGAGGAGATATACGAAATGGAACGAGAGCGCGAAAGGGAGTACCGACCGCGCCGACGAGATCGCGAATACGAAGATGACGTCGAATATCGGCGTCGACGCTCCGACCCACCGGTCGAGAATTTCGAGCGTTTACATCTGCGAGAGCGAGAGCGCCCCCGGCGAGATTTCATGGAAGAAAGCTTTGCGCCTCCGGTGGAGCGGGATGAAATGATACTCAGGCGATCCAAAGAAGAGACGGTTATCTCGTCGCCCGAGCGACCCATGCGTCGAAGCCATGACGAAGCGTACCCACCACCGTCGGGGTCACGACGCCGACATCGTCCCCGAGAAGTCGAAGAAGAAGAAGAACTTATTGTCGATGAGCGCGAGAGACGCCGTGGAAGCAGGAGATATCCCCGAGATGTTGAAGATGATCTCATCGTCGAGGAGAGAGAAGGACATGGTGATCGGAGCCATCGACCAGAGCGAGAAGTCGAGGAGGATCTCTTTGATGAAGAAGAAATGGGCCGTGAAGGGAGACGCCGTCCTGACCGCATACCCGCAGAAGACTTCATTGTCGAGGAAAGGGAGCGGCGTGGAGACCGGAGACGTCGCCCAAAACCAGAGTTTGAAGAAGATGATATTCTTGTTGGGCGGGAGAGACGCCGAGGCAGCAGACGCCACCCACGAGAAATTGATGAAGGTCTTATCATCGAAGAGAGAGAAAGACGCAGAGAGCGGAGACCACCCCCAGACCGCGAGCTCGAGGAGGATATCCACATTGATGCAAGACAATCGCTCAGGCCGAGCAGGCGCCATCCAGAAAGACGTTCGGAAGACGATCTGCTTTATGAGACCGAGAAACGCAGAAGCAGACGCCGTCCAGAACGCAGGTCCGAGGACGATCTCATTGAGGAGAGAGAGATACGCCGGTCAAGCAGGAGACACCCCGAACACAACCTTGAAGAAGACATGATCATCGAAGAGCGAAGAAGGCACGATGAAGAAAGGATACGCCGCGAGTTTGAAGAAGACGAAATGGTCATTCGACGAAGAGGAAAGGAACCACCAATGCGCCGAGGATGGGACAGTGAACAAGACTTTCAAACCCGCGACAGAAGAATTGAGGAGGAGCAAGACGAAGTACGTATTCGTTCACGACCCAGACCTCCACCTCCCCGTGAAGTGGAAGTGGAAGAGGTGATTTTGGACGAAAGACCCCCGGATCGATCCCGAGGCCCCATGGAACGCCAAGAACGAGAATTTGAAGATGATGATGTAGTCATCCGGTGGAAAGGCAAGGGCCGGCGGCCCCCTAACCAAGGCGACGAAGAGCTCATCTTGCGCGAACGAGAACGACGGCCGAGCCCCCCAGTGGAAGAACTCGAACGTGAGCTGAGAGAGCTTCGTAAAGCTGGCAGAAAGGAATATCCAGCGGATGATGAGATGACAACACGCTCCACATTTGATTCCAAATCGCGCCCCCGAAATTTTGAAGAGGACGTGGAGCTAGATGAAGAAATTCGAATCCGAAAGACCAAGGACAAGCTTCCTTCACGGCCTCCTTCGCCTTCCATGGACTCAATTCATGTTCCTCCAATTCACCAAGATGTCTTCACGCATCACAGGCACATTGATCATGGTAAGTACGTTGTAGATAGCCAGATATGATCTCTGTTAACTGGCCACAGGCTTTGAAGGCGAACATCCGCCCCATGCGCCTAGTCCACGTCTCCGGGAGAAAGGCAGCTTTGACGAGATCGATATTCATCACCGGTGAGCCCTAACATGTTTCCGTAGCTTGCCGGCTCTAACCCATAGAAGGAAAAAGCGAGGTGGCCGAATTTCCGAGGAGGATATAGTGATCAAACACCGTGAAAGCGACGAATCAATTTCTCCAACGAGCCATCCATCTGTCGACTTCCATGATCCTTGGGAGCATGGCACATCCGCATCCCGTCGAGCCGCACCAGTTGATGATGACGTCGCTTCGCTAGCGACCGCACGGTCATTTAGCCGTGGTAGAAAGGCTGCATCCAGCATCCACGACCTGGAAGACGATATCGAAATTGACAGCACCCAGACAGAAGTTCGGGCCCCCAAGGATCCAGATGGATGGTCTGTGGTCCAGGCACCCACTCGGGAAGAAGCCATCGAGATGACAGGAGCCCTGAACGTTATTGAAGTCAAACCGCGACGCACTTCCGTGGAGCAAGCAGAGTCCGGGCGAGTCGCACAGCAAATCACAGAACCCAAGACCGTACGAGATGATCGGTGGACTGAAATCACTAAGAAGCTGGTGGTCAGAGAAGCCATCGAAGACATGGGGTATGAGTATGAAGAGACAAGGGGTTATTACTATATCTTCTCTTACCTCAAGCCGGTGAGTATTGAACGATCCTCCATCATCCTGCAGGTGAGGCTTGATCTGACAGTTCATATCTATAGGAGGACATCGATGAGCTGGTTGATTTGTCCGATTCTATTCGCAGTGCACGCCGCAGAAGGATCACTGAGATCCATCGTGAACGTTCCTCTGTGCCGCCGCTCATGCCTCGCATGCGGCCGCCCCATATGGGTCATCCTCGTATTGGTATGCCTCCACGAGCCCGTATGATGGAGAAGCGTATGCGTGAGCTGAGAGATCGGGATTGGGTACTTGATTCCAGGAGGTGATTGATTCATAGGCGCAACAGACAGAAAGCCGAACGGCAAAAGACAGAACAACCAGGCAGGAGACGAAACAACTGGACGACAGACAGTGCGGTAGAATACATATTGATGACTGATTATAGGATACATTGAGAATTGAGAGAACTATCAAAGATCTTCATGTGCCCTTGAGCACGTGCTCTTTTTCAACCCTCCATCGTGCCTTCGCTTTTGGGATATCGGATGAACTTGTCCACCCTCTTGTGCTCTTCTCACCTCTGGCTTTTCCACCTTCCTATCTTTTTGTTTACCTTCATCCCGCAATCTTCATCCTTCATAACCCTGAGCCTTGACAGTCTCTAGCTTCTTGCCAGTCTCCAGCTCTTTACCAGTCACCGGCTGCTTGCTCGTCTTCGGCTGCTTGAACAGTCTCCATCTTGACAGTCTGCATATCCTTAAACAATCTCCAATGCTTGGAAAATCCCAAGCTGCTTGATCACTCTTCATCTGCCTTTCATCTTCCTCCCTGAACATTCAGTACCTGTTCTCCACTTTTACTGGTGCTTAAACCAAACCCACAGCAAGATGTCAAGCGCAGAACCCGATGATTTACTTAAAGATCTCTCGCAGAGCAGCGACAAAGGCCTAGGCCTGCGTCGTTCAGCCACTGTCATACGCGTGAATGATGAACGCTTCAATATCCCCTCTCACCCACGAAAGCTCCTTCTCCGCCGGCTCAAAGAGGCATTGAAAGGCGAAAAGGTCACAGTACCATTCTGGGCATGCGTCCAAGTCTGTGATATGGCAAAACTTGAATTCGTTGTCCAGCTGGCAAACCTCTCAATCCCGATGATGGAGACCCTAACCGATCTTGTGGCCAGCTTGCCTTACAAGTGGACCCAAAGACTGTCCCCATACTATCAGTTCGAAACAGAATCAACAACCTCGACGGATGACCCCCGATATGCAACTGCTCCGATCGCAAAGGACGCTGCCAGAGAGCGTGATGGCTACAAGTGTGTGATCACTGGTGCTCGCAAGGTCTACCAGACCGCTCGCATCTTCCCTGTTCTGGTCACCAAGCCTCCTTCAGAAGTCGCCCCAGCTTTCCCGGCCATTTGGAAGTTTGTGGACTTCTTTTGGGATCACAGCACCGGTGAACGTTGGAAAAAAGCCGTGTTCAATAGCTCCTTTGATCCCGAGCGCCCCGTTAGTGATTGTACCAACCTTATCTGTCTTCGGAATGATTTGCGCACCGCATGGGCCGATGGATTGTTTGCACTACGCCCAGTCTCCGTGTCCGATGACAAAACTGAAATTGAAATCGAATTCCACTGGCAGCCACGCGTTGGCCATGCAACATCCGACATGGTCGATGTGACCAAAGAGCCTCGTCCCTCGAAGTATGTCAGTAGCGTCGAGAACCTCTTTGTGGTCGTATCTGAGCGAGGAAACTCATTTCTTCCCATCCAGTCCGGTTATCGGTTCAAAATAACCACAAACAACCCCGTGGATCACCCGCTGCCCAGCTTTGACTTGCTCGATATGCAATGGAATTTCACTCGCATGGTCTCCATGTCTGCGGTCGCCGATACCTTTGATGACGGGGATGATGACGATGACGACGATGGCAGAACCACAGTACAGTACGACTACGACTACTCCAAGCCCCCCAACGAGGCCGCAAGGCCAACCATCGGTGGATGGCTCGAGAGCACTGTCTCCAAGGACTCGGGCTCGGACGGGGACGAATCCCCTCCCGGCTCGGAGTTCTACGAAGACATCAGCGATACGATGTCGATGATCGGTCCGATGCCTGGTCAACCTCCGTGGCAGCGCAGAGTGAGCCAGGTGTCAGTGGACTACGTCGAGGACGTCCCCGAGGACATTGCCCGGATGAGCGCCCTTCCCCCATTTGAGCCCAAGCAGCGCAGTGTGAGCATGACTTCGGTGGGCTCTAATTTCTCCGTGGTTGACGTGTCCATGACCGTCGGAGGCAAGGACGGAGACGAAAAGGGAGAGCAGGGAGATGCCGAGTGAGGCAAGAAGACCGAAATAGTGAGATAACTGCCATGTACGATTCTAATCGGAAAGTGATCTCTCGTTAAGACTGCAGTGGTGCAGTATGATCTGAGCGGAAAGTGATCTTTGGCCAGTGCTGCAGATTTGTAAAGATGTACGTTTGAATAATCGGAATGAAACAATACGGGATATTGTCGACATCGCGTTCTCCCCCTTAGCCCTAACGGCCCGGCTTTTAGACGGGTGTGGCGAATGTTGTAATGATCATCACTGTAGGCTTGTTTCAGACTCGACGCCATCTGCAAGCCACCAGGCACAATTAGCATGCATCAACTGGACTCCTCCAAGCCTCACCGCACATCCACAGTAAATGTGAACAGGCGATCATGTACCCCCAGTTTCTGTGCATATGTACCCTCACAAATCCAATCTCTGCGACCGGGGGGAGGAGGGAGGAGATCAACTGGGGACCAGGTACCGTAACGAGGATGTGGGTTTGTCTCAGCCATATTACGGCCCCGTACATGTACCAGAATAAGACAGCAACAGGTTCGGGTTCTTTGTCACTTATAATTAGAGATGGACGTTGTTCGTCCTCCGTTCTCCTTGTCTTGCTGACTGTGTAACCGGTTCGACCCCTGACTACTGTACTGTACACCTATGCTGCATACACGCACACGGACATGTACATGTCTCCCCCTGGCAGTTTCAGGTCCACATCCACATGATATCCAAATCCCAACACAGGGTGGAAGACTATCTGGGCCAATCAGTAGAAATGAGGATGTTCAATGACTTCAATTTCGAGATCGATCGATCGGTGTGAGGCAGTGGAGACTCTCTCCACCACGATTTGCCCACATGGACATGTCGAAAATTGAGAAAGGGGCACAACACCGTCCATGGAGAACTATGAGAACTCCCCAGTACGGTAGACGTGGAAGTACTGTAGGAGCACCACCCGCCCAGAATAAGATAGAAGAGGGGGACGAGGATCTACCTGCAACTTGCATTAATGATCTGAACTGCCGGCAAATCACAGCGCTCTGAGGGCGTCTACTGCCAGGTTCTGGAGCGAGAGCGACCTTCGCGAATGGTGATTCGTCGGATGTGCAACTCCGGAAGGGAATGGATTGGACTGTCGAGTCTAGAACTATGACTCTTTGGATAACTTGGACAGGTGGCTGGTTGGGACTGGCATGGGCCATTGGCGTGTACAGAAGAAGTGCAACGGTGTGGGTTGATGCACTAAGTTGGGTGGACACTACCGTGCAGATAGACAGTACCTATTGCACCGCTTGCACCACAGATTATACGAAGGATTCTCAGTCTATGATGTTGTGATTTCGTGGCTGGAGTAATAGAGAAACACCACTGTGAGCTCAGAATTGGCACATTCTTGTGGCTTGGTGAGCTCTCGGTGTGGCTTGTTTCTGAGACACGAGTATACGTCGATTACCCACTTTAATTACGTATGTCGGCTCTTGGTTTGCACCTTTGATGCAGACAGAGGGCCTTGGAGGAGAACAATAGCGAGAAGAAACAAGAGTCAATCCAAGATACCAGCTATCAACAGCTCCAGCTCCCGCGCCAGCGCCAGCTAGGTATGAAGGATAGGAATGTCCCATTCCCTTGGTCTTCCACAGTTTGGCTCGCCAGTCGGGGAATTCTGGTGGAGTTCGTTTATAACAGGAAAAAAGTCAATAGACGCACAACTTACGATTTCACTAGTGAAATAGTACGAGATTTATGATTGTATGGCGTATGGCTCATTCTTACGATAACAGAGGAAGATAAGTGCCGTGTCTTTCCTCTGCTTTGCCCACTTTTCTCTGCGGTTTCATTCAGGTGCAGTATACTGGGCTATTTCCCCTGAATCCAGCACAGAATCGACCTAAACAATTAATCTACGCCGTAATCCAAGTAATAATCTCAGCCGTCAGGCAAATCAGTATCCACCGAGCGGGTATGCCGGGAGGCTCGACATACTCCGACGAGGATAGTAACACCCGTGACTGGATCGTCACCTCCCCTTCTCCTCTCTTCCTCTCTGTCTCACTTTCTGTTCACAGGTGCCATTACCTTGGAGCACCTATACCGCTTGAGTAGTGGGGGATTGGGCTGTCGACCGTCACTTTCTTTGATCAGTTCCTCACCGGTGATCGCCATCACAACGGTCGGCACACACAGACATTTCGCTTTCCCTGATCGCCTGGGTCCCTCTCCACCCTTTCAACCTGATCGCTACAACACTTGTGGACTGGCTTCTTCACAATCCTTCGGCACGGGTGGTTGGGTGAACAAGTGTTGAGGACATCCACGATGCAGGTCCCGGTGTGGGTGTCGACCTTCGCCCTCCTGGCACCCTTGGTGTCGGCGTCGTCAGACCTCGCCTACTGTGCCTCCGATAACACAGGCTCTTCCTCTTCAGCGTGTGAGTACTCAATGTTTCGCCGACATGGCCATTGCTGACAGTTTTCAGCTACGAGCACCTTCCAATCCAACGGCCTATGCCAGAGTACCTGTGCCGACTACGCACTGGGAATTCTCCAAGGCAAGAAATGCTGGTGCTCCAATGTCGCACCATCCAAGAGCTCGCGATCCGACACGTCAGACTGCGATACATCCTGCCCGGGGTACCCAGATGATAGCTGTGGAAGTGCATCCAAAGGAGTGTTTGCCTATATCTCGATCTCTGGAAATTCAGTGACTAGTACAGCGGGCGGCTCGTCGTCAACAAGCAGTACTTCCTCCTCAAGCTCCGTAAGCACTCCCCAGTCCCCCTTGCCCTGCCTGTGCCCATTGTATTCCGCGTTGAATCGGTCACATCCCCGAACCAAGTAACATAACCGGGTCTTGACTCTTGTTTATGGTTTTAATTTCGGGGATAGGAGAGTACAACCACTACGCTGTCGCCTGAAACTGTCACTGTGACTGCCTCGAAACCGTCCAAGGCTTCACAAACTGTATCGTGGCACTAATTGTCTCTGTATCGGACACGTTGCTGACTATTCTCCTAGTCTTCTACTTCCTCGACATCGGAATCGAAATCGGGTACCACTACATCCTCAGCCAGCGTTACATTCGAAACCAACTCTGGCGGACAGGTCAAGACTATCACGGTCTCAGACTCGACCTCTACTTCGGGCGCTGGGGCTGGTGCTGACTCGGCATCGGCTGATGCCAGTGCTGCTGGCGGATCCAAGCTCAGTGGTGGATCCATTGCCGGTGTCGTCATCGGTGTTCTGGGTGGACTCGCCTTGATCGGAGCTCTCGTCTTCATGATCTTCTTCTACCGCAAGCGTGCTCGTTCCGCCAGCCCCATCCCAAGCCAGGACATGGCCGACAACCGCGACAGCAGAGGATCCAGCTTCGGGTGGCCACAGGGCAGTGATGCCGCGGCTGGTGGCGCTGTGCCTGGACGGTCAGCAACATTCACAGACCGCCGCATGAAGCCCAATGCGGTTCTCTACCCGAACGGTCCCCGCGATAGTAGTGTCTCGCTGCAAGATAACGAAGATTACTCGCGACCTGTTCTTCGGGTATGTGACCTTGTCCATCTTTTGATTGGAAATTCCTACTGACATCTGCAGCTCACCAACCCCGATTAAGAATCGCAAACTGTGCGCAGTTGAATCCCCTATCTCTCGATCTCCCCCATCTCAATCTCTCTCCGCGCGCCTCCCACTTCATTAATAACGCGCCAAGTTCCAAAAGACAATCTTGTTATGATACCCACTTGTCGCTCTACCTGTTGATTATCCTTCCTTCTATTCTATGGATGTTACGGTGGAGGAAACGGGACCGGATAGCACACGAAGCCGGGTTCTCTTTCCACCCAGACTGTTTCAACCGCTTCCAGTGTATGGCTAACATGAGTCATCTTACCTCACTGGAATGAACCATATTAGAAGGATACAGAAAATAAAGAGCCCAAGCCCTGAAATTCAAATCTGAGGATCTAATCCCCACCCCCGCCCCTTTTTTTTCAATATCAATATGCGTTCACGAACACATACATCATCTTGCATACATATCTCGCGCCTTTCTATACAGGTGACACTGCATTTCATTGTTATGTTATCTGTCGACCTATTCCACTTGACCGAGACAGAGAGTACATACCGTTACTCACAACATTTACGACTCCACCATAATGGACTGGTTCATCGCTCTCACTCTGTTTCATCGTCTTCCTATTTCCTTCTTTGTCTGATTGCTGGTTTCTTTGATCCCCTTTTAGCTTTCACTTTACCTCTTGATCTTGCTTGTCCTTGCTTCGCATTTTGTCCTGTACCATTTCAGCCTAACCTCATTGCTGCGCTTTTTGCTCTGCCGTTTTGCTGTGCTTTGCGGGATACGTCCTGGCGTGTTTAGACTGATTGATTCAATGGAACAATGTACGCTTGATGCATGCATGACCCTACAGTAGTCGACCACTAACCCGGCCATCACCGCGAACCACGAATCACGAACCATATTACCAAGTCCTATAGGTTCCACCCTGTATCCTTTCATGTAGTGTGATTGTGATCCCACCGTCTCAGAATTTGGCGCGTCCGGATGACCTATAGTAAGACATTCGGCTTATCTTTGCTCTCTGGGCTGAGGAGCTGACCACATTGCAACCAATCAACCTGTTTGTTTCACTCGCTATAACTTTCTTGTTTCTTTTTTGGGGGGACTTATCTGTTGTTCCCTTGTCGTTGCTGTTTGCATTTTGCACGAGCCTCTCTGTACCGTGACTCAACAGACCGAACATGTTGGTGCGACTCGTGCGGTTATCGGTTACGCGTGGACTCTATCTACTGTAGGTGTACCTGCCTACTTAGTCCTCGGCCAAGCGAGTCATCATTTTGTTCCTGTGAAGAACGTTCAGATACGTCTGGAAGAAGTGTCGATGAAAACAAGTCCTTCACAGTGAATTCATGTGACCACTATCGTTTGCCTATCCAGATATACATGACATTCCCTCGGGTCCAACAACAAGCTGTAAGGCATGAAATAATTTACTCAAAAGAATCATCCACGGAAAAATATTGATCTGGGTATCAAGACCCCGCAATCTTTAAGCGTAGTCACCCCGTGCACAACACCCATCGATACAGACAAGAAAAGGACAATGGGGATCGGATCGGCATGGCTCTACGTTGGTATATCATGGATGTCGATAGTTGCAGGATCAAACAAAGAAAGGAGCCTAGATAGAGCACTAAGTATTCTTGCATACGTATGCTGTACTTGATGATCACAATGTTGGCTGAGCTTTTGATCGCGTACACCATATTCATCGCCGTTTAAGATACAATGCAACGACCTATGCACGCTGGTTCTAACTTGTATTAAATAATACATTAAATGAGGATTTTGAACGTCTCTAGTTGCAAAACTAGGCTAAGGACTATGCTAGTAGCTGGTCAATTGGATTTGGGCTTAGGTGAGATTATGATCTTGCTTGGCTTGACTCGGAACTATTGCGTACTTGGAATTGGTATACAAGCCTTGGATACAAATGGGTATTTCAATTATCTGAAACAAGTCTTGAGGATCGGAGCTATGTGGTTGAGAGCTGGGATATAAAGATCATGGCCCAGAATCATATCCCTCCCAGCTCAGAATCATATCGTAACTTGATGATTTACCATTCGACAGCGATCGAGATCGGAAGAGGATGAAAATCACCTTGAAACAGAGATGAGAGCTACATCAAAACCTTCCTGGCAACAAAGAAGAAACAGCAATACCGTAATTTGAATACTAAAACGATCGCAGTCACCCCAAAGCTTCAATATTCAAGAATTTGCAAGCCTTGCAGCCTACATCATTTCGATATCCTCCGAGTCCTTCACATTTCAGACTCTGTTCGGTAGTTGAACGTAATTTTCATAGCCCGATTTGGGGATAGACGCCAGGTAATCTGCTATCGCATGTTCCCCCAGTTCTCGAGCTTGTTCAATAGAAGCAACCTGTTCATCATCTTCATCCTCGTCGTTCATAAATGGATGGTCATTGATAGCCTCCTCACAGAGCACCTTAACAATATCAAGACGCTTCATTTCAATGGCAATAGAGAGCGGAGTCTCAGAGCAGTTTCCTCTCCTAATGTTCTAAAACCGAAGCAGAAGCGACCGGATGATGTCCACGTTACCGGCACGTACCGCAGTATGGATGTCAGTACATCCATTCGCATCCTCAATACCAAGCTTGGTCCCCCACGACTCAATAATCATGCGTCCAATGTCCCAATACCCACTGAATAGTGCGCGGTCAAGTGGACTATAACCATCCAAACCCCGAGCGTTGACATCAGAGCCAGTTGACATGAATGCCAAAGCAAGTTCGTATTTGCCTTTTTCAACGGCCAAATGCAACGGCGTCTCGTCATAAGTAGTACTAGCACTTCTCATGCTTTGCGAGAGGTACGGTATGAAAAGCTTGAACATCTCCAGATCCCCGCGTACGGCCACATGATGCAACAGTGCCCATCCATTGTCGTCCTCCCAGGCAGGGTGATCAGTCCATACCAGCTGGCCTTTATGGGTCAAATTCAGCATTGGCTAGGCCTCTAGGAAGATCTTCATGATCTCCACACTGCAAGTGTGGGCAATATAACCTGCAAGTCCGTGCTTGTTGATGTCCACACCAAGTCCAATCAGCTTGCGGATGATATCCGTTTGCTAGGTGTATACTGCATGTGCTAGAGCGCTCATACCGGTAATGTAGTCAATTGCATCGAGCTCAGCTCCATAGGTGACAAAGAGCTGGATCATGTCGGTAGACCGAGAGTGGACGGCAAGATTCAGCATGCGTGCTCCGCCCAGGCAGGATGAGTTGGGATCGACTCCTAAACGCAGAAAGTAGTGCGCCTTTTGCACGTCGCCGCTTCGAACAGCTTGTGCGAAGGGCTCTTTGTCTTCCGGGGTGACGTGCTCATATTGTTGGAAGACTTCGCCATTTTCGCCATAAATTTCTCCGTTGTCTCTCATGTAGTAACCCTTGGGGTCTTTGAAGCCATATTCCTTGTATACTTCATCTGATGGCAGGAATTTCTTGTATACGCTTGCCTTTCTCTTGGCGGTCTCCTCCAGCATGGAGTGCATGTCTTTACAGCTTGCTGAAAGGTTCGTAGTGGTTTTGACGTCACAATGGTCCGCAATATGGAAGACGAGTTCCCGTGGAAGGGCGCTGACATTGGTCTTCATTGGAGATCCTATTTTGCTTCCAATGCACTTTGTTACCAAATGGCGATTTTGAGGCCTGCGCTTGGTATTGAAATTGAGAGAGGGATGGGAATCCAGTTTGACGATGAGGACCAAGTCTCCAGTCTTTTCTGGAGTTATATGTTGAAGTCTCATCACAGGCCACCTGAAAGGGTTGATTTTTATGCATTGCTTACTCGAAACTCGATGAGAGACTCGCCCAACAAGACTGTTTTGAATACATGTGGGTTCTTTTCTTTGAGCTATGAAACACCCTTGTGGCACTTTCGCCGCGGCCCATGGACGACCTAATGACTATAAATCAAGCGTGTTCTATTTTACGACGATGCGACAAAGCAAAAACTCACAAAAGAAGAAGCTAAACAAAGATAAAGTCATGCTATAAAGTTAAACCGTAGATTCCGATTGAACTGTGCTTAAACTACGGGCTTAAATCGTTTTGAGTCCACAACGTCATCCGTCCACAACGTCATCCGTCCACAACGTCATCCACTAAAAGAGACAAGGTGAATCTGAACACAAGAGAAGGTTGAGAACCCAGGGGCTGAGTAGCCTCAACACCAGAGAGTTAAAAACAAAAAGAGATAAAAATAACACGATCTAAACCTCCTCTGTCACATTCAATGACAAAGTAGTACATCCCATCGGAACAGTAATCCAAGCCGCCTCGGCAGCAGTATGATCACTATAGTTGTACATGCCATTGAAAGACATAATTTGTCCAACAGTAGTCCCAAATTTCTCAGCAAGATCTTTATAAACACCATAGGTGAAATGGAACGGAGTAATAGTGCAAACACTAGGAACACACTGAGGAATCTTGAGCCAAGTACCCGCAGGCAAAACCTCAGTTGTCGAAGAGATCATGTCCTTTGCCTGAGACCAGATGGTCTCAACAGTAACGTTCAGCTTGTAAAGAGCAATTCGTTCAATCGTGTCGCCCGCAATACTTCTGTAGTCGTGCGGTCCGCCCTTCACACAGGTCTCTGTGGCATTCTGCTTTGTCAACAAACAGGTGCTGCTATCGGGGCTGCAGACCTGGGCGGGGATGTGAAGGGTAAAATCTCCATATAGGTGTTCTGCGTCGATCATTCGATTGGCGCGTGCGATATCGCATGCTCCACGATCGAACTTCTTGGCGATGCTGAAGATTGTATCTTCCGATTTTGTGGTGTATATGAAAGTGGTGGTGTTCAGGGATGATTCATCACAGGTACTTTGCGATGTATGTGGAATGGCAGAAGCTGAGGTGACCAGCACCAAGGAGAAAATTTTGGACAAGAAATGCATGTTTTATGAGTGAACATGCAACAAGAGTGTTTTAGGTATCTAGGGGCGATATAGAGGGGAACATCACGATTTATAGACAATTTTAATTACGGGTTGTTTGGCCTGCAGGTTTTCATGCATAGAAAGATAGAAAGTGATGAGCTTGGGCAACTCCGAGGTCCATTGGACCCATCTCGGAGCTCCCAGTAGCTTAGGGTTAGTACAATGTGTCAATGCAGCGGAGTCCAGGGGTGCAAATCATTGCCTACATCTCCTCAAGCTTGCAACTCCTCCAACTTGCCCCCGTAGCTGTTTTGAACAACAATCAAAGCATACTCGAGTACGGAGGAATTGCTTTTGCCTATAGTCAAGCTGCGATTTTCCGCGACGTACTTTATCACATAACTTGCAAGTGCTGAACGCATTTCCGCGAATCCTTGCATATATTATTCGATGAAACACGAAAGTAAGCTAGGAGTAAATTGTACCTGGCCTAGCTCAAAGCCAATCAGTGCCCCTATTAAGAGAAAAACTGCGCAAGCCCGGGAGGGCAGTACAGTATCTGCAATGATAATGTCGATCGTGCCTCCAATCCACGTGGTCCACTTTTTGCAACATTTTGCTAAATTGACGTCTGTACTGTGTGTCAACCCGTTGAAAAATATATGACGACGCGTGACTCTATTGAGACTATATGTGAAATTCTTCGGGCAAGCGGAGCGCGTAGTAGTTCTGACCGCAGTACCTCAATCAGAGAACATTGGTTGGTCCCCGCATCTGGGCTGCTCTCCCCGCGTCGTGAGCTAATCTTTTCTGAGAGGTTAGGCATTTAGAGAATCTCCCTTCGGCTGTCCAAAGCAAGACATTTCACGCACTGCATATGTGGTTGTCTTGGCAATCTCGGGTTCGGGGTTGGATACCGAAAGAGGAAATGACCTGCTCTTCGGTGGAATGTATACCATTGTGCCGCATTACGCGAGTGTACTATCTATTTCTCTTTTTGTTACAAATCCTTCACAGTGAAATAAACCCAGAAAATAATTATGTCTCCTGCAGTTCAAAGATCTTCGAAAAATTCGTACAGTTCACAGGCCCGGCGAGGATTAGAATCTGCATAGCAATGCCTCCCTCGTTCATATCAGGTAAGTTTTGGTCTCCCACATCAGTGGAGCGGCAATGAGCGTACGCCAATGGCTCATGGTTGACAAGTTGGCTGAAGGTACTTCGCATGGGTTACCAGATCTCCATTAGGACTTCGGTTGGCCAGCTCCGGGAACAACATGCTCCTCAACTCCGATTATTTTCAAATAGTGCATTTCTGGACGCATATAGTTCCGTACAGGTCCTGGAGTGGTTATAGGATCACAGCCTTACTTCAAGGTCACCCATGAACCCAAAGTTCTACAGATGAGATCTAAATTTTACGGTCTCCTCCACAAAGAGTAAGTAATTTTGGCAACAGCTTCATTGCCAATTCTAGGAAAAAAGAGCATGGTTGCTAGAGACTTGTTCAAGTCTTCACTTGGCTATTTGCTCATGGAAAATTATAGTGGAAAAGAATCAATATTTTTTTGTACTTTGAACTTCATAAAATACCGGTTCGATCTCGAATACAATCTTCGAGCCACCCACGCAATGACACGAGATCCTGGCTAATGAAATGAGAGGCGGGACCGAAGCCATCACACGCAGCTCTGGTAACTCGGTCTGATCAAGTGTTGACTGATGGAGATCCCAGCAAGGCCGATACTGGCTCTGGAATATCTCTGTCCATGAATGATACACATAACCTTCAGCTCCAAAGAGAGCAGTCAATGCCAGTGCACCGTGATACCGTTACTGATCTACAGGCAAAATCCTCTCCATGTCGGCGTGCATGAAATTTGAGTGTTAGTGGTCGTTCGTTCTGGGCAACTTTCATAGGTACATTGTACCGAGGATGACGTACGTCCCAGTCGTATTGAGAGGTCATTGTGTGCATTCCAATTGTGTGTTTTGAATTTGGAAGTTTTCGAAAAAAAAGTCCACTAACAAAGTCCGGAGTGTGTGGGTATTTATATGCAGTTCGACTGATGAGTTCTTCCTCGAAGATTGAGAGGGCTGAAAGCCTTCAAAGTCTTTGAAGCATCTATTGTCTCTTGACAAGAGAGCATTGAGTATAAGGAGTAAAATGCTTTTATGGCATAGCTTTCTTCTTTTGTTCATTGGCCTCATTGTTAGTTGGAATCGAGGCTCTTTGGGCTCATTGGTTTCTTTGAGGCGGGGACTCCGAACTTCTGGCAGAACCTCTAGCGCCGTTGACCAATTTAGCAAAACCAAATATACTAGGTTCTCATGCAAGGTTGTATGACTTGTATCGATATTCGTTTGAAGTCACATTTGTGTAGTACGGCTCTCCGGAGCAGGATATCGCTAGGGCTTAGAGAAAGGCTGCATCTTCTAGAAGTAGTTGGTAGGGCCAAGGGGCCTCATTTGCAAAACAAAGTTACCATAGCAAACCAAGACGATACTGTGAAAACTGACTACAATTAACATGCCATTCGTTGAGTAAGCCTGCCCTTTTGTTTGTAACTATGCATATCGAGTAACAAGACATTAAGAAGGCACTCGCACACAATAATTAGCCAGCTTATGTTACTTAGGATGTCCAATAATAATGAGGCAAGATAGAAAACCAACATTTTATATAAATTCTCATAGACCCGAATCCAAAGGATTGAAGGTATAAAACCGTCAAACATTCCGCTTCAAGCTCGGTTAGACCCGAGCCAGGGCCGGACTTTTAGCGGCGAGATTCATTGGTTCATCTAGACAAGCGAGATCCCATGGGCACACGTCGGAGTTGGCGTCCAGGCAATTTTACGGAAATTCGACGTACTCCGGAAGAGTCGGAAGCTGAGATTGCTTGGTTCGCCGAGAAGAACACCCGATACGGCAATAGTTGCGTTGATTTGATCCCGGAAAATATTACAACCCTTATAACATAAATAATCCCCAGATTTACATCCCCGGCATTTCAGTTCTCACCGGGCATCTGGAACAGGCAAAGTGAAAGAAGGGGTGAACCCCGTGGGAAAATGTAGGGCCACGCGTCCCGCGATCGGTTCCCCGAAGTTTTTCACGGCTGCCGAACCGGACTCAATGCCGTCTTGGAAGTGACACATTTCCTTTCGACTAAATGGTCTCGTGCATACGGTTTGGGCCGTAAGCCGAGAATCAGCCAATCCGTGGAAATATCCGGGGAGGACGCGCCTCGTGGCTTGCGCACTATACACCCCAGAAGCATACTGGCGCAACATCGTGTGAGCCAGGAACAAACTATGCTCAATCAGGAGTTAGGGCTGCTAAATCAGGTTCCGAATTAGTCAACCCGACATTTTCCCGGCGCCACACTTTTCTTTGGCTCTCTTTTCCATGTTTCTCATTTGTTGTTGGATGTATCCACTCATAGTCCTCGAAACATGCGAGATCAGTCAACAGAGAGACCTTTGCATGCCTTTAGTGGGACTTCAGGTGTTCTTGAGATTATTTCTAGAATGTATCCACTTGTTTGAGACCAGGTGATGAGCAAAATCTGTGTTTTTTGTAGACCTGGAATACAGCCGCGTGGGCAAACCGCAGTGGGTATTTGTACTTGCACTCGCCGTTCATCAGCCAACATCGTTAACATGTCGAATATGCGGGGGCTAAGGACTCACTCCGTAGGGTCTGCCAGTGCAGTAAGCACTAAGTACCCCTCTCGCTGAGAACAGGGAACTTGATGTTGGGAAAGGATTCACGCTGACAAGAGAATTACGAATCACAGCAAATGGAAGCCAAGCAATGGCGGCCTTGGCCGTGGAGGCTTGTTCTGTGACTATCGGTTCCAAGACTGCCCCAGTACACGCCGTGGTTTGAGGCGCGCTGCTTCTTTTTGGTTTGTGGCGCACCTTAGTTTCCGACAAGTATATGCATTTTCGTACTTCCGGCTCATTACTACTCCGAGTATCGGTCTAGCCTTCAGATTTGGATCTAGCGTACTGCTAGTCCCTTCTTACGGCACATGGCATTTGGTGATCCAGGGTCTCCCGCATGGAAATTTCTGTCTGGAGTGCAGCGTTGCGTCTCCAGTCCTGGGGAAATGGCCGGTCGACGACGCTAACCCCAGGTAGCGAGGAGAAAAAAAAGCTGAGGCGCAAAATGGAGCCAGGGCTATATAATGCGCGTGGTCTACCCGTCTTACAGACCTTATTTCCTTGACTGGGTTCGCTTTCTTGTCTATATTGTGCCCTAATTTCATACCCAAGATGGCAATCAGTCAGTCAGTGGTTGGCCGCACCAATGCGGAGAAGCCTCACGGTCTCAAGGGATTCATATCCAACCCTTATGTCTTCTTCACTTGTTTGTTTGCCTCGTTGGGTTGTATCATGTATGGTTACGATCAGGGTGTGATGAGTCCTGTTCTTGTCATGGAGAACTTTGAGAATCACTTCCCTCTATTCATGGGTTCTACCATCCAGGGTTGGTTGGTGGCTGCTCTCGAGCTCGGTGCCTGGGCCGGTGCTTTGATCAACGGTATTCTCGCAGATCGTATCTCGCGTAAGTACGCTATGATGGTTGCCGTTATCATCTTCACCCTGGGCACCGGTCTACAGGCTGGTGCACAGACTCCTGCGTACTTCTTTGCCGGCCGAATCATTGGTGGTGTTGGTATTGGTATGTTCAGTATGGTCATCCCTCTGTACCAGGCCGAGATTGCTCCTCCTGAGCTGCGTGGATCCCTGGTTTCCCTGCAGCAGCTGTCAATCACTGTCGGTACCGCTGTCGCCTTCTGGCTTGACTATGGTATGCAGTTTGTTGGCGGTATCCACTGCAACCCCGAGGGTATTGACAACCCTTACCTGGCCAGCGGTACATACAACGCCGCTCAAAACCACGGTCACACCTGCTTGGGCCAGAAGACTATCGCGTGGAGACTTCCTCTGGCGCTCCAGATTATCCCCGCCTGGGTTCTGTTCTTCGGTCTCTTCTTCTTCCCATTCTCTCCTCGTTGGCTGATGATGAAGCACCGTGACGAAGAGGCCAAGTCTGTTATCTCTCGACTGCGTCGTCTCCCTGAGAATGACCCCCTTGTCCAGGCTGAGTACCTTGAGATCAAGGCCGCTGTCATGTTCGATGAAGAGACTGAGCGTGAGCTCGTCGGCGCCGGTGGGGTTTGGGCTCCCTGGAAGTCTCTGTTTGCCCCTAACATGCTCAAGCGTCTGGTCCTTGGCTGTGGTATGATGATCTTCCAGCAGTTCACTGGTATCAATGCCGTGCTTTACTATGCGCCGCAAATTTTCTCCTCGGTATGAGAAACTTCTTTTCTGCTCCCCATTATCAGGGTTCCCTATACATTTGTTTTTAACTAATCATACGTTTTTTCAGTTCGGTTTCACCTCCACAAAGACAACTCTCCTCGCCACCGGTGTGACTGGTATTCTTCAGATTATCTTCACTTTCCCCTCCGTCCTCTTCCTCGACAAGTTTGGCCGCAAGACATTCCTGATGGTTGGAGCTGCAGGCATGTTCCTTTGCCACATTATTGTTGCTATCGTTGAGGGTATCTACAAGCCCAAGTGGGACTTGAATGAGGGACTCGCCCAGTCTCAGGGCTGGGTTGCCATTGCCTTCATCTGGCTCTTTGCTGTCAACTTTGCCTATTCTTGGGGTCCTGTCACTTGGGTCTTGGCTCAGGAGATCTTCCCCAACAGTCAGCGGTCTCGCGGTGTTTCCATTGTCGCTTCCACCAACTGGATGTTTAACTTCGTCATTGGTCTTACTACCAAGGACATGCTGAACTCGATGAAGTACGGTACCTACATCTTCTTTGCCATTTTCAGTGCCGGAGGCGGTTTCTTCGTTTGGAAGTTCGCCCCTGAGACCAAGGATAAGACTCTTGAGGAACTGGATGTCTTCTTCGGTGGTGGTATGGACAGCATTGCTGAGGCGGATCGTCTCCGTATGACTCGCATCAATGAGAGTCTTGGACTTACTGGTGTGGAGAACTTGGAGGACCTCAAAACCGAGAAGCAGATTCATGCTGATCACCTTGAGGTCGACTCAACCACTGCTTAAATGCAATGATAATGATACTATGGGTATAATGAGGCCTCGGCCTTTTTTATATAATATAACTTACTCGGATAGGTAGCCTGGATTACATCCTAAAATGGAATTTGTCTCTATATCCCTTATTTTGTAAGAGCTTCAGAGCACTCCTTGAGAAGATGAATGTACAAGAGAGAGGCGGAACCAAAACCAATCAATAACCTTAAAAGTCAAGTGGGGAAATGGTCCGTGCATACGCGTATCCCAACTTGGGATCTTCACCAATGCTCAAGTGGGTATGAGGCTATTGTTGTCATTGATTTATCCGACAGCTAAGGCTGAACCGTTCCTGCCGCTTTGATCTCTCGGGGTCTGAAATAAGCTATTTGCCTATCGGAACGAGATTTCCGACGCCCTAACCATATCCCTTTCCATATCACCTGTGGCAGAAATGCCGCGAAGAACCCATAAAAAATCGCGGAATGGCTGTATTGAATGCAAACGCCGTCACATGAAGGTTTGTAGCAAGCCAAACGCATTTACACGCTTGCTGACTCCGCTAGTGCGATGAGCAAAGACCAATCTGTTCCAACTGCACTAGTTCGGCGCGGGATTGCCAGTTCGTGGGCTCGATTCCGATCCTACATCCCCCACGCAGTGTTAGCTGTGAGCCTGCACCTGCATCACCGGCAGTTGTATCCCCTGCTGTGGCCTCGGCAGATAAGCAGTCCAGCAAGGATCCTGAATATGCACCTGTGAATATGCTCCATGTCGAACTCGCCCACAATCTCTCAGCTGAAACGCTGAAGGTATTCAATAAGCCGAGTACCGAGTCAACTATTTCGTTTGAAGATATCCTACAGTGCTGTCTTGGTGCTCCATATCTTATGAATGAGATCTTATCTCTTAGCTCATTACACCTCAGCATTACGAGACCAGGACAGCGAACATTCTACAGAGACCGCTCCACAGAATTACAAAACCATGCATTGAGTGCATTCAACGGGCTATCTTCACAAATCACAGACGACAACTGTGTCCCCGTCTTCCTGTTCGCTGGCGTCTTAGGATTGCACATGCTCTGTGAAACACTCGTCTGCCGGGGAAACGACTTCGAGAGCTTTTTGGACCGCTTCGTACAATATTTTATTGTACATCATGGGGTGAGGGTGGTCACAGGAGAAGGAAGATGGAGGCTATTACAGCAAACAGTATTGAAGCCACTTTTCCAGTTTGGAGAAATAATGCCTCCTCTAAATTCGGCTCTAGGGCCAGTTTGTGGAATGATATTCAGTCGCATTCAAGGCCATGGGCTTGACAATGCTACTGTCAGGAGGTATGAGCAGACTATTCAAGCCCTACAATCGGTTATGACCATTGTGGGGAACCAAGATCTGAACGAGCACAGCATAGATGCTCTCGTGGCATGGCCAGTGCTCGTCCCTCGTGAATATATTGATCTAGTCGCGGAGAGAAAAGGAGAAGCTTTGGTTATTTTAGCATATTTTGGTGCCCTTCTTGATACGCAGCGGGACAAGTGGGTGTTTTGTGATGGTGGCAGGTATTTGGTTGACTCGATCAGTCAATATCTTGGCCTTCAGTGGAGAGAATGGCTCGAGTGGCCCGTACAAGCACTAGTGCATTCAGAACCTGTGTAAACAAAATATGGACAGTTTCAAAACAAACGCCGAGCTTTGTTCTACTCTACTATGGACGGGGATTTTGAAGGGTTGATCAATACAAGAGTGATGCCTTTTCAACGTTGAACGGTCTGCCGGAGCAATGCTGATTCACATCCTCTCATAGCCTCTAGCACTGAAAAATGGACGGAAGGGGGACAGAAAGGTATTCTAAAGGAGAGCACAACCTCTGTACGTTGAATCAATATTATACTATTGATCAATCATTAAATCGGGCTTTTTATCTGTTTCATAGCCAACATAGCCTACATAGCCTTAGCTCTATACACTACTACCAGCTAATGCCTCGCCTCTCGCCTACCACAACTTCCACCTCCTACGTCGGGAATGCAGAAGATCGACTAGCCTGAGAGCCGCTTTTCCCATGTCACACCTAGACAAGCACTTCATATCCGTAACTCTGCAGCGTAGCTCGTCCTCATAACCCCAACTCATAGAGTTGTCCAGACATATCCAATAACGCAGTCGCAGGATGGTAGTTTCTTCTACCTATTGTTGCCCTTGGTGGTGAAACAATGGTGTAAGATCTGGCCGCGCTGCTTGGTAGAGAACCGGTTGACCACCGCATTCAGTGTGAGAAATGTTTCGATACTTAACATCCTTTTAAACTATCAACTTAGATTCAATATAATGTGGAATTGACTATAGTTGACATGGATTCTCCTTCTTTCACTTTACTCTCATTTCTACTCTTACGTCTCCTTCGCTTACATTTACTCTTATAACCATTTTCACTTTTATTCTCACCGAATGTCTTCTCTCCCCTTATCTGTTTCTCTTACAATTTTCTCTAACATCCTTCTCAATCCTTGAGATCTACCATTCTACCAGTAACCCAGTGTGCGGCCTCCGACGCACCAGGACTTTTTGACTTCCTTGCCGACAGCGCACTTATCATCTTCAGCCGGAGCAGATTGCCAATTTCCCACTCTTGCAGAGATAGTGGAAGCAATTGTGTGACCCTTGCTTTCCTTTTTGCCGAGTTTCCTACCAACGTCGACATCTGCCGTGTTCTATCAATCCAGTTGCAAAGCATTACATTGCCAGCATGGATCCCAGCGGCTTTGTCCTCATCGGAGGGTTTGCCGTTCCAAAGTTGAATGGCCCCGCGAACTATTCCACATGGATTGGAAAGCTTGAACATGCCATGCGCTTCGCGTATCCCAACCACTGGTCCATCGTCACTGGAGAAATGCTCCGACCTTCTCACTGCCAGGAAACTCCAGGCGTGAATCTTCATCTCATCAGAGGAGTCCTTACGCAAGATCAAATCTTCCTCAACCAATTCATGACCCAGCTCCAGATCAATGATCTCATGGCGGAATTGAACGAATTTATCGGTCAAGGCACTAATCCCAGTATTGATCAAGAGTGGCTGGCCAAAAGCACTACTGTATACAACGTCCTTCTTGCGACTCTGGATGCTGATCTTGCCTGTCCCTTCCGCCAAGGTGAAACCGGAAAAGCCTTTGAGCTCTTCACATGGTTGCAGGACACCTATGGAAAACAGAGTCGACGGGCCCTGATTGAAATGTACCAATCTTGGCGAAGCATCCACTATAATGGGGGTGATCGACGATCTTTCGTCAAGCAGTTCCAAGCAACTAGCCAGAAATTAGCAGAGATTATTGGAAATCCTGTCGACGTTGCCCTTGAATTCTCCCGCTTCATGGATGCCATTGCAGGTCACGAGGGAAGTCTTTTAATTGCCGCTGAGCTAGGGATTGATCTCAAGAGCCCATTTGCCTTGCACAAGTTGTACCGATGTTTTGAAGAAGGCGTTGAAGCTGGCATGGTCTAATAACCAAGGCATCCTCTTTCCTGCTCTTTGCCTTGTATTTTGCGTATTTTGCGTTATTTCATGCAACCGGTCTGGACTCGCCATTTGCTCTTCTCGCGTTCTCTCATTAGCTGATGATTTGCTAGTAATTTGCTCATGTGCATGACTCCGACGCATCTTGCTCTGATTTATTGCTTGATGTGGTAAATTCAAACACAACTCACCGTTGGCAGACTTCATGTGCATGGTGAATCTGTTCACTTTATGCAGACTGGAGCCAGATGCGATTTCCTGTCACGCGACCAGGAATTTGTACACGAGTCTTCGGTGCCATGGTTTCTAGCAATTTCCTTGACAGCAGTTCTTGCTTTCTGTTTTGCTCTTTTGCGATTTTCTAGGGGGACCAAAATTGATATGCTTCACCCCATACCCCGGTCATTTGCCAAGCCTCGGGATAGTTTTACCCATTTGGGAAACGCAACCTTTCTTCCTCTTCAGTGCACTTCTTCCACTCCTTATCTTTGTTTTTGGTTGCAAATAGATTCGTGGATTCCAAATGATTAGTGGTAGGCTTGATACTCGTCCCGGACAATATGATATATCAAGAATCGACCTCGGTTTTAAGTAGTCGATGATCTACTTCTATGTCGTTATGTTGTCATGGTAAGTACTACAGATAGCTCTTACTAGATATCGAGAGACTAAGGCTTTTTATTAGGCACGGTATTGGAATGCAGGTAGGATTAACTATCAAAAGCGCACTCGAAAACAACCAAATTTGGTCTAGCAAAAGGCTGAGAGTAAGGTTGTCATTTAGATGGGGTGAGGTTCTCTTAATTTGCGAGGGCGACTTCAGTGAGACCACTGAGATAAATTGTAGCGCAGAGGCCAGAGCGTAGACTAAGCCTATGGACGTATGTACACCCGGTTATGCGAATTAGATATCGACCTCTCCTGCTAAGATAGCGTCAAGATAAGCCTATCATTTGCATCTGTCAACAGGCCACCTGTAACGTAGAGAAGTGAATAGGTACAGGCAGCATTCACTCACCTAACATGGCAAAAGCAATCGAGATAGATGACCAAAGAAGCTACTCGATGCGCATGTCCAATCATTCTGAATGGATACAAGCTTTCCCCCGCTTCGGACACCTCTCGTCCAGGTGCAACACTATCCGCACATGATTCCTACTTCATTACCCCGGAGAGTACTTATTCGCTTTGGCCCCCGTTCATCCGTTGCTCGATACATACTTCTGTAAAGCTTCCCCTGTGCGACTATCTCCATTTAAGCTTAATAAATTGCCTCGTCACTCACCATTGACGTGCCCTAATGCGCATCTTCTAAGTCAGCATGAACGCTCTATCAAGCCCCGAGCAACTATGGCGAATCGGATTGATCCTGCTAGCCGCCACTGTACTTCATGCCCTTGTCAACAAAGCACGTGGAAAATCATACTTCGCCAGAATCACGCTGCGAGGTCGAAAGAACTCAACAGCTAGAACACCACCACGATCCTTCTCCCCCGAAAAGACATCAACAAGCCCACAATCGCCGTCCACCTATACCACCGCATTGCCGCCCCAACGCAGAACGGCACTAGCCGAAATAAAATGTGCGAGCGCGCCATATACCGAGGTCAGCGAAGACGAAGTCCATCGCAACATCCTGCCCATGAGCGCCGACTACAGGTCAAGCCCAGGTAACAAGTATACCCCGATGGGATTTTCCGTCGATGAAATCAAAGCTCTCGGGGACTTCCCAGACTATGCGACTTTGAGTGGAGTACCACTTCCTAGCCCGTATCTTGAATTTGATATTGAGAAGGCATTGCCTCGGCCGTACCGTCCGTTTAGATGGGCATATCACCAGACCATGTGTACGTCTCCAGTAGCTCCAATATTGCAGAACCTAAGACTGACCTCCGCGTGAATCTTCAATTAGCCTTAACAAAGCTTGAAACTGACTGGTGGATCGAGCTCGAAAACACATATAAGAAGCGCATTGCTCAGCGCAAACAACTGTATGCAACGAGGGGAAATGAGGTGCTCGATTCTATGCCAGGGTCCGAGTTGGCCTGCAAGGAGATCATGGAAATGGTTCTGCAGTTCATCTGTGCTCGTTACCCACAGTATTTCACCCTCGTGGATAGGCGGATACTGCATAACAAGATCCTTGGTACCGAGACGGATGTGACAACCAGGCCTCCCCTTGAGGTGCTGCTGGATAACGTACCCGAGGATTTCGGTATCATGCTTCGTGATGACACGACGGGATATTACTTCCTGCGTGCGGGATTCATCTGCTCGTCGTTGGGATGGAATGTTGCAACCAAGGTTGGGAAGCAGTTGCATGAGATTCATGAGACTATTCCAGATTATAAGGAAAAGATGCAGTTTTCCATGGATCGGTAAGTTGCTGCCCTGAATATGACCATGTGACAGCGGGTCCCTAATTTAAGCTTATGTTCTAGGTTCTTCACCAAAATGCCAACTGAAAAACCAATCCAGCGAGGGTCCTGGGGCTTGGAAATCGGGCAGCCATTGTATATGCCACCGGGAGATCCACATGAAAAGCTCCGTCTATCTCAGCGACCTGATCTTGCACTTGACGAATGCCATTTGCGAGTAGACTGGCAAACCCTGAGACGGCTTCCCTTGTCCGGTGCTGTTGTTTTCAACTTCAAGGGTCTTTTCACTCCTGTGAAGGAATTCCGTGATGAGCCTGGTGTGCCATCTTTGCTCACGAAGCTCCTTACGGAGGGGAAGAAGAATCTCATGGAATACAAGGGTGTATGGCACGTGCAACATGTTTTGCTACCTAACTTGAAGAAATGGGCAAAAGAACAAGAGGAGAAAGGCTTGATTTCGAAGGATTGGGAGGTCGCTACTTTGGATGATAGTCCGTGGTTTAAGGGGTGGCAGGAAAAGTGGCATCGGCAACAGGGATTCTAGATTTGATTTGCTGCGATTTGTTCTGTGTCTGAGATTTTCATCTGATGAGTTCATTTATTTCTTGATTCCCATGGTGGCAGTTTGATGATGCTTGGGATATATCTTTCTGCAAGTTGATTCGTATGTACATGCTTGAGATCGATGATGTTTAAAATCGAACAAATGGGTTCCATGGGCATAATCATTTGGGCGAGTTTCAAGAAAATTGAAACTATATCCGTGCGACTGGACAGTGGTATCATGAGTTGTGGTCGTTCCTCGAGGCACTGTCATCCAGTAGAGTTGTTCGCGGTGGCGTGGTCTTTGAACGACGCGCGCAAGCTTTGGTGGCCCAAAAGCCGAGACAAGTATGTCTGCAGAGGGCTATGCTTGAGATTGTGAACGGAGGTCTGTCCACGATGGGAGACCGGGTGGAAAAGGAAAGGAGTCTTTGAGTCGCGAGGCTGCTCAGTCGTCGCCCTCGGCACCCTCCTGGCCCCTAGGAGAGGATCCAGCATCGCTGCCCTGCCGGCTCCTTTTAGAATCCTCGTCGTTGATTTCGCGATCAAGCTCCTCGAGCTCATCTTGAAGCGGGCTGATCCGTTCATCCAACATATCCAAATCCTCCAGCTGAGCTCGCGGCGGTAACTTCCACAGACTAGTACCACACACACGGTCCTTGGTGAGAAGATCGTCGACAAATTGGTCCATAAATGTAAGCATGAAGGTGTCGCGCACACGTCGCTTCAGTTTCCGGTAATCGAGGAGAAGAGGTTCGAGGGTTTTGTAGACGTCTACCGCGTCGAAAGTCAGTCGCACGTAGAACGCGGCCAATGCGCGCAAGTATTTGAAGTCGCCGCGGCCCTTGACAATGTCATCTTCTGGATCCTCCTCCGCATCGCTTCCGGGGTCGGTGAAATTGAGCAATTCGAGGATGACGTCTTTGTCCGGTCCAAGCTGTAGGAGCTTGAAGGCGAGGCAGAGGAACGGGCTTGGCTTTTCAGAAACACCGTAGGTACCGCCAATAAAAGTAAGCTCGACGGCGCGGTCACACAAGGTCGCTGCGTTCAAACCGAAGCACTGTTCCTTCCAGTAGTATGAGTCGGTGATGCGATCGCGCACAGCTTTCTCGAAAAGTGTGACGGGATTGACACCGCGAACCAAGGGCCCCGTGTAGCCGCGGTTATCGAGGAAGGTACTAGCATCGGCACGATGGGAGGTCATTTTGGCGTTGAGGGTTTGCGAGAGCTGAAGTTTAGAAGTGAAAACCCAAGTGTCAATGCCAAGACTTTCTGCCTTATCGATAGTCGCGCGGCCAACCCCGTAAACAACTTGATGTCATGAAACACTTGATGAGACATTGCCCAAGTGGCTTGATGTTGGATTTTGGTCGTTAACACATATCCGTGGTATGCATGTTTGACATTTGAATACTGTCTATTTCTTTCAGCCCATGCAGCCTCCCTGGTCATGGTTCTTCTAACGTCCTCCACGGTCTCGGCCATCGTGTCGATGGGAGTGATCTGCATATTCACCGTGCTACTATTCCTTTCAGGATATGTACTGCAACAACAGTCTGTCAAGAACATTCAGTATGCACTACGGCCTCAGGATGATACCTCAATGGGGAAACATGGGGCCCCGGGCTCCGCATTCCAGAAGCCCGCTCAAAAGCGAGGGGTATCAGATCACTCGAACTCACCTGGAAACTATGCCTATCTCCAGCTCCTATCTGAACCAGATCCCTCAGATATTTGCTCTGCCATTCTCTTCTTTAAACAACTGTCAACCAATGGAACAGCAGTCCAGGATCGTCTATTCATGTACCCACAACAGTGGGACAGAATGTCACCCAAGAAACTGGGAAAATCCGCCTCTGCGGCTCTATCTATCCTGCGTGCTGCCAGTACAAAATATGACATCTGGCTACTTCCTATCGACATGTCCGCTGCCACAGCTGCGGGGTACTCAACGACAAATAGCAAGCTGCTCCGTCTAGGTCAAATCCAGTTCATGCAGTATGACAGTGTACTATATGTCCAAACACCAGGTCTCCTGTTAGATACAGGCAAATTGGATGACATGTTCCTTGCTCGGCCATTACCCCTCCGCCATGACAAGAACAGGCAAGAATCGTTCAATAACGAAGCTTGGATCCCTATGCCGCTTCGTGCCAACCGCGATGAACCTCTTCCCTCAACATATCTAATCACCGTTAACAATATCGAAGGTGGTAATGTTGAAGCAAGAACCCATATTCCCAATGTTGCCTTGCCTGGATTTGGTGACCTCGTCGCTTCGCCCAAGCGTGCCGCAAGACTAGCTGAGATCGGGGAGGAACCTGGTTATGTTTCTTTTGACAGTGACCGGGATGGGCGCGTCAAGTGGGCTGGTAATCCTTATTTCGGAACTTGGCGATCTCAGCAAGCTGAAGTCTGCGACGGTATAGATTTTGACGAAATAATTCATAACGGGAAATGATTCTTTGCCTTGGTTATATGATGTGACGTGATTTTGTACATGCTAGCAACAAACTTTATTAGGCCTTGGAATGGCATCTGGCGTTTGGGGGTATTTTTTAACATGGCATATATTTGGGTTCAACATTTTTCTTTGTCAACCAGCTCTATTTTTTACCCGAGGCAAACTACTTTCGACTTCATCGAGATTCAAATTTTGGGCCTTCAAGTCATGATATTCGTAAATTATGTCAATATCGACTACTATCTCCTTTAAGACTAAGTATGAGCCAGCTTATTGAGGGACCCCAATCTCATAACCAAGGAGAACCTCGGTAGTATTACCTTCCCAGCCACGGTTCCCACTTGTAGAGATCATGTAGCGACACGCGTTATCAACATAGAGCTGGGAAATAGTTCCCGTACGGTGACCTGGAATAATGAGGAAGGGCACAGCTGAGCGGGATTGCTCATTCTGTTCGTTTTGCAGGTCGTAGAGTCGGAGAATATCATGAGAAGCGCTAATAAAAAGTCAGAAGGAATGATGAGAGGGGGATCAATGCTTGCTTACCAAACAAGATGCCGCCCATTCGGCATGGCCTTGAGTGCTGTCACTGGTCCACTTCCTTGAGGAAATTTGAATGTCCGCTCAACATTTCTGAGGCCCTTGTGGAGACTGTACTCCTCGACAGTGCCATTTCGTCGTCCTGCATAGATATAGTTGCCATCAGGGGACCAGCAGGCATTCATACACCAGGGAGGGGCATTTTGAGGGGAGATGCGAGCAACAGGGTCGGGCTGTCGGCGGTCCCATATGCGGATTGTTCCATCCATAGACGCAGCCAGGAATGTGTTATCTGTCTGGTTGCCTTGCACTGATTGCATGTTCTGTGAGAAGTCGTGACCATGAGAAGTCTCGAGATCCTCTGCCTTGGGTATCCCATTGGCAACAGGCTGTACTGCTCCAGTGGGAATGTTGGAATCTGTCAAATCCATCTGCTGACTCGAAGATTCCAGCTTTTGAGGTGACTGTTCTGCCACTTTGCTTTGTTCGTTTTGGGCATTTATGATGCTAGGGGGTGCTGGCACTTCGTCGTCAATTTCACCCGGCGCATCTGCATCTGCCATAGCTCCATGGGCCATGGCTCTGCCAAATTCATCGTCCTCATCTACTCCGAATACACCCCCCGATGGGGCGCCGCCATCAGCTGCACCTCCATCCGCATCGCCGAACAATGAATCAGCACCACCGAATAGAGAATCAGCCGGTGAGCCCGCCTGCGGGTTTTCGGCTTGATCTGCGTCTGCAGCGTCCTGTGTCGTATCCATGAAGTTGAAATTGTCTGTGCCAGGTGCTGCATAGTTCGATGTATACGTCCCATTGGACTGATGGAGATCAATAGTGTCTTTGGGTACTGGAAGGTTTGACTCCGGGCGAATCTGAACTGCAGAAACTTGGCCAGCACTCCCTCCAAAGGCTCGTCTAGCCTGTCCGGTGTTGAGATCCCAGTCGAATACCCGCTTATCCCAGCTTCCAGACAGCAATGATTGTTCATCCGATGTCAGGTTCAGCGAGGACACTGCAGATGTATGTTGTTGCAGAAGAGCAACCTCCTTCCCTTCGTCATGGCGCAGAGTTTGCAATCGAATTGCACCAGAGTCAAGTCCAGATAGCAGCCATAAGCCTTCGCTCTGGGCGGCCAGGGAATAAACCGGCGACAAGTGGCTCCCATCCATGTTCTCCCAGTACGTCATCAGCACTCCAGCCTTCACGACACTGTCCACGAAGGGATGCCGCTGCGCCACAGTCAACATGAGCTTGCTGTTGATCGATTCTGCCCAGTTGAATTTGCGCACAAATCCATCCGATCCTCCTGTAAAGACCCAGCGCATATCGGCGGTAGCCGTAATGGCATTGATTGAAGTGGCATGCGGCGCGGCAGTGGTTGGGACGATATCGTACGTTTTGGCGGTTAGGCACTCGGCGCGCACGCTGGGATGATAGATAGAGAATGCTTCTAGCCTTGAGCTATCGCCATCCGTGTTCTGTTGTGAGGCCATTCCGGCGCCATCGGAGGCCTGACTCGTGTTGGAGGGACTGTCCGCGTCTTGGTCGCCGTCTTGGTCGCCGTCTTGGTCGCCATCTTGATCCTGATCCTGATCCTGATCCTGATCCTGATCATTGTCATTGTCTCCATCACCATCGTCGACATCACGCATGGTATCGTCAATTTCGTTCTCATTATCGGAGCTTCCGTCTTGGGAACCTAGAAGTCGAGAGGTGGTTAGCGGATGAGTCTCTAGCCGAGGGGTCGGCGATTGAGTGATGATAAGGCCATACCTCCCATATCACGGTCCTCCTCCTCTTCAAGAGATACCATGATTGTCTCTGGGGGCTTCTTTCACGGCACCAGCTGTACGGTGGAGGTTATTGCTTTCTTGCGCAATTGAGACAGGGATCGGATCGGAGCTTGCGATCAAACGAAAGCTTGGAAACGGGACCCAGAAGTAGGTCCAAGAATTACTTCTTCACGCAGATTCGTGCCTCAAGCTCTATGGACAAGCAGAAGAGCCGAAGTCTCTCCAAACGTGCGGAGGGGAGTTGCGGCTTAACGCGACCCCGATAATCCGTGGATCCGCAGGACCACAGCTTGGCATCTGACCAATCAGCGTCGATTGTGCTATACATCGCATGCCCTAACTTGATGCACTCACAACTCATAAAGTCAGCAATCGGAAGCATTCTTAAGTCGTTCAGAAAAGGGGCCCGAAAGAAATTGAAGGCAAAAAAAAAACAACTGGGAATAGAATTGAAAATTGAAGTCTTGCCTTCGTAGTACTCTCTCATATCCGTTCGCTAACGTGCGTGGAGTGCTCCAATACACAAGCGATCATAAGCTTGAGGTTGGATGCAACTCGGCCATTGAAATGATTCTATGAGCGCAATAGGCTCGTCTACATGGGCAATCTGACTTCATTGTGTAGAGCTCTATTGGAGAGAGTAGGCCGTAGTCCGTTAGTTAGAGTCCATCGAGCTTATCGTAGCATATGCACCATTTTATCTGCCAAGGTTGTTGAATACGCCATATTTATACGTTGTAATATAAACAGCCTTTCATTGACATAGTCCTTTTCTATTGAATTTGGCCTTTTCAAGGTCGTTTCCCGCGTATTTCATCTTAACCTCAGACAACGTAACTCGTTGCCCCGGCCATCCCGAGCTAAGCTCACACTTATTGTCCCATTCCCATCCCACGTGACCTTCCTTGGTCGCCTACCGCCACTCTATCGCCGCGCAACCACTACTGCGACTTGATATTGCTACGCACTATGTCTTTGCCTCCACCCCCAGGCAAGCCCCTCTACCAGCGATTCCCCCGGAGAATACGGCGGTGAGATGACTCCCGTAGAGAGCACAGGCGATGACCGCGCCTCTCGATTGCAGTCCTTGCCCATGCAATCATGGGACGACTGGTTGGCACCTGAGCGGACAGACCGGGTGTCGTTTGTTCGTCGGGCTCGTAGGGCTGCGGCCTCTGCGCCAGCTACTGACGTAGTGGAGGAGCTAGGGGATCTTACTGAATTTGACTGACCAAGGAAAAGTGGGTGTTACTTGCACTCTCGACGGCCTAGGTGATTGATTTCGCCTGGGCGTCAAGTTGTTTTTTGTTTTGGCGGTTGGTCTTGGAGATGCCAATCTGCGACTTAAGTGACGCAGAACTGAGAATACAAAATCCAAGAATAGTGGGGAGGTTCCCTTTGGGATATAAATCCCTAAATATAGTGTTATCCCGGGGAGGGGGGGATAGATAAATTCTTAGTGGTAGTATTCTCCTAGTTCGGACCGAACTATGCCCACTTTTTTGTTAATTACGATCGAACGGTACATACAAGGAGCTAAGGATAATGTCGCGTGATAGTGGGGTGTGAGAGTGTTCGATAATAGGATGTTATATGCGTAGACTACTTGCAGGGATTCGTTAGTTCTAAGCGCTTGAAGTATATAAACTCAGACAATATAAAAACTAAAATTAAGGTGAAGTAGGCAGATTGACTAGAAGGGATTCTTCGCTGTTATCCATCACTTATGGGCGGGAAATATAGGAGAAGTTTGACGAAAGGTGAGTTCTTAACAGCAGGAGCCTCCAAGGCTGGAAGGGGTGATAATCAATGTCCGGCACTTCTAAGCAGGGATTCAACCAAGAAGGAAGAAACAGAAGAATCTTTATTCATGTATGGTTTGGAAAAAACTTTTTTACACTATCAAAGGGAAATAGTACGCGACCACTCCTAGTCAATACGTAGAGGCAATACGTAGAGGCATATAGCCATTCTAAATATAGCTACATATTAGAGGATTTATTGGGTTGGTTTTCCGGCTCTTCTAGATAGAAAGTCCTGCTTTTGTCGAACTGAATTTTTGCTTTACCTTAACTCAAGTCGACCCGCCTTAACTGCTATCTACATCGAATCCAACACTATACAGCTGCTCTTGTCCGCTTTGCATGTTCAAAAATTCGTTGTTAAGGTATCTAGCTCTAAAAGCAAAACATATTCATCACTATCATAATCCGACATCCCTTGTTATGTACAAAGTCCGGGTATCAGCTTTGGTATCAAATCATAGTCATGTATCGCTCCAAACTCTGACCGAGAACATTGATAAATGGCCATTGGGTATTTGTGCCGAACAATCGGGCCCATAGCTTGAGTACAGCCATACCCAAAGAAGCCGGTTCCAAGTTCGGCGGTGCCTCACCTTCATTCAGGTCTATGGATGAGTATGCTTCCTCGATTATACAACGTGTCCAGCGTAAAATGCGGGATTCATTTTCTGTTATAAAAAGTCAGGAATGGGGTTCCATACATTAAAGAAAGCTCGAAAGAGAGTGAATATTCGCAGGAAGCTGGGCACTGGGAATTGAACATACCACTCAAGGATTGATCAGGACTCGCCTCAGCAAGACTAAAGAGCCATTTGCTCAGCAGCACGGCACATTCGAGGCTAGCGAGCGAATGACGAACACTCCAGAAGAAAGCCTGACTACGAGCAATATGGTCAATGCCGAGACGGACTGGGATGCTGAGAGCATGAGCAGCATATATAAGAGCAGGGATGAGGCGGTAGCTTCGTTCTGGGCGTGGTGAGCGTCTGAGTGCTGAAGCGATGACCATTGGATCACGAGTTTCGAGACGGCGATAGGGTCCCAGGTTTAATGAGAGACGGACGTAGGCAAGGCCAAGGAAAGCGCTAGAAGTGAATGGGATTGGGCCGTTGGCGTTATGTGGATCAAGACTGGACTCGGGGGCTTGCTGCCATACTGAGGTCCAAGAGCGAAGAGCTCGTCTTCAAGTTTATTAGGATAAGTCCAAGAGGAAGAAGACGTGGGGACTTACTCAAGTTTGTTAAGCTCTTCAGTAGGAAGGGTCGTAGAATGGTTTCCATTTGGTAATGATAATTCGCTCACAAGATGGATTCTTTGAAGCAGACCATGGAGGAGAATATAGTTACCCAATGGCGCCGGGATAGGATCCAACGGGACAGCTGATCGAGACTTCTGTAGAAGAAGAGTCAATGCATCCTGGAAGAACAACTGCTGAGGTCCTCTCTCTCGCTGGGCGGCTTCCCATTCTTGAGGGGTGGCTGCAATCCATTCTGCGGTGGAACAGGGTAACCGTAGGTGAATCTCATTACTGCGCAGAGAGGGATAGGCGTTATAAGCGATACTGTGGATATGGACGAAACAGAACGCAATCAACTTTGTTCGTCGACCAGATTCTTGATCGGCCCACTCATACCAATCAAGGGGCGCTCGTGGATCAGAGCGCAAGGGGTCTTCTGTCAAACCGGCCTCTCGGAGATGGCGAACCAGCAAACCTTGGATGTGGAAGGCTTCTTGTACCAGCCGAGCATTCTCCCAAGTAGCGTAGCCCATCAGAATGAGTAGACAGCGGGTGACTTCAATCTGCTTCCATGAAGCATTTCGTTCCGCTGCTACCTGCGGTGCTGTGAGGGATTGGTCTCCGAAGTTGGAATATGGTGGAATCCCCAGCGGTACTTGAGAAGCTGAACTATAGCTGGGTTTAGAAGGAAGGCGTGATTCTCGGGACATTCGCTCAAAAAGTACCGCTTTAGAAACGTGGAAGATCCTTTCCGCGTTGCGATGTTCGAATCGATATTGAGCACCAATCGTCATTATGGCGAGAATGACTTCAGGGGCACGTTCATTAATATGGAAAGTCGGTATGTGCATAAATGGAAGATGAGGTTGGAATCCCTCGAAGTAGGACGTGAGATACCGTGTCAATGTATGCCGAGATGGCAACACGAAATCGGGGATAACGTTGCGGAAGTTTTCAAGAGAAGCTGCGAGTCGAAAGCGTTGGTCCTCGGTGACATTGAATCGTGAAGTTCTCTTTGCTACCTGTGGGGGTTCTAGGATGATATTAGCATCGTGGAGGGAGCAATATAGGCAAGCGACTTACCAGAGTCAGAGAGGTTCCCTAAACTCTGGTCACCTCTTGGTACAGACGGAAGCCATGATCGAAATGGTGAGTCTCCCCGAGAGGATTCACCTGGATTTCGTCGCTGTCTTTCCTGTTGATCCTGGGTCGGTCGGGCGGCTTCCTGGATATTTTCCAGAGGGACTTCTTGGGTTTGCGATGTTTCTCCTTCGCTAGGAAGCCATTCTCCAGGTAGCCCAATTGAATCCAAGAAGTGAGTAAATTCCTGGAAATGATTCAAGTCTTCAGGTAGATAAGGCATTGCTTGCGCTATTACTCCGTCAGAAAAGGCTGATCACCAGCAGAAATGTAGCCAAACAGCGTGTCCCACGAAACTGTACTACGAAAAAATTTGAAGACATACCTGTAGCTCTGTAATCACCAGGAAGAAGCAGCTGCGCAGCTTGAAGCATATCTGGATCATGTACCATGCCAGAATGTGTCTCCATGGCCGGATTAGTGGCAGCCGCAGCTGCAGGAAGCATAGCAGCAGCATGGCTCTGGTCTAAATAAGGTGTACTCTGTGCAGCAGGCCATTGGTGCACAGCAGGCGGACCTGCAAGGGGCCCTACCGATCGGGACGGTGTATCATATTGCGGGATAGCTGCAGGATGATGTGCAGGTTGGAAATCCGACTTTGCGGTTGGCTCAGGCGGCGCACTTGGCGAGGTAAGACCATCCTGGTGGGAGATGCGCGTGTGACGCTTCAGTAGATCCCTTCTAGTGAACGCAGCCCCACAGAAACAAATAAATGGTTTCTCCTTGGTGTCTGATTATGGGTCAGTACATGGGCCCTCAGGATCTGCCCCCAATCTAGCTTACGGGTGCGGATATGACGCTCCAAATGCTCTGTTCGCCGGAAACTCCGACCGCAGTGCACACATATGCGTGCCCTTGCTCCACGGGCCCTTTGTGACGGGGGTGATGGGGACGCCATTGAAACATTGGGGGATGGAGAACTGGATTGGAGACGAAGATACCCTGAGAAGTGGAATGTGGGTGTCGAGATAGGAGAATCGACTCCAACTACTCCAACTCGGGGTTGTCCGGAACCCTTCGGCCCGTGATAAGCGATAAAGGTGGGGTTCTGGGTTGGGGTAACTCGATGCTATACTTCACGTCTTACTTCGTTAACTTGGATATCTTGCCTGTTTGATAACTAACTTTGATACTTTGATCAGTCATGTCATTTAATATGTTCTCTGGAGTAGCAGTCATTACCGGTGCGGGTGGAACAGGTACGTAATACAGGGGACCTCTATGGATATATCACCAACACTGTCTAGGAATCGGAGCTGCAACAGCAAAAGCCTTTGCGACAGCAGGATGTGAGAGGATCGCTATCACAGATCTTAATAACGAGACTCTACAATGTACAGCAGAAGCCATTTCTTCAACACACCCCAAGACCCAACTCCTAGTGAGAGCCGGGAATGTGGCAGACGACCACTTCGCAGACTCATTCATCGACGCAGTCGTACAACAATTTGGCCGCGTTGACTATGCAGTAAACTGTGCAGGTGTTCTTGGCAAGCCACTACGGTCGGTCGAAACACCACTTGAAGAATTTGACCGTGTGAACAATATCAACTATCGAGGCTGCTGGCTATGTTCTCGAGCAGAGCTTAGACAGATGGCATCACAAAGTGAACTTCCAAGTCATGATCCCAGTCGTCCTGGTCAAAGGGGCTCAATTGTGAATGTTTCTAGTCAGTTGGGAATTGTCAGCCGTCCAGGTGCTCGTGAGTGTTGCTTTCTTGTCCATATAACCGGGCGACTAATATTCTTCTAGCTGCATACTGTGCATCAAAATCTGCTATCATTGGCATGACTCGGGCAGATGCTATTGACTATTCCAAGGATGGGATTCGAGTTAACTGCATCTGCCCAGGTGTGATTGAAACACCACTCGTCATGGAGAAGCCCGAGGTTCGCGCGGCCATCTCACCTGCAGTTGAGATAGCCCCCATGAAGAGAATGGGAAAGCCAGCAGAGGTCGCCGATGCAATTCTTTTCTTGTGCTCAACACAGGCCTCTTTTGTGCAGGGTCATGCTATGGTGGTTGATGGTGGATATATTACTGTATAGCCTACCCATTTACTTGTAATGCTGAAATAGTCCAGAAACTAAAGAAACAATATCAATGTCCCTATGCTCAAATGCAATGCATATATACAATTTAATCTAGTTCTTATCCGTCGTATACTGCATCTTCTTCCAATCATAGTGCGTCTCCCAGATATGTCCTGCCCGCAGGATCTTCTCCTCCTGCCACAATCCACCGACAATCTGCATTCCAACAGGCAACATAACCTGACTATCTTCCTTTGCTGGAGCGAACCCGACAGGGATGGAAAGAGCCGGATGGCCCGTCACGTCGAAGATAGCCGTGTTAATCGTGAGACCCATGCTAGGTTTCAACGATTCCAGTGGGAGTTCACGCTTGCCATGCTTGGGAGCAACGACCGGTGTAGTAGGCATGACTAGCACGTCGTACTTCTTAAACAAGGCCTCGTACTCATCGCTTAGGTATCGTCCAAAATTGACCGTCTTGCCGTAGAGATCGGGGAATTGTTTCATCAGATATAGACCATTAATCATCACGTTCTTCGTAGAAGGGAACGCGCGCTGAAAACCCTCATCGGTCCATGGAAGGCGTGCCCGTTCCATGTCAGTCATGTAAAGACCTCGTCGGCCAGTATTCTGACCCAAGAGAGTTTGTGCTCCAGCAATGCGTTGTTGAATAGTCCAGATAGCGGGTCCCTGATAGTGGTCTGGAAGAGATACTTCTTCGATAGATGCGCCCAGATCTTTGAACTTCTGCGCTGCAGTCAGAACTAAGTTCTTGACACTTGGGTCCACCTTGTCGTGTTCGAAGCCTTCAACCAGAATTCCGACCTTGAAGCCATCAAGTCGGTCGGGGGTCTGTTGAATTGTGGCTCCAAACTTGGTGGTGCCAGGTTTCTGGCTAACAAGAGACTTGTCATCGATACCATCATAGCCACTGATCACGTCTAGACACTGTGCCGTCTCCAAGGTAGTTCGAGTAAGCGGGCCTGCATGATCGTTCATCGCATCGCCACTAGCAATTCCAGTGAAAGGAACACGTCCGTGAGTAGGTTTCAAACCAACGCCTAGACAAATGTTAACGGACCATTCCGAGCCTTTTCCCACAGAAAAGTATCTTACATCCGCACAGTGAAGCAGGCACACGTATACTCCCACCCTGATCACCACCAATCGTAATATCCACCAAGCCCGCTGAAACAAGAGCCGCACCTCCAGAGGTACTACCACCAGCTGAGTATCCCACAGCATGAGGGTTCTCCACCGTTCCCTGGGCACTAGTATAAGAAGAAGTGGAATGACACATATTCTCACAAGTAGAGGTTCCATGGATATCAGCCCCGGCGTCCAAAAGCCGAGTCACAACTGTTGCATCGGTATTCGGAGTCCAAGGCGGAATGATATCGCTTCCCAAAAGCTGCGGTACGCCTGCGACTGCAATAACATCCTTCAAACTGACTGATTTGCCTGCCAGAGGTCCCCCTTGCTTATTACCCCGGATCAAAAACCGGTGTGCCCATGCCTGTCCGAAGACTTGTTCTTCTGCATTTGGTCGGCGCACATTTTCACGGGGGTACTTTGTCTGATCCGCGATTGGTTGATAATCTGGCAGGGCAGCGACACCCTCCGCGCAATCGTGTACCGCAGCGAGAAGAGTATGGAAATCCTGCGCCTCGGCCGGATCGATAGTCAGACCAAGGGGATCAAGGATTTTTTGAGCATCGTCTGGTTTGACGGGGTTGCTCCTAAAGTATAGTTGTCAGTAAGCTAATTTCCAGTTTGGGAGGGAGTACATAAAGATAAATAAATGGCAAGACACTTACTCTGAAATACTCGTGAAAAGAACCGACATGATCGCTAAGAAACACCGCTATGCTGTTGATCTCGTCTTCGTCAGGGGTAGTTGTAGTTTATGAACATTCGCTCTCGTGAGATTTTTTTTATTCCCATCGGTGCTCTCCGACAGCTGCTCATGGAGACCATTAAACTGGGTCTGGTTGCTCACGGTCGCTGGTATATTATTACCCCGACGACCCCAACCACGTTGGAGAAACAGCTCGGCATTCTTTCGAGATACCCATTGAACATGAGAAATTGGTATTATACATGCATTGGCATATGAAAAGAGCATTGGGAAAGGGAAAATGGCTATCAGTGGTCAGGGGTGAGGGGCTTATCTTCCCCGCAGTATATAAAAGCCAAGTCGGCGATTTTCAACTTCACCTCATTTATTCAATTATTCACTATGGCACCAAAGCGAGTTCTGATTACTTATGGCGTGGATGTCGATGCCGTGGCTGGTTGGCTGGGCTCGTATGGCGGAGAGGACTCTACAAACGACATCAGCAGAGGTATGCTTCGGTCCGTTCATGAAGCGATAATGCTCTAATTATCTGCGATGTAGGATACTGGGCAGGAACCATTGGCACTCAGCGTCTATTGAAGATGTTTGCTAAATATGACATCAAGACGACATGGTTCATCCCAGGTCACTCGCTCGAGACCTTTCCCGAGGATATGGCAGCCGTTCGCGATGCGGGACACGAGATCGGCTTGCACGGATACTCCCATGAGAACCCGACAGATATGTCGATCGAACAGCAACGCGATGTGCTCGATAAAACATACAAGATGCTGACCGAGTTTGCTGGGAAACCTCCTCGCGGTAGCGTGGCACCTTGGTCAGTCTTTTATTTATCCTACATTGGGGTACATTCTAATGAATGCATTGATAGGTGGGAAACCAGCCGAGAAGGCGCCCAACTCCTCCTCGACTATGGCATTGAGTACGACCACAGTATGAGCCACGAAGATTGCCAGGCCTACTACCTGCGGACCGGCGACAGCTGGACTAAGATTGACTACAAGAAGAAGGCGGAAGAATGGATGAAGCCTCTTGAGCATGGACCACAGACTGGTCTTGTTGAGATTCCATCCAACTGGTACATTGACGACCTGCCACCAATGATGTTCATTAAGAGTGCGCCGAACAGCCATGGATTTGTGAACCCGCGTGATGTTGAAGATATCTGGCGCGACCATTTCGACTACTTCTATCGCGAGTATGATGAGTTTATCTTCCCGATTACTATCCACCCGGATGTTTCGGGGAGGCCTCATGTGCTTCTTATGCATGAAAGGTGTGTTTCGTCTTTGTTTGTTTTGCTCGAGAATAGTGCTGACACCCGACAGGCTGATTGAGCACTTCAAGAAACATGAAGGCGTCGAATTCGTGACTATGGAACAAGTGTGTGACGATTTCAAGCAGAAGAACGCGCCTCCACCAGGGGCAATGATGCCCGCAGAGGCAGGAGCTATGCTAGAGAAGTGAATAGACACATTTCAGTAATTAGATATGATGCAATAATATCTTTGTTCAACAACTGTATCTCGTCTTAACTCATAAATGGGTCCAACTCCATCGACCCCAAAACGCCCTCAAACTACCCCAAATGATACCAAATCCAGCGTCCACCATTCTAGCTATCAGTATCAAAACAGAGGACAAGATATGACTTCGCAATAATCGAATATCTCTTTCCAACTCAGCCAACTCTACCCCGAAACCAGGGATCTACCCCAACACGACTCCAACATGCCAACCTCACCCCTATGATATCCCGCGCGTGTCGTTTCGTGGGGAAAGTGGACCAGCTCCTTCCGTCTTATCGCGCTTTAGTGTGCAATAGCTGTGACCAAAGTACGGTGATGCCCCGGAGAACATCCATGGTGCCAAGCCAGGCGTATGCGTGAAGAAAACAGGGGAGATAAGTGCCCTGCTCAGCGCTTGTCTATATATACCGACCGTGGTATCTCCAATCCAGAGCCCTGTGTTCGCTGCCTATACTTCCACTTGATCAGAAGCTTGCCAGAGCTCATCTTTCTCGTTCGTCATGGCACCCCATGCAGATGAGATCAAGGAAGCCCCTCTCTACACAGACGACCCCATCACCGACACACAAGAAGCTGAAGTTGAGGACAAATTCGAAGTCTTCAAACGCGGTGATGGCCAGGTCGATTTCAGGACTGTCAGTTGGATCCGGGCTTCGATTATCTTTCTAAAGAGTCAGTTGAATCCAGTTTTATCTCCCCATTGCTCGAGTGGCATAGATTGACATCGTGCCAGTCATCTTCGCAACCGGCGTCCTCTCCATCCCATCATTGATGTACCAGCTAGGAGCATTTCCTGGCGCCATCAGTGTAGTCGGATGGACTCTACTCAATACCTACTGCGCTATTGTGCAGGGTAACTTCCGCAATGCCTATCCGGGCTGTCACTCCATCGTCGATATGGCCCAGTTGGTCGGTGGACCGATCGTGAAGGAGCTCACTGGCTTCTTGTTTATGGTTAGCTATGTGATTGTTGCGGCATCAGGTATCATTGGCGTGTCGACTGCACTCAATGCCCTATCGTTGCATTCTATCTGTACCGTCTGGTTCTCATTCATCGGAACGGTCATCATTGCGATGTGTGCTAGTGTACGCAAGTTCTCACACATCGGCTGGCTCACCTGGGTTGGATTTGGCAGTGTCTACATCGCTGTCTTCATCATTGTGTCAGTCCCGCCATTCTTCCTCTCGGGTCAAGTACTAACGGTCCCAGCATCGGCGTCACGGTACGAGACCGACCGGCAGCAGCCCCCCAAATAGGCGACTTCGACTTCGGCTTCCATGCCATTGGAAACCCCGATTTCACAACGGGCATCACAGCCTCAGCAACAATCTTCGTGTCCAGCGCGGCAACATCCGCTTTCCTCCCAGTGATCTCAGAGATGCGCAAACCAAAGGACTACCCCAAGGCAGTCTACCTCAGCATGAGCCTGGTAACAGCTTCATACCTAACCTTCAGCCTTGTAATTTACGCCTGGTGCGGCAAGTGGATCGCTTCCCCATCGCTCGGCAGTGCTGGCGAAACCGTCAAGCGGGTCGCCTACGGGATCGCCCTGCCAGGTCTCATCATCAGCGGCTGCCTCTACGTCCACGTCGCAGCCAAGTACATCTTCGTGCGAATCCTGCGCAACTCGCGCCATTTGCAGGCCAATACGGCTGTGCATTGGGGCACTTGGCTCTCATGTACGATTAGCGTGGCGGCCATTTCGTTTGTCTTGGCGTGCGCCATCCCTATCTTCAACTATGTCTTGGCATTGGTGGGGAGTTTGTGTTTTGCGCCTTTGGCGATTACTTTGCCTGGGTGGCTGTGGCTGTATAGTCATCGCGATTATTGGAGGGGGGATGCTCCGAGGAAGATGATGTACGCTTTCCACGTCTTCCTCGTGTTGTTAGGACTGTTTATGGCTGTTGGGGGCACCTATGGGGTTGTAGTGCAGATTAAGGATGCTTATGCGGATGGGGAGATCTCGTCTGCATTTTCCTGCGCGGATAATAGTTGAGAAGTGTTGATGTCGCTGTACGCCGAGTATGCCTTGGTCTAGTCATGTCGGGTGGGTTGCCGTGCCCTAAGTAGGTTGAGGTCATCAGCTTGATTCTTCAGCTTTCTCTCCATCACCTGTTCTGATCTAGACTGTTTTTCTAAGAATTAATTCCTATCGAGACTATATGACCAGCCAATAAACTTCAGTTCACCGATTTCCTCTTGGCAGTTCCGCCGAGTCCCGTTTCCGCAACCGAACGCGCATCCGCCCACGTGGGCCTGTCCTGCCTCTTTCGTTCACTCTATACCAGCTCCGTCTACTCCTCATCAATTTCTCTTCTCTTTATATTCTTTCTATAATCTCTCTGCATTCCGTTCCTCTGCATCCGCATTCTCAACCCCTCCATATCCATATCCTTCAGGTCTAGGGGAGATCCAGGCCTTATCTCCGCTATAACCATCCGAAGCCTCCGCCATGGCTTTGCGCAACTTCACTATACTCTTCTTCCTCGCGGTCCATGCCACAGCAGCTGCAATCCCAACTGCCCCCTCAGTCGAAACAGATACACAACACGAAATTTCAATGCCATCCATCAAGGACTCGCCAACGAATCAAGCCGCGTCATGGGCTTCGTCCGTGGAGGCCCCACCAGCCGATAAGAGATCGCCGTACTATTTTCCCGAGACTATTCAAGATGACAAAGACATCGAAAAAGAAATTATATTGCAGGAGATAGCTATGCGCGAGGCGGGCTTCGTCCTCTCCAGCTCCCGGTCCTCGCAGGGAGTGCAAAAGTCGAATCGTCATCCCGTTTCTGGACCGAATGCTGGGATCGGCGCTGCTAGTGTCGGCACCGGCGCGGGCGTGGGGTCGGGTGACAGCAGGTACGCGAACAAAGTCTCGAATTCGAAGCTCAGTGTACAGGGTGGGTTCATTGAGGAACTTACGAAGGCTGCTTACGAGGCTTCTGAGGATGAGAGCGCTTTGTTCCCGCCGTTTGGGTTCCTTGTTGTTGCTGCTCTAGTTGTTTGTTTGGTTACTATTCTGAGAGGGATTGGGGCTAAGAAGTGAGGTTGCGATGTTTTTGTCTGGTTACATCTTGACTCTATCTCGCTTCTTTGTTTCATCGGGTGTGGCTCTCGGTAATGAAGGCATTGAGGGACTCATCTGCGCTGTCGCGTCGGATCGCGCGACTTCTTGGACACTCCACTACAATGGCCAATATCGGATCTCGGAGGCCAAGCTTCATTGTGCAAGTTTGAAGCACTTCTTTTGCAATGTCTATCTACGCATTGGCCCCCGGCCAAGAGCAATGAGACTAATCAGCAACAAACAAAAGACAACGAACAACTGCCTTCTAAGTCAACAGTATGTTACAGAAGCTCCTCGTCTAAAATCATGCAGCACACCTGCTATTACGTCGACTGGGCACCCCCATCTCCAACTCGGTTGATCTCTTGACAGATCACTGGAGCCCAATCCCGCCTTATGGATACCGCCGATGCAGGATATGCTCTGGACAAGGCTACAAACCTGCAGAATATATTATCGCTTACGGGTGGCTTACCAGCACCCCAAGTAAAACGTTCTCTCAATGGCCCTCAGATGTACAAGACCGCTGGAAGTATCATTATTGTGGATCGTTTCTGTCACGCTTGTCCACCAAACCAGTCTCACAGAATGGAACACTTGTCTAGAAGCTGTTTGGATATTAAACTCCTCATTCAACCTTTATGGTCCGTCGATCTGGCTCCTCATTGACATCACTTTCTTCGTAGCTTCGTGTACGCTCTGTAGATGTGCATGGCGACGTCTGAATATGTTTGAGATATGTCCATGTGTATCAGTAGTCTATGTAAGCACGGCTACCCCTTATTATCTACATAAAATTGTGAGGTAAAGGGCATAACAAAATTTACAGATGGATTTATGAGCAATCGATGGATGAAACCGAGTACAAACTAACACCATAGATGAAGCGGTCATGAAGTTGGCATCCAAATTAATCAGTCATTAAGCACAACTGTACACAATAACCTTCGTATGACCATTCTTTCGTACAAAATAAATGTCATGATACGAAAATGCCTCAGATCAGACATCCATCCGGCGCCTATCACTCAGCAGGTAGCATGTACATGGAGCTGCAGGTTGAGAAAAGGGACAATATCCTGCAAATCTTAAAAAGAAATATGAATATATATAAATAATGAATGGCGACCTGGAAATATGAGACCTGGATATCCACCAGCTCCAAAAACAAGGGTAGATCCATGTTAACCTTGTTCTAATTAGGAGATTCAAAGCTCCATCAAGATCCACTCCATCTACCCCAAGGGCTCATCTATACGTGGGAAAGGGAAACACAGTGATGAATGAGGCAGGCAAAATTTCTTCAGTCAAAAAATTAACACAAACCCATAGTTGAAGACAGCAATATACTATCAAGTTCTAGATCCTGCAGATCGGGATCGTATCAAATCGCTAGTTCTGCAGGAGAGATCGCTGATCGGGTTCCAGCAAGAACTGAGATCGTCCGAGGTGAGCCCTGACATCACTCTTGGTTTGTTAGCACAACATTTAATCATGAGCGCTGTGATTAGGGCGAAGAGACCACTGCTCTTGGGCACTGCTCTTGGGATCATCTAGTTTCCATCTTGAATGGAACCTATGTGCCTAAAGATGCCAAACTATGGACAATCAAATAAGCAGAATAGTCAGAAGGCCTAAATTCCAATGTGTAAATGACAGTCGAGAAAGAAAGAATAAACAGAGAGCATAAGAGAGGAAAGCCAATGCCTGACGCCACAGAAGTGCAAGAGACGACCGATGAGGAAGAAAAAACAATGATGACAAACGATGTAAACCACCCAGATGAAAGTTGAGCAATAACAATTACATTGACCTCTCTCTTTTTGCAACCCCACTCCGAGGAAATAAGCCGGGGAGTCAACAATAGACAAAACAGGTAGACAATGGATATGTACGCGAGATCTATAAGAGAACAAGGAAAAAGGAAATGGAAAAGAGAAAATGAAATGACCCAGCAAATGGTACGGAGAACATCCTTTGCGTTTACGAGTCGTCGACAAGACGCTTCTGAGTCCAGGCGCGTTTGGCACCGTCCAGAAGAACATCCATGTTACCGCTGTTATCGCACATGCCACGGAACAGACCGTCTTCCTTGTTGATCAACTCCCAGGGGTGATCAAACTCGATGACGCGGCCGTGGTCGAGGACCAGTACCTTGTCGTAGTCGATGATTGTTTGAAGACGGTGGGCGATGGTGATGATTGTGCTGTCACGGAGTTCGCGGAGGGTTTCTTGGATCTTAGCGTCTGTGGCGTAGTCGATTGAGGCGGTTGCCTCGTCCATCATTAGGACGCGGGGACTCTTGAGGAGAGCGCGGGCTAGGCAGAGGAGCTGGCGCTGGCCTTGGGAAAGGTTTGAGCCAGACTCTGAGACTAGGCTGTCAAGGTTGTGGAAGACGTTCTTGTTGTCGACTGCTGTGACTGTGCTGCCGTTTACGCCGTTCGCTTCTGTTGCTGTGACGGTGCTGGATGTTGTGGGGGTTGCGGTGCCTGAGGTGCTGGATCCAATTAGGTGGACGCGGCGGAGGGCTGTGAAGATTTCTTCATCGCTGAACAGGCCGAAGGGGTCCAGGTTGCTACGGAGAGTGCCGGTGAATAGGGTTGGGTCTTGGGGCACGATAGTGATTGCCTCACGCAGGTCGCGCAATCCAATTGAACCGATGTCGACACCGTCAATCAGAATCCGTCCCTTCTCGGCTTCGAGACCGCGGAAGAGAGCCAGTGCGAGTGAACTCTTACCAGCACCTGTGCGACCAACAATGCCAACCTTCTCGCCGGCCTTGACGGAGAATGAAACCTCCTTGAGAACAGGGTCCAGGTCAGGGCGGTAGCGGGTGCTGTAGCCGTTGAACTCTACTGCACCCTGGCTGGGCCAACCAGCGGTAGGTCGGGACTCAGGAATGACAGCGGCTGCCTCCTGGTCCACTTCGAGATACTCTCTCACACGCTCGACGGAGTTCATGTTTTGCTGAACCTCGGAGTACAGACGTACAAGCCAGAGGACGTTCTCTGTGAATGTAACGGCGTAGGTTAGCGAAAGACCAGCGGCACCGGCATCAATCTTCCCCACATTCAGTAAAACAAAGGTGGCCGAGAAGAAGGAAACCAAAGCACCGGTCCAGTCCACACGGAGAGCGAGCCAGCGGTTGCTAGCCCACAGGTAGATGTGTGGTCGGTTGTAAGCGTTGATGCGGCGGTGGTTGTCAATCATGAAACGGGGACCATCGCCATATGCACGAATAGTGACAATACCGTTAAGAGTCTCGCCGAATTGTTGGTACAGGGGACTGCGCTGAACAGATTCCAGACGCTTGAGATCACGAGAAGAGTTCAGGTAAACGGCACCGAGGGCAGTGTAAACCAGTGTGATAAATACACCAGCAATCAAGAAGCCAGGGGTGATGACGGAGATCAGGATGACGATCATAATGACCGACGCCAGACTGTGAAGCATGCCAATGGCAACAGGGGCAACCTCCTGGTCGACAGACTCGACATCCTTGGAAAATCGGTTCATGAGCTGACCAAGGGGGGTAGAATCGAAGAAGCGGAACTTGGCATGCATGACAGCCTTGAGAAGACGGTCGTGGATCTTCCATGAAGCATGGAGAGAACCCCAGAACAGGACAGCCTCACGAGACAGAGAAATTGCGATGTAAAGGAAACCAAGAAGAGCATAGACGCCGAGGTAATAGGCCACATTGACTTCGTTATCGGGTTCGCCGGTAGAGCTTGTACCGAACTGGGGCAAGCCCCAGCTGCTGACGCGACCAACGCTTCCAACATTGAAGGTTGGTGCCTTGAGGTGAGCGGCAGCGGCATACTGGCCAGCATCGTTGGCAGTGCCGGCCTTGTTGGAGGTGTGATAAGAGTTTGCCCATTGACGAATCCAAATGTTGGTGGAAACCGAGCCCAGTTGCTGCAGGCAGAACACCAAGACAGCTCCAATCCAGTAGTACCATGGACCCATGGAGCGGAGGTACATGCTGACGGTAGACCACTTGATGCTGCCAGTAGCCTTGGACTCTGACAACTTAGCCTTTTCATCCTTTGCGTTACCATTCGCTGTTCCATTGACTGGAGATTCGTTGTCCTCGCCTTCATGGTCGGAGGGCGCGCGAGATAGGCCACGGGAGCTAGCCCTAGAAGCAGGTCGAGACTTGAGGAATTCATCACCAAGGGCACCAGTGGCAGCAACATCATCGGGGCGACCCTGAGCGGAGACCTTGCCGTTCTCGAGAACCACGACATGGTCGGACTGGGGCACAGTCAGAGCAACGTTGTGAGTTACCAAGATGCAGGTACGGTTAAGCATCAAAGGACCAGTAAGAGCTTGGCGGAAGATGTGCTTGGCGGTGTGAGAGTCGACAGCAGAGAGACAGTCATCCAAGAGCAAGTGGCGACCACTGCTGTAGATGGCACGGGCAAGAGAGATTCTCTGCTTCTGGCCACCGGACAGACTGATACCCTTTTCTCCTACAAGAGTCTGATCGCCAGCATCAAGGATCTGAAGATCACGCTCAAGAGCACAGGCCTTGAGCACGGCACGGTAGCGACGCTCATCGTAGGGAGAGGCGAAGATGATGTTTTCCTTCACGGTGTCGTTGACCAACCACGCTTCCTGAGCACAGTAAGCGACGCTGTCAATCAAGCCAGTTTCGGGGTCGACGGGGAGGTCTGCTCTGTTAGACATTCCACCGGGGAGGTGAACACGACCATCCAGGAGTCTCATCTCTCCGAGCAGAGCCATGAGCAAAGACGTCTTTCCAGAGCCAGTGGGACCAGCAATGATGTTCAACTTTCCGACAAGGAATTCGACATCGATGTTGATCAAGCGGAAAGAGTCAAGACCATCAGCCGATCCAGCTTCTTGGGGTGTGGGCTTTGAAGTGCTCCAGGTGAGTGTGGCCTTTTCAAGGCCAAGCCGAGCGGGGGTACCTGCAGTGGTGCTATCACGGAGCTGGTCATACTTGCCAGTCTCTTCCTCGTTTAGGTACCTATCAACACGGTCCAAGGAAACCTTGGACTCCTGAACGTGGGCTACCATGTCCGCCAGTTGATCCAGGGGAACACGGAGCAAAGAGAACATTGACAACGCCGGGAAGGCAATGGAAGGAGTCAATTGCTTCTTCTCGACAACAGTGTACAAGAAGAATGACAAGAAGGTGATGAGAATCGGTGTTCCGTACCAGACAGTTGCAGCAGAAGACCAAAGGATATATCGCTTGCGAAGCGCCTTCAGTTCAGTCTTGCGCTTCTCATTGACAATATCCTGGAACCGCTGCTCCCACGCAAAGTACTTGATGATGCGGATGTTCTGCAGTACTTCGTTGGTAGAATGGATACGAGCGTCAGTACCCTTCAAAATCTGGTTCTGCACCTTGTTGAACTGGCGGGCGATGAAGAGGTTGACAGGTAGCATGCAAACCATGATTGCGATACCAGCGAAGGAGCTGAAGCCCATGATGTAGTAAAGCAGAGTGACAGCCATGGTGATCTGCACAGGCACGCTGGCCCACAAGAAGTGGAGATAAGCGCCAACCTCGCTGACCTTGAAGGAGTCGATCGCCATCAAATTGATGATTGTACCGACATTAGCTTGGGTGGTATCCTCCTCGGCAGCAGGCTTAGCTCCATTCTCTGTATCATTGGCATTGGCGGCCTTCTTCTTGCGACCGAAAGAAAACAGACCCTTCTTCTTCTTGGCATCTTTGACGAGGGGTTCCTCGACGGCTTTGCGGGCCGCTTCGACCGAAGCGCCTGCTTTGCGTCGGAGGGCCTTGGCGTAGATCTCACCAATAATAATTGCGCGGATTCTAACACCCATCTTACGACCGATGTACAAGGCTTGTCCATCAGCCACACCCTGGACCGTAGCACAGCAGAAAAGCAAAATAGCGTACAACCAAGCCGCATTAGGTGTAGTGGATCGAGGGTCCTCAACATACTCGAGGATAGCCTTGAGAAGTAGACTGGGCATGAAAACAAATAGGTTGGCAAAGACAGTCCAAGCACCCTGCTTCAAAATTGTCCCGGCAAAGAAGCGAAGCAGCTTCCACGCCAGAGAACCCTTCATCTGGCGCTTGCGGAAGTCACTGAGAACGTTGGCGGCCTTTTGCGACGGGGTCAAGTTCCAGACATCCTCAAGCTCCAGAGGTTGACGGTAGCCCTTCAGGACAAGCGGATCCAGCCAGGAGAATGTTGCGAGCGACAACAAACTGGCCATAGGGTGCCTAGGGGGCTCCAATCCGTCTTCACGTTCGACCAGAACTGGCTTGTTGCCTCGGCGAGTGGTGAGTGCGATGAGCAGGAGCAATGTGCTCAACGAGAACTGAACGCTGCTCAGTACCAGGGCGCGCTGAGACAAGGGGTGGATAATGGCGGAGCGGAAAACCATGACGTTGAAGAGCCACTGGACGCTGTAAAGGAAAGCCGTGTGGTTCCATAGTCTCGGGGCGGAGGAAATATCCAATGTTGACAGCAGAAATCGGACCAGCACCAAGAACAGGATATAACCCCACGATACCAAACCAGCAACGGCGGGAAGGGTCCCATGACGACCCCAGGCTTGAGACGACAAAATCACAATGAACACTGCAACTTGGCCAACAAGCGCAGCGATTTCAGCCAAGACAACAGCAATTTCTCCACGTGGGCGATCGACCTCAGTCTCGTTTTGCTCCTGTTGTACAGCCTGGAAGAGCATATTATCAGATTCATTTTCCTGGCCGTTGGGGATCTCTTCGGAGTCATCGTTCGGGAGAGCCTTGTATGTAACTCCTATTCGGGAAACCAAGTATCGATGGGCGAGGCGAATAACAACCAGCAGCACGGATACGCTGCAAGCTGTGAGGGGAAGGATAACTTGTAGGATGCTATATGATGTATCTCATGATCAGCACGGAACCAACGGTCGCAAGCGCAATTTTGAAAAACTCACTTGCGTTGGAAGCAACGAGACAAGTCGTCAATGGCCCAGACAGGGCCGTGACATTGCGGCAGCATGACTGGCGGAGCGCAAAGCTCGCAGAGACTTATGCTCTCGGACCTCGCGCGAAGCGATCACGCAGCTCTCGAGCTGGCGACGACGTCAAGTTAGGCAATGCGACCGGAGTAAATTCGATCCTTTAGCAACAATGTTCAACTTGACAAGACAAGGCGGGCATTGCAGGATCGACCAAAGTTTGACGTGTCGGAGCGGACGAAGATTCCGGTACCGAGGGCCTTTGAGGCGAGTGAGCGAAGGCTCAGATATAAAGGAAGGGAGTTATCTGAGAGACAAGTAAAAGTGAGATACTGTTGAGAGACCTTTAGGGCGGGGGAGGAGAAAAAGAACTGCAGGGATTGCGAGTCTTCCAAAACCGGCGGTGGACGGACTCCGGGTAGGGTGACATAGGCGGCCACCACGTTTGGGTGGCCGACGAGGTACTAGTACTTAGGTAATTGCCGTGCGCAGTATCTACTAGGTGAACAAAGCTATTATATTGCTAACTGGATTAGGAGTCCGACTATTCGAATTCTTTGGAGTTCTATGGAGGGTTTCGGCGATCTCTTATCGGAGAGTTCCCCACTGAGAGAGAAGACATGCAGGTGACTCTCCAGGTACCTAGTAGGCCAGTTAGGTGCAGGTCTGATAGGTGATAGGTATCACGCTGAAAGGCAAAGTTTCGTGATTACTCAGTCGCCACCGGATTCCCAAGGTTGCAACTTTGTCAGGCACCCTTTTGTCATATATAATTTCCGACCCAACTTTCTATCGTCGCGAACTCACCATGGCAGAACGCATACTCATGAACGAATTTAAGGCCCTTCTCAAAGAGAAATGGGTTCACGTTGAGGTAAAACTTCATCCTCACCTCCCTAGAATATCCCGCCTAACCTTCGCAGTTACACAATGACGACATCTTCAAATGGGATGTTGCCCTTCTCCCGATCAACCCAGACTCGATTTACTACGGGGGCTATTTCAAAGCCACCATGCGCTTCCCTCAGAACTATCCTTACTCTCCACCTGGTAAGGAACCCCATCCCAACTTCCTCCCACCATGAGCCATGTGACTAACAAGGTCGCTCCCCAGAATTCCGCTTCCGAAAGGCCCTGCACCACCCGAACATCTACCCAGACGGAAAGCTGTGCATCTCAATTCTCCACGCCCCAGGCGAAGATGCAATGTCCGGTGAACTCGCCTCCGAGCGCTGGTCCCCGGCCCAGCGCGTCGAATCAGTCTTGATCTCGATAATCTCCCTCCTAGACGACGCCGAGCCCTCCTCCCCAGCAAACGTCGATGCAGGCATTCTCTTCCGCATGGACCCCGAAGCCTACCGCCAAAGAGCCAAGGCCGAAGTAGAGAAATCCAAGGCGGATATCCCGGCTGGTTTTGTCATGCCAACTCACGAGACAGCCATCGTTCGCGAACCTGTCGAGAAGGAGGATCCTGACTTCTGGGCCGACAGTGATGCAGACAGCGATGTCTTCGGCGGGAGCGACTCGGACGAAGGTCTTCAACAGTTCAGTGACAGCGAGATTGACGAGCTCGACGAGGGGGACGATGACTCCCTTGAGGATACGATGAAAGCTTGAGGTGACCGGTTCACCTCAGGTATTGAAGTGGGCGTGGGTCGACATCAGTCCTTTTCATGTCTCGCATTCACGGTTATGGGCGCATAGTTAGCATTCTCGGCGCATCTTATCTATTGGGCATTTTATCTTTTTCATCGGTGCCGTGGGATCATGGTTATGGCATATGGTTATAGCATACGGGGTTTGCGATTTGCCTTTCCTAAGTACATTCTTCATTCAATCAGATTAACATTCCACATTCCACTTGATGCCATTTCCCACGTACTGTGTAACTTGCACCGTCATGATATCAGCCCTATCACCAATCTCCATTGCCCAGCAAAAGTGGACTCTTCCCCACACCCCGTCCTTAACTCAGTATGAACCATGCCTATATCGGACCTCTGTACACAACCAGCCCAATCTACCAAAAGTGTAGAAATGGTGAGATGCCAACCTAGGCATTTGTAGCCTGGACAACTGCACAACTCACCAACTACCCCCAACAGAAGTAATTAATGCTACAGGTTGTAATTTCTACAAGGCCAGCTGCACAATCTACAGCTGCTATCACACGGCAACAACAGCCCCCACAATTCTCGGGCCCCCTCACCGGGTCCCCAACGTCCTACCTCGGCTCTGTCGCCCGGACTACAGAAGTAGACACCATACGCGCAGCTCTTATCAGTCGGACATGCTTCGCAGGTTACTGGTCTAGGGGAAGGATATGCATATTTACCAAGGTGCAGCTTTTATGCGGCGCGCTCGCTTACCTTTATGCAGGACTATATACTAAAGCTGCTCCGATAGAGAATTTCTAGATCAATTTGGTTGTATAGTAGACTTATAGTAGACTAGTATACTACGTAGTAAAGAACGAGACAACAAAATAGCAAGAAGCAGTCTGTATAGGAGTGATACGGGGTAGACCCGTGGATTCATGAGAACCCAACACGAAATGATAAACCCAAAGAAAATATGAAATGCGCCTGTTAGTCCATTCATCCAAATGCCCGCATTGTTGGACCCGTCACTGACTGGATCCGAACAAGCTTCTAGTCTATGCAGAGACAGCATCCTTGATCTCGCTGTAGATGGCACCGAGCTCGCGGTGGAAGGACTTCTCAGCGCTCTCGATGATCTCGTGGACACGGTCCTCAACATCGTGGACGTAGTCTTCGACATCGGCCTTGGCCTTGTAGCCACCATCGGCGAGTATCTGGGTGTAGTTGGAGGAACCGCCACCGTTCCAGGCGAGGAGCTAAATAACGTTAGAATTGAGTGATACGGAAAGGTGGACAGTAGAGAAGAGCTTACGTTGGGGGTGTCGGCAGGCATGTCAGTCAGTGTGCCCTTGGTGGCAACGCTGATGAGAGCATCCTTGAGCTGCTTGGGGGTGACGTCGGCAACAGCGAAGGCCGAGTCCTTGGCAGGAGCCAGGGAGACGTAGTAGGCCAGGAGACCAGCAATGTGAGGAGAGGCCATGGAGGTACCGGAGATGGTGTTCGTGGCGTACTTGCTGCCGATCCAGGTGGAAAGGATGTTCAGACCGGGGGCGAAGATGTCAGTGCACTTTCCGTAGTTGGAGAAGTAGGCACGCTCATCAGCCAGGGTGGAGGCACCAACGGTGACGGCCTTCTCAGCAGCAGCGGGAGAGTAGTTGCAAGCATCGGCGTTGTCGTTACCGGCAGCGACAGCGAAGTGGATACCAGCATCGACAGCGGCGTTAACAGCGAGATCAAGAGTGCGGGAGCTGCCACCACCGAGAGACATGTTGGCAACGCTACCCTTGAACTTCTTGTCACCAGACTTGGACTTCTTGATGTGAGCCTCGGCAGCCCACTCAACACCCTTGACGACATCGGACATGGAGCCAGAGCCGTTGGAGCGGAGGACCTTGACAGCGTAGACGTTGGCCTTCTTGGCAACACCGTACTTCTTACCGGCGATGGTGCCGGAGCAATGGGTACCGTGACCGTTTCCATCCTCATCGGCATCGCCCTGGGGAACAGTCTTGCCCCAGTTGGCACGGCCCTCGAAATCAGTGTGGTCCACGTTGGTACCAGTGTCAATCACGTAGGCGTCAACACCCTCACCGCCATCCTCGGCGTAGAGGTACTTGTTGAAGGTACCAAAGGAGAGGCTCTCACGGTGAGAGATACGGGCAAGACCCCAGGGGGCGTTCTTCTCGGTCTGATGCTCATCCATGGTGCGGACCTCAGAATCCTTCTCGATGTACTCAACCTATTGAGAAGAGCATTTTGATTAGCCGCTGGAGTTCGATAGTAGGGGAAAGGGGTGCTTACATCCGGATGCCGGCGGACCTGCTCGATGACATCCTCGTGGAAGTGACCAGCATATCCAGTGAGACCACCAGCGATGTGGAAAGTGTGCTTCAGACCGGTGAAAGCCTCGAAATCGAAGTCAAACAAGGAGCGCTTCTTAAGCTCCATGCGACCGTTCTGAGCTGTGTGGATGTCCTGCACCCAGCTGTGGTGAGCGGAAGCAACCTTCTGGTTTACGTGGTTCTTAAACACGATAATGTAGGAGTCAGGGATGTCCTCGGCGGTTGATGAGGAGAGGATGGGAGCTGCGTCATTGTGAATGGAGCCCACCGATAGAGGTGAGGCAGCTGCCAGCAACGGGAGCAGAGTCAGGCTCAAGAAGCCTTTCATGCTGGGCAGATTAAATAGAGCAGAGTCAAAAAGGACAAATAATAGGAAGTGTAGGATGAGTTGAGGATAGGATGGGGGAAGGAGAGAAGGGAAATGAGGAGAAGACGGGGGAGGACTCTCTTATCTGAGGTGATGATGCAAGCAACCTGTGACCTGGACTTGTCGATCATTGACCAGTCAGAGTGGAGTACGGGGAATGTACGGGTATCGCCTCTTTCAATGTCTTGCCTATCTACTGTATCTGGTTAACCTTGGAAGCCAGGTATATTTAGCTAAGACCTGATACTATCTAGAATATAATATAATTTGAGCTACTCGAAGCAGAATATTCTCTGTGATACTACTCCGTATAGTTGATTCGTGTTTGAGACGCCAGGTACCCGGGTCCCTGCACCTTGCCGCAAGGCAACTTCTCCTCCGAAGTCGCGTGCTCGGGTGACTCAACCCTTGACATTGAGAGTTGCGAGATTAGCGCACCATTGGATGAACTTGTGACCGATTTGCGGAGTATATTAGAGGGTCTTATAGGATAAGTAGCCTATCGTCTCCACATTACGCCTGAGAGTTGTCTTATCGCTTATCACCTCTTATCACCCGTAAATTACCTGTTTTGGGAATACGTCCAGCCCCCAAGCCCCAAGTCACCTGATATGTAACTTCCCCCTCACGTGTGGCTGATTTCCGATGACGACAAGCGCGAATTAGCCTCACTGTCTCCCTTGGCGCACTGTGATGCAGACGGTACCCGCAGTTTCCATATTCACCTCCGATGGTCACACGGAGCGGACGTGATTAAGATTTGGCCATGTCTCCGGCTTTCCTCCATCCTGCCTCCCCAACCGGATCGACCGAACGATTGGCCGATGAGCTAGCTCCGACAATTGAGCAGCTTCAAAAACTTGGTGCGGGCACCGAAGTTACTCTACCACAGGCCCTCTCGACGACCGAATCGTTGCTTCGTCTTCGCCATACCTTCATCGACGATGCCCATCCTCGTACCGCGAAAGACGCATTTCGATACAACAAGGGTTTCCAAACTCTTCTGAGGCTGGCTGACCAGCTAGCTGAGCTCTATGACCCCGAAACCCTGTCCAAGGAAGAACGAAAGAGCCTACTTGGTATTTTCAAGGACGTCTTGGGTGTGCTGGCCGAGAGCCTGAAGGAACATTTCGGCAACAAGCGATATTTTGCGCGGAAGATAGTCGGAGGTGGCATTGCTGCGTTGGAGAGAACTTTGACCGTATTAGTCAAGAAGATAGATACCACGAAGAGTGATGCACAACATCTCTATGGGGCCATCCTGGCCGCAGCTCTATGCCAGGAGACCGTGGCGGGTATTTTTGTGACACTGGACACCAAGTTTCCCGAAAGCGACACTTCACGGTCTCCAAAGGAAATCCAGGAAGCTGTTGACCATTGCATTGGGTCGGCAGAAACCGTGGAGGTGCCGGAACTGCTCGGGCCATTCCTTCGTGTTTGGCTGATGCACTCATCCTTTTCGTCCGGATATGATGTTCTCCGCCTGGCTTTACCCGCTTGCCTGTGCCAACTCGCCTCTCAATCTCGCAGAAACGTCGTAGCCCTTCATGCCACCGATATGCTGACATCGATCTTGCCTCTCTTGTTTGACGGTGCACGATCCGGCAGCGAAAACGCAATCTATCAAGATCTTGCAAAATATCTCAGCGTTCAAGGCATGAGCAACCTGGATGATGCGGTTGCCCTGTATCGCGGGGCCCATGAAAACCCGCAAGTGTTGAAGGTCCTGCTTGCTGCTCTCAAGTCATCCAAGGAGCCCCCATCAATACAGTTCGATATGTCCCGACACGGCTATTGCTCTGTTGAGTTCGGAACCCTTGGCCGCCCTTTTCCACCTATCACCTCCGCTGGATACACTCTGTCTGCCTGGGCTCGTTTTGATGAATTTGATTCCAATACCCATACCACTTTATTTGGAGCGTTCGATGCTAGCCAAACATGTTTTATTCTTGCATATCTGGAGAAAGACACTCGAAATTTTATCCTTCAGACTTCAATTCGAGGACCACGACCTAGTGTTCGATTTAAGTCAGCCAAGTTCGAGCCAAAGCGCTGGTATCATATTTGTGTGGTGCACAAGAAGCCCAAGCCAATGTCTTCTGCGCGGGCATCCCTTTTCATAGACGGTGAATTCGTTGAACAATTGAAGATCGAATATCCCTCGGTTCCTACAAGCCACCATCCAAGCAGACCACCCCGCATCCAGGCTTTCTTTGGCACTCCCCAAGACCTGGCAATGCGCCTAGGAAAGGGAGTGTCTACTTCACGGTGGTCGCTTGCCAATGGCATACTTTTTGACGAAGCTTACAGTGATGACATGATTGCTGTGTTCTACAACCTTGGGCCTCGGTACTACGGTAATTTCCAAGATTGCCTGGGATCTTTTCAGACATACAAGGCTTCTGCAACCCTCAATCTGCGGAACGAACATCTCCACCCTGGCAAAGAGGAAACCTCAGATATCGTCACTGCCATTCGTAGGCGGGCAAGTACTTTGATTCGCGAGAGCTCAATCTTGATCAATGTTTCTTCTACTGCTGTTCTGGATGATGATGACAGTAATAATGTTGACGAGTCGCAACTGATTAAATGCTTGTCAAGACAGGCAGCAAAGAGTTTGCAGCAACTCACCAAAGCAGGTGGCAATGCTGTTGCTGTTAACGGCGCAACTCCAGCTATCAATGATGGGCTAACACAGCCCCAAGGAGTGGGCATTCTGACTGGTGATCCTGTTGTTGCCGTTCCCAGAGCACTTGACGACGCCAGTTGGTGTCTGGGTGGCTGTGCTGCGGTCCACTTGAGCTTAGTCCAGGCTGCCAGTACCGCAGAAAGCACCTGCATGGCCGTGGAGGCTCTCTACGAAGCCGTGCAAGACAATTGGAGAAATAGCGAGGCTATGGAAAGAGAAAATGGCTACGGTATTCTGGGGGCTTTGTTGCGCGAGAAGCTTGGATTCCACATGGGCAATGTCCCAGGCGCATCGAGAGTTCATGTAGTCAGCTCCGACCCCGATGAGCTATCTACTCTTACGCTCGACTTACTACGTCTGACTCTCGCATTTGTTGGATACGATTTCAAGCAACCCAATCGATCCATTATCACAAATCCGCTTGCCTATCGTGTCCTGCTTGTCGATATGGACGTCTGGCGACTGGGAGAATCTCCTGTGCTTGAACTGTATTACTCGCAATTCCGCACATTTGCTTCTGGTAGCAATTATCGTCGTTTCAACGCTAGACGTCTCGGTCGTATGCGTGAGTATTCATACCACTACAAGCCTTCCGTTAAAGCTAATAATAATAGGAGTCAACAAAAAGCTGTTGGAGACTTTGAAAAGCGGGGACTTAACTGAAGAGTCACTCCAACCTTGTCTATCGGCATTCCGCTCCTTGATGGAGAGCAGCCCATCTCCCGATCTCTTACGGTCACTGGCATTATCCATTACCTATGCACTCCACAAGCCAAAGACATCCTCTAATTTACAGAGAAAAAAGAGCTTGCGGTTTGTTCCTCCTTCGTCCCGACCAGCATCGGCAAGATCGGAGTCAAGTAAAGTACCCAGTATCACTTTGGGGATTGAGATGCTGCGTCTCTATGCATCTGTGCTGTGTGACCCCCGTGAACCCGCGCCATTGAGGAAGTTCGCTAAAGCTGTCACCAACAAATGGCTTCTTTACCTCATGTGTGAAGATGAGCCTGAGATCGTGGTACTTGCTACAAAGATATTAGCCCGTCTATTAGTGGTTCACGGTAGCGGATACAGCAAGAAGTTTGCAGAGAAAAGCGGTGGCTATATTATCCTAGAACACCGTCTGAAACGATGGTGGGATGTGCCCGCTCTGTGGTCTATATGCTTGTCCATCTTCTTTGGCCGTGATACTGCCATGATGGACCTCGAAAAGCCATTTGACCGGTCTAGTCTGGTGGATACGTTCCTGGCCGAGGGAGATTTAAATGTTGTCTTTCCAGATATGCTTCCGGTAATTGTGAATATGATGAAGAGCGGTATGTGGCATATCGTCATGCACGAGGGTGAAACCAGTGCCAGTGGCAAAGGTCTCGAAGAGCATGCTTCCATTTGCGAAAAGCCAAAAATGGGCTCGCTCAAGTTGAATGGTAAGCTTTGAGACAGATGACTGTAGCATTTTTCTAACCTCGAATTTCAGATGCTACCACGGCCGATCAGACCATTCTTGGCTTTTCCGTCATCAGCTCGGTTGTCCAATTTTTGGCAGAAGCACGCACCAAATCCGCAAGCTTCCAAGATTTCACCACGCACTCTACATACGTACAAGAGCTTCTTTCTGTGCTATATCCTGTCATTGTCGGCGCTAATACTGTTGGTCCCAACACGGAGCTAAACTCCGGCCACAGTGGGCTTAGCTTTGACGACAGCAACTTGGTTCTCCGACCACGCTCAAGTACTGCAAATGCACCCGCCGCTTTGCAGACGGCTACAGTAGACGATTCGGGCAACCCAGAGGAGAGCGCTGGTTCTTTACGACGTGGCTCGTCTTTCATTCTAGTTTCCTCTGGCAAAGCCAAGCACCAGCCCTCTTGCGCTCAAATTCGACGTTTTGTGAACCCAAGATTTACCGGCAATGAGGCTGCCATGCAACATCCGCTCGTCAAGTCCATCTTCGAACTCATCTTGTCTGTTTTCAAGGATCAGCTACTAGGCCGCAAAGACTTCTCAGGTCTTGGTCTCTATCTCAAGACCCCACCTGGTTTCCTGGAACACCAAGCTTACTTCAACTCCTGGGTCTTCAGCTGTGTGCTTTCCACATTACAGGATTTGCCTTTGGTTCAGCCGGGTCTTCTCCATGAGCCCCGGACCCTGACGAATCTTGGGCGTCTATCAACACATTTGACAGAGGCAGTATATGAAGGCTGGTTCATCAATGGAGCCGCGTCTACGCTAGAATTCACCGGGACAATCCTAGAATATCTGCAGCGCCCTGACATATCTCAGCTGAAGAGCATCCGTCTGTGCAACCAGGCCGTGACTACTATCCGCTCAACCCTCTATAAGGTTGTCTTGTTCCAGCTGTCAGAAGCAGATGACACACAGACTGTTCCTCTCCTAAATCGCTTGAATTACTGGCAGGTGGTTCTTCTTTCCGCAGCTGAAACCCAGTCAAAGCATTTGCACCTGCTATGCTATCTTCTCTATACCAAGTTGATCAGCACTAACGCAGATGTCCGCTCAGCTGCTGCAAGTCTATGGAGAATCATTTTGGTGCAAGCACCCGATGAAATAGTGCTTCTTCTAAGCCATGTTCCTGTCGCCCTCCAACGTCGATTGGCTGACGGCTTTGACGCTCTTTCCGGAATGGAAGATGAATCATTCTTACAGTGGATTGACGAACAACGAGTTGATCTCGATGCTTTGTTCTTTGGCATAATGTCTCGATCATGGGAGACATTCGTGCAAGATGAGAATGCAAGCAGCGAGGAATCTGTCCGCACTCGTGTCTCAAAACGCAAAGACAAACTGAGACAGTGGGCTCAGATCGAAAAGTTTGACGAAGACATGGTTCGGAAGCACGACGCAACATTACCACACTGGATCTCCAACATTGCAGCATCGGAGTTCTTGAAGTCCCAAAGATTCTTGCAAGACCTGCAGGATAGCTCAACATTCATGTGGTCTGCCTTCTCTAATCTGCTACTCGATCTTCGGCGACCAGGTGGTCTTCTAGCAGAGAACAAAGAACGAAGATGGCGGCTGGACCAGACGGAAGGTCGCAGCCGTATGCGACTTCGTCTTGTTCCCGATGAGTCTGGCGGTCGACAAGACTACCAGCCTAAGCGGAAGGCCTCCGAGCCCCCTGTAGTCAAAATTGATACTCGGATACGTGCACTCTCGGAGGGGGAGAGCATGAACACGCCTCATCCACTAAACGGCGATCCCGAAAATGTGGAACCCGAGTCACCAGGGGGCGATGCTGACAATCGAAGCATATTGGAGGATAACTTCGAGATGATCGATGATCCTAAGATCGAACTGGAGGACTATGAAGATAGGAACCGGAAGGTCATGCGGTCTTTGCAACGTGGCGATCAAGTGCAAAGCGTGTGCAACTTGTCTCGGATCATCGGTCTAGAAGCAGTGGAAGGAATCTTGATTCTTGGAAAAGACTGCATCTACATCCTGGACAACTTCTTCCAGAGAGCAGATGGCGAAATTGTCAATGTTTGGCAAGCTCCTAACGAGGAGCGAGATCCTTATGTACGAATGATTGCCGGCCGAGAATCCAATGACCGCCGCTCCCAAGAGCATGAAACAAGAAGTTGGAAATGGTCAGATCTGGTCAGCGTTTCTAAGCGCCGCTTTTTATTCCGTGATGTGGCTCTGGAAATATTCTTCACGGATGGCACAAGCTATCTGTTGACGCTGATGTCCGCAAAGTCCCGAGACGATTTGTGCAACCAACTTGGAGTCAAGGCACCACAAATTACCGGAAGTGCTGGACATTCACGGCCAGAAGATATTTGGCGCTTTGAGACACTCCGCAGCCAAGATGATGCACCCCAGTCCCTTGGTTCAAAGTTTGCCAGCGTCTTCGGTCATCTCCCATCAAATCCAGCAACGCGGAAATGGGTCAAGGGAGAAATTTCCAATTTCCATTATCTCATGTTGATCAACACTTTTGCCGGACGTACCTTCAACGACTTGACCCAGTACCCTGTCTTCCCATGGGTCCTTGCAGACTATACCAGCGAGGAGCTTGACCTGACCAACCCCGCCACCTTCCGGGATCTGTCAAAGCCTATGGGATGTCAAACTCCGGAGCGAGAAGCGGGCTTCCGAGAGCGGTACAATGCCTTCGCTGAGATGGGCGACGACAACTCGCCTCCTTTCCATTATGGAACCCACTATTCCTCTGCCATGATCGTCAGCTCCTACCTCATTCGCCTCCAGCCATTCGTCAAATCCTATCTCCTCCTTCAAGGTGGCAGCTTCGACCATGCAGACCGCCTCTTCTACTCCATCCGCAAAGCATGGGAATCGGCGTCCCGAGGAAACATGTCCGACGTACGAGAACTGATCCCCGAATTTTTCTATCTCCCAGAGTTCTTTGTAAATTCAAACAAATACGACTTCGGTCTGCTTCAAAATATGACCACGGCTATCGACTCAGTTGAGCTGCCACCCTGGGCAAAGGGCGATCCCAAAATCTTCATCGCGAAGCACCGCGAGGCACTCGAAAGCCCCTACGTGTCTGAGAACCTGCATCACTGGATCGATCTGGTATTTGGCAGCAAGCAAAAAGGCGAAGCGGCCATTGAATCTGTCAATGTCTTCCATCATCTTTCTTACAAGGGTGCCAAGGATCTGGATGCTATTGATGACCCCATGGAGCGACTTGCTACTATTGGTATCATTCATAACTTTGGACAAACTCCCCATCAGATCTTCCAGAGACCTCATGCGCCGAGAGAAGATCAACGTCATCGTATACCTCGATTGGACACGCTTGCAGAGTCGTTAACGCAGATGCCGTTGTCTCTCCTCGGTAATTTTCCTCTTCGGTGCTTTTATTCGCTGAACAAGTTCGTCTATGCTAACACTGTGTAGATATCGAAGAGCGAGTGTCCAATCTGTCCATGAAACAGGATCGTCTTCTTTGCACTGCTGCTCTCAGGCTGAATGTCCCACCAACTTACGAGTATTACATGGAGTGGGGATTCTTCGATGGAAGTGTCCGGTTCTACGCCACTGACACTCGCAGGGTAAATAACTCTCCACGTGGCCAAGATTACATAGACTCTAACATTACTAGCTTCTGGGACACTTTGAGCACCTCCACGTTGGCCAGCTCTCCTGCGCCAGCTTCGCAGATTCACGCACTCTTGTTACCTGTGGCACCGACTGTACTATTTCACTATGGACGGTTACTGCGACTTCCAAGTCGGTTGATTTGCAGCCCATTGGATCACTCTTTGGCCACCGAGCACCTGTAACCGTGCTTGCCGTTTCACGTTCCTTTAGTGCATTGTTATCTGCATCTACTGATGGACAGATCATGCTATGGGATCTCAATCGACGATGCTTCGTGCGAGCACTGCCTACGGATGGTACAGTTGATGTATGTTTTCTTCTTGGTGTCGACTCCATTTCCGTTTATATACTAACGAACCGTAGTGTGCCCGCATCAACGATGTCTCTGGAGACGTCATGGTCTGCCGTGGCAATCGCTTGACCCTGTACACACTCAATGGGGTGGTGCTAGTCGACCAGCCTGTGTGTGATTCAGGTGATGATCACGTCTTATCATGCGTTTTCTACGAAGGCGTGCAAAATGAATGGCTAGAGCGTGAACTGGTATTAACCGGCCATTCTCGCGGTGTGGTCAACATCTGGAGCAAAACTATCCGCGCCGGCCGTTGCGAGCTGGAGTTAATCCGACAACTGCATCATACTGACAGCAACCGTGACACCGGTGCGAACATTAGCGCGGGTATTAGTTGCATCCTGACCCTTCCCCACGTGGTTTATACCGGGGACGAGGCAGGCCGAGTGGTGAGTTTCCACTTTCTATTTCAATTGGCCCAGCTAACGTGATCATAGTATGAGTGGAATTGTATCCAGCGCCGCTAAGCATCGGAGTACTGATCTCCCTGTCAATAGTTCATAACCCAAAAGCATCCGAGTATTCCGTAGACAGGCGTTTATGGCTTCCGTTTCGGGCAAACCCCGCCATCAGGGGAAATCAGCGTCCATAGCGAAATCCAAGATTGTTTCTCCAAACTATGCGCAGTATTTAACCGGGGTCCCGGTGAACATGCAGAACCGCTGCATTAGTGGGCCGTCGTCCGGTCTACCATCCTCCGGTTGGGGGTGTGTCGGAGCACACTGGGCCGGATCGGGAACATGGAATACTTACTCAGACCAGATGAAGTCATAGGGGTAATTGAGCTGTGTAGAATAGTAGGAGAGAGAAGAAGAGAACTTGCGAAATAGAAAGTCGAACACGCAGAGTCGAAAGCAGAGACGTGCCTTGTACTCACAGCTCTGATTTCATCGTGCAGCGTCATTTGCCCCACCATCCCACCTTGGATGTGGCACTAGCCAGGTACTTGTCTTAAATATGGTTGGGCCATACAAATCACAAGTACCCGGCAATTGATCTGGTTCTGGTCCATGACACACCCCTCCATCTAAATACCGCGCCGCCGCCACTCTTCTCTCTTCTTTTCTTTCATTCCATCAATACCCCTGATTATTTCACAAAAATGTCTTCTTCTCTCGAACAGCTCAAGGCCACTGGTACCGTTGTCGTCTGCGACTCTGGTAAGCTATCAGCTCTCCTCATCTATCTTGCATTGAACATAGCTAACAAATCTTCTAGGTGACTTTGCCAGTATGTATCCCGGGAATAGCCCGCAACTGGAATTCCGAACTGGTGAACAGTGAGCTAACATGACACAGCCATTGGCAAGTACAAGCCCCAGGATGCCACTACCAACCCCTCCCTGATCCTGGCTGCTTCCAAGAAGCCCGAATATGCCGCTCTCATCGACACTGCCGTTGCCTACGGCAAGCAGAACGGCAGCACCCTCGATGAGCAGGTCGAGGCCACCCTTGACCGTCTCCTCGTCCAGTTCGGCAAGGAGATCCTCAACATCATCCCCGGCAAGGTCTCCACTGAAGTCGACGCCAAGCTCTCCTTCGACACTGAGGGCTCCGTCAAGAAGGCCCTCGAGATCATCAAGGTATGTTGAACTCCATAGTAGATGGAAATGCCGGCTAATTCGGATCTAGCTCTACGATGACAACGGTGTCTCTAAGGACCGTGTTCTGATCAAGATCGCCTCCACCTACGAGGGTATCAAGGCTGCCCACATCCTGCAGTCCAAGCACGGCATCAACTGCAACCTGACCCTCATGTTCTCCCTGGTCCAGGCCATTGCCGCTGCTGAGGCCGGTGCCTTCCTCATCTCTCCCTTCGTCGGCCGTATCCTTGACTGGTACAAGGCCGCCCACAAGCGCGACTACACCGCCCAGGAGGACCCCGGTGTCAAGTCCGTCCAGGACATCTTCAACTACTACAAGAAGTTCGGCTACAACACCATTGTTATGGGTGCCTCTTTCCGTAACACCGGCGAGATCACCGAGCTCGCTGGCTGTGACTACCTGACCATTGCTCCCGCCCTCCTCGAGGACCTCTACAACTCCACCGCCGCTGTGCCCCAGAAGCTCAATGCTGCTGATGCCCACAGCCTGGACATCCAGAAGCGCGAGTACCTCAACAACGAGGCTCTCTTCCGCTTCGACTTCAACGAGGAGGCTATGGGTGTTGAGAAGCTCCGTGAGGGTATCTCCAAGTTCGCCGCTGATGCCGTTACCCTCAAGCAGCTCCTTGCCCAGAAGATCCAGGCTTAGAGGCTATGATTTTATGTTTTTAAATTTTTTGCTAAATTGGCGATCCCCCCAAAATTGGAATCGGTAGATACGAATTGATGAACTTCTGCTCCCGTTTTGGTCTCATTAATTACAGTACATATAGGAGCGTAGGCGTCCGGCTCAATACGCAATTTGATCTGGCCGGGTCGGCTTATTCAGTGACCCCGCACAGGTAAGATTTCACAAGTTGATACATACGGTGTCTTTATGTGCCGGGATTGATATCCTGACTTTTATATCCGAGGTTATTTATCAATTGATGATAGGCTTCTATGGCTTATTGAGTTTGTAGACAAGTCATCCTGAGAACTATGTGAGACGTGAAAATTTGACAAGAACCTAGTCAACTTGGAGAACATTCATGAATAGAGCTCTAGCTCAGAGAGGGTACCGGTACCAGCGGTACCCGCAAAACTACCACTAGTAACAAAGTACCAGTACGTGTTGGCGGTATAGTTCCATTATGTCATTCCCCCTCGTTCCGACTCGCTGCCCGCTTGGGAAGGTGGGGGATATTTAGTTGTATTGGGTACCCAGTACAGCTCCCACAGTGTGTGTTGCTAGGCAAATGTAGGTACCCAATACCTCCCGTAAGTACAATACTGAGTAGAGTCACGTCAACATCATCCGCTTATTATTCCGCCGCCCGCCTCCTCTCCCTCTCTCTCTTTTCTTCTCTATTATATCCAAATACCCAATTCTTCTTTTTTCTATCCAAAACATATCAAAATCCATCAAAATGGTTAAGGCTGGTAAGTCCACTTTTGATCAGCCAAACATATCACAGCCCTCCAAGGTCCCAGGGGACCTTGAGCAAATTTGAGCACCTTGTGATCCTGAGCTCCCATCCCGAACCTATCGGCTTTGTTCCTCCACACAACCAGCTGTAATCTGCAGCAGTCCCTGTTGATTCTGACAGCTTATTTGCTGCTTTGGATTTGGTTTCTAGGGGTTGGTTCGGGAGGTTGGAGCTTATGAGATCGGGACCAGCTTTCCCGCCTTCGATCGACCTTCTAGAATATGTCGTTGACCATGTTTATTTGCAGTTGCTGTCCTCCGTGGTGACGCTAAGGTCGCCGGCACCGTCACCTTCGAGCAGGCTGACGAGTCCGCCCCTACCACCATCTCCTGGAACATCACCGGCAACGACGCCAACGCTGAGCGTGCTTTCCACGTTCACCAGTTTGGTGACAACACCAACGGCTGCACCTCCGCTGGTCCTCACTGTATGCTACAATCCCAGAGCTGATAACAGATCTGTATATACCCGAATAAGCATACTAATTGCTCTAGTCAACCCCTTCGGCAAGCCCCACGGTGCTCCCACCGATGCTGACCGTCACGTCGGTGACCTTGGCAACTTCAAGACCGATGCTGAGGGTAACGCCAACGGCTCCATGCAGGACAAGCTCGTCAAGCTGATTGGCGCCGAGTCCGTCCTGGGCGTAAGTCCATGCATATCACGCAATTGGTTATGCAAATCACTGATATATCTCTTTAGCGTACTCTCGTCGTCCACGCCGGTACTGACGACCTTGGCAAGGGCGGCAACGAGGAGTCCAAGAAGACCGGCAACGCTGGTCTTCGTCCCGCCTGTGGTAAGTTGAGATTGATCCCGTCGTTGATTGTTAATTGCCAATGAATGCTAATGAATTGCTAGGTGTCATTGGTATTGCCGCTTAAATGCGCCATTTCTCTTTATGATGATCGGACTTGATATCCCCCCTGAAATTGACCTTGGGGGTGAAAAGTTAGGGTAGGTCCTGGCTGGATACATGAATGAATGATGTTTACCATATATCCTGGATTAACTCCATTCATGGATATGGATGTTCAACATAAACTCGTAGATATCAAAGGCGTAGAAGCTTCGAGCGGCCACTGACCGCTTTCCCCCACAAGTCTAAACACCGGCCACGTTTCCCCTCAGGACTTAGTTGTTCTCAACTCCTTTCTGCTTTGTGTTACTTTTTTTCCTCTTAATTTGTCCATTTCATCTGATTTGTCCATTTGTCGCGAAGTGGTGTCTGATTTCCAGCATGCCTTTCGAAGCCCGGGTCAAGTCTGTCCTGTCCGGCGACACTATCGTGCTGTCGCATGTCACCAATCCCTCACAAGAACGCATCCTAAGTTTGGCCTATGTGTCTGCTCCCCGGTTAAGGAGGGAAGGCGATGAGGTGGGTGATACATCTATATAAATTGCGCTCAATTGCAAACAAATTGCCATTTTGGTTTGCTTGCGCAGTTCCCTTCCTGGTGCCTTTTTTAGTCGCCATTGACTATATATCTTTTGATTGAAGGAAAAGGCAAATTGGACTAAACTAACAAATATGCCAAATATAGCCATACGCTTTCCAATCCCGTGAATTCCTCCGTGAACTCCTTGTCGGCAAGGTCATCCAATTCCACGTCGTCTACACCATTCCCACCGGTGCCAAGCGAGAGTACGGTACCATCAAACTGCCCGGTTTCGACGCCTCATTGCCCGATATCAGTGTGCAAGAAGGCTGGACCCGTGTCCGTGAAGAGGCTGGCAAGCGCAGCGATGAATCTGAGGAGACAATTGCTCTTCTTGAGCGGCTGCGCGCCTTAGAGTCACTCGCTCAGGGTGAAGGCAAGGGAACCTGGGGTGCCGACAATGGCGTTATCGAAACCAGCTATGAATTGACTGGTGCTCGTGAGTTGGTCCGACAAAAGTCCGGTCAGCAGCTAGAGGGTATCATTGAGAAGGTCCTGAACGGTGACCGACTTGTGTTGCGTCTGCTGCTTTCGCCCACAGAGCATGTTCAGACTGTTGTTGCGGTCGCTGGTGTTCGTACCCCGTCCGCTAAGCGCACCACAGAAGGCAAGGAGACGCCTGCTGAGTCGTTCGGTGATGAAGCACAGCAGTTTGTTGAATCTCGTTTGCTGCAGCGCAAGGTCAAGGTTTCTCTGCTCGGTGTGACACCACAGGGCCAGTTGGTCGCTACTGTCCTCCACCCCAATGGAAACATTTCCCGATTCCTTCTTGAGGCTGGTCTCGCCCGTTGCCAGGATCACCACTCTACTCTTCTGGGCCCCGATATGGCTCTTCTCCGCCAGGCAGAGCTTGAGGCCAAGGCTGATCGCAAGGGCTTGTTCGTTGGACACACTGGTCCCACTACTGCTGGTGCCTCCGCCGAGGATTACATTGTCACCCGTGTGCTGAACGCTGATACTCTTTTCATCCGCAACAAGGCTGGCAAGGAGAAGAAGATCAGTCTCGCCAGTATCCGTCAGCCCAAGCCCTCCGACCCCAAGCAGGCTCCCTTTGCTGCTGAGGCCAAGGAGTACCTGCGCAAGCGCGTTATCGCTAAGCATGTCATGGTCACTGTGAACGGCAAGAAGCCCGCCAATGAGGGCTACGAGGAGCGCGAGGTTGCTACTGTTGTTCAGGGCAACACCAACGTTGGAATTGCCCTTGTGGAAGCTGGTTATTCCTCTGTCATCCGTCACCGCATGGATGACGCTGATCGTTCCCCCGACTACGATGCCCTACTCGTCGCTGAGGCTGATGCCCAGAAGGAGGGCCGTGGAATGTGGTCTCCCAAGCCTCCCAAGGCTAAGCAATACCAGGACTACTCCGAGAGCGTACAAAAGGCCAAGCTCGAGCTTGGTATCCTGCAGCGCCAGAAGCGTGTTCCTGCTGTTGTCGACTTCGTCAAGTCTGGCTCTCGCTTTACTGTTCTGGTTCCCCGTGACAATGCCAAATTGACCCTCGTCCTTTCCGGTATCCGTGCGCCTCGGTCTGCCCGCGGCCCTAGCGATGCTGGTGAGCCCTTCGGTCAGGAAGCTCACGACCTTGCCAACCGCCGCTGCATGCAGCGTGATGTTGAGATCGACGTTGAGACCATTGACAAGGTCGGTGGCTTCATTGGAAGCTTGTACGTCAACAAGGAGAACTTCACTAAGGTCCTGCTCGAGGAAGGTCTGGCAACCGTCCACGCATACTCAGCTGAGCAGTCTGGTCACGCCGCTGAGTACTTCGCCGCTGAGCAGCGTGCTAAGGATGCTCGCAAGGGTCTCTGGCACGACTACGACCCTGTCAAGGAAGCTGCTGAGGCCGAGGAGGCCGCTGAAGCTACCAACGGCACCGGCACTGGTACTGAGAGCGATGCTGCCCCTACCCAGCGCCGTAAGGACTACCGCGACGTGATGGTCACTTACGTCGACCCAGCCACCGCCAAGCTTAAACTGCAGCAGGTTGGCACCGGCACCAACGCCCTCACTGAGTTGATGAGCGCCTTCCGTGCCTTCCACATCAACAAGGCTAACGACACTCCTCTCCCCGGTCCTCCCAAGGCTGGCGACTGGGTCGCCGCCCAGTTCACCGAAGACGGCAACTGGTACCGCGCCAAGGTCCGCCGCAACGACCGTGAGAACGAGACCGCCGAGGTCGTCTACATTGACTTCGGAAACTCCGAGTCCCTCCCCTGGGCCAAGCTCCGCCCTCTCACCCAACCCCAGTTCTCCGGCCAGACCCTCCGCCCCCAGGCCGTCGATGCTGTCCTCTCCCTCATGCAGTTCCCCACTTCCGAGGACTACCTCGAGGACGCTGTTGGCTTTGTCGGTGACCAGACCTTCGACCGCCAGCTCGTCGCCAACGTCGACCACGTCGACCAGGACGGCACCCTGCACGTCACCCTCCTCGACCCCTCCGTCTCCAAAAACCTGGACAACAGCATCAACGCCGACATCATCTCCGAGGGTCTGGCCATGGTGCCTCGCAAGCTAAAGGCTTGGGAGCGCGCCTCCGTCGACACCCTTTCCAACCTCCGCACACTCGAAGACGAGGCTAAGTCCGAACGTCGCGGAATCTGGGAGTACGGCGACCTGACCGAGGATTAAATTTCTGTATCTATTCATCCTTCTGCTATCCTCTTTGATTTCACCGCTGTGAGGGGCGACTGTACAAAATAATTGTTGGGGTTGACCCTTCCCTTAAGTTCAAGTTACTTTTTAGTCCATGTAAACCCTTTCTTTATGTGGTTCTTTGCTAGGAATAAATGTATTGTGTTTCTATTGTTCATGCTGCAGTAGGTAACGAGCACTTTCTGCTGTAGGTTCGATTTAGATCCTGGTTTCGACCTGCCTATTCTATAGACTTTCCAACGGCATTCCCTGGTTGATCGTTGCCGATTAGCTTTTCTGATCTCCGTTGATCTACGTGGTCCCTGCCTGCACAACAGCCCTAATCTACATGTAGGACTACGTCCGAGAAATAGAGTAGATCCTTCGGCGTGAGCCTGCTGAATGAAGTCCTTCATCTGCGTTGGTTGACTTAGTGACGTTGAACTATGGTATCGGGCTGGGTATATTTGTTTAAAAAAGGTATAGTGTATTCCCTTTGCTATTGAACCGTGCCAGGCGGCTCAATCAGGGACTTTTCCCTGCGAACCCCTGGGGACTGGGCTTATCTAGATCGGTCTTAGCGTAGATGGAGTACTTAGAGTATTGCCGGTCAATGTGCAAAAAAATACAAGCATTTCCATTAATTCAAACAGATAGCTAGCAAGTAAAACGTAGCAAGTATTCATAAACAGCTTCACATTCAATGCCAAAAGAAAAAGAACCCCCGAGACTCAGAATATAAAACCCGATATGTCAGATTAATTTTCACCGCCTAATTCCCTCTACCACCGAACCCCGTCCAACTGATCTCCCTAGACAACCTTTAATAAATTAAAAGCCCCTCATTAAAGCCTAGACAAACACAACCATGCTCTGGGGAAGCAAAACAGCGCAGGCTTCTGAGCCCGACCTCGCGCGCACGGAATCCGCCTCAAAGAACGACCCCTCCGCCTCCGCCTCCCAAGCCTCCGGAACCGCATGGCTCGCCGGACACTTGCACCACCTGACCCCAGAGCAGGAGGAAAAGCTAGCGGGGTTTAAGACGCTGTGCGCCGAGCGCAAGTACTACACTCCTGCTGTGGAACAGGCCGAAGGCGTCGAGGGCAAGACTGCTAGCCATGACGATGCTACTATGCTGTATGTGGCGCTATACCACGCACTACTCCTACAAAGAGATATAAATGGAATGAACAGGGACTGACGCTTTTCTGGTATAGGCGTTTCTTGCGTGCCCGCAAGTTCGATGTTGAGGGTGCTTGGGGTCAATTCAAGGACACGGAGGATTGGCGCAAAGACAATGCCATCGAGGCGCTATATGAGAATATCGGCGTGGACTCTTACGAGGCTGCTCGACGGATGGTATGTCTTTGGATTACTGGCATTATCCGTATAAGGCTATTTATTGACTCTTTCACTGCAGTACCCCCAATGGACTGGCCGTCGTGATCGCCGCGGAATCCCCGTCTACGTCTTTGAGATCCGTCACCTGGATAACAAGGCTGTTGCCGCTTACAACTCTACCATGACTACTGGTACACCGGAGACACATAAGTCGTCTACTGTCCCGGCACGCTTGTTGAATCTCTTCGCGTTGTATGAGAATCTTCTGCGCTTTGTCATGCCGCTTTGTTCGGCTTTGCAGCGGCCGAATCCTGAGACACCTATTGTTACCTCGACCAATATTGTTGATGTTAGCGGTGTTGGATTGAAGCAGTTCTGGAACTTGAAGAGTCATATGCAGGATGCTAGTGTTTTGGCCACGGCGCATTACCCCGAGACTTTGGATCGAATTTTCGTATGTTGTTCCTTGCGTGGTCACCAGAGATGTGTTTGATATGGCGGAGTTCAAGGGTTGAGACTGACTGTTCTAGATTATTGGTGCTCCTTCTTTCTTCCCTACTGTCTGGAGTTGGATCAAGCGCTGGTTCGACCCAGGCACTACCTCCAAGATCTTCATTTTGTCCGCTGCGGAGGTGCAGCCTACCCTCACTTCATTCATGGAACCCTCCAGTATTCCCAAGCAGTATGGTGGTGAGCTTGACTGGACCTGGGGCGAGATGCCCAACCTAGACGAGCCTGCCCGTGACCTCCTCAAGGGCCTAGAGCAGGACCAAGTCGAGGGCGAGAAGCGAAAGGATATCCTCAAGGGACCCATTCTATTCGAAGGTGATCACCTGAAGGTGCTGGGTACAGTCGATGGAAAGGACCGGAGAGAGACCATCCCCGTGCCGAAGTCGCACTTGTCCTCCGAGCAGGCCCCCGCCAAGTCTACTGACTCGGAGGCAAAGGCCGATGACGCCACTGAGGCCAAGGCTGAAGACGAAAAGGCTGTCGATAATGTGGCGGTCAAGGTTAACCAGCTATCTGTTGACGAGACTCAGACTGCTGCTGCATAGTGCATATAGAAGGCAGCAGGGTTTGGGTGTGTTAGGGTTAGGGCTATGGAAATGGCACGAGACAATGCAGATCGCGCTACCGAGGCTTGTTTGCTTTATTGGTTTATGATTTGTTTTGAGAATATACGTCTGCCTGGATTGTGTGTTTGATCGTCTCCAAATAGGAGATGCATTTGCATTTGCATTTGCATGTGCGCTTTTCTATTGCCTACATGGAAGTGAAGTGGCCAGTGGAGACATAAGTCTTCTCGTCTTCTCGTGTTTCCCAACATTTCTTTGCCTCTTTTCTTTGGCTGTTACCAACCCGCTCTCCATATGTGGATCTATCATGTGGAAGTGGCAGTCTCCCAGACTTGCATTCCTACTGTTGAAGGTTGCATGATTTGTTTTTTTTTTTTCCTTTCTTTCCTTGTTTACTGGTCATTCCGGGGTTTCTTTTCTTTTCTTTCCTTTTATTTACATTCGCATGTTGATATCCCCCGTACCCGAACAGTTGAGGCGGTTGTTGATACATAGAGCATCTTCATTTCTACATTGCCATGATGTACTCATACATCTTGTTTCAGACCGCAGAATGAACTCGGATTTGAGAGTGTAGATCTAGAACCTTTTGATCGATAATCAGTTTACTAGTGTATATCTGATGTAGCCGAGCCCTTGTGAAACTAAGATTAGATCATCATCTGATAATAAATGAAACAACGTGTCTAGAATCCTCATTTTTCGGTGTTTACATATCAAACCCCAATTAGGAGGGCACATCACATGATTCAGGGGCACGTTCATGCAGGCGACGTCGCACTGCATCATGAAATCTGTATAAAGTACATGGGTAGATGTACCTGCTCTATACTCCGACTATGATACAAACAAGAGTCATAGAAATCTGTTACGGTATACACCACAAACCTATGATGCAATGATAACTCAACCCCAGACAGATCTTCCCCTGTCAGGCAAGCGAGTTGAGCCCAAGCGCGAACTAGCGCAGGAAACGATAAGTTTGTTGGGGCATCACACCCAGACGAGCAACGATCGACATCATATTCAAATGAAGTCAAAAGTCCGAGGCTCATTTTTGCGGAGAGAAAGAGGTGGGTTTCCTTCACATGCGCCGAAAGCCCCTAGTCGCCGAACGACTGGGGGGTGATCGACAAATGGTTTAAAAATCCGCCTGCGCCCCCAATCCGGGGGAAGTGCAAATTTCGATACCCGCTATACGGAACAGTCATGGAACGCAATCCAAAGGACTCGATGAAGTCCACCTGGCGGCAACTCGCCCGCTCAGAGTGGACTCTTTTCCACTGGTTCTATGAACTCCTCGGCATCCACCCTGAACACCTCGACAAAAACGTCCCAGTCCACCTGAAAGAAGACGCAGTCCCCTACGTCCCAGACTGGTCGATGCATCGCTGGGTGCTCACACATGCCGTGATCCCCCTACTCATCCACCACGCCTACGTGGTGATCACAGGCCACAACCTCAGCGCCTGGGGCGCATTTATCCTATACAGTCTAGCCTTCAAAGGCATCGCCATCCATGAGCTCCACGTTCTCCGCCGACTAGGCCACCAACACGGCTTCCTAGACGGCGACAAGCACGCCCGCGACGGCGTCCCAGACGTTGGCGTCGCAAAGGTCGTTCGCTCGCTCATGTCGACCTCGACTTTTCGCCCTATGTTCACCGTCTTCCTGGCCTACCGCTCATCCCAGACGCCATCAACCATGAGCTTCGCCTGGTTACCCCTCGAAGCCGGGCTATACGGTATCATCCTCGACTTCTGGTTCTACTGGTACCACCGTCTCATGCATGATGTCGGCGCCCTATGGAAATACCACCGTACACACCACCTCACTAAGCACCCGAACCCACTGCTCACGCTGTACGCCGATTCCGAGCAAGAGTTCTTCGATATCCTCGGTATTCCGGTCATGACGTACTTCACTATGAAGTTCATGGGTATGCCCATGGGTTTCTACGAGTGGTGGATCTGCCACCAGTATGTCGTGTTTGCGGAGTTGGCTGGTCACAGTGGTTTGCGTGTGCATGCTACCCCGCCTTCGACGCTTAGCTTTGTGTTGCGCTGGCTTGATGCTGAGCTTGTGATTGAGGATCATGATTTGCATCATCGGAAGGGTTGGAAGAAGAGTCATAATTATGGCAAGCAGACAAGGCTTTGGGATCGGGTCTTTGGGACTTGTACCGATCGGATTGAGTCTGTTGAGCATAATGTTGACTATGTTAACTCTTCGCCCATGCCGTTGTATTGATTACGACGTTGGCCTTTGGGTGTTGTTTTTGATTTGCTTGTTTGGCGTGGAAAATGGCTCGGGTTTATACTCTGTACTTTTGTACGGTAGTGGAGGATTGGTCTGCTTTCTTTGTTTTACACTTTGATACCATGTTAGATATTTTGGACTTGTGACTACGACTGAATGAATACTCTCTTTGTTTACCCTTCCATTGCACTAAAAGTAGTACTGTAGGGTCAACACAGAAGGAAATCCGGGGGCCCGTCGGAACTTGTCCAAGTCCGCTTAGGCTGAATGGGGCGTCCCTGTGCCCCGTGCCCCGTGACCACATCGAGGCTGGGTCAGCACTGCCCTTTTCATAAAGACTTCATATCCTCGGCATCTGCCCGACACTGCCAAGTCTGTTGTTTATAAGAAGCCAAGCATCCCTTCCCAACATTCACCAACCAACAACCATCAACTCCCGTCCCGCCATCATGCTGGAACAATCAGACAAGTTAGAAGTCACCCAATACAGCATAGCTGGCGGAAACTGGAACTCCCAATACCAAATCCTGTCCGACAACACACCAATTTACCATGTCGAAAACACAAGTCCATCATCCGACAAACCAGAACTAACATTCTACACCGGAAATTCCACCAAGGGACCAGTCGCGGGAAACGGGAAATACATTCGTTTCTCATCAGATGTCAAAATCAACCTGGGCGATCCAGACAATGCCGACACAATACGCACTACCTTAAGCAAGAAAGGTTTCCTCTCGCCCCGACATTCATTCTCAATGGATCTCCATGGTGAAAACCGGACTTTCACGTGGAAGAATACTGAGTCTCATGAGAGTTTTGGTCCCACGGGGAGTTATAAAATGGTTGATGAGGGGAATCAGGTTGTGGCTGTTCTTTGTCCTGGGGGTGGTCGTGTGCAAAAGGATGGTTATGTGAATGTTTATGTATTTTGGGGTGAGGGTTTTGATTTAATGGTTCTTGTTACTGCGCTTGTTCTTCGGGAGAAGACGAGACGGGAGAAGGGGGAGACTACGTATCTTGGTGCTGGGGTGTCGCCTGCCGGGGGGTCGCCTGCTCCTGGGTTTTGATGGATGGGTTTGCACGAGGAAGCAGGCAATTTTTCAATGTCTTGTCGGTGTTCCTGAGTCCTCAGTATAGAAATCTGTGTTTTGATGAGAATTGCATGTAAATTATATTCATATTCATTGACTATGTGTGGGAAAATTGCTAGATCATACATCTTCCACTCAAGGGAAGGCCAATCTAAAGGAAAAACGAAGGAAAGAGGCAACATTGAAAACACCAAACACCCGAAAGATGCATAACGATCAACCGAACGCTTCTCAAACGTCAGGGGGGAGGTCAAGAGCAAAAGAATCTTTCGTGCGCAGAAAATTGTGGCTATTTTCTTCGCCTGTCCCGGGACGGTAGGCATCGACAGTTTGAAGAACAGCAGAGCAGAATTCGTACAGCCCATCTTTCCAGATTTCATCGACTTGGTAACCGTATAGGCCACGATGGTGTTCGCAAGCAAGTATCTATAGAATAGTCCTATCGTCGGAGCTATCGCGATCTTTGAAAAGGGCGGCACTTTGCCACCGGAAATGTTCATATATGGGATCGTAGTGCGGTAAAATGTTAGTATAGAACTATCTATGATCGATATCACATACAGGAAGGCTCCTTGGCTCCAAGTTCAGGGAGAAGTTCTTGCAATGCGCAACAAGTAATTCGTGAAAGTTGGACATAAGATTGGTAACAGCCTTTAATACCATAGATTCTCCAATTTATGGTCAACAAGATGAATCATTTGTTCTTGATGCTACCCCAACAATGCCTGTCAGTCTTCGGAGCAGCAATCAAATTCCCATATCGCAATATTCAATATCTACCGAGGAAATGGCAATTCAACGTAGCCTTGCTTCCTCATCACTACAGTCATTGTAAACAAAAACCGCCCGTCCCGTCCCTGTTATATTACTCTGTGGGGGGGCGATATCTCGTGAGTCATCTTGACTGCTGTATACACGTAAAATTCCAGTCCTCCAACTGCTCAAGCTCATCTATGGTGGTCTATTGAGGATACACATTGCCCAGAGGCTGAATGAACCACAATTGAGTATTCATCATCCTCTGGAACCGACTCGACCAACGGGTGCTTGTCTGCATGAGGACCAACCATAATATAGTTGGCCCTTGTTGATTTTGTCTAATCCGTAGAGTTTGAGCCCCGAACCTGAAAACAGTGCTGCTCTGTAAATCATCGCCGGTTTTCTGCAATGCTCTTTATAAGTAGGTCTGCCTGAAGTTCCCCTGATGTAAGCTTGCGAATACAGCGGATCAATAGGCAAGTCAGTGGGGCCGGTACTAAGGCAAAATCAGCCTGCCAGTCCGCTTTGAACGGGCCATAGTCAAGAAGACGATCATTCTGCATTGCCGATATACTCCTCATTGGCTGGACGTCAAAATTCGGCCCCATCTTCACCGAAGCCCCCCCTCCCCCAAGCCCGGTGGGGGCCATGGTCGAGATGGTGCCCAAAGCACTCATTGCCGGGAAAATGCGGATGCATTCAAGGTGGATTGGAAGATAAGAATATTCTGTGAAATACAAAAAGGCCACGAAGATCATGTTGAGATCTTAATGAAGACTATAACTGACTTCTGTGCCAGTGGGGTGACACATTGCCCTATCACGATATCCCTGTCTGCAATGGCCACTAGTCAAGCCGGACTGATCCTTCGGAGGAAGTTGAAACAAGGCTGCCCTTGAATTAATGACAGGGAAGGCCTTTGTTACAGCGCGGCCCGCGAGCCTTGTAGATCAATGACCTTTTGTAACATAGGACCGAGCATACGTACACGTTCTCATAGGCATATGAATCTAATCCAACTCAAGCCGATTCTGGCTCCCACTGACTTGCATCGTTCATTCGTTTTCTCCCTCTTCCTTATATCAACACATTGAAACAAAATGAACTCTATCAATGACGGTCAACCGATCCATGAGCTCACTGCTCTGGAGCGCATAGGGCCGAAGGGTTATCTGCGGTATATCTTCCCTTTTCAGCTGAAAGGAGGATACGATATCGAAGAAGTTGCTCAGATGCTGCGTTCGGGGTATATAGCCCTTACACAGCGGATGCCCGAGGTTGCTTGCGAGGCAGTCCCTAACCCCGACTCGAAACAGAAAGGTGTGGTGAAGCTCCAGAGACAGGATGACGAAGACGCTTTCAGAATAGTAGTCAAGGACTTGCGCCAATCTTTCCCGTCAACATTCGCAGAATTAAAGTCGAAACACTTCCCCGTCTCCTCGTTCGATGCCGATACCTTTTGTCGCCGGTCGGTATGGCCTTCAGCTGGAGAACGCCTCCCAATTTCCCTCGTGCAAGCTAACTTCATTAATGGAGGACTGATTCTGAGTTGGTGCATATTACACATGGTGGGCGATGGTACCTCATTCTATACATGGACAAAGATCTGGGCGGAGGGATGTCGTCGCTCGCAGGGACTCCATATCCCAGACCCTATTCAATTTTCAGAAGCCATCTGGAAAGACCGAGACCAGGTGACAAGACCTTCCGGAAGGAATGCAGGCAACATTGAAGACCACCCGGAGTACACGCTTCTCCCTTTTACACCTCCAGGCGCACCGCCCAAGATGCTCTCGACCAAGCACCGTGGCCAGATCTTTTACTTCTCGCCGGAGTCCTTGCAAGCACTTAAAGCCGAAGCTTCTCCATCCAATACTATGGAGGAAACGGGTCAAATGTGGATATCAACAAATGATGCGCTCTCGGCGCTGCTGTGGCGTACGGTGATGGCGGTACAATCCCCTCTAGATACTCTCGAGGGAGACCCGGTATCAGTCTTCAATGTCGCCATTGACGGACGCCAACGTACCGATCCCAAGGTACACCCTGATACTCTCGGCTGTTTCCTGGAGTATGTTGCGGTCTCAGCCCCCATCCGCAAGATGCTCAGCACCCTGCATTTAGCAGACCTGGCAATCCTAATCCGAAAGGCGATTCTGCGGGCTGATGACCAATTCACGGATGATGTGGTCTCACTCGTTGACCAGCTTGAAGATGTTGATCGGCTGGCTCCTACGGCATTTTTGGACTGTCCCGGTTTCAATTGTGTTCAGACTTCGTGGCTTAACTTTAAGCTTTATGGTCTTCAATGGGGTCCTTTGTTTGGTGATAGGATTGAGGCTGTGAGGATGCCCCATGTCGGTGTTATCAATGGGCTTCAGGTCGTGCTTCCTGTATTGCCGAATGGGGGTATGGAGATTTTGGTTGGTGTGGATGAGGGTTGCTTGGATAGGTTACTGGTTGACCCTTTGTTTACTAAATTTGGTGTCGCTCGGTAGATCCACCATGTGCCACGATTGGGATGAAAGGGATATTCAGGTTCATAAACTGAGCTGAAGGCTCTTGTCCTAGACAACCTTGGTGGCGTTCTGTATCGGGTTTACATTTACGCTGTGTATAAGTGAAAAACCACTGATGCTCATCAAATTCATAATAAATAAACTCCACCTTTCTATTTGAGAAGAAAAAAATCTATCTAGCACAACGCGAACAATGACAACTAGCGCTAATGACAGCTACTGCCATGAACCTAAAAAAAAACAATCTATGGCTTGTCAGTAAGGTCAGCAACTCAAGAAAAGGGAACTTTCAGACGTTCTCAATATCAACCCGCAGGTTGAGATCAGTCGTATATATAAAGAGGTCAAAAAGACAAAGCGCAAAATGAAATTGGACAAAGAGGGAAAGACTTTGAGTGACTGGTCTAGATTCACGATACCGATACCTATACTACGTCTTCACAGCCTTTCTCCAGGGATATTGATCCACCTATCGGTAGGTATTCCTCTCAGTAGTTGAGTATCCACGTGAAATTTTTACTCGATTTCCGGACGCCATATATGAGTGATTCGGGAGAGCTGACGGGTTGTTCTCCCTTTAGGCAAGCTTCACAGTCAAATCCCGGCTGTGAATAGCGTCTGCTTCTGCATCTTTTATTGGAGACCTTATTCAAAAGAAAACTAAAAATGAAGACAAAAACGAAGGCTGAGAAGACCACACACACTATACATGATAGAGCATAAGGTGTTAACTTAGTGAGAAAGCATACATAATCACCAAAAGAACAAGCAAAAAAAGAAATTGTGGTTCCAGAGGGGGTCGAACCCTCGACTTTGGCGTTATTAGCACCACACTCTAACCAACTGAGTTATGGAACCCATTCGATGAGTGAGACACCAAATTGATGCTATATGTTGCAAAACTCCCCAACATCAAGTCAAAAGAAAAAAATCAACCCTCACATTTCGCCGTCACAACGCTGGTTGCTACATAGCCCAAAAATGAAGTCTAGGTGCAAAAGAACTGGAAGCAAAAAGCAATGGACTCGCGGGGAATCGAACCCCGGACCACTCCCATGCTAAGGGAGTATTATACCACTAAACCACAAGCCCAGTTGAGTGATTGGCTGCTGAGCCTATTGCTTTCTGACTGGAAAACTGAAATTTCCATGGTGCGGTGGGTCTTTCAGACCAATCGCCAGGTTCAGCCAGCCAGCCCTACAGTGTCAATTAGGTCGATTGAGTCAATTGAGTCAATTAACTAGGTGGGAAGGAGATAGTCGCTTGTTATACATGTTCATTTGCTACAGCATTGGTCTTCTACTCGTCTGCAATGATTGGAGATCGGTGGCATAGTTCTCGTTGAAATATATATATATCCGTTGTTCGTGCTCATGCTCCGTGGCGAACCAGTATTTGTACCGCGACACCCATACATGTAGAACCGGTTAAGTATGGATGTATAAAAGATGAATCTCTCAAATTGCGGTGAGAGACAATAAGATCCCCGCAGATTTATACCAACACATAACCTACAACCATAGATAAGAGAATGTGCCAAGAGCGAGATTTAGCTTATCAATGATCAACAGGGAAGACTGATTCATGTTAGGGTGTATGTTAAGAGGGACAACCCGCGTGACTCGACCCCAATTGGGCATTGGACTGTAAGAGCGGTCGAAATGGAAACTCTTACCATATCGAATTGACTATGAAATCCACCAGCGTAGACTTTCTCAATTCGTCGACATTCTCCATCGGATGTTCGGCGTTTCGCTGTGCAGGAGGGGATGTGATTGGTTCAAACCGCCGACCTATACGCGGGGGGAAGCTCTGAAGCTCCAGGATAAGACCGATAACAGTTGCCATATAAAGACACCCCGCGCATTTTTGGGTTCTATCTCTGTTACACTTCTGCTGCCTCCGATTCTCTATATTTGTTCTCGGAAAGCATCTCATACCCCCCTACAACTCACAATGGCCTCGGTTTTCCGTGCCGGCACCCGGCTGCGCTCTGCCGCTCGCCTTCCTGCTGCCCGCTCTCTCTCTACCACTGCCTCTCTTCGGGCCTCTGAGAAGCCTTACTTCCCCAATGAGCCTACTGCTCCCTCTGTCTCGGGCGCTATCCCCGGCCCTAAGAACCAGGCCGCTGCCGCCGAGCTCGATGAGGTCTTCGACGTCCGCAGCTTGAACATGCTGACTGACTACAACCAGTCCGTTGGTAACTAGTACGATAACCAATTCTTTTACCGTGGCCTCAGCTAACATTCTCTTAGCATTGCTGACCTCGACGGCAACAAGTTGCTCGATGTATATGCTCAAATTGCCTCTATTCCCGTTGGCTACAACAACCCCCACCTCAAGGAGGTTGCCACCACCCCCGAGATGACCTCTGCCCTCATCAACCGTCCAGCTCTGGGTAACTTCCCCTCTTCCGAGTGGGCTCACATTCTCAAGACTGGTGTCCTCCGTGCCGCCCCCAAGGGTCTTGACCAGGTCTTCACTGCCATGGCTGGATCCGATGCCAACGAGACTGCCTACAAGGCCGCCTTCATGTACTACCGTCAGATGCAACGTGGTGGCCCCGAGGTCGAGTTCACCGAGGAGGAGCTGCTCTCCACCATGAACAACGCCGGCCCCGGTTCTCCCCAGCTCTCTATCCTGTCCTTCAAGTCCGCCTTCCACGGCCGTCTCTTCGGATCCCTCTCCACCACCCGCTCAAAGGCCATCCACAAGCTGGATATCCCCGCCTTCGACTGGCCCCAGGCCACATTCCCCCAGTTGAAGTACCCTCTGGAGGACCATGTCCAGGAGAACGCCGCCGAGGAGCAGCGCTGCTTGGCCGAGGTCGAGCAACTCATCAAGGAGTTCCACAACCCCGTCGCTGCCGTCATGGTCGAGCCCATCCAGTCCGAGGGCGGTGACAACCACGCCTCGCCCGCCTTCTTCCAGGGCCTCCGCGACATCACCAAGCGCACCAACGTCCTCTTCATCGTTGACGAGGTGCAGACTGGTGTCGGTGCCACCGGAAAGTTCTGGGCCCACGACCACTGGAACCTGTCCTCCCCCCCGACATGGTCACCTTCTCCAAGAAGGCCCAGACTGCCGGTTACTACTACGGCAACCCTGCTCTGCGCCCCAACAAGCCTTACCGTCAGTTCAACACCTGGATGGGTGACCCGGCCCGCGCTCTGATCTTCCGCGGTATCATCAACGAGGTTGAGCGTCTCGGCCTCGTCGAGAACACCCGCATCACGGGTGACTACCTGTACGGCGGTCTCGAGCGTCTCGCCGAGAAGTATCCCCAGCACTTCCAGAACCTGCGTGGTAAGAACCAGGGTACATTCATCGCCTGGGACACCCCCAAGCGTGACCAGCTCGTTGCCAAGGCCAAATCCTTCGGCATCAACATCGGTGGCAGTGGCGCCTCTGCTGTCCGCCTGCGCCCCATGCTGGTCTTCCAGAAGCACCACGCTGATATCCTGCTCGAGAAGCTTGAGCAGATCATCCAGGCTGTCTAAACTCAGTCCAGGCAATGCCATTTCTGAGTTATGATGATGACTTTTGGAAAATTGCCCGGGCGTTTTGAACTTGATTGAGCGTTTCCTTTACTATTTCTGCTGATTTTTTCTTTCTTTCATCTTGTTGCAACGAGTTGATGCCATACAAAAAGGCCATGTACATTTCTAGATAGGTTGCTTGTCAATTGAATTATGACTCAAGAGAATCATCTGGACTCGTAGTGATAAGCACTCTAGCCGCGGTTTATGTTTTATGGGAAGGAAAATTGGCAATAGGACTCATAAGCAGATTGGTCCTGCCATGCCCTTGTAATCCAATAAGTAATATGAAGAAATAAGAAAGTGTGCAATGCTCCATCCGAAACTCCTAACCAGCAAAATCGTCGAAACCATTTCCCACCCTGCTTATTGAATGGCGTGTGCTATAGGGGTATCCGGACCAGAATCGTATGAACAAGGGTGGGGAGGTTATGCAGTACCTAAGACTGGTACTTCAAGCATCTTCGTCACCGGTGCTTCCATCCCGTCTGTAACCAGTCGTCAGTATAAGCCGGAGAAAAGAGCCAAGAAGGCTTTGTGTATAGAGCTGGAGCACACGTACGGGACGTATTTGATTCCAGAGTCCTCGAGACTGCTGATGATGTATTCGGGGAGCTATTGATGCGAACAGATTAGCAAGAGTGCTCGACAATCGGAAAGATCTATGGAAGGTGGGTTCCATTCCAAATATCTCCAAAGATTCGAGCTTCACTCACCGAGCCTGTCACCTTGGTCGCATATGTGCCCGGCACATAGTTATCCAACCGCTGCCAGCGAGCAACCCAGCTAGCAGCTGGGTCCCGGACAGCGATCAGACCCTCAAAGACCTGCGACGTGCATTCCTGAATAGCATCATTGTTTCCGCGGAGCTGGAGGGTATTTTCGCAATTCGGACAGCCTTCACGCATGAATTTCTGGAGTAACCGGGGGTGGTCAGAGTAAGCTGCGGAAGGGAAGAGGAGCAGCTCATACATTGTGGATTTGAACGACAGAGCAGACCATGCAGGCACGTAGCGTGCGCTGCTGGTTAGGAGCGGCGTAGAAAGACATTGGGGAGCTGTAGAGGAAGACAAGGAGTGAAGTGAAAGAGATCGGAGGTCGAGTCTGGATGCCAAGCCCCGTTGCGATCGGGGAAAAAGAACATGGGAGAACCAGGAACAGTCCCGATTCTGTTTTTTTTTTTTTTTGCCTCCACGCTTAGTTCTTCTTTTTCTTTATTTTTACCTTCTCTCTTATTCAGGAGCTTTCCGCTTGGGGTTCTGCTCTCTGACTTTATCTTCGCTTTCCTTTTACTCTCTCTCCGATCCCGATCATCGCTTGTCTCGTGCCCCTCGCATTTTCCCTCCGCCCCCAATGGCTACCGATCAAGCAGCCGGTACGGCTCTCAAGGTGCAGGGCAACAAGGCCTTTGCTGCGCATGACTGGCCTACAGCTATCGACTTTTATAACCAGGCTATCGATAAATATGACCAGGATCCGTCCTTCTTTTGCAACCGGGCCCAGGTGCGTTCCTGATATCCATGGCGGAACATTCTCGCGATTTGTGTGTGCATTCAGACTGGAATGGTCTTTGCTGATACGCTTCCTGCGACAGGCCCAATTTAAACTCGAGGCATTCGGTTTTGCCATCGCCGACGCTACAAAGGCATTGGAACTCGATTCCAACTATGTGAAGGTCCGTCGCTACATACCATGCAGGAGGAGCTATATCTATACAGTTGTAGATGGGGGTTGTGTGAGGATTAATGCTAAATCTGGTTTTGCTTTAGGCCTACTGGCGCCGTGGCTTGGGCTACGCTGCCATTCTCAACTACCAGGATGCTTTGAAGGACTTCAAGGCTGTTGTCAAGCGGGAGCCTGCCAACCAGAGCGCGAAGCTCAAGACTGCCGAGTGTGAGAAGCTCGTTCGCCGCATAAACTTTGAGAAAGCCATTGAGGTTTCGGACCCACCCTCCGCTTTTGAGGATCTGGATATTGGTGCTATCAAGGTCGAGGATGGGTACGATGGTGTGCGTCTCGGCGAGGAGATGACACAGGAGTTCATTGACGACATGATTGAGCGATTTAAGGACGGAAAGAAGATCCACCGCAAGTATGTCTTCCAGATTATCAAGGCTGTCAAGGATCTTGTCTACGCTGAGCCCACGATGGTGGAGGTTGGCGTTGAGTCTGGCAAGAAGTTGACGGTTTGCGGTGACACACACGGTATGTTTGGCCTCCCACGGTATAGTTCACTGGTTGCTAATATAACCAGGTCAATACTTCGATTTGCTTGAGATCTTCAGACGAAACGGCGCTCCCTCTGATACCCACGCTTATCTCTTCAACGGTGACTTCGTAGACCGTGGCTCTTGGTCTTGCGAAATTGCCCTCCTCCTATATGCATACAAGTGGCTGCGGCCCAACGGTCTCTTCCTCAATCGTGGAAACCACGAAACGGACGATATGAATAAGGTTTACGGATTCGAAGGCGAATGCAAGGCCAAGTATAACGAGCGTGTGTTCAAGGTGTTCTCCGAGTCCTTCTCGGCCCTGCCTTTGGCCACCCTGATCGGCGATAAGTACCTCGTCCTGCACGGCGGTCTCTTCTCCGACGACAAGATTACCCTGAACGACATCCGCAAGCTCAACCGCCACAACCAAAGGCAACCAGGCCAAGCCGGTCTCATGATGGAGATGCTCTGGACCGACCCGCAGACAATGCCCGGCCGTGGTCCCAGCAAGCGTGGAGTCGGCCTCCAATTTGGACCAGATGTCACCAAGCGCTTCTGCGAGAACAACGGTCTGGAAGCTATTATTCGCTCTCACGAGGTGCGCATGGATGGTTACGAAGTCGAGCACGATGGCCGCTGTATCACCGTCTTCTCCGCCCCCAAGTACTGCGACTCGACTGAAAACAAGGGTGCCTACATTAACATTGGCCCTGAGCTCAAGCTCGACTATGAAGTGTTTGAGGCCGTGCCCCACCCCGATATCAAGCCGATGGTAAGTTCCTCTTCATCGCGACTCAAAGATCCCAGCTAACAGTCCCAGGCATACGCACAAAACTCGCCCCTTATGGGAATGTGATAGGAAATATGATTTGCAAGCGCGGCGTTGCCAAGAGATCTAGAATTGATGTTCCTAATGTATTTATGTGCATGAATGATGTGTTCCACTATGTTCTGTGTTCTGTAGCGCTGTAGTTGTGACGTCGCCGTTGTTTACTCCTCACCGCCTTTGCCCCGCGGTTTCCCCTCGATTCTGCCCAGCACTTCTTTTGCTCTCCGATCATTTAGACAACTTCACATACAGCAGTCATGGAATTCGATCCTCAGACCCGTAAGTCTCATTTTTCAAAAGTGCCTGTATTCAATGCTAACTTGATCAGCTCAATACAACACTTCCGACAAGTCGAGCTTTGCCTCGGTCTCAGCAAATGACCGATGGCCTGTTATCATTGTGAGCTTACCCCGAACGACCGATGCCTCGGTGTCAATTACTCACTATGTGTGATGGGTATAGACTGGTGCCATTGATGATCTGCACCGGACAGTCGTTGGTGTGGATGACAATGAGAAGGCCAATGAAGGCAAGGGTATCATTGCCAATATGGCCAAGTTGAAGTATGAGCTTCAGCATGACCGACAACTTACGTGAGTCTTCGTATTCAAAAACTTGAAAGGAGTAATTATCTGAATGATTGATTGATAGCCCCTTGGACGACGACGGACACCCTGATATCGCGTCTTATAACCAGGAGCTTGAGCAGCGAGGAAACCCCCATTGGCACGACGTGCCCTGGCTGTACGCCGAATGCTACCTCTGTATGTAGCACGCCCTAAATCAACTGAAACCAAGTACTGAAGCTGACTTGGTATCAACACAGACCGCCGGATAGAATCTCTCTTCGCATTGTCAAAGCACTGGAAGGGCTATGATGTGTTCGCCCGCCAGAAGATGGACACGTTCAAGTCATCTCGCCCCGCCGTTATAGAACTCGCCGCAAGATATCGCGAGCTAGCACAGGAAGCAGGGTCAGGCAAGGGAGCAGAAGGAAAGTCACCCGAGCAGGTCGAACAAGCCGAGAAGATTCTTTTCTCAGAGATGTGCGAGATCTGCCTATGGGGCAATGCCACAGACCTTTCCCTCTTGACATCTCTCACATACGAGGATATCCAAAAGCTGCAGGGTTCCCAAGCGCGCAAAGACTCTCAAAAGAACATTATTGTCAACGACCTCGATGCCGCCTTCGAGGCCATGCAAAAGGCACGTAGAGAGAAGAAGGACGGCGAGCGCCGTGTTGACATCGTCCTTGACAATTCCGGCTTCGAGCTCTTCGTCGATCTGATTCTCGGCGGATACCTGCTCTCCGCTGGCCTGGCGACAACAGTCGTCCTCCACCCCAAGCGTTTCCCCTGGTTCGTGTCTGATGTCACTCCAAAGGATTTCTCCGATCTCCTTAACAGCATGGTCGACCCGCAAGCTTTCTACACAGCCGCCGACGACTCCGGCAAGACCTTCCCACCACTTTCAGAGAAGGAGGTGTCGGATGTGAAATTCCTCTTTGAACAGTGGAGCCAATTCCACCAGGATGGCAAGCTGATTCTGCGCCCACATGCATTCTGGACTACTCAGGGTGGATTCTGGCGTATGCCGCACGTTGCACCCGATCTGTTCGAGGACCTAAAGGAGAGCGAGCTTGTTTTGTTCAAGGGTGATCTGAACTACCGGAAATTGGTCAATGATGTAAGTGAACTATTCCCTCCTCGGCTAAACACAACGTATGCTAATAACATATAGGCCGAGTGGGATCCTACCACACCATTCACAGAGGCTATCGGACCTCTCGGTCCCAAGTCTGGTATTCGTGTCCTGGCCTTCCGTACTTGCAAGGCTGATACCGTTGTTGGACTCCCTGCTGGAAAGGACGAGGAACTTCGTCAGCTGCCTGGTGGTGGTGATTCCAAGACTCGCAAGTGGGCTTGGAGTGGCAAGTGGGCTGTTGTCTCGCTTTCTGACGGCAAAGCTTAGATTAGAGGCTTGCTACTTTGATTGACTGGAGACTAGACGTGATTAGAGTTATTGCGCGATTTAGAGCTCCCTGTAGATGGATATAATGTGGCGAAAAGAGTACAGTTGCATTGCAATAAATAATAAATATGAATGAGTCGAGCCAATGTCTCTTTGAAGTTGCTCCTATGGGTAAATTATTCAGGACCATTGACCCCGATCACACTATAATACAGCGGTTATATAGACCTGCCTCAAATCAAGAAAGAAGCAAAGAAACCTGCCGCGAGAGACAGAATGACCCCAGCCCCTGGGCTGGAGATACCACCAACCGAATCAGAAGGCGAGGATGTAGCTGAAGAGGAAGATGACGACGCAGCCCCCATAGAACCCCCCGAACTAGACACAGTCCCACTCCCAGTTTCACTTGCCATTCCCGCACCCATATCTGTGGTTGTTGTCATCGAGCCACCGGCACCAGAACCAGTCTCTTGAGTCTGTGTCTGAGTCTGAGTCCCAGTCTCAGTCGCAGGCGAAGTCTCAGTAGCAGTGTCAGTCATACTAGGATCAAAAGAAGTAGTAGTAAAAGAACAAGACCGGACAAGATCATTAGCATCTAAGTTAAAGTTAGGCCCCAATCCCCAATATGTATATCAAACAAGGGAAAACAAACCATTATCCCTTCCATCCTTACTATACTTCGAAATACAAGCATCGCAAATCGGTAAGCTAGACGCAGCCCTGGAATCCCTGCAAATACAATTCAACTCTTCTGTATCATCGTCGTGGGTCTTTGCGTCGCAGGATGCTGTCAGGCTCACGATTGGTGCGCAGACTTGTTTACATTGCGTTGGGAGATCGTTTGCGTCTATATCTCCTGCGGCAGCTAGGGATGCTAGGAGGATGAGCGATAGGGTTGGGTAGAGGTAGTGCATTCTGAATCTTTATATGATTGGGATGAGTTGAGTGTGTCGGATTTGTGATGGTTATGTGGATGATCAGTTCTGAAAGGGGATAGCTAGTTTTATATCTTCTTTCCTCGGACCACGTCATGTTCCGGTAGGCTTTGAAGCTTGGAATGCTGGACACATTCATTAGGTAAATGGTGCTTGATCGCCGGGGTTTATTTTGCGGGGATTGGGGCTTTTACTGTGGAGATCAACAGGGTCTTCTCCACTGAGGATCCCATAGTGTTTGCATGATGCGGCATTTCGGCTGAGAGGTACAAGGTACTTGTGTATAGGTATAAGTTAGGTAAAGCTGCGAGGAAGGATGGAACCAACAATTGAATTCGCTCATATGTAGATAGCAAGAATGGGGTAAGAAAGTAACGCTCATATCCCTAACGCCATCGCACGCTCCATGAGCCACCCAGTATTTCCAAAGAGAAAGAAACAAACACGAATAGGAAACAGTGACTCTACCAATGTCTTCACACGTTCTCCTTGCCGAGTGCTCTGGATTTAGGGTTGAGTTGTTTCTGTCTTAGCCGGGCCTGGGCATCAGCAATTCGTTCAGGGGAAAGACCTCCTCGTTGCGTGTCTGTCAGCCCATACCGCTTGCCAACTCGGTCACCAGCTGAGATTGTGTAGTTTGTATACCGACTGCGAGCTGGGAGGCCAGAAATGGAGTCGAGGGTTGATTTAACATGTGTACGCTCTCGTGGCGCGTGCCTGGTGCTAAGCCCAATGTCATCGGCACCGGGAAGATTAAGAGCTCGAGTAGGACGGTTTTCGCCCAGTCGTCGCTTGGAATAAGTGCGGTTAAGAGATTTGAGAGTTGAAAGATCAGGGGGCGAGGATGGTGGAACTGCGTCTAGTTCGACGCGGCGGGATTCGTGGCGCGGCTTTGGCAGGATCTCGTTCAAATAGTGTGTTACCTCGTCGTCATCTGCAGCCGGGTTTCGGAGATGGCGCCTTGAGCCTTGAGTGCCCAAAGTGGCACTACGCAAGCCAGGACGCGACTCACGGACTTTAGATCGTGGACTCGGGCTTGGGGGCGGCTCTATGTCGTCTGTGGGCTCTTCTTCTGGCTCTTGTGGCTCTTCTGGTTCAACATTGTGGCCGGCAAAGTCGAACACTTGCACACCGGTAGGGTCTTTGCGAGGACTGAACGATTGACGCTCAATCGAAGGCAGAACTGGGAAAGGTTCGGTCGTGGTTCCAAGTCTCAACTTCAAAAGGTCAATTTGCTTCTGCAACTTGCGACGCTCTGCGTCCGAGGTATTCCTCAAGTTTTCCTCTGATTCACGATGCTCCTGAGTGGCAGTCTTCAGTCTGTCCCTGTATTCCTGGACCCGTAACTCTAGCCTCGACTCTCTCTGCTTCAGTTTCGTTTCTTTGTCCTTGCGTCGACCCTCGTAGCGCGACATTTCCTGCTTGACACGGGCTAAAGTTTGCTTGAGAGTGTTGTTTTCTTGCTCGAGTGTCTGTGCTTTTTTTTCCGAGCTTTGCGCGAGAGTCTGGAGCGTGCTCAGCTCGGATTGTTGACGTTGCATTTCGTCAATCTTGGCATTGGCTTCCTTGAGCTCTTGTTGCGCTTTGCGAAGCTCGTCAGAGGGGCCCTTGGAAGATGAATCTTCCTTCTGCTTTTTTGTAATTTGCGCAGCATCATTCACCACGTCGTGCTTTTCCAAGGTACTGCGCAACGACGTGACTTGTTGCTTGTATTGTAGCGCAAGAGCGGTCTGCTTGGTCAGGTCCTGAATTAGTTGCTCCTTATCCACCTTGGATCCTTCTCCAACCATGGTAGAAGCAAGTCGTGAAACTTGTCTCTCCATCTCTGCAACTTTCTCCTCTTCCTCCTTAAGCTTATCGGCCAGCCGCATGGCTTCGGAGTCCTTCTTGCGAGCGTATGACTTGGCAATGCACCGGTAATGAATCAACTTTTTGATCTCTTTGTTGGTCTTCACACGGTAGTTGTCGAATTCTGTTTTCCAATATTTGCCCGACTCGGAGTGAGGGTCCTCCAGGTTGATGGTGACATCTTCATCAGGGATGTCTTTCGTTCGAGAGCTGCCAGGGTTCACTTCCTCTATAGTCTCTTCAGACTGGGCCGAATCAACATTCTTGGACGCGTTATCGCGTGCATCCATCAAAGTCTGGGTGAGTTTGCTTCGTGGTTTGCCGCTACCGTCTGAAGAACCGGACATCCACTGGATGCTCAGGTTACCAGTCGGGTTTGGCGGAGTTCTGGCTGGCTTGCTGGCCGAGCCAGGGCGCTTCCCCTCATTGTCAATGACACTCTCCCCAAATGACACGGTCTTGCGTCGATTTAGTATCGTCCCGGGCGTGACTAATATGCTTTTTGTAGGAGAACCCGTGGGGTTGAGCATCGCGTCATCACCGGGGCTCGCGTCTGTGATCTCAGGCGGCGGGAGCTTCATTGTATCACTCTTGCTTCGTTGATGAGGGGATGATATTGGGTTCGACACGTGTTTTCCATCTTCTTCATCGGCTCCAGGTGTCCCAAAAAGGGCACTCTTGAAGGCGCGAATAGCAAAGACAGGAGCTGGAGTCTCGGGAGGTTCAAGCAGCTTGGAGTCCTCTAAGTAGAATGGTTAGTGGAGAGATTCAGGGGACTTGAATATGACAGAACCAACCCCCTTGCTCATTCCCCTTCATCCAGTTCAACATATTGGCAAAGTAAGGAAGTGGCCGGTTTGTTTATGTCGCGCGGTCGGAAAAAGAAGAAGTGCCGATCATCTTATCGATACGGTTCTTGGCACCGAGTCACTTCATGAAAGCAAGTAAGCACAGAGAACTCATGGATGTTTAGTGACTTGATCGGGTTTGACTTGGTTGGCTTCAACTGAATTCAGTCTGAGCTTTTAACGTGCATGTGACCTAACCTGCACTCCCTTGCAGCGCATCCCCGGACATCATCTCACACCGGCATACAAGACTACAGTACTATCACATCACATATCTGGGACTCCATATTGACAACTCATCAATATGTCTTTTTCTCAGTCACCTGGTCCTGCAATTATGGCTAAAACATTTGCGACTATCTTCGTCGCATTCGGTATCAATGCCATTCTACGCCCGGCCCAAGCACTCACCTTCTTCGAGTTCCAGCCTCCAGCCTCTGCCGTGGACAAGCAGCTGGTTGACAGTCTTATGGCAGTCTACGGTGTTCGAGATATCTTCATGGGTGCTGCCATCTATGCGGCCGCGTACTTTGGTACTCGGCGAGCTCTGGGCTGGATATTGATTGCCGCTAGCAGCGTTGCATTTGCAGATGGTCTTGTCTGCTGGACGCATGGCCAGGGCTCATGGAATCACTGGGGATATGCGCCAATGATTACCATCGTGGGCAGCATGCTACTCGGGCTCTTTGACTGAGGGCCAGGTACACGTGGAATGCAGTCAACACGCCAGCCCAGCGAGACAAATTGTGATCGACTCTTGCGGTGTCTACAAAATTTCCACTGGTGAAACTCGCCAGCTCATGAAAAAAAAGGGTCCACTGTTGGGCAGGGAGAAAGGTCCTTTTGCATGACCTACATTTGGATATGCTACATGTAGGGCGTGTTCAGCTTCAATCAACATCTATGGACATATGAACTGCGAAACTGTGAAAGTAGAGCATATAATTTGCACAGAATTACTAGCTATAATAGCAAATAACAGCCAATGCATCTCTATTAACAAGCCGGACGTCATTTATAGGTCCACCACTATCGATAACCCGAAGGGCGCATCTGACCGCCTGTTCTAAGAAAAAAAAGACTGCCCAATTCGCTCGACTCTAGACTTCCTCACCCTCCACCTCATTAACTTATTACTAGCCTCGATGTCGTACAGTCAGGGACGCATGTAGGGCTCTCGCCACGCCCCGCGATGCCTCCCAAACAGAGGAAGAAGCCCTCCCGCAAAAAGCAAACCTCCGATTCCTCCTCCGTGACGTCCCCCGTTTTACCTACAACCAATTACCGTGAAATCCACCAGACAGAGGTCGAGGCTCTGCGCTCGATATATGGTGATGACTTTGAAGAAGTTGAGAACAGGCGGTCGGCCTGGCAGGTGAGTTGCCATATTATGGTGGGCTGTTTGGGTCCCTCGTGCCACTAACTCGTGCGCTGCAGCAAACTTCTGATGTGACCTTTAAGCTTCATTTACGGTCTTCCTCGAACCCTGATGTCCTCCTTGTGCTATTAGTCGAACTGCCCGCCACATATCCCAAAACAGTTCCCAATCTTTCGCCGGGAAACCTTGACGGCTTCCGCGATGGAGCGCGTTCCAGAATCCAAGATATTCTCCGCAACAAACCAAAAACCCTACTCGGAAGCGAGATGATTTATGAGCTCGCGGTGTCGATTCAAGATGTCCTTGAGGATGTTGCCCAGGCGCGCCTACAGGATAAGGATCTTCCTAGCCTCGAAGAGGAACGAATGGAGCAAGAGGCGGCCGCCCTTCAACGCGCAGACCTGGAAATGCAAGAGGTGCTTCGCAAACAACAAGCTGCAGCTGCAGAGGAAGAGCGTGCATTACAAGAAATGCTTCAAGACAAGATGCGACAACGAACCAAGGCTCGGATCATGCGACGGAAAAGCCGCACTGGTGCCGATAGTGATGTCGATGACCTCGTGGAGAACACGCCTGGCGCGATTTCCTTCGATCCTCCTTTACTCGTCAATGACACCGACGAGCAGCCGCTGATCTTCCGCGCCGTGCATGGGAAGACTATGTTACAAAGCCAGCCGGGTAAGAAGACGTTCACCGTCAGGCCTGTGGTTTCTGAAAGTCGATGCCACGTCCCACAGCTTATTTTGAAGGAGATTTTCCTTGACGAGAAGGGATCTGAGAGATTGACATTCCGAGAGCAAATGCGTACCAGTGAGGATAAGTTGGAGGGCCTCAAGCGATTAAGACACCCGAACCTGGTTGAATTTGTCGGGTTCAAGATCAATCGCCCACTTGGCCAGTTCGACTCGCCCGATAATTCCTGGACCGTCTTTATGCTTTTGGAATATGCAAACAAAGGGTCACTCGCCGAGCTCCTCGATATCGTGGGGACCGTGGCCGTCGACATGCTCCGCGGCTGGATGATTCAGCTACTCGAGGCTTTGGAGTTCTATCACCGCAATGGATTTGTTCATGGAAACATCCAATGTAGCCGAGTATTGCTCTTCCGAACGCCCTCGGGTGGGACCATTGTGAAATTGCAATCTAGTGTGGAGGACGCTTTACCCGAACCCCCTGGTGGAAAGCCATCTTTGACTGCATCTAAATCGCCACTTTGGCTTCCTCCAGAGCTGACGCAGGACCAGTCAGCTCCCACCATGAAGACTGATGTTTGGGATCTTGGAATTGTACTGCTCCAGATGGGCTTCGGAAAAGATGTTCTCCTGAGATACACATCTGCTAACCAGTTGATGGTGTCAATGGGACTCTCTCCGCCATTGCAGGATTTGCTCCGTGAATTCTTCCGCCCTGATCCTAGAAAGCGTCCAACTGCCTTCCAACTGCAACCGTCTGAATTCTTCCGAGTGGATGCGCCTTTGAAAATGCGGGATAGAGGGTCAAACTCTGTGTCTCTGCAGAGAAGGCCCCGGCTCGACTCTTTTGGAGCCATGCCGGCATTCTCACGATACCACCAAGACTTTGATGAGGCAGGTCAGTTGGGCCGTGGTGGTTATGGGCAGGTAGTGAAAGCACGGAACAAGCTCGATGGTCGGTTGTATGCAGTTAAGAAGATATCTCAAACTTCAGCTGCAGCTTTGAAAGATACTCTTTCCGAAACCATGTTACTATCGCGACTGAACCATCCATATGTTGTCCGGTACTACACTGCCTGGCTAGAAGAAGACTTCAATCAAATTGAGGAAGAGGCCATGTCCTCCACCGAAGGTGACCCATTTGCTAGTCAGGATCACCACGGATTCAGCACTGGAGGCCTCGACTTCATCAGCTCTAGCGGATATCCCAAGATCGAGTTTGCCCAATCGGACAGTGATGATGACAACGAAGGAACGTTATCCGATCATGCCCATGCTGAGGCATCTCGGATTTACCGCGCCAAACACACAGAAACAGACAGTAAAGATGACGACGCTGAGCTCAGCCATGCGAGATCTGGATCTTATGGTCGTCCTGTTTTGACTACGCTGTACATCCAGATGGAGTACTGCGAGAAACACGTGAGTGCACTATGCTATTTTACGGTCAATAATTTAAGCTAAAATTTCCAAGACCTTGCGTGATTTGATAAGGAATGGATTATACGATGACATTGATCGTTCGTGGCGTCTCTTCCGGCAGATTCTCGATGGCCTTAGCCACATCCATAGCCACGGAATCATCCATCGTGACCTAAAGCCCGACAATATTTTCATTGATGTTGCCAACAATCCTCGCATTGGCGACTTTGGACTTGCTACAAGCGGCCAATTTACCACTGCTGTTCGTTCATCTGCAGCGGCAGACTTCGAAGGAGATTTCACTCGCAGTCTTGGAACGACCTACTATGTCGCACCAGAGATGAAGTCGGTTGTCTTGGGACACTACAATGAGAAGGTAGATGTGAGTATTCAAACTGCCCGCACTCTAAATTATAAACGCTCACGCTGTATAGATGTTCTCTCTTGGTGTTATCTTCTTTGAGATGTTGCACCCATTGCCTACCGGCATGGAACGAGACCAGACTCTCAGAGTGATCAGAGAAAAGAACCATACCCTCCCGCTCACTTTCCAGCAATCTGATAAAGTAGTTCAAGGGCAAATCGTTGAATCCTTGTTGAGCCATACCCCAAGTGAACGTCCTACAGCCGCTGAGCTTCTTTCCAGCGGAAGAATCCCACTCCAGGTCGAGGAAGAGACATTCAGGCGAGCGATTGTGCATCTGCTCTCCGATCCAAATTCTCCCGACTACAAGAAGATTCTATCAGCAATCTTCTCCCAGTCCCCTAAGAAGTTCGAGGATATTGCTTGGGACATAGACTCGCATGGTTCCCCAGCAGCCAATGAACTACTTGTCCAGGGTCTAGTCAAGAATAAATTGACCTCTATCTTCCGGAGACATGGCGCCGTGGAATCGCAGAGACAAATGATCTTCCCTCGATCTCAGCATTACAGCACCGCCCCTGTTGCTCGCCTTTTGGATGCATCTGGCAATCTATTACAGCTGCCATTCGACCTCACAGTTCCGAATGCACGAGCGATCCCCAAACAGGATCGCTCACTGGAGAAGACATTTGCATTTGGCACAGTCTACAGAGAGTCAAGCCATGGCAGCGAACCGCGGACTCACGGTGAAGTGGACTTTGATGTCGTGTCTCACAATACCTTGGATTTGGCCCTGAAAGAGGCCGAAGTGATCAAGGTCCTGGACGAGATTATTGAAGAGTTCCCGCCCTTGCGCTCTTCCCCCATGTGCTTCCTCATTAACCACTCTGATTTGCTCCAACTTATCATGGAGTTTTGTCGTGTCACGCCTTCCCAGATCCCATTGGCCAAGGAGACTATCAGTAAACTAAATGTTGGCAAATGGACAATGCAGAAGCTCCGAAGCGAGCTTCGGTCTCCGGCAATTGGTGTTGCTTCGACATCACTGGATGATCTTGCTCGATTCGACTTCAGAGGTTTGTCATTTCAGGATCTAATTAGATGCAAGGCGCTAACTTACATTGTACAGGTTCTCTGAAAGAAACCCAGCGCAGGCTGCAAAGCATTATGGAAGGAACTGAATTCGTCGAGCGAATTGCACCGATATTTACCCGCTTGAACGTGCTCATGACTTACCTCAAAAGCTTCGGCATTAAGCGCAAGGTCTACATAAACCCCCTCAGCAGTCTTCATGACAAGTTCTACGGTGGAAGCATTCTGTTCCAATGCGTCTTTGACAGCAAACGACGAGATGTGTTCGCTGCAGGAGGCAGATATGATGGCTTGATCCAGGAGTTCTCTCCCAGGGTCTTATCTAATTGTCCTCAAGCGCATGCTGTCGGATTCAACCTCAGCTCGGATCGCCTTAGCTCTTCGATGATTGATTATCTGAAAGCCAAAGCTCCGACAAAAGAGAGTGAAACTGGTGCGGAGGTATACTGGGGAGCTCGTCGGGTAAGTACCATAATGTATCCATGTCTCAGTTCTTACTAACCTCATTAGTGTGATGTACTTGTTGCCAGCTTCGACGCAGACGTTCTTCGCTCGGCCGGAGTAAAACTCATCGAAGAACTCTGGTCAAACGACATTAGCGCGGAGCTCGCAGTCGACGCCTCGTCGATCGAGGAGTTGATGGCCATATACAAAGACTCTAACCACCGATGGATTGTAATCGCCAAGCAAGACAGCAAGGACCGTGGATTCAAAGTTCGAAACCTCATGCGCAAAGAGGAATTCGATATCCGCACCGCCGAGCTTGTACCATGGCTTCGATCAGAGGTGCAAGCGCGCCACCAGCGCGAGGGTACTTCTGACCTACGCCCAGCCCGTCAATCAAGCACACAAGAAGTCCTCGCATCACAAGAACGGGCAAATGATGTGCGCATCCTTACACCGCAACATCGAAGCAAGAAGACGAACAGAAGAAATATCGTCGAGCTAGGTATGTCTATAATCCAACCCACATCCAATGCAGTACATCATACTAAGAGTTTCTAACACAGCCCTCCAACGCTCCCGCGACATCGCCGAAAACGCTCGCAACGGCCCAATAGCAGCAATCGACACTCGGGACGACGTCCTAGACGCCATCCGAAACACGCGCCTCTCTGACGCCGAGAGCTGGCGCAACGTAATTCAAAACGCACCCCTGACCGAACGCAAATACCTTAGTCAAGTGTACGAGCTTCTAACCGACTTGGCACTTGAGAACCGCACAAACGACAGCACGGAAAGGTTCACGAACGCTTTCATCTTCAATTACCGCACCGGTTCCTGCGTGTACTACGATCTCGGCCCGAGCGAGAAATGACATGAATTTACGAATGGTTGTTTTTCATTGATGAGAAGATAAGATAGGATTGGAATGGATAGGATATGAAAGGACAGGAAAGGAAAGGGAAGGAGGGAGGGAGTTTGCATTGGCCTCGTGTGGAATGGGGCTATATTGGGTGTTCTAAGTTATGCATTTTGCTTTATGGGTGGAATTCTTGTTTGTTTTATTTGACCACACACAGTCTATCTCCTCTCAATGCCCTTTTAAGCGAGTGCTCGGGATGATACCCAAACCAGTTGATGTGTGTGATGTATGCAATGCGAAGTGATGGGATGAATGATGCGCGAAAGAATTATGAATATCCAGCATGAAGGTTGCGGAGGAAAGGGAAGAATTCTTTTGTCGGAGGTATCGCTGTTATTGTACATGGAAGAAATCACAAACATCATGAATTATTTGTCGAGCTGCTGAACATAGCTGAATTAGTCGCTGTCTTCGTCGCTGCCATATGCTACCAATGGACCACTAGCGGCTTTTGGTGCTGCAGCAGTCGTCACGTTTCCATTTAATCCGCGAAGTGCTGCTACAGCTGAGCTGGAGAAGATGCTCCCACCTTGTTGCTCGTACTGTTGCGGTTCGGGGATTGCAGCGGGCTCGATCATCAGTGGCTGTTCTGGTGCTTCCAGCTGTAAAGCTTCTTGGGTTTCCAGTTGACGGGTCCTAGCGTGCCACACGTCATCGGGAACGTCGTAGCCCTGTAGTCCGAAGCTTCCTTCGATCTTCTTGCGTTTCTTTGCCTCGGGGTCGCGACCTTCAATCTCGGCCACAAATGCTGCGGGGAGAGCTCGACGCACGGCCTCGGCGGCCTGTTCCTCTAACCGACGAGCTTCGCGCTTCTGAGCCATAGGGTTCGGGTCAACCGTTGCCCAACGGACGTTGATAATCTCCTCGCTGAAGGGTGTTAGTATATTAATGAACAATGCGAGAATGGAAGGTATTGGGTGGGACATACTGGTCTAAGGCTTGCCGAGACATTGCTTCCTTTCCAAACTGTGCATTGGCTTCGTTTGTATCTAGTATGTTGTTAGTGTGGGTAGTTCAATTGCCGCCGTATCAGAAGATGATGGCGGCGCAAAGATGACACTTACAGGTAACAAATGCCACACCTCTTCCAGTCAACACACGGATGCGCTACAGACATAGTTAGCGAAATGCCCGGGTATCAATCAGACCAACCAACGTACATCGATCTGCCCCCATTCAGCGAAATGCCGGGAAACAACTTCTTCGATATCATCTGTGACGTGAATACGACCAACATAAAGTGTCCGATTTTGGCTTCGAAGAGTTAGCAACACTAGATTCAACCTTCACAAGGAGGATCGTGCAACTCACCGAGAAAATGATCCAACACCAGACATATCTTCTTTGTAATCGCTGTGACGATCTCGGCCTATTTTCGAGTCAATAACGCATCCTCAAATATCCAGCCGAAATCGATACTGACCGAAACAGTCTGTATTGGGATTGAACTAGAAGAAGAACAGTTAGAACCGAGACAACTAAAAAGAACAATCCAAGCAAGACTAACCAAGTCATGAATTGTAGGCAGACGATGCAAATACTCGCACTCGGGGCCCTTGACGCAAGTTCCCCAAGCAAAATGCGTGCTAAAAACGAGAATCAGAATCAGTAAGATTCCACTGCGGCGCGCAAGGGCACGACAGGATCGATAAACCCACCAGAAGAAAGAACCAGGCACACGATCAGCGCGCGTATATCCACTATCCCTAGCAATATTACAACGACCAGGCGCAGGCTTAGAAAGCCCGTACTTGTCATCATTATCGCTGCCACTCTTGTTGTACCAGATGTTGTAGTCGCCGCCTGAAGCAGCCGCAGGCTCGGATTTTGGAGCGGTGGATGGATCTGCCTGGACTCGAGCAGGACGCTTCTTGCGACGAATAATCTTCTTTGTCTTTTTCACGGGCTCGAGTTGTCCGTCGGCTGGTGTCGCGTCTCCGGCGTCGGTTGTTGCCACGACCATTTCTTCGGTGGTGGTTTCCACAAGGTCCGGGTTGGTGTTTGAGACGGGCGCTGAGGGTGCCTCAATAATGGGTGTGTCTGCCATGGCTTTTGGTGCTCTGAAATTGGAGAGTTGGCGGTATTGAGCTTGGAGAGCTTTCGAAAAGTCGACGGGCAGTTGCGATTACATAAGGCTTGGCGGGTGCGGGATTTCGTTTTTGGTCGAAAAGATGCGAAGTGCCACTTTTTGATATTCTGCTCTCTGCCTCGGTTCTTGCTTTGTTTGTGCTGCAATAAGGTAGATTCTTATCTGCTCTTTGATTGAGCGTGCACCAGAGCAATTCCTAGTGAATTCGCAGGCGTTAAGCCTCAGAAACCGCCAACATGGTGAACATCACGGAGAAGATCAAGGAGTATGTTTATCGAATTATGGCTCGTTCCAATTGTTCGTTATGCTGATTCGTATGTTGTACTGCAGGATTGAAGATGAGATGCGTCGGACGCAGAGTGAGTGGCCTATCCCCAGATATCACAATATATCACCCCGCTAACCAATGCCCCGCAGAGAACAAGGCCACAGGTAAGATGAGCTCTGGCTATTCAGAGAAAGTCTGATCTAACATTTTGATCCAGAATACCATTTGGGTCTATTGAAAGGGTACATTTCGCCCCAGAAACTCCAATGCGAACCCGAGCTAACAATATCAACAGAAAGCTTGCCCGTCTAAGGGCTCAGCTCTTGGAGCCAGCAGCCGGTGCCGGATCTGGCGGTGGCATGGGATTCGATGTCAGCAAGAGCGGTGATGCACGTGTAGCTCTTGTCGGCTTTCCCTCCGTCGGAAAGTCCACGTTCTTGTCCAAGATCACCAAGACCAAGAGTGAGGCTGCCGCCTACTCTTTCACTACTCTGACTGCTATCCCCGGTGTGCTGGAGTATGGCGGTGCCGAGATTCAGATTCTGGATTTGCCCGGTATCATCGAAGGTGCCTCGGAGGGTAAGGGTCGTGGTCGACAAGTTATCTCTGCCGCGAAGGTGCGTTTCAAACTCTTCCGATCACAACTTGGATACTGACAATATTTGTAATACAGACTAGTGACTTGGTTCTGATGGTTCTGGATGCTACAAAGCGTGCCGAGCAGCGGGCCCTGCTTGAGGCCGAGTTGGATGCTGTGGGCATTCGGCTGAACAAGGAGCCTCCGTATGTCATCCACATCTCATTTAAATCTTTGAGTATCCCGGTACTAATATGACTTTAGTAATATCTATCTGAAAGCTAAGAAGGCCGGTGGCATGAAGATCACCTTCTCAACACCCCCAAAGAACCTAGACGAAAAGATGATTTACAATGTGCTTCGCGATTACAAGATTCTCAACTGTGAAGTCTTGGTGCGAGACGAAAATGGTATGATAACCCTTACCATGAGAAGCATATTGTACCATCCCATTCATACTTACATTCGAATATAGCTACCATCGACGACTTTATCGATGTGATCATGAAAGATCACCGCAAGTACATCCGCTGGTAAGCACTGCACCAACTCAAACTACCACAAATGCAACACTAACCAATTTCACCAGTCTCTATGTCTACAACAAGGTCGACAGCATTGGTCTCGAATTCCTTGACGCCCTGGCCCGCGAACCATACACAGCAGTGATGAGTTGTGAACTGGATCTAGGCGTGCAAGATGTCGTCGAGCGGATCTGGAAAGAATTGAGACTGATGCGTCTCTACACGAAAAAGTATGCACCACCCACATTCCACATTTCTAGCGGAACTAACATTGTATATTGCACCAACAGGAAGGGCGAAGAACCAAACTTCGACGAGGCACTTATCGTGCGCAGAGACTCCACCATTGAAGATGTGTGTGACCAGATCCATCGCACAATCAAGGAAACGTTCAAGTATGCTATGGTGTGGGGAGCTAGTGCGAGACATGTGCCGCAGCGGGTGGGATTGGGACATATGGTTGCAGATGAGGATGTGGTTTCGATTGTGGCGAAGTAAATTCATGTTTAGCTTGAGTGCTTGAAAAGCGATGATAAAATGTTGATACGATTACAAATAAGTCAAGGTTGCGATGTGAACATCACTATATTGAAGTACAGAGTTCGAGAGGTGCCAAGTATGAGATATGAAGTATGAGTATGGTTAAATGTTGTTGATTTGATATACCATGAATCTATAAAGAGAACAAAATACAAGAACCTGAAGTATTCACCCAAAACCAAATTGAATATCCGAGCCAACTCCCTCACATGTTATGAAATTTAGACAGCACCGGCAGCGGCGGCGGCGGCAGCAGCAATGTTCTGCTGGCCGATGGTGGGCTGGACGCCAACACGCTCGTTGGGGAGCAGGTCAACCAGCAGGGGACTGGGACGGCTGTCACGCTGGGGGTAAAGACCAGCCTGGCTGTTCTTGTACTTCAGAACGCTGTCGAGGTAGATGTCGAAAAGGTAAGAGGAGTCGAGGGGACCGCCCTTAGCCTCGGGGTGGAATTGGGTGCTGAAGATGGGGCGGGACTTGTGGATCATGCCCTCGTTGCTCTGGTCGTTCAGGTTGACGAAGTAGGGCTTCCAGTCGGAAGGCAGGGTGGAAGCGTCAACGGCGTAACCGTGGTTCTGGGAGGTGATGTGGCAGCGACCAGTGCTGAGGTCCAGAGCAGGAATGTTGTGAGCACGGTTTCCGTACTTGAGCTTGATGGTGCTGGCGCCAGCGGCCAGAGCGAGGAGCTGGTGACCAAGACAGATACCGAAGATGGGGATCTGAGAAGTTTCCATCAGACGCTGGAGGTGGTAGACTGTATCCTGACAGTGGGTGGGGTCACCGGGACCGTTGGAGATGAAGACACCATCGAAGTGGTGGGCGACCTTGTGGATGGGGTAGTCGAAGGGGAAGACAGTGACACTGGAGCCACGGTTGACGAGGCTGCGCAGAATGTTCTCCTTGACACCACAGTCCAGCACGGCGACGTGGGACTGGGGGTCGGCAGCGCTGATGTGGAAGGGCTGCTTGGTGCTGACCTGGCGGACCAAGTGAATTTGCTCGGGGTCGGTGAAGGCCTCGTCCTCGTTGGCATCGTACTCCTCGCCAACGGTGATACGGGCCAGGGAAGAACCCTGCTCACGTAGGTAGGTGACAATGGCACGGGTATCGACACCGGAGATGGCGGGAACACCCTCACGGGCACACCACTCTCCCAGAGACTCGACAGCAGTCCAGTGGCTGTACTGCTCGGCCACATCGGCAACAACAACACCAGCAGCCTGGAGGTTGGGGGACTCAAAGTACTTCAACAGACCATTGGGGTCCTTCTCAGCGGAGGGGACACCGTAGTTACCGATCAGAGGCTGGGTGAAAACCAGGATCTGACCACGGTAGGAAGGGTCGGTCAAGGACTCGGGATATCCGACCAGCGAGGTGGTGAAGACAGCCTCGCCGGAGATATTGGAGCGAGCACCGAAAGACTTTCCGCTGAAGATAGGGCCATCACGAATGGTGAAGGTGGCAGGCTCCATAGCCGCACGCTGACGCACAGTGGCCATGAAGCGGACCTGAGCAGGACGCTTCATGGCAGCGAAAGCGGTGGCCCTAGGGGGCATTGCCTTGAAGAGGTTGAAGATCATTTTGTATGTATAGAAATTGAGTGTGAAAAGCGAGATGAAAGCGAGAAGCTATTCAGTTGATGTTGGCTTTCCAGAGGTGGTCCGAGATGTAGTCCTGGGAGGTGAAGATCGAAGGTGCCAAACACATAGACGCGACTGAAATCTAGCAGTCAGGATATGGTAGAGAAAATGGAGGGTTGCTCTTTAGCAAAACATGGAGAAGTTTGGAGTTGAGACTTTGGAAGTTGGAGAGAGGGAGAAAAGTGGAAAGAAACGAGGATTTTCACCTTTGAGTCAGTGGACACGTGCTTTCACCGACTTTGCCGGATTCAGCCAATCAGAGGCCAGCGAATTCCGCTATCGGCCTTGTTATGTAACGATCGACTGAAATCCACAATGAGATCAGAGATAGACGGTGATAGTCAATTTGATAGTCAGAAAGAAAGGGAAAGGAAGAGATATCGAGAGAGGATACTCGCTTTTATATGTCAAAGATGCCATTGTGCGCTATCTACACCGCACTGTGGAAACTTGCAGTAGCTTATGCACTCTATTGGATCCTTTGCCCTTGAAACTGCCAGTTTGAGATACGTTCCAGCCATCTCAGCGAGTAGTGTTGTGTCACTCGCTAGCCTCTTGTGTTAGGGTACTCCGTAGACTCGAAGCAACGTTGATCAAAGGCAACCGCACGGTAAATTACTTAGATAGCAGATATATAAGAAGGCAATTAGCACGTAAATAATGACCCTGCAGACGTCTTGTAGCAAGCAATAACCTAAGCTATGATCATCTCGCGGTATATACTTTGGGCCCTGGCATGCATGCCTGCGGCTACTTTCGGCCGATCCATCTTCGCGTTATTTGGCACTCAGACCGCTCTACATGGTCAATCCGACTGCGATGGGACAGGAATCGTCGACCCAGATGGTAATTGCAATGGTACTGGAATAGTGGACGACCCAGCCCCGCATGGACGAGAAGGCTTCAAGTTTGAGAACCCCTCTACCAAGTGCAAATATGTATCCCAGATGCACATCTGGGACTCCTTCAAGCACCTGGAGAAGGACATGAGCAAGCTGTTCACGCTGATCCACAAAGATGTAGCCTTCACAGTCGTCGGGCACCACCCGATCGCCGGCCGCTACCACGACCTAATGCACTTTTATGTCAATGCCTTGCGTCGAGTCAGCATGTTGTTTATGGACCATGCAGATTTGTTTGAGATTCATCCACAGGGCATCTATGGTGGATGTAACAGTGCGTGGTCGGTGCAGGAAATCCAATTCAAGGGCGTGATGAACTCCGGTGGGGACGGATATCTTCCGAGTTCAACCGCATTGCTGACCTGTCACAGGCGACAACTTCGAAATCATCAACGTGTGGTTCACTCGGTGGGATGAAGACCAGATGGTTGAGATCCGTACGTATATCGACGCGCCGAAGATCATGGATGCGCTGCACAAGAACGAAATCTGGTGGAATGGTACGACTCTGCGGGACAACCTGCTTTACATGCCAGGACCAGCGGGAATGCCCGACTTGAAAGAACTTGGACAGCTGTTGGGATATCCCAATGGCAGCAAATATAAGGATTGAAGAGAGGAAGAAGCTGAAGTGAGGGGAGATAATCTAAATTGCTTGGCGGCAACTAATCTTCTTCACTCCGCAATGTTCCCCGTAGTTCTCCAACTATGTCCGAGTCAACGCCTCGTAAGCGGTCTCGTCTAGCCTGCACTTTGTGTCAGTCGCGAAAGCGCAAATGCTCAGGTGGTCAGCCCTGTAGCACTTGCGCCCAAACTGGCGCGGAATGTCACTACAGTGCGCGCAAGAAACGCGCCAGATCCCATAGTCTGTACCGAGCTAGTCTGTCACTCGATGAACGTCCAGATGGCTGGCCCAATGCTTTGCCAGACCTCAGCACCACTGATAGTGCAGCTCAGAATTCCGCCGTTCATGGCGAGTCCGACATGACCCATTCCATGGCGAATTCCGGGGCTGCGTTCGTTCGCAAACTCGGGCTACGAATTGACCCTGCGCGTGCACCGCGATTGCACTTGTTCGCATGGAACGTTGGCGAGAGACGTATGGCACCTTCAATGTCATCGTCGCTTCCCCCAATGAATACCACAGCGTCAGCAGCAACAACTATCAACAAGATTGTCTCACCCGAGGAGATGCGGCGGCTAGCAACAATTTTTTTCGAGAAAGTCGACCCATGCTATCCCTTTCTGGACCGCAAAAAAGTTTTCACTGGAATCACTAAACGCTGGGAGCTCTCGTCATCTCCCATCGACACGGAACACCCACACGATGCTGTGCTATGCGGCATCGCAGCCTTCGGGTATTTATTCTCGCGACGCGAGATCATACCCCAAGAACTACAACTCATTGAAACGGCACGCAGCATCTTAGACAAGAGTGTGCTTGCTGCAGAAATACCCTCAGTCGACACAGTGACCGGTTGGGTTCTACGCGCCGCCTATCTCCGCATGACGGCCTCACCGCACGCAGCATGGATGGCCAGCTGCACCCTGATGCACCTCATCGAAGCTGCAGGTCTACACCTGCAAACCCCAGACCCAGAAACAGCAGGTCTCCTCCCAGCCTCACCAGCCGAAACACACACCAGCTCAGACAGCGGAGACACACAATCCCCCAGCGACCCAGAGACTCGTCGGCGACTCTTCGGCATGGCTCGACATCTCAATACATGGACCTCCTTCGATTTGGGTCGCTCACGGGTCATCCTCCAAGGCGCAACAGCCCTCTCCCAATCCCCAGCTTCAACCCAAACCCCAGCCCAGTCCAACTCCCAAACCCAAACCCAAGCCTCAGCATCCCAAACAAACCGCACCCACCCCCGCGCCGACCTCTTCCACCTCCTCCCCCTATCAGAAAGCCTAGACCCAACAAACACCCCAGACCTCCTAACAGCCCTAAAACAAGTCCTCTCTCTAACATACACAGAGTCAAGCTTAATCCTAGTGCAAAGCAACCTAATGCTCTGCATCTACCGCCGGCTCCGTGCCCAATCAACCTTCACCTCCCCCTCAACCCCAACATCCACAATTCCCCCAAAACTTCTCACAAAAATCCTAGCCCTATCCTCGCGCTCCCTTCGCGCTGCACGCGGGATGGTAGCGCAAACCTGCCCCTGGCACCAAGTAGCCAACGTCCCCTTCCAAGTCGTCTGCTCGCTCCTGGCAATTGATAACCGCGCCTCGATGGCGTTACTGGGTGATGCTATGCGCACACTTAGGGAGGTCATGACGGCTTATGATACGGATTCGATGCGGGAGGCGTATTCGACGGCTTATTTGCTTGTCGCGCTGCATCAGAGGCGGAAGGAGGATGATACACGTGCGCTGGCGGAGGTTTTGAGGGTTAATGCTTCTGTTGTTGGGTGGGTTGGGATTGATGCTGGGATTGAGGGAGATGGGGTTGTTGAGCCGGGAGATCGGGGTGATGGATATAGGGATGGAGATGATCATGGGCAGCAGATGCAGCAGATTGGGAACTCGAATCAGAGTCAGAGTCAAAACCAGAATCAGAGTCAGAGTCAAAACCAGAATCAGAGTCAGGTTCTTGATGGGTCTGTGGCGCCGGTTTCTGATGCTGAGTTCTCGTGGTTGGGTGATTTGATGATTGATATGCCTAGTTTGCAGAACTTTGACTTGGATCAGTTTCTTATGACGGATGTGCCGTGGCCGTTGCCTGAGATGGGGATTTGAGTTGGATTGGATCGATATGATATTGATGGTGATTTAAAAATGCCATTGGAAAGATCTATATGGGCTATGGCTATAAAATAAACGCCCAACCCGTATTCATAAAATGCCTAGTTATGAATATCATGAGATACCCATCGAACAAGAAATAGTAAATGACCAAGGTAACGCTAGTTCAATGCGCACTTGACTGCGAACATTCATTCCTTCTTATCATGCACAGGCTTCGAAGGCTTCGAAGGCTTCGAAGCAGTACCAGACGACCAAGCCACCCGAGCAAGGCGCCACAATACCCAAAAGAAGCCAAGTGTGATAACGAGACAGGTTCCCAGCTCGATATTCTTAGATCGGAATAAGCCCCCATCTTCAAGTCGAAGAACTGGAACCTCGATATCCTCTAAAAGGTGCTCTGAGTTAGGCTGAAGCTGGTAGAACATGGTGCGCGGACCGAAAAGACCATCCCAGCCTAGATTAGTGCGGTCGAAGGGGTTCACGCCCATCTTCGTTCCTTCTTCTGAGGTACATGCCCAGAACACGACTGGCCAAGGGACGTGTGCGGTGCGGTATCCTGTTTCTGAGGGTGGGAGGTATCGGAGATGCAGAGGGACTGTGACTGTCCAGTTTGAGGAGTCGGATGGGTCCTCGAGTGGAGTTGCTAGCTCAAGGAGCCAGGTTGAGCCCCAGCGATCGACGACCCAGTCTGGGGCTTCGAGATCCATCTCGCCTGATAGGGCGCGAAGGGCGACGAGGTTATGGGACTCGAGGAAGAGAATGTCTGTTGTTCCGAGCTGGTATTGATCTCCGAAGATGGTGGAGGGAAGTGTTAGATATGTGTGGAGTGCGCAGGTTGAGTCGCTTGGAGCGGGTGGTCGTCTCAAAGATGAACGGGGCATGGAGATGGACATTGTTGGATGTAGACCTGTTGGCGAAGCGAAGGAGACTGTGTAGGTGGCGGGCTCCAGTAGAGGTTGGTGTCGGGAGGGGAATGAGAACATGGTTGGTTCTGCATGAACGTTAGTCAAGCTTTTCTGTAGTGTCTACATATACGCATGAGGCATTGGATTTCCGAGTACATACTTAGCTTCTTGTCTTCTCCAACAACAGCTAAAAGGCCCCCCATCTTGATCTCTTCAGGCTCAAGGCCCGGCTCAGCACCCAAGATACCGATTTCAAGCTGATTAGCAGAAGAAACTGGCTTATCAAGCTGCTCTGTCCAGCCGCCCGAGGGGGGGCTAGTCCATAGACTTGACACAGTCAAGGCATGTGAAATGCTATCGTAGTCAATATCCACCGAGTCCGCCGAAAGAAGCGAATCAGCCCGAGCATGACATTCAGAAGCATCCTTGCCCTGGGCGCAGACAGAGTCTCGGATCCATTTGTTAAGAGGTTGTAGCAACTCAAGACGAGTGTGGTATTGAAGGGAAGCCGAGGAAGCGAATCTAGTCGAGAGAAGTGGGGGTGTAATGAACGAATCCTGCATAGCAGTGGGAGTTAATTGGAGCCCACAGCAGAAGAATATCAACGAAGGTCGCCTAGAAAGCGCAAAATTACCTCTGGCTTCGAACAATCCTTGTATTGAGCACCCTCAGCAGGTCCAACGATCGTGCGGAGCAGCGAGCACAATGCCTCCCTATACCCGAGTCAGCAACCACGCAATCTTCCGCGATAAGAATTTCAAGCTCACGAAGACGTATCAGTATTCAGTGGAGTATAATGCACATGCAGACCGGGCGACACCCGGCTGGCGAAAGGCGCGACGGCCTCGTATGGCTGTTCGGACGCCCAGCGGAGGTGGAGCTCATGGGATTGCTCGAGAATAGCGCGCAGCTAGACAGCACAGAAGAACAAGAAAGTCAGCGATTCTGTGTTTTTGAATATGCAGTTCATTGAGGCAATGGGCTTTGCTCACCTCTTGTGGGAGCTCATTCAGCCCGACCGTGATGCGATCCTCCCGCGCGGCGTCCAAGTCGCGGACGGATAGTGATTTGCTGGTTAGGACAGCTTGCTGAGGCTCAAATGGCGCATTGTCGCGCTGGATATAGGTGATCCTCCGTTTCATAGTTGTATTTCGCAGTTGCTAGCAGTCTCAGAGGAGAGAGAGTCAACCGACGTGACTTCTCCAAGGCGGTTCTCCGCATCTTAATCGGGTTAGACTCAGTGTATTACGATCATCACATGTCCATTAAAGTACAAAATTATCTACAGTTCAGTTTTGTCATAAACATTCATTTCCTTGTCGTTACTCCGAAAATCCAACGCTCCATCCAACGCCAGGCATATGCTAGTTCAACACAATTTCACGGCAATACGTCTCTGATAAGGTCTTTTTGAGATGACGTCAGGCTGGTTGGGAACTTGACGTTGACGCGGACGACGAGATCTCCGCGCTCGCTGGGGTTCTTGGAGATCACCATGCCGAGGCCAGGATAGTGCTCCTCGTGGCCAGGCTGGGTGGGACCGGGCTTGCTGACGCGGATGGACTTGCCGTCGATGGTCTTGACGATACGCTCCCAGCCAGTCAGTGCTTCCTTGAGGCTGAGCTCGACGGTGGTGACGAGGTTATCGCCGGAGCGCTTGAAGGTTGGGTGGTCAAGCTGGAATAAATTAGTACGACTCGTTCAAGTTCATAGAGTAGGGGATTCACTCACCTCCTTCACAATCAAATGCACATCCTGTCGGCCGCCTTCTTCTTGGTCTCCAATGTTGCGGTACTTGATCTTAGAACCAGCACGCAGTCCAGGCTTGATGTTGGCCTCCAGAGTGACTTCCTGGGTGGTGCGCTTGCCCATTCTATCAAAGGCTTTGCTCTTCGTCTTGACCTTTTTGGAGACGCCCTTGAAGATCTCCTCCAGGGTAAGCGGCAAATCCTTCTCAATGATAGTAGGCTCAGGTGTAGGTGCACGCTTTGGCTTCGAGTATCCAGCGCCCGGACGGCTTCTGCCAAATCCAGCGCCACCGCCGCCGCCACCAAGACCTCCATTAAGCATCGAGAAAATGTCATCGTCTTCAAAGCCCATTCCGCCACCTCCACCACCGCTGCTCTTGGCGAAGTTGCGGAAGATGTCGTCGGCATCACTGAATCGGAATCCGCTGCCACCTCCACCGGGACCGGTTGAGAAGTGGAATGTGCGACTTCCACCTCCGCCGGGCATGCCACCGAAATTGAATCCTCCAGGCATGCCTCCTTCGAAGCCAGAGGCGCCTCCTCCACCTCCTCCTGGCGGCGGTGGAGGGGGTCCGCCGCGCATCAGGTAGTCAAGGCCATACTGGTCGTAGACCTTGCGCTTTTCAGGATCGGATAGGACTTCGTATGCTTGTGAGACATCTGGTGAAATGTTAGTTGGGTATCAAAGCGGGGTAGACTTGGTACATACCTTTGAATCTCTCGGCAGCATCGGGGTTGTCTTTGTTCTTGTCGGGGTGGTGCTTCAGTGCAGCCTTGCGGTAGGCCTTCTTAATTTCATCTTGCGTAGCATCAGGCTTGACGCTCAACGCATCGTATAGCTTCGTCTCAGAAACCATGGTGCGGGGTTGAATTGAGTTTTGTCAGAAAAAAAGGCGATCCAGAGGGCGCCCGAGGTTGGAGCTGCAGTCTTAAAAGGAAAATGCGTTGTCTGACAGGAGAAAGGATCCGAAGTGAAAGAGGATGCGGTGTACTTCTCGAATGACGTAGAAGGTTCGCGGGTATGCAGGTTGCAGGCGGGGGTGATTGGAATGCGAGTTGTAGGTATGGGGTGACAATATGAAGTCAAGAGGAGGTTGAAGAGAGCTAAAAGTGCGAATGGCGCTCGAGCCGGAACTTGAATACCAGGGATCAAGACTGGAGTCTCTCCAAGTCAGTGACGTGTGACGTCGGCGGGTCGAACGTTCTCGAAGCTTCGACACACTCCAACAAGTCGATCAACAGCGTAGGGAGTGTTCCTGTCGAATTATCTCTATCTGCAGATACTATTTTGAGTTGCTTTACAGTTGTTTAAGCGCACCTTTAGAGGGTCCAGCTGCGGCATCAACTAGGAAGATCCCGCGATCCATAACATCATGGCCCCACATTTATGTCAGTGTCTTTGCTAGCCCTACCCGACGTCAACTGCAGATATAAGTGGACAATAAATTCTACATTCAAAAATAATTAGAAAGCAGCTACGCGTATGCTGATACCATAATCCACTTAAAAAGCACCCAACATTGTTAATGAATCACGAATGGATGGGAATGAGGAGGATCAACGACAATGCGAGTCAATGCATGCCCAAGATAAAAACGAAGTTAGTTGAAGACTCGGTCAAAGGTGGATGCTTGACTTACTATCTCACGAGCGAACCACATTAAGACGAGGCAGCACCTGAGTTGAATACCAGAAAAAGGGAAAACACCTGAACAAGTAAGAAAGGAACGCCCTTGGAGTGTCATCTTCACTGAGCGAGACTAACGAGTTGCGTTCAATAAGTTTTTCGAAAGATTTTGCAGACGTATCTACTTCGAATAAGAGAATACCTGCGGAATGATCCGAGGATCGTATTTGGGGTCGAGTGATCCAAAGATCGATTTTTTTGGTTGAGAGACAACGGCGAACCGTTGTCCCCCAGTATGAGGCCTTCAAAATTAAATCTTCACTGGGCACAACGATCTTCGAATCATTGTGGGGTTCGAATTGATTGCGGGAATCAGATCACGCTTGGGAACGGAGATGTCAGTGCTGGGGTGGATGAGGCAGAGAGTTGGTAAGAGGTGGGATGCGATAAGAAGGGAAGAAGAGAAACGAAAGGGAGAAAAGAAAAGAGAGAAACGGTTAAGTCCGAAGTTCTCGTGCTGCAAACTTCCTAATCGGGAAGTAGCAAGCTACCATAGGAAATGAGTCACCTGACAGCACGTCAAGGACTGCAGGCTGCAGCTCGATAGATCAATGAAATCCAAGAAACTGGGTGCGATTGAGAGATGGCCAGATCTTACTATTGTACTTCCGATAATACTAGCACATCAATGAGGCCTTGAGCTCATGAGCTCGCTAGAGCAGTAGACCGGCCCCTGCCTCTTGACCTTTGAAAATAAAAATTTTGCGCCTAATGATATGATAAAAGCATATGTAGACGCAGACAAAGCTGTACCGTGTCATATCATACCAGCTTAAAAGCCATTCAAGCTACGTAATTTCAAACCGCGTCCATGCATGTTCAGTGAGAGCTCCCTCTTTAGCATACAAATGTATTCATACATCGAAATGATAGAGGCCGAGGATCTACATATTCAATATATTGACAGGACAAGAAACACCGACACCCTTCCGTTACATATTCGAATTGCACAGGTCACGCCACGGACCCTTACTGGAACGACAAGTTCAAAACCAACTTGCCAGGGAAAAATAAGGCAATAATCGAGAAAGAACCATGAGTGTATTTGCATTATCATGACTGTACCCTTAGAAAAACAAAAATGTGCAACAAGTCTCCATGTACATTGGATCAAATTTACTAAGACCTCTCATCAACAACAACCCAATCCTTAATGAGCGCAGTGCCATTTTCAACAGCCTTAATCTGCTCATCAGTGCAAGTTGCGCCAAGAGAAAGGATGTAGCAAAGCGGCTCCGGACTTTCAGGAACCTCATTCTTGATATCCCAGGTGGACGACGGACCATTCGTGGCATAGGAGGTATTGCAAGCAGTATTGATCTTACCAGTAGCAAGATCACGGTTAAAAAGGGAACGGTAGAAGATCTCGTAAGCAGTCTCTGGCTGGTAAGCTGGGACTTCATGGCCAGCTTCGTAGACCCGGGTGAAGGAGAAGTTTCCATGCTGGCGGACTTGACCGCCAACGTAAGAGGAGTTCGTGCGAAGAGGGGTGTAGCCTGCATCACGGAAATTGGCAGCTTCGGCGTGTTCAACTAGCAGACTGACTTCTTCACCGCCAATCCAGTTGCAGGCGTAGTCACGGTCGCCATAGACGAGGGCAACTTTGATGCCGGAGTCGAGAACGTAGGCGATATCTTCGAGGTAGCCGTGAACATCTGAGCGCGGGTAATCTCCCGAAGAGGAGAAGGCGTAGTAGACGCCGTCGTTGGATTCAGTGAAATTGATTGGAACGCCCAGCGCGCCTTGGACCCAGTGCTGGTTCAACCAGCCGAGGAAGTACGGCGCTGGGAATGGGTCTGGATTTTTATGTGCAATGTCATAGTAGCCACGGTCTGCGTATTCCAGGTACACACCCTCGACGCTGTTGCTGCAGAAGCTGTCGGCTTTTTGGCATGCTTTGTTGACGGTTTGGTTGGTGCCGTACATCTGAGGGTCACCCTCTGCGGCCAGCGCTCGGCACTCTGTGATCAAGTCTTTGCATCCACCGGGCCGACTCCAGGCGTGCATGGCTTGGTCGTAGATGGTCTTGTTGATGGTTTGGATGTCATAGGTGTTGTTGTAGGCCATCTGGATGTAAGAGGGCTCCTGCACTAGAAGATCCACGCAGCCGTTGATGATACCAAGGGTATCCAAGTGGATGTAGTGCGAGTCTTCCGGGTTAGTGATGCTGCCGTTGGTAATCTTTTCATTCTGCTCCTGGAAGAAAGCTGTGAAAGACGGGCCATAGCGACCGCCGTAGGATTCGGTCCAAATGCTGACCCGATCATCATGAGGCTTGTATTCGGGGAACTCGCTGAACCAAGTCTGCGCAAAGTGCCAGAGAGATCGTGCAGAGTTCTCAGTACTGTTTGCTGTCGCAGTTTTCTTATTACTGGCTGTCGTACCGACGTAGAAAGTGTTGTTCTGCTCGGGCACTCCGTGGGTCCAGTCGGACAGGTTCCAACCGCCGTTCACTTGGTCAAAGGTACCGTTTGTCGGTACATCATAGCTGAACCCGACTTGGTTGGGCTGATCAATGTACAGCATATTTACGTAGTTGTTCCATGACCAGGGGTTCAATTCCGTCGAATTAGAATCCGCGTTCACCTTGCAGGGTCCATTTTCTTGCATGAGACCAATCATGGAGGAACTTCCTGGTCCGCCATTCATCCAAATAGATAGAGGCGCATTCTTTGGATCATGGCGAGATTCGAAGAACCAGAAGAAAGTATTGATGGGGTATTTTTGATCGACGTGCACGTCGTCCAAGGACCCTGGAGGCAAATGAACGTATCCAGAGTACGACTTAACGCCCGGTGTAGTTTCGCAAATTTCAGGCTATGCAGTTCGTCAGTATACGATTGTAAATCTAGAATGAAAGGAAAGTGAGTCGAACTTCTTTGTATGAAATCTTGACACCCTTGTGATGCTTCGATTCAACCACCTTCAATCCTTCGGGCGTAGGCGGGAAATACTGGGCAGCAGCAGTTGTCGCCAAAGAAGCAGCGATCCAGTATGAGAATGCCATTGTTGGAGAAGTAAAGAAACATGAAGAGGGGAAGTGGACTATAAATGTTGATCAGATGTAACGATAACGGAAACAGAGAGCGCCAAGACATCTTGCCTAAACCCCCCCCCCCTGACTCCAGGCATCTTTATTGGTTTCACTCACTAAACCGTGCATTGAGATCTGCAATATCTAATCATTGGCTCGGGCGACCGACGGAGCTAAGGAAACACTTGATTTGATTACATTCTACTTATTTCCTCAATTTGAACCCGCCTCTTCCCAACCTCCCCAATCTCCACCCCATCACTGCAACTCAACATAGAACATGTACCGCAGACGAACCTGAGCTGGATCCTGGACAATGTATTCCTGATGGTAAAGCCCGTCGGCATGTCTTTTCTCAGGCGGAACCCGCACATCGGGAATCTGGGCCCCCACAAAGTCTTCATGAATACACCCAGCATCGCGCCATTTCGCATGAACAGTGTACGCCGCGCTGGTCGTTGAAAGTCCGGAACCTAGTTGACCAAGCTCGACTTCGCACAGCGATATTAGTGCTTCCCCTTTTACCTGACACTCGCCTAGCGATTTGGTCGACATGTCGGCAAAATAGATCCCACGACAGAATGGCGCTCCATTTGGACTGCAAAGTCCGCCATAGCGTAGTCCTTGACCCAAAATTCCTGCAAAATTGATTGTAGATGAGCCGTGCCAAAGGAACCGCCGGTCTCCAATCTTGGATGTGTTTTTCTTCTTCCACTGGACGAAGCGCTGCATCTCACCTGGCCGTTTCAGGTGGAAAAGGCCAACAGCTTTCTAGAACCAAGAGTCAGGGTAAAGCTTCCAGGTATCTACCACGTGGCTCACCTTGAATTGACTTTTATGTGCTGTTCTAGCTGATCCATGGAGGTACTTGCAAAGCTCCGCGTACTCCGTTCAAGTTTGATCCACTAGAAAAGTCAGAGTCAATATTCTTGAATGTGAAAGCGAATCAAGTTAAAAATAATTTGAATCTTCTCACCTGGAGTTAAGGTCGCCAGACCGAGCACGTGGGATATCTGTCTCATTGTCATAGATGTGCTGAATTCCTTGCTGGCCCTGGCCCTCAAAATGGCGCTCGCAGTGTGGAACTTGATTGCCAAGTCAAGGATCATTAGTTCACCGATGGCGGAAAAATGCCCAGGCTGATTCGGATCCTAACGCGGTTGACCCTGAATCATCATGACAGAGTAAAGGAAGAGCAACTTATTGACCTGCAGACCATTGGGCTTGGAAGCATTGGCACCAAACCCCACAATCCTTCTCAAAAGTGCAATCGCAGCCTGAAAAGTGTGGCCATTGAAATGCCCTGTGAGATGCATCCTACGACCATAGCTGTTCACCGAGGTGAGAAATTGATCCAAGTCACCCTTTTGAAAGATGAGGTTCAAATCGCTTTCAACACTCTCAGCAAAAGTGTATTTCTCGCTAACGAGAACAAGAGGCTCTTCATATTGAAGTTCCACAAACACATGCTTGCCAGTCTTAGGGGTTTCGTGCCGTTTCCCCTAATGCAGAACAGTGTAGATGCGAAATCTTTCCTCGAAACTGAATTTGGCGGTGTCCAACGTGTACCAAAGCCGACCGATCTGTTTGGTCGTGCTGGTTGTAGGCTGACCTTGATCACTGGGGATTTCGCGCGTGAGTTCGAAAGTGCAATACTCGTCCGACTCTGAATTGAATATAATTTGAAGTCGGACAATAGAAGTCGCTCGAGAAATTTTTGTGCTCTCAACAGTACTGCTTATGAAGTTCGCATCCCAGATCTCTCCAGCATCATCAATCCAAACCGACATCGTTCCTGCTCATATGGGTCAATAGATAGCTGGCCTGATGGCATAAAAAGGAAAACAGAATGGGTGCATTCCTAATCTGGCCTCTATGTCGGAATCCACCATGGCAGTCAGCTTTGCCAACCTAATTCGTTCCTCGTCCTTGACCTTTTTCAAAGGTCCAGTACCTTCGTAGTCATCGCCGTATTCTCGCGCACGCTTCTTGCCTGTCAATTCAATCATCCCAAGGGAACTTTTGCTCTTCAATAACATGTACTGCTGGACTTCTTCAGGGCTTTGGTTCTCAATGCTCTTCCAGAGCAATCAAGATTGACAATGTGACAGTCTCCTGACTCCATAGCCAGATCAACTGGGAACGGAATCCATCCTTAGCTACCATATGGGTAGTTGTCGAGTTTTGTTTTACCTTTCAAAATCCCCTTCTTGACACCAGTTTGCGTTGTCACAAGGTGGGTGCATTTGCTGATATCCTTCTCGACGAATTTGGCACCGCATTTTTTTAACCATCTTTTGGATCTGCCCTAGATATTGGAAGTTTAGCTACACCAGTGACATATCCTGGCTAAACTTCTCTTGGTTGAGGACGACATAGAGTTACTGACGATGTTTATACCCAGGGATGTTGTCACTGGCCCCAATGAACAGACCCTTCAGACTGACCATCAGCTTGTCGGTTTCCTTATCGACCCCATTGCCAGGCATTGCGACCATCACAGTACTGAATGCTTGTAGCTTGATGAGTGGGAGAGAAATGACCAGAGACGCCCAGGTAGAGGAATCAAGAAAAAAGAGCGGAAATAAAAATCCTGTCCCTTAAAGTAGCATAAAGTAAATTATGGCGGTGTTTGAACAAACAATGAACAAAGAAATTGTCTCAGGGAGTAGGTCGGAAATATCCTTCGATGTCGAACTTCGTAGGCATTATCTTCCTAAGAGTTCCCTGCTCGTCTACCTTATTTTGACCCAAGATATCACCAAAGAATGCTGTTCAATACCGTATCATACAATAGGAGCCAGACAGAAGAATATAGAAAGAGCCAAGGTAGCTTTGTCATGCCATGTTGATTTTGTTTAGAATACAGCAAGGTAGCAGACATGGACTGACACTCAAATAGAGCAGATGGACGCTCTATCGGCAAGACTAAATATTAAAGTAAGAAACGCCATATCCTCCCAAACATCATGTGCCATGTATCAGGGTCGACGAAAATCTCCTAGTTGCTCGTGAAGTAGTTGAAAGCGACAGGGTCATCGAGCTTGATCTTCTCCGCCCAGGCATCGAAGTCATAGCGTATGCGGCTCATGTTACCCAACGTCTTTCCATCAGCAGGAGCATGGTCCTTGTGGTTGAAACCAGCAGGCTGCTCATACAGGAAGAAGACGTAGCGATGAGGGGAGCTGCCAGGAGGAGGAGCCGGGCCGATGTAGTTGGCGACGAAGGGCGCGTCGAACTCGAGCACGGACGAGGCGCCAACCTTCACCTCGGATTGGATCCAGTGCAGAATCGGGCCCAGGAAGGTGAGAGAGGGGAATGGCGCGTCGACATCCAGGCTCACGACCAAGTAAGTGCTGGTGGGGGATGCACCGGCGAAGGTGAGCTTGGGAGGAGCTTGAGCCTCTGGTTTCATTTCAGTATGTCAGTCTTGATTCGAATGATTTTGTGTGATGAGTTTCTCACCTGAACGTGGGACAAATTGTCCGGGCTGCACGTTCTCGTGCTTTCCGACGGTCAGGCCGAGGAGCCTTGTCTTGTCCGCCTCGATGAGAGACATGGCTCTCTTGAAGTGGTTGTCCGAAGGCATTTGGGGTGACAGGTGGAAGACAGATGGAGGCTGGAAGAGTAAACCAGCTAAAAAGCAGGTGAGGAGTTGAGATGAAGTTGAAATAAAGAAGGACCTCAAGTCTGGGTTGCGCAACCAAAATAAAGTTGCACAAGCTTTTGGGCCGGACTTAGCGGAGATAGGCCTCCACTTATTTCCACGTATTCCAACCTTTTTTCTCTGTGTTTTTTAAATAGAATATCAGTATATGATTCAGAAAATTATCCTATGCATTATGATTTTGGGGTTAAGATTCATTCGGCGTTGACCATCGAACTTAGTGCATATCAAAGATCTCGCGATGACGGCAGTGGTGAAGAACTTCCTATATAGCAATAGTAAAATATGTGGTATCGAGGTGTGGCGAACCTGTGTTCCAGCGGTTACTCTTATTTCTTCTTTTGATACATATTTATACCACCATTAGGCCTCTGGTTCTTCCCTTCCGGATCGTTTGGTGACACCTGGAGTGACGCTTGATCTTTGGTCGATCCAGGCGACGACCTTTTCTCTTTTGTGCTTTTACGGCGCAGGCCCATACTCATATGCCGCACAGTCAGTCTATATGAGATTGCCAGAGTCAACAAATCCCCATTCCCACTTTTCTCCAAAGCCTCGGCCCCGAGGGAGTCTTTGTTCGACAACATATTGATTCTTTCTGAAATCTTGAACCTGTATTGGCTCTATACGCCTATAGAATGGACATTATATTGAGATTGCAAAGCCAGAAAATGCTTCACTCCTTTATCACACCAGTAACGGTAGCACGCACAGTGGTGTTACCCTCGTCAGGATAAGGAGTTCCAAAGTCACGAACAAAGGCGATCTGCTTTTCGGTTGTCTCGAACAGCTCCATGTCAAAGCGACGGACAAAAGCTGCTAGCACAAGGAACAACTCTGCATATGCCAAGCTGTAATTCCATGTTAGTAAGAGTGCAGAAGAAGAAACAAGAGGTTACGATGCATACTTCATGCCTAAACAGTTCCGAGTGCCTTTTGAAAATTGAACCATGAATCTATCCAGTCGCTCTCCCTTTGCAGCAGCGCGTAGCCACCTATCTGGGTCGAAAGCGTGTGGATCGGGGAATATTTCGGGGTCTGTGAGAACGAAGTAGTTGGTTTGGCTCACCCGGGTCTGTTTTCAGTTATGTCAGTGCGAGTGCGTGATTTTGAAATCTTATAATGCTGAAAACTCTCTTACCCCAGGAGGAATAGTGTAGTCCTTGTACAATAGAGCTTCAGTGGGCGCGATACGTGGGGAGCGACTGGCAATTCCAGTAGACAAGCGCAGGGCCTCCGAAACGACCCCCGACTATACACCACTTAGCAACCAGGTCGGCTCACATAATCTCACAATAAACTGACCAGGTACGGCAGCTGTTCAAGCTGGCTCCACGTTGGACGAGAATCAGGCGTAGGCATCACCGTTCGCAGCTCCTCACGCAACTTCTTTCTCATATTTTCATTGGAAATGAGGCGGAAAGCAGCAATAGTTAGTGCCCGCGCAGTTGTCTCGGTACCACCAAGAACCAGGCTAAATCCATCATTGCTCAGGCCTTCCAATTGGCGCAGGTGTTCGGGCATGTCTGAGCCGGTGATGATCTCCATGATGGGGCGAGGCTTTGAATTTGACGATTTGCCACCGAGAAACTCTTTTGTCTGATGTGTAACGTTTTCCTTTGAAATTCTCAGCGCATATACAAATGGGTCAATCTTTTCGAGCCACTCCAACGGAAGCGACTTCATGACGGTTTGGATGATTGGGAAGAAGTATGAAATGTGGCCGAACTTGAACAGTCCATTGATTCCATCTCGGACTTTTTCGTTGAACTCTTCGTGATCGAGGTTTCCACTGTTGATTCCATAGGCATATTTGTGAATGACATCAGATGTTAGCCCGGCAAAACCAGCATCCAAGGTGACAGCTTTGTGGGATTCGTAGGCGCGCTTGAAATGTTGATCCAGTTTGTCGATGTTCTCGTGAATCAGGTGTTCCATGTTAGTGACAGATTGTTTTGAGAAATGCTTTTCCAAATTCGAACGCTTCTGCCGATGCTCTTCTGGCGTGACACTTGAAAATGCCGATCCCTTGAGATCGAACTGAGCGACGAGGATAGCATCCTTCTCCCGTCTGCGCTTGCCGGAAGCATAGATCTCGTCGTAGTAGTTGGAGTCCTTGATATGGACTTCGTGAGGAGTGACGCGAACAATGGGTCCTAATGCACGATTAGAGTGATAATACTCTAGATGAGGCGCGATACTTGCCATATACCTTGTGTAACCTCTCCATCTCCCAAATGAACGATCCTTGCTTGATCACGTTGAAATAGAACTCATAGATGGTTGAAATTGCGGCAAGCCTAGGACCTGGAATTTTGCTCAGAGGATGAAAATACAGTCGATATATGCTTTTGGCCATAAAATAGGTGACCAGAGCACCTGTTCCCAATAACAGTAGACCAGCCATATTTATTACCGATTATCGAGACCCCAGATTTTGAAATTCAAAGAATAGCGAACCTGTGGATCCCTAAAACATGCGATGTGTAATGACTAAAGGTCACGGCGGTGTGACTGCTAATGCGGCCAATGTGAAACACCAATATGGAGATTGGTCGAATTGGCTCGGCTGATCCAACCCAGTCTGCCCCCGCAGCATTCACTCGTGTTGCTGGTGGTAGACTAGCGATGTGGAACTAGCCTTAACGTAGCCTCGGTTGTTGAATCACGCCAATGATCGCCCCATGATACGGCTTTGACCCCACATTTGTCTTTCAATCATATTGTACGAGTCAGCACGAGAGACCTAGATCCTTGTAACCCAGCCCTGTGTAGTCATGCTTAGAACTGCCGAATATGCAAGTGGACAATGACATTCACCCATTAAGTTGACCCACATGACTTCAGTACCATGGATGGCTCCCGCTTTCAAAGCTAGTTTTTTTCATACAATATACAGAGTACAACAAGTGGCCATAAGTCCTTTCCCAACCCCACGTTTGTGCGATCTGAATGGCTCATCCGAGGCACTTGAAAATGGGCAACAAAAGAAGCGATAGAAGAGGCAGAAGAAGAGAGGCAAATTAGAGTACAAACAATGCATAAATTGGCACCCTCACTTCGAGAAGTTTGTGAAGAACTAGTCTAATACTTCATAGCACAGTCGACGGACTTATGGCCGCTGTTGCATGCTCTGCTTTGCTCCGACTTGTACGGCTTGCCATGATGATGCTTTTGGTCATCAACGCAAATGTGAACCGCGATGTCGTTCACCAAGGGCAATCGATATGAACACCATCTCACTCCTTCAGCCCTGGGCCCTATAAATCTTCAGTTGAGGGCACAGTTTCTATTTTTAAAGGCTCCAGGCCTAGATGATGTCGACAAATGTGGACATCGGTAGCAGAAAGTCGAAAAAAAAGCTACCCGCGATTGAACAATTCGACACTGAAAATACAAAGTAGCCTGCACTTCACTTTGACAGTAGATAAGAGTGTTGGCGTATATAAGAGCAAGACATGCAATTTCACTACCAACGGAACGTACTCACGAGGAAGCACAGCGTAAGGAACATCGGACACGATTTGTCTTCTACAAAGACCGAATTAGAGTGAAAATCAAATCCTAAGCTTCCTCCATGTCAGGGTTCACTTCAGCTACAGTAAACAGAGTATAGAGGACAGATATAATGCGCCCGGACCTAGGTCGAAATATACTTAGCCCGACAACGCCAAGACCAACGCAATTCTGTAAGTGGTCATCATATTTACGCATTGTCGGAACGCCAATTTTCAATAATGAGGGTCTGGCGCATTGCGCATGGTTCTCTTTCTCTCGTTGCCCCGCTCTTTCAAGGTCATGGTATCGGCCTACTTTCCAGTCTGAATAACTCTAGGGGGGAGGAGAAGACTGCCTGTAGTACAGGTACATATGTCTATTTTGCTCGCATAGAGACATTGACGGCAAAAACCACCCGATAGGGTACATTTACAGCCTCCTAGACACAAAGCGCAGCTTACATGTCTCCACGCTAGGATGGTATTTCGCAAACACCAAATCCGCGCCCTCCCATGGCTCCATCCAAGCCTCAACCTCCCACTTTGTCCCTGTCTCTTTTTCAACCTGTCTCCAAAGCCTCTTCCACGTCTCAATATCATGTCGGTACTGCTGAGGCGCATTCTTTTTGTCATCAGGGTCAATGGGGTCTTTACGTCCCGCCTGTCGACCGACTAACAACGAGCCCGGCTGCATGCGCACAAGCCTAACAACATGCTTAACAGCAGCAACTTGCCGATCCCAGTCAAACAGGTGGAAGAAATATCCTGCATTGACGATATCCACTTTGCTAGTGAGTTTCTGTACTAATGCGGAGTTTGCGTCGAAGATGTCCGCCTCAATGAATTCCGATTTTAGCGTCTCGCGATCTTTGAACAGGTGGTAGCCGACTTCATAGAAGTCACGGCGTAGATCGGCGGCGTATAGGTTCTCAGAGGCTACACCGTCCAAAACCTACGTATATACCGCCATCAGAATGTTGGTCTTTTGGGTTGATATTGTCAAAAGATGAAATGTACGTACCAATTGACGTATTTCTTGCCCGAGTGCACAGCCAATGTCAAGTAGCTTTTGGCCAGACTTGAGACGCCCAAGAATCTCGGGATAGACGGGACTCTGAGAAATACCCATATCCAAAAAACGGAGAGCGCCGAGACAGGGAAAGGGAAACTAGAACGAATCAACATTGCAGCAAGTGGCGCTGACGGAGCTATCCAAAGCAAGAGATGGAATTGTCCTAAGGTACTTACTATGGCAAAAGCTTGATCTCGCTGTACATGGTAAATAGCCAGGTTAGTATTAACATGGACCACTAGGAATGAGTCGCTGCAGGGGGTCGCGAACTAGGTTGTTCACATGTTGCACCACTTCATTGGGCGGGATATGGCTATACTTCTCAAGCAATTCCCTTGCCTCGGGCTCCACCTCTGTGAGCTCCGGCTCATACCAGGGGAACTGAACGGGGTTATAGTTGTCGCTCGGCATGGATCTGACACCGGTCTTTGCTTCGGCCACGGTGGATGCTGTCAGCACTGGTGGGCTAAGATGGACCGAGGACTAGTATCTAGATTAAGTGCAAGGTTATGCCTAGTTAGTCGCACTTATATACCCGTCTGGCCCACAAGGAAGAGGAATAGTTTAGAGACGAACTATCCTGAGGGACGCTGCCGAGGTCGGCATGATCTGCTTACTTTATCAACCTCTTTTCCCGCCAACCAGCGTCCATCCAAAGACCATGATCTTCTCTTCCAGCGCTATGTGAGGGGCCACGAAGTCACTACCTCGTCAATTGTCCTTTTTTGCTCATTTTCAGTTGCATTGGCTTGTAGCTCTCTAGGAGCTGATTTGTATCATCAAAAACCGATCATTCCAACAAGTCAAGAGATCATTATTAGGCAGAATAATACCGATCATGGCACAACTAATTTTGGTGAAACACATGGAGTAATTTTGCAATAGCTTGAGTGGGACAAATAGGAAAAAAAATCATGTCTGGCATTCAAGATTGAGTAAGCATTTTGCGGCCAAGCAGTCTTTAAATTGCATCATCCTTCAAAGCAGAATCCGTAACAGGCAAATTGTTCGTTTTCTCAGCTTCTGTGTTCTTGATATTATGAAGAAGCATGAAAGGGAAACATAATCGACCATTGGTAGATTCATCCTGTAACACAGTTAAACAGCAATCTCGATGAACAAAGAAATGATAAAAAACATACCAGATTCCCCCCATCATCCCAATACCTCCCAGGACGATATTCAAGCTTCAAACTTCATCAGTATCTTGAAAATGAGAGAAATGATAGATATACACTTACCCGTACACCATCCAATCGCAACCTCGGATTCGGTCCAAAACCAAGCCACCTCCGAAAAAGATCCTCAGCAGTCTGCGTAGCAAACATATAAGAAAAGCGATACCAAAGAAAATCAAACCGATGATCCCAATTCCAAATACTATCCCTACCCCCATTCACATTCTCCACCGTGCCCCGGTTGAACAATCTATCCATCTCCCTCGGACTCCACTGCCCATCCACATACACAGGATGCGGAACATACACAGCCTTAAACCCATGCAGCAAAGCCCAAGAAGGCGCAGACATTTCCGAGGCGAATGCCTTCCCACGTCGACGCTGTGCATTATGCATCTCCGCCAAAAGGTTCTTCGAAAGACGCCACTGCGTGATGACAGATGTGCGACGCGGGATGGTTTCCGAGACATTCCAGGTCATATTCGGGAATGTCCATGATGTATTACTCGGATCGAAGATTGGAAGGAAGGTTATCAGATCTGCTTCTTCCCCGACACCCCATCTGAAATTATCATTCTCAGGCTGTGAACCGGGTAATGGTTTTGGACCGGCTGGTTTGATTCCCTCGTGTTTGACAGGTCCCCAGACGCTATGTTTCCCGTTCATTGAATTCGCGACCATATTCGAGAATTCTTCGTATGTACCGTGGACACCAGGTGTATAGAAATAAGCGTTTCGTTCCCAGAGGTATTTCCGCGGTTGGTTCCGAGCGAAGGAGATTGCTTGTTCGAGAAAATGGTATGTGTGGCCGATGACTCTGTTGTCGAATTCTAGTTGCCAGTAGTAGTCGAATTCGGGGTACATCTGGGCGAAAACTTGCGTTGCTTGGAGGTGTTGGTAGATTGCGCGATGCTCGTTCATATTTGGATACCATTCTGCTAGGAGACGCTCGCTGAAGAGGACAGTCATATTGCAGAATTCTGAGGGCACGATTCTTTGCTTTAGTCCTCGGACTGCGTCCTCGTCATTTTTTAGATCGATTGATTTGTCGTGGACATCTATCATGAAGAAGACTTGGTACTCGGATCCGGTGTGTAAGGAGAGTTCCATTATCAATGAGCGGAGATATTGGATGTGACTTGGGGTCCATCGCATTGTTTCCGAGGCGCGCAGCACGAGAGCGGAGCGGGTCTTGTATGAAAGGCCTACGGGTTTACTCGGGATATTCATATGCTCCCCGAGAGTTGGCGGGTACAGAGAGAGAACGTGCTGTCCGTAATGCTGATTCGGTCGATCAGGGCGGTATCGTTTGGCATTGCGTTCGTAGCATTGTGATTGAAGATATCCCCAATTGACGTTTGCCCAGAGGACTCTGCCGGGTCTTCGGAATCCTGGTATATCTGCGGCATTGTTCTCGTCTATCCCGTAGGGACCATAGCGAGCATAGCGATCGACACAGACATCCTGATCTAGACCGAGGGCCTTGTGAGATCCGAACATGGAGGCGGGGAACCCTGAAAGAATTGGGGTGAGCAAATGCTTTCTATGGGTGGATTCATCTAGTATATACCCTTCTGTGTCCCGCGATAGACAGACATCATGTCCTCACTACTACCGCGATCCAAATTTCTCCCACGAGGCCCACGACAAGCCTCGAATCTTCCCGCCCATGCCTTGCGCCATCGGGGCGTATTATAGGCAGGATAGGGGTCATAGATTGCCGGCATGGGGTGTTCAGTCGAGCCATTCTTGGTTGTCAAAGTGACGGTTCCCCCTTGATAGAATCTGTGCTGTCTGCAAATTCATTAGAAATGTGTCTCAGCAACGGATACGGCGACATACGGCAAGTCATTCAAGGTACCCTCCCCCTCAGGCTCATCAGATGGATCTGTCGGCGATAAAACAACATGAACATCGGGACAAGTGGGATCGATGAATTTTCCTGGATGCAGGACGTTCGGTTTCTCTGGTAATGGCAAAGGCAAGAGATCCAATGGAGCTTGTTTGTCCTTGTGTGGAGGGGGAAGGTGGAAGTAGAGCAATATCAGCAGAGAGCTGATAATAAGGGACAGCCAAATGCTGGGACGAAATAAAATCATTTTGTGTTGGTTGGTTGTTTGTCATGGGAATTATACAGCCAGCATGCTCAGGTGGCTAGGTTCAGCAAGTTAAGGAGGTTGAGGAGTCTATTTGGGGGATAGACTCTGCTTTTCTGTTCCGATCTTGACAGGGTCTGAGAGAAGGTATCATATGCTTGTGTTCCCAAAATGCACTGTAGGCTGGGGGATTTAGTCGTCGGGCATGACGAGACAATTCGTCATTGGGGAGTGAAGTCCTAGTCATAAGGAACAATGCTCCCCGGCATAAAATTCCAAGCAGCTTAGCTTTGAGGATATCACTTTTGATGAGATTGACCAAGCTTCTTCTAACAAACTGAAAACTCATGTGCTTTTAGGACAAGACATGCATCTACTTAGGGCTATCTATCCCACGAAAACCTTGTGATAAGAACGCAGGATTGTCCCGACTTCCACATAACGAAGAGCCCCAGGTGCAGGAATTATGCACCATAGGTGAAAGCTAAAATCAAGACAAGAATTGGTGATTAGGATACATTGTGATTCCCAAAATTTGTGTCTGCCTAATAGACCGGGCTCCGAAGCATCAATTTCAGCCAGAAAGCTGGAGGTAATTACAACGGCCAAACATCCACCCACTCACAATCCATTAAAAAGATATATAAAATAACGATCCAAAAGAGTGTATTGAAAGTACCAAAAATCAGGATATAATGCGACCAAGTCAAAAATCCCCTCGTCAAAGAGACCAAAGACTCCCCACCAAACCGAACCGAAACCAAACCAAAACCAGTAACCAAAGACCAAGAAGATCCTCCACACGCTGAAATGCAACACGCTAAAATAAAATCCATGAGATGAGATAGACGAAGAACAAAAAGGAAAGCCATTTTTTGGAGAGAAGGAAAGATGAAAGGGCAGGATTGGGTTAAACTCTTGACGAGTCAGATGCGTATAGACGAGGTATCATGGTGGAGGGTATATACGAGATGTGTATATGAGGGAAGGGCGATATGAGTTGTGCAGTCAAATCAAAATCTGGTTATGAGTTGCTGATTTACTCAGCGCGAGCATGGGGCAAGGTACTATCGACCTGAGTGCCACCGGGCGACTCCTCAGCTTCGCCTTGGTCGACATGAGAAACCTTGGAAGATGGCTCGCCTTCCATGGTATCGTACTTGGCTTCGATCTTGTCAAGGGTTTCTTCCACATCGGGGGTATCGTCGACTGTGGCACCGAGCTTGGAGTCGACTTCGGGAGACTTCTGGGGGCCCGGAGAGACGCTCACGTCGAGGTGATTTTCGGACTTTTCGGTTTCCTGCTTTGAGGGGGACACGGTTTCGGTTGACTCTTTGCGTTCGGCGTCTGAGGTGCTCTTCACCGTGTGGTATTCGGGAGTGATAGTGGGATCCTCGAACTCGTCGCCGCTGGCAGCGGGGAACTCGGCGGTGTCGACGAACTCATCGTCATCGACGACGGTTGGGATGGCGGTGGCGGTCTGGAGCTTCTTTGGGGAAGATGGGATGTCGCCGGACTCACCCTCGGCGACATCGGTGGGAGAGGTGTTGTGGCTGGAGTGCGAGAGGGCGGTAGGCGAGGTCGAATCACGGCTGGATCCAGAGCCCCAGACGTGCTGTGGGTGGCGAGGAGGCAGAGCAGGGGGAACGCGGGCTGGAATGTTCACGAGACGAGCACGGATGAAGCTGGGCGAGAGACGCTTGGCTTCGGTGTCGCTCTGCTCTTCCGCTTTCTTGGGGGATGAATGGATACTCTCACGCGGAGTGACGATAGCGTTGTTGACCTCGTGAACCTCGATATATTCATCTTCGTCGACGTCGTTCTCAGCTTGCTTTCCTTCTCCGTTCGACTTGGCCTTATCATCCTCGCTCTTAAGCTCATCGTATCCGTTCAGCGGCACTGCATCCCAGCTGGCTGGATCCTCATACCAGTTCATTGACGGAGCAGCCAAGTCCTTGGCACTGCGAGGGGACGAAGCACGGCTCACCGACGTAGGCGCAGTTGGAGAGGCGTTATCGGTTTGCGTGCCACGGTCGACGCTGACATAGCTCCTGTTACTCTTGTGGCTCTGCATACTAGCGCGCCAGCTGTTCCGCGGCGAACTATCCATGCTGCGGCGCGAGAACGTAGCAAAGATAGGGCTGCCAGGGTTCGGCCGGAACTCGAAGGTATCATGGGTTGGCCTCACCTTCGTGCCGGCTTCCCGGATAAAAAGGCCCTCAGCCTCCAATGCTTTCACGCCGTATGGGTCCGGGTCGTCTTGAGCCGGTACACCAAAGGAGGTACCATCCTCCGATATCTCCAGGTCACCAGGTGTTTCACCGGGCGGAAGAAGAGCGTCCTCATTCACATCTGAGTCACCTTGGGCCGCTTTAATGGTCTGCATGAGTGTTTCAAGCTCGTAAGGCGGATGCCGGACCTTGCCGGCAAGAATCTCGTTGACAGAAAGGCGTTCGCCGTAAAAGCGTTCGTTCTCGTCCGTACGCTCAATAATGATAGTACCGTCAACAGCCACACCCGCATATAAGCCCTTACTCTTCATATATGTCCAAATGGGAGACTGGCGCTTGTGCACCTCAGACTCGAGAACGCCACCAGCACCAACAGGGCCAGCGGCGACACTCAGCTCGCCACCAAGAGTGCAACGCAAGGTCTTGAAGCCCTCCAGAGCCTCATATGTGTTGATGATTACCACACAATCATAGATATCCACACCCGCAAGGAAGCCAATCCCGGCCGTGTGTAACATGATACCGGAAGGCGGACTCCATTCGCCAGTCTCGGGGATGCGACCGAGTAGCACGCCACTGCCACCGGAGCCACTCATCCACAGACCGGTGCGCATGGTTGTGAATATGGCAATACCCTTGGCGTTGCGCAGAACCTTGGCTGGGATCTTCTTGAGAACGCGCTGTTGCTTGCCCTTGGGGCGATTGATCTTGCCATTTTCGTCGGTTCGGACGTTCGATTCGGGGGCGTAGAAGCCATCTGTGCAGAAGCTGCGTAGGATGCGCGCTGCCTTGTCGCTTTCCTTGTCGATTGTCATGGGCCAGAATGCTTCGGCGCCTAATCTGTTCGAGAGGCGATTGACGGGACCACCGAGTTTATCGACTGTGTCCCATGCTTTGTCGAAGCCTTTTTTGGAGTAGCTCTTCGTCTTCTCCCACCGACCTGGAGCCATGATGGATGATGCGAGTGGGCAAATGCGATGACGCTATGGTGAGGGGAAACAGATGACAAAAGATAAGTGGTAATGCGCTCAGCGCAGGAAATCGAGGTGAGATCTATACACGGACACTATCGGCAGTTGTGCTGTTCACGGCACGCATTGATCTCGGTAGATTCTTAAAGCGATCTGGAATGTACGGGATTATCAGACAGGGATGTTGGATGAATCCGGTAGGATCCGCGTTGCGACTGAGGAATGCGCGAAGAGGAATGCGACTGCCGATCAACGGGTTCGGTATATGAGAACGACTAAGACCAAGTTAATACATATTCAGGTCGTAAATGTGCAGATGTCAATAAGTCGAGAGGCTTTCGATAGAGCGCCACGGAGGCGAAGTACTGAAGAAGTGCAGAAAGGTAGGAATGCAGGCTGTGACGGCTTACCTAGAAACTCTACGCAGGGATCCGAAGCTATCCACGCGGAAACTGTAGGTCCAAAGGAAATTGAGAAAAAATCAGGCAGGGCCTGAAGTTTTAAACTCGGATCAGGCGGATTCAGGCCGGAGAACCGAGTGGCGCAGACTTGAAGGTCTCGAACAGACGTTAGAAGTAATCTGGTTGTTCCATGGTTGGGAGGGGCGATGTCATCATCGTACCAGGGCTCCGCTTCAGGGCTGCCCTATCTGTATATGTGCACTATTGACTTAGTTCAACTTTTACAAATACTACATATCTCTTCTATGCTGTTCTTGCATCGTATATTCCAAATTCAGACCTCACAGAAATGACCAGTCCGGCAGATAATCCGATAATCCCCATTGTCTGCGATAGATCACACCCCACCTAACCCCGACAATTAGACGAACCAAAGCCGACTCGTACGCGTCGCAAACCTTCGGGTAATCTGGAAAGAATTCTCCGCGGCCACATCTACACTTCGTCACAGTGGAGCCTGAAACACAATGTTTATTATTATTAACTTAGGGTAATCTCGTGAATTTCTCGATCCGGGGTGCTTCATCTCCAAGCCTCAGTGGATCCCTATGACAGCTCAGCTGAGATCGACCACGCTACTCACTAAACACAGAATCCGTCAGCTCGGCTTCCCTGCAAATTAATGCTAATATAAGACTCATATTAATTAGTGTTCATATTAATTTTTCTCAGCTGAGATGCCAACACATAGTGTGGTGGATCCCTGAATGTGCGCGCTGGATTTAAGTTAAACAGGGGCATTCTGTTGTTGCTTTTTGTTGATCTCATAGTCCATCAAGACATGTTTATGCGCTTGCACTAAAAAGGCAACTCTATTTGATCCTGTCTTTGTAATTCCACTCACTAGTCGCAGCCTTGTTCTGGCCGTGGGCTTGAAATGCTGACAAGACCTGAGAGTCGGATTTGAATTTGGGTTTGGCCATATCTGATTGGTTGATTTCGGCCGGATGAGGGATCCTAGATCTGGATCTTCGCAGATAGATTAAACCACTAGGCTGAGCCACTCTGGTGCAGTACAGTGGATCCTAATTACTGTACTGTACATTTATTTTCTATTTACTTGTATTTTCTAAGTTATTCACAGGGACAACAACTTCTGAGAATGATTCACAGCTAGATATCCTAGTAGATAGCCTGAGTAATTCAGTCTCTAAACGATTCTCTTTTCCTAGGGCCCAAGGGGGGAACAGTGCAGATGTCTGGTCCTCTGTTTCGTCTTCTTCGGCCACTGCCTGTGGAAAAAAAACCCCAGTCTGTGCTGTCCAGATACCCTGCTTGGGCACTAATTATCCGTGAAAGGTGCATCTTCTCTCCTTTCAAGTTCACCTTGCTGGTTGCCGAAGCCGCCGTGCATCATCATCCACCGTATTTCCATCTCACCATCCACCAAACGTCCAGTTCACGTATGTCAATCACTGTCAATGTCCATGCCTTGCCATTGTTCATATTTTTGTGGGTTTAGATGTCCATGGGTTCACCTTGCACATCACTATACCATCATCGCCAATTGTCGTTGTCATTGCTGTGTGAAATCCTTCCTGTCGTATCAAATCCTTGCTGGGGTATCAATGCCGTACTGTCGTATCAAATCATGATTTTCATGTCATGTCGAAAGTCTGTTCAATCTTCAAGTGAAAGTTACCCAAGCGTTGACCTGGGAAACTTGCAAACACAGTCGTCACCAGCACCCACCGCCACCATTCGTCGTTGCAATTAATACGGCGAATCGTAAAGCTTCTCAGGCGGGAGGTCAGTCAAAGGGAAACTGTACCACTTGTTCCACCAGTCACCAGCCATCTTGGGGTCAAGCTTGGGCACATTGGAAACAGGCCATCTGTTCCAGGTATTCTTGCCATCGAGCGAATCATCACCCCAATCTCTGTTCGGGTTGGCCATGTGTCGGGCATGCGCCTCAGCCTTCCGCTTGGCCTCCTCTTTAGCTTCCTTTGCAGCCTTCTTCTCTTCAAGCTTCTTTTTCAGCTTGGCTTCACGCCGAGCCCGAAGATAGTCCTGGTATGCTTTGGGGTTCTCGCGTGTCCACTTGTTGAATCGTCGTTTCTCCTGTTCTGCTGCTCGCTTCTTGGCTTCCTCCTTGCGTGCTTCGGCCGCATCGTGTGCTTCACTCCATTCATACAAGCCGGGGTGGAGCCGCTTGAACTCACGGATTAGCTGCTCTTTGATGAGCCTCTCCTTGGGCTCATCCTCCCATCTGCCGCCGCTGTCGGATGCAAAATCAAGCTTCAAGTTGCGAATAGCACGTTCAATTTCATTTTCCGTCATCTGATCTTTGGTTTTGATGACCTCCGGCTGAGGGAAGACGCCGAAGAAACCAATGTAGCCGCGCTCTGCAAAATACGTACCCAACAAACATGGGCTCTCATGTTCCTTTATTTTGCGGGACTTAACTCCAATTTCACGCACGACGACTCTGTCGCCATCGCAACGGAAGGCAACGTACTGGCGGCTCATGAACCTGGTGATTTGGCGGTTAATTTTGTAGTTCCGTTCTGGATGGACGCTGCGCAAGGAGGTGTCAAATCCAATTCTGAGTCATCGCAATCGGGAAAAATTGCCGGCGATGAATAAGAAGATTTCACAAACCAACCTTTCGTCTACGGCAATGTTAGTGAAAAATTGTCTGATGTTCAGCTCACGCCGACGATCTCTTTCAACGAAGTCTCTGAACACTCCGGGATCCATATCAGGAATTTCGTCGCATTGCTGCAGCTCCAGAGTGAGGTTGGTGACCTTGGGGAATTCACCGAGAGCGCGGTAGAGGTCGCATTCCTCTCTTCCCCCTGCGCTGCGAATGGTGGGCACACGAAGATCCTGGATGTTTGGGCAGTGGGTTCGAATCAACTTCAAAAGCTCGAGCGTGATCCTGTGGTAGTTGAATTCGTCGTACAAAGTGACCGGGACGAGACAGAGCTTGCGGAGCGATTGACCGTGGCAGTCCAGGATTGCTTGGAAAGTTTCCTCAGAGTATTTCCCGCACAGATGGAGACTGTTCAGGAGGGGGAGGGAGCAAACGAACCGTCTAACCAGTTCTTCTTCAACTTCACTGTTTGGTTGCAGCGCCAGCGAGCCCAAAGCAGGATAATCACGGGAGCCTGCGTTCTGAAGCGTTCCTTCGTTGGCCTGCCACAGCTGAAGAACTCGGAGGTTGCTGAAATCAGCCTGTTTGGTCCATCACCAAGGGTCACGGGCGGACAGGCTCAAGCCTTGTAGTGGATTCCTCTTGAGGCTCTGGGAGACAATGGGGCGTGGAACGGCGTTCAAGCGGCAAGGTAACTCCGAGGAGACATCCATGATGTTGACTTTGGTTAGGTTGGGGGCTAACCTGGTTGCCAGTTCGTAAAGCATCATCTTGTCATCCTGACTCAGCCTGCGGACGTCGCGCTGTTGTTCCACGGAGAGAACAATGCTGGACAAGCAAGGGGAAGTCGCGAGATGGTATTCGTACCAGTTGGTGTCACAACGCTGCTCGGACTGTTGGACGTAACGCGGCAGATTGTAAGTCAGAATGTGCAGCTTGCATGTGGTCAGATTTGTCTGGTGGAATTTCTTGTTGAGAACGTTGAGCAAGGGCGGAGGAAACAAGGTTAGGGAGCTCCAAACAAGATCCTTGAGACCGAGCAGCCGATATACAAACTCTGGCAAAGCTGGCCAGGCGTTGTATTCGGGACGTGGTTTCCAATGGGGTTTGCCGTCGAAGTTTTGGTCGTTAAATTCCTCGCGGCTGGTCAACTCGTTGATGTTGTCACGGTCTTCTGCGCTAGACCATGGCACTACTGTCATCTTCTTGACCCTTTCATCTTGAATCGGAGGCAGAAATCCTTGGATGGTGAGCCGCTGAACAGACGAAAAGGCGTCATTGCGTTGCAGGATTTCCTTCCAGAGGTCCTCGGCCAGTTTCTTGCGAGTGACCAAATTCAGTTGGATGTCGCGGAACCGGTACCTGTTTGTTTCGATGTACAAGTTGCGGTTGACTGCAGCGAGATTGAAGATGCTTGGTGGATCTTCAGCTTGCAGGATGTCTGCGATCAACAGACGCATCTCTGCGGGGAAACCCATCAAGGAGGGTTCTGGGTTGTTGCCGTTCATTCTGGCAGTGCTGAGAGAGTATAAGAAAGCACGAAGTTTCTTACTTTTAGATTGGCGAGAGTCAGCAGTGCAGTGACGGGGATGAACAAGCGGAAAAGGAACAGGGGTATAGGTCACCAGATCCTAGGTGGTGAGCTAGACCCGAAGGTGTCGAAGCAGAATGGATATCAGAAAAATAATATCGCAAGGATGGATGCAAAAGATGGAAAGAGAATTGTGGGAAAGAAGAAGAGGAGGGAGCCAAAAAGAAACGGCTGGGTCTTGCAGACATCAAACATCTCACTTACATCAAACATCTCACTTCAATTTACCACCAGGAAGCATCGCATGACTCATACTCTCCTAGTGCTGGAAGAGGACTGGACAATAGAATAATACCCATGAATAGAACCTACAATAGAGCATGTAGTGCATGGACACAACCAAATTCACCTCTTTACAGAGCAGACAATACAGGTATAATGAGACATTCACATTCAAATGGTATAGAAAGACAACAAATTCAAGTATAATAGCCCATTTAGAGAGCACCAAGCTCCTTCAGCTTGGAGACAAGGCCGTCGACATCCTCGACCTTGCCGCCACCCTTTCGTGGTGGGGGCTCTGCACAATGAAATTAGCACAATCCAACCAGGCAGGAGCGCCAAAAAAACATACCGGTAACCTGGAGAGTCTTCAACCTCCGCGTATCCTCAACACCAAAATCAGCCAGCGTCTTCTTCTCAAGAGGCTTCTTCTTAGCCTTCATGATGTTAGGCAGACTGGCATAACGAGGCTCATTCAAACGCAGATCCGTAGTGATAATCATGGGAAGCTTAGCACGGAGTGTCTCAATACCACCATCAACCTCATGGGTAACCTCAACAGTGCCAGCATCATCCTTAATCTCGACCTTGCTAGCCTGGGTAGCCTGGGGCCAGCCAAGCAGACCAGCAAGCATCTGGCCAGTCTGACCCTGGTCACCATCAATAGCCTGCTTGCCCAGGAGGACGAGGTTGATGTTCTCCTTCTCGACAACAGCGCGCAGCATCTTGGCAATGGTCAGCGGCTCCGGGCCGCCATCGCCCTTCTCCGGTACGTCGATGTGGAATGCACGGTCAGCACCCATTGCCATGGCTGTTCGCAGGACATCGGGGGTCTTAGGTCCGCCGGCGGAAAGCGCGATGATATCTTCAACCTTGATGGGGCCCTTGCGCTCGCGCAGACGAACGGCCTCTTCGATTGAGAGCTCGTCGAATGGGTTCAGAGAGTGCTTGACACCGGCTGTTTCGACGCCGGTCTGGGCCTTGTTGATGCGAGGCTTGATCTGTAGTGGAGATGTATGTTAGCTGGCTGGAAATGTGGAGGTCTGCACCGTTGTGGAGGTACAACCTGAGGATTGGTCGTTCGGAGTTCTGTTTGGAGGGGAATATTCAAGGGAGAGGCCGCAAACTAACCGCATAGTCAATAACCCGCTTGACAGGGACCAATATCCGTAGACCGCTCATTGTGTAGAATTGGAAAGTAGCAATTCCTGCGTTGTAGGAGAGTTGGGGTCCGGAGAGCGAAAGTGTCGACTGCGGTGACGGAGTGCCAAGAAATCAAAAACGCCGACGCGGCCCGAGTTTAACCCTCGTCGCACCACTAGCCCTGCCGAGGTTAACCATACAGCCTGTTATACCGCTGATTCTACATGTGGTAACTATTGCATCTTCTATATTGTTGTCAAACTAAGGCGTTATACTTGTAACAATGGAGGAATTTTGGTGGGGAGCGAATTGGTGTCTTCATGCGATGTAAGCAGGGGAACGGGAGACCTTCAACAGCTACTCAATTCGTCTCTCCGACTTGAACAATTGACTGGATGATCCGTTGCCTGATTGTGACTACATCTTCTTAGCTGTCATGCTGGTAACGCGCGAAACGACGTGAGAGCGGAGTGGATCAAGAGACATACGTCTAAACAACCGGAACCACGAGACCACGAGACCGCATACGGGCGATTGAATGAGATAGACCGTTACTTGGGGTAAGCTCAATCAATTTAAGTCTAAGTAGGTCAGGGCGAACCTGGTTTATCGCCAAAGACATTCGCGAAACACACTCACAAAAAAGACAATAAGCAACGGACCTGACGGTATCGACCTCAATGTGACGAAGAAGAACCGCCGGTGCTATTTCTGCGGTGTCAAAGGACATCTTAAGCGTGATTACAGGAAGATGCATGGCGTACAGCAATAGTATCTACAACAGTCAGTGAAAGCAGAGTCAGTTGGTAATGCCAAAACGAATATAGCTCTCCACCGAGTGCTCCCGGCACGTTCTACTGGTAGGAAAGTTGACTGTGATGCACGACCGCCTCAACCGTTATCACGGCACATTAAGATAAAGTAATGCCTAATAGGAGAACATCTCAAGGTCAAGGCAAGGAATAATCTATCTGTGAGTCTTGCCCGGGGAACATGTTTCAAGAAAAACACCGATCACATGCTTGCAACTCAATACATGTGCATATGTATTGGCCTCGATATCAACGCTACAGAGCTAAATATGTACTCATCACCACGTCTCCTGTTTATACCTTCCAATCTGCTCCATCCCAATCAAATACTCTTCAGCCTGTGCCCGGGTAAAAGGCTGCCCAGGCACGGGAGCGCCTCCATGCTGGAACGCCTCAATGAGAGCTTCCCGCACAGCCTGAGGCATGCGTCCAGACGAACCACAGATATAAACAGATCCCTTCATATCGTGGAGAAGACTGAAGAAAAGTGGGAAGTTCTCTCGAACAGTATCCTGCACGTATACCTTGCGCTGCTGGTCACGCGAGAACGCAGTGAGGACTTTGAGGGGGATGATCTTGCTGAGTTCTGTCCAGTCGTTCTCGAAGAAGAAGTCTGATTCTCGATTTCGTCCACCGTAGAGTAGGACGGTTGGTCCAATGGGAGGGTTGACGCCGGGATTTTGATCGCGGAAGGCTTGAACAAGCGCTGCCTTTTCCCAGAGCATAGAGCGCAAAGGTGCAATCCCTGTGCCCGGTCCAATGAGTACCGTTGCTGCAGTAAGCTGTTGTATTGAGGAATTTAGACCGCCAGGTTGGAGTTGGACCTTCAGTGTACTACCCGGCCGGAGTACGGAGAGGTACGTGGTGCAAACACCCTCGCGGATTCTCTTGATCACTGTTTGGTATTTGACAATGGCAATGAGAAGTTCAAATTGTGTCTTGCCATCAGCAGTCTTCTTACGGCTTCCGCCACTCGCGATACTGAACTGCCGTGCGCGCATGACCGGAAGCACAGAGACCGCATGCTGCCATGGGATCTTCACTGTGTGGAACTCATCTAGAATCTCAAGAATACTCCGTCGTGGTCGCGTAGTGTAGTCCCATAGCTCATCGAGATACTCTGGGTTTGTGAGTTCTAATAACCGTTCTTTGTGCATTTCATCAGTGGTGTAGTGTGCAATGGTGGAAAAGAATGATCTGCGAGGTATCCCTTTGATATCGAGATAATCTATGAGGAGAGCACGGAGCGTAAGGTTGGGGTATGAGTCGAGATCGGGGATTGGAGGTGGAGCCGGAATATCTCCTGTTGGAACGAGAGATATGGGTTTATCTGCTTGATCGTTCCAACCCATCAGATCAATGAATGTTTGGACATCTGTTGGAGAGGTCTTCGGTGTGATTGCAATCATGTCTCCTGGGACATAGGATACGGATTCTGTGACGGTCAGGGTAACATGACGCACATCCTGCCAATGCTTTTGCGGAGTCACTCGACAGTTCTCCGTTAATGTTGCTGATAGAGTATGTGGGATAGGGCGTAAGTCATGGTCGAGATGATGTAACCCCGGGTATTCATCTGAGTATGTTTGTTGTTCATTGTCGACCGGCTTGGGTGCTGGGACGAAAGCACTTCCTTCCTTTTCTTGCAACGTCCATTTTGGTGGTAGCTGTACATCGTCTGAAATGGGATACTGTCCTTCCGGTAAAGGGTGTCTATCCAACAATTGCTTTCGGAAATCGGTCATCCATGGTAGGAATGTAGCCTCGAGTCTGTAGTTGATAAAACAAGGTTAGTCACGAACATATCACAAGCACCTGAATAGAATATATGACCGACCCTTCTGGATGTTGCTGATCTGCTTCGCCTGTGGGATAAATCTCGTTTGCACCGAGCTGTAGCAGTCGTTTATAGAGCTTTCGAATTGCCCAATTGAACCTGTAACCATCAGCCACGCGAGCTCATCAACGCGTGGAAGTATTCATACTTAGGATAAGAGCTATCCCCCAATCCAAAACAAGCAAAATTGATTCCCTTCAAGAATGTTGGAGGCAGCTTCTTCAGCAAAAGCGACTTCCAGAACAATCTCGCATTAGCCGGTAAATCGCCTTGTCCAGTAGTCGAGGCCACAAATATTGTGAGCGTGTACGAGAAAAGCGCATTCTATGAATCAACATCGTCAGAAACCACAATCCCTCCCAAAAAAGCGTTGGTTCTCAGGGGAAGTACACACTGGCTTATATTGATTCAATTCAGACACATGCGTCGCAAAACGAAGCCGCTCTGTCAGGGCACCCAATTCCTCGGCGACCTCCTGCGCGTTGCCAGTTTCAGAGCCATATAGGATGAGAACAGACCGTTCTAGCGGAACTGGCTGGCTGTCGCCCATATTGCGCGTTGGTGTTGAAATGCCACATTTGTTCCGGCGCGTGTTGCCCCTCCAAAATTCGGAGTTGGGGCCGATCTCGCCGAGGGGTGGCTGACGTCATCCGCGTTGGCCGAGATCGCTCGGATGTTATAGTTCGATGTGTACACTCGCATCCAAGTACTATGCGGTTAGATCAGATGTTGGAACAGGCTAAATTGAGATTACTTTTTACAAAGCGTAATGGAGTGTTTCGTGGACATTGATTCATAGCACATGCCAGTGCAAAGCCATGACATTGCATAACCAAAGCATCGAACCGCTGAAGAGCGAAATGTTAAGTTGAAATAGAAAGGGTATCTTGAGTCTGCTTTTCAGTAGGTATCTTCATCGCCGCCGCCGCCACCACCATCACCAAAGCCATCATCGCCCATCTCATCTCCACCATCGTCGAAATACTGCTCGGCATTGTAATCACCACCCATCTCGTCATCGTCCTCGGAGAAGTTGTCGTCCATCTCTTCTGCGTCTTGTTCTTCATCTTCATCAAGCAAAACATTCTCTTCCAACTCGCCCTCACCTTCATCGTCGTCGTCATCGCCAGTGGCTTTGCGCTTGGAGGGTCCACCCTCGGCTTCGTCCTCCTCATCTTCGAAGCCGCGCTTGACTCCAGTCGCTGTCTGAGCTTGGTAGCCATCTATCACCGCATCTGGTCGGAAGCTTGGCTGGAGGGTTTTCCAAAGGTCGCGGGGGAAGAATTTCAAAACTGTTTAATCCAAGGATGCGCAATTAGCAATCTGCAACTCTAACCACAATGAAGAATATCAAGTCCAGAGAAGACATACCATATTCACGTCCAACAATCTTTGGAAGAGTGCGCCGCTTCCGCTGATAGCGACCAGAGTAGGTGGGCATGCCATGGAACGGGTCGAAGTTCGCGCGTGCGGCGCTACCCTTTTTTGCAGACGAAGAGGCAGCATCAAGCACGGAGTAGTATGGACCATCATGGTGGCTCTCGCGCAGGTGCCGGTAATAGTCAACCTGCGTCTGTTCCGCGGTGCTCAATTTGCGCGCGAATGGAACGGTGTATTTCTGCGAAGCAAACGGTCAAAAAATGCCAAGGCTCAGGTGAAAGCACACATGGAGGTTTAGAGGGGGGTTTCATAAGATGAAGACCAGGGGAACGCTCAGGTAAAACATAATTGAAGAGTTGTAGGTGCAAATTGGAGGAACGTAGGAACGTCTAGACAGCGTTAAGAAGGGACGTACGGGATATAAAGGTTGTGGAGCTGTGTCTGGCTCGCCTCCAGGGTCGGCATCCCAAGTGAATTCTGTGCCTGGCGGCTTCCTGCCTTTTGGCCCACCACCCCCACGGCGGGACATGTTGGTACAAGAGGAATTGTGGTGATTATAATTGAGTTGTATCGGTTGTCGGATGTCATGACTCTAGCAGAAAAATAGGTTTCTATACCGCCCACCTAAAAGGGTGTTAGCGTTGGCAATTGCCCGAAGCCTTTCCCCGCGCTAAGATAACAAAATGCCGATCTTTACAGATCTGGAAGTGCGTTGAATACATTTACATGTCATTTTCACGCTACACTAGGGATTATTGTCATAAGTTCTTAATACATTCTCGAATCATCGTTCAGCTGTCAGCACTTGGGTTCCGCCAGATTGCACTGGACCCCAAGGTCCTTCATCCACCCGCTGTTGCAAGGTTCGCATGATATCGTCAAATCCTTCAATCTGACCTCCACTTTCACGCAGTCGATTCAGTAGTGCTACAAGAACATCATGTTTAGCTGTGGCCACTTTCCAAACAACACTCTGGGAATCACCCGCACCACCTCCGACGAAGTCTGCATATGAGCGGGGTGGTTTGAAGAGATAAGGTAGCAGTGTCGTAAGTGCCGGTGGGGTAAGAACTGCCCATGCACCAGATGAGGGGAAGAATCCACTAGTAGCCGGGGATAGCTCTCCTAGACTTTCTTCAGAAGGTAGCTGGAACCGAGAAGAGCTGCCGTGGGAGGATGCTGGGGGAGAGGGTTTCCAGTTGGCTGTAGCTATGGCCCTCATGAAAGTGATTGCTGACAACGCAATGTCCTTCATGACGAGAATATCGGCAATGGCTACCACAGAGGTCCAGAAGGTAGGGTGTTGATTGAGGTAGAGGAAGTAGAGGATGCGCGCCGCGGCTGCTTCATGTTCCCAGTCGGTTGGGGTTTGACCAGATGTGTTCAAATCCATCGAATCAGGCGTCTGTGTTCGTTGGGGCCCGTGGAATATCTTTGCCAAAACATCCAAGGCTTCAGCATTTGCGGGATCTGTGGGAATGGCTAGAACAGGGTTGGCGCCATGCTTGCCTGCCTCCACGAGAAGCACTCGAGGAAGTGAGGCTAGAACAGCCAAGTGACCTGTAGGGGTTTCGCCGTGTGCCCATTGCGTGGCAGGAATGACGAGCGATCTGTTGATGGTCGATACAATCCCGTCGAGGACGGTAGCAGGACTCTGCAATAAGTGGTTCGGGTACAGCTCTGCATACCGCGAGACATATGCCATGATTGGACCAGATAGGTAGATCAAATCAACGGGATCCAGTTTAGAGTCATCGAGATAATAGCTAAGCACCTTTGAATGCAACTTTTGTGCTACCAGAAAGTCAAGAGCTGGGGAAGAGAATGTCGAAGCTGAGTGCACATAGCTGCGAGCATGGAGACCTGGAGCTTCGATATCCAAAAGCTCACGGAAGAAGCTGAGAAGTGTCATGTGCATCAGAACGTCGCTCTCTTGGGTCATCTGACAAGTTGCAAAGTGCAAGATGCTAGTGCTCTTGTATTTGGTCTCGATTTCTGGAATTTGTGCAGTGGATATCATGTCCCAGCGAAGCTTTCCAGCTTTCTCCAAGAGTGCCAGAAGCCTTCCCTGTGCGATAGTCCTTTCGCGCTTAGACAGCTCTCCTGGCGCATCATTCTGTAGGCTGCAGAGCCCAAACAACAGCCCATAGACATCTTTATCCTTGAACACTCTTCTCCACATCAGGCCTTGTCCTGCCTGAGCATGCTCAGCGGTGGACTCGCGTTCTCCATTTTCCAGATTGCTAGCAGCGTCGATCTCCAAGAGTGCCCATAATGTTTGAAGTGCAGCTTGCGCGACTTCAGTTGACGAGGTGGAGAGCCATACTTCAACGAGCGAAGCAACCAACTCAGGTTCCCCTGCAACTATCGCAGCTTCACTTGTGGATTTTCCGGCTTTGGCTAATAGCGATAGGGCGAGAAGATTGATTGGTGGTGACGGAGCCTTGAAGCCAGCGACAAGGTTGATCGGAGGATCGACGGATTGGAGATCGGTGAAGCTGAAATATGTGGTCGCTTTGATACCTAAGGTGGTGAGCGGTGTAGGGTCTTCTTGCAGAACAGGCAAAAGAGCTGAGATCTGTGATAAAAGTGTGGCAGGCACCAAAGTGTCAGTCGATTCAATCAGCTGCAGCTGCAACTTCTCGATGAGTGCAACATCCAACGCCGTCGATGGATTTTGTTGCACTTGAGCCAGATGCGATTTGACCGCATCAAACGTCGAAGGAATAGACATCTTGATTCAGCCAACTCTCACGCCAGTCACGAAATGGAAAGAAACGCGCACCTGATTGATCTCGAGCTTGTTGATCGCGGGGGAAGCTCACCGCCCGAGCCGTGGCCAAACGAACCAAACATGACCGCATCCCGCTCTATCTACTACTACTCCGTCATTTACGAACGCTTCATTTGCCTGGACTTGAATTCACCTACAAAAATGGAGCCATCTACAGTCTCGCAGAAGTCATCCGACTCTGGCCTCCATATCCAGCTTCACCCGCTTGTTCTCCTCACTATCTCCGACCAGATTACTCGGCATGCCGCCCGGCAGCAGCGAGGTCCAATCATTGGTGGTCTTCTCGGACAGCAGAATGGTCGTGAGATCACACTAGAGCATGCATTCGAATGCCCCGTTACCTGCGGGCTCAACAATGAAACCATTCTACCGGCATCATGGTTCGAAGAGCGCCTACAGCAATGTGAGTGTTCCCCGTCGGACTACCCAGCTGCTTTCTAGAAGTATAGACTTACAATCCGACAGTCAAGGATGTGCACAAAGACCCAGCTCTCGACCTGGTCGGATGGTGGTCAACGTCACCAGCCACCGGTCCAACTGCCGCTCAGCTCCCTCTCCACCGACAGATCCTCCAGGACTACAATGAATCCGCCGTCTTCCTTACCTTCCACCCTACCGAGGTCCAAGGCGCCAATTCGAATGGAGGCAAGCTTCCTCTAACCGTCTACGAGAGTGTCCACGAGGGCGAGAATACGCAAGATGCCAGCAAGGACATGCAAGTTGATGGCGAGGAGCCAGTGCTGAACATTAAATTCCGGGAATTGCCATACTCAGTGGAGACTGGGGAATCCGAAATGATTGGCATCGATACTATTGTGCAAGGCTCCACGACTGCCTCTATGAATGTCCTCCCAACCCAAGAATCGAGCAAACAGGCGCAGCAGACAGAGTCCGACGGCAAGAAACCAAGCTCGCAGGTTGAGCTCACACAGGAGGAAGAAGAGTGTAAGTCTTCCAGCGCAAGAGTACAATTGCCTGTCTGGATTCCATTGACTAATACATTTTATACAGTAATCTCAAGCCTGACGACTCGTCTCAACGCAGTCCGCACCCTTGAAACCCGCATCTCCCTCATCAAATCATATATCTCGACTCTCTCAGAATCAGACTTTGTCTTAGACGAGTCAAAAGAAAGCACATCCGCCACCAAACTGTCGCACCCAATCCTACGCCACATTAACTCCGTCCTCTCAAACCTCTCCCTCCTCACCCCAGCAGAAGAAAGCACCTTCGCCGCCGAAGTCCTCTCGCAGAGCAACGACGTGCTTCTAGTCTCGCTCTTAGGCCAACTAGGCGAAAATGTCAAAGCCCTACGCGAACTAGGCCGCAAGACTGCAATCGTCCAGGGTGCACGACAGGTATCCTCGGCACGCAAGAATCCCTTGATCCAGCGAGGCTTCACCGACCAGCTCTTTGTCCCTGGTTCCAACCAGGGAATTGCGGATAATGAGATGTACTCGTGATATGACATGGTATGATCTGAACCACTTTTTATTCTGCTCCTTCTTTCTTGATCTTTCAATAGATATTTCATGCAAATGGTACCTAGGCGTATTGCATAAGTTATGGGGATCTGGGCCTTGTATTTATTACTTACTTTTCTTGCGTGGTTTCCGATTTCCTGGCCCATCCTTAAGATGAGATAACGAACACCTTTATGATTCTATCACTTGATTCGCTACTCAAGTTTCACGTGTAGCTTCATACTAATCTGGAAACAGGTGGGGCATAGAACACTTTATTCGTCAATGACACTGCATACTGCGATTGGGAGTAGAAATACTATACAATAGATACGATCTAGCTGCCATACCAGAAAAGGTGCAAAGACAGGAATCTGACATCAAAAATGGGACAGCAGAGAAGAAGAAAAAAGAAAAGAAAAACATGCCGATATACGAATATGGCGGGTATTCATATCCAAAAGAAGGCACAAGCAGAGAAATGAGAATATCAAAGAGGCAAAACGAAAAGGAAAATAAAACAACACAAACGTTAGGTTCTCGGAGGCATGCTCATGGGTAGCGTGAGGCTAGAACAAAATGTATTGCTTCGAGGGGATGCATGCAAATGCAAAAATGCAACACCACCAGCCCTCTTAGCACAAGACATATACCAATTCATTAGTGACTTCATCATAAATGGTGGTTGTTATCAGGGTAGGGAGGTGGAGGCTGATAGGGGTCTGGCATGGGCATGGGGACCTGCTGGCGGAGCGGACCATCCGATGGGTATGGGTGGACCACCGCATCAGACTGAAGGGGATCATGGGCGCGGAGAGCAGAGTCTTCATAAGGCGACGAGCTTTGGCCGTAGAAGCGGGTTGAGGGGTCGTGGACGTGGTCGTCGAAGTCGGAGGCGTAGGGCGAGTTGCCCATTAGTGCAATCTCTGGGTTTGACTGTGCGTGGGCGAGAAGCACGGCGCCTTCTTCGTCGGGTGTGTAACGGCCTCCTCGGCCACCTGTCATTGTTGTTGCGGCGCCTTGGTATGCTGTTCCGGTTGTGAGTTCGCTACCTGCTTGCGGAGGTTGGTCCCGGGGCTGGTAGCTTGGGTCTAGCGTGCGGGTTTTGCGGCCGACGACTAGCCAGCGCGCACTGCGGCCGATTGCCTTCAAGAGATCCAGTGGGTTCATGGCATCGACTAGTGCTCTGGCACCGTAGCGTCCGCCTTCGTAGGCGGTCTTGCCGTTGCCGTAGAAGTCGGTGACTTCGCTTTGGTTATTTAGGATGTAGGGCTTCCATGAGAAAGCCCAGAGATGTAGACAGCCGAAGATGGCCATTTCAATGTTGATCATCACTTCTGGAAGGCCAGTTTTGAGATCTGCAAGTGCAATCTTCTTGCTTGCTTGGATGGCGCCACCGGAGACGAGAAGACTAATAAGTGTCTAGAATGTGTGAGGGCCTGCTTTTTCAAATGGCGAATATTGATCAACTTACCGACTGCCAGAAGGAAAGGAAAATGACGAGCTTGATCGACAAGATCTTCACAAATGGCCGGTGTTGCTTGATGTCTTGGCTAGTCTGGTGGTAGAACTGAATCAAGCAGTACATCGCAATGGTGACGGAGATTGATTCAAAGACGAGTGTCTGAAAGATTGAACATCAGATCAGTAAGAGAGACACCAAATATCCAGAAATATCATGACATACCCAGATATGCGCAAAGGCGGGACTGAGGGATGCCTCGCAGTACAAGCCCAAAGCCTGCGTAACAACCGCGACAATAGTCATGGCCACACGAATAACACAGTACTGGAAAACGCCAGCCCAGACAATCTGCAAATAGTCAGCACCCTGACAGTCCCTTAATCATAGTATCCACCCTCTTACATTGAACCAAGTCAATCCACTGCGTGGGTTCCGCCAAATGCCGCGATCACCACCACAACACCTAGCAAACCAATTCAACGGCAAAAGCCACGGCTTAGGCTGAATCCCACGGAAGTAGTCCTTCTGACTGTGTAGATCGGGAGCGATATAGTGGCACATGAGGGAGAAGAAGGCGGAGATACAGAAAGCCTCGTAGCAATCGCCGAGAACTTCGAAATAGACGGAATCATGGTAGAAGAAGATGCTGAGCCATGCGACAAGGGAGTAGACGGGGACCATAAATAGGATGCGGATAATACTGCAGGCAGAAACAAAAGGTCATGTTAACGATGCGATGCTTGACTTGCGCTTAGGATTCGGGGTCCACGGAATAAATCTTACTGTCGCTGTTCGATCGGTTTGCTGTAATGCATTGCATGCTGCATGATCAGAAATATCGAGACGCCGCAGGCGAAGAGGGCGCAAGCGCCGCCCACCAGGAGCGACAGGTGGTGAAATGTAAGGCCGCCATCCCAGAGCTCGACCTCCTCGACTGTTTGATCAGCATGGAATGCGATCCAGGGGGTGCGGGACATACTCTTCTGGGTCTCTAGAGTAGTATTGCACACTGTCCAGCCCATGACTGGAGAGTGTTCAGGTCGACTGGGGTTAGTGAAGGAGGTAACCTTTTTTCAGACTGTTTATCTTATCCGGATCGACAGGAGAGCGCCACAATCGTCTGAGGCCCTGAAGGAAATGAGAAAGTCCTTTTTTTCTTTGTGTTTCAGCTATTTCTTTTGGTCGGTTTTGGCGTATTTTTTTCCCCCTTGAAATTCTTTGCCAATCGGGTTAAGTACCAAGGATCATCGGCCCTTGGAAGGCTTGGTCTATTTATATGGCTTGGCTCAGCCTTTCACAGCCTTGTGGAGATATCGGAGTACTCGTACACCTGTCAATGTATTCACCGTGCGATATTCATACATGCTAAGCTCCTATTGTACACGTCTGGGACAATAGCCTAGATTCTCATTTTGCTTTTCTCTTTACCTTACAATCAGGCACGCCAGGAATCCCCACGTCGTCCGCCGCGTCCGCGACCACGTCCCATGCCAGGTCGAGGGCCAGGTGCACCAAATCTTTCCGGGCCGATATCCACAAAGCGATCTTCGTCTTCAAATGTAATGCGGCGCATTTCATCACCGCCACGGCGGGGGAACGTTCCTTTCTCGATGAGGTCATCAAATTGGTCCAGGCGCTTGTCGGCAATGGGGCGGGGGACAGGTAGGTAGTAGAGCTTAGGCTTCGCAGTAGTCGACTTAAATCTTTCGTCCAGGGGCTTGAAGCCTTGTCCGGGGCGTTCTGAGGGTGCGGGAGGCGCATCGGAAGGACGACGGTCGATATGTGGCATACTACTGCGCGGACCCAATGGAGGAGTACGATTGAAACCCGGGTCCCGCTGAGTAGGGGCGGGGCGCTGCTTCGAGCCCGCCTCGGCCAGGGTGGCTGTGGTTCCATTATCAGTTGTTTCGTATGTGACTTCCCAGCGTGGGGCAGGACCGGCGCGATCCCGGGATGCCTCCTCGGTCTGTATCCATTCTTTGATTTTATCGTGCGGGATGAAGTCTGCCCAGAGGCTTTTGCGGTTGCGCTCGTTTGGCCATACAGTTCCATGAACAGCAGACCGGACCCGCGAGGCTGCGGCAACGCTGGTGAAACTGACAAAGCAATGGGTTTTGATGGAGTCAAGGTAGAAATCAATGATGGTATCAGAGCCGGGGAGTCCCGGGGCAGATGCAAGACTGGCCAGATGTTTGCGGAGTGCGACTGGTTGCAGTGGGCGCATCAAGCCTTCAATGTAGAGGGCAGCGGTAGCAGCGTGCCTTGCAGGTTCCACATCAACATCTTCCATCTTAACGTCTTCGGAGCCGGAGGCGGGTGGAAGAGCTGCATCAGAGGGTGCAAATAGATCACGGAAGCGAGCGCTTGGCTTGTTGTGGGGTGTTTGCGCATCCGCAGAGGCCTCGGTGGGTTGTTTTGTGTCACGATCTGACGGCGGCTTAACTTCATCACGACCCACAGTCTCCTTTTCTTCTGTCATTAAGACACGCGGGGCTTCCTCCATTGCACGAGCCTTTCGGTTCGCAATTTCTTCTTGTGAAGGAGCAGGGCTCTGGCTGCGCCGCTTGCGTTTGCGGGTATCCTCCAAAGCCTCTTCGGTGGGAAGAGGGGTCGATACTCCAGTGTTGGCTCCAGATGTTTGGGGAGCTGACAGAGTTGACTTTTCTTCGGACTTCGCAGAGCCTTCTTTGCTTGCGTCCTGGGGCACCTGGGTTGGTTCATTCACCTCCATCTGCTGGGAGGCAACCGGAGACTTCTGAGCACCGCTGGGGGAGAGGGGTTTTTCTGTGTGTACCTCCTCTGCCGGCTTTGCGACATGTTCGACTTTTTGCGACTCGGCTGGGATCACTGCCTGTGCCAACGGGTCTCCTTTCGTTTCTTCATAGGCCTTGTCAGATACAGCGATTGAAGCTTGTGTGTCTTTTTCTTCTGCGATCGGATCCTTCAGTTCCTCGGGCTGTTCGGGCTGTTCGGGCTGTTTGGGCTGTTCAATCTGTGGTTGCTCTGCCTCGGGCTCTGGTGCTTGCGCCGCAGGTTCCGGCGCAGAAGGCTGTTCGTCCGTCGTTTCTTCTGGAGCTGCAGTCTCGCCGTTCTCGCCCTGGTCTGTCTGTGAGTCAAGCTCAAGTAATTTGTCAATGAACTGCTGTTTAAGACGAAGCCCAGTCTGAGGGACGGCACGTCTCTTGAGCTCGGCCTTTAACTCAGGCACCTTCCATGACGAGTAGTCAGTCATCGTGAGAGAACTTTCACATGTAAGTTTGAAATTTGAGGGGGGGGAAAAGTGGCTCAGGTCAAGAAAAGTGGCATTGGGCGCATTGCATGAGTGCAGGGATTGAATCTGGGGACGCGATGGAGCTGCGCGCCGATGATGTCGGGGCTAACCGCATTTGGACTAATGCGGTCCTTTTGCATAAACTCTCGAACTCACTCTATAAAAAAAATGAAAGACTGAAGATACCTTTGAGTATTTCGGGAAATGATAGACTAATATACAATTTGTTCATCTAATTGAAAGGTATTTTAAAGGTTGATAGGTGCTGACAAACAATCCGCCTTCTCCTACATTTCACCTTCCCTGCAAACATATATATCCCGGGTCCCCGAGGCCTTCTTCAGAATAAAGCTTTGTATGTGCAGTCTAAGCCTACAGGCCAGCATATCCGATCGAAATTTAAATTCGATCAAATAGTCATCATAAAAAGCAAGATAGAAATGTAACTAAAATTTTGTAGTCTTTTACTTCATTGAAGCCAAGTGCTTTGCTGCACTGTGGGTATCAATAGCATTCAAGGTACCACGTGATGAGAAGTATTGAAACTCTCAATCTGTTCCGAGATTTTAGCGCTCACAACGTTTAATTCATTAGATCTGAAACCCCATACACTAAACTAACTACGGAAGGATGCCCGCCAACACGGACAGCACGACGCGTCTCCCCACCAAAACAATCCCAATATCGAATACCGATAACCCGACAATGCCCGCAGAGACAAAAGCCAGAGAAACCGCGCGCTGAACCTGAAACGCGAACCGCCATTTTCGTTTGTTAGCTATGTGGAAGCGCAAGCACAATCTCCGAACACTGTCCACCAGTAACATCCAACGAAAAACCACCAGCCGAACTAATACCCTTCTTCAACCCATTAATTTTAGCCGATTTCACAGGAATAGCCAAAAAAACAGTCCCTTTAGTCTCCCTCGGCGAACAAATCCTCAAATCAACCTCCTTCACTTCCTCCCTTAACTTCCAACTCGCCTCAATAGACCCATGAGGAGTAGGAACCCTCCCTCTAGCCCAAGAGACACCCGGCGTAAGTACCGCAGGCTTGAAGACCCATTCAGAAAACCCAGGAGCAGTAGGTTGAACACCGAGAACATACTCCGTCAAGACAAATGTCGGCGCCGCGCCCCAGGGGTGTGCATGCGAAGTATACAAATCCAATCCTGGACGACCATCGGGGAATACATACTCCCAGCTTGTACCGGTGTAATATTCATCATTATCGATCATTGCAGGCCAGAGTCCCGAGAGGAGAGTTGAGATCGCAGCGGTAGTGGCAGCCGAGGGCGCGGTGATATTCCGCGAATGTTTCAAGAGAGCCTCAAGCAGGAATCCAGAAATGAATGGTGAAAGCTCTGCGCTAGATTCGGTAGTTGAGAGGGTCTTGTAGCCAATTCCATTTCGGAGACTAGACAAAGCTGCAATGGCTGATTCGGCTTGTGTTGAGTCTGCGACATCGGCGAGAATCGCCCATGCTGTGCCGGCGATTGAGGTCTCGTTGAGAGATGTCGTGCTGATACCATATGTTCCGAGATTGTTGCTCCAGAGCCTCTTGTTGATGGCTTTACTGACGCCCGCGGCGACGAATCTCCAATGTGCAGATGTAGCGGCTTCGCCGACGTTGTCTGCTAGTGTTGCCATGTGCTTGAGGGTATAGACGAGGAGGGAGGATGCAGCGGTGCCATTTGCAGCGCCAAGGAAGAAAGATCCTGATGCCAGCCCTGAGGAGCTATCGACTAGTGAAAGAATAGATTCGACCCCTGTTTTCACTTGGAACCAATATTTTTCGAGGAATTTTTTGTCTGCGAAGTAGAGATAATATCGAGCAAATGCATTTAGGAAGAGTAGTTGATAGTCTTCCAGACCGACGGAATGGTAGGTTGAGGTGTATTTGGAGGACTGTCCCATAGAAGGGGACATGGAGAAGTATCCGGCGAACTCGCCGGAGGCCATCTGTCTATCAAGTAGATAGGCAAGAGTGCCCTTGATAAAATCCTCCCGGTGTGTGCTTGCAGCGATGATACGGGAAGTATGGCTGAAATCTCCAGACCAGACTAGTCGATCTCGCTTGGCACCATCCAGACACACGGAGTTCCTGTTTGGCATGACGCCGTATTCTTCAAGAACAGATGTGCTAGTCATTGGGTTGTCATAAAGGAGGGTGCCGTTCTGCGCGTGCACTTCAACATCCCTCACATATGCCACCTGGTCTTGATAAGGTCCGAATCCCCATGTACCGCTGTACTCATCAGCAGCCGATCCAAGGTAGTTGTACGTTGGCTGAAGGGCCGATAGCGGAACATGTATTGCTGAGGAATTGTTGATCGACACATCATAGCCAGTCGACTTTATAGTCGTTGTAACCTGGACCCATTCTCCCTCTTTTACATCAAAAGGTAGAGAGTAATACGATACAGGGCCACCCTCCAAACTAGTCTGATTGACCAAATTCCACCCATAGGCCACAGCAAGCTTATTCGCAGGCAGAAGGGTCTTGTTCGTATTGATGAATGTGGACTCCGAAGCATAATCAGTCGTAATAACGAACGAAGGACCAAAGCCGAGAATACCGTTAGCAACCCTCCATCCCGTGCCACCACGAAGAATCTTCGTCATAAACGACATCGTATAGTTAGTAAAGGTAGCTCCAAGAACAGACTGCGCCGACTGCTGTCCACGCAAAAGAACACCGTCAGAAGTAACATCCCAAGTCGAAGGCGCAGCACCCTTCTCAATACAAGCCTGCTGCACAGCCCGCGGACCAAGAGCCCAGATTTCATTATATGAAGAGTTCGAACTTTCGAAATAACCAGGTAAGGCATCGACTGATGTTCGATCATTCAAAGAGCGGATACCCACACCGCAGATGCGGATACTGCCCTTTGCATTGAGTAGGCGCAGTTGCTGCCAGCGCAGACCTCCCTGGATGAAATAGGATTCAATATGTCCAGGTTCGGTGACATTGAATGTCTCTACCCGGAAGGTATTGGTGAGACCATTGCTGAAGGTCCAAGGACCGTCGCCAGATGCATTTTCCAGGCCGCTTTTTGCCTCGGTGTATTTGGCTTCTATTTGTACTGGTGCTAATAGGGACTTTGCCTGGAATAGGGGGAAGCCGCCTATTTCTGTGCCATAGTCAAGGGTCACTGTTGGGTTAGACTCGGATAAGGTGAAGCATGATTGTGAGCCTTTGCTGGAGGACTTGGTAGCGCATGTTTCTGCGTAAACGATTGTTCCTCTGGTGTAGTCGTTAGCGATATGATCAAAGGCCAGCTGCATGGTGACTATTTACCTTTGCTCTGCTGCTAACCCGACATTCAATATGGAGGAGATGCCGAGTGCCCATACAAGGGCATTTCGAGAGAAGATCATACCGGAGAATAGTTGCTAGAACAAGGCGTCCTGGTGCTCAAGGACAGGACCGGGGGATATTTAATTGGAGCGAAGGCACCTGTTTAGATGCCCCCGCCCCCCCCAATTTCCCGAGCAGATGCTTCGGTAAAGAGGGCCCCGGCATTTCCGAGTTCATTCTGCGCCAAAAGGTGGAGTATCTTCGGTTTTCTTTCTTCTGCAGAACTCTCGCTCTCTTTTACCCCGGGATCGGATTGTGGGGAAACGGGGTGGAACAGCCAAACTATCTTCTTTTTTTTTTTTTGTTTAAGTTGATCTTTCGGTCATTTTCTGAAATTCCGTTGTTTATGGTCGCGCTGTTAATTCCACACACTTTGCCAATCTTGTTTTTGTCAATCATGACGACTACTATGCTCCACTTTGTTTTAGTGATGAAACCCAAGGAACGAGGTCTTCATTTCTACACAAATAAGAGCTAGAGAAAAAGTAGACCCAGATAGCCCAGGATGAACTTCGGGTTTGATAGTTGGCTGAGACCCCATTTAATCTACAATCCCCGCTGGCAAGAAAGCCACATAGTCCAAAGGAGCCGATTCAACACCATCGGGTTGACCGACAATCTTCAACGTATCGCCCTTCTTCACCTTGATGCCTCGGAACTTGATACGCATAGCCGAATGTCCGTCCAAGTAGATAGAAGGTGTATGGCTGAAAGTATCTTCGCTATTTCCAACCCACTCGCCCACCTTCCGATCGTTGAAGGAGATGGTCCACTGAGACTGACCACCGTAAAGATCATAGTAATTAACAGCGATATCATATGTGCCTGAAGCAAATGGCACTTTGGTTACAGCAGTGCCAGCAGTGCTATTAGACTCCGTGACGATAGCAAGAGACCCCGAAGCCGTTTCGAAGGGAGTGACGGTATATGGTTTGTACCCATCTAGCGTCATACTCTCAGCTTCGATGCGCCATGGGTGATGACTGACGCGCTTTGCTTCGTCGGGGATACCAGAGAGATTATGGTAAAAATCGTTGATGGCATCTCTCCAAACAATTGAGTGACCAGTTTGGTAATCCAAGAAGTGACGGACATGACTGTATCGCTCCTGGTCTATCTTCCCCTGAAGCGATTCCCACTGGGTAAGGAATGTCTGCGCTGTCTCTGCGCCGGTGTAGTGGGCATCGTAGAAGTGTTGGATGACAGTCTTGCCTGATTTTAGGCGGTGGGTATAGTCGACATGATGGAACCATAAGAGTAGGTCATCGGGTGTTGTATTGATGTTCTCATACATGGTTGCGATTTCGTCGGGATATTGGCCTGAGTATCCCGTGCCATTCTTCACGGTTCTGTCCATTCCAATGCTTGCCTGGTCTGCGCGGGTCCATTGGCCCCAACCGTTGTTGTCCTGGGAGGCGGGGTTAGGACCGTAGTGGGTGTAGAGGATGTCGGTCAGAGTTTGAATTCCTAGATTGCCGCTGTATTGTTCGTAGGCGGGCCATGACACCATGGACATGTGGGTAATTGTGTCTAGGACTTTACGGTCTAGACCGAAGGTGAGGCGGATCCAGTCGTGTAGGATGTCTTGCGCGTCATCTGTTGAACTCCACGCCAGGCGCCCGTAGGCGTATAGGTTTGACATGGAAAGGTGGCTTCCAAGCCAGGTGGTATTTGTACCGACGTTGACAACAGCTGCTGAGCCACCAAATTTGCGATTGAAGCGCTTGCCAGCTACAATGTCACGAACGAGCGATGGTTGGTGGTCGACTCGAAGATCGAAGTCCAAGATAGTCTTCCAGAGTGGAGGCAGATATACCAAGTGGGACTGTTGGCCAAGATACTCTTGCGTTACTTGCAGCTCGATTGCCATGTTGGTATTGGGTAGATTCGCGAACAAAGGCGATACTGGCTCGCGAACTTGGAAATCGATAGGTCCAAACTTGATCTGGATCACCACATTGTCGTCAAATTCACCATCTAGCTCTTTGAAGAAGTTGACAGCTGCCTTTGCACGATCTGCAGTCCAGACAGATTCGTTGAGTTGGTTGTAGACAAAGGCACGGTACATAACGATACCACCATATGGTTGAACTTCTTTGGCGAAGAGATTTGCTGCATCGGCGAGGGTCCTGTTGTACGTTTGTGGACCAGGCTGGCCTTCGGAATCCGCCTTGACGAGGTAGCCAGCCATGTCAGGAACACGCTTATAGATCTGGGCAGTAATGTCCGACCACCACTTGATAACAGATTCATCAAGGGGATCGAAGGTACTCAGACCACCGTATGTTTGGGGCGAGGCAAAGTTGAGAGACATGCCAACCTGGATACCATATGGCCGGAAGACATCAGCTACTCGACCAAAACCGTCAATGTTCTTTGGGTCCAAGAGTGTAGCATTGGCGTTGACGTTGTTGATGACAACGGCATTGATTTTAATGGAGGCTAAGAGACGTGCGTATTCAGCGACACGAGTCAAATCTTCGACAATCTGTCCGTTCTTAAAGAAAATAGAAGGACCACCATAGCCACGCTCGATACTTCCGTCCATATTGTCCCATTGGTTCACCCAGCGGATGGGCTGCGACGGATTGGATGCATAGGCAACCCTGGAGAAATTTCCCTGTGAAATCATCGACAAGTACTCGAAGGTACCATAGAGCGCGCCCCTCTCATTTTGCCCCAGAATTTGAACGGCGTCCCCTTTGGTGCTAAGCCAGAAGCCATCGTCTTCCAGTTCAGGTATGCTGTGTATCGCGCCGCAAGTCTTGCGATATTGATCGACGGTACCAACAATGACAGAGGAGGATGTCTTGCATTTGTGGGAGACTCGCACGTCTTTTCTATAGACACCCTTCAGTCCTTTGTGCAATTCCGTGCCAGCAATATATACCGGACTACTCTCGGTGGAATTGAGGGTGACAATGGTAGAAGGAAGGTTGGAATGGCATGATTTCGAACAAGGCAATGATGCATAACGTAACCAGCCATTCAAACCATCTTCGGCTGCTGCAAAGCCCAAGGAAGCTAGTAGGAAAAGCGCACGCATATTTAATAGAGCTTCTCGGACGTATGAAGCTACTACTTGCCTCTCAATGCAGGTCGATTGACCCTTTTATACCACCCCGCCATCGACGTCAGGTTATTGGTAGAATGCCGGGTGACGCATGGAATAACTTCAGGCTAAATAAGGCATGCTAAAGTCCCATCGTACAGGCTATATCATTAGACAAATGCGAGGGTTAAGGGAAATCTTCGGAAGATTTAAAGGGTATCGTGCTTCCCCGCAAACAATGTGGAGATGGCGTGGGGGTCCTGCAGCAGGGAAAGAGGGAGCGTTCGTCAGGTTAAATGAAAATGCTGACAGGGTTAAGCAGGCAAACAATACCATGTCGCTGCGGTTAAGCATGACATTAAGCTTAGATTGTAAACACGGCGGAGGACCGGTAACATGAGTCCAGGGCACACGGGTACTACATCCCAAACTCATGATAAAAGACTGCATTTGGGGTATTACATTTAGGCTATTCTATCAGATGGTTTCCACCATTGAAGATCACTGCCCAGGACGAAATGAGGTGCAAAGCAGCTTAATATCTCCGGCACCCTTGTCTAGAATTGCCTAGGGGGAATATCATAATTCATCATTGACCGTAAGAAAATTGGTTCAAGGTTGTATTTTTTTTAAGAGGTCCCAACAATACGAGACGCTTAAGCCTCACGGCTCAGGATGTCGGAGTCACCGGCATCGAGGATAGCCATGGCGGAGCAGCGGAAGAGCTTACCGCAAGCGGTGCCGAGCTCAATCTATACGGGAGTTAGTTTCAGATTCAAGCTCTCCGGGATACCTTTCGGCAGTCCCATCGTTGAGCAACTTCACTCTCCGAAGTGGTATTTTTGACCGACTTCTTCTCTGAGTAGTGGAGCTGACTCCTAGGTACGGCAACCAGTTTTGTTCAGATTGCCGACCCGGGGGAAAGGGAAAAGACGTACGTTGTTGCCGTTGAAGTGGTGAACAGGGGTCTTGGCGAGCATGGCGTAGTACTCGAGCTCAGACTTGCGCAGGGGAGGGCAGTTGCCGGAGATGAGGACCAGCTTAGCCTTGCCGGAGCGGAGAGTCTTCATGGTGGACTTGGTACCCATGGTAACTGCAAAGATGATTAGAATCCCATTTTGTGCGATCGAGGAATTGAGCGATGAGCTTACCCTTGCCAGACTTCATGACCAGCGCGAGGCGCGAGGCGAGGGTGTCACCGGACTTCTTAGCCTTGACCATTTTGACGGTTTTTTTGGTTGGGTGGTTGGTTGGTGATTGAGTGATGGACGGAAGACCAAATTTGAGAAGGAAGAAAGTTTTTGTGTGAAAATGGGAGAAGCCCTAGCACGTGACTTTTACACGTGACCAATCCCCTCATCTACCGCCTGATTCTGCCGTCACCCCCATTATTGGCGTTCGGCCCGCGGGGTTTGACTCATTACAGGTTTATTTCTTCATTTCATCCTTTTGTATCTTTTGTCTTTTGATTGTCTGTCCTTTCATCATGGCCACTGAAACTAGCAGTGCCCCCACTGCGCGACTCCGTCAGTCTATGCCCCTCATCCCATCCCCCAGAAGAACCGCTACTAAATCCCGTAGAGAGAGTCGCTTCGCAACCTGAGAACCCCTATGCACAATTGATTGAAGATCAATCAATCGCAATTGTCCCTTCCTTCAAGCTCGAATCCGGTGTTACACTGTACAATGTCCCAGTCGCCTATACCACACGTGGAACCCTCGCTCCTGCTGGCGATAATGTTTTGGTCATCTGTCACGCCCTGAGTGGCAGTGCGGATGTTGCGGACTGGTGGGGACCTCTTCTCGGCGGTCCTGGTCAAGCATTCGATGTTTCTCGGTTCTTCGTGGTCTGCCTGAACAGTTTGGGCAGTCCGTATGGAAGTGCCAGTGCTGTGACTTATAAGGATGGCAAGCCTGAAAATGGCTACTATGGACCCGAGTTCCCCCTGACCACTGTCCGTGATGACGTCAAGTAAGTCAATTGTTCAGTCCGACATATCAATATGTTCTAACTCTTTTATCAGCATCCACAAGCTTGTCTTGGATGACCTTGGTGTCAAGCAGATCGCTGCCGTCGTAGGCGGATCCATGGGTGGAATGCTTACCCTGGAATACTCCTTCTTCGGCAAGGACTATGTGCGTGCTATCGTGCCAATTGCTACCTCGGCACGCCATTCCGCTTGGTGCATCAGCTGGGGTGAGGCCCAGAGACAGAGCATCTACAGCGATCCCAAGTATGATGACGGCTACTATCCGTTCAATGACCCCCCTTCCACCGGTCTCGGAGCTGCTCGCATGTCCGCACTTTTGACTTACCGCAGCCGCAACTCGTTTGAGTCACGATTCGGTCGCAATGTGCCTGACCCAACCAAGAGATTGAACATCAACGGCGTTGAAAAGCAGCCCACTCCTCCCAATGAGCACTGGGCCATTCACAATGATGGACACCGTGGTGGTACGACTTCGCGCTCCGAAAGCAGACAAGGATCCCCGGCTCCTCAGTCTGAGGTCCAGTTCATGGATCCTCAATTCTCAGGCACGAAGACCTTTGTCCCAGAGGATGAATCGAAGCCCAAACTTACCCCAAGTGGTCGCCCTCGCCCGCCAACCTACTTCTCGGCGCAGTCGTACCTCCGTTATCAGGGTGACAAATTCGTCAAGCGATTTGACGCCAACTGCTACATCGCTATGACTCGCAAGCTTGACACTCACGATGTTTCTCGCCACCGTGCAGACCCTGCTGCTGACGATACCGTTCTGGAGGCTTTAGGACGTGTTGAGCAACCCGCCCTCGTCCTTGGCATCGAATCTGATGGTCTCTTCACCTTTGCAGAGCAGCAAGAGGTCGCTGCCGGTATTCCCGACTCGCGCCTAAAGCGGATCGACAGCCCCGAGGGTCACGATGCCTTCCTGCTTCAGTTCGAGCAGGTCAACCGCCACATTGTTGATTTCTTCAACGAGGTCTTGCCCGACATCATGTCGAAGTCGACAGACGGTGCTGCAGCTGTGGCTAGTGTCAAAAAACTGACCAAGAGCAGCACTTTCGGCGAGGCCGAGGTGGAGGATATCACCGCTTGGTAGAGCGATGCTCCTTCATATGGCATTGTTAGGCGCAGTGATTTCTGCAGCCATCCCATGACTCCACTCTGGGCCCCTATCCCCGCCTGTCTCTCTCTTCATCAACTATGAGAGTAGATTTGGTGGGATCCGCGCCCCGGTGGATGCCATGGCACAGGGGAAGTAGGTTGCCGTTCTTTTTTCCGTTCCGCCAGTCAGGGAGATGAGCATCCAACTGCCTCTCCCGTCTCTCACTTGGTTTTGTCCGTGTCCGAGAAGACTGTCAAAGAAGCATCCAACTGCTCTCCATCAGACCCGCCCTCTGGGTCAATTTTCTCCGGGAGGAAACCTCCGGGGGTGATGGGTCACTTCGATTCGATGGCCATAAGCTATCGCGACATAGTCGCACCGTTTAAAATAAAATCCACAACTCGGGCATTTTACCCATTATACATTTGTTCTTAACATATCGTAAGTTGACGATGTGAGCCACCAACGCCACGGGTATCTGGCTGTGCTCAGCAGATGATAAGCCTCAACTCTAAATACGCCCTTCCCCAGAATCTGACCGGCAACTCCGGGAAATATTCGATTATACGAGGGCTACGATATCCGACTATGGGACTGTGGTGAGCCGAAGCGAATCTGGATTGCGGTCGAAAGTGTATCCATGGATTGAGCTGATTTAGGGCCTAAATTAGTTCCAAAGCTAGCTTCAGTAAACAAACACTGGGGCAATGGACTTGGGATTTCCAACATTATACATATTCAGATGGGCAGCTACAACGGAGTTCGGTGGAAGTGCTTGTTTTACAAGTGGAGCCAGATCTGCACTGACCATCTCCTGGGCACATTGCAGCAATCCTTTGATTTTGAATTTATTTACATCTTACGCCGATTGCTTTTGGAACAGTGGCGTCAACTTTTGACTCACCAAGACAAAGAGGCGCTAGCGCAAGTCCTAGTGCTTAGACCCTTTGAGACGTTGATAACGTTCCATTTCGTAAAAAGTCCAAGCATGTCTCAGTATGTGTTGGACCCCAAAACCCGGTTTCTTTGCGACCGTTCGAAACCTGAAAAGGGGCCACACTAACGGTTGAGTCTAGACTTGTTATTAGGAGATCTGAACCAATTTAGGTATGGCTATCTCTAAAGTGGCTTGAGCTCCGTGATAAATGGAGTTCTTAGCTGCAGATTTGGGGGGCGCTTGATGTGCCGATCCAGCCCTAAGTGCTTGAGCGGACCACTGAGTTGTTTGATCGCTTATCCTGCTGCGAGCTAATGGGGTTAGGCGTCGAAGGTGTATCTGCCTCTATTTCAGCCTATCTTCGTTGAGACCGGGGGCCAAACGAATGAGAACGCCCTTAAAGCTAAGACATTTCTCTTTAATTACTCCGTTTCTCTTATAATGTGATTCTTTCCACATTCTTCACCCCGCATACCACCCAGTCGCACCGACAACGGGACACTACACAACTACACTGCTAGCAATAATTGCTATTGACATCACACATATCTCGGGAAATTAACTGGATCATTGAGATCCTGTGGATTAGCAGCAGTGGAGCATTCTGAAGCATATCTGGCGTTGGCAGGTCGCTCTCATTGTTTGCCCACTTGTCCCTTGACTTGACTTCTCTACTCTTGTTTCTTTACTCTCTATCTCGTCTATTTCGCTACCATCTATCACATCTAATCTCCCCGGTGAGACTATTTCGGAGAATAAACAAACCGTTCTCAAACACTATACCACCAAGATGGAGCGCAAGTTATCAACAAGAGCACTCAAAATGCGCCATCGTCTCACCTTCACCCGAAGCAGTTTGACACGAGACCGTGCTTGCACGATGGTCTCTTCCGGCGAAGTCAGTCCCTGCAGCAGTCGGCCTCGCTCCGCAACGAATCCTGAATCCCCAACATACGGCGAGAACACGATGTGGGACAGCATTGATGCCAGCAGGTGCTACAACTTCACAGATGAGCTGGGGTTCTTCCGCCCTGCATCACCGTTCATTGAGCGTCAGAATATCGACGAAGACTTAGTGCTTGATATCAAACATGCCTGCGCCCTACTATCTCACAGCATCGACCGTGGCATCCCCATCGGCCTGTCATATCAAAGTGCCGTGCCCGACTGGACAAATAAAAAGGCTGCTAGCCAGTCCACCACCGAAATATCAACGTCCGTAGACCAGAACACCCTTCTCTCATCCGCCAAGCCTATCGAGCCAGCAACAGATGCCAACACGGAGATGCACGATTCGGGCGTCGGCATGAGTTTCAACTCCCCCCAACAAACAGGCCGACCATACGGAAACAGCGTCTCATCAGCCAGATTCTACAACAAACAATCCTCAGTCTCACCACCCCACAGCCCAACCTCAGAAAGAGCCCGTTCCCGCGGTGAAAGCCTAGTCCAAAGCCTCGCAGACAGAGGCAGCATCCAACCCGACTACCCATTAAGGCTGGCACGCTCGCACTCCTCAAGCCCAGTACCTTTCCCCTATAGTCCAGACCAAGCCAACGACGAATGGCGCTCGGGACAAACAACGCCACCCAGCCCAATAATCGAAAACCCGCAAACCGAAAAAGAACAGTCAACGGCAACGATTACCGTCTCCGAAACCGAGATCAACGCCTCAACCACCTCCACCACATCTGAGACTGAGACACCGACTCCACCCTGTCTCGGCGAAGAAGGACAGACCTGGCTGCGCGCTAGCAAAGACATTCAACGTCTCGCCGACGAAGAAAAACAAAAACAAAAGGAAACAGCATTCAAGAAGGAAAAACCCTCCAATCGATTCTACAGTTCCAACGCCAACGCCACCTCCCAAATCTTCGATTCGCGCGAGTGGCTCACGAGGAACATCTGGGAAAGTCGAGACCCAAGTATCTACAGCGAGACACCATTGAGCGCAAATGCGAATGGAGAAGGGCGCTGGGGGAGCGTATCCACCAGCGGAGATGAGTCAAGTCGCCATGGGGGATATCCCGTTCAGTGGTGGGCCGGTCCGGATGCAGCCTCAAGTCGGAATCTGTCTTATTCTTCGTCTTCGTATCCCGTTAATGAGTTTAAGCACCAGGAGACTGCTTATTCGGTTGTTGTTCCTAGTTTGCATCCTAGACGGAGGAGGGAGAAGGCGCAGCTCTTGTTGAGGAAGTTGGCTGGGTTTGGGGGGGGGAGGAGGAGGAGGGGGAGGGTGGTGCTGGTGTCGAGGTTTGAGTTTGATATGTTTTCTTGATGGTCTTTGGATTGGATTGGGGCTTGGATTCATTGGGAATTTTTCTCTTTGCTTTTAGCTGGGTCTTTGTGATGGCGTGGTGTTTTATTGCTTTGCTTGATAGATGTCCGTATGCTTCATGTAGATACCCTTTTTTTCTCTCTTTTTTTTCTACTTATTTGTGCTTTGTTGGATATCTCTAGTAGGTCTCTATAAATAGCTTTTCACTTGGCTTCTTATCATTTTTTTGCGGCTGAAGCACATCAATACCGAACATTGGCCATGTGACTTCTTGGCGCTGTCAAGTTACCAAGCAGTGATAAAGCGAGAACAAGGTAGCTTTCATCCACACTCTTTCCAGGCCCCTTTCTTCTTTGTAGAGAGTTTGATATAATCTGATCAACTTGAGCTCTGTCGAGCTTGATAGTCAAACGTAATGTTGCAACACAAAGATAAACAAACGTGGCGATAACATGCAAAGAATGCCGTACGACCAAGTCACACACCGACGTAACTATGTCAGATTCTCTACCCTCAAGGATTATTCTGGGCTAAATATTTTCCCTGTGCATTGAAATAAGATGTTAAGCAAAATGAACGAAGAAACACAGTAATTTATGGTTCAAATTTCAACTCCGGTTATGGATGTCGTCAATCCATGGTGGCCACTGGAGAATTGATTCCGTGACTTTTGATTATTTCATGCAGAGTGCAACCGGTGTGTACCTGAAGTGGTTAACCTGTTTAAACAATAAGGATGGTCAAATGTTGTTGCCGGCTGCAGTGGAGCCATCCTTAGGTCACTTCAGGTTAGGCCACTTCAGGTTAGGCCACTTCAGGTTAGGCCACTTCAGGACAGTTGTGCAGAAAGTAAGCAATTTGGTGCAGTAACCCACAGTCATGTCTGGAGGGGGTCATTTTTGGAAGGCTATCCGGTGATATAGATTTGTTTATAGTAGAGTTGATCAATTATTGTTTTCTTTTCAATTCAGACCAACGGACTGAACTTTAGACTCTGGTTTGGATGGTGAAACTGAGCTAGTACTCTGTCTGCCACTTTGCGGGTGTGTGAAATGAGGCTGGGCAGTAGGCGAGTCCTGATGGTCTGTACAAGTTCACCATGTCTTCATATGCTCCTCTGATACCCCCACGTAAACTACGCGCCCCCATTTAGTCCCGTTAAACTTTACTTTGTGAATGAGGCACGTGGCCACCATTGTAATCATTGGGGTCTCACTGTTTGACCACGTGCATGGCTTCCAATCCTTTGAAAGATTTAGCGGTAATGACAACTTTCAGTATTACGATATCACTACAGTACCTTGTCGTTGCTATACGCTTATGGAATAAAATATAACATTAGTTAGAGAACGATTGCACCTGAAGAAATTAACATTATATTTGATATTCGCAAATCGGTTCTAGAGGAATAGATAAGTATCGTTATGAATCATTCCTTTCACTTCTTCCAGTATCTTATCTTATGAAGATATATATCCTGATATTCTCTGAGAACCCGAGTCTGATTGGGGGTTTAGGCCTACTAGTCAAGAAGATCCGAAGGCGAACTAATGTTACCTTCTACAGAAAAGGCAGTAAATGAATTATGCTGTGGAAATCTTGATCTTGTACACATTCATCCAAAGCGTCGATTGCTAGTGTAGCAGTTTACAGGTTTTGGCCGAAGTGAGTCGAGATTAAGCAGCGGAAAAAGGAGTACTTTCTCAAACCGCCCCCGAAGCGACTTTGATATAAATTCAGGGCATGATCAAGTGCCGTTTGCACGCTGGACCTGAGCACCGAAATCCTGAACATCGGTTACCTTGTTAGTATCTGGAAAATAGTTGACGTTTCCTCGACATGCTGGGCGGCGAGTAGATGCATTCCATTTCCAAATTGGTGCACACGACACACTTCGGGCGTGATCCATCGCAATATTTCACTGATTAGTGATGCATGCGAACATCATGTCATACAGCTAGCAAGCACCATGGAAATATCTTAGATGTTTCTGCAAGACATGCATCGCCAGCTAACGATATCCGTCGGCGTTCACAGCGTAACTTGGTGCGCTCAAATTGATCCCAGCATCTCCGTGCGCATATCCCACATGTGATAGATGTTCCATATCTGTTTACAACCTTCGCTGCGATCAATACGTGTGTAGAAAAGTAAGAAACGTCTGTCGGCTGCCTCGTATCAAGAGAACCGGGGAAGAACCGGGGAAGAACCGGGGAAGAACCGGGGGAGAACCGGGTAGTCAGGTGATCTTTATTCGGTGCCCCACTCTGTACACCCAAAGCTGTTGTCAACAATCAACCATAAATAAGCCCATGAAGTTTTGCCAACAGGAAACCAATGACATGGTCATTATATCTTTTCCAGACGGAAGCTTCATAAGGTGGTGACTTCATTGGTCTCCCATCTCAGCCGAATGCACTGCAGGAAAGTTTTAGTTAAATCCTGAGACGCCCAACGAGGCCCAACGACTTGCTTCTTTCGAAACGATCTAAATTCGAATCCCAAGTATGTAAGATTAGAGACTTTAATGGGACTATGACTTGTGATGTATCACACATAAGGGCTTGGGCGTTATTGGCTTGCCAATTCGGTACTCCGGGTTTATAGGTATTACAGCCTTTCCCAGAGTTTCTTCATAATCATAACAACCTGGGCCCAGGGATACCATCCACGGTCCGGGGTAGAGCAGCCGAACCGGGGAGTGGAGAAAATTGGGGTCTCCTATCTTACGTAGCCCTAGGTCGATCCGTCCCTCTCCTATTTAAACCAGTCAAACACCTTATGGGTTTATTCCATCAAAGAATTTCTACTCAAAAGATTCCACTAAGATGCAATCCACAGAAGTGAATCTCATTCCTCCTCCAACTGAGCACAAACATGACCCCCTCCGGTGGCCACGTTGGTTGAAAATTTCAGTGGTGCTCACCACATCCCTATTCAACCTTGTGTCTAATATGGCCGGTGCTGGTCCCTCTGTGGCTGTACCGAGCTTTATGCAGGACTTCTCAAAGTCCCAGGATCAAGTGACTCAACTTTTGACGGTAAAACCTTCCGCTCTTCACGTGTGCCATGTAATCCTTGGACCGCGGCCAGCTCACCATGCTCTCAACAGCTTAACTTTCTCCTCCTTGGTATTGGCAACATTTTCTGGGTCCCACTCGCGTTGAAATTCGGCAAAAGACTGTCGCTTTTGGTGGCCATGGCCTTGCAGATGGGCGCTTTGATTTGGTGTGCCCTTGCCAAAAGCTTTGATAGCTTGCTCGCTGCCCGAATCGTACTTGGCTTTGCTGCTGCCGCCGGGGAGGTAAGATATTAAATACTGAAGAGCATCCTTCAGTCCTCTCACCCAACAAGAGGTATGTCCTTGCTGACGAATTCTCTATAGAGCATTGTTCCCGAGATAGTTGCAGATCTCTTTTTCCTCCACGAACGGGCCACGATGATGTCCATGTAAGTACAGCCCGATCAGTCACTCACTCGATAAACATCTGACTTGGCCATTGCTTCTAAGATACGTTATCTTCATATCCGGTGGAACGGCTATTGGTCCCCTCATCGCTGGCTTTATGGTTCAGTATGCCGCCCAAACATGGAGAAGCTATTTTTGGCTCTGTGTCGCCTTGGCCGCTGCCAACCTCGTCCTTCTATTTTTCTTCTGCCCTGAAAGCAACTTTCGTCGAACCGATCACGAACTTCATGATCACATAGAAACGCAAGCCATCAGGGTCGAGAAGTTGGCTGGAAAATCGAATTCCAGTCTGGTCGAAAACGTTGCTACAAACAGCCCGGGGTACTCGATTCATCTTTTGCCCTTCAAGGAACGTCTTTCCTTGACTCGCTATGATACCAGCATAAGTTTCTTGAAAACAGCTGTCGACCCCCTTTTATTATTGCGCCACCCATCCGTACTGTGGGCTATCTATGCCTATGGATGTTCCCTGAGCCCGCAGATTATCATGATGTTTGACTTCCCATTTTCCTTGTCAAGCGAAGAATACTTACAATATTTGGTTTTCTAGATTCACCATGTCCACCCTCCTCACGCCGCCCCCATACAACTTCTCGTCCATCGATATAGGCCTCATGGAGATAGCTGCGATGGTCGGTTTTGTAATAGCCTGCTTTGGTGGCGGGTATCTGTCCGACGCCATCACCACGTGTATCATTAAAAAAAGCAAAGGCGTGATTCGGCCCGAGCAACGACTTGTCTCGTTACTTCCTGGAATGTTCATTGCCCCAGCTGGGTGTATTACCCTTGCTTTGGCATGCCAGAACAAGCTCAGCTGGGTTGCGATAGCCTTTGGATTTGGAATGGGTTAGTAGCTTTTTTTCTATTGTTCTCCTTTCCTCTGTCCTTCACAGCTTTGTTTGGCTGACACCGAGTAGTTTCATTTGGAGAAGTCTACACACCAAACATCGCTCTTACCTATGTGGTCCATCGCCATCAGGAGCATGCTGCTCAGTGCCTTGTTCTCATTAACATCTTCAAAAATATCCTTGCTTTCCTATTCCTGTATGAGGCGGTTCCTTGGGTCACCTCCCAGGGGTTTACGCAGGTTTATATGATCATGTTCATGTTAAACATGCTTACGTTGGTCCTGGCCGTGCCGCTGTACTTTTACGGACCTCGGGGGCGGGAATGAATCGCATCGGGCCTTTCTTATAATTTCATCGCAAAGCTATGGGAGAGTCATTGAAGTATTTTACCGGGCAGATCATCCTGTTGAGTTATTTTAGGTGCCTTTTCGAAGGTATCACTTTTATGTGATCTTTCAAAGTATTGAAACTACATTGGACCTGTCTTCATTATACAGAGCGGATAGTGGGAACAGGGCTGTCGCACCCATTTTCCTTGGTTAGCTACTCGATCCGTACTTAACTCTTTACAACCTCAATCAATCAGTGCAGAAAATCAGGCTGGTTATCGAAACGAGAGAGAGAGCACCAGCCCTACAGTAAGCCGAAAACCCAGAAGCCAGTACAAATAAGAAGCTAGATACTAGGCATTACCTGCCAGGCATCCAGCACAAAACGAATGCGTGGATGCACCGTCCACCTCACCAGAGTCCTCACATCTTACATCTCATGTACACACCTCTAGATCTAGATATCAGCCAATTCCTGCTGTAGCTACATCAAACCCAATTCTCTGACATTCTCACTTCAGCCTTTCCGGTATCCTCCCGACCACCTCAGACCCTTGGCTGCAGTTACTCTCGGAAAGTTGGAAATTGGTTACTGGGCAATGTCTGCTACATGTACTGACAAGTATGCATATTTTCAGATACGTGTGATCGTTGGGAATGATAATGCAACTGTCAGTATTGAGAATATGGCTCTTCAACTGTAAAAGAACCGTCTCAAATATGGTGACCGTTTCTCAACAGATGAAAGATATCAAATCGCTGGCTTTATGCGGCTAGAATCATGAAATAACGTTCAAGACATGTGGATCAGGTTGCAAACAAGCTCCAAGTTTTTTTTGAGGACAGTTTCGCGGGGAAACAACCTGGGATAAGTTTATTCGCTACTTATTTACATAACCAAAAACAGATAATCTTAGACGGTTGGCTCGTTCTTGCTTTTGGATATTGCGGATGAGTACCTGTTATTGAATCAATCAAAGGTAGTGCTAGATCTTCACCAATGGGAAAGAATTATTGACATCAACGGAGAGTATGCGTACGGGGTTGTTGAAGCTGGAGTCAATGTGCACCTCACCCCTAGACGAACTGAGGATGGAGGGGTTGTAACTATGTACATATAGAAGTCTATGCTTGTCATCGACCTTTAATAAATATCCCTGTTTAAGATATTGCCAGAGATCAGGCGAATACAACATTGTTCCGCAAGGTGCCAATCTCTGAAATGAAGACGTCCATCTGAGTTCCAGGAATCAAGTACTTGGGAGGGTTCATGCCGGCACCGACGCCTAGAGAAGAGAATCAGAAACAGATCTGTAGTTTGGCTCTCCCTGCCAAGAATCCGAGGAGATGGAGGATCGCTGGCTTCGTGCACTTACCTCCGGGAGTTCCAGTCATGATAACGCTACCCTTCTGGAGAGTAGTACCCTGAGACAAATAAGAGATGAGATACTTGCAGTCGAACAAAAGATCGGAGACCCCCTCTTCTTGGCGGACTTCACCATCAATAATGGTCTTCAAGTGTAGCAGGCTTGGATCTGCGATCTCGGAGGCGGCAACCAACACTGGGCCGAGAGGGGCAAAAGTATCAAAGCCCTTGGAGAAGCCCCACTGGGGAACAACACCGGCGTAGGCTGGGTCTCTCTGAAGCTTTCTGGAGGAAACGTCATTTCCAACAGTGTAAGCGGCGACATAGTTCAAGGCTTCTGCCACTGGGACGTCCTTCGCATCCTTTCCAATCACGATGCACTAATGTCCAGATTCGTCAGCTTTCAATGTCTAAGCAATGCTAATCACTTTTATAGATAAAACAAACCAGTTCGCCTTCGTAGTCAGCCTGGTCATTCTGGGCAATCTTGGGGATCACCACAGCTTCACCGTGGTCATGGATAGTAGTGGTGGGTTTAAAGAAGATGAAAGGGAATGGAGGAGGCTTGCGTCCTGCCTCCTTGACTAGTTCAAGAAGGTTCTATGTTAGTATGATCGTTCTAAAAAGGGAGTAGTACATATAGATTATCTGCACGTACTGTGCTTGGCGTAATTCAGACCAACACAACGCAAGATAGGCACATCGCTCTGAGCCAATGGCGAGAGGATCTTCTTGACCAACACCGTCTCCGTTGTCAATTTGGTTTGTCCAGTTACATCATAGATATCATCTCCAACAAGGACCTTAGCTTCAAGCTGATCGGCCTCTGAGATGAATCCAAGATCGATTATCTTGTTTTCGGGCAACACAGGCTCTCCGCGCAGGATACGGCCATCAACGGCCTCAAAGCGGATTAGGCGTTTCCAGGGAAGAGACATGGTAAAAGTCCGGCATATAGTGGGATATGAAAGCATGAAGTGTTTTTTTCTCTCAATATTTATTCGGTCGGGGGATAGTTCATATGCGGACTTAAGACTCAATGAGTAGGACACCACCGGGGAAAGGTCGGGATCTATCCCGTAGTTACCGGTTGCAGCAGAATTTCGGCAACAGAGAGGTAGACAGCGGTTGACACGACCGGCAGCCGCCCTAAGGTCAAACCCCTCGCTCAATTATCAAATCTGCTTATTACTCATTTCTATACTGCTACATACCCTACCGCTTCTAACTTTGAACAACAAAATGAATAGTATATAAGTCAGTGTAAAGGAAGTAATTGATATCTGATGAAGAGGCGGTGAAGGATATATGTAGTAGAGATATTCTCAGAAAAAGCACGTGCGCTTGGATAGAGCCTGAAAGTGATGGAGACGCAAGGTATTTTGTATAAAAAAACGCCATATGAAATGCTATTGAAAGTACCCTTTTGATCTTATGCGGCGGTCGTCTATCATACGCAAGTGTAAGCGCCAAGCAGAAAATTAAGATAGCCTGTCCCCGGGGTCACTCTGCTTAGATCTTCTCTACCAAACCGCCTATTTCTACCCATCAATTACATCAAAACAAACTTGACATGAGAGCCCCAAGAAAACTTCTAATGTTACGAGCTCAAGTGCGAATAGCAATATGGATAGCATGATGTATATTGCAGTAGCTATTTAAGAATTCAGCGAAGAAGACAGAGAAGTAAGGGTACTCAAATGCGGAACTGCGGATCCCTCGACGGAATCAAATCTCACGCATGGCACCTAAAACCACAATCAGACTCCCAGGAAAATTTACTATGGAGCCTGTCAATCTTGGTCTTCATAAGAAATAGCAAAAACATCGAACCCTTCTCACTCGCTAGTTCTTGTCAACCCAGTTCCCATGGAGGCCAGCCCTGAGTCTCAAAGGAAGCAAGATAATGGCTCGGGCCTTGGTGAAGTCCTGACAATCCAGAAGATGCAGCTCACTGGATAGGGTGCGATAGTTGTTGACCAATGCCATCAGATACCCATCGCCTTCCTCCGTAGACCCTACTCGAGGGATGAAAACTGGTTCCTGAACGAGATGTGTGCATCCAGGGAAGTAAACCTCCGTTTTGCCGGTGCTTTCGTCGTGGTGTGCCAGCGAATTATAAGGAGGATACCCACCGCCCATAACCGGGCCGATGGCTGCAAAGTCCGTCCCTAAGCTGGGGTCCATTAAGTCGAAATAGCTGTGGCTATACTTTCTTCCCATGAACCGATCATCAATGCGATAAAATTCCGAGTTTCCACCATGCAAAACCTGTGGCTCGGGAAGCCTTTTTTCTTCCGCTTTAGGGTCCACCGTAAATCGTGTTAACTGGGAGTGAAGCTTGCTAGGATCGGGCGAGTTGCCCTGAGCATCGGGCCACCAGTAGAACACATTCTTGTCACTGAGCCCCAGATCGAAGAGAATCTTGCCGTCGTCTTGCTCATAGGCATTGGCCGTGTGTCCAGGGAATGAGTTCTTGTATGTGAACCACTGCATGCGCAAGTAGCGTGTCAGAAAGTTGTAAACCAGACAATATTTGCAAAAATTTCGCTTACCTTGACATCGGAAGTTTTAGCTCCGTGGCGGGGGATCACTCCGATATAGAAGGGAGTCTCAGGGCTCCATTGCCAGTGTTCTCCACCCTGCTTCATTCTTTCAAGATCACATAACTGGGGGATCACGGGAAAAAGAACCTAAGACAAATACTCTTTCTTAGTTGCTGACGTTGTGTCAATATTGCGTATGAAAGAGCAACACTTACCCAGTTCTCCGTCACTGCGAAGTCATGGATCATTCCACAGACAGGGCTCACTAGCCAAACAGTCTGGGTAAACTTACCATCGGGGCCAATAGTGTAATAGCAAATATCAGGGCTTCCGTCTCCCTTAGCTTCGTACCCGAAACAGATCAGTTCTCCAGTGGCTGGATCAGTCTTGGGATGGGCAGTGAAAGTCAAGCTGGGCAGCTGGCCCTCAAATGTATACAAGCCCTTTGTTTCCAGAGTCTCTGGATCCATCGCATACGGCGGGGAATCCTCCTTGAGAGCCAAGAGCTGGGAGTTGAAGCTGACAATATTGGTATTGGCAGTACTCCTAACGGCGAATTCTACTGCATCGGTAAACTTGTTCCGATATTTTCCTGATTCAAGACAGCTGTTAGTAGCCCGATTTCTGGTGTAGCCGAGCAGGAGATGGATGCCACATGGGCCGGAAAAGTCATACCAAGGAGCGCGCGGCCAGCTTCCCTCTCGCGAACAAACTTCTCGGTGCGAACATATCTTTGCTGGAAGCTCACAGATCCATCCTTGATGCGAAACGCGCTGACATTACCATCTCCATTGAACCACTTAACATGTCAGTCAAGGCGCCAAGGAAAAGAAAGTAGGCAGTAAAGTTAGGAGACATACTGGATCATTGTCAATGAAAGGTGGCAACTGAGGATCAGGCATGACCCGGTAAAAAGTACCATCGATGTCATTGGGGAGATTTCCGTGCACCTCTAAGTTTTGTACCTCTCCCTCAAATCGGCAAGGCTTCATGAAGTCTGAAAATTGAGGGTGGTCAGGATAATGCTGGGGAGCTAGCGACGCCATTTTTTGGTTTCGTATGGCTTGCAAACAATTTCCTAAGAAGTGTGACCAATGTCAAATGTTTCTCAACAGGTTGAACGAGATTGATTAAAGCTGAAATACATTTTGTTTTTGCCCCTGCAAGCGCTTATCACCATAGTGGGGACATATTGAGGTACCGGGGAGTTGGAACGAATTCCCGGGGGATCCGATTCGCTTTGTTTATACATCGTGGAACGGTCGGGGATACACCGGCAAGACAAAAAAAAAAAACACGTCAGATATTTCTATGGATGTTTGTGATATGACTTGTTCTACACAACTCCCTCATTCCCCTCGACCCGAATCAACCCCGGTCACTTTCGCCATATCCTCCGTGGGGCAAAGTTGGCTCGTCATGCACGATCATCGAGTTGATGTGGGTAGTACCTGCCTCGATAGACTCCGAAAATTAATCCCACGATAGTGATTGCTAGAGATGCTGACTGATAGGTCGTTAAGGGGCCTGCTCGGCAATCTTAATGATTTCGGCTTCAGACTCAATCGCGAAAATGCCAGCGACCCGCCGGAAGGATTCTATTTTGTAGGGAACTATTTCTTTAGTTATGCCTGCAGGACCAGTTTCAGGAGAAGTTCACGTCGCTTGACTGGTGATGTATTGGACCCTGTGGTGAAAGCGCGTGCACGGTTTTCTACAACCTGTATCGCTAGAATTTTTTTACACCTTGGAAAGGAAATGAAGTTGTTGAGATTGGAAACTGCCATCCACCTATAGCGGGAAACAAAAATAACATCCTCGCCATCGATGATACGTGACACAATAGTAGTGGTTTCCATAGTGGTCTTGACTTGGCAGCGAATGTCTAACTCTTCTCCGATGCATCTTTGGAAGACTTGCTTAACTATTATCAACCCAAAGCATCATCAAATGTTGTGCGCAAAGAATATCTCCGCCATATTTTGGGAGATAACGAGATGAACGGCTGGGGTGAATGCTCCCGGGAAAGTACAGATCCCTTCGGCTACCATCAGGTAACGGACGGCTAACAAGCCGGCTTTGGGGAAGTCAAGGTCTGGCAAAATCTAAAAATGATTGATTGGATACACTTTTACTATAGTTATCTGATTCCAACTAACAATCCTTGCGGAAATTTTTCTCCCATGCCTCATCAATGGCCTTCTCAGTATCATACCCATAACACCACATCTGAGTGGCAGGGTCGCTCCACTGGTTGGGGCTGTGGCTGAATGGGAGACCCTTTACTTCCGGGATCATTGCCGCGTCTCTTGCCTCTTGCATGGGGCCATCAGCGAAATGCCAGAGCTGACTATTCAGCAGACTAGCCTCCTGCATCTGACCGGCACGTTGCATTCTGACATTCTCAAAAATGGAAAGACTCTCGGCCAGTTGCTCCTTGCTGTCGATCTTCGACAAGGACCGGGCAAGAGCCAGGCCATCCTCAACAGCCATTGCAGCACCTGTTCAAGCGCGTTAGTATATTGGATTATAGACTTGCGGGGATACAGTCTCAATTGTGATATACCTTGCGACATATATGGCAACATCGCGTGAGCGGCGTCTCCAAGGATTACAAGTTTGTCCGACACCCATTTGTCCAGAACCGAGCCACTAATGAGCGGCCACTTGAGTGTTTTTTCTACCAAGCCAATAATTTTGGTAAGTCTTTCGAAGATGGTTAGATTCTCTGGTTCTCAATAAAAGGAGGAAAGGGGAAAGAAAACGCCGGGTCAATTATCACATACACAGGATCCCATCCTACGAACTCGGCTTTCATATCGTCAACGGCCTTGCGAGGGTCCCATGTGGATGGATCCGTGTGATCTGGATGGGATAGCACCATGTTGAAGGCCTTGCCCGCTCCAATGGTGTATGTCATGACGTGTCTCGAATCACCAATCCTGTCATAGAAATCAGTATGTTAGAGGAACAGAATGTGCATCTTTCCGTCGCCATACCAGATATTCAGAGCCGGTCTCTCGAGAATCCATTTGAGCTCGGGATCATTTCGCACCCGCTCCACATCTACTGTGGCGCGGTAGGCAGCAAACCCAGGCCTGCGGAAAGCCATCTCCTTTCCGCCGAGGACGACTTTACGAGCAACAGACTTGATGCCTTTAAGTAGGTCAGGAAAAGAAACCCAAAGACAAAGAAACCAGCGACTTACCATCAGCAGCGACCACCAGATCTCCAATGTAAGTTGTGCCATCGGCAAGCGTGATGCTTCCCGCGACCGAATTATAACTTTCAACTCTCGCTCCCAACTTGATATCGATTCGCATATCCTGCAATTTTTGGCATAGGGCGGAATGAAGATGAGCTCTGTGGATCACATAATAGGGGGCATTGAAGATTTCCGTGAAATCAGGGACCAATTTCGTGTTGCCAATAAGCTTGCCGGTTTGCCACCTTCTAAATGAAATGGTTTCGGGCTCAGTCACATAGGGTTTCAGGTATGGTTCAAGCCCCAGCTTGAAAAGAGCTCTGGTGGAGTTAGATGGGACTTGGATTCCGGCTCCCACCTCCCCAAGCACGGGTGTTTGCTCAAAAACCGTTACTTTGTGGCCGCTTTGCGCAAGCGCGATGGCTGTGGCAAGGCCTCCTAATCCAGCACCAACAAGGAGAATGTTTAGAGGCACTTTGGCCTTCTCTACGCATTCAGAGATCTTATTGTCCGGAGTCATAAAAGGCCTAGCAAATTCTAGGCAATTGCTGGGGTATGTTGGCAACTGCAAGGCATAAATGAGTAAGCATTCGATGTTGTCCAAATCATCGGGCGGGATAGACTCACGCGGAGCGCTGTAGCATCATCGGCATTATGCGAGACTCCGTTTGAAAGCATGATGAGTCAGAGGAGGAAGGAGAACGATGGAAAAGACTGGAATGGTAACCCCATTTTCATTCGAAGTCCCGGTATCTTCAATTATATCACTGGAAACTGCATTTCCTCTCACTGCCCCTCTCTCCGGACTTTCCCCTTGACGAGTAACTCTCCCCGGTATCCCCGGTCTATACCCGGTGTCATCCAATCTTAGAATGCGCGATGCACCTGTGCAGTGGTATATAGCTCCTTTGACGCACATCTTCTTCAAGTCTCGACATTACAAACAAGTGTCGTGTCCTTTACCAGATTCATTGTATTGTATTGTCCAAACACAGTACTTCCTCATGTCTCTGTTTGTGGCAGAAAAGGCCCCCAACGGTGTTGACACATCGGAGCAACTTCTTCGGGATCTCCAGGACAGCAAAACCCTCCCATTATGGACTCAGATGACTCGGCTTAACCCAGCTGCGCCCAACCCAACAGCAGTCCCTTTTGTCTGGGAGTATGAAAACATTCGTCCCAACCTGCTGCGGGCCGGTAACCTCATTTCCGAGAAGGAGGCCGAGAGACGAGTATTGATGCTGATCAATCCCACTAGGGGTATGTAAAACACTCTTTTCCTCTCGCAGGTGGTGTCAGTGGAGCCATTTGAATAGTTAGTTGATACCAACATAAAGACGCACCCTACACGACCGATACCCTCTACGCTGGCCTGCAGCTTGTCATGCCCAATGAAACTGCCCCGGCACACAGGCACACAGCCTTTGCTATGCGCTACATTATTGAGGGCAGCGGGGGTTTCACCGCTGTCCACGGCAAGAGAATTCAGATGCAGAAGGGGGATGTGATCCTCACTCCCACCTGGAATTGGCACGATCATGGAAAGGACGGCTCTGGACCAATGATCTGGCTAGATGGTTTGGACTTGCCTAATTTCCGCCATTTTCCAGTTCATTTCGTCGAGCACTTTGAGCAACCTAGATATCCTGCCGCAAATGTCGATACTAGTGCTTCGCCTCTTGTGTTCCCTTGGGCTCGCATGAAGGCCCAGCTCGACCTTGATCGGGGTAATTGGACCACTCGGCGATACCTAAAAGAAGACGGACGCGAAGGTATCTTTCCCTTCTTCCATGTATTTTCAGCATGCTATGAAAATGCGTGTCTCATGATGCTAACGATATAAAAGTGAGCCGTATTCTTGGGGGCTGCGCAGAGAGGTTGGATGCTTCCACGTGTTCCCCCGCCATTCGCGAGACTGCTTCCGCCGTCTACCATGTTATCGCAGGAAGCGGAACTTCCCAGGTTGGCGACGAGACCCTCACATGGAGGACCGGAGACACGTTCTGCATTCCTTCGTGGTACAAGTACCAACATTTCGCCAGCGACGGAGAAACCGTGTATCTTTACCGCTTCGACGATAAGCCAATGCTTACAGCTCTTGGATTTTATCGTACGGAACAGATGGACACGGAGAGCCTGGTTTCTAATTAAGCATGGAAGAGATTGCAGACCTGTGTTATTTCCCCCATTGTTTGAAAATCCATGGAAATTTCGATAGCAACGTATCGAATCAAGTTCAAAACTCTATACTGGAAGTTCGTTCGTTAAAGAAGTGTTTCAAATATACGTGCAAGTTATATGTCGCTTCGGCATTTAATTGTGCCCAGTAACTGCCAGGCCGAGAGTAGCTCCGTGTTTCTCAAGTAATTATCAACTTCGGCGAGGAGTCAGGGTCAATGAGAAAATCCAACCAACCAAGCGGTTGTATCCTGATGAGCTGCGACCAAAACGAACATTAGCCAAAAGCGACACCATTGAAGGTAATGATATATCAGTCCGATGGTAGAACCATGTGTTTCTCAGCGCCAGGGTGGGAAAGTTCTAGGAAATGGCGTACTTAATATTGAATGTTCGGAGAACGACGCCCCAATTCGTAATATTGACAGTAAATTTTCTGTTACATCAGGATTAATTAATCTCTCTAGGCAAATCGGATGGCTTGTCTTTGGAAGTGATAATGTCGGGACTTGGGCACAAAGTGGGAAATTATTCGTCCAAGCTGACTATTTCGCAATGATCCAACAGGATAGCTCGGGTAAATGCCGGCTCCTACGGCCCCTTTTCGCCTCGGGCTAGGTAATGCCGGCGGCAAAGATGTAGCGATTGTTCCGGAATCCACTGCTAGTTCATCTATAAATCTCTATAAATCTCCAAAGGGTCTCGCTGGTCTTCCATCATTGACGATTCGAGTCAGTATATTCATTCCCGATAGACCAACGAAGTGATCAGACAACAGTCGCCAGCCAACGATCATCACAATGATCGAGACCATCTCTTACAATGCTTACTTTGCAACAGAGGAGGTTCTTCAATATGTTCTACCGTATAGAAGGATACTGGAGAGACACCCCAAGAAATGAAGTGCGGAATCATAGGTTCCCAGCCAAAGGGGCTTGCTGGCGAACCTGTGCGGTAAGAGATCGGTACGTACTTCTCTTCATTGACCTGGAGCGGACTGCACTGATGCGTTGAAGAGTCGGTGGATCCAAATAACTTCGGCGAGGGGTCGGGTTAAAGGAAATCATTCATCCATCCATCCCGAACCTAATTTCACTATTCCTCTCCGGCCTTTGTGTGTGTGGCTGCGAAGGATGTCTAATAAATTCACCGGAACCTTGAACCCTGATGGTACAGGACTCTGGTTTTCATGCTGGCAGTAGTTCATACGTGCATGCTCTGTGCGTATATATTGTCTGTAATCGATCCTATAGCATTGGGCATACTATGTGGGGCATCATGGCTGGATCACATGACTGCCCGATCCTTCCCCGATCCTTCCCCTGAATCCGAAGGTGACGGCAGTTTCTCGCTTTTCATCTATGTAGGCGTCGCAGCAAATATTAATGCCAGATATGGAGCAACCACAGCGGACAGAATATGCCAATGGTAATAATGACTCCAATTTGAGCAGACAGAGCCACGCCGTGAAACGTCGTCGAATATCGTTAGCTTGCGATGCATGCCGCACACGAAAGTCTAAGGTATTCATTGGTGCTTGCTTGGCTTTATGATACCCGCATGTGTCACTAATCAGGGAGAACAGTGCGATGGGTCTCGCCCTAAGTGTGCCATGTGTACCAATCTGGGACTGGAATGCATCTACACTCCATCCAGCACGTCGACCAACGTGATTGTCCAGAAAGAGTATGTCTTGCCACCCTGATCAGCTCATTGAAAGAAATGCCTTTGATCACCCGCCTAGTAATGAGGGTTGACAAATAAAAGTTATCTACAGAATTTAGAATCCCGGATTATTACCCTGGAAGAGAGTCTACGCACCGTAGGGGCCCATGTCTCCGACTTATCTCATCGAGTTAATGGCGGCGCTGCTGCTAATGACAGGCTGGAAGCACCGGCAAGTCTAGCCCAGACAGAAGCCTTAACCAACATTGCAGACATTGAAGATTCGGTGGATGCGATGGGCACTGTGGTATTTGCCGATGAAGAAGACTGCGGATTTTTTGGTACGATTGCAATATTCTTTGCTAGAAGGAGGGAGAAAGCTGCAGTATGTAGAATGGAAGGGATAGAAGCTAACTTTTCATAGGTCCATCATCCAACATCGCCTTTCTACGTCATTTGTCTCGTGCAGTATCATATAACACCAGTTCCCCAGTGGCGGCTAGTTGCCCTTCTCCTACTGCAAAGATGTCGTTGGACGGCGGCTTTGTCAATGCATCTCGTCCCCCGTCACCAGGATTGGGTGGTATTGATCTCACATCTCAAAAGCAAAAAGAGACAGACATCTTCGCACTTCCACCTCCTCACGAAACTTCTCAGCTTGTGCATAAATACTTCACCGATACTGGCCTTCTTTTCCCCTATATCTATCCTCCTTCATTCCTTGAAACGTACCGAGGTATGACCGAAAATAATCTCAAGGTTCGACGGACGTGGCTTGGCCTGCTCAACATGATGCTTGCAATGGTCAAGATCACTGCTCCTAGCGTGGAGCCAGCGGAGCAGCGCATTAACGCGGCCGATGTGTTCTACAAGCGCGCTGTAAGCTTATGTGGCAAGGAGATGTTGCGGGGGACCACTTTGGAAGTGGGTAAGTTTCTTCTGACTAAAATTAGCTGATACAAAGATTTACTTGGTATAGTGCAATATTTGTTGCTCATGGGCCAATACATGCAAGGTACTCAGAAATCAGTTCAGGCGTGGACTGTTCATGGGCTGGCTGTAAAAGCCGCCCTTCAACTTGGCCTTCATTCTAAAGATGCTTCAAGAGTCTTCTCGCCGCAGGAGCAAGAAATCCGAAAAAGGACATGGTATGGGTGTGTAGTATTGGACAGGTACAGTAATCCCATCAGTAATGCGCAACCTGTTCTCTGGCTTATAAACCCCCTCTTCACCAGAACTTTGAGCATGACTCTAGGGCGGCCGGCGGCAATACCCGATAGTTTCGTCAGGCTCGATCTTCCAACGAATGATATCAATGGCGATGGTCCTACACCAATGCCGATTGTGGACGGGCTAACTTTTCAAATGAGCGTGGACTTTTTCAACTCCACCATGTATGTTCCTACATCTGACGCTTTTAGCCCTCAACCCGCAATGTACTAATTCTTTCCCAGCCTACTGTATAAGCAACTCTTCAACATTGTTGACCTGCTTTATGGTCAGAACCTTGGATGTGATCCACCGCTCACAGTCAGCGAGAGTGTCGGGCACATCCTTTCGGTCGAACATCATTTTGTTGCCTGGGAAAAAGCCCTTCCCCAACATATTAAACTTCTAACAGTAAGGAAGATTCGTGAGGTCAATGGCAAGATGCCCGACCCACCCCAATTTTTCTCTATGAAGTTCAGTGTCATTCTCACTCTTCGATATCTCCATCTGCGCATACTCCTGCATCGCCCTATTCTTGTGAAGTTTCTTGATGCCCGTGGAAAAGGGGGTATGGATCCTGGTGAAGAAAGATTACTACAACAGATTGGATCTAACAGCATGCAAATTTGCATGGAATCTGCTATGAGCATTATCGATATCATTCACGAACTGGTGCACCCATTGGAGTGGCAAAAGAGCCTCCTCGGTGCATGGTGGTACTCTCTTTATTACAGTGAGTGGGCTATTCAGTTCGAATCATCCGTGGCTGCACACTGAACGTTGGTCTTTTCAGCATTCCATTCGGCCTTGGTCCTTCTTGGAATTATTTGGATTGGCAAAAATGGCCAGCATGCCACAACTTCAATCTCTTACGACCTTGAGAAACTTACTGCCTACCCTAGCCAAGCAGTCTCGATACTAGACAAACTAGATTGCGGCAATCGTATCGTCGATCGATGTAGATACTATCTTGAGCAGTTCCACGATGCACTAAACCGACGAGGTAAGAGCTTTCGAGCAAAATTTCACATCTTGATTAACTGAAACGTCCAGCAGGGGAAGCGGACATTGCCCACTCAGGGGACATTACTGGTCTCGTGGACAGCTCCGGCTCTAACATGAAGGCTTCACCGCTGGGCCTGGAGTTCGGCGAGTTCATGATGGATGGAGATCTATGGGATTTACTGAACCGACAAGACGTTTTCCCAAGCGTGTGACATTAATCGTAAGATGCAAACTGAGCAGTTTGTTTTTGTATCTCTATTTATTTGACAACAAAGCCTGGAATTTCAAATACCTATATCATTCGAGTATCCCTACATGGAGGCTCTGATGTGCTACTGATGTCATCATAAGATTTCAGTAGTTCCCAGAGCGTTGTTTAGCAAAGTTGCAACTAAGCGCTGTATGCGCTAGTGTGGTGGAAGGGCTTTTTAAACGGCATGACATGTTTCTTTCGCTGCGTTTCGCCATTTTCTTCACCCCGAGATCGGAAGAATGACTGACAAGGGTGTTTTGAACCACATTTACTACCAAGCGAACTGCTTAATTCTCTCGGGCAATATTTCAGGTAATATTCAATTAGATAAGTGTAACGTTATTTGATTAGTGCCCTACCTGGTATGTCCGTAACAGTCGAGGGGCTACTCCGCGAAAAACTATTGAGGGAATCAATGTTTGAAGGGATGCATCATTAAAGTAGTCAATTTATAGCTATTAATGCGTGTTTCGGTTCGATTTGTAGTTACAGGAAGACACGTATAGATTGAAGACTTCGGGATATTGTAAAACAAAGCTGCTTAGCGTATAGAGTTAAATTCTTGCTTTTCAATAGCCTAAATAGCTGATAAGATTCCACCCTCTTTTCAGCTAAAGTTTGAGAGGATTGAGTACGAACTAGTGGCTTAGTGGGTGGTTGAAGAAGGAATGTCAAAATTGATCGGTGCGTTTCAGACGGAGGTGTCCTCTGGCTTGCGTCCAGTTCATATATGAGATACGTTACGTTACCACTCGGGCCGTCCCAAGCGCAAAGGTCATCAGTAAACCCTGCCCGTAAATTATCCGACTAACCTCATTCAAACCACGTCGTAGGACTGCAAACAATGTCAATGTCTTGAGGTTATGTTGACTTTTATTTTATTTTTATCTTTTCTATTTTTGTGTTTTCACGCAGGCGTTTTTCCACTGATCATGAGAGGTAGGGCTTGGTACAAGTGCTTCTTAAGTAGACCAACCAATATGTATCATTATCTGAGCCGTCAATTCAACGCCTTAATTGGATCTCGCATGGCACGGAAATTTTTCGTAGTCTTCCTTCTATGATATCGACCTGTCTGCCATGCCAGAATGCCGTCGAGCCATTTCCATTTCAATATCTGAAACCCAACACATCTCCCAAGTTCAAAGTGCCACGGATCAGCCTGGGATGAATCACCTTGGGAATACCCCACGTCATGTTCAGAAAATGAAACCGAAAAGGTGAATTTGAAGCTGTTGTACCGGGTAGCTAAACCACAATTCGAAAATTTGCTTGGTTGAATATCAAGATAAATGTCGAAACCACCACAGATTGTTGAAAGACAATAGACTTATTGAAAAGGGGCAAAGATTCATCATACTTGTCAAGATGATATTCATTCAAAAACGCGTGGCAATTGGGGGCCTCCAAGATATCGATCACCATGTCTGACATAAAATTTAGTACTGCACCTGCCGGATTTAGCCGCTACAAGATCCAGGGCTGCCCAAATAACTCGGTAAATAAATCACAAATCCTTCTTCAGTTAATAGGTTGCTAAATTTAACTTGATTATAAAGGCCCGGGGAAAGACCGGAACATGTTCCCCGATATCCACCCTCTCCTTCTAGACGATCTCCACAAGGAAGATAACGGCCAACTTCTCAACAATTGTGCTTGCAATATCAGTATTCGTTGATTGTAGAGTCTGTTTAAGGGTCAAGTACGGCGTTGGTACCAGCATAAGTACACCGTCAATTATCTGTGAGAACGTTCAAGTCCCCTTCACCAATCACCTTAGCTGCTGCTGCCTTGGTACCCGATATGAGGCACGAAAAGAAGCGTGTGTGGAGATGTCTCAGACAAGTAAATTGGAAGAAAAGTGGATGGGAATGGAAAGAGATAACCAGACACTAGGAAAATATCACTTCCGGTAGGATGTGCAACAGACTCTGGACAATAGCTCCATAATATTACTAAATATCCGTCTATTAATGGAGCGCCTTGTTAACATACACAGGCTTCATATGAGCTTTTGAGGAAAATCTCTTCGCTGCTACCTAGGTAAAACTTATCCAGCAATTGCTATCATAACGCGACAACACATGCCGTGATGACTTCTTAAGCACGAGAGGTGCTGCTCGAAATGGAAGGTAATATACTGCTCAAGCAAACTGGAAATAGTAAGAATACTTGGTCATAGTGGGTGGCTTGACGATCTCTGCAGAAGGTCCACACCTTGGTTGCATGCTAAATAGCCTATGATAGAGTCGCTATATTATAGTCTCACTAGCCTATGAAGTAGCGGTAGATCTCTCATCCCTGCGCGAAAAGTATCCACCTTATCGGGATTTTGTAACCACCAGATCTTCTGAGGCTCAGAGGTTTGCGTATGCTGATCCAGAATATCTACTAGCTGCCGAGACTATTGGCTCCTTCCACTCCTCTCATCTCCTTGATATGTTTAGTACGTTTGATGAAAGCCTATAAATGCTGGCGCTTAAGTAGATTCAAATTTTTTAACCACATCAAAAAATTCCTCTTCAACCCATCTCAGATAATCATGCGATTCTTCTCTCTATTGGCGTCAGCCAGCTTGACTTTTGTGGCCGCTGCCCACCCCGGTCCCCATGCTGCACCCCTCGAAGCTGAAATGGCCCACAAGGCAGAACTTTCCGGTCGTTGTGCCCAGCATGTCGCTCACTTCAACGAAAAGCGTTGGAGAAGGGACCTAAGCCATATTGGAAACACCACTGTCCAGATCCAAACGCAAGCTCCCTATCACGAAGTCCTGCAAAACGACACCTGTGTTCTCACCCCTGAGGTCACTGCAGGTCCATACTACTGGCCACGGTCTCAGATGCTCCGACAGGATATGACAGAAGATCAGGTTGGAATGCCCTTGTGGCTGGATATTGGGGTTATGGATATGGCAACCTGCAGTCCTTTGGAGGGCGTGATGGTCGATCTTTGGCACTGCAATGCAACGGGAAGCTACTCAAGCTTCACTAAGCTGTCACCCAATACCAAGTTTCCAAATCTTCTGGCCGAAGAAGGCAAGAACATCTCGGATTTTGTTGTCGGCACCACGGACATTCATACCGACTCGGAAACTTGGCTTCGAGGGATGTGGCCAACCAATGAGCACGGAATGATGCAAATGAAAACTATATTCCCAGGTTCGTTGAATTCATTTCACGCCACCTGAGTTGAGAGAAGACCATCTAAGCTAATATGCCCATATCAATAGGTTTCTACGTTGAGAGAGCTATCCATATCCACGTTCAAGTGCACACCGACTGGACCACCCGCGAAAACGGAACACTAGTCTTCGAGAACACTGTCAGCACCGGACAACTGTACTTTGATGAAGAGCTGGAAGAAAAGATAATGGCAATGGAGCCTTACTCTTCCCATACTCAGATTAACCGCACCCACAATTCCGTGGACATGGAGTTTTCCAAAGGTACCAAAAATGGCTACAACCCGACGGTCTCGGTCTTGCCTCTTGATGAGAATGACCTTTCGAAAGGCTTGGTTGGGTATATCACAATCGGGGTGGATACTTCGGCCATCGAGGATGAGCATTGGTCCGCATCTTAAAGACCTTTCAGATAAGGAGGGATATGGCCCAGGATGTTTGATAATGGTTAGCCAGCTTCAAATCAAGTGCGCTGGAATCATATCATCCATCACGCACTTTACCATTGGGATGTTTTGATAACACTTCTGTTGAGACACGTGAACCTAAGACCACGTCATCAAAGATGGTCCTGAGAGTACTTAGATAGTCTGAGCAGGCTGGAAGCTTCTCTTCTTCCCGTCTGTCTGTACAACCAATAAATTACGACTATTGCTTGCTTTTTTCCAGTCTATCAAGAACTTCTTTAGGAAGACTGGTCTTACATAATCATTCATTTAACAGAACGCATTTATGGACACGCCTTTTTCTCTGCCTGTACGCAAATTTGCGTTAGTCCTCGTTGGTTACAATTTATATCAAAATCTCTAAGGCATTGTGTTCCTCGCTTATCTTCTACTAAGGCCCTTGCTCATCACTGCCATTTTGGCACCCTACTATCTTTGTCTATTCTATGCTAGTGCTTCCAGATCGGGTCGAAGCAAAATCACCTAATACCGGAGATCCACTGTTATAACGGGAGCTCGAACCAAACAAATCATTGGTAACTCAGCCCAAGGCCGTCGAGCCAGGAAAGGTAAATTGAAAAAAAAAAAAAAAGAAAACCGCTGAAGCAGAGGGTATTCACCTTCGTGGTGACAGTAATAAAAGTAGCACTACAGGATGTATGTCCAGCTTTCCCCATCTTCTAATTGTCAATGTCTTTTTCGAGATCTTTTATCTTGATCACCCTGGATTATAACAGCATATATATTGTCATTTGACTGGTTATTTTCTCACTGCTTCACTTCTGCACCTTAAATTGGCAGTCCCCATATTACGAAAGCTATTTCCGACTCGGCCTGACCCGAGTCTTCGATTTTCGGGCCGAGTTCGGGCCTTGTACCTGCGATCGGAGTAGATTTTCAGCCTTGTAATAAGCTTTCAGAAGGGGAAGGCGGCTATTGGGGAAGATATCCCGGTCTTTCCCCGAAGTCCTGATAAGAACCCAACTCAATCAAGTTACTGTCACTTGAAGTTAAGTCCTATTTTCCCAAAATTATAAATACAATATAGTCGTCCTGTTTTGTGACTGTTGCTGAAGATCTCTGACCGATGCAAATTTTTTCAAGTCACCAAAGCCAAGGGTTTATGACAATCACTCCGTGGAAGCGGGACGAAGAAACATTTATCTAGAGAATTGTGATGTGCCGCTGACCATACAGCCATTCACTATGTAATATCATGCGATTGTTTTGGAATGAGCTTTTTGGACTTGATGATCCTTAAACCCGGATTGAGTACTGTTTTGAATTATACCTTGGTCTCAGGACATAATGGGCCCGCTAGTCGAGAAAACTTCGCTACGATAGTCCAGGACGGGCTCACCGATGTCCATTAAATCCCAAAGCACGAATGATCTGCGTGATTACAGACTATGTATTCGCCAATAGTGTGGCTGTGGTTGGAGGGTCGGCATATCCATTATCAGATTCGCTGTGGAGCTCCTTTTAAAAAAAAGATTGATGGATACCGGGGAGCACTTTCCGGTCATTTATAAAGACTGTATTATTATTTATATTTAGAATCTTGACAGGGACCACGATAGCTAGTATTCCACCTCAAGAACAGGTTCAGGTCACTACGAGCGTGCTTATGTCTCGCTGCATTTGTTATGCTCGAAGAACAATCATAGCTGGTCAATTATAGATTGCGATTTCAAATTACCGTCAGCCGTAATGGTGAATTGGCTTTGGACAAAGTCCAATTTTCATTTTAAAGACAGGTTCTTCGTAATACGTCAGGGCTCACCCTCCAAAATTTCAAAAAGCATACACACTAGGGGAGCTTCCAAGTGCACAGGCGTTGCAAAGCCCTATTGTGGCCAGTTGTCTTACTGTCTATTTTTAGCTTCACCGTGCCCTGTGTTTTATGAGTGTGAGAAAGTATATCTCCTAGTTATGGATGGTCTCTTTGATTTCCCATGAATCTCATCGCTTTCTAAGTTTCGGTAGCGACTAATGTGTCGAGGCTCAGTGCTTTCTTCTCTTGACCGTGCCGCCAAAACTTCTATAATTGTTGGTGCCTCTACTACTGCTGTATACGAATAGTAAGTTTTCCTGTCGTATCCTCCGGTTGAAGCCTTTGGGATTTCTAAGAAAAGCATTTTCACTAACATCAATGGCATTGCACTATAGCTACCGGTTTTCTTTTCACAATTGGTATACGTCTGATTGAACCTTCCTTATGAATGCAGGCTCCTACAACGCCCGACGGAGGAAAAGAGTCTCTAGAGCATGTGATCGCTGTCGCAGGAAACGAGTTAGTTACCCCAACCTGCATATGTGAACTTTTTGCTCAAACTGGTATTTCTTGAATCCTAGGAAAAATGTGATGGCAGACGCCCTACTTGCGCTTCTTGTCAATCTTCTGGTCAATTCTGCGCTTATGGCCCCTGCACGAAGAAACGTGGTCTGCCAGAAGGATACGTACGCGGATTAGAGAAACTCTGGGCGCTATCTATATGTAATATCGACGGATTTGAGGACACCATACTTTCCATGTTGGGCAAAACAGCGGATTCAGCCGGTCGCCACTGCAATCTAATGTCGGCATGGGTGGAAAAAGAAAATTCGGAGAGCTTGCATATGCTATGGAAGTCAAGCCGCTTGTTCAAAGAGCTGGAAAGAATACTATCTGCCTCGAAGCTTCCATGCGCAACAGAAGATCAACCGTCCAGATCCATCGATGATCAACTGGATAGTCAGTCATGTATTGAAGTTACCGAAGAAGCGGTGCCTGGGGTTTCTACTGTACCGAGGCTGACTATACAATCCGGTCTCTTACGTGGCCCCCAACCAGCCCAAGAGATTGCTAGCCAATATGTGTCTGCTGAAGTCTCAGCAGCCCCGGTACGACTGATGTCTCAGACATCACAGTTGCTGAAAAATTATTTTACCCTGACTCACTCCTGGTTCCCTGTTGTCTCCAAAAGCAGTATACTCAGGACATCATTCACACTTGACCATATACCAGGCACAGTTGAGACTAAATCGCCAGCATCTGGGGATCATGCAGCTCTGTGGGCGACCCTTAGCTACTCTATCACTCAGTACGGCGTGGAAACGGGTATCGAACATACGAGAGCTATGTCTCTTGCAGAAAAGTACTCAACTGAGGCTCAAAATCTCATTCCGTTTGAATTAGAACGCTGCGAGCTCGGCCACATCCAAGCTTTACTTCTACTGGCTCTGGTGGATATGAACATGCAGGCCTGGGAGCCTGCTTGGCTACTTATAGGGCAAGCTATCCGAATGGCGTTCACTATAGGCTTGGGCTCTTCGAGTGATATTCGAAGATACGACAAGCCAGAACAGGGTAAAGCAACACTCTTCGGCTGCTATGTTCTTGATTCTTTGCTATCATACCGCCTCTTGAAATGCCCTAGAATGTCACCAATTGACCTTGCTCAAGTTGGACTGCTGGAAGAAGATGGACAAGAAGACTGGACATCGGGGGTGAAGAGTCCGTCTCCAAGAGAACCGCTGCTGGCTATCGGCTGTTTCAATCACCTAGTACAGCTGGCAAATATTCTCAACAGACTTGCTCCAAAATTGTTGATGGGGCACAATGGAGAGACTGTTGCAAGACAACTGTTGATGGATCTCGAGCAGTGGGATGCCAATCTCCCCATTGGGTGTCGTCTGATGGGACCAGAAAATATGTACCTCGAAAGAAACTCAAGCACGCTACCCCATCAAACGTACCTTAGCTTAGCCTACATTGCGACACTCCTCTGGTCATACTCACGGCTCATTCCTGGAGAAAAGGGATTGCATCCTTGGCTGCAACCGGCAACTCAGGGGGCCAAGAGACTTCTATGTCGAGGACTCTCAATGATCACGCAACATCTGGAGAACTTCCCCAAAAGTGGAATACCTCCAATTTTCGAGTTCAGCCTGCATACCATAGCCGAGAAAGCCTTCTCGCTATGCGACACTGCCAATCCATCAGACACATCTCTCTTTGTGGAGTGGATCGAGACCTTTATGCAGAAAGTGATTCTGCTAGTTCCAACATGGTCTCCACATGCATCTTTGATGTCGACAACAGAAAGCTGTCAGAAGTCTGTTGGATCCTCCACTGGCCAGATTTCTGCTTTTTCATCCAATATTGACCACCCTAACTTGTCAAGGGAATCGTCTTTGATCATGGAACCAAGAGGTGATTTCATCGATGTACTCCCAAAACCACACGGAGGCTGTATGTCGCCCACTGCTTGTACAGAATCTCTAATTGACGCACATTTATTGACAATCAAAACTGCAGCGATTGACAGGCCCGATATATTGACGCTGCAACCTCCTGTACAGCAAGTCATCACCTTGAACATGGCAGCGTTGCAGAGCGAGCCTGCTTCAATAAGCCTACAGGGGCTTATCAAACCACAGCTACGCAAGACTGGCATCTTCACCCCTAATGTCATGTCTGCCGGCAACGATCCCGGAATAGAACCATCTACCATCATCGATGATGGCATGGCGGACAACCATGATTGCAAAGAGTATCCTGATGCCTTCTTAGGGGATTTGGCATACCCTAATGCCATCGGGTGGTCTAAGAGTCGCGAAAGCGGCATTGACGACTTTGAATCCTTGGGTAACAGTACTTTTCATGAAAGCTCTCATAGCCAGGATAGTTCATTCGAGTTACAAAATGTCAGTCAGCATCACCCAATTACGCAACCTTGGCCAGATTCGAATCCGTTCGCTGGGACCTTTCAATGTGAGGCGCCGATTGGGCGTTAACATTGTTTGATACTTGAATCAGGCCAAATATATTGAGTATTCATGACATAGGGGTTTCTTACGCTGAATTTTACCATTCTCAATCCCATCCGTCGCGGAGTTGTTGCTGCTGGCATTGCACAAGTATCAGAACGCGATTTGAATACATATCACCCAAGATCCGCATCTATGCCTACATGGAATGCACCCTCATCGTTTAAATTCATTTAGAAGTGATTTCTATTAGTAAAATTTGCGTCATTACCGTAATAGTAAACTATTGTACGTAAACTTTTTCGTACTGGATTACAGACCTACATACTCGACACAGACTACAGGAGCAAACTTCGCAAGCCCAATAGGATATAATTTATCTGTAGAATTGGCGAAGTTTCTTGCATTTGATGAAGCATCTTTCAGATCTTCCATTCAACTTGCAAAATAGTCTGTCTCAAGACAATGTGGATTTTCTGCATCCGTTTGACGTTACCTTCGTTGATAATTTTTGAGTTGCCGGCGCATTTCATAATGGGTCAAAATTGGTTCTATCGCAAACCCAGGGCTGTTGGGGCAATGAAAATGGACATAAAGGTTGCTGATGCGGAACTATCTTGGCTCTCGGTGGCCCCTCCTCCGTCTATGTGGCCGTAAAACTGGCGAAAAGCATCAGTGTCGAGCGCTCATCCTCTTAAAGCTAGGGTTTTTATTGAAAATCCACGAAGAGGTGGGCCTCGACCTTTGAAATATCTGCAGCTCTAACCTGTACAATGAGAAATCGGAGGCGTCGTCAGTTGCCGTCAATTCAACACTGCTAACCGCCGAACGCCTAATTGGGGGTTGGATATCTGCCGGCTCTGTCGCCTTTCAGGGTCCCGAAGTCCTGACGATCCACAAAACACAATTCTTGCCAAGAACGACTAACTGAGGGCGAAATTTTGGTCACTGCATTTGACTTCATGTTAGTAACTTAATTAGTACAGTGTAATAAAAATGTTCAAATAGCCTTTTGTTTCAAAATTATAAAGAATCGAAAGTGAAACTTGATGGTAAATCATAAAAAGGAACCGAATCAAGTAGAGAAAGAGGCGAACAGGCATGGTAAAACCGCAGACATGAGATTCACGCACGTAAAGCTAGGCGTCGTGGCAGCCATAATGGAATCCACCGGCGCCAAACGATGTCTTTGATAGGTGGTGCTATGAGGCTATGTAATGGCCGAGCCTTTCCTCGGGTAATAGGGCATGCAAAATTCAATGATTAGAAGCAGGCTTCTGCATTCATTGCATGCAAAAAACCATGGAAGCATGTATTATTTCAATGCTCCGACGCCAAAGCGGCGCGTCCCACGCTCAATAAAAAAACCAGGTCTACGACTTTCTCAATCGTCTTCCACCGTGTCTCAACCGTCAATTTATCAAACAAACGCTAAAGGAGCGAAGAAGGAAGAAGATGAAGATATAGGCTATCTTACAGCCTAGTACGATCGGCCAGAGTTATTTGCCCAGAGAAATAGGGTGCGGCCGAATGATATCTACAATTTCGACGAAAGGCTTGGATAGCAACGTACTTCTAATAGCCAGATCCAGCTAAACTCAAAAGACGGCGGATATTAGCTTCAGTTATCTATATATTTTCAATGTCAGAACGAACTGCCCTCGAAGGTCTTTGAAGTAGAAGTTGCCGAGCAGTGGAGTATGTATGACGTGCCTGGGGGCCCGCGGAGCTTGTGGAAGACCTGCGACAACTCCTTGGTACCTCTCTGCGGAGTTCGCGGAACTTGCCTTTACTTCATCCTCTCGACGTCGAAATGAATTCGCAGGCACGTGAGCTTCCCTCGTCCGACCTTCCAACGCGCAAGAGAAAGCGCACCGCATGCCAGCCATGCAGGGATCGGCGCGTGAAATACGATAATGGCCGCCCGAACTGCCAGACGTGCTGCACATTGAAACAAGCTTGCATATACCCCGACGAGAGCACCTCTGCAAGCACAAGGTATATACATTAATCAGCGATCGCAAAGAAATAATAATTGACTTCCGAGACCAGCTACGACCCCGGCTCGGTTGAGATTTTACATCAATTGCAAGGCATCCGAGCTGTTTTGGAACAAGTTGCCCGAGCGCAATACCATTCTGGCAAAGCATCTTTATCCAAGCCGCATTCAATTCCTAAGTCGGTCGCCGAGTCCAATCACAGTTTTTCAACTCCAGCTAGCTACAGCTCAAAGGGTCAGGGCCGCGGAAGTGGGCATGACCTGAGTGCGACAAATGGCCCGTCGGCATTGAATCTGCCCCGTGTCAACGCCGAGATATTCCTTCATTGGCCCAAGGTCATAGAATTTCTCGGAGAACCAATTGTGGAGAGATCATTCCTGCTCGAGTGTACCTTGGATATGACTCCTGCCTCGGCACCTGAGTCCCAGTCATCCCAGTATGGAATTCGCGAAGACGACTATCTTCCACTTTGCCGGCGCTTTCTATACCAGGTGCATGTACGCAGCCCTATTCTTGAGCCGAGTGACCTTGAACAGTACGCTAAGGAGGTGACCGAAAACGGGTTGAGATGGGACAAGTCGTGTCTTGTGGTATGCTATCCTTGATTTAATGTCCTACTAGCTCAAGATTCTGATCTTTAAATTCAGCTTCTGGCATGCGCTCTCAGCTGTTTGGCCGTCGAATCTCCTGAGAAAAAAGCAGAAAGGCTGGCTACTATGAAACACACAGAAAAAGGACCAAGAAAGGAGGAAGGCTCTTATGCTCAAGCAGAGGTATACTATCAAACGGCGCGGAAGCGTATCGGCTATCTTGGCCCTGGGTTACTGGATATCCAATGCTTTTATCTAGCAGGGATATATAAAAAGCATACACTACGAGTTCTCCGAGCCTGTTTCTGCATTGAACAAGCCTGTTCTCGATTACACGCATATATACTGTGCAAAGGAAGACTAAGAGAGTATGAAAAAAATGATTGTCACCTTGAACAACGCCTATGCTGCTCCTGTGTCAAAGCTGAGGGGTAAGCAAATAATCGAACCATTCACTTGTCGAATTCTAACATGCTTCGTCCAGGGAGTTGTTTTGTGAAATACCACTGACCCGAAGTGCCCTTGCATCGCTCAAATATCCAGACCCATTTCCCTCGCCGCCAACATTACCCGCAGTATCCAACGAAAGTCCTGACATCGGCACTCCGGATATCTTATTCAGCAAAAGCCAAGAGAAAAGTTGGCTGTACTATCTGGCCGAGATTGCGCTCCGAAGAACACTAGACCGCGCATTACCTTTGATATATTTACCCGAAGCTCCGCCAGTTTGGATGGAGTACATTGAACATATACTTGAAACATCTTCCCAAATCGATGAACAATTGTCTGCTTGGTACGATCATTTACCACCTGCAATACGCCCATCTGTAAATCCAGAGACTCCACCGAGTCATCAGCTTGCCTTTTTCACGCAATGCCGGTTTTTAGGTGCTCGGGCAAGCATTCTTCTACCATTCCTCTACTACACTTTGCACAATGAATCCCATCCAACAAGCGAAGTCATTCTTTCGAGAGCCAATGAGTATCTTCATCTGGCAAGAGGCTTGATCATACACCCGAGTAAGCATAAACGCCACGGAGGGCTTTGGTTTGTGCTCCGCGGAATCTGGTCTCTCTCTATTGTTATCTTGGCAACTGTGCATGCCCGTATTGATGGTCTGCATACACCAGCCGATTGGCCTGAGTTGATGAGGTTCTCATTGCAAATGTTGCGTATTTGGGGTTCAGAAGCGGCTGATATTTACCTGATGTATGAAACCTTGGTCCGTGCTTTCTTGACTATCTGTCGTGAAGTTGGAATTTCCGCGGAGGTCGCGGAGTTGCCTCGCTAGCAACATTCTCCGCGAGTTGAACGCATAAAGAGACACAAAGGCAATGTGCAAATTTGAGAAAGGTTTTGCTGAATGATAATTTCTGCATCATCAGTTCAATTAGTTGGGATTAATAGATACCAACTCGCGCTGGTGCCTTGATTCATTTTTGCTCTCTTTTTCTTTTTATAGAGGGCTGGTAATTATCTCGTTCCGGACATCACCTCAGTCAGCCTGTTGATTTCTACGGTTCATTTACGAGTATTAAAATCCAAGATGACACCACCCACCAAGAAGAACTACAATTCTATTTACTTTTTAACCGATTTTTAGATACAGAAGTGTTGTTCTGGTACTGTGGGTCGTGTATGCCCGCCTGCATCTAGATTTTCGATCCTTCGGTGAAATAAATGTTCTCCGAGTACTTTCCGGAGCGGGTGATTATTTGACAAATTAACGCCGATGCTTCGAAAAGTGAACGATTTCGATCGTTGTCGTCTGCGCCACTGGGCCTGGAAACATTTCTATCAACCCAATCTCGGGTATGTACAATACAGCAATGGCGTACCCACGAGTTCCAGCTCCAATTGCGTGACAATTCAGTGGATTCATCGATCGGCGAACTGAATTTTGACCGTAATGTGATAAACTTTTCCTGAGTTACCTCATTGTGAGCACAGTAGTGTAGCCAAAACTGGCGGGTACTAGCGGACAAAGCCCCTTATGTGAAAGCCTTGTGTCAACCGAAATGAAATCCACAGGTCTACAAGGGACATTCTTGTTTGTCTGCCTGAGATCATTCAGATATGCGCAATTCTTCGCAGCATACACCAGTGTAGTGATAAAGATACAAAGTGATTGAGAAACCCCCGGCTGAGAGGATGGAGTATTCTGTCGCTTGAAGGCTCACATTAAACAGTCCAGTGGAACAGGGCCGTCGGTCAGGCGATCCGTAATTCGTTTGGAATTTGGGGGTGGGCATCCATGTCTGGCGGCAACCACCGCATGCATAATTTGCAGCCCATCCGTAAAGAGATATCAGTAGGTTTGGGGAAGTGTGGAGCTCATGCTGAATGCCATTCTGTTGGTAGCCGTGATTCTTGCTATATGCCTTGTAAAACACGGAAGCATCTTAGATCACAAGATATCATCTGTTCCCGAGGTGTCGGCACTTCACTTCTTTAGAGCGACTTGATCATAACCCAGTCTACCAGCTTAGAATCACCCAACATGAATGACATTTCTCCAGCCTTTGCATATCCGTTGCTCTCATATATGCGTTCAGCTTTGATATTTGGCTTCCATGATGCTAGCCAGATAGACGTAGCTCCCATAGCCCTCGCCTCCCTTTCTGCTTCAGCTAGCAGACGCTTTCCAATCCCTAGCCCTTGGCAACTTTCACTGACATATAGCCGCTGTAGTTGGATCTTGTTTGTCCTCTCATCAATGCATCTCTCTGACGTGCCACGTCTGAGCTGGAGGAAACCAACGAGAGTTTCATCCCTTATGGCTACCACGAAAGTGACAGAAGGGTCTCTTAAGTCGGTGGCGATACTCATCGGTGAATATGCTTCGGAGAGATAGGTTTTCAGGTCGTCGTGAGGCAATGATGAGCCGAAAGATGATAGGAACACAAGCGCTCCTAATTCGGAAATGGCCTTATTGTCCTCTATGCGGCCGTAACGGTAAGAAACCTGACGTTCGGACATTTTGGATATTTTGTGGTTCCGGCAGATCCCAGAAATGAGGAGCAAAATTGTTGCTTCGAGGCAAGATCAGGTGGTGCGTAGAGACAAACCTCATAAGCCAATTTGTTGACTCGTATTTTTTTTTCAGCCAGTGATGACCTCGCGCAGCGATGGAGAGAGTTGACTAATCCCTAGCCGAGGCGCGAAGAGATTACTGATTAATTGGGATTCACCATTCGGGTGGGGCGTATATGTCCCTCACTTTTTTGCGCCGTCAGTGGCGACTTACCCGGCCGACATATCCATTGCTTGCGTTTCAAGCCGATACATCACAACGCAATATTCTAAGTCATTTAAAATGCATTCAAAATCCCTACGACCATCAAGCTTGCCCCATTCAAAGAAGATAGATAATAGGCGACAAGCTTCCGGGATCTCGTTCTCTCGACACTACCAGACTGAAGAGTCCGTTCTCTTGCGTGGACAACCCAGAAGTAATGACGGCAACAAAGAGCATAAGAAGTGTCACGTTCTCACCGAGGTATGCTAAAACTTGGCAAAATTGACTCACAGATAAATCTCTAAAAATGGTTCGCTGCAGCACCGCCGAACGCAGATGCGTCAAGCACAGAGAAAGTATCGATTCAGAAAAGACGCGACTATCTCTGTGCTACAACAGAGAAATGCTGAATTGGAGAGCGCTCTGTCGGTATTGAAATCCATCGCTAAGCTATTTCAGGGCCAGATTGCAGCCCTGGAGAATATGCAGGGTGGCTTTATGGTCATAGAACGACTGCGAGATACGACAATTCAGTTTTTGGCGGAAATCGAGAAATCAGAAAGGTCTGATAGCCGACCTTTGTGGGAGCAGAATTACAGAATCCATTCGCCGATGTGGCAGATGTCCATGAAGGAACACGACACACCTCGTCCAGTACCCGCTTTGGGGTATGAGATGCTGACCCACGAGCGGATTGAAGCACTATAGTTTTACGTCATAATCTGGAATTTCGGTGCTTCGCAATTCCAGATTAAACTGAATTGTATCTCGCTGGAGGCATTTCTTTGTATTGCTTTATCTTGCTCACTGGCACATGATGAAGAAGAGGTCCCTTATTCGGCCGCGGCCAAAAATTACAGTTCTATTGTTCAAGTCCACCTCCTCTTAATAGAAAGAGATCATGGGGGAATGGGGGAGAAAAATAGAGATAATGATGCGTAAATCTCAGGTGTAAAAGTTCTCCATCAACTTCTCCTACCTTATGGACATTCCATGAGTTGGGGGGGGGGGTTTCTCGACGAAAGGATAATCCCAAGGTAGAGCTAGCAATCCGCACTGGTTTGGCTCCAAATTCCGGTCCAAATTATGCACCAGCCATCGAATAACAGTATTTTGAAGTAAAGGGACCTCGAAGCAAATTTGTTGTTTACGGATGGCTGACTGATCACCATGTGATTTTTAAGCTCTTGAATATAGGACGATATCTTACTCCTGCGAATTTTATGTCACTTCATGCCGGCATCGATATATGTGAAGGATTGTTACTTTTGCTGTTGGCCTCCCGTTGCGTGCCAGATTCGTCGTTGCTGATAGAAACCGCCTCATAAGACGACTAGTAAGCGTAAACAAGGTTTTCCGGTAGATTTAAACCGATTCTTTAGAGACTGAGAACCTTAGAATACTGGGTAATAACCTATCACGCTGCAGGAGAGCCATGAAGATATTTCCGAAAGAACTCAATCTGAACCGCGACATGTTTTCGAATTAGTTTCGGCGATAAATATCAAAATGGCCAGCATCGAGAAATAGCAATTTATTTGGTCCCCTAGCCTTGCCATATCCCTGTAGCTGGGACAATGTTCACACAGTAGTGTCACTTCCTGGAATTAGAATGAGCAGTGCCGTGGGCGATACACGATGGATGATTGCTTGTGCCTCAAATTCTAGCATGTGGAGTTGTATTTGCTCAGTGGCCCAATTCTCCCAGCGGCACCCACACTCGTAAACATCGCCAAAGGACTCATAGGCATGAACGTCAGGAAATAGAATAGGTGCAGAGCCTGACTTTTTGCTTCTTCCTGACTGCGGGCAATACAAGGCGCCCTTCCTCGTTTTCCGCCATCCAGCCACAACATGCGCACCATCCTGGAATAGGGCAACAATTCGGCCCTTGAAGGTGAGGAAGCATGCATCCATGAACACAGCCAGAGCCTGCACCAAAGCGGCTTTGATGCGCTTGAAATATTATTGCCACCTGAGAAGCTTGTACCCCAGTACGCAATCCACTCTGGGTCTACGCCGGGGAGGATGACGGCATAGTTGAATGCATCGTTGAGATATGTTTGTTGGAGTGCAGCATTCAATCCCTGCCGAGGCTCGCCGTCGCTGTCGCTCCAGTTCTGGTTGACATACAATAGAACCGCAAAGCCGGCTTCATGAGATTGAGCAGCGAAAGGAGGAAGTAGGAAATAACGGATCCCAGCAAGCTACTCTCGTCGGACCTGAATGCGATTATGGTATGGCTAATAACTTACCCCATGTATCATTATAATACAGGGGTATAAAACAGGGCTATTTAATCCTGGTTGGGTAATACCAGCAGGGTAAAGTTGTGGCATCGGAGCTGGGAAATTTTGGCGAGTAGTGAGCGAGCAGAGAGCCTCGGGAAGCTGGGATGACGCATCTTGTCATTAGAGGCCCGAAAAGAAATGTGGGCCGATAGCTGGTTACCTCCGAGTGGAAACGACGATTTTGGATGTTAATGTTGGAGCTCAGGCTTCGGGATTGATGAGCGATCATGAAGCCTCGGTAGGCTGGGATGACGCATCCTGCCATTAGAGGCCCGAAAAAAGAAAAAAGAAAAAAGAAAAAGAAAAAAAAAGGATGACAATCAGCTCCCTCCAGGTGGAGAGCGGACGATGGTAGGAACAATAGTTTATCCTGTTAGTATAAAGTATGCTAACATACAAGATAATCTTAAGTACCATCGTGCAACTTCAGCAAAGTCGTCCGGGTTTTTTCAGTCAACGGTATGCAAATCCCTGCCGATTATTTAGTTAGCCTTCGCTGAACTCAAGATTATGCAGAAAGTCTTGTTTCGCACTTTTACTTCGGAAATTATTCTTGCTAGGATGCCTCGACTTGTACACCACGTCTCTGGTGCGGATTGGGCTGCAATGGGCCCCAAATCCCCAACCCAGCAATTTTTCAAGCATTACGTCGACACGGTTGATGCAAACGGCTTCAACAGCGGTTCTGGTACGCGATTCTATGCTAAAGACGCCATTTTTCACAACCAAAACAACGCACAATACAACGGAGGAGATGAGATGTGGGCATTCATGAAGCAACTGTTTGGCCTATTCCGCAAGATGAGGCACGACTTCATTAACGTCTTCGAAATCGAAAATGACGATGGTACCATGCAGCTTATCTCGCAAAATGTACGCAACATTTGGATGCCAGACAATGAGACTGATCAGCCATCTGTTAGTATCCCAATGAGCTGGATCTGCCGGATCGGTCCTGCCGATGAGATGGGTACTGTCAATGGTCTGCAATATAAGGAGGTTTGGCTCTACTGGGATACAGCTTTGCTTGCGCCTGTTCTGCCGCAAGATGCCGTGGCCTTCCAAGCAAGGAATATCCTGGAGAAGGGGAATGCTTCAGTAGTATAGCCAGAATGCAGTTATGTCCTGACCAAATGCGAGAAATATTTTGATTCTCTAAATTAAGTATTGCGGGTTAAATTATCCACGGATGGAGCTCTCACAACTTTGCCAACAGTTAAAGCCCTTATCAGAGTAAAATGTGCTCAGCAGCCACATCTGAGATGGCATAATCCCTGAATAGTCTTGATAAACCAACTGAGAATGTATGTCTCCTCCAGGCCAACATAATACGGGTGATGCAGAATACTCAGAACGAACCCATAAAGCTACTTACCAATCCCATTCAATTAGTGTGTTTCTGCGCTTCTCTGAATTTGCTATTTGCCCTTGCGTCTTTAAAAGATGTTCCATAGCTTTAACTAGAATATGTCTGTTAATCCTAACCCCCAAAATACAAGTATTGCATCGCGATGATACAGATGCAATACAAAGCGCAAGTCCAGAAATTGCAGGGGGTAAAGAATATTGTAAAATAATGTACTGGACATGGGCTGATATACAGCTAGTTTATTAGCGTCATTGCCCACGTGGGGGTGTCTATTTAGCAATCCACTGCGAGTATCGGCGTCCTACAAGCGAGCAGTCGTGACAATTTGTGGAATAGACGGGCAAGGCATCCTGTGTCAAGCAGACTTCTTTGGAACTAAAGGTGGAATTCGTCTATGCAATAGTTGACCAGTGATTTTTTATAAAGTGAAGGTTCCGTGGGGTTGGTAACAAGAGTTTAAATGATTGTCTTGAGGAATAAGCCAGTAGTAAGTGGAATATCAACTTTCCGCTGTAAAATCGACCGCCCTTTTTCAACCATGGTTTACAAGAGGGGCTAACTTGCTTCGCAGAAATATGGCAAATTTACCAACAGTTATAAAGGGTTCCGATTTCGATCATGCCATCTGCTTTGACACAATAAAAGATGCCTCCAGACCACCAGATACTTATGAGTTCAAAACGAAGTCAATGCCGGTCAATACATCACCTATAAAGTCCCCACTGGGGGGTTGACATCCAAATGCCCAGAAAACATGGGGCAGGCCTCGATAATGGTCGAGCTTCACAGGAACACTTGAACCAGGTTTATTAGTTTATTTCTTTTCAGGGGAACGCATAGAAATAGCCTTTGAAGCGACATACCCAGCCTCTTGCAAGACTTGCCCCATGATAATACCGTCATCCCGCAGAGGATCGATCTCACAGACAGCAATATAAGTCGGCGGAAACAAATCCAGGTGTCGACTTAGGAGTACGAAGACACCTGGGTCATCTTCCTTGGCTTCCACCGATTCTGCAAATTTCAGTATCGTTCGCCGGGTCTTATGTCTTCTGATCGGGAATCCTTACCCAAGAAAGTAGCCATCGCATTTGCTGTATTGACCGGTCCATGTGCACACTCCTGATATGATCGATGACTGCTCCCATGAGGCTGAGGGACGTTCTTTGGGTGGACTGCCAGTGGGACTAATGCCGCCACACCCTTGATCTCTAATCGTCTGCCTTGATCAATCAATAGATGTGCGGTCGCCAAAGCTAAATTACCTCCAGCACTTTGGCCAATAGTGAAATAGCGTGAGCAATCACCGCCCAGAAGAGATGCATTCCGTATGCTCTATCAAAAAACTTCATCAGCATGAGAGTCCCAAGCTGAACGATCAGGCATCGAAAGGCAGCACATACCCAATTCCACGCCGCTATCGCATCCTCCGTTTGTGCTGGAGCCTTGTGCTCTGGAGCCAGCCGATATTCCACGGAAACAATCACACAGTGGTGGCGTTCAACCAGCGAACGGCAAAAGGGGTCCTCAGAGTCAAGGTCACCGCAACAAAATCCGCCGCCATGGAAATAAACTCCCACCGGCAGGGCATCTTTCTTATCTATTGGCTTGTATATTCTCACCGTAACATGCTCAGTGATACGCTCATCCACTATCCATCAGTTTGAGCACACTTCGCCAAGAAAGTTATGAGGACAACTTACCCACACTCACGTTTGGTGTCGCCGGGCTTAGTGCATTCATCTGCTCCGCTAGCGCTTTATATTGCCCTCTCATGGTGAGCGCATCGCCAGTGAGCTGGGGCCTGGCCCCAATCGTCTGCTCTATCTGAGATTTCTTAGATTATGCTTGTAAACATCCGTTTTTGTCGGTTTACCTGAGCCCATTCTTCCGAAAGCAATTCATCCACGTTGAAAGATGCCATAGCGTAATGGTTCCGCGAAGGAGAAAATCGTTTAAGAATTGAACAAACGGTAAAATAACCATGTTGCTTACTTTTTATACCTCGCCCGTTCACGGAAAACGAGGAGAGAGATTGAACCGCTGTTCGGTCCCCAAGAGTTGACTAATCCTCAGCCGAGGCAAATGGAATTTGCCGATTAATTGGGAATTTCTTAATGAGGTTATCCTTTCTTACCAGTCAATTAAAGTTTCAGCCTTCGATGAGTAAACAACACCGACAAAATTGTTTTGCTCGGCGGGCCGCCGAGAAGGCGTCGAACGAAATGCTTATCCTTGGAGATCACGTTCGGACACCAATTCGAACTAGAACTTATTACTTCTAAGTGAAAGGCATTGGTGGATATTCCAAGTTATATTATTACCTGAACAACGCGAGGGACGATCACCGCCCATCACAGAAGAAGAATAGCCTGGCGTTCAATCATGAGTAAGACAATATCTTAATCTCCCTGAGCTCGATTACCGGTACCGCATATGGCCTGACTCTAGGTACTTTAATCTTCTTGCTAGTATGCGGCCATAGCAATAGAATTCTTCTGAAGAATTGGAAGAATTGATCCTCCCAAAGAGTAACCGGTTCTACGCCGTGGAAGGTGTTGAGCTAGGGATCTCCTTCACATACGACGAATAGAAGACTAGTGAAAATATAGGCCGCGCGATCATGCCTAAATAGAGTGACCCTAATAACCCTAAAACTCCTCTAATTCCCGATCGAGATCACTAGTACTATTCTGTATCTCTCCAAGATCAACTTGAGGGCCTACAGATCATACATTAGATGTTAGATATTGAGCTCATCCTAGAAAAGCCTTTGTATGTTGGTGATTCCTATCACAACGTTATAGGTATCCTCAATGAGTATATCGTTTCTACAGCCGTTTACTACTTCGATATACACAATATCAAAGATGCAAGGTTTTATTCTTAAAAGAAACGAAGATCGATATCTATGATTTCAATATTGCGGAGCAAATAGTTATGAATCGAGTTTCGATATTCATGAGTGGCGATACGATAGCAATGATCCTTATTCCCCGGATACTCTATAGGCCGTAGGGTCTATCCCGGAGTCACGGAATAGGCAGTTTCTTGCTTAGCCAAATACACTGCAGTTTCGAGGCCGAGCCTTTTAGTCGCGTAGATGCGACTAGGTAACTTCGATTTGCGATTTTGTGGTTGGCAGACCCGCATTATCGAATTTGCTCAACTCAGAATATGCCTCCGTAGGACCCAAGCTAGAACGAGATATCACAATCAATGGAGAACGCACGGAAGGATGATTCAATGACATGTACGCAAGCGGTTGAGGTTCGAAACCAAATGAGGCAGAAGAGCGACAATATAAGCAAGGATTTTCTTGAATATAGAAATATACAGCACATATATTCGGCAGATCACCTTGTTTGCATACAGCCGAGCACAAGAGATTGATGCTAGCAACTAGAACACGTACTGCGTACTATGCTGGAACCCCATATTGAAAGGGAACGGCTCGATGACAGTCTGGCATAGCGGACAGGTTGGTAGAATAGAAAGAAGACCACGAAAAACTTCCAGGCCATATCAGTAGCTCCCAAGGACGTCAGACGCATTCACCCTGCCGTTACTTCATGTGGAAAGAATCTGATAAATGAAAGTGGCGTGTATTCTCTACTGCCCAGCTGCCTTGGCTCTAGCAATTAGAAGAGAATTGAATGCTTGCCAAGACATGCAAGGCCTGAGGTTTCTACATTCGTCACCGGATTCACCACTACACTAATAAATTGAATTTGAATTCGGAAGTTTGAACCGGCTGCTTTAAACAAGTGGGTCCGGGGCCGAAGTACTCGAGGTCAAATACCAAGTCACACCACTGTACATTCAAGTTCAAGTGCAAATACGAGCTTACCACATCACTAATTAGTCTTGGTATGTTACTGTATCTGACTGTTCCTGATAAGGAAATACGTCAACGTGGCTTAGCGACCCACAAATGAGGGGACTCAGAGACTGTATTCACGGAGTCCCATCGATATAGGTCACTGCACTGCCCCCACTTCTCCTTTTCCCTCAGTAATACATCGCCGACTTGCCACCATGGTTGTGACTACGAGCGAGCCGTCAGATAGCACTCTGCACTCCCTCTGGCATAGCGCCTGCAAGGACTATGCCAGAGAAACCGGAATTTCGTTGCTCGATGAGCGATTCCCGAAAATTAAAGGGCCTGAGGACCTGTCTCACCAGCTAGATTCTGAAAAGGGCAATTTTGAAGAATTTCGGATGAAAAAGCGGCCCCTCCTGCATGCGATGCAATTGGTTTTGACACCCTTTGAAAACTGGGGTGACATGATCGCTGGTGCTGTCGCTGCAGCTTTCCCTCCGGCATCGTCAATCATGGGGGCGATGCTCCTTCTGATCCGGGCGGCACGCAGAGTTAGTGACGCGTTTAACGTTCTCCTTGACCTTTTGCACAGGATGGGCAATTTCGCTCTGCGTCTGGAGTCATACAAAGGGATCACTCTCAGTGAAGGGATGAAAACAATCATTGTGAAAGTATCGGTAAACTTACTTAAAATTTGCGCTGCGTCGCAGAACCTCTTGAACCAAGGCTCACTCAAGGCAAGAATTTCAAAGTGGGCAAAGAATATACTTGTTGAGGATACGTCAATTAGATCCTTACTGAGTGAGCTTGAGGAGCTGACAAGCCAGGAACACATGATGGTTTCTGCTCATGGGCTCAATCTCACCCATCAAGCTCTGAGAAATATTGAGGAATTGATCAATAGGGACGATCGTAGAAACGAACGTGAGAGGCTGGAAAAGGTCAAAGCGGCATTGGACCCAGTTTCTGCATCTGGCCAGGTCCTCTCTTCCATCACCCAGAATTGCTTACCGGGATCTGGCAGCTGGATTGAAAATAGGCTTCAATCTTGGTGGGAAGGATCTCAACCGCTCCTCTGGCTTCACGGTGGCCCTGGGGTAGGCAAATCCCATCTGGCATCCAAAGTCATCACCGCCCTCTCGACCGGGTCATTAGCGACTTCTGCACCCGTGGTTGCATCTTTCTTCTACAAAATCAATGATGTCGACCTACGCTCCCTCAATAAAGCCCTGCGAACCCTCGCATGGCAGGTGGCCACGCAACAACCCAGGTTTGCGGTACATGCCGAGGAGTTCTGCATGAAAGAAGACCCAGGGAACAACTTCGTTCTTTGGGAGAAACTCTTTTAAAGTACTTCACCGACATTGACTCGGCCACCCCAACATGTTTGGTGATTGACGGTATTGATGAGGCGGAAACAGAGGAACAAGAAGTTCTTTTCAGTCTGCTGGAGATAGGCTTCGTAGGGAAAGTTAGTATCAGCCAAACTCTTCCTTTGCGAGTCGTGCTCCTGAGCAGAGATTCAGTGCGCATAATGCTTGAGGATCATTCGTTGGACTGCATTCCGGAGATTGAAGTCGGCGATACCCAGAACAAGGACGACCTCCACCAATACGTTTCTCAAAAATTACAGAGGACTAGATTGTTCCGGGGAAATCCTGAATTTCTCGAAGAAACCATCAAGGCTATCAGTCAAAAAGCCGAGGGCTTGTGGGAATGGGCCAATCTTGTCATCAAATCTGTCCTGCGCTGTCGTTCAAAAGAGCAGATTCGAAAGGTGGTCAAGAAAATGCCGCAAGGTATCAGCGCCATGCTTTGCGAAGAACTGCAGCGACTGAGTAAAGATTTATCAGAAGGGGAAGAACTATCTAGTGACGATGCATCAGAAGGAGGGAGACCTACTGCACGGATCCAGCAGTTGAACGTGTTGCTCACCTTTGTTGCTACAGCTCAAAAACCACTGACCGTGCGTCAACTTGATATTATCCTCGAGCTTATTCTAAAGGAGGAGCTTATGAGTCTTGAAGACGATATTCGCACGCTTTACTCCACTTTGTTTTATATAAGAGACAACGACGATCAGCACAACTTTGATGAAAATGGTGGTGTTGTTACTCTTCGGCATAGCTCCTTTTACGAGTTTTTCAGGATGTCTGAGGAGTCCGGACTCATTCATGTCGACGTCGATCGTGCGGAGGTGGGCTTCGTATACGTCTGTCTTTATGCCCTCAGTGAGAGCCAAACACCTTTTTTAAAGCTATCCACAAGCGGCCTCTGGGGATATGCCGAGAAATTCCTGCCATCACACCTTACCCGTGCGGATCCCGAGAAGGCGGGAAAGCTACGAGGCGATATTTCGACCTTGCTTGCAAGTCTGTTCAGCAATGGGCAAGATATACGATGGTTCATTCACGAGTTGCATATAAGGTGGTTTGGATCGTACTCGTTCTACCCAACATGCGAAGTATCAGAGCTTGGTTCCCACTGGCTGGATGCTCAAGATCAGGATACCGCAAATCAGAGGGCCGAGGTTGTACTCCATTGGCTTCTTCCAGGTCCAAAACAAAGTTTCATGGATTATGCCCGATCCTCAGCCATGACAAGTGATGCGTGTCCCTTCACCATTCTCTTGTCATTCATGGTAGCGTGTTGGAGTAAAGGCTGGCTAGAGCCAGAGGAAGTTAAGGAGGATGATGGTTTGCCTGCCATCGCCCCTGCCATCTTGACAGTATATGATTCAATGGCAAAGGGAATGAGGGGGCCTGATATCGTAGACATGGCATCAAAGGTATCAGATGTTATGTGGGATCACAGAATGCCTGCTAAGGTCTTGATTCCCGCCCAGTCACAAAAGCTTCAGCAGACACCGATGTGGCATGCACGTGTCGCTCAAGCACTACTCCTGCGACATTGCTACGTGCAAGCACTTGAGCATTTTCAGATTTCGGTTAATGAAAACCGAAAGACTCCGGCATTCAGTACACAATCCTTGTCTGTAATACACAGAGATATGTCTCGTGCCTATTTCGAGGTCGCGATGCACAAAGAGGCATTGGAGCATCTTGAATTATCGGAGACTCTTCGCAGCATCACTGGGAATAAGGATGATCGCCACGTACATCATCCTATAGAAGATTTGCTCAACAAGGCGCAAATGAAACACCATGCGAAACTGACAGATGAGGCAATTGAAAACGCAGAGGAAGCCTGGAATCTATTACTGGGAGAGAAAGGCATGGATCGCGATATTCACTTGTTTCCCTTCTTCGAGATCTTCATGGAATTGAACCAGGCGCACCGTCTGCGGTCCGTGTTGGACCTTGCTTTCAGTTATTTTGAGGAGACAGCGGATAGTAGAAGCATACTTCTCGATTTTGAGCGCTTCATCCTCAACTCATTCATTTTTGGAACCCGCATCATGTACAGGGTCCTTCATTATGCCCTAGCCGAAGACGATCAGGACTACCTTGATCTTGCTGCCAGGGCCCTAAAGAAGGTCGATACTGATCTTGAGGGTTCTGCAATAGTCAAATACCTCTTCGCGACAGTGTTGTTTGAAAAGGGAAAGAGGGACGTAGGAGTACAAGGCTGGTATGAAGTGGCCTCCCTCTCCTCGGTCTCTTCTAACAAATGGGAGAAGTCTTCTCACATGCGCTCAATTGGGAACCTAGTCGCCTTGTGCTTGAATAGTGCCGAAATCCCTCACTGGGAAAGGTCGCCACTGATTCTGGACCAGAACAGTCAGCTTTGCGACATCTGTCTGGTTCTCTCGACCTGGCTCCGAGGTTGTGGGGACATTATAAGCGCTAGAGATGCTCTTCGCTGGTGCGTGAAGGAGTGTATCTCCTTGCTTTCAGATGATGATCCTTCAAACGACATCAATGCCCTCGTGGGACTTTTCAAGGTATTCCTGGTTGCTACTGATAGTGATGAAGACCTTGACGCAGTCTTATACTTGATCAAGCAAGACACGGAGCCACGAATGCGAGTATCTCGTAATATGGCAGGTGCTAAAAAAAGAATAGACGATGATGTGCAGTTTGACGTCTTCAGCAAACTCCAAGATGTACAATTGACAGACGACGGAGATCAATGTCAAGAAGCCAGTGATGAACATATAGACGATCTTTTCTATGCTGGCATTGTTTGCGACCCCTTGACCGAGTGTTCGAGCTGCAAGCGGGAAGTTGGGTCCTTGCATCACTGGTATTTCTGCCGCCATTGCGCGTTCTCGGCGCTTTGTCGGGGATGCTACCACCAGCTCGACTCGGGCAATCCATGCAGGTTCTCACGAATTTGCAATGCCGAGCACCAATTTTATTACACAGGCCCGCTTCTTCGGCCTTCTGAGCGCGTGCCCAAAGGCATGGTGCCCTTGAATTCTTCTGGTGGCGAGCAACGGAGTATTTGGGTAGAAGAATGGAAAGACAGACTTGCAGAGAAATGGGAAATCGCAGATTTTACGTTTGAGGGTGGGTTGTCAGCTTGGTGTATGCGTATTCTCCCGGAGCCGCAGAGGGCTCGCTGGGCTACATTCTTTCAGACATGATCTGGTGAATGCGGGATATCATAGACTCATGCTCAGTTGCTTCTTTGAATGCTACCATGTTGAGTTGATATCTTCGTGCTTGAACATAACAATCAGAATGAGCTTCAAGAATCACAAACTTCTATATTCGAGTCCGCATGTCCAAAACGGCCTCTGGCACTCTCTTCTTTCGCACAGACCACATCGAAATACGGAAAGAGAAAGCGAACAAGTGGCAGAAGGAATTTGATATGTTCGGCACCCGTTAATCTCACTCTCTTTTAGTGCTGAGGTTTTTACATGTATCTAGGTAGAACTCTCTTCCTAGCACTTTCATGGGACATGGGCGCCAACGTGCAGTTAAAATAATCATGAAAGTTTCAAATTCCATCGAGGTCCAGCGATATGAAATTTGAGAGTAAGCGTAGAAATCAGTATTTTTTTTTTACCACTATCCATGTTTTCACTAAAGCATAATTTCCATATCTCAATTGACCTATATACAACATCTCTTCACAACTTTTGCACTCTACTACTTCCAAAATGCCTCGCGTATGCGTCCGACGGTCCATAGCATAGTTCCAAGCGTGAGTAGACCTGCCCCAACTCGCAAAATTTGTTTTCTGGAAGACGTGGCAGGTTTTTCTTCCGCCCTGACCAAAGAGCATACCCAGGTAGCCCCATCAGATACAGCACACAATCTCCCAGGACTGCACCGCCAAGTTCCAAGCCCCAGGAACTGTCCACCGACGGCATGGTATGTTCCAACCATATGGCAGCGCTCCGGCTTTCCCTTTACCCCAACGAGAATGTCATAGTATGGTTGACGGATCTGGCGCTGCACGACGTACAATGTCTTGCCGGCTTTCATTCGTGCCTCTCGCAAAGGCTCTAACCGTGCAAGCCAGTCATCGTTGTCTAGCTCATCACCGAACAAAATGCCAGCTCCTTTTCCGCCACGGATTGGTTTCAGGATATATCCATCCTTGAAACCTTCAGAGATTTTGCAGCTGGCAATGAACTTTTCCATGGCCGTCGACCCTGGCAGAATTGTAGGTGTGATACCCCGTTCCAGGTCTGTCGCTTGCTCTGTTGAGAGAACATCTCGGGAAACTAACGAGCCAAGTTCTTCGCGGATTATTCCTAGCATTCTCTTGTCGTGAGCAAGAAGGATCGTCCGCATGTCATTGAAGCACCGCAGGCTAATCTGCCGTTTCATTTCTTGGTCGAAGGCGTTCAACTCCCGTTGGTGAAGTTCCAGACCCATCTGGTGAATTTCTTCCACAATATCCCCAGAAGATGTCTTTAGTGTGCTAGTAGCATCCGGCTGAGCGAGACAGCATAATTTGAAACCTGATTTTTCCGTGGTGTCTGGAAGTAGTCGAAGGGTATCCGGGGTAATTAAACGCGGCTTAACACCAATTCGGTGCTCCATGAGCTCCATGAAGGGCCAGATATCGATGCCATACTCTTCACCCTTGACTAGATGTAAGGGAAGGTCGTGTCTGAACAAGTTCAATACTCCGTCGAGGATCTACATTGAGATTTTCAGGTGTTAGCAAATAAAAACAATGCTAACAGCTTCATTTTGCTTACCCCTTCCGGATTTGTAGCAAATTCCAAGCCTCGCGACTCAAGGCCAAATGCCGAATAGGCTTCCTGGCCGACGGCAGCGTTCATATAACCATTCCAGCAGAACCTGGCGTTGATCTCACAGATGCGAAACACCTCTGCGCCGGTGGAATCGTCATGTTCTACAAGGAAGTCGGGCCTCCAAGATCCCGGTCGCTCGCTGTATGGTCGAAATAGGTGTCTGTTCGAGTGCATCCACTATTATATTAGAATTAGTCAGCTTGGTTTTCGGATGATAAAGATGAAGCCGACTCACGCGCAATAGATCCTCTTCCTCTGGTTCCAACGGCATCCGGTTGGTAAACTGGGCGTCTTCATCTTTGATCCATCGCTCAATTATATCCTCAACAGCCAAATTGAGAGCCACGTGCAGGTTTTTTACCTGTTCTTGGTGCTGCTTGGTAACCAATACAGGGTGAGGGCTCGCTGCATCCAAGAATTTAGTTGGATATTTGAACACCTGTTTGTTCAGTTTTGAAATATATGTGTGGATGTTTTTGTCGTGGAGGTCAGGTTGTAGTCCTTCCGACAAGACAGGGTAATAGTCAACGCGATTACCGAGCGTGATTTGTGTAAGGCTACTTGAAGGAGTCTTCATCTCGTGAGCCTTTTGCGAAAAAAAAAAAAAAAAAAAGAAAAGAATTGCCGAGCAACGGTGAAACGAGAGCAGAACTCAGGTAATGGGTTTCATCGAGCAGATTCGGGACTGGGGACTACTTATAAGAAATCTCTAAACAACGTATAATACTATACCTCAACAGAAACCTCTAGCTTGCGCTCATTACGTATCCAATGCGCTTCAAATTAAGGAAACCCTTACTTGAGTCCTGATGCTACACTACTCATTCGCTCTCTGCGAATCAGAGGCTGCATGCTGCTGCGAACCACTCTTCTTGGCTGCATGGCATGAGCGGGCAAATTATCGCGCCCCAATCGCTCATAAACTAAAGCATGAGATGAGATTTACATGTCACCTTCCCAATACAACGAACGATAGATCGTGTAGTGCATTTTCCCATGCCGCATTTAGTTTGAATAGGCACCTAATGATAATTATTCATTTCAGCTCGTGTCAATAGTTTGACTACGTGGCGTCGAGTAAAAAGCACCTGCAGCTGAACCCGCATATTGGTGTGACAGATCACAAAACAGGCACTGCAAAATGCATGACAAAAGAGAGCTGAAATTTTGCACAAATCAGATGCAGTACTGTAGATCTCACATTCTTTTGTTGGCGACTCGTCTTGCAGTTTCATTTAATGTCGATCATGAGTAGTAAAGTACAGTGGGTGAACGATCTTCATAGGTGGCTACTACTGAATGATTGTCATAAAGTCGCCAATAACTCGCAACATACGAGCTTTCTGGCGGTGGCACGCAGAATAGTGCTGCTAGGACGACTTTTGAAATCACTGCTATCTGGCCTTCTGTGGCCTTCTGTGGCCTTCCTCTTGTTCCACGACCAGAATTTTCAGCTGAAGGATTTTGCCACGGTAGCCATGTCGCCTTCAATATTAGGGCACCATCAAAATGGGCGGGGGGGATTGGGGACTAATTTCAATTTCGTTAATCAAAGCAAAGGCTTCTCCGATCCTGCAGGCTGGAGAGTTGAAGGTGGTTCCTTGGCGGGTGATGAACAAATGTATTTAATCGTTAGTGCAGATTTCGCCAATACAGTACTGTGAGTACTTCTTTGAATATACAGTGACGCAACAAAAGGTTCGACACCCCTGATTCCTTAGATTCTGCCGGTCAAAATTTCGATCTTATAAATACCCTTAGACTGGATTCCTGATATAACACCTGACTTTTTATTGGATTAAATAGAACCTGCTATTGTATCAAAGGTTCATTGAAGCAGGAATGTTTAACAAGCTAGATAATATAGACTTGCTCTTCGGCTTACATTAAACTGTTTGAAAAGCGATCTGTTAAAGGGTGTTTGCTGTGTCACTGTAATTATCTTCTCTTCGTAGGAGATGCTAAGATTGAATGATTTCTTGCCCGTTATCCAATTTCATGATTTCATGTTTTCAGCGCGAATCAATTCTCAGAAGGAAAGCCTCACAACTCCAAGAGGGTGGTCGTATTCTGGATGTTAGAAAGAATCATTGCAAGCCATTTCTAGACTAACCTGTAAGTAGATATCGTTACTTGATTATTGGAAAGCTCACCTATGCTCCTAGTACATTTTTCAGCCTCTACTATCAGAAAAATCGAAAAATTCTGGCGTATGTTCACCATTTTATGAGGCACCTTGGTTAATGAGATTTTTTATTGATCATGTATCCGACACCTATGAGGTCATGAAATTCGAGGCTGAGATCTGGATTTTTCACTTTCTCCTGAATGGAGGCCAGATAATGGGACAGAGCAGTGGCATATTCAATCAGACTAAAAGGGTGAACCGGACTCTCTGCCACCTATACTGCGAGTAGCCCCCACATATATACCGCTGTAACATGATACTGCCATGTAGGATCAGCGTAGCGTTCCATCTACTGAACAGTGCCAAAACCGCTGTGCCAATAGAAAGCAGCTCAAAGCTCATAGAGCTCATGCATTCGGGGACAAAGGCCATAGAATCCCCGCCTTGCTGGAGCCCAAGTGCGCCAACCCGGAGATCTAGCACAGTTTGACCTGCGATAGTCTGATTCAAAGACAACAACATCGTGCGGGACAGTTGTCGGGAGGGGACTGGATTTCGCAAAGAACTGATTTGCGCTGACCGCGCTGACCACCTCCAGATATACAAGAGGCGCTCCGACATGATAGCTTGGCGCATATGCCACAAAGGTTGGGGCAACCAGAGCCTCTCCAGTAAGAGGATTGATGACATTGCTATTCTCGGTCAAATACCACAAAGCCTTCTCTTTGGATTTAGTTAAGAACGGCCAGACTTCGGTAAAGCGGAGCAATCTCAAAGCCCTTGCCCAGATTATGCGGCCCTTGACTGTAATAATGACTTCATTGCCGGGTCAGCAACAGAAATCAACAGCTTTTCAAAGTCCAGTTGGTTGAAGTCAGCGGAAGACGAACCCCATTGAAGTTTAAAGGCAATAATAAGAGGCAGACAAAGCATAAAGCAAGAAAGTAGGTCTTGAATGTCAGAGTTCAACTAAAATCCTTATATTACGGCGTAGTCTTTCATCGCCACGGCTTACCGTAGCAAAACACAATTGACAGGTCGATGGACCATCATGACACCAACTTATAACTAAACTATGTGTCATTGCTTTTATTGTTTCTGTTGTTTTTTGTTGCTTTTTTTGAACAGCCATTTCTCACTAGTCTTGTATAGGACTTAGTTCACTGCGGAATACGCCGTAACATGATCTTTCGCCAGCAGTACATGTATGTCGGAGTAGACCTATCAGCACATGTGTCATAGATAAATTTTGCTTAGCCCAAAGAATAGGTATCAAATACAGTACAGGCGTTTGCTAGCTGCAAGGGCTCGTAACGCCACAACTGCCCCTTGAGCTCTTGCATGCCATTTTGTGCCAGATGAACGTACAATATCTTTCCCGGTTTCGACAAACAAGCCTCAGAGCACCATCTACGGTAGCTTCTCGCCTCCAGTATCAGAGAGTAGTCTCGCAATTTTTGGACGTTTTCTATATCTTGCTACGAATCCGAATCTCCCAATACATCTCTATGAATGACTTCTACAACGCACTGTGCACGAAGAAATGCGCATTTTGCGGCAAATTTGGTGGGTTTATATCCCTTCTAATCTGGAAGCGATGCTGTTTCAAATGTCTCCGCGACTCCCTGGAAACCCAAGTGCGAACCTTGGCCTCTATCGAAACAGCATGTCGCCCGAAAAAGGGTTGATCTAAGCCAGCTCAAATCATCGGAGTCCCTGCCTGAAAATTACACGATGAGACACGTCTCCCAATAGTCCGGTATTACGCTTGTCTCTCTCCATCAGGCCGATTTGTTCTGCAGACGGCAAAGCAAATCTCTTGAAATACCAGCAAATGACAGGCAAAGAGAGAAGTAGATTTCTATGGGCTCCTGCGAACTTCCTTTTCACGACCATCCAACTGCAAAGTTGAGCGCGGAATCTCATGCTCAGCATGTGAACTTTTTATTGAGCGAGCCATGTGCCCCTCCCCTGGGACGATGTTTGAGGCCAGCATATAGACAATCTCTAAGTGTATGAGACTCGAGCAAAAGTGTATGCACAAGACGGCTTTTTAGGCCATTTTGGATGTGCGAGTAGGCACAGCTCCTGCGGAAATCAAGCGACAAAGGCGAATTCATACCACCAGAGCTGCCTCGGGCTGTTCAGGGGGAATACTTGCGTCAAAAGAATCTCCATCACCCGGATTACACTTGTTAGTGCATTACAGCCACACAACAAAATTCCTCAAGAAGACAGCATTGGTCAAATTCTATATCAAGGCACTTGAATTCAAGTCATAAGGGAAAGCAAATGCATTGCTCAGAAACCAGAAACAGAAGTTTGCAAATTTTTCAAAAGCAACCTTGGAATTCTATCCTCGTATCTTTTCTACGTGGTGAAATGGGGATGGCACGATGGCAGTCTGACATAGCAGATGGGTCGATACTAATGAAAAGATCACACAACCGCTCCCACGGCCAGATGCAGACGTAGAGAGCAGTCTCTGAAGGTGTAAATCGTACTGAGCCTGATGCTATCTTGAATCAAGAAGTCTAGTGAATGGCTGTAGTCATATTGAAGTTGTTAGATCATGCTGGGATCTCCATGTAGGAGAAGACTGCTTGTCCGCTAAGGCATTCATGATACCTCAGGCCGTTAACATGCTACTGTCACGGGATTCATCACTACAGAAGTCATCGTCGCTCTATAGTACGTAGGCTCTTGTAAGATAGCAACATTTAGTGCTCGGCGTCAAATTTTTCCAAAGATTAAATCCGAAAGCTCATTGGCAAGTAACTCATAAGTCATATAAAAGCATCATAAAATCCAAGTATACCAAGCCTAAGCCAATCTATCCACACCCCGTTACAGCATCACTGACATCAAATTATAAGAAATATCAAACCACCCAATCCAAGAAATTCCAAACCAGATTACAGTCCAAGCCAGAATCTCGTCTTTTCAACCTCAAATTCACCACGCAACTCCTCAGCTCCAGTACCAGTAACCAAAACCCCATACTTCCCCTTCTCAGAAATCCACTGACTGCGCTCCTCATCCCACCAACTAGTAGCAAGCTTCTTTTCAACAACAAGATGCACGGTCTTCGACTCACCAGGCTGCAGGAAAACCTTCTTGAAAGCCTTCAGCTCACGCACTGGACGTCCAACATCCGTCTTGGGGGCTACAATCCACAACTGAGCGACCTCGGCACCAGCCACTGAGCCAGTGTTTGTTACAGTCACAGAGGCAGTGATCGGTTCACCGGATTCAGTGTATTTGGTTTGCTCGGGTACAGTCTCGATGGAGAGATCTGAGCGCGAGAATGTAGTGTATGACAGACCATGACCAAACGCAAATCCAGGTGCCACGTCGCTCTTCTCGAAGAATCGGTAGCCGACATAAATGTCCTCACCGTAGAGGACACGGCCACGCTCTGAGCGGAAGTTTAGGTAGGAGGGGTTATCTTGTAGGCGGCGGGGGAATGTGATAGGAAGTTTGGCGGAGGGGTTGACGTCGCCGTAGAGGACGTCTGCGATGCCGTTGCCGCATTCGTTGCCGCCAAACCAGGCTTGCACGAGGGACTTGGCTTTGTGTTCCCAGGGCATTGTGACCGGTGTACCGGATTGGAGGACGACCACGGCATTGGGATTGGCATCCAACACACGGCCGATGAGTTCGTCACTGCCGGGGGGTAAGTCCATGTGCTCACGGTCGTGGCCTTCAGTTTCCCACTCTAGAGTCAGGCCTGCGAAGATGACGACCTGTTCTGCGGTCTTGGCCTGCTCGACGGCGTTGGCGATCAGTTCTTCTTGGCTGATTTGACGGCTGGTGCCGAAGCGGAAGCCGCCTGGACCGAAGGCGACGATGCCACGGGTGTCGAGGTCTGAGGTTGGGGCACTACCGAATTGGAAGACGACCTTGTAGGTCTGACCAGCCTTCAATTCTTTGGTGCCACGCTCTTCGATGGTGGCTGTGCCGAAGAAGGCGGATCCCTGTTTTTGGTTTTTGGTGTTGTCGACGACGATTTCGTCGTCGATAAAGAGTTGGCCCGTACCAACAACTGTCACGCCGAAGTCATACACGCCGCTCTCCTCTGGGGTGAAAGATCCCTCCATGTCGACATAGTATGTCATCGACTTGATCTTTGGATTGACGTAATCCATCAAGAAACCGGAGGAATCGAGCAGGTGCAGCTCATCCACGACCTGGCGGTCCACGCCTGAACTGGGGTGTTCATTGTAGACCTTGAAAGTGAAACCAGGCTTGCCATCTGCGGTCTTCAGAAGTGGGCCGAGGAGCGGCAGTTCCTTGTGAGAGTACACGCCCTGGCTGAACTTGACCTCGCCCTTGCTCTTGGCGGAGACACCCTCGAATGGAGTGACGGTATAGTATGGCGCCAGAGAAGCCGAGCCACCACCGCAGTACGAAGCAATTCTAGCATTGGGACCAATGACCAGCAGGGACCCATCTTTCTTGAGAGGTAGAACGTTCCCCTCGTTCTTCATAAGAACAACAGATTCGGCGGCAGCGCGGCGCATGAGAGCCTGGTCTTCTGGTCGATTGAGTGCCTTCTCAGACGCTCCCTCGGGGATACCGAGCGGCTCAACCCAGTTGACAAGGTTGAGGATATTACGCACGCGCTCATCAAGCTTGAACTGAGCAATCTTATTAGAAGAAACAGCGTGCGCAAGTGCCTGCCCTCTCCAGCGGGTCTTGCCAGGCATCTCAATATCGAGACCGGCATTGATGGCATCAGAGGTACTGTAGGTACCAAACCTGCAATAACCACATCAATTTCAAAATCAAGGGCATGGGTGAAAACAGCCAACTCACCAATCACTCATAACAACACCATCCCAGCCCCATTCCTTGCGCAAGATATCATCAATGATAAGCTTATTCTCACTAACATGAGTGCCATTAATCTTATTATAAGCCGTCATAACACAAGCAGAGCGACAAATGCGCATAGCGAGCTGAAATGGCATCAAATAGATTTCACGCAGCGCACGGTCAGTCAGAATACTACTAACAGCCATACGTTCATGTTCCTGGTCATTGCAGACAAAGTGCTTAAGCGTAGCAGCCACGCCCTTGTCCTGCATAGCCTTGCATAAATAGCCAGCCAGGATTCCGGAGAGGACTCCATCCTCGGAGAAAGACTCGAAGCCTCGTCCGCCCAGCGGCGATCGCTGGATGTTGATTGTCGGGCCCAGCACGATGTGCGTGCCCTTGGCGATCGCTTCGTCGCCCATTAGTGATCCTACTTCTGATAGGAGCTCTGCATCCCAGGTTGCGCCTAGGGCTGTGGCACATGGGAAACAGGCTGCTGGGATGCCGTTGAAGAAGCGTGTACCGCGTACGCCGTTGGGTCCATCTGACATCCGTAGGGCGGGGATGTTTAGGCGTGGGATGGAGGCTGTGTGCCAGAAGTCTTGGCCTGTGGGTTGTTAGTATTGGTCGACATGGGGCTCTAGATTGGATGAGCTTTGGGATTGTCTTTACCAGCTGTGAGGTCGACCTTCTCTCCGAGTGTCAACTCTTCAATGGCCTTTTCAACGTCGATGCGAGCCATGATGTATTGCAATCTTTTTTTTTGTCTTGATGTTTTAATGTCGCTGTATATGCTTGAAACTTGATCTTCGTTGCTCAGTGAACTTGTTCAACACAATACAGAGCTCAAGTATAAGGATTCCAAGTCTCAGTGCTGCTTCCAAGGTTGTTCCAGGTTGTAAATAGTAAGCCAACAGCAGACAGCGACAGAAGTCCAATCTGTTCAATCTTTCAAGTCAAGTGCAGACAAGAATAAGATCCAAGTCCAGACTGCAACGGACACCGTCTTATAATGTGAGAGGCCAAGACGTGTAATTGCATGCGAAACAGGCGGGGAAGGTTGGTGGAGTTGTGCGCAGCTCCAAAGCCCAATGACGATCGCCATGTCGGATGGAACTGGGCCAGGCAAATGACAGCCCTGCGATCTCTCAAAGAGCCACGGAGGTCCTGGCGAGCCCGAGGTTTAACCGGCAGGGTCTGAGCAGGGGACAAAGCTGATGTGAGTCCGGATGTCGGCCCGCGGTGCCTGTGATTGCTTCCGTACACGGGGAGTGTCCAAGATGCTTGCAATTGCGACATTTTTCGATACTTGGGATATATCTTTGATTGGTTTAGAATGGAAGATATTAAGCAATAAATTCATAAATATTGCATTACCGTTACGGACCTCATATGGTTAAGAGAAAAAGTACATGTAGAGAAGTGAAGTGGATTATCCCCAAACACCAGGCAGAATGCAACAAAATAGAAAAGGAAATTGGTAGTCAAGAGTGTCAACCGAAATTGAGAACAATAGAGAGAACAGAAAAAGCAAAGTCCCATCATTCCTTTCGGGTATCAAGGTAAAAGGCATCACGCTCCTCGACGAGGTCGCTTGTTGTCGGTTCCCATGCGCATGCCACGGGGTCCATTTTCACCAGTATTGTCCTCAGGACCTTGGCGACCGCGCTTACGGTGTCCAGAGCCGCCGCTGCCACCGCCGCCTTCGCGGTGTTCACGGTCACGTCGATCACTGCGGCGCTCACGCTCGCGATCTCGGTGCTCGGACCGGTTATTCCGGTCGCCGCCAGAGTTAAACCGGCGGTCGTTTCCTTCAGGCGGAGGGGGGGGAGGGGGCGGTGGGGGTGGTGGCGCTCCCATGGAGGAAGGAGGACGCAGACGACCCTCAGCCTCAGGGGCATTGTTGCTGGGGGTGGGTCCAGTCATCTCTGAGGATCCGTCAGGTCGGTCTCGGCGGTCTCGGCGGCGCAACTCTTCGCGGGAGCTCTGAACGCGGCGCAGGTTCTCGCGAGGCTCGGTGTTGCGGTCTTTCTCGTCGCGAGTTGGCGCTGCGCCTACGTCGCTGCGGCGGCTGCGTTCGCGGTCACGACCACGGCCGTCACGACGGCGGCTGCTGTTGTTGTTGGTGCTGTCTTCACGACGCTCAGAATCCTTTGTGCGGTCAGCATCTGGCTCACGGTTGCGATCGCCAGTCCGTCCGGAGCGAACGGCCTCGGGGGTAGGATCATCAAGTAGGTCAGCGACCCGGCCACCGTTAGGTCGGTTACCAGACTGGTCAACCGGGGGTCCTGCTAGGCTGTCGGGGGGAGGTGCGTTCATGCTGCTTGACTGGCGGTGTCCGCCTCGTCCGCGAACAGGCGGAGGGTTAGCACCGCGGTCACCACCGGTGCCACCAGATTGCTGGAGCATATTGGTCAGACCTGCGAAGCGTTTATCACCACGGCCACGGTCTCCGCCGAATCCTTGTCCAGAGGGCCCGCGGGGTGGTTGTGGAGGGCCTACTCCGCTGCGAGGGCCTGTAGGAGCACCAGAAGTTCCAGGCTCGTTGACAAGGTTCCTGAGACGGTCTGGGTGAACGCCTGCAGCATTGGTTGGGCCTGCGGGCTGCGAACCGGATGATTGATCTGGAGCATCACGGCCACCCTGTCGACCAGGGCCTGTAGGTGTCGGACGTTCCGCGTTGGGTTGTGGACCATTGTTTGACATTGGAGGCGCTTGTCCAGGAGCATTGCGGCCGCCACCACGTCGATTTCGTGGACCAGCGGGGATATCAGGTGTGGGTTCTGGCTGCCGAAGACGACCATGATTCATGTCAGGACCTGGACCAGAGTCTTTCCCATCGCCATGTCGGTCCATTCGGGGGCCTCTTGGGAGATCGTCGTGGCGGGGAGGCTGGGGGAAATTGGGACCCCTGCGATCATCCACGGGAATGGGCCGCTCGGGGCGGTTGGGCAGATTAGCCGGTCTAGGGGGTGATTGGGGACGGGGGGATACGGTCTGCGAGCATCCTTGTCCGGTCTGGATGGATCTCCGCGACGAGGACCATCAATCGGGCGCTCACTGTGGTCAGGCAAAAGTTCTCCCCGTCCAGGCGCATCGCGTCCATGGAATGAATCATTAGGTCCACGCATGCGCGACGGGCGATCCATAGGCCAGCCATTCTCACGCGAGGGTCGGCCATCGCGGGGTGGTCCACGCATGAGATCATCTGGAGGAGGTCGGACAGGGTAATCGCGGTCACGCTCGTTAAGACGTCCAGGGCCATCAAATGAGCGGTCAGGGACGGGTCCATGTCGAGTGCGGGGATTGAAGTCGGAATGTCTGTCTCGCCGGTCGTCCACTCCCTCAGGGCGTGGAGGTAACCTTCCGTCGTGTCGGGGCGGAGGGCGAGTGGGAGGGTGGACCTGCGAGCGAATATCAGGCTGACGGCTCGAGTCCGGTGCCCGAGAGTTTGGTCGAGAGCGCACAGGAGGTTGGTCAGAGGGAGCTTCCAGGTGAGCATCGATGCCAGCCACGGAAGGCGTAGTAGATCCAGCTTGAGAGGATGTACTAGCCATCTTGGTCTCCTCGCTTGCCTTTGCACCAATATCGGTCATCTTTGCATCCTCGATCTCACCATCCTCAACTTCAGTCTTGCCAAGTTGGTTTGCAGCAGAGCTAATAGTCGACAGTTAGAATTGCGAACATGTGTAAATTCTCAGAAATGGTACTTACTCTGAGCTTCGGGTAGGGTTGAACTCAGGGGCTGTGGCATTCAGTGTTGGTGTAGGTTGCTGAGAGCCGGCGTGGGCCTGAGCCTCGGCGGCCTTAACCATGTTGAAAGCTTGTGGCAACATCCACTTCTTCTCTCGTCGGTTGAGGTCACCAATCAACGAAGCTGCGGGAATCTTCACGTCGTCACGCTCATCGTTTTTGCTCAAGTTGTTGACACAGTTCAACATATCACGGCCGATCCAGTTCACCGCAGGGAAATGCTGGACAACGGCCTTCAGAACGCTGATTGCGTTTCGGATGTGCATGTATTCACCTCCGTTAAGGCAACTCTTCAAAGCGTTGGAGAACAACCGGTGCCACTTGTACAGGAGACGGCGGAAGTCCTCAAACTCCAAAAACATGACTGGTACACCTTCGGGGTCAACATTTTTAGCGAAGCCAGGAAGGTCTCTCTTGGTGCCAAAGGCCTCTTTCTCATACACGGCCTTGTCGGCATGCCATCTAGAGAGATCACGTAGAACCTCGTTCAAGAAACGACCAAGGTTGTCTGCCTCCTTGGAAGTACATAGGAAAATGAGCGCTGTAAGTCTTTGCTCGCGGAAGAGCTGGTCGAGAAGACCAACGGTCCGGAAGTTAGGAGTTCCCGAGCTGTGCAGGAACTTCAACATCTTGAAACAGAAGAAGGCATCGAGAGGCGAGAGGAGGAGCCGAGGAATGAAACATTGCTCTAACAAAGCAACATTCAAAGAGTCATGCTTGAGGCGCATACCGGCGAACCAGCGGTCCTTTTCCTTTTGTAGCCTGGAGCGAGTCTGTCCGTAAGCCTTAAGGTGATTCTTGTTTTCCTCCAGAATACGCTCCTGCAGCTGGGTGAGATTCTTTTTCGTGGCCTCCCTTCGTGCTGTGCCTGCCGAGCTGGGGTCAGACCGGTCACTGTTCGTTGTAACCACTCGTCGTTTGAGACGGTCAATTTCATCCTCATAGGATTTTTGAGGGATGTGAACGTCGTAGAGGGCAAGCTGCCAGAACGTTGCATAGAAGTGAGCGCCAATGGTCTCCCACGTTTCAACGGGCAGTGAAGATTTGACATCATCAATCAGCTCTTGCATGACCGGGTTTGCAGCCAAGGGCTCAGCATTCACAGCGGGAGGGGGGGTAGAATCGGCATCGTCAGTCAAGTTCGGGTTTTCAGACTCATCCTTGTCAACATCCATGGCGTTGTCTGCAGAGGTCTCTTCGGGCTTGGCAGAAGCTTCTCCATCCTCGGTGGTGTCCATATTGCTGTCGCCATTGGGTTTGGGCGTAGTATCATCGGCAGCCGAGGCTTCCAGCTGCTTCGCTTCTTCGATGTCGGTAATCTTGCGAGAAATGCTAGTGCGACGAATCCAGAAGGCGATTTCAGGCTGGATGCCAAAGTCCTTGATGAGTGATGACAGGTCCGGTACGAAAGAGTCGAACTCAGAAACAGACAAGTTACTGCGAAGGAGGTCCAGGTATTGTGTGAGAATGCGATGGATCTCATCAAAGATGTTACCAAGCAATTTGAGCTCAGAGGATGTTTCTTTGTAGACACAAGTCAGCCGTTCTTGAGCGATGGCAACCAACAACTGACCAGCGAGTCTAGTGTGAGTCAACGACTTCAGCAAGCGCTTAGATGTAGTCTTTGACTCGTGGCGCTTGTCCAGAAGCTGCAGGATGGTCTGGGATTGCAGAACTTCTCCACCTGCCATGGCCTGGATTTGAGCGTCGTTGAAGTTGTTGTCTGTGATGATTCCAGCCATGGAGCTGATCAATTGCTCTAGCACAATCAAATCGGTCGAATTGTTCTGTCGCAGTTGTTCAACGACATACTGAAGGACTGGTGTTGGGTCCATGATGGAGTATCTTTTGTAAGTGCGGCCGGCGAATGCGGATAAGGCGTTCAACCAGCGACTAGTCAAGAGACCACTCTCTTGGACACGACTACGTCCCTTTTGACCAAGTGAGTTGACAAGCGCCCAGGATAGGGTATCGTAGCCGAGATAGGTGAAATAGCGGGCACACTCGACCACAACTTCGATGAGGTTCTCATAAGACTCAATTTGACCGATAGCGACATTGATGACAATTCCGGGATTGGCATATGCAATCTTGGCTAATGCGCGGGCCATGGGTCGGATGTTCGTCTTGCTGAGACGCTTGAGGGTGTCTTTAGTCTCTGCTCTGGCCTGGTCGAATGCTTCCTTGATGACAGGGACGCGAGATGTCTGTCCCGAATACCACTCTGCATACATGTTGTATCGGACCTCACGGGGGAAGAAACTTATCAGTTCGAAAACCTCGTTGACCACACCGGGGTTGGCCTTGGTCAGACTGACAGCAGGCAGAAGCAGACGTTTGCAAAGGTCGCACCAACGGGATCTGTTATGTTCAGATCCATCATGTATCAAGCTCCCCTTGCCGATTCGTACAAGCTTCGCCAGGAGGGACGCGTCTTGTCCTATCTTGTGGCCAGAAAGGTTGAGGAAGGATGAACAAAGAGCAAAAACATCATCGACGGACTGGCAGATGGGAATGTTGTCGGCCCAGTCGTCCCAGTAGAACCGATAATCAGTACCGTCATTGGTGTCTTCCTTATCCAGTTGAGCCCATCGCAAGGTTCGTCTCGGGGGTGGAGCCGCAAGTCCAATCTGGCCCTTGGCGAAGCCGTTCTGATCAGAAGTCACTTGATATTGCTGTCCTGGGAAGTCGGCATCAACGACTGATGGCCGGAATTGAACGTAGATCTTGTTCAAGGAGTGGTGGAGGATTCGATGAATGAATTCAGGTAGCTCTGGGTATGCCTCCATCAACCAAGGGAATTTGCTGATCACAAAGAGGGATTCAGGAATGGCTCCAATGGCGAGAAGACTCTTGAGAAGCAACACTTTCTGGTCTGAGGGATCCGGCAGGTCATCATCTGTTTTGGATGTGCCTTGCTTATCGCTCTCTTGATCTTTGGCAGGGGTTGACAGCCGCGGTTCTGAGTCGCGCAGACGGGGAAGGGGAACTGTGTCGTCCGACAAAGCACCGGCCATCATCAAAGCGTTTGTGCCACCGCCAGGTCGGCCAGCCTTCACTCTCTCGGCTTTTTCCGCTAGCTTCTCGTTCTTCAATGTGTCCATTGAGTCGTCGGGTCGCCAGAGGTGAGCATAGAGATCACGAAGGGAAATGAATCCCACCTTGATAAGTAACGCGGCGAGGTAAATCAGGTTATCAGGGAGGACGTCAGATTTGGTCCGAGCCGAAGAAGAGTAGAATCGCAGCTTAAAGCCAAGCAGCTGGGCGGCAACCCGGTTGCCCTTTGGCGGCATCGTGCCTGTCTCCTCCAGCCACGATCGTGTGACATTCTCTTCAAAAGATGAGCCATTAGTTTCTGCGAGAGACTTTTGTTTCTCTTCCTCTGAGATCGGTTTGCGGCCAATCTCAAAGAAGGCGCGAATACCAACTTCCCTGACTCTGTCCCAGAACTGATGATCACGCTCCTCGTTTGATTCCATGATAGCTGTTCGTTCCTCATCTGTTGTGACCCAGCCAGATGATCCAGGAAGTGCCCAGTTGGGGATACCAGAGTGTCGGCGGCCCTCATCGAGACTATGGAAAATGTCCTCTTTCGGCCACCATGAGCTAGCTCTCAAGAGCTTCACAAAAAAGCGATATTGCTTGACGAGAACTGCAGCAAACACATCCAGGGTAACATCCAGAACACGGCCAACGTCCATATCAAAAGCGCCAATCATGGCCTTCACTCGCTCAAATGTCTCCTCGACCACTTCGCTCGATGGAGGCTCGTTATTGCTTGTGGTGAAAAGCTCAGTCAGGAGTTTTGAGTATCCTTCGGACTCTTCGCGGAGAAGGTTGTAGTTTGACTGTCTGTAAAGCAGGTTGGTCTGCTTGCGAATTCCCATGCGCGCAAAGGTTTCCCGAACTAATCCCAAAGACTGCAACAACGGGGTATCAAGCTGGAGGCGCATAAGAGAGGGATTGATTCCAGTCGCAAAAACAAGCGGCTTGAGGGCAGGGTTTGAGGTGTCGGCATCGGTCATGATTGAAAGGGTATCAAGGAACAAAGAGCGCGGGTCGAGTTCATCAGTCGAGGCCTTTTCGCTATTGGCTTCCATGTCCACATCCTGAGAGGCAGTTTCTTCGCCAATAATCTCTTTAACAGCAATTCCGGCATCTGATGGCGACAGTCGGCCGTGAATCGCAGAACGAAGAAGCTCCTGGTAGACAGCTGCGAGTCGGGGTAGATTCTGCTGTAGACGAGCTTCCGTTCCTTGGTCCACCACATTCTGCTTGCCAGTCGATTTCCATTCCTGGATGGCAATATCGGTAATAAACTCGTAGTCGTAGGGAGGCGGCGGGGCGGAAGGTGCGCGGGGAACAGGCTCTGAGCCAGCGCGAGAAGGCGGGTTGTGATGCGCTTGTGAGGCCGGTGTATTGGGCGCGGGTGAAGGAGTAGGGTGAAGCTCGCCGTTTTGTTGTGTGGATTCGGCGGTCTCCTTGGTCTCCTTGGTCTGGGTGATGGGCGGAGGAGACATGGCATTCGGTTCTTTGTGCTGTGAGTTGGAAAAATTCTGACTATCATGGGATCCGCGGCGGGAGCCAGCCCTGCTGCGATGTGATTGTCGGCGGGATCTGTCGCGCGAGTCATTCTGCTCACGAGCAGAGGGGGACTGGTGACCAGAGTTGGGAGGGTGATGCGCCATATTCAACGTACCAGGGCGATGGGGAGAAGGTCTCAGGTTGTCATTGCTCGTTGAATCTCCAGAGTACGAGCGTTCACCGCGCTTCCGCTTTCCACCATGCCCAGGCGCCATGTTGGTATCCAGCTTAGACGCGAGGGGTTGAGACGGTGGGACGGGATGTCGGGAGACTGCAACTCATGAGGTTGATCTTGTAAGACAGACAGGTGTCAGCGATTGAAATGAATGACAGAGATAAAAACTAGACGGCAAAGCATGCAGAGAAAGAAGCGTACCACAAAGAGACCACTCATGAAAAATAAGGTGGAGGGAAGGCCAAAGGCGCGGAAGATGAAGATGAAAGTTGGTGATCGAAGCTTTGGTCCGGGTCCGAGTCCGACCAAGAGGCTCTGGCGGCCTGAGGTCTGAGGTGTCAACCCCATTCATGCATCCGTCGCCTCAATGAATTCGGTTCAATTTATAGATTGTGTATGAATCGTAAGAATTATTCCGTAAATACTGACTCAAAGTCATTTCCTCTCATCTGGAAATAGTCAATTCCAACCCCATAGGTTCTATAAATATTATCCATTGTATGTATATTCATGAGTACAGTGTCAGCAATACTCCGTATATTGAGTTCACTGGCCTACAATATAACTCGCTGAGCATAAACAATCCCTACCTTCCGATTCAAATTCAATCCATTTCACATAACACTAGTCATAATACCAAGACCCAAGTCTCACAGCAGCCCAAGATCCTTAGCCTCAACCTCGACGATCTCAGGAATGAGCTCAATCAACTTAGGCTTCTGAGGGTTCCAACCAAACAACTTGCGGGCACGCAGCGAGTTACCACGGGAGTTAGATCCCCAAGCATATTTGCCAGCAAAGAACACCTCAGTTGTCTGATCTCCGTCCAAAGATTCAACATCAGGACTTGGAATAAGCTTCTTGTCAAAGGCAGCCTGCGCAACCGCTCTCTGGATATCACCCCAGACAAAAGATCCATTCTCAGTGAGGTAGTAACCCTCCTCATTCCAAGTAGCCTTACCACCACCCTCCGAGGCAGCCTCCCCCAAAGCCTGGTAAACATCGCTCAGGTCCTGAACGTGGACCTGATGCCAGACATTCTCACCCTTACCAACAAGGAGACCCTTCTTACGCTTGAGTACAGCGGCGCTAAGTGCGTATGCTTGCTTGCTCTTGGTGTTGCCAGGTCCACGGCCGGGACCGTAGATAGTCGGAGGGCAGACGACTGCCACCTTCACACTAGCGGGGTGTTGCAGGCCGATGCCGAGAATGATCTCGTCCACGTTGCGGTGGAAGGCGTCCGAGGGGAGGTTGACTAGCTCGCTCACACCCTCCCAGTCATTGTACTGCTTAGGACGCTCGATACCACATGTGCCTGCGCGTTGGTCTTCGACTGTCAAGATACCAGTGCCGGAGGTGTGGATTAGCCACAATGGGCGTTCGGAGGTGTGATACTGAGCGCCTTTGGCAATGGCCTGAGCTGCGGCGACATGGTCACAATCGGCGAAGTCTAGAGTTTACATGTCAGTCGTGATGATTTGTCAACCCGGGACTTTGATAAACATACGGTATAAAATGTCGGCATTCTTGACTTCCTCTTCAATCAATTCAGACGAATCCAGGTCACCAATCACAGTGCGAATCTGCGGGTATTTGCTAGTGACCTCGCTGGCCTTTTCCTGGGTGCGAACCAGAGCCGAGAGTTGCCAATCGGGGTGTGCACTCGCAATGGCGAACAGACCGTCACCGCCGATGTAGCCGGTAACGCCAGTGCTAAGTTGACTATCAGATTGAAAGCTCGGCTTTCCGTGCGAAGGGTACTTACATGAATACCTTGGGAGCCATGTTCAAATATGAATGACAATAGATGGAGTGTGCAAGTAAAGAAGAAAAAACAGACACAAGATCCGCAGTACTTCACCGTTACTCAATGCTTTGAAATCAACCCATCTGAGCAACTAACCCCGAGATGGATCCAGGTGGGGGATTGACGTTAATCCTGGCCAGGATCCTGTTAGAAACCCCGAGAAGCTGCCACTCTTTCGGGCATAGACTTCGCATATTCAATAGTAAGCCACAATATCATATAAACTCACGATATGAGCTTTGAAGCCACGGCTTCTCGTATAGAGCTTCCCCGCACGATGTCAGACCCGAGTACTACATCAAACATTCCATTTCTATTTCCCTTTCCCTCTCCCTTTCCCTTTCCATTTTCACAAACCCACCATGGCATCCGGTAGCTGCGCCTGTCGATATATCACTTATACAACGTCCAACCCTCCAAACTATCTAGTCAACTGCCACTGCACAACGTGTCGCAAACAAGCCGGAGCACCATACCAGAGCTGGGCTGTTTTCCCATCTGACGACATCAAATGGACCACCAAGCCAACTGAATGGCGAGCTACAGAGACTGCTACACGCAGTTTCTGTCCGCGCTGTGGCTCGATTCTCACCATGAAGCTCGATCGTGACCTGACGAGCATTGATGTGGCCGCGGGCACGCTTGACGACGGAAAGACACTGATCCCATTGCCCGGTCATCATATCTTTCTTCAAGAGAAGGCGTCCTGGTATAAAGTACCGGAGGATGGGGCGAAGAGGTGGGATGAGTGGGGGGATTACCATAAATGGTAGCAGGATGAAATTTGGAGTATGCTATTGTAGAAAGAGTATATAGGAGTGAGAAGCATGCACTACAACAAATGAAAGCATTTCAGGCTGAAAAAGACATATTGTTCATAGGCTTAGATAACATAACGGGACAAGAACACGAAAAGGTTAGAGGGAACAGAGAGGGGAATCACAAGTTCGTGCCCGGGGTACATGTACAGACTCATTGAATACTGGGAACCCGATCAGAATGTGCTGGTGGCTAGCCGGCTAGCTGCGTTGCGAGCATCAAGACGGTCATCGTCTTCCTCCGGGATCGAGCCAACCTGACTAGGGGCGCGGTTGCGTCCCTTACCAGAACCTTGGCCGTTTGATTCATCGTCATCATCAGCAAGAGAAGGTGCGGTAAAGCTGCCACTCATGCTGCGGCCAATGTTGTCATTGCGGCGAGGAACACCGCTCCAAGAGTCACCCTTGGGACCTTGACTCGAGGACATGTTGGCCCGACGCACTGCAGGATGAGACTCGCGACCCAGTCGGCTCAAACCACCGGAAGCGTCAATTGCACGGATATCAGGTCGGACGCTCTCTAGGGTTGCCAGAGTACGGCGCTCGGATTCGATCTGGCGGAGGGTGTACTCGCGCAGACTGAAGAGAAGGTCCTGCGTGGTTCGGTCAAACCAACGGCGCTTCTCCTGGAGCAGGTTAGAAGTCACGCGCTGGGTGCGCTTGGTCAAGTAGTCCTCGTGGTTCTGGGCCTCTTCCAGAGAGTTGATAGCTTCATCTACCTTATCGGGTCGAACCGATGAGCTGACCTTCAAACGGTCAGCCGCAGCGCGTTTGCTTCGAGCATTCTGCTGGGCCTGAAGTAGCTCCCTGAGCAAAATGTGTCGATTGGTCAGGGTCTCCTTCACGATGAAGGCGTCGGAGGAATGGTAGCTCAATGGCTCTCCCAATGTAGTAGCCTCCGCAGTAGCTTGGACAGCGTGGTAGTCGCCTACTGTCTGGACAACCTTGCCGAGCTTGCGGTAAGCTGCACCCAAGCCGGGATGGGTCTCCTGCACGTGCATCTGACCGAGCTTCACGCCGAAATCAGCCTCAGCCAATCCCAAACCTTAAACAGTCAGTTTCGACCAGAACCAAATACAAGAAAGGAGCAGCGAAGAAACATCAATTGACATACCACGGCGGGCCTTAACCACGCGATCGACCTTGTGGCTCGTATCCATTGATCCGAGGTAGAACATCTTCGCGGTGGGACGAGCAGCCTGGAGCTCAGGTGTGTCATCTGGAGGCGGCGCAAACTGCTTCAGCATCTTGCGTCGCACACCGGTTGCTGGCTGCTTCATCCGCAGCACGGGGCTATAGCCAAAGTCGCTCTCCACAAATAGCACAACCTCCTCATCCTGAATAAGAACTTCATTACTCAATACGCAATTGAGCCACCTCTGCATGGCCGATTTGACTCGAATCTCATCCTCTTCCGTGCCTGCACCTGCGGGTGTTACGGGCGAGGGAACAGCAGGGACCAGGGCTTCGGGGTTTGCGGAGACCAAGTGTTCGGCGAGCTTAACGAATTCGGAGTGGGTACGGCGCACGTCACGGTACTGGGTCGTGCGGAACTTGGGGATATTGGTCTGTAAACATAGGAGCCGGGAATTAGCCATTGGGAGAGAACGGGATGTCCATCGGGGTAGACGTACGTGCACATCGAAGCGGAGAATAGGGTCCTTCTTGCCGGTCCTCTCGAGACCGGTAATCTTCCCCTGGATCTTGTAAAACGGAGCGGGTGGCCGTGAGGTTTGTCTTGCGCTGGCCTGGTATTGTGCGGGAGAAGGTGATTGCTGCTGGGCATTTGGGGAGTGCGCAGCGAACGGGGAGTGTCCCCCGGCATAGTCCGGGTCTCCTAATTGTGCACTTTGGAGCCGGGCAGAGAGGTCTGGGGATTGAGGTTCCTCAATTTGGCCTCTGCCTACGTCCTCCGCGGATTGCTCCTGCCCTGGTAAAGGGGATGACGGGATGTCATTGTTGGAGGTGGGGAAGGCACCTCGCTCAGCGCGCGGCGAACCCCAGGGTGAACCATCAGCGGGGTGGTCAGGGTCATTGCTAATGGCAGAGTAGTCCATCGTGGTAAATAGTCGATGTAAGGAGTGTCGCTGACAAGGGGGAGCTACTAGTCATGGTAGGCGTCAGTATTAAATGGCTGGAGATCTGACCCCCACAGCAACGGCCAGCTAGCAGCAAGGTAAATCAGGGACATACCTTGTGCAACTTAGAACATAGAACTGAAAGAACAATGTGCTTTTAGACTAGCATAGTACCGAAAGCAGAGAACCAAACGAGACTTGGAAGAGACGACGTTGAAGAGAGGTCAAGGTCGGAGTTGCGTATGGAGGAATGCGTGCGCCAAGCCTCGCGATCTCCAGTCCGCTTTGCGCCTCGCTTTTCATTGCCCTTCTTATACCATCGAAATCATACACTCAATGCTGTCCACTACATAATTGAGCTTTTTGTTTCATAGTGCAGAGTTTCATTTGGCATGGTCGTGGCTCCATTGTTGCGCTTCCCCCTGGGGATGCGCTGTATGAGCTCCAACTTGTATAAAACGCAGACCAACATTGCAAGCAGAAGCACGAGCTCCTTACTCAAGGGTCTCCGATCCAACTATTCGCATCTCCGAAATTTCTCGGCAAGTCCTGCAACATGGCAAACCGAAGCTTTGGATCGGACCCGAAATATTGGCATTATCGCCCATATTGACGCCGGCAAGACCACTACCACCGAACGCATGTTATACTACAGCGGCTTCACAAGGCGTATCGGTGATGTGGATGAAGGATCAACAGTAACCGATTTCCTTCCCGCTGAGCGTGCGCGTGGTATCACCATCCAGTCGGCTGCCATCACCTTCCACTGGCCTCCTGGAGAGGTAGATGGATCAACGCTCCAGCAAGCTGGGCCTGATGGTGCACCAATTCCGCGCTCTGCATCTCCGCACACCATAAATCTGATTGATACACCTGGCCATGCAGACTTCACGTTTGAAGTCATGCGGTCTTTGCGCATTCTCGACGGTGCAGTCTGCATTTTGGATGGCGTTGCTGGTGTTGAGGCACAGACGGAGAAGGTCTGGAACCAGGCAAGCACATACAAAATCCCTCGAGTCATCTATGTGAACAAGCTCGACCGTGATGGGGCCGCTTTTGGCCGCACGGTACGGGAAGTCAGCTCTCGTTTGGGTGTATATCCGGCAGTGTGCCAAATCCCATGGTTCCAGGGCAGCAATGGACCCTTTGTTGGAGTAGCAGATGCAATCAACCTCCAAGGACTGAGATGGAAGGAGGGAGAGGACGGCCGCGCTGTGAAGATGGTTGATCTACAGCAGCTAGAGGCCGAGGAACCGTCCTTGGCTCAGGAATTGCGACGTGCACGTATTGCATTGATCGAGCTGCTCAGTGAACAAGACGAGGCCATTGTTGAAAAGTTCTTCGAGTGCGACGAAGATCATCTTGCCGTCTCGTCCGCTGATATCATCGAGAGTCTGCGCCGCTGCGTGTTGGATCAGAGCAGCCGGATCGTTCCTCTTTTCGCAGGTGCCAGTTTCCGGAACATGGGAGTCCAACCATTGTTGGATTCTATTGTGAACCTTCTCCCCAGTCCACCAGAGGCTCCCGATCCAGAGGTCAGTATCGGCGGTGTCAAGGGTGGTCTGCGGAGACTACTGTCTGGAGGCCTGATCATCGAGCAGGGTGAACAGGCCGCTGCACCATCAAAAGGCAAGCAACACAAGAGGAAGAAATCAGCATTGCAATCCGACTCCAAGGATGCAATTTCCAAACTTCAAAGCTGCGCATTGGCATTCAAGGTCGTCAATGACCCGAAGCGCGGAGTTCTCGTCTATGTGCGAGTGTATTCCGGCTCATTAGACCGCAACAGTCTACTCTTTAACACGAACCTGCATGTTTCTGAGCGCGCTCCTCGTCTACTCAAGATGTATGCCAATAATGCAGTGGAAGTGGACTCGATTCCCGCTGGACACATTGGAGTAGTGGTCGGACTCAAGCAAACCCGAACAGGCGATACTCTCGTATCATACGCAGGAAACAAAGCCACACCCCCAGAGCCGCTCACCAGTCTCCAACTGCGACCAATTGCAGTTCCACCACCAGTATTCTTCACCAGCGTTGAACCTCACAGCCTGAGTGAAGAAAAGCGCATGCATGAGTCACTCGCACTCCTCCTACGTGAAGACCCTAGTCTGCACGTCACTATGGACGAAGAATCAGGCCAAACTCTCCTGAGCGGCATGGGAGAACTCCATCTCGAGATTGCTCGCGATCGACTAATTAACGACCTAAAGGCTAAGGCCTCAATGGGCCACATCGAGATTGGATACCGCGAATCAGCACTCGGCGCATCAAACCCCATAAGCAAGATTTTCGACAAAGAAGTCGCAGGCCGCAAGGGCAAAGCAGGCTGCACAGCAGTAGTCAAAGCACTAGACGAAGACGCCTCGCCTGCAGAGGTCGACCAAGACACGCTCCTCATCGAGACCTACGACGGCAACCAGATCATCATCCGCGCCCCAGGTCTCCAAGTCGAACACTCGCGCGATGAAGAAACAAGCCCATTTCTCCCGCCAGGCATGGATCTCGTCACCTTTCGGATGGCCCTTCAAAACGGAGCCATGGCAGCCCTTGCTCGTGGCCCCCAATTTATCTTCCCAATGCATAATGCCCAAGTCACACTCACCATCGACCCAGCCGCCCACCTCTTCGGTAATGAAACAACAACCTCTGCCCTCTCCGCCGCGGCACGGCAAGCCACTGCTGCTGCGTTGAAGGATGTGCAAGCTGGCGCCGGTACGTCGATGATGGAGCCAGTGATGAATGTTATCATCAGCGTGGACGAGGCTAGTCTCGGTTCCGTTGTGCATGATATTTCGTCCTCCCGTGGTGGACATATCATTTCTCTCGACGAGGAAATACCCCTGTCAGAGACGGATGCGTCGCCGACTTCCGAGTCTACGTTTGAGGAAGAACAATTGCCTCCTATTGACCCGAAGCGTGTTTATGCACCGGCGGATCCGTTCGAGACTCCCTCTGTTGGTGTTGAGATTCCTGTTTCTACTGCTCGGCCACGTACTATCACCGCCAAAGTGCCGCTTAAGGAGATGGTTGGGTACTTGAAGCATCTGCGCAGTTTGACTGCTGGCCGAGGCACTTTCGTCATGAGTGTTGATCGGTTTGAGAACATGTCTTCTCAGCGACAAAAGGCTGTTCTTGCGGAATTGAGAGGAGGATTCTGATGGAATTGGTTCTTCTCTGGATCTGGGCTTATTACTTTGGGGCTATGAAACCATCAGCTAAACTGCGGAATCTTTGAAAATCTTGTACATTAGCACATCTCACAGCGTTCTCGTCACTGTACAAACATCGGATCTAACTACTGGCCACATTCCCTTCCACCGCAACACTATGATTGGCACCAGGCCAAGAGACGCGAAGTAAACCAAGTCTGTATCTGACTTCCCTCTCTCGAAGAGGGAGATCCTAGCATGGTATATATGTAAGGCAAGTAAAGAGTAGAGACACGCAGACAAACAAGAATGAACAACACCAGACATAACGACATGGCACCCACAAAACCGGCCTAACAGACAGAAAGAAATGCCCCTAGATAGTAGTCTACCAGTTATCATTCCACTCGTCCTTTCCCTTGCCAGTCGATGCAGCTGTAGTACCATCCGCATGTTCAGCACCAGCCGAGGCAGGCGTCGAGTTAGCCAACGACGAAGTCGTAGGACCCTTCCGCATAGCAGCAGTGCCAACAACATCAGACCGTTGAGAGCGCTGTGATCCACTGCGACGATGGCCAGCCGGCTCCTGCGAGCCTAGAGTCGAGAAATCATCCCAGAAATCGCGGCGTTCGGGTTCCATGCGTGTACGTTGGTATTCACCTCGTCCATCATCGCCCTCGACAAACTTGTTGAACTGATCAGCCGCGCCGCGAACTCCAGTCTGCAGGTTCTGACCAAAGGTCGACGCATGAACACGCGCCTGAGCCGCAAAGTCGGATTCAGCCAGCTAGAATTGACTTGGTCAGTGATCCCGTGCATCAGATAAAGACAGCCCTGCCAGACATCATAATACCACCACCGCTGGAGCTCTACGACATACCTGTTTAGCCGTAGGCTGCAGATAAGAATCATTAACCTGCTTAGCGCCCTTCCCAACAGTAGAAGTAAACCACCCGAAACCCTTAGTGAGCGTGCCCATAGGATCCTTCTGAAGATCATCGAATTGACCGCCGCCACCACCCCATCCTCCAAACCCCCCAAACGTCGAAGACCGCTTCTCACTAGCAGACGGCACAGGGCCACCACCACCAAAGCCCGTAAACTTGCCACCCTGCGACGGAGGCAGATTATCCGAGCGGGTCGCATTATCAGAACCCAGCTTCGCGAAGTAAGCTTCATTCTGCTCTTTCTTTCCTCCCGCACCAGCACCACCCCGTCCATCAGACCGAATAGACGACGCAGCGGGTGATCCAGCGCGCCCACCACCAAGACTCATAGGCGTACTCGTGTTAGACCGACTCGCATTGCCGTTGTTATTATTCTTCTTCTCCTGGCCCTGGACGTATTCGCGGCCTTCGACCTTACACGATAAACGCTCTTTCCACTCTTCGCCGGCATCGCCCTCGTAGCGCTCTTTGATAGTGGAGTCTTCGAAGGTGCGGCCTTCGGAAGTGGGCACGGGGTGGGCGTCGTAGAAGGACTTCCAGGGCTCGTTGCCTCCCAGTTCCATGCGCTGGATCTCGGCGTTCTTAAAGGCGTCCATGGTGATTGAGCGGACGAAGGAGATGTGCACACCCAGGCCGCGGTGTATGCCGGCGCAATTGAGGCAGATAAACGTGCCGAATTTTGGGGAGGCCTGTTTGTTGCCCCCGGTGGGCGCAGGGTTAGCGGGTTTGTTTGGGGTGGTTGCGGGGTGAGTGATGATGGGAGTTCTGGGTTTTTATTTTATTTTCTCTCTCTTGGGGAGATCAGACGAATGGTGTGAATCGGGTGTCTTCTTACCCATTGAGGCGAGGGGGCGCCGCAGTCGCAGCACCTGTCGTTGCCGTTCGTCTTGGAGATTTGGAGGAGCTGTAGCTTGTGTGTCAGTTGCTGGTGCATCTGTGAGGTGACGGGCTTTGTTTTCCACACCTTTGTCCTCGTCTCTGGGTCGACCTCCCACATGCGAGACATCTTGAATGAATATACAAAGCCGGTCTGGAGATGGTGTGAATGACGTGCGCTAAGACGGTGACTCGACACTCGAGGTTGAAGGGAACCCCTTTTTTCTCGGGTTGATCGAGTCGCGTAGGAATTCAAGGAATGTATCAAAGAAGGAAAGACAATGCAATTGGCTCGGTGAACAGAAATCAATTGAGTGAGACAAGTGTTAGTTCTATGGTTTTGCCTCTGATCGGCAAGGCCCCCGGGGTCGCCCCGGCTTAGTGTCCCCGAGTCATCCTAGTCCCGCAACTCCTACCTCCTTGTACTCGTTTTCTCTTTCATCTACGAATTTCTCCTGATGCCAGGTGGCAGATCGTCATCATTTAGTAAATGTGTGCTAAGATACAATACAGAAGGCAAAAAAAGTCGTTAATGGGTGGAGATCACATCAGCAAAGACGATCTCCAACATGGATAGTCCATGGCCCGTTGAAAAAGTCATAAATCCCCCGTCCCTCCAATAACCAGCTAAGATATCCACGGCAGCGTGAACCTGAGTCCGAAACACCACGATGTTATCTATACTTCCTTCCGTGTGCTCCCCTGTCCCCTCCAAAACCCAAAGTGATAAATAAGCAACGACCTCGGCTGGTCGTTAGATATTTTGCATTTAAGCCTCGGTAGCGGCAGGAGCGGCGTTCTCTTGGGCAGCGGGAGCGGACTCCTCGAACTTCTCGGCAGCAGCGTCAACATCATCCTCCTTGCCGGGACTGTCGATGGCGACCTTGACGGCGATGACACGGCCATCGATGTCCTTGCCGTTCATCTCGCTGACGGCCTTGGCCTGGAGCTCCTCGGAAGCAAGGTTGACGAAGCCGAAGCCACGGGTCTTGCGACGCTCGTTGCGAGCCTGGAGCTTCTTGATCATGAAGCGGGGAATGGGACGCAGGGCAACCTTGGCGGAGACGGGCTGGTAGTCGGCAAAGATCTCCTTGAGCTGTGAGAGGGTCAGTAATGCAGCCTAGAGCGTGATTAGATATTGGAACCCACCTTGTCCTCAGTCAAGTCGTAGGGGAGGTTGGCAACCATGACCTTGGTCTTGGACGGAATGCCGTCCTCGGGAGGACCACGCTGCTTCTGGGGGCGAGCGGCGCGAGCCTTGCTCTTGCCAGCTTCGGAGCCGGCGTCGTTGTCGTTGGTGGTCTCAGCGAGAGGAGCCTCGCCAGTAGCAGGCTCACCCTCGGTCTGACCGTCCTGTCCCTGATACCATGATAAGAATTTGTTCCAAAAAAATACTCAAGAGTCAGTCGAGATCACCTACAGCTCGGCTACGGCCAGTACGGCCGCCACGACCGCGGGCACGGCCACGTCCACGTCCACGTCCACCAGTGCGCTTGCGGCCCTCGCCACCGCTAGCACCCTCGCCACCGCTGGCAGCACCTTCCTTGGCCTCAGCGGGCTCAGGCTTGCGGGCAAGCTGCACAGAGACCTTGCGAGAGAGAATCTCCTTTCCAGAGAGAGCATCAATGGCGGCAGTAGCCTCGGCAGCAGTGGCAATGTCCACGAAAGCGTAGCCGACCGGGCGGTTGGTGCGGGGGTTCACCGGAATCGAGGTGGTCTCGCTGCAGGGTGAATGAGTCAGGAATTCATAATAGATACATGCACGCGTTGAATGTTTGTCAAATGCGGGGATATACTGCATATCAGGATGTCTTTGATACTTACATAGTGTAGTCCTTGAAGAACTGCTTAAGCTCCTCCTCGGTGGTCGCGTACGCGAGGTTTCCGATGTAGAGACGGCGACCCTCGTCGGCGCTGGCAGCCGCAGCATCAGTAGCCTGAGCAGGGGTAGCACCGTTGGTCTCGGGCTTATCGGTCACAGTGGTCGCAGCCACGCTGTCAGCAAGTGCATCGACAGACATCTTGAAGTAAGGTTGAGGTTGGTAAGTGTCGGGGATTGATGAAATTGGCCTGAGCTGAGGAATTCTTGACGCGAGGAGTGACAGGGTAGCTTCGTGCCCTAGATACCAAGTGAAAAGAAGATGGGTTGAAAGAGTTTTGTCTTTTGGGAGAAGGGAAGAGGAGAGGTGAGAGAAGAGAAGGAGATGGAAAGGGACAGGAGAGGCGGTGTGGGACTAACCCAGTCAGAGAGCTCCGCCCGAGGGGGCATCACCATGGTGATTGCGAGGCTTCTCGGGCGGTACCACGCCTGAACAGCACCAAAAGTTTAGGCAGTTTGTCCCCATCCAGCCCTAACTGACGGGCGCCAACCCTGGACCCCCAACCCCCCTCAAGGGTTGACTCAGAACAACTGGCCTGATGTCATTCTGGGTCCTCGATCCTGCCAATCTTTCTCTTTCCTTTTCCACCTGAGCATACTTCTTGTCACCTTAAATTCCAGCTAACGTATGGAGTAGCTCTCATCTGATACTTCTGCAAACTCTTCAGTTTCTCAACTGCACCTATTGACCGCATACATGTACAGCTGTACGACATGTTCCATAAATAATTGTGGCCGATCTTCCACTCAAATAGCTCCACTTGGTGTCATCATACTCCACGCCTTCAGATTCAATCGAAAACTCAGTCCATGAATTCACTCTTAGTATATCATCAGATCCTATCACATCGGGTTAGGTAAATGCTAGCTCAAGCTGCACACGTGACACACATAGCCTCTTTCGGGAAGTATCTATTTTCACCTTCACAGTAACACAGTCTATAAGAAGACCTTGTGATAACCATGAAGGGGAATCTATTTCCAACTTATTTCAGTCTGCAAGTGATCTCATCTCACTTCAGCTTAGGTGCCTATCAGGATACATTGGCTGCGACTGAAACTTTTACAAGTGCAGCTCTCCATGAGCTAATTATTGATTGATGTTTGTTTAATTAGAATCCGCAGGAAACACGTAGTCCCGGGGGTTCCAGGTTCAATGTACATGTACCCAGGGTTTGTTTTTGCCTGCAGACCTAGAAACATATTTGCTTCGTGTATGCACCTGCTCTTATTAAGGTATAATGTGGAAGGTGTTAAACTGTCAATTAGAATATGTCAACACCCAATTGGCGCCGTACTGCACAGTAGATTAAAAGATTATGCAAGGGAGGTAGAGTGCGACCTCTTATAGCGAGTAAACCACTAAGTTGACGGCAACCTCCCCCTTGGCGAGAGAAGTATACTTTAGGCAGATACAAGATGCCAATCTCAAACATTGTGATTTGATCTTATCTTGGTTTGGCGTACATGAACATGCACAGTTAATCCAGTTAACTTGCATTAAATTGTAGGGATAAGACAATGATCTAGCTTGGTTATGACTTGGAAAGTAAAACCTGTTATAGGAGCGATATGGATAGGATAATACCGATCTACCTCGATCTACATGATAACTTTCTATAGTGACGTCTCATTATGGTCTTTGGGCCGCGTAATGTACTGGAAACGGAGTTTGCACGTATATCGACACCTTAGAATTGAGGCCAATATGTCAGACATCAACATTTCCACGCCGTTGTTTCTTCCTATTGGCTACCAGAGAGTCATGTCCGCCATTATGCCAATTTTGTTATGTGATCATTTCCATGTGTTGAACCATATATATTTTGTTCATCGGTTGAAAAAAAAAAAAGCCAACCAAGGTGTATTGAAGATCGACATTCTAGTGCGAGCACTGACGCTTGAGGACTCCACGTCGTCACAAAAACAAGATTCGGGAGGGCTGAGTCATCATCTTGGCTCTGGAGGTCTTACCCATCCAGAGTGTCTACAATCACAGGGGGGAATTTGGGTCTTGCACGTTTTCTTTATTGTCAGGTATTCTGCTGTTCTGTGTGTCCTCACTCTGCCAACATCTTCCGGCAGCATGGATCGCATCGAACCCATCGAGGAACACGCCTCGGGGGATGCCCAGGGGTCTTCTCCAGCGCAGTCCTCAGGGTCTACTCCTCCCAGGCCAGCAAGCCCTACACCATTGCGCCCGCGGGCTCCTTCGCTTCGGACACGACGACCGAGTATCCGCCTGTCCCGCTTACCGTCTATCAGCTCCCTAGATACCGCCAATCAATCGACGCCATCGCAACAGGGCAACCAGCCATTATCGTCCTTTGAACGTCAAGCCATCCAATCTCCTCCCCCAAATGAAGAAGATGAGGCATGGTCGGGAGGTCGACGGCGCAGCAGCTCCGAACCCCGTCCGGGCCGGTGGTCTTCTCCTGCCACGCAGACGCTGTCAAGGGTCGCCACCGCGACTCCAGGGCGGATGATGCCGTTATCCGAGGAATCGTCGCGCCAAAGCCCGGCAGCGCTCTCTCCGCCTGCGATAGATCACGATCAGACAACTGAGCAAGATTTCGAGCGCCCGGATCAGCTTGAGGCCCCACCCGCAGTAGCGCGACCCGCAGGTCGCCTTCGACGAACCAGCCAAGCTGCATTGAATAGGTTCTCCCGGAATCGCGCGTCAACAGTCTCAGGAGCACCACCCACTCTCAGTTCTCAGGAGCAGCAGCGCCAAGACGAAGAGCGGCTGGAGGAACAGCGCAAAAAAGAATATGGCTCTCATGTGGTCGACGTGCTAGACGTTATAGGTAAGCCCTGTCTAACGGGACACAAGAGGTATACATTTGGCTAACATAACACCAGACCCTGAAGTGTCTGCGCTGTCGACTCTGACCAACGTCCAGAACTCCCTTTTCGTGCCGAACTTGGGTAGCTTCATCAATCGTATGCCCACTTACACCATTTCTCGGCCGCAGTACTCTTCGGATGAAGACCAGGAGACTACAACAGATGAGGGGGAATTATCTGAGGAAGCCAAGCTCAAGAAGGATAAGGAACGACGTCCGTTGGAAAGACTTCGCCCGTCCGCTAGCATGTCCTCGGTGTTGCCTGGTCCTCGTTACGCCGTTCTCCCTGAAACCCGCGGGCTGGAAGGGTGGACCAAGGAAGACTATGCGGAACTCAACGATCATGTTCGGCATATGCTTCACTCCCGTCGGTCCAAGTTCAAACGGTCAATGAGAGGATTTGGGCAGTACGTGCGGAAGCGTAAGTGTCAACTCTCTTAAGGCGCCTTTTTCACACTAACATCTTTCAGCTCTTGGGTTTTGTATTACTCTCTATGCAACTTTGATTACGTTGTTTGGTCTGGCCTGGGTGCTCTTCCTGATTGGTATGTCTTCCTTCTTTTATGCTTGCTAGTTGCTATACTGACGGTCCTCAGGTTGGATTAACATTGGTGGAAAACAACTCTATGTCATCAATATCATCGATAACGTTTTGGTGGCTCTGTTTGCTATCATGGGTGATGGATTAGCTCCTTTCCGTGCAGTCGATACATACCACATGTGTTTCATCGCGCATTACACGTTTTTGACATGGAAAATTCGTCGAAAGCGTGCTCTGCCCAACCTCAAAGACAAGAACGATCTCCCATCGAAGCCCGAGAAGGATGCCGACGTCGAATCTGGTGACATGATCAAAGAAGACGAACATGAATACTCTGTGCTCAGCCCTCGCCAACAGCTGCGGTTGATGCACCACCAGCATAAATTTGCCAAATCCCACACCTTTTACAAACCCCACGAAACCATGACACATCACGCGTTCCCTCTCCGTATCCTCATTGCCATCGTCGTTGTTCTCGACTGCCACTCTCTGCTCCAGATGGCTCTTGGTGCTTGCACCTGGAGTATGGAAGACTACAACAAGCGGCCTTTCGCCCTAACTACTGTTATCCTGTGTTGTTCCATTGCTTGCAATATCACAGGTGGTGTAATGATCATGATTGGTGATCGCCGAGCTCGTAAGAAGGAAGTTGTTGAACGGCTGTTCCGCCAGGAGTTGACTGAAGAAGCCATGAAGAAGATGGAGAAGAAGAAGGTCAAAGAGGAGCGCAGGAGCATGCAGATTGAGGAGCGCAGGAGTATGCAGGTTGAGCGCAAGAGCGCACAACTGGATCGCCCTGCGATTCCCGAGCCGTACAATGGCACCTGATTGTACTTGTTTCTATATTTCTTTCACGACCGCCACGAGATGAGCTCAGGGACATTGATCAAGTTCCTCTTGTGCTCTTAACTGTACAGTTTACCCGCCGATAATCTTGCTGCGTTTTTGGTTTACGAACATATATATTTTGCTTGGAGTTTGGCAACTTTGGAATTGGCATATGTACTGCTGCTCTATGTTTTCCATATCCTGCCGGATGATATCTATTTGCCCATTTTGATATACAGCCTAGAGAGGCATCGTGTTAGCCGATACAGCGCATTGAATTTTTTATGGAGTATATTGCTCCCAACTTCCAGTTATACATTACTCAAGTAAAACAAGTCAAATTTAAACGGACACAAATAACACACGGTACACAGGATAAAGTCTAAAACAACAAAAAAGAACACAACCCCAAAATTCAAACAACCCAAAGCAACCTTAACAGGTAATAGTCACTTTCTCTCCAACCCACCTTTTCCCACCACCCCTTACAATCTCCTCAAAAATCCACTTCCCAACCAAAGCCCTAGAAATTGTATACCCAATAGCCGGATCCTGCTCCGTCCCAACCCTAACACTCCCAAGTCCATCCCCTTTCGTCTCCCCCTCAGCCGCGCCCCCTTCCCAAACAGGAACCCGATGGTCCCCAGTCAAAAAACTAGGCCGAACAACAACAACCCCAGCCCCCAAAACCCCTTTCTCCCCAAGGCCCGCCTCCTCATCAAGCAATCTTTCCATCTGCAATTTATCCGCATGAGGGATAGGAAGCATAATAGAATACATAGGCCGGAATAACAATGGCACATCCTTGTTTCCGGGCAGATGCCCCGTCGTCGAAATGACAGTAACCATAGGCGCGACAGCGCGATACGCCTCAAGACTCTCGAACTGTGAGGCAATGATTCTCAAAGCAGCAAGTAATGTGCGAGTGGTCTGTTCCGTGACATTCGGATTAGATAGTTCGATGTGTGGCAATGCCGGAACTCTGAACTTAGATGTGGGACACTTCGTTTCACGACTGAAGGACACGCTGGGTGCGCCGCCTAGACCGGAGATTATGCTGTTGACAAGCGTGGGAGCGTGGTTGGCTGAGTTGGAATCGGAGTTGGCGATGAGTGTTTTGGCTATGCTTTCCATGTCTGTGGCGTCGCCTTGGATGATCTCCAGTTGGTTGTTTAGTATTTCTTGTGTTATGCCTGGTTGCTCTAGGAGGAGGGTTGTGAGCTTTGAGGGCGTGCGTGCTAGGGCTCGGGCTTTGTGGCCGTTGAGGAGGGTGTATGCTAGGCAGGCATTTGCACAGCCACCTGTTGCTCCGAGGAAGGCGATTGTCATTTTTGTGGTGTGGTTTGAATTGGAGATCGTAGATTGTAGGTTGTGGATATTGAAACTTGGAGCTTGAGCTTGTAGGTGGTACTTTGGTTTGATTGTGGATGTAATGTTCTGATGATAGATATTGCCTAGGGAATTCATGATTCTTTATACGAGTACTCGGTCCATCCCACGGTTCAATCGCTGGCATATCTTCCCGACTCAGCCTTACGAAGTATACAAGATTAGGGCTGTGTAGTCTAAATCGGAGGCTGCGGGACCCCGGTCGGTGCAACTGGGTGGCGCTAGACCATAAATGGTTTAGTGGCGGGCGAACAACTGCCCGCGTCGGGTGAATTTCAACGCCATTGTCCAATGCCAGCTACTGAAGTGCTCGTGTGGGAATAGGACCCTGTAAAGCTTGCATGTGGAGGGTTTATGATTGGTTTTAACAGTAATTCGGGGGAGCTTGTTCATCTTACTTTGATGTGGAGACTTGATAACTCCGCTACTTCAGGGCTATGACTAGCTGACTACCATGGTTACTACCATGGTAGAAATCATATACAGTAGGCACCAAATGGGCTGTTTCGCTAGTCTGTGAATCAAGTCCACATCCCTTGTTCAAGGCCAGTTGAACTTCCTAAAGCGGGTGCATGTTGAGTCAGCAGCTGGCGTCTCAATTCCGTTATATCTCAACTACAGTCAGTTTATCTGGTATTTCTATTGATTGAGGATATATATGATGTTTAATAGCAAATTCAAGGAGATCGTGAAGTCAATATGTATGAATAGGTCAGTGTCAAGGTGGAGTTACTTACTTACCGCTGTTGTTTATACCGATCCAGGAATATATATCTCGGATGGAAAAGCCTCCAAGTTTCACCATCACTTTTCATGATGTTTATTTACTTTATTAAATGAAGTTTACGCTCGATCTGCGTATAGCAAGGGTTGATCACTACTACGTATATATATCAAGATCAATATTTGGCAATCCAAAACCGAGCTCGTATAGCCTGGCTATGGACTGTTCAACTTCGAGCTTCTACCTGCTCACGGATCACAAAAGCAAATACACATTCACATGGTATCCGAAGTGATGCATTCAGTAATATGCAAGCTCGATTTACTGAGAATCTTTAAACCTTGAATTCGACTCATTCTACATCTTTGATCTAGATCAAGCACGAACGACAGAACTATGATCAAGGCTCATCGTTTGCAGCATGAGAGAAGACCGACATTCACTCCCTGTGGACCTCTGCTATTTACATCAAGGAAACAGGGCGCAGATCAGTATGGTTGCCTATCGTAACATAGCAAGCTATGCCTCGGAGCAGGGCGAGCCTCGAAAGTGATCAAGATCGGCATGGTACGGCGATCTCAAATTCCCGTGGATCGAGAGACAAGTGGGACCAAAATGGCTAGGGATTTGGACTACAGAGATTTTTACTAGGGGAAGAATGATGTAGATAGCGCTGTCAAGACCAAATTGAGGGGCGTTCAGCTGCATGGTGCCGGGTATTTCCTACCAGTAGCGTGCCTCTAACTATCTCAGAACAACCCAAAATGGACTGATGAAACGCCACCGGTGTCAGAGCCGTTACTTTGACTACGTTGACCTCTAAGGGCCGTTGATTGGGTTGTACAGCATTCCTCGGAGCAAGACGATCGGGCTACCACATGCCCCGTACCTGAGTATCAATTATGGAAGGACTTCAGTCTGGTATCTAACTTACAAAGCAGAGACTAGTTTAATGAGTGCTCCATCGGAGGCTCGCAAGTTGGAGCAATGTGGTCCAAAACCAGGATACGTTTGATCCCGAACCGAACCAGGGCGTAGCGTAGCCTTCAAGAATACCACTGGGAGGGCGGCATGCAGGGCTCACGCATCTCCAAGAACAAGGGGCACGTCTAATTGATGCTAAAATTCCGGAACAAGGGCAAGGGCCAATGGAATGGCTAGGAGGTAGAGATGATCAGGGCGAGCTGGGATCTAACCCTTGCGTAGGGCATTCCGAGAGCAAAAGTGGGAGTATTGTTTTTGGCCTTTACTATGAGCGATTGTCGATCAGCTCGTGCCCAAACAGTGAGATTCTGAAGATAAAAGGAAGCATCTGAATGATCTTCTAGTTCCTTCTCTCACACAACAGTTCTCTCTATCTCTCTCCATCTTCTATCATCCAAACCTTCACACCATTTTTTATTTTACAAGATTTTAATCTTTTTAATACCTCTACCTTCACAATGCAGTTCACTCTCTCCGCTGTCGTCCTCGCCCTCGCTGGCTTCGCCGCCGCCGCCCCTACTGAGGCACTCAACAACTCCGTCGAGGGTCACGAGGGTCCCCGCTTCAAGGTTCCCGATGGAATGACCGTCAAGGAGGCCCAGGCCAAGTGTGGTGACCAGGCTCAGCTCTCTTGCTGCAACAAGGCTACCTACGCCGGTGACACCACCGATGTCAACTCCGGCATCCTCGGTGGCACTCTCAGCAACCTGATCGGTGCTGGCTCCGGTGCCGATGGTGCTGGTATCTTCGACCAGTGCTCCAAGCTCGACGTCCAGAGTAAGCTATTCTCGATCATCCATGTCATGATTTCGATACTAACAGTCCCGCAGTCCCCATCCTCATTGCTGTCCCCATCCAGGACCTCCTCAACCAGCGCTGCAAGCAGAACATTGCCTGCTGCGCCAACTCTCCCTCCACCGCCAGCTCCGATCTTGTTGGTGCCGGCCTCCCCTGTGTTGCCCTTGGTTCCATCCTGTAAGCAGCTCGCTTATTCGCGATCGTGCTCCCTCTGGAGGAAAAGTTCAAGACGGCCTGTGGCATATCTTTCATTTGTTTTTGTGCTTCATATTTGTTCGAGATTCATTGCCTTATGATATACCATCATATAAGTAACCTTGTCTCTGCTTAATACATACCGCTCTAATTCTTTCAAACCTTGCCATCATCGTAGGAGTATCCAAGTAGACACAAAGCACCATACCATAACCGCATTCGTAACAAGAAAAATTCAATCTCCCTTTATCGACCTTACCCTCTCAGCAAATCCTCATTTGGTCTGCATACACATGGTAATAATCCTTTTGCGTAGAATGGCCCCAGCAAGCTTACGGTTAGAGCCGCCCCACACCCTATGTAGGTAGACTAGGCAACCGTAGGCAGACAGCCCCACATCACTCGACCAAGGTTTGAGCCTCCTTTTTGATATAAAAAGTCCCCTCTCCAAATTCAGGTAAAGCGTAGTGCAATTGCTTTATCCAAGCTTCAATTCACCATGGTTATCCAATGGATCGACACAGAAGGGCCCAGAGTGCCCACCACACTGCCAAGATTGATCAAGTCTTACATCGACCCCAAAGACCCCTCCAAAGCAGCCCACAACATCCTGCGGCTAGCGCACCTCCTCCTCTTATCAAACCACTTGACCGAGGCCCACGAAATTGCCTCAGGGGTATTCAGACTGGGAAAAAATCTCATCGAAAGAGACGATAATCGGGTTGATCTCCCGCTATACACACCTATCTCCCTAGAAATCTTCTGGCAAGAACACCAAGAAGCGTTCCCACGACCAGAAGACGCCCCAAAGCCCAATCGCGGCCCACTTGCAACATACCTAGCAAAAGAACAATGGGGCAAATATCGCGAATGCACCCGTACAGGCTGGATGCTTGATCGTTACGGGCTCGCTGAGCCGGAAGACCCATTGATCTGGCGCGAAACAGATGATCCTAAGATGTTGGCGATGTGTGCTCGCTTGCTAGCAAAAACGACTACGCCAGGAACTTATCCGCCACAGGATAGAATGCGAGAAGCCCTCGCAGCTGGACAGAAGCTTTATGCTATGCCTGAAATTCCAATTGAACATTGGTTGTTGAATAGACCTGAAAACAGCCAGAGACAGTGTTGGCTTTTGTATCGACGGCTTATTGTAGAGATGGCCATTCGAGTGGGAGAACAGCAGACTGCGGCGGATATCTTGGGTCAGGCGTTGAGGGTGGATGGATTTGCGAATGGGGGTACATTGGGGGAATTTCTTATGGTTCCTGGTATATATGATGTTTTGCCTTTGTTGGCTCGGGGTGGGAAGGAAACTAATCCGTTTTTCATTCCCAAGGCGGATGCCGAGGTCATGGTGAAGAAGATTCTTGAGGCCTTGGAGCTGCGGGCGAAGCATGGCAGGCAATGGGCGCTGGACGAATCGAAAGTTGGATGGAAGGAGCTTTTGAATCGACTTGCGGAGGGTGCATTCAAGACGCATCCTAAGGAATATCGGGCTATGGGTGTGAAGACTGCAGAGGAAATTTTGTATGATCCTGCCACGGAGAAGGAGATTAAGGCAGCCGAGAAAAAGGTCGGAAAACTGCCGGATGATTTGAAAGACATGGTCCGAGTGGCGAACGGGTAAGTTATTCTGACCCCATCCTCGTGTAAAAACATTTGTTCTGTGAGGCTAACCAGATGAATTAGATTCCAGGGTGGATGGCATCTTTTCGGGGGAGGCATAGCCGGTATTCAACATATTGGTTTTGACGACGGAGATGCAGAGAACTCATGGGATAGCCTTACCCAGGAAGATGACGAAATCCTCGATTCCAGTGACTTGATTGAGCTTCAATCAGGGTCAGAGAGTGATGGGTTCTATCATTATTACATGCGGCCTACGGCATGGAATGACGACGAAAAGATCAAAGACAAAAGGTATAGATACTGGCATTGGGCGCCTTGGATGGGTAGCATTGCCCGGTATAACTCAGTGAGAGACTATGTTGCAAGCTGCGTGGAAGAGGTAGAGGAAATGCTTGAGCTGGGCGAGAAAGAAGAATACCAATTAGAGGACGAAAGCCAAGAAGAGGATTAAAGCTAGGATTGAATGCAACTCTCATCAGCTTTCTTTCTCGCATTATATTAAGAGAAGAGCTATTCCTCTCGGTACACTTTAGCGGGATAATATGGAACGGGCCATTTAACAAATTTTGCTTCACCTATGTCAATCCCATCCTCTCCTTCGGCTCGGACACTATCCCGCAAACAGCCTGCATTTCACAAGAGCCATCAGCGCTAGACACATTATTCCTCCTTCCAGGCTGAGCACCGTGTATCGCAGGATCTATAACAGGGCCCCTTGACCTACTTTGTAGTCGACTTGGATACCACACAAAGAAGCCGACCATCACTAAAAGCATCAATGCACCATCAAACACATACAGCGGCCATTCGGTGGTGACAAGGTATCCAGCTTCGTTCACTGATTGCATAGCAAATTCAACAATCCGAAAAATGTTTCTCGCAAGGATCGCCGTGGACGTCATGTATAACATGTTGAGACATGCTTGCCAAGGTATACCGATCGAATCACCAGTCACGACCATGTGTGCACGGAACCTCCTGTGAAATATCCCACAACACACCATAAAGCAGACGAAAACAACAATTTGCAAGACCAGTCCGGCGATGATAATGTAATCACCAGTCAGGGTGGTATCTGAGTCGGCCAAAAGCCCAGAAGCATTTCCCTGGATCAGGAGACACAGTATGTCACCCGTCACGAAAATCTTTGTAGCCTAACAGATGGTGAACGGGGAAAATGACTCTCCATGGACGGCTCTGACGATGCGAGAATATACCATGTATAGTGTGGCCGCGAAGAAGACTGGGGGTATGACGAGGAAAACGCTTTGCATAACGTATAGTATCAGGTTGCCCGTGTTGTATGTCGACGCTGCTCGCATAACATAGCCAATCACTTCACCTAGGGAAATTCGCAATGTCAGACATATCAGGTACACATAATATCAAAATCTGGAGAAGAGTATTCGCACTAATTCCGCCAAAGGCAAATGGAAGACAAAACCACATCTGCTTTTTGTGTATTTTCCAGGCATGGGCTGCAGTTGCAAGAGCAAACAGAGCGGTGAAGGTGACAGCGAGGGGTAAACTCGGTACATAGCGCCATAGATAGGCGCCTTGGTAGGTTTGGAGAGTTGGCATGTCAGATGAATAGAAGTGCTGCTCGTACTGCGAGATAGCAAGATGTCAAATTATTCTCAATAAAGAAAGGGCGAGAACCCTTTCTTCAATTAACATTTCTCATTTTGCGCCTAACAAATTGACAAGATGTTGAATCTGACAAGGCATCTAAATAAAAGCTCCGTATGAATCAGTCTGTGTCAAGAGATTGTAAATGTCTCACTTATAGATCGGGGCGAAGCCGAACACGCGTGTTAGGTAACACGCGTATTAGCTCAGCAAACAGTGGCCAGGCCTACAGTCACCTATGGCAGCAGTCCGAAATTCTTTCCAACTCAAATATCAGCGACAACGTGCTATAACCAGATTTCAAGAGTGAGTTTTCATATGGATATTAACTTATACGCAAATTTGACTGAAGCTGCTCGACCCGGAGAGAGATACCCGTGGACTACATGTACATGTACTTCGGAGGGCCCACGGTTGGCTCGGGGCTCCACTTCTCACACCTCCAAGCCATCTAAGCACGAACCTCAATTTTCTGATATAGTGCTTCAGGGCGTAATAAATTTAAAGACTTTCACCAATAATACGCGTGTTGGACGTGAGCTGCCGTCTATGATCGCCGGATGCCTGCGATATGCTGCGTCGCCGCCACAAGAAATCACGAGCGGGTTGCTTACAATGGTGAGTTAAGTGTCGTGAATCTTTAGGGATTCCGCTTGTGTAGCCAACTAATTGTGTGAACTAGTCGAAAGAGGCATATTAAGGTAAGGGCTTACTATGCATCCTTCTATATGGCTAATCTGAGTCTTTGCAAACCAGTGTGATGAGGGCCGCCCAATATGCCGTCTCTGCATCAATTCCGAGCGAGAATGCAGCTATCAAAGCCAGATCTCACCTCATAGCCAGCCTGAAAGTCAGAGCAATATGAAGAGTCCAAGGCGCGAAACTCTGCACAGTATCTATCCTCAGACCAGCACATTTCTGTCCAACCCACCTTCACATGAGGCTCATAATGATCAAAGTCACCACGGACAAAGCTCCGAAGAGAACATCAACCTCAAGCATATGGAACTGCTCATTCACTTGACCACAAACAAAGATACCTTCAGTCTTGGCCTAACCGCCAACGATGATTCCACAGGTTCCGAGCTGGCTTTCGCATTGAAGACAAGTCTAGAGTCGCCATATCTTTTGCATCAACTGCTTGCATTCTCCGCCCGTCATTTGGCATATCTTCACCCTGATCGCCCAGATAGTTATCTCCATCAAGCTGTCACCCTTCAAACTAGTGCTGCATCACTTTTCACTGCCGTTGGCACGGAAGTCAATCAATCAAATTGTGTCGCTGTTCTTCTTTTCTCATCTATCCTTGGACATCAGCTTCTTGCAGACACACTCGCGAAAAGACCTCCGGAAGGCTTGGATGAATTCATGACAAGCTATGTACAGTTTGTCGAGATGCATAGAGGTATCCACACAATTGCCATGACTGCTTGGCCGCAATTAATGAAGACCGAGCTTGAGCCTATTCTATCGTGGAGCTCTCAGTTTACTGCACGGGAGCCAAGGGGTCACGATTGCCAACAAGTCAGGGAACTGATAGTCGGCTCGAAGTCGCTGCTAGAAGATGAAAAGAAGACATGTTTGCCTGTTATCGATTACCTGCAGGTCGGATTTGATGCAGTGTCAGCGGACGAGGAACAGGGGAATCGACATCATATGCTTTGCACATGGCCTATGTTGGGGTCATCAGAGTTCACAGCACTGCTGGCTGCAAAACAGCACGAGGCTTTGGTCATACTAGCATATTATGCGCTGTTGCTTCATCATGGGAGGCATCTATGGCAAGTTCAGGACGCTGGGGTCTATATGTTGCAGATCATCACTGTCTATCTTGGAACAGGATGGGATTATTGGCTTGAATACCCAAGAAGAGGGATATTTGCTACCAAATAATGTTTCTGGGAATGCGGCACAGAAATTTGTGGGGACGAAAGTGTGATAAAGACATTCGTTCGAACTTGAATCCGCGCCAATTTACCATGGATTTCTTTATACCCGCACACAAGTCATACAACAGGGGGCATAAGTCTTTTATATCCCCTGCCGTCATACAATTTAATTGATTCACCTCATGAACTTGGATGTGAACATGACAATATTTCAAAAAAGCTGCTCAGACCGTGCATAAAACGCATGAAATGGCAAATCGTTTCGAGGATGTCGAATAGTAATTGTCTAATATTTTATGGCAACGTTACCAGTCTTATGGCCCCTGCTGTATATTAAAGGACTGTAGTTGAAAATGTGATTTTCTGGTCCAAATTGCATCTTTGAAAGCATGAAACAACCTTCTTGCGGGGTCAATATCATCCCCGGATTGGTCAACGCATCGTTGTTCCTGTTATTTACACGTTTGACAGTTGAAAATTGTGTAGCCCTGCTATTACAGTTTTTATTTGTTAGAATTATTCCTGCTATGCAATATCTGCTCGACTTGAATTCCTTGTATAGGTTCTAGCAGGAGGACAAAGTCACAGATAGCTGAACCGATAACACAGGCCCTAGCTATGACTCTTTGCCAAGGGATAAATCCCAACAGATTACTTTAAAGTTTCCCGGAACATCCCCGGAAATCGGAACAGGATATAGAAAAGCCGGTATAGATCGAGGCGAGGGCACCTATCAGTGGTTGGAATCTTGCCGAGATAAGAATCAGACTGATAGGAACTTTGTGGCTGCTCATGCCAAGATGCGAATGTGAGGGGCTGGCATCGCTTAAAAAGATATCTTATGCGGATTCAGGAACAAAATCCCCAAGTATTGGCTTACATCGTCGCACCCGCCTATCTCATCCTGGTCATAGGCCGATGGAGATTAAAGAAACCCTCGAAACAAGCAAGTACTTGCGAAATGCACCGTCAAGGAAGCCTGATAGATTGATATGTGCATTCTCTCCAATCTTTCCCCCAACTATTGTGGGACATGATCAAATCATGGCGGTATTTTGAACCCCGAGATGATATTGTTAGGCACACTGTGTAACATTATAAAAGCCCGAGGACTGGAAGGCGAAGTGAACTTTGCTGGAAACAGAAAACATCTGGATTCCACAAATTGAGTATGCCTGGCAGCTCTTGGTATCTTACTGTAGCGCTAGGACTGGCCTCGTTGGTCGACCCGGCTGCTGGTAGACTTCACACCGATCTCCGACGACCCTCACCAAAACAGAACCATGATAGTAGACGAGACCTTTACCGAGGATTAGGTCAGAAGTTGAATGATCGAGATCTGGTTCATGAACGTAGCTTAAGCGAAGCTGGTTCTTGTCTTGAGTCTAACTTCACTGAAATCCATGCCCCGAAGAAAAACATCTGGACCGGCCTTACGGACCCCGAAGCTGCAAGTGTCCTGTCATGGCTGTTCAAACAAGCTGATCTGAATTTGACCATCGCCAAGGATGCTGGAGACTGGGACAACACTATGTATGGTATATGTTATCACCTTTGTTTCGGCTTTGGCTAACACTCAGAAGTGAACTCGTCGAGCTCATGCAGCCCAATAAGACCAACTCTCTTCATTTCATCGATCATGGTGGTAAAGCACCGCCCAGATATGCCCATGTGGTAATCGATCACCGAGCAAGTGTTGACCCTTACTATGCGGACATCCTTGTTGGTCCTCTGCCAATTGTGAATGGAAAGACCAAGTGGGAGCCACTTGAGTATCCATATACTCGTAAAACGCAAGGCAAGATCCGAAATGTCGAAGCAGATAGCACTCTTATGTACGACACGTGGCTGCTGGGTATTAGTACCTCAATAGCTGACATTACTCTCGATCTTTGGAATGGAACGGCCCTCGGACTGGACAATGACACGATCGGGCTCTGGGGTATCGACCCTCTATCGCAAGAAAATGGTCGAATCCTCCGTTGGGATCAATTCTGGCATAATCCAACCGATGAATTTGATTCTTCAACTTTGCTCCCCTTGGGGTTGTACGTGCACTCAGATGTTACCGGCCGAGATGCATCAAAATGGAAGGTTCTGGGGTGGCTGTACAATAACATTTTCTACCCAACAACTGAAGCCTTCCGAAATGCCTTCTACAGCCCAGGTTTTGATAAACTTGGAGCAAATATCGACGGCACTTGGGCACACACTGATCAACGAGGAAAGGTCCTGCCGCATGATCGATCCTACCCTCCTGTTTCTGTTGCTCCTTCGGGATCAAGGTTCGGGGTTGATGTGGAGCAGAAGTATGTCGAATGGATGGACTTCTCTTTCTATATCAGCTTCTCTCATGATGTCGGAATGACTCTACATGATATTCGGTACAAGGGCCAGCGTATCCTATACGAGCTGGGATTACAGGAAGCTCTTGCCCACTACGCTGGTAAGTTGTTCTCCGCTATGGTATATCAATCTGAATCGTCGCTAATTTAAACCAGGAAACGACCCTGTGCAATCCATGACTTCGTACCTTGATACTTATTATGGTTTTGGGCCCTACGCATTCGAGTTGGCCAAGGGTTACGACTGCCCATCTTATGCAACCTATCTCAACAGCACATTCTATCAAGAAGAGACTACCCATACGCACATTCACAGTATTTGCCTCTTTGAATATGATGCGGATTACCCGATGCAACGCCATAGCAGCAACACTTATGTGTCTATCACGAAGAACGTCTATTTTACGGTTCGCTCTGTGTCCACAGTCGGCAACTACGACTACATGTTCAGGTACGTGAGAATTTCACACAAACCAAAACATTCTTTTGTATCTAACGCGATATTTCAGTTACTCTTTCTATATGGATGGATCTGTCGGCGTTGAAGTGCGGGCATCTGGATATATCCAGTCAGCTTATTACGCCCACAACGAGGAGTTTGGCTACCATATTCACGACGCACTCTCAGGTTCAATGCATGACCACGTCCTCAACTTCAAGGCTGACTTCGATATCCTTGGACTAAACAACACTATCCAGTTGACTAATCAATTCCCAACCACCCAGACATTTGCGTGGTCCAACAAAACCCGCAATACAATGAAGATTAAACATTCAAACATTGAGAGTGAGGATGAAAGCCGATTTAACTGGGCTGCCAACGCTGCCACCCAGGTGAAAGTACTCAACCTGGATAAGACGACACCCTATGGTGAGCATCGGGGATATCGTATTTCTCCCTCGACAGGAAGCATTCACCTCACCGTCGAAAACTCGACCAATCTTCGCAATGCCGCGCAATGGGCCAACTATGATGTCCAAATTACCCAGCATCATGACACAGAGCCTCGATCCGCTCATGCTAAGAACTCCCAAGACGTGGAAAATCCGCCTATCAACTTCGATGAGTTCTTCAACGGCGAGAATCTCACACAGCAAGATCTAGTCGTGTGGCTGAACTTGGGCATGCACCATGTTCCACACACAGGTGATCTTCCTAATACAGTGTTCACTACTGCACATTCAGGTGTGCAATTCATGCCACTGAACTATTTGCTTGGTGATCCAAGTCGGGAAACAGTGAATATGGTTAGAGTGGATTATAAGGACGGTAATGTGTCTGCAGTTCACACATTTGGCCAACATGATGACCAGTGTACGTTGGATTTCGAGCCAGCTGAGTCTGACTTATGGGATTATGTCGGCGATGTTGTGGTCAGGAAGTTCCCCTATGACCCAAATGATCCTTACTATGAGACGGATAGCATATCCTAAAGAGTCTGGTATCATGAACGTCGGTATAGCTTCGTGATGAAAATAGTCATAGCCCAGCTAGCCGAATAATTACACAAGGGTTTGTCTAGTGACCCTTGCTTGAGTTTTGAACCATCGATCATCTGCTAGCCATAAACTGGCGCTACAATCCATGCTTCACCACGAATCTGTATCGCGTTCTTTCGACAAGTTGAAGTTCGATAAATAGACATGCACATAAATATTATGCAGAGTACGAAGTTATGGTGATAATGTATGCCGTTGGCCGGTGTTCAAGATCCGGCAAAAAGTTATGACCGAAAAGCGCCGAGATACCGAAACGCCCGAAAGTCGAATATCGGTGATTATTTTCGCTTTGACACCTCTCTGGCGGCTAGCCGAAACGATTTTTGACGTGCCGAATTTCCGGGTGGGTCTCAGCGTTCAAATACAATCCATCTCCCAGTCTCCAGACTATAGGTCACTACTTTCAAATTGCAGATCACGCTCTTTTTCGTGTTTTACACTGAGCCCCAGTTTTCTGCAATCAGTCTAAACACATTCCAAACATATTTCTACCATCCCTCCATTTCTTTCTAGGGGTGTCAAATCTTGAACTTTGCCTGCGAATAAGCCGATTCAAATGTTATATTGGATCTGATTGAAATTTTGACAAAATCATTGCGCACTATTTGTCCAAGCCCCTCAATCTGCGCTCGAATGATTCCTACATCTTTCTCTTTGATTCGACTTAGCGATCATTATGGTTGCCAACAACAATGCAGCCGATCCAATAATCGCCACAGAAGTCAAAACTCAGAAACATATCTCATTCTGGCGTCTGCTTACCGACCAATCAATCATCACTGAAGAGGTGCTTCATCACCACTATGAAGGATCAGGGACTGACAACGACCCTTATGTTGTCACATGGCTGGCGAACGATCCTCGGAATCCCATGCAGTTTAGCCTGACGAGAAAAGCCATTATTACATTCAACACAGCAATTGCAACATTTGTTATATCGCTGTCTTCTTCCGCTTATAGTGGTAGCATTGAAGGCATCATCGATCATTTTCATATCGAAAGAGAGGTCGGCACTGTCGGTCTATCCCTCTTTGTTTTCGGATTCGCTGTTGGACCACTGCTATGGGCACCTCTAAGTGAAACTATTGGCCGACAAATCCCGTTCTTCATTTCGTTCCTCGCTCTTTCCTTGTTCTCTGCAGGGTGCGCGTGTGCTCAGAATATCCAAACCCTGTTGATTCTTCGGTTTTTCGGAGGAGCTTTTGGCTCTGCTCCTCTCACGAATGCTGGCGGCGTGATTTCAGATATGTTTATGGCTAGACAACGTGGCTTGGCAATGCTGCTATTTGCATCGACTCCTTATCTAGGTAAGCTTCATCTTCAAACAGACAACGAGCGGACGCATTCTTGAGCAGTGCTGATATACCTATTAGGACCCGCTCTAGGGCCCATTATAGGTGGATTTCTCGGAATGAATGCAGGCTGGAGATGGGTCGAGGGGTTCCTTGCTGTTATAGCCGGCATAGCTTGGATCTGCATGGCCTTTTGCGTTCCTGAAACCTATGCACCGGTCCTTCTCCGAAAGCGTGCGGCCCAGTTGTCCAAACTGACGGGGAAATGCTATCAAAGCAAACTGGATATTGAAAGAGGGAATATTTCGGTGACGAATCGACTGAAAACAGCCTTCTCTATGCCCTGGGTGCTTCTTCTCCGTGAACCCATTGTGCTTCTTCTCACCTTCTACGCTGCCCTGATCTATGGTGTACTCTACATGCTTTTCGAAGCACTTCCAATCGTCTACCAAGAGGACAGAGGATGGAACGCGGGTGTTGGAGGCCTTCCATTCCTTGGTGTCATGGTTGGAGTCTTGTGTGGCGTTGTCTACACCATGTGGGATAACAAAAGATTCATACGAGCACAAGTGAAACACGATGGATTTGCTCCGCCGGAGGCTCGTCTGCCCCCTTGCATGGCTTCTGCCGTGACTATCCCGATTGGTCTTTTCTGGTTCGCATGGACAAATTCGCCGTCTATCCACTGGATGTGTAGTATCGCAGCGCTCGTTCCGTTCGGCTTTGGGCTGCTGCTAATCTACATGGGGATCGTCAATTACCTCATTGACTCGTACACCATCTACTCGGCTTCGGTACTGGCAGGAATGTCGGTCCTCCGGTATACTTTCGGAGCCGTATTTCCATTGTTCAGCTCGTATATGTACCACGGTCTGGGCATACATTGGGCTTCATCTATTCCGGCATTTTTGTCGGTATTTTGCATGCCTCTTCCCTTTCTGTTTTACAAATATGGTGCGCAGATCCGAACGAGATGCAAGTATGCCGCCCTGTCGCAAAAACGTCTCGATGCAATACAGCAAATAGCTGCGGCAGAAAAAGGAGTGGCATAACCGTCTACTGAGAAGGAAGAGAAAAATAGAGGTCTTTTTTGGCAATGTCAATATTATATTCAGTTTATAGCTTCATAGCCCCCATGATACCCTCCCCATTTCCAGGGGATTGATAGAAAGTAACTCGTGACAATCCGACAGATTCAAGCAAATCTCTCCACTGCATTTCCGAGTGCTCAAAAGCTACAACTTGCACCATCATCATAACTCTCATGCAGGCTGTTGGTAGATCCCCGATTGTATCTGGGAGGATTTATTCAAAAAGAAAAGAATCAGCTTGGAATATCCGTCTTCATTGCAGCCAGGATCTTTCGTTCAGATAGCCCGACATCGCTCGTCTGACCGGTCATGGAGGATCCAATGCATGAAGTATACCCGAGTGTCTGAGGTCAGCAATGAACCATGAATGAGATTTATGACCTCTTACCTTTGACAGACTAAGGAGTGAAGAAATGATGCGCCATAGGCTCCACATCGGGTGGAATCTTTGTGCATCACTTTAAATCACATATCCCGTTGTTGCAAGAAGTCGGAGAAAACGGTCAACGACGATCGGACTTGCTCCCGGTCTTTTTGCAATTTCCTGGGTAGGTACTCCCCGCTCTGGTTTCTGGCTGATTTGAGTGAATATGCCGAGTTGAACACCCATGCGTATAGGCGTCAATATGGGGGTGGGTTCTATTCAATCTCGTCAGTACTTTAGGCTTGTTCAGCTTATTGTTCATCTCCATTCAGCCCTGCGAAGTGTCCCTCAGCAGGACACGGTTGAATCGAGACTCACCATCACAACATCCTGGATGATTCTTTCGACCGGTGGCTCCAGAATATCTAGCAATGCACGGGCGGCGGTCAAGGCCTGTAGCTGAGTAGCTTCATTGAGTTTGTCTGAATTGACTGTCTCGGTGAGCGCATTGATTTGGCCTGTTATATCGAGTTCTTGATATATTCTTGTGTTCTCTGTAGGTAAATGACATGGTGGCTTCTCAATTTACCGGGTGGAAGAGATACATAGCAATATGCTGTCTATACCTGTTAAGAAGCCTGTACAACTATCCTATCCTTGCTAGGTTATATTCGCCATCATATCCCCCCGATAAAGGAAGCGACAGTATACCAAATCTAGTATTGCAATCTTGAGCAATAATTTCAATAAAAGATCATGCGAACAAAAGAGTCAGTAAGTGGTGGAATTTGTAGATCGGTGATATACCGTCCAATATGGTATCCCGCGTGCGACACGTAAAAGCGACAACCTAGCTCAAAAGCGCAAAAAAGCGCTAGATAAGCGCGCTGCAAAAGAAAACCTCTCGTGTCAGTACCTATGATGCCCAAGGCTAGAACTAGCGGTGGTCCTCGGATCTCCCTTGCAGCATCTAGCGCAAAACCTGATTGGAATCACAGCCAGAATTGAGTACACTGCCCCTCCCGATGATAATCGTTGCCATATTGCGGGATACTACTGCAGACTAAGTCTTGGGCTGCATAGGCAGAACTGATCATTAAGGACAACATGCCCACTTGCCCGATTTTGGATTTTGGGACTCGACGCTGCTAAAATTTCGTCTTTCCGTGAGGGTTTTTGTCCCGTTAAGTTATCTCCGAGTTTGTTCGGTGGCTCACATTTATCATGACTTGGTCCAAGCCATTTTTGAAGCTTCATGATCAGCGACCGTGGTTATTACTGCTGAGGTCGTCGCAGTCGTTTATCGTTACTGCTGTTTCGCTGTCGATGTTTACGGTACTTCCTTCAATGCAAGAAACGCGGATAGAATGATATAGCTAACACTTTCTTATCCAGGACCTCTTTCTATATGCCATGGTAACCACGCTCCAAGCAAGACCAAGACCGATCCCCACCTGACTGGCTGCAGATCATCCCCGTCATGCCAAGTGCCTTGGTATCCAGAGCTGGAGTACCCTTTGAAGATAGTATGTGATTCCCACAAAATGATGAAGACAGACTTATTAATGCAGTGATCTTCAACAGGGGAATATTGGAACAGCATCCTCCTCGTTTCAGAAGCCATTGCAGCCCTTGTATGCAGTCCGCTATTCAGATACATGCTCGACGTTTCAGGGACACGCCAGGGCCCATACCTCTCTGGCCTCGTGCTATTATTTGCATCTATGGTGATATTCATGGCCTCGCACTCTGTGGCGTGGTATGTTATCGCGCGAGTACTCCAGGGCGCAGCAACGGCGATGGTATCCGTAGCTGGTCTGGCAATTGTGACGGATACAGTTGATAAAGCTAGTCTTGGACAGATGATCGGGTATATTGGTACTGCCATGACACTGGGCCTCATGTCCGGTCCCTTGCTTGGTGGAATGGTGTACGAGGTTGGAGGGTTCTATGCGGTGTTTGGTACAGCTGTTGGAATAGCTGCTCTTGACTTCTTTCTTCGACTTGCTGTTGTCGAAAGGAGAGTAGCCGAGCGTTGGTTGTGTATTGCTGACAATGAACGGCCTACTGAGGAGAATGGTTATGTCTCCGAGCAGCCGCCGTATGGGACTATCACTAACCGAACACCTTCATTTACGATTATTTCCAAGGGCACCTTCGCTTTGGGGAAACTTTTGCGACAGCCACGGATTCTTATTAGTCTCTGGGCTGTGGTCGTTGGGGCTCTTGTGGTATCTGCCTTTGATGCGGTATGCCATCTATGTGATGCTCACGGAAGTTCTGCTAATGCATTATACAGACTCTGCCAATTTTCGTCGAGGACACATTTCATTGGAACGTTCTAGGCGCCGGTATGATCTTCCTACCAGGCGCCGCAGCTGCAATCTTTCAGCCTCTCTTCGGTGAGCATCCATACCATCGATTCTGTCCTATATCTAAAGCTCACTCTAACCTACATGACAGGACTTTTATCTGACCGTATCGGATCCCGCATAATCGCATTCACAAGTTTTGCTGTTCTAGCACCAACATTGGTCTGTCTTCGTTTCGTGGAAGACAACTCGGCACCACACAAAGCTTTACTCTGTGTTATCTTAGTTCTAGTCGGAATCTGCATCGACTTAAGCGAGCCAGCTCTTATAGTTGACATGCAACGCGTTCTGGACGATATGGAAGCTGCAGATCCCGAAATATTCGGCGAAAAAGGTGCTGTGGCTCAAGCTTTTCGTTTAGAGAATATGGCACACTTTGGAGGACTTGCTTTGGGTCCGATGGCTGGAGGGATGGTTGAATACCGATATGGCTGGAAGGTCATGACACTTGCGCTGGGAGTTCTGTCTGCAGCTACTGCTCTGCCTATGCTTTTCCTCAGTGGTGCTGTTGTAGAGGATACTTGGACTGAATCTGCTGACGATGACTTGGACCGGGAACCCTTGCTGGCGGAGTAAGCTTGCATTGGACTGTATATAGTGACGCAAAAGTAATATTTCTGGTCCATTCTGGATCTGACGTTCGCTAGATGACTGCAAGGCAAGTAGTGTGAGCAAGACTCATCACTTCAAGTTTTTTTGTGAGGGGGTTCAAACTCCTTTGGTGTCCAAACTTGGCACAAATCAACCAATATGCGTTGCGGAGTGCATGATATTTTCTTGAAGGTCTTTTGTCCCACGCATCAGATATTGTGTGGTGTCGAAATCGAAGCATAAGCTAGAAAACAGACAATTTGGCAACTGTGCGTAACGTCAAGGTAGTCATATTTACCCAATCGATGATGCACAGAATCCACAAAGGTCAAGGCAGCCCGTACTGCGGGATTGATAAAGCCAAGCATTCCAGCTTGATGCTCGAAAGATGGTGAAATGCACGAGCGATCAACATGAAGCTCTTCGAGAGACTTCGCAAGACCCTCTCAAACATCTATTATACATCAGAATATAGCCAACTTCCATTCTCAGAAACTGCAGAAGTTAGCCGACACAGAGTCCAATAAGGCAGATACACTTCCCAGCAGAGTCAGAGCGCCATGAATTGATTCAGCTAGCAGCAAAAATTGCTGACTTCGAGCCCATTCGCATGTACGTGTGGCCCGAAGGCATCCCATGGCGGAGTCCCCAGTCAAATCGGTTGTCAAGATGCATCAAGACTAACCCTCATCCTATGTCCAACCAATCACTGCTGGGTATGCGACATAGGTCCAGTCTATGTATGCGGCACAAAAGGAGCATGTTCGAGTTCGGTTTCAACGAGTGGGATGACAAGAAGTCTGGGGATGATGGGATTTGCTGGAGTCAGCAATGGCCATTGATGAATGATGATGTACTACGGGAGAACACAGAGTTCGCGTGGCGGGTGGTCAGGCATGACTGCATCCCCAGCGCTGTCACGCAAATTGACGTTCCGGTTCGTGCTGAGAGTGGCGCTCTTGTTCTAGACGGCGAGGGGACCTTGCTTATCACGAAGAGTAGTGTTTTCTGCGACAAGCGAAACCCAGGAATGACCAAGGGTAATATTGAAGCTGAATTGAAGCGACTGCTGGGTATCAAGAAAGTGATTTGTTTCCCTGGTCGGCGCAATATGGACATTACCGATGTACACATGGATGCGGAGGCGAGGGTCGTGCATCGTCATAAAATTGCACACTTGAAACCTCACGCCATTGCCATCGACCTGTGGCAGGAGTTGGCTGCCGAGATCCGCGAGGTTCTGGGCCGTGAGACGGACGCTAAGGGACGGCGCTTGCAGATCCACCGTATTGAGGAACCGGACCCACGAGGCTTGGTGATGTCTGATCACGATGAGCTGTCGGCGAGCTATGTCAACATTTATTTAGTGAATGGTTGTGTCGTTATTTCTCAGTTCGGTGATGAAGAGAGAGATCAGAATGCACTGGAGATTCTGCAGGGCGTTGCCTTTGGGCGGGTGATCAGGCAGGTGAATGCTAGTGCAATCCCCCTTACTGGTGGAGTGCTGCACTGCGTCGCTTAGCAGGCTCCGATGGTGGAATCCCGGCCAATGAGTCCATGGATGTGGCGTTGTGGCCGAACTGTTGGTCTGTTAGCTACGGCGCAAATGAAGTTGGAATCATTGTGCATTCATCCTAATCACGCCCTGGAATGAGGTATTTTGCGGACGTTAGGAGCCGTGCAAAATTGTTCTGATTTACTTTCGCATGACATCTGCGTTGTTATTCTGGAAACAATGGGTGATTGATTTGCCGATCTCAAGTGGAACTGGGCAGTATTGATGCCACCAAAGTCGAAAAGTCCCGGTTCAAAGGTCTGGAACTGTCCTCTGTTCCCCACACGTAGGATCTGCAAGTACTCTCATGTACAGTACTGTAGTATTTCAGCTGTGAAAAAGCAAAGACTAAGCCGTGCAGAAACCCCAGGGTCCTTTTTAGTGGCGTATCAGATCGCAGAGTACCAATTGGTCTAAATGCCCGACCAAGGCAATATATGTGCATGCGCATAGACAAGACCCGAAACAAATGATGCTATACATAGTGGGGGGGGGGCACTTTTTCTATTTTTCTGTTGGGCCTCAGCCGCACCCACTTAGATCGGCGCGCACATCAAGATCAAGTCTCGGGGTTCCTGCATGTTATGATTGTTGTGATTTCTATGACATAAAAGTATTTCCTTAGACCGCCGCTAGTGCATGTATATGATTCTAATGCCTCAGTCTCTTGGGCTTAATAACCCGAGCTCGCCACGCCCTGTTTTTAGCCTTCACACTTATACAGGATGCCCTGATGCTGTACGTAGTTATATGACAATGATATAAGACATTGCTTTTAGATCGCAGTCAGCCGTGTAGTCCAAGTAGAAATGCCCTACTGTGTGACATGCAGCCTTGAAGTTTCGTCATACATCTCGACATTCTCACTCCTTAGGACTCCACACCATGCAATCCACAAAGCATCAACAGCCAATGACCGCATCATATTCATACCGAGTCCTCATCTGTGCAGAATTGTCTCATTCCGCTGATCTTTTTCTAAGGTGCAGCTCCCCTCATGCCCCGTCCTGCAACTACTACAGGCGAAGCCCTAGGGTACGCATCAAATATATCTCAATGCAAATATCATTGGCTCTTTTGCAGCTTGATTGGGTCTTGCAAGGAGCACTTGGCCTAGTACGACTCATTGCTTATTATTTCCGTGAGAACTCAACGTAATGCAGTATTGTAATTGCGTGCAAACCTGCTTTTTTGTTTTTGTTCGCGGGCGAAGAAGCTGCAGCTAACAAAGCTCTATAAACAGCGTTGTACCCGGGACACGGGATCCTAGAATACATATCATTTGAACGACATTCATATACTTGATATCGTAGTCTTTTCGGTCGCTGGATGTCTTGTAATGTTGTTTCAAAGTCCCAATTTTCAAGTCCCCCAAATTCTACTCGACCGATTCATCTCCACAGTCATGGCTCTGCTCCCCGTTCCCCGTGAGACTATCCTTCCTGGAAAAGTCATCCACGCACCCCACAATGTCGAATACCGGAAATGCTCCCCAGATGAGCTGGTCGATCTGGCAATTGAAGGCAACATTGCGCGCATAGCAAAACGCTCTCTTGTTGGTGGCGATGAATCCTTCTTCGTCGCCGATTTAGGGCAAGTCATTCGACAGCATCGCCGATGGACCCAGAACCTACCAGGAATACGTCCATATTATGGTATGGAATCGTACTACCTTTCCATTTCCGGCCAACCAAAATAAACTACAATGCCTTTGGTATCCGGGTTTAAACTAACATCTCCCCAGCTGTCAAATGCAATTGCGACCCAACATTCCTCAAAGTCCTCGCGGACCTAGGCACAAACTTCGACTGCGCATCCATAGAAGAAATGCGCACAGTGCTCAACCTCGGCGTGGACCCTGCTCGGATCCTATTCGCAAATCCATGTAAAGCCCCCGCAGCCATTGCGTTCGCCCGCGAGGTTGGCGTGCTACGCACTACATTTGACAACATCGATGAGCTAGACACTATCAAAGCACACATGCCCGAAGCCCAACTGTTACTTCGAGTCTATGCAAATGATGACAGCGCCTTTATCTGCTTAGGTGAGAAATTCGGTGCCCAGCTTGATACTACTGAGGAATTATTATCACGGGCGTGGGAATTGGGGTTGAATGTTATTGGCGTTAGTTTCCATGTTGGTAAGTCAGTTCACATCGTCGTAGCTCTGTTTATCAGGTTGATTAACATGTACCAGGAACCGGCGCTACAAACACAGCATCATTCTGCAAAGCAATTAAAGATGCGCGAGTGGCGTTTTCACAAGCAGAGCAGTTAGGATTCACACCCCATCTTCTCGACATTGGTGGTGGATTCCAGGATGATTGTTTCGAGGCCCTGGCTCCATTTCTAAGAGAAACGATTCGGTCAGAATTCCCTGCTGGTATTACAACCATCGCGGAGCCAGGTCGGTTCTTTGCCCGCAGTGTTTATACCCTTGCATGTCGAGTGATCTCACGGCGACGTCAACTTGGGAGTGCGGCCACTGCTGGAATTCCGGATATGCTCTATCAGAATGATGGTGTCTATGGGAATTTCATGAATGTGATTATGGAGAAGGAGATTATGGTTCCTTATCTGGTTGGGAAGAGGAAGGGTGCCGCTTCAACTAAGATCAAGGCCAGTGATGAGAGTGAAAGGCCTGATGGACATCGATATTCGATTTGGGGGCCTACTTGCGATAGCACTGATTGTGTTGTCCGGGAGGTGACTCTTGAATCCGAGGTCAGGATTGGTGATTGGCTCAGGTATAAGAATATGGGAGGTGAGTGATCTGGCTCCATTCAGTATGGATCATGAAGCTAATATGTTTGCAGCGTATACCACTACCACTGCAACCCAGTTCAATGGGTTCAGTAGTACATATGATACTTTTTATGTGAACAGCGAGACAATGCCTTCATACTAGGCTGTGCTGTTTATCCTTTGTGTTTCGGTTTCATGATGTTTCGGTGGAGTTTTCAAAATAGGAAGGATGTTTGTCTTCAAAAGCGCCGTGTTTCAAGCGTGTCTTAAGCTTACTGCGGCATTGGAGATAGTTGTATATAAACACACCAGCATTCATTGATAATTTTCAGAATGATATTGATACACTTATTCCATTCGATATTCCGAAACGACGAGCGGACAAATGACATAGGCAAGACCAGAGATGGTATTTCCAAGCCTCAAGCACTCGTCCCACACTTAAAGCTAGAACGTGTTTTTTGAATGCCATTCTGGTCTCAGTATCAGGCTTGACCCCCACTTGGTACTATTGCTGCTTTGATGGTTGATTTTCCAGCCGGAACATATAATCCTTACCAAGATATATGTCGAAATATTAAAAGAAGGCCTAGGGAGCAGGGGATTGTGAAACCAAAGCTAGACCAAACGTACCAAAACTCTTCCTTTGTCAGAGCCAAAACCGATATACAGCCTTGGAAGCTGAGCACCAGAGAATAATTAACTGAGTCCAAAAACCGCTTGCTCAGGCCGTGGTGTAGGAATACAACATCCGAAATGCAAATTCAAAAATTTTAAGACCGATGAATATCCTGCATTCAGTGAGCTTGAACCAGCAATCTCTTGCGTATATCTATCTCAAAAATCACAAAGTCCATGACCAGAATAGAAGGATGGCCCAGCTCGTCCACATGAATCAAGCATCGCATATAACCAGAAAAACACCAGGCTCATTCCCGAGAGGTTCCTTCCAACAGAAACAACGAAACAGTAATAATAACAAAAGAGGATATCAATCATGAAAGAAACATCACAGAGACATGAGGTCAGAACCAAAGAGAGAGACAGAGAGAGTATAGACGAGTAAGTTAAGATGCAAGAAGATGAAACAGATAATGAGAGTCAAGAGGATATAAACTCTTGGGTGAGATTAAGCCTTCTCCATACCGGACATCTGAACGTCCTCCTGGTGAGCAGTCTCAGGGAGAACATGTTGCTTGATATCCATGCCGTAGGGTTGAGCGTCAGGACTAGCAGCGGATTCACCCTGCTTCTCCGGCATATCGGATCCAGCTCGGTTCTCGGGTCGCTTTCGGCCCAGGCGCTCACACCAGTGCTCAGCACTGACCAACGTATCATTGACGACACCGCTGACTTGTGCCATCATGTCTAGACCTTCATTGGCCAGGACAAGGATACGGTGAGCGCTGACTGTTGCGTCGGACGATGCGGCCGGAGAGTCTGGTGGTGGCTGCGAGGTGGATGCAACTTGGAAGCGGTGCGGCAAAGAGGTAAGGTGTCGACGCACCAGATGGCGGGCGTTCTCTGGTAGAGCACCGCCCGCATACTTGGACACCACGTCGACCACCTGTTTGAGTGTTGAAAGGACATCTGCCTTGACAGCTTGAATGCGCTGGATCAGGAGAGAAGCATTCTCCTGGCGACTACCTCCAGCCTCGACGTCCTGTGATTGACCCTGCTGGTGGGCCTTTTGGTTTTCCCACTCGGTCACGGCACTCTGCAGGGCTATAATCGCCTTGCCGAGTCGTCCGTTGGCCCACCGAAGCCAGGTCAGACAATATTGCAGGCTGCGCAGCGACTCGTCGCTCATAGCAACACCGAGACCGGATGTTGAAATAACTAGTCGGCTCTGCCATGTCGGCGAAGAGCGCCGTCCTTGCTTCTCTTCGTAGTGGGGTGACCTCATCTCGTCATACGGTGGCAGTGACTCCGACATAGACAGGTCTGAGGAACTCCGTGGTCGTGATGGGTGCGCTGCGCCGTCCTGTCCTTTCTCAATATCCATCGTTCTGGGCGACACATTACCGTCCATCTTGCGACGTTTCTTGGCGTGCTTGGAGTCTGAGTTTGTAGAGTCTCGTCGCTGGAGCGCCCAACGAAGACCACTCTCGACACCAGTCTTGCGACCAACTGTGCCGACAGTGTTTGCGACAGGTGAGCCAATGTTTCGCTCAATAAATTCGGCGCCGGACTTGAAACGCGGCGAGTATGACTTCGAGGTTGCGTACGCAGACACGGAGCCGTTAATCGCAGAAGATATAAGGGGATGAGAGGACGTCAATAGCGACAGTAGTGGCTCTGGTGGTGGTGGGTCCGGTGAAGCGATGGGAAGGGATTGTCGTGATGCTCGAGGAGACTGGCCGAAGTCTGCGAGTCGTTAGTTGAGTTGTCTGTCGTACAGCAAAATCCACCCAGAACCGCTGATTCGGCATATCATACCGGAACGCAGTCCCTCCAAGGCCTGCGCGGCCTCGATATCATCCATAGATAGTACACTGGCAGCTCGACGTGAGCGATCCTCTTCCATCATGGAGGAATGGGCATGGTGGAAGGGAGAGAGCGAATTGGAGGTCAGAGGGCCTGTGGCGTTCTTTCTGGGAATTTTCGGGGCATCCATGGCGGGTCCTTACAGAGGGGAGAGTGAGCCCAAGAGATTCGGAGTTTCATCTTCACGTGAAGATGTCACTTGAGCCACTAACCCCAATCGGGAAGGTTAGTAAGGATCACATTCATAGTACTTCCTCCGTCATACATTTCACTATGGCCCGCCAAGTGCCTCTCACATGCAAACTCCCAACACTTCTTACCAGCCTAGGCATATTCTTCCCCTCTTGGGTCTTTGACATCGAGCTTACCGAAACCATTTAGCCAGAAAATTGGATGCTCGCATTCAATTTTGATTTGATAGTCCGGGGCAGCCTTACACCTATACTTCTGGGAGAATCTTTACCCAAAGTATACAACCTCATTTTGAACTGTCCTACATCCAAGAGCCACCGCTATGACCATGCTAGTTAATCATTACTCGTTTTCCTTCGCGTCATCCGCTCCAATGTAACTCGACTAAGTTAGGACCGTTCATGTACCCCAACATGTGCTAGGATCTGCTCGTACTGCCTAATTTCCTACCCTTTCCTGTTAATGTTCGTTGGAATGCTCCCTGTCATATTACAATATGGTATCTATACAAGAGGCAGCAAAAATGATAGAAAATGAGCCTGGAACTAAAAAAAAACAGACAAAAAAGAAAAAGAAATCGACAGCTATGTGATTCGAACACACGCGGGCGAACCCACTCGCTTAGCAGGCGAGCGCCTTAACCACTCGGCCAAACTGTCATTGGTGTGGCAAATTTCTTTGACCACCAATTCAGGTACCCGAAGATCTACAGGGACTTTGTAAATATTGGGCACAAAGAAAGTCTGCGAAGTATATGGCGATTGTTTGTATAGAACGAACAATCTTGGTCTATCCGCATAACAAAACCCTTTGATCATGCGTAAAATATATATGCAAAGCCCCTCTGGCAATCAAGGAATTTGTTGTAATGCCAAAAACTCGAGTTTAAAAGGTAAAGCTTGGTGGGACTCGCTTGGGAGACGGAAAGCTGGAATGCAACCAAACCACGCTCATTGGGTAGAATTCTTTGCAAATCGAATCTAAAGACTTTTTTTTTCATTTGTTCCTTGATTTAAACCCATGATTTGTTGTCAAAGTTTGATATACTCTTACTGTCCTATCTCCGAAGCATACGTCGCCGACGACGTACATGCACTATCCAGAGCATCACCCATTCCATCCTCCCGCAGAAACCGATTTTTGTTTGACAATATGAATTTAGTTCTTCGTTCAATCTTCATAACACGTGACAGTTTGGCCGAGTGGTTAAGGCGCTCGCCTGCTAAGCGAGTGGGTTCGCCCGCGTGTGTTCGAATCACATAGCTGTCGTATTTCTTTTTGTCCTTTTCAATTTCGTTTTTTGTACTCCTTATCTGGTCATTGCCACGGGAGACAGGCTGTAGAACCTCTGCCAATGGAAATCTACATCTGCTATGTGATCCATGGATATTTTTGTTTCACTGTTTACTGACCAAATAAGTTTGTGGCACATATTGTGGTTATGAATCAATCCTCCAATGCTGACAGTTTGGCCGAGTGGTTAAGGCGCTCGCCTGCTAAGCGAGTGGGTTCGCCCGCGTGTGTTCGAATCACATAGCTGTCGACAATTTATTTTTTGTTTCCTTAATTTGTTTTTTGGCACTGGAGGACATTTACTTATGAGCAAATCAATACAGTACGTCTATTGATGCCTCAAGCAGTAGTATTGACCGCAACATACCGAGAAAGATATTATTTTAAGCGGATGCGCTCATAGGGCTTAGTGGATCTATAGAAACCACAGTAAGAACAACCCTATAACGTTACCTTGTTCCTTAACTCTCCCTCAATCGATCGCATTAATCCCAATACAGACCGCACCCATCCCCGTCGGAATCTCTACACCCGTCTCCGTACACACCTATTAAATGCATTCCTATGCTTACTCGGAATACGGTCCTCCGCCCGATCACATGCGGTCAAACCCAATTAGCCGTAGAATTTACCCAAACGAGAACGAAGCCAATCGCCAAGTACTGTATAGACTAGGCAGTCGAAATCGGCATCTAAATTTGAGTTTGCTCCCTTTAGGCTCGAAGTCCCGCAGTTGTTGGGACCGTCTGTTTCGTTCGGCATGTGATGTTCGGCGGAGAGCTTGTGCTTTGGTCTCTACCTGGAGGCTGGATTGGGGACATGATGTCTGTTCAAAGAAGTGTGCTTTCTATGTACATGTATCGTGTAATTAACACGTGATGCGAAGGTACATCCATGTCTGCTTCTGACATATGCAATAAAACAAAGGGTATCTCGTACTGCTGCGCATGGCAAATAACATGATCATCACAAGGGACCATCGCTCGGAATCAGATGAAAAGCGAAAAAGGAAAAAAAAAAAGCAATCATATGCAGTCATCGGGAGGCAATCATTATTCGTATCTCATTCGACAGACATTCCATCATCCCAGTCATCATAAAAATCAGCCGGGGCACCCTGATCAACCGCTATCAATGCCTCAACAGCCTCCCCGCCTTCATATTCATCCCCATCACTATTATTATGATCGGGCAGATCATTAACCGTCAGATGGGCTACCATCTTCTGATTAACCCTGTAACAAGCAAGAACGTCATTGGTAATAAGGCGAGACGCCGAGCCAGACGCCTTGATCTGGCATAAAGTCTCGCCGAACGCGTGCATGACGAATCCCGACCGCGGATATCGGAGATATGCGTATGATGCTAGCACCTGCGACCACTCGCTCCGGCTATTTTGCCAGGTGTGAAGGAGCGGGTGTGAGCCCTCAGGGGGAGGCAGGGCGCTGGCGCATTCAGCAGCTTGGCGTGAAATGGCGGAGAACTCTGCGTTTGAGGCGCTGTGGCCCTGGCTCCATTGCCGGTACAACTTGTCGATTGATAATTGGATCTCGCCCGTTAATTTTCGTAGATCTACAGACCCCGGAGGGCTTTCCTCTGGCGGAGGGCTATTCTCTGTCACTTCGAGGACAGTATTCCACGGACGAGTGAGGTCTTCGTCTCTGTCATTGTGGATTTTGCTTTCGGGGAAGGCATCGTTCAGTCTTGACAAGATCGTTCGTAACTCACGATCTGCGACTTCGAACTTGAGGTAGTCGACGATATTTGATGGGTTTGATTTGCGCTCTGAGTTTCGATATGCAGGGAGTGCGCGTTGCTTGGGACTTATTGTCTTGCGATATTCCTGCCAGGCCTGCTCTGAGAGATGAACTCCACCTTTACGGCCATCGACCAGATAGCTCAGTAGACATGCTAGCTCTTTGGCTTTACGAGAGTCAATTGATTCATCGTATGCCAGCTTCTCATGTTCAACCGTGCATCGACCCAGATTCGACATGGTAAGGTTGAAAACGAATGAACTTTCCAAAAAGTCGTCCGTCGATTCCAACTCAGCCATCTGAACCGACTCCTTAGAGAGCCCATAGTGCTCCGCAGGGAACTCCTGCGAAGGCAAAGGGGAATTATGAAAGTTCTGTACAATCATCGGATCCCAACAAACCCACGGCGTATCACCATCGTAATCCCCACCAGACAACATATGAGCCAGCGGGATATCACCTTTCGTAGGGAAGACAATGACATCCTTGAAATGGCGAAGCTCTGGCTTCCAGACGGCTTTGCGCCGTTGAATATCCGATGGGTAATGGGCAGGGAGTCGACCCACAAGAACATCTACGCCTTCTAGCAGGTTGTCCTCAAATTGACCCTGGGGATCTCGCCAGTTATTCGAGAATCCGAAATGAACTTCGCCTGCGTTTAGCACCCCGTAAGGGTCCGCAATGCAGTAGGCATATGTAGACAGCGGGACATGAATCTTGAGTTCCTCGAGTTGTCGCTCCAGAAGCCATTTCAGATACTTGCGGATCTTGACGCGCAGTGGATAGAAGGTCTGTGGTTCAAAGCCAGCCTCCGAGAGGCGAATGATAGTCTCTGCATCGTTCATCATCCACTGCTCCAAACGGCGTAACTTGCTAGTTGAATTGTCACCAGACGTTCTCAGTTTCTGCAGGAGTGCTCGGCAGAGAACAGGGCTGTTGGATTGTAACACTTGGAAGAAGTCATCGTAGAGAGCCTGAACTCCATCACACGTAAGCTTGGCAATGTATTCCTTGACATGCCCTCCATATTCAAGAATGGAAAGAAGCTGGATATTCAGATCGACTGGGTGGAGTGGCTGAGCCCAGTTGACAACTTCGAAGGTCAACTTCTCGTCGTCCACAAGACCCACCCAGTCCTCGGGATGCGGGTGGATTTTCAACTGTGAATCTGATATCTGGATCCAGATGTCATCGTTGTTCATACTTGTGATGCTGGATTGGTGTCGATCGACCATCCATAGGCCCTTTGCTCCTGCGATTCGACCTTGGAAGCAGCTGGGTGTGGCGGAGGTTATTCCTAACCGATCGCAGATTTGGTTTGCGAGGGGCCTTGACATTAATGCGCATCCATCGTTCATTACGGTGCTTCCGGGGCAATCTCGCAAGCGGAGAACTTGAGTTGTCTTCAATGTGACTGTCACAAATGTCTTTGATAGACCCAGGGAAAGACGTTGGAAGAGCTTGCAGTTGGTCTGGTTGTCATTTGCGGCCTTGGGCATATGCCATTCCAGCAATGCATCGACGCCCATGCGTGTATGTTTGTCACTTGGCTGTCGAGGAGGAGCTATCTGAGGCGGCAACTGACATCCACGATCGAAGTCTTCGCCATCGACGGCAAATAATTCGACACGGAACTTGGGCTCACTCTTAGATTTCTTCTTAGTTTTTACTTCCTCAACATAGAATGCTCTCCATGTTCGACCAAGGCACTGGTGGTCATTTCGAGTGAGCCAAGCAGCAATACTCTCGCGAAGAACCGAAGGATACGAAGCTCGTCTCTGGTGTGCAGGAGGCCGGGTGGGAGCTGGAACAGTCACAGACAAAAATCTATCCGAGCCAAACCGTCTATGGAAGCGGCATGTTTTCTCAGACTTGAGTGGATTCAGAGTGAGTTTGAAGATTCCCGGCTCGGATTCTTCGCACCATTCCATGTCTCCAGATAACACCACGACTTCTGAGAGTTTCTTCGTCTTAAAATCGCCAACGGCAGCATCCCAAGCCCTGCTAGATGATTTCTCCGGAAGTGGACGGTTACCACGTTGACTGTGCCCACTCACCCACGCCCAGAATTCATCTTGGCTGTTGAATGGAAGACGATCACCAACAAGCATTCTGTTGAGTGGAACACCCCATGCACGCCCCACGCGGTCCAACTCGTATCTAAAACGCAGAGGAACTGTGCCTGGCAGTGAATGTTCGACTGTGAACGGCCCATCGGACAAAAGTTCACTGATCAAGTCCTTCTGCAGCAGGTATTTTGTCTCAGCGGGATCATAATTGACCATCATGGATGTAGCAGCATCCATGCTTCTGTTCATTTCGTCGCTGATCATATAACCAACTACAGAATCAGAATAGGTTGATTGCGTATCCATTGGTTCTGCAATTTCCATCACGACAGTATCAAATGACAGATCCATACTGGTATGCCGAGAATCCTGGATCGATGAATCCGTATCCGAGGAACTGGTATTGACAGATTGAATCATGTTATCACCCTTTGGTTTGTCGGAGGCTGCGGTGTGCCTATCTAGCAATGTAGGTTTCTTGAATTCGCTACCATCCTGGACTGGAGGGTCGCCACTGACAGGTTTTTTGAAACCAAAACCGAATGACCGAAGATCCATCTGTCTCATTGGCAACTGAGGTGGTGACTTGGCCACCTTTGGACTTTTCGTCGGAATTTTTGTCGGGGTCTTTGTCGGAGCTTTTGTTGGAGACCGGGGAGCTCCCTTGCTTTTTGTCGGTGACATACTCCCCTCTTGGGGTTTCGAAGGAGAAGAAAAGCCCACAGGTTTATTTCCTGGCGATTGAACAAAATTCGAGTCTCCTGCCGGCTGAGAGGCGGTTATGCTTGCAGGTGGTTGGACTCTTCCCTGTTGTTTCGTTGGAGATGTAAAGCTTGCTGGACTCTTCGCCGAAAATGGGAAGCTCCCTTGATTCTTGACAGGCGAAGTAAAGCTAATAGCCCTCTTCACAGGCGACTGGTCAGAATTTGCATGTCCAGACAACTTAAAACTAGTCGCACCCCCCGGAGATGGAAAAGCACCATCCTCGTTCTTCCCCAAAGGCGACTGTCCAACAGGAAGAAAAGGTGAAGCCTTAATAGGCGAATTAGGTGCCGCATGGAAAAGCTCCTCGGCATCGTGATCGAAGTCCTCAAACTCGTCATTGTCATTGTCCCCAAAGGGAGTATCACAATCCACGGAAAACCTTCGTTTTTTCTTTGGTGATAAGCCCACAGAAGTCATGGGTGGATTCTCTGCTAACCTTTTATTTCCTGCATGTGCCTTTGCATGACTCGGATTCCGATTCGTGCTCTGGTGGGGATTCTGATTTTGATACTGGTGTTGGCGTTGATGGCTAGTCATTGAAGTTGAAGTTGAAGTTGAAGTTGAAGGTGAAGTTGAAGAATTCCGCGTTGGCGTCGTAGTGTCAACGCGCCCATTCATAATCATATACTCCTCATCTTCAATAAGCTTAAGCAAGTACCTCATTCGATCGGCCCTAACCGAATCAGAAATACTCAAGCTGATTGATACCGAGTGAGACAGATCAGGCGGTTCAACACGCATGCGAGCATTAGTGCGTGCGCTTGCACTGTTCTTCCCCAGAGTTGAACCCTGGTCCTGGTTCTGGATCTGGAACCGGTTCAAGCCTCGACCCTGACCAAAACCCTCAGTCGATACTGGCGCCGGTGACGACTGACCAACAACCCATTCCCTCAAATCAACTACCAACCCATTCGCATAACCCTTGTAGAAAAGCGGATGAAGCCGCTTGTAAATTTGCCATGGGGGCGTAGTATTCCTTTCTCGAGAGGAAGGGGATTCAATGCCTGGTACAGGAATTTCAAGGGCGAAGTCTTTGTTTAGGGATTTGATGTAGTCGGTGAAGGATTGTTTTTGGCGTTGGGGGGTTGTTGGTGTTTGGTTCATGGCGGGTGGTTTTGGGGGCCCGTCCGGAAGTGAAGTCTGGTTTGGGATAAGCTTGGGTATGATAAGGTGAAGATATGGATAGGTGAAGATATGCGATTGAAGATGTCAAGTATCAAGATATGAGAGAGTGTGGACTTGGATCTGGATATGCCGCTTCTTTTTGTTAGAGGAGGGCTGTTAGGTGGGGGTGATGCATCGAGTTGGGATTATATGCCTTGGACATGGATATGAACATGGATGATTTGCAGATACGAGTGATTCCAAGTCGAGAAAAAGCAAATAGGTACTTTTTCCTAAGTGTTTGCCCAGAGACCGTGTAGCCGCCCGCTGTTTCCATAGTGGGGGTGTCACTGTGACAACTCAACAGCAGAGCTACTGGAGGTTGGGATGCATGCGCCCGTTTCTCATTTCCAGGACCCAAAATAGGTACACATTTGATTGAGCATAATTATAGAACACTCGAACTCGACTTCTACCATGCTCAATTCCCTTCCAAGCTCTCATGTTCAGGCTCGTTCTTGTCTGTCCACAAATCCGCTTCCATGGGGAGGACACGCTTACTGTTGACGACAGCCACCTTGTAACCGATAAGCAAGATGACATAAAAAGGAATACTAATATAGGAGGCGACAAATGACCCGATATCCAGTTTCCGGGCACCAGCCTCGTAGCCAAACGAATCAAAGACTATTGTGACAGCGATGAAAAGACAGAGCACAAGCGCTAGACATGTACCTGGCAAGCCAAAGCGAGCCCTGAAAGCCAGAGTCTTATCAGGAATTCCTTGGGCCGTGCGTGCACGCACAAATGAGATGTGAGTGACCAAGATGGAAATCCATGTCAGAAGGCCAAGCATTGTGACCATGTCTACGAAATACCCGAAGACGACCGTCGAGTCCTGCCGGACATTGAGATATGCGAGTGTAGCCATTGACGAACACACTCCCAATGAGTAGATCGGAACGCCGCGACTAGTGGTACGTGACAGGAATGCAGGTGCACGGCGTTTGAGTGACAGATCGCACATTGCTTTGGTTGCCAAGTAAAGATCGTAGTCTGCGATGGACAAGATGAATAACAGAATGCATGCATTGAGCAGATCGGGTAGCACTGAGATCCCGGCCAAGTATAGAGCAGCGACGAAAGCCGACGCCGCAGCTTCATGGTTTGCCTCACTGTTGAAGGCGACCGAAACCGAGTCTTGAGGAACAATCATACCGAGAAGAGTAATGGCGAGAAGATGGAACACCATGATTCGATAGAAGGTATTCTTGATCGCGCGCGATGTGGCCTTTTGAACATTCGGAAAGTGACAGATGCCCGATCTCTCACTCCCAATGTAAGCAAATGTAGCCGAAGACATAGTCGAACAAGTGATGTAGAACTTCTCAAGCAACCCATGCGGATGATTGTGATGAGCGCCAAAAGGACCAGGATCCGACCAATACCGAAACCCTCTGCGATCATGATCCGGCCCTCCACCCAGCGCAATAACCGTAGACAGAATCATGAGTCCAAGCATGACAACCAATTTGAACGAAGAGACATAGAACTCAATCCGACTGGGGAACTGATGGCTGATACAGTTCATCGTCACGATAATCGAAAGGAAGATCGTAATCCATGCTCCGGGATTGACTCGCTCAGCATCGACCCAGTAAGAGACGACAAGTGCCGCAGCAGTGAGCTGGTTCGGCGTGACGAGGGCGTATTTCAACCAGAAGCTTTGAGGATGTGAGTAACCAAGACCGGGTCGATGAAGTTCCATGCAACAATGACACTTACATCCAACCCAAGCTGAACCCAAGTGCCGGATCACAGAATCGAACAGCCTGGTCGGCTACTGTATATGGCTTCGGCAGCCATGAAGCGACCTCGCCCAATGCGGAGAGAACGAGGAAGACGGCGAATCCGACGATGGTATATGAAATGATTATGGCTGCGGGCTGTTTCCGGTCAATATCTCTGTTCGTGTCCTCGGGCATATCACTTACTCCGCTCCTACTCGGCGTCAATGCAGCTCTTACAAAGGTTCTGGTGAATGAAAGAGCTTACATGGACAACGCTCTTCCCGTTCCAATCATCAAACCAGTTCCAATCGCTGATCCGATGGCTGAGACCTGTCAGTATAGATATCTTGGAACAACCTGTAGATACACACTGATCACGCTGATCTGTCGGGGTGTTAATGACCCGTAGATATCGCCGAAGCCAGTGGCAGGTTCATTGTGGTGAGCTTCGGGGGCATCTGACAGACTCGTCCTGGTCGGGCGGATGACTGGTTCGGCGCTGAAAGGTGTGGGCTGAGATGGTGATGCCGGCCGGCGACGCGCAAATATCCTATATAGGCTCCGCATTGTCAATATCCAATGAGAAGACTGAGAAAGCTAAGAGTAAAGAGAAGATAGGATGGGTAGCCATCATTGCATATCAGGTAATAGCCAAAATGGAAAGAACGAAGGACACCTTTTTGGGATCACAGATCATTGGGATGTATTTTCTATATGCAAAAAAACCCATAGGGATCACTGAATGGCATATGAAACAAATAGAAGTAATTCCCAGGCATTCCAGCAATTCTAATTGCCATCAGCCCGTCGCACCCAAAAAAAAGTGGCATCTATAGTCCAAAAGCCACAAGATCACGAACGCCCAAAATTGACACCCAAAAAGCACCAGTCAGGTTGCATACTGAATTTCCATGTCCCCCGCAGGGGCCAGAGGGGAAGCAGAGATATCATAAAGTCTTTGTCAAATTACCAAATGGAAGACGGTTCTCGGGTCGGCGTTGTCTGAGACGGTCGCTTCCCTGATTAGGTGAAGGGAGTGGAGGTTTACGTTGGAACACGTGGAGAGGAGAGTGTGTAAATCGTCAATTCATCGCGACATGAGCGAGTCGCTGGATTCGGTCCGGGGGAAAATGCGCGTGTAGAGGGAATCGCTGGACTCGGTACGGGGGAAGTGTCGTTGGTGCTTGCGGGAGATAACACGGTCGGTGTAGACGCCCTTGGCCGAGCCGCGGATGACCTGCTCGAGATACTCGCAGAAGTCTGTGGGCTGGAACTCCGGGTACAGATCCTGTGTGGTGTGGTAACCAAGATACTTGGCGTATTCGGGGTTGTTGTCGCCGCGGATTCCCCACGAGAGCTGGTATTCGGCCAAGTAGCGCGGGATGAACTTGATCGGATCGAATGGGTAGGTTTCACTGGCCTGTCGGGCCGCCACGACTCTGCTGCAGATGGTCTCCTCGGGCACCTGTGCTCCGGAAAAGAAAAATGGTTAGTCACTTACTTCATTCCGGGCCGAGAAAGGTCTGTGCGACTCACGTAGTTCCGATCGATCTTCTCCTCGCTGAGCTGCTCCATGAGATCGTAGATCTTGTTTTGTGTGGAAACCAAGTTGTAGGCAAGGATCTTCTTGTTCAGGGTGCGAGGGTCGGAAATGATCATGGCCATGTAGCGACCGATATCGCGTAAGTCGGTCAGAGCTGTGGGCATGTTGCCGTCGCCGATAATCTCATCGTTCCCGGATGTCATGGCGTAATCGACACGGCCGGAGGGGAGACGGGGGTAGGCCAGCTGGTACCACCAGCCGACATCGACGATAGTGTAGGGAATCCAGAGCTGGCGAATCTGGTTGTAGACAATTTCTTTCTGTAGTACACGACCTGGTCAGCCCACTGAATGTAAGTACCGCGCCACAATGCTCATACCTCGTCACGCAACCACATGACACCACCTGGTGGGCAGACGGTGATGAAACCGCAAGGCACAAATCGCTTGACGCCGGTCTTCTTGGCCGCTTTGGCGAGAGGAATCTGGTCCTGTTGTTCGGCGGGACCGACACAGCTGATGACCACATCGATCTCAGCCAGAGCTTCGATGAGCTCTTCCTCGGGAGCCTTCAAGTCGCATTTCCGAATCTGAATACCGCGATCCTGGAGACGTGTGATGGCAGGCTTCTGGGCCGAGATAGGACGGACAAGAGCAATGACTTCCTATAAACCCCAAAACAAATCGAGATCATTAGTCGGTGGTCAATTGACGGAAGGTGGGCTGCGTACAAAGTCACCGGTATCCAACAAACCGTTAGCAATAGAGCCTCCGGTTTCACCCGCTGCGCCAACCAGCAAAACCTTGGTCTTCGACATGGTGAATAATGTTATAGAGGTGAAGAAGGGGAGGGGGGCAGTGTTGGGGGGGAAGTGAAAGAGAAAGAAAGGGATTGGGTAACAGGTTTAGGACCTGACGACGTTATAAATTCCCAAGACTAACCAACCCACTTTCCCACCAGTGGGTCAGTGGATGTTCGTTCCCCTCGTTTTGAGGGGATGATTTTTCCCATGATGTCAGGTACTTATATATTCTGTCTATCCTGTTATTGATTCCATCTCCTACACTTTTCTCCGTACTCTGTACTCTTTACAAGACTCCGTCTCGTACGGGCCGGGTTCGGGAGGGGTTACGTCATTTTACGGCTTCCCGTTGGATAATGATGATGTTTGCGGCTAACTGAGTTATACAAGTATACACCTCTGCTTCTCTGGTAAAGTTCTTTAGATATCTGGTATTCTCCGGTCTACAAGTACAGTAGTCAGTAGTCACTTGCAGAATCTCCCACGTCACAGATCTCGCCAGGTTTCAGCGAAGCTTAGTCATCCGGTGGCGCTGACCGAAAAATGGAGAGCCTCAGCCAATCAGACGCTATCTTGGACTGCCACAGGTGCCTATGAGGAAATAGTAAGCAATAGCACGGTTCCCTAAAATTGCTTGTGATCAAAATAGTGCCGAAATCCTGGTCAGTAGGAAAGGATAATAAGTAATAGGGGGCGCCACAGCCGCGGGAGATCTGTGCCGTAATTCTGCAAATCTCCTCTCTGCTAACATCACACCCTTAACCTTCATCAACTTGGGACTCTGGGCTCTCGGTGGGGTAGCAGCGAGTGACTTGCTTTGGGTTCTGTTCTTGATATGGTAGGTAAGGGTGGCGATCTCGGGCTCTTCGCGGGGAATGCATAAGAAGGCCCAAGCAAAGTGACTCTGTGAAAGGATCAACAGCTAGTAAGAACTGCGGGGGACGTGAAGCTGGGGAAAATTGAATTGGGTACATGTGATGCAAATTGAATTCGTGATAGCTTCGCATTAGGTTTCCGCCAGTTCAGTAATTAAGGAGAGAGGTGAAGCCCAACTTGGGCTTTGGCTGCTTCCATCCCAGTTGCAGAGTCCAGGCTAAACTGCGCCTTGACCTTGACGTCTGGCTGTATGGACATGGGTCGCAAAAGTACTAGGGTTCTTGATTTCTGTTCTGTCGTCTATTGGTAGTGATCTCCTGCACCTTTTCAACGCGACACGGTGGCAACACTTGAAACATAATGTGCCCAATTATGTCAAGGCCTTGAACTACTCCGTTCTGTTCATAATGCATGATGTGTATGGACCACTAAGTAGATCTTTTTATTTTTATTTTACTCGGTGTGTTCTATGGTTTTTGCACAGAAATGACTATTGATGGATCTTCTACATTAAACCAATGCTAGCTACCCTCTCATCCCCACTCTACCTAGATTTTAGATACTTTGACCCCTACCTCCTGACCCGGCGCGTGCAATCGGCATCTGCACATACAACGCACTACCTACATGTACTGATAGCTGAAGCAAGGGGCGGGTGCATTCTCCTTGTAGGGATCAAGAACGCGGGATATCCCGTGCTGTATAGCATCATAAATGCCGCACTCCTTTAGTCCCTAGTACCGAACCATTCCGCTACCTACGTATTTGATTGCAGTATTCTTTTATTCATTCTCGCATACTAGAAAAGTACCTGCGTCGTTCCTGGCATGCCTAAACACCTCTTACTCTATGAATAACTGTCCGTCTGAGATCTACAACATTCGCTTGGGATGTTAGTGAATGGCAATTCGTTGCAGATAGGATTTTCAAGTTAAAATTTAGGAAGTTCGATATTACAAATCCTCCGCCTGTGCAGGTACTATCGGAAAGATCCTCTTATGAATCGAAGTAACTATAGCTGTCGAATTTACTCAGCCACCCCTAATTCACCAAAATCCTCATAAGTGGTTGGAACCTGCAGAGATAATCAAGTCCAACAACACCAAAGAATGAAACAATCTTATAAGAGCACCACTATCTCTTTGGAACCCTTCAAGTAAATAGTGTTAAAAAAGAGACTTATACGGTAACACAGTGGCCACCTATGATCCGTCGGACAAGTCTATAAAAACACATAGATCAGCTTCTCAAAAGCTCAAATTACCAATTTGAGGAGCTTAAATGAGCTTACATGCCAAGACACTTGTATCGATCATGCGGTAAACTGCCTAAAAGAAGGATAAATTACTAGATCATTGGTTTAACAGCTTCGCAATGATAGTATCATCTCCTCACTTGTCCTTGCAACGGTCTAGTTCCACGCCAAAAACCGCAATAAACTCATCATCATCATCATCCCCACCAACTTAGTCAGACCTCATGGCAAGACGATGGGAGTCTTCTGAAGATGCATGCTCAGAGAGATAGTCGGTAAGCGGAACAGCGCCTCCAGCTAGAGGGGGCTCGGAAGGGAGAGCAGGGTTTCCAGCTGGAGGACTTTCAGAAGGAGAGGCAGTGGGCTCAGCAGGTGGGGTTTTTGCAGAAGGAGCTGGGTTCTCGGCTGGTAGGCTTGAAGAAGGAGGACTTGAAGCAGGAGCATCGGCAGGCCAAGACCAAGCCGCAGCGTAAGCCGCAGCGTCGTCCGACTGGACTGACATAGTCACTTCTCAGGGATCTGCAGCCTTATGAGGGGTCGAAAGGGCCAGGCTAGAGAAGATGATAGCTATAAGGGTTTTTGGACGCATTTTGATAGGGGTTCGGGATATGTTTTGGAAGGATGTGGTTTCAATGATGGATGATGGCCATCTTTATACCCGGGAAAGTACATATGTACTGGCTTGGAAATATCACATCGATATCTTGAGCGAAGGGAACTATTCTGGCCATAGAAAAGATGTATATGCTGCATTCGTACCACCTACATCGACACGCTAGTCTGTCTGCCATTCGGACATTACTCGAGGTGTTATGTTTGGATGGCGGTTAATACTCCGGTGCTCCCAGTACGACCGCATTAATTGCAGAACCCGAGGCCGCCATGCCAAAATGTTGAGATGGTTTTGGAGCCTTATAGGCCTTGATCTACAAGCTCGAAGTGGCAATCAGGAAAGCTCATGCAGTAGAAAGTTCTTTGTTTTGTGTTCTTCATGTTGTAAAACACAAAGGGAATTGTAAAACACAAGCCAAAGGAACCAAGTTGAAAAAGCGCGGGTATCTCACAAATTGGAGATGCGATGAAAAAAAATATGTAGAGACAACGGTTGAATCATCTCGCCCTTCAATGCCCTTGTGCTGCTCGTTGTTCAAATGGATGAGGCTCGAGTTGCAGATAGTGCGGAGGTTACTGTCCCGCTTAGTATCCACGGCAGTGCCACGGGTGGAGCGCAACAGTTACCCCAGATACAAGGTCATTTCTCTAAATAGAAGCAATTCTATCCTTTTTCCTCCCTATATATGCTTGGAGGCTATGAGAATAATCCTTTCTGGGATGTGAAATGGTGTTGTAGGTGAAAACCTTGATGTACATTCGCTGAAGCCGAAATGTGTGCTGAATGATACACACTTCATATGTAGAAAGCTGAGATCCCCGTCCCCTTCTAAAAAGAATTCACATTTCATCTAACTTCCCGAGGAACTATAAGAATCACCCATCATGTTAGCGTAGCATCTAGCCTGGATCTGCAAATCCTCTTGAACTTGCGGGGTGTCTTTGGCAACGTCAATAGTGCGCAGAAGTTGAGGGCCCAAATAAAACCGAAAAGTCTGTATATCCGCATCAGCTTTAATCATTTGGCGAATCTGCATCCCCCTCAACTTTTGTATATAAGCCCATCGTGCTCTTGCAGTTTCTATTTGCTTTTCCCTCTCATGACCTCGTTCTTCCCAAAATGTTGTCTGCTGCTCAAAGCCTCGGTTGTAGTCATTGAGCCATCCATCTCGCCAGATCTGGCCACTTGGTTTCAACTCCTGTTCCCAGTCTCCGTTAGCTGCTGCTATTTTCAACTGGAAGCTTTGCATTTGTCCGAGGTCATCTTCATCACGGCATAGGGTTAAGCAGCTTCGGTGGCGGAGATAGTGTTGTTGAATATGGTAGTCTAATTGATAGTGTGCGAGGCGGACGACTTCACCTTTGTCGAGGTGACCAGTTTCGGTTTCATTGAGCTGAGAGCCCTTCTTCTTGTATTTGCCAATAATTATACCGAGTTGCTTGTAGTAGCGTTTTCGTAAGGAGGATGAGATCTCCTCCCAGAAAGTTGGGATTTCTTCGGATGGCGGTTCGGTACTCAAAGGGCAGACACAGATATCCTTGTTCCGCATAACTTTGTTGATGAAATGGTATGGATAGCTGGATGTATCGTATGTCTTTAACACTGTCTCATCAATCGTCATCATATATTTGGAGACTTTGTCGGCATATTCGCAGCCTGGACAATCGAGTGCTTCTCTCAGAGCTTGAAGCTGGGGGGAACTGCTTGTTTGGATGGACGCATGAAGCTCCTTCTTCGAATGCAAGCGATATTTAGTGCTCGAGAGCTCTCTTTTGATAACGCTCCATTTAGCCGATGGGAAGTTCTCGTCCCTGGTCTTTGTTGACTTGGATAATGACAAATTCTTCTTGGGTTTACGGACTGCCATGCTGTATGTAGGTCAAAATATAGCAGTGATAGGCTTGAAGTCAGACCTGGAGTAGAATGTATGCTGTGCAGAAGGGTTACTGAGATGTGCAGGTGGGAGTTCATTTATCTGTTGACCAAGAGGTTTGTATGGGATTGTTCTCAACAAAACAACAAAGAATATCAGGTTGTCTCGGATGCAGAAGAGATAAGAAAAGAATGCTTGTGCATATTTAGATCCACTTATTTTAAGTTGAACAAAGAGAAGCCCTCGGCTCATCAAAGAATAGCATATATGCTATTCTTGTGCGGACATAGGAACCTAGCTATCTCCTTCAGACCTTCATAGGTAGATCCCTGTCTACGCAACGGCTTGATCTATGTTGCTTTCTCTCTGGTCAATTTATATAGAGACATTGCATGATGCAAGTCTCATCAGATGACCTACCTAGGGATTGGAAGGCCATAACAAAGGAAGACCACAGTACCCCGATTCGCCGCAGCAGAAAGATCTGAACATGTCCTCCCACAGCCTCACCTACCGGACTGCCTGGCCCGTGCCACTGTAGACATAATGGCTATTTACTTTACAGCTCGAAACACTTTTCGTTTCCACATGTCTCTTCACTTTCGCAACATCTGCATCAAGTGAACAGTCCCCGAACCAGGTACGCATAAAATCACAAATCATCCTTTATCGACTTCGAGAGTCCATCATGGAGGAAGCTTCACTCACCATTCCGTTGACCTGCCTGGCACTCTCTTTCCTCTTCACGATTTGCGTCTACCACGCCTCGACCAGAAACTTTCTTCTCCTCATCGTCCAATATCTCGTTCCCGCTGACCATCTCCTCGTCATTGCATTCGTTGAATATGGCGTCCCATTCACCAACTTGTCCTTCCTTCCTGGTCTTCAACATCTCGTTCGTCTGGCATTGATTGTTGTGGTCGTGGGCATCCTGATGTTGTGCATTCTCGCAAAGCTCATCTGCTCTTGTTTCTACCATGGGTGGATACAACACAATATTGAGCGCGTGTTCGGGCATTTCGCACTTTGCTACCAATATCTCCTTCCTGATATCCTCGGCTACAACCTGGCACTGCCACTCGTGTGTCTTCAACCTTGTTATCTTTCCATCGTTAACGTCTGGTATATTCCTCACCAGCTCGCGGCTGTAAGAGTTCTCCAAGCCTTCATTTGCTGTCTCGTTCACGGATACTTGCATCTCAAAGAGAATCTCAACATCAGAGATCTCCCAGCAGTCGAAAGCATCGACGACATGGACATGGAAGACATTGAAGGCATCCCAATGACCGAATTAGATCTCGAAGATCTCGAAGACGATAGATCAATTTCTCAGGCGACTAGGGACAACTCGCCTTTCCTAAGCAGCGACCTTGCGACACCCCCGTCTCCGCCCTCCCCCGACATCATGGCCCGTCACCTCGCGCAGTGGAATACACACCCCGTACGACGCGTCCAGGTACTGCGCCGGGCCCGCAACCCTCAATTCTTTGCTCGCAGTGATGCCACCCAGCACGCCAGCCCTACCCTCGAAATGCTAACTTACAATGTCAACATGCCAATTGAGTATATTCCCGTCTGGCTGGTGCAGTACTATGGTCGAGAATTTCAGCTGCCGGACGGGGCTGAGTTGACCTTTTTCGATGTGGCTGTTGACCGATTTACCGAGTCGGTGTTCATGTTGGTTGTCCCGGATCGCGCTCAAAATGAGCAGTGATGACCGTTGAGGATGTAACTTTGTATCCAGGCATGATATGAAGATTGACTTTTGTAAGATCGGTTAAATATGAATATCTGAGCCGGACTTCACTGTATTTGCTCTAAAAGCTCGGGATAGTGAGACGCGAGTGATCTTTGAATTTTGGCTTCTGACCCAGGGATGAGATAGTTCAGTACTTCGTGAGATCCGCGAATTGAGGGTATTCCGGAGAATACATATACGTAAAGATTATGACGATCAACATGGTTCCTCGTGTGTAACTGACCAATAGGGATGTATCTTATTCTGTGCCCCCTTGACGTATGAAGGCGCCGATTTAAAGCATTAATTGGCCGGGTTGATCGACACTAGAGCACCACGCAAGGGTTTGAACAGGGATTTGTGGCTTGGGATCGGGAATCGCGCACATGCTGAAAATTGGGCGTGTTCTTTGGGAGGAAATTGCTTCCGTGTTGCGTGTATGAACTTCAGGCCAAGATTGTGAGGGGCGATCTGATTCTATTTGACTAACCTATCTAGGTATAAATTTCATCTTAGCTTTAAATGCACACAAATTTCGATTTAAATTAGGCCGTTTGGCTTTTTTTCATCGTTCTGGTCGTCTAGTCTCATACACAAGATCAAAGGAAGTCGTTCACGTTATACCCACCGACACATAAGGTCAAAAATAGAGATCTTGCTTCTAGATCGTGGTCATTATACCTAATGGTTTATTTATGGCGCACAGTAGCCACCGTCGACAATCAAATCGGCACCGGTGGTGTAAGTTGAAGCATCAGAAGCCAGGTAGAGGTAGGCACCCTTCAGTTCGTGAGCCTGACCTTCACGGCCCATCGGGATCTTGTCACGCCAAATGTTCTTGGTGTCTTCGGGCACGAAGCTGGAGATCTCGGTGGCGATATACCCGGGGGAAATGGTGTTCGCGCGAGCGAAGCGAACCCACTCGACAGAGAGGGACTTGCCTGAAGGTTGTTAGAAACAGTTGAGCTCATGGGGACAGTAACTTACAGAGGTGAATAACACCAGTTTTCGCTGCATTGTAGGCAGCTTGCATCTGGGGGAAATTGACAATGTGACCGGACATGGAAGCCGTGGCGACAAAGCTACCGTAGGTGAAGTTGGTAAGCTTATTGCCATTGGCATCAGTGCCCTCTTCTTTCTGGCGGCGCCAGTGGTCGGCAGCGTACTTGGCACAGTAGAAAGTGCCATCCAGATCAATGCCGACTACATCGCGGTAGTGCTCGAGAGGACCGTCGACCATGGGACCTTGAGTCCAGGGAACACCGGCGTTGGCAATGAAGACATCGAGGCGGCCATTGAAGTCCTTGACGACCTCATTCACAGCCTTCTCGACGGCCTTCGCGTCGGTAACTTCGACTTGGTATGCCTTGGCTGTAGTAGAGACAGGGTTAGTGATGTGACAAGAGTATAACTGCCGCGAGTTAAGATGTTGCGTACTCTGAACACCGTACTGCTGGGCAATCTCGGCAGCACGCTCAGGACACTTGGTGTTGCTCCTATACCACAAAGCCACATTGGCACCGGCTTCTGCCAAACCCTGAGCGACAGCCAGACCGATACCGGCGCCAGCTCCGGTAACAATGGCGGTCTTGCCCTTGAGGGAGAACATGCTCATCAGGCTGGGGTGCTCAGGCGCAACGGTATTATTGTGGACAAATAGTCCATTCTTAGATACGGGATTGGCAGCCATGACGATAAGATTTGGTAGGAAATGAGAACAAAAAGTAGCGAAAGAACAGACCCGAGACCGAGGGGAGATCACTTAAATAGAGCTTCTAGGAATGCAGGACTGATAGACGGTGAGAGATGCGCTGGCGGGGGAAGCCGGACCAGGCCATAGAGCTGTTTTGCCTGTGGATATGACGCTACGCGCCCCAGAATAGCCCGGGGGTGGATCGAGGGCAGATCGGATACATCACATGTGTAAGTGTATAACAGACCTAAATGGCAGGCCTTGCTCTCAACAAAAGGCCCTGCATTGTCTGATTGTTCCCGCTCTCTCAAGTGAAGCGGTGAAGACTGTGAACCTCGGGAAGTTTGAGAGTTGACAGTTGAGCTGAGTCTGGGGAAGATCTGAGGATCAGCTGATCCCCACAAAAACAAAGGCCCACATCGATAACGGTATCTTCACGTCGAACAGAACTGCGTTGCACATTGCACTCTCGGATCACAATGATTGCCATGAGAGCTCGGGGGCAGCTGTGTTGATCTCCTGTGTCATTACACCCTGGGGATGCCAGGGATGCCGAGATCCCAACTTGGCCCCGAGCAAAGGGACTGAGCATCCCGAGTCCCGAATTCAGAACGCGACGCGACAGCCCAAACCGGCGTTTCACAATTAATAAAGGCTGGGGCTTTTGACAGTCGCCATTCGGCGTCAGTGGCATCCAATCGGGTTGGAAGTATGCGCCCCGGTTGGAGCCACAAGTCCTACAGGGAAAGACATTTATCGCGCCTCACGATCTCACGATCTTGCGATTCAAAAATCATCTGCTAGATGGTCATTTACTTACCAGTAGCCTCGCAAGAGCGACCCATTCAGACAGAATCAAATTGGGGTTGATCGTTCTCTAGGGCGAGCACTGACTTGTTGATCGCAGTAGCATTGGGTATAATCCAGTGTCGATTAGAGCATTCAACGATCATTCCACTCTCATGAAATTGCCATTCGACGTGCCAATGGCTCCTTTGAGCTATCTTATTCGTCAAGGATGCCATCCTCGAACCCTAGTGGAAGGGGGTAGTGTGGCAGCCAGCATTCCTGGCACTCGGATGGTGATGAAGCAGCATTCTTTGGTGGACTTCATTGTTCCCATAACAAACGTAGGCGTTTAGGAAGAATGCCAGTAGTGTCACACCTGATTCATTCTCGCTGTTCCGCCAGGGCTTGTTGTTTGGCGGATGAATCTTCCTGTTCTATCAAGCTTCACTCTTGCCGTTCGATAGAGGGATCATAGTGAGCGGTTGCTGTGCATGAACCACTCGTTTTCTAGATGAAGTGTTGAGCCGGTACTTTCTGTTCAGTGCTTCCAGTCTGTCTTGAATCAGCCCAGAACGCGCCAGCGAGACGACCATGCTGGGGCTGAGTGCCGTCGTCGCCATCGCCGCTTCTGGCGCGGCCATCTTCGTCGTCGTTTCGGTGGTCAGTATAGTGGTCTGGGTCAGGTATCGCAAAGAGCGTCATGCATTGGCGCTGCTTGGCTTTAAACGGGGAGAATATGCAAAGGGATTGCAATCATTTCCGGTGGACACTTTGACGGAGTTGAGCCAGGCAGAAGGAAGTGTGCTGAGGACGCATGGTCAGCTTCCATATGGCAGACCAGGTGAATGGGGACAACTGACCTCGCGAGAGAGTTTGCTTCGTCCGAAGAACAGCTCTGAATCGTTGTTCCCTCTCACGGAGAAAGCTCGTTCCCTCCGCCATTCCCTTTCTCGTTCTCGATCGAAACGTCTGTCAAAGTCGTCGCACAAACGTATGAGCTCTTTGGCTACATTGGATGAATCGAGTCTTCCCAGTCCTCCTCCAAACGCATCAATTTCGAAAGAAGACTTTCCTTTATCGGCTGTGGAAGGGGTTCTTGAGCTTCCAGCAGAGAGAACCCCCAAGCAAACACCGGATCCAAACGAAGACGATACTGGATTCCATCTCGGGATGCGGCCAGTCTCTCCTGGATGGCCGTTCCCGTGGCCAAAAGAGCGATCGGGTCTCTTCCCTGTGATTGAAGGTCATGATTCTCCCCACGGCTATGATCCACTCCCCATGATCTTCGATGAATCTCCTCAACGCCTGCGTGGAGGAAGTATAACCAGCCAAACCGCGGGCATGGTGCCACATCACTCCATTCCTCCTCCGCCACCAACAGCATATCCGCCAGACCGATTCAGTTACGCTCGCAACGATTCAGTCTCGCGAATGTCTAATATGAGTCTGGACACTACCAACAGCTCAATTTTGGATGACGGCAGAAATGGACCTAGATCGACCGACACTGATTTGACTTCACCCATTTTCCCATCAGGTGGCACATTTGTCCCCTTCAGTGCAGCTGATGTGGGGGTTAAAGATGGTCGTAGAAGTTTTATCGCGACAAATACCTCTATCCCACCCATGCATAACTTCCCTGTGCGTTCTTCTTCAACCACTGAGACTCGCCATAAGTCTGCGTCCACGTCACCCCGGCGCAGTATGACAACCATTCGGTATTCAGATGCCTCTGGTAGTCGATTCAGTGGACCTCCTCGTCGGACTGACTCACTCTCGTCGTCTAACCCTCCCTCGAGACATGCATCTCTACGATCTGGCACCCCAGTTGGCAATTCAGGCTACCATAACTCTTCAAACAGCTGGCGATTTTCTGGCTCCCAGATGGCTTTCGTGCCACACTTCAGCCAATTCCAGAAAACCCCTATCTACGACCAAGATCAAATGGAGAATGATCCCTTCTATGTTGGCTCGCTTGATGGTGGGACTTTGTTCCACCCTGTTGGGTCACCAACTAATTCAGCTAAAAACCACCCGCCACCAAGCCCGATGCAACGTTCAAGCCTCTCCCTCAAGTCTCCTCTTCCCTCGGCACTGAAGGGAGGAAACTCACAACGGAAGGGTCACCGTCGCCAAAACTGTGTTCGAATTTCTATTCACCCGCCTCTGACATTTGGGTCATCGACATTCGCTCCCACTGTGGAAGAAGAGCCTGAGGATTTTGACAGGCTGGAGGAGCTGGATCTCCGCGAAAGTACCATTAATAGCCCGACTAAGCCCTTGCCCTCGTTGCCCCCATCTTCTATGTCGTCGCCTAGTGGTTCACGACGTAGTAAGTACGGCAGCAGACGAGGCAAGCCAGCGCTTGGTTCCCTTGGGCCTCTAGCTGAGGAACCACAACTTACAAGCATCAACCCCAATGTCGGCAATAACCCCGATAGTAAAAGGAAACACGGCCCATTCTTGTCCACTGGAGACAAGCACCTGGGTCAAAATGACCGCGCTCTCCCCGAGCTATTCACCTCCATCTCTCCCTCCGATGGCATCTGCCTATCTCACACCCCCTCCCCTGAACGAGTACCTCCAATTTGGGAAGTTCCCGAAGTCTCTTCCCCATCACATGAAAACTCCTCACCGGGCACTGGCAGCCCTCGTCGCTCCGCAGTCAAGGGTCCACGCCACCAACCCCAGGCTCGAGTCACAGCAGCCCGCAGCCAATCTACACGGGTCTCATCACGGTCTTCCGATCACATGGCATCAAGTCCCCTCGACTCACCCAGCCGTCTACCCCTCGTCATGAGTATCACCGGTACAGAGGGCAGCGACTGGCGTCGGTCAACAGATTCGCTGCATCGCACAAGAACCGACGCAGCAGATCGCACATACCGCCGAAACCGTGACTCAATAGGCAGCATGGAAGGCGGACTAGGTCCCATTGGCTGTTCCTCGCCAATTTACGGCACTCGCCGGCCAACTCTTGTCAAGGACCGTGTTCATATCTTCGAGGATGTCAACCGTACCGAGTCGCCTTACAAATCACCATTCAAATCGACTGATGCTCAGCCCATTGGGACTCTGACCACGCCTGAATCCTCTCCAACTCGGAACAAGAACAGCATTCCCCGTTCGATGCCCAACTATCAACAATATCACCCGTCTGGTGCTCCTGATCAACGTGTTCCTCCTACCCCTACTTCTGCTCGACGGGATATGGCTACCCCCACGGGCAAGGGTCTGGGTCTTGGAATTGGAACTGCTACCCCTGGTAGTCTGTATGACGGTGATGGGTTCTTGCGTGAATAAGTCATTGATATCATTCCTGGAGTTTGGAGTTTGGCAGCGAGCTTTCATTTTGTGGAATTGTATGGGTGCGATGATGGGTCAAAAGCCTCGGCGTTCTTTTTTCTTTCTTTTTTCTTTTTGACTTGGTTGACTTTCTTAACTGTTCTGTACTTTCTTTTTCTTTTGTTGGGTTCTTGTATCGGCGATACTCCCCCTTTTCTTCTGTGTTTATGTGTGACGTGTGTTTGATATCCATGGTTTAAGTAGTTGCTGAAGTTAGAAATTTAATCCATTATCAATAATTCTGCGCCAATATTTTTGCTCACAAGTAGCCAGCTTCCAGCCACATCCTGAACTCGATTATGTATCACTTTTGATACTTCAAGACATGCCAATCAGTCACTCAGTCCTCCTCCACTTAGCCTCATCATCCTCCCCCTCGCCATTCTCATCAGCCCCATTCTCCCCCTCCCTAGTCCTCACAGTCCCAGCCCCAGGCCCAAGCGGGAAAGAAGGCGGCTCGCCTCCAGCAATCCAATTCCCATCCTCATCAAAGAACTCACCCATATTCTCAGCAGTGATCCACCCAGAGCTGCCAGCAACAGGAGGTGGCAAATCCCCATCCCCAAGTCTGACAACACCATCTGCATCCTCAGCCGAGAACCACTTGTTGCCCTCCTCATCATCCTCGTCCTCATCACCCGGCTCAACGGGGTCAGGGTGCAGATTCGAACAGGCCGAGACGGAATTGTAGAAAATCTGAGTGGGTGTCTCGGTCTCACCGGACCCATCGCTCGTCTCTTGTGTTGGTGCATCGGCTGGCAGAACGATTGTCATTGTAATGCACTCCTCTACATCGTCTGCGGAGGGTGCGCTCGGTGTGGCAATTTGCATGTAGAGGCCTTGAACTTCTGGGGACTCGGTGCCTGGTACGCGCAGGCGCTGGAGGGCGTGCAGGGAGATGGAGGGGTAGGAAATTTGGACACCTGTTGAGGCGATGGAAGAGAAAAGCAGCAGTTTGCTATATTGTGGTTGTTAGCTGAGATTCTTTGGGTTTGCGATTGTGCTGGGATGTTGGATTACTCACTCGGATGTCACCCAGGTCTCAATGCCCTCAATGGCGATTTCCTTCGCGTCATCTTGCTCGCTGGATGCCGCAGCGCTCTCACCGCGCAGGGCACTCAGTGCTGGGGTGGCGGCCAGCTCGTGCTCGAGGATGACAATCTTGCAGCGCTCGCTGTGGTAGTGGAGCACTGGCGGTCCCTCGTAGAAGGAGCTTGGCGTGCGCGATTGATGCTCGGCGAGCGGCACGAAGGTGGAAGCTTCGGGGGCATTGCGCAAGACGTCCATCTTATTGTAGGTGTGGTTTTGGGGTTGATAGATGTGATATTCGCGGTATTGTAAGGTGGTGGTTGCGAAAGCTTTGGCGAGGAGCTTTTTCGTTTGGTTGCGGTCCACGGGTGGATTTCCCCGGGATAAGCTTGAACAGCTATAAGCGATAAGCGGCGATTTTCAAATTGGATATATTGCGTTAGACATTACAAGTGTATTTGAAGTTATCATATTGCATGAATTGTTTGAACTGTGACGGTTTCACATTTCAATTCTCATTGTTATTGGAGTGCAATCTGTATATTGTGAAATATATATAGTAGAGCTTCCTGTACAAGAATATCGTGATGTGTGATGCAGATCACAATCTACACCATGAAACACTGGAGAGCTTGATGTAGGTTTAGTAGAAATCTTAATATGTAAGATCTTGGTAAATCAAGCCAATATTTTAAGAGCATCATTGATTTCTTGCATTGGTAGGTAGCTAGGGTTGCTGCATTCTTGAAGCTTTATCCGAGGATGACCACACACATTGAAGCTTGACAGCATCTCTGGTCATCGCGTGATGTGGCTTTGAACTTTAATACCCTAAATAGGTCTTCCAAATTGACTGGTCTTATGGATCCAGAACAGACACCGGGGTCAGAACTCCCATCAAGACACAGCATCGACGCGACCATAGATTAAGAACCACAGGTGCATAGCAAAGTATGGCAGGTCAAATTAGCCTGCAGACTTCTTTCAAGGCCCAGAAGAGCCCGGCGCAGAGAGATCCCTGACACACGAGTCCTCAGAGTTCATTGTTCTGAAACAGTTCAGAAGGTCTCGGCTATAGAGAAGGAACAATCAAAGCCAAGGAATGTTTCCAAAGTACTCCACAGCGAGGGGCGAGATTGAAAAAGCAGTATCTTGCAACACAACCCTCAATCATTTCACACCCAAGCCACCAAACGCTCTGTCTAGCTCTTCTCCCTCGTCGTGCGGCACCATAGTCGGCAATTGAGAAGAGCCCTGGTCGGGAGTAGAGCTATCCAGCAAGCTCGGCTGAGCCTCACCCTGAGAACCGGGAGAGACACTGGCGCGACTCGGCTGAAGCAACTTCTCCTCGCGGTCAAGCCAACCAGGCGCTACGCGTCTCTTCTCGGCCAATTCACGCTGCTGAATTGACTCCTTCCATGCTTTGATGGCCTGGTCGGCATCGTTGCGCGTCTTGTTTAGGTGTTGTTCGAGGGATTGACACGCGGCCAGGATGTCGTCTGGGTGGGCTGCGTGCTCGCCACTGGAAGAGACTACATAGCGCGCTTTGCCATCGAGATTGCTCGGGTCGACTGTTACTGATGGTGGGAGGATCGAAGAGACCGATTTGTATGTGTATGGGAGTGTGACGGAGGGGGGGAGGTTGATGAAAGGTGAGACTGTCAGTGGGACCTGGGCGAGGAGAGGGTGGGGACCTGGGTTGTCAAGTTAGATGTTGCGAGGATGTACATATTTCAAGAGAGACTTACGGTAGGAGTCGTACATTTTTTCCAGTTTCTAGAGCTGGTTGGGTTGTTGAAGTTGGAGATGTGGAGTAGCGGAGATGGCCCGGAGATCTTGGCGGGGGCAGTACGAACGTAAGCCGCGCCACTTTCTAGGGTTGACAACCATCAACACTTGAAATGAATGGACCAATCCGAGATACATTCTTAGATATACACCATGAGGCTTAAATGATTCTCATCAGGTCTATCATTGATACTCCTAGGTTCATATTCTGTCTTCCTTTAACACCGGCAGGACAGAGCAACCTGGTGAACTATAAGAAACTAGGGTCTCCAAACCGCCAACCAACGACTGATGACCACAGCCGAATAACTAGACCTGAAATGTGATGACAGCTGCATCTGTAGACCAAGGCTGGCCGATATATGACCAACCCTGCATTTATGCCACACGCAACACGTATACCACGCTGTTATTATCGAACTAGCCAGTCCATCTTCAAACTCGAGATTTATTTTCAACAGGTGCTTCAAAAATGAAACCCCCTGTTTCTGTCTGTTATTTGGTTTCTCTGAAGCAAGGGGGGTTCTTTTCCATCATAGGTCTTATCATTTGCTACACCAACTCAACTAGTCACTCGCGAGAGAGGGGTTTATACCCACTCTTCCAGGGCAAAACTGCCAGCACACATCCTGCAACCATTACAAAAAGGCTAGCCATAGTCTAAGCAGCCTGCCTAAAATGACCACGGCCTGATTTGCCCCTCCCTTGAACTCCTTCGTACTGTTCATCCTCGGATAACGCATATCTGGCACGGGAACATCAAGGAATGCACACAGCGGCTTCCAGCCATCCCCTAGCTTTAGTTCAAAGAGCCTGTCCTGGCACACGTCCTTTCGCACCCTGACATTATGTTCTAAAACCCGCTTGCAAGATCATCGGAATAGTCGCCCTTGCAAATGATCTTGTAAGGCCATTTTGAGCATACGAAACTCGGAGCACAATCGATCAGACTCGAAGAATTGCAAGATATTCAGCCATGGACTATGAAGCCCCGAGATGATGCTGTCGTGTATAGATTTCAGCCATGAATCTTGCTAACCATATGCCAGATCGTCTGCTGATTTATCAGGCGTTAAGCGCAAGTGTCTCTCTACTTACATCGTACGATACCTCTACACGTAAATTGTTGACTACTGTGACTCAAAAAGTGCCACAAGGAACGGAAAGACAACCCGAGACTGTCCCTCGTGAGCAGTCACACGAAAATTGCCGACGAACTTGTTTCTTCCTCACGTGAATGACTGGCACTATGATACAGAGGGACGACATCTTTCGCCGACGCTACTGGTGCCTTCGCTCCGTTTCTTGTAGCATACATTGTTTGAGGTGTATCAAAAGCGTTACTTCAGTAGTCTGATACTTCCCGCAGAATCGCCAACGGGCCAAACATTATTTACCTGGGAGCCCGCGGCAATTACACAAAAATCTGCTTCTAAACCCTCTTTGTAGCCTTACAAATGTTATTGGTACCCGAAACACCCCACGGCTTGCAAGTGCCGGCCTGAAAAGGATGTGTACTTTGTGTTTAGCATTTCATGCTTTAGCCCCACCGGCTTGGTGACAGCAATCACCGAAGACGAACCTCTGCTAAAGCATATTGCTGCACTTCCCATGAGCAAGGATACGCAAAAGCCAATGGGAGGCAATATTGAAGTAAGTTACGAACCGCAATTCTTCAGTGGCCATGTATGGGCCGGGGCTCATCGCGGGGCTAGTTGCATGGCGCCTGCTAGATGGTCAACTGATTTAATCACCTCATAGAATCTTGTACCGAGACGAGATATTATCCGTTGCGGTCGAATCAGTGCAAGGGGTTGGAGGCCTGGCTGCTCGGTGCTTGAACTGTTCTAGACATACCGCATTTGAGCTTATATTGAACTTAATTCTCCCGGCTAGTCGGTGTTTGGGCTGCTGGTTCACGATGAATTTGTATTGAACTTTATGTCTCTCCGGGATCCATTTGAGGGAACTTAGCCTTAAAAGGAAGGTTACTACCAGTTCATGCCAAGATGAGCCTGTTGTCGAATCATTACTAGTTTAGGGGTGACATGAGACTTGACGTTTCCTCCATTATGCCTCATTTCCATGATTCTCATGGATAGCTCTGGGATAGATACCGAAAGCATGAACACCAAGAGGATGAGGCTGGAGTCATCATATCCATGAGGCGAGATAAGACATATAAATATGCCTATTCTCGCCGAGAATAGCTATTCGTTCTTCTTCTCAGGATATTCTGCTATCAAAACACACCTCACTTACTCAAAAAGCCCATCAGTTTATCAATATGCTTTCCCAGATCACCATTGCCCTTGGCCTCTTCATGGCCGGAGCTTCTGCTCAACAGGCTGCCAACTGCCAATACCAGTCACTGAAGTGCGGCTCCGTGCTTCTAGCTGCTCCATTCAGTAAGCAAGATTGATTTGATATACAAAGAATGCCGGATGTACTAACCGGAGTGATTTGAACAGCCTATACCGAGGCTCAGCTCACTGCCGCTATCAACGACACCGCATCCATTCCCGAATTGGACACTGCCCAGATCTCCCAGACCCTGTTCCACTGCACCGACATCCTGGGCACCGTCACCGGAAATGCGTTCTGCTTCGCTGGCTGTGATTCCAAGCCCGGTGTTCGCAACGACCAGTGCATCTTGTAAGCGTAACGTCACGCACTCTTTACGCCTGTGACGAAAGACATTTGTTGCGCTACGCCTGGCTGCGCTCAACTTGAAAGGGGGATGGCATGAATTTTGGAGGATTTTTTTCTTTCCTTGCTCATAGTATAGGCCTAGTACATACTCCCTTACTGTCCTATGTATAAGTATGGGCCGTTGGTCTGCTCAGCTTAGTAGGGCCTTTAGGTATTCATTCGCTGCTAGTCAAATTCTATGATGATTTAAATTATTGCTGTTAAGCCCGTAGACGTTTTGAATGTGGCGTTCACTAGGACCAGTCTCATGATCACTCAGTGAAGTCCTACAGAGTAACTCGCATCTTAACTCTAGAGTTTTTGCGCTAATTACTTTCATATGTTGCTCTTTCGTTTTTCTATAGCTACATTCTTTATTCCCTTGATGGCAATACAAAATCAATTTTTGAGCCGAAACCAGATATTAGCTATCAGAATGAATAGTTGATACGATCATTAGAAAGTTTGATGCCAGTTGATTTAAACGAGTGACATAATGGCAGTTTAACAACAGCAGAACACGCCGAGTAGCAACTTGTAGAGTATACTGAGCATTGATAGGCCATTAAGGGTAAGGCCGTTCCTTCAAAGAAAACTTTCCCTGAGCCAACCAGGTGCGGGTTGAGTCACGTACAGTATCATCCTTGATCAGAATCTCAAAAGTGGAGTCATAGAAGGCGCATGTATCATCGTGTTCATACTGGTTGAACAACTGCCTCCGAAACAAAATGTGTGGCATTTCTTGTAGCAAGAAACCGGAGCGGCAGTAGTGACAGTGACAGTAGTGGTAGTAGTGGTAGCCTCTGAGAGTTGACATTGATCATCATGAGTAGGACTATTTGCCGGGATACATCCAGCAATGCACAGACTATTGCCAACGATGCTACCAAAGATATCCTCACATCGGTAGATGACCTGGAAGAGCTGAGCCATAGAGATTGGTGGGATTGATGATGTCTGATTGACGGCAGCAATCAACTCAGAAACAGAGTAACCTATTCATAGTGTGTGATCAGTGGATTGTCAATGGCCTGATTGGGGATATTTGGGCAAATAGAGTCACGTACCATACAAAGTCGCCAAGGTAGCGCCGCATTTATCCGACTGATAGATACAAGGGCTGGTGTACGCGTTAACCCCAAGGATCAACGAAGAAGCCAGCTGCAATGCTATCCATGGAATTCTGCGCATATTGTCCTCGGGTGATGATGCTGATACCATCAAGACATGAAAGCCTATTTGGGAGAATATTTGACAGAGTATATAGTCTGCATTGGCAAATGTAGAGCATCCATTAGACTACGAAGTACCTTTTCCACATCGTATTTCTTCATCTCGATTGGTTGTATCTTCAACTGGAGATATCCTTGGGGGTTAGCGATGGAACAGCCACAGAGAAGAAATGCAACCCCCAAATATGAATTGGTGATCGTGGTGTCATTGTGTTCCCCGACTGTTCCCATTTGACCCCGGCGATCCTGGAGAGAAAAGTGGGGGTTCGCCTGGGCAGCTCCATCGGGGAACAAGGCCATCAATGCGGACAGGGGTGTGTTCCATTCTCGGGTATGCTATGGGGAAGGATGAGAGCATGAGGGAACTTGAGTTGATCTAGCCCAATCCATTGGGATCCAAGGTGGTGTGGTCTGCGAGTTTGCCAAGTCACTGGTACTACTGTGTTGGGTATTCCTAGAGTCTCTGAGTCTCTTATCTTGGGGACCTGTTCTAAACACAAGACTTGTGCCCGAGCTGGAATGGAATGCCGGTACGCTCTTCTTCAATAAGTCAACAGTATTTAAAGATGGCCTACAGCGATAGCTGCAAGTATGAAGAATTTTCGCTTGATGCAGATCATCAATCCTGCATACCTTAGCGATCTAGGCATACGAGACCTAGATTGCCACCCAACTGCCCGTCAAATGAGAACCTAACCTTGAAGCTTGATGAGAATCGAAATAAATGACTGACAGCCTTACAAACATACCAGCCAAAATAGACCAAATGTCTTTGAAATCGGGTGAAGCTGATAGCCTTGGAGCGTGGGGAACGGCCATCACGCAACTATTTAGGGGTCATTTCGGCCTTAGGCATCTAATCTGACATTGAGGCTCCGAGGTTCAGCTGAGCTGAGTTTCCAACTTCAATCCTGCTTTTACCTACGCATCTATCAAGATTGAAAGGCTTAACTAAAAAGACCGGATTTTATACATCGACCGATCGTTGGTGGTCCACCGAGTTAGCAGCGGCCCAGAAGCCGCTTATCCAATTTGTTTCTCTTTTTCCCTTCACACTTCCCCAAAACACACATTTCTCCCACCGTGGGCTCTGCTTTTTTCCCTAGACACCCTGCATCGTTGTCCCTCCAACTCTACTGATCCGATACTCCTCTTCCACTCGTGGGAGCTTCATCCCGCTCTGAACTCACCCCGCCACATCTCCGCGCGGATTCCACCCCCCTTACTCCGAACCCTCAGATATTCAGCTACTCGACAATATCAGCCAAAATGGATAAGGCCATTGCACGCGCGGTGAACGAAAAGAAGCCGGTCCCGGAGATCGACTTCACGTTGCACACCATGGAGGACAGCACGCAGGTCTCAACAATGGAGCGAGTGGTCAAAGGTAATGCGATCTCGGTCGCCTCAAGTCATTCCAACCTTGCAATTTGATCACTGACGATATTTCGTGCCCTCAGAGGTCCAAGCGCCCGCCTTAAGCACTCCCCCAGATGATATGTTTTGGTCCCCCGAGGATCCCTCCAAGCCCAACCTCCAGTACCTCAAGCAGCACCTCTACCGCGAAGGTCGTCTCTCCGAAGAACAGGCGCTATGGATTATTCATGCCGGTACCCAGGTTCTGCGATCAGAGCCCAACCTGCTCGAAATGGATGCGCCCATTACAGTGTGTGGCGATGTTCACGGTCAATACTACGATCTGATGAAGCTGTTCGAGGTCGGCGGTGACCCTTCGGAGACAAGATATCTGTTTTTGGGCGATTACGTCGATCGAGGTTATTTCAGTATCGAGGTGCGTTATCAGATGCCCCATCTGAGCTAAGTGGATTCTGACATTTGCAGTGTGTGCTGTACCTTTGGGCATTGAAGATCTGGTATCCCGATTCGCTTTGGCTTCTGCGGGGTAACCACGAATGTCGTCACCTTACGGATTACTTCACTTTCAAGTTGGAGTGCAAGCACAAGTATAGTGAGCGCATTTATGAGGCATGCATTGAGTCCTTCTGTTCGCTGCCGCTGGCGGCTGTTATGAACAAGCAGTTCCTCTGTATTCACGGTGGTCTCAGCCCAGAGCTCCACACTCTTGAGGACATCAAGTCCGTAAGTATTGCTATTTCTGCATACAGATGATGGGAACTAAAATCAACTGCAGATCGATCGATTCCGGGAACCCCCGACCCACGGACTTATGTGTGATATCCTCTGGGCCGACCCTCTGGAGGAATTCGGCCAAGAAAAAACAGGCGATTTCTTTATTCACAACAGTGTTCGCGGATGCTCCTATTTCTTCTCTTATCCAGCTGCATGTGCGTTCTTGGAGAAGAACAACCTGCTTTCTATTATCAGAGCCCACGAGGCTCAGGATGCCGGATACCGCATGTACCGGAAGACACGCACCACTGGTTTCCCCAGTGTTATGACTATCTTCAGTGCTCCTAACTACCTGGACGTATACAACAACAAGGCGGCCGTCCTCAAATATGAGAACAATGTGATGAACATTCGCCAATTCAACTGCACCCCTCACCCATACTGGCTTCCTAACTTCATGGATGTTTTCACCTGGTCTTTGCCGTTCGTTGGTGAGAAGATTACCGACATGCTCATTGCCATTCTCAACACCTGCTCGAAGGAGGAATTGGAGGACGATACTCCCACCTCCGAAGTATCTCCCCCGAGGAAAGCACCCCAATCACCTCTCCCGCATCAAACGACCCCGAATCCAGCGAGTTCAAGAGACGCGCTATTAAAAACAAGATTCTTGCCATTGGCCGTCTCTCTCGTGTCTTCCAGGTTCTTCGTGAACAATCCGAGAGTGTTACTGAGCTGAAGACGGCGGCTGGCGGTCGTCTTCCCGCTGGAACTCTCATGCTTGGTGCGGAAGGTATCAAGCAGGCCATCCACAACTTCGAGGATGCCCGTAAGGTTGATATTCAGAACGAGCGCTTGCCACCTAGCCAGGAAGAAGTCTTCCAGAAGAGCGAGGAGAGCCGCCGTGTGGCTTTGGAGCGTGCTGAGCATGAGGCTGCCAACGATGCTGGACTGGCTACTGTCGCCCGGCGAATCAGCATGTAAGTGCTTACGACTGTCTGTAATCTACACAAAAACTAATTGATGTACAGGTCTGCTGGCTCCCGTCCTGCTCGTCGCCCACGGGATCCTCCCAAGGATGCCTGAGAAGGCCCTGGATGTGGCTGAGTTGATATTATGACACGATCTATGCATTTCTTCTTTCTGTCCTCCAGCGCACACGCCTTTCTGCTCCGACACGATCGATACGATACCCTGTCTATCTGCTTGATCTTACCTTTCGCCAGGCGATCAACCCGTGAATCACAATACTAGCGATCATAAAGGACAGTTCAGTTTAACATGTATGCTTTTTCTTGTTTGATCCTGGGATTTGTAGGATTTGTAGATATGACTTCTTGTAGGCGCATTATGTTAGTATCATATGAACAATCGATTACAACTTCAAAATTGACCAATACTGAAGTATGAGAGCGTAAACAGGTAAATAGAGGGTTCCAAGGTTGAAGAACGGCAATGCCAAGCCCCGATCCCGCGTCCACTTCCGCTCAAGTTCATCCATCGAGCTTCAGAATTGCCCGCCCATCACACGCCTTAATGGCTCCCAGAATGCGCAGCGCGCTCACAAAGAGCCTGTCGCGCTCGCTAGACAGTCCTTCTGTCTTTTATTGTCCATCCTGCGCGATCTGGCGCCGCTCATTATCAACACGCGCCAGCAGTCGCAGCCTCGACAAAACCGCCACATTGCGACGAAGCAGTCGGCCCCAGAGCACTATCACAGCGTCGACTCCTCGACCATTCAATACATCGTCTGTCATTACTGCGAAGTCCGTCCCGCCCCGGTTCAAGGAGCTCTACACTGCCCTGGAAGGAGTCAAGGATGCGGCGCTTGAGCAGGTGAATCTTAGTAGGCTGCAGTTTGCGCTACGTGGATTGGAGTCTGAAACGCCTCTTATTCGTGTTGCTGGTGAGTTCTTATTTTGTTTCTTTCATGCCTTGTTCTGTGTGGTGCATTGGGCGTTTCTTCAAAAAAGGGTGGCACTAATCTATTCTCCGTTGAAATGTAGTTCTCGGACTGAACGATGCGACCTCTGCCCGCAAACTTGTTAGACTACTACTTGCCGACCCATTGACGCCGCGGGGAACTTGGGAGGATATTCTCGATTCATATGATGCCGACTCATCGCGAGGACTGTTGATTAGGTACGGATGACTTCCGCTTCCTGTGTGTCTGCCGCGGCCTATACTGACTCGACATTCGCTTTCTAGATATGGCGAAATCTCAGAATCTATTCCCAATGACCTGCTACCAACGGTATCAGTGCCCTCGCCCATCCTCAGAGACGGCAACCTGGAAATCCTAGTCAGCACGATCGGCTCCGAGCCTGATCCCAATGCCGCTACACTCCACGCCGACACATTCCTCGTTCCCACTGTAACTATTCAGACATCGCACTCCGGTCGGCATAACGTTGTTCGGTACCCTGTGCACCGCAGTATCGTCTGTGGAAGCGGAGTGGATGGTCTACTAGCTTACAGCACAATGATGGGCCGGTCAGACCTGAAGCACGAGATCGCCTCCGTGCGCGGTGCTATTGAACTCGCTGTCGCAGACCAGAAATCAAACAACGACCAACTTTCTTTGGTGGATATTGAACGTGCCAGCACCGCTCTGGACAAATTCCGCGAATCCGTCCAAAACGCCGGTGACTACGAACGTGGATGGAATGGCAGTGGTGTGCAGCCCCTGATTGACTGGCTTGCAAGCTCCTCAGAGGCCTCATCTCAGGAGACACTGAACCCAGCCTTGGTTCCTCTGGTGGAGTCAATCCTCGACTCCGCCGAGGCTAGCGTGCTCATCCGGGATGCCAAGGCGCTCCAAAACCAGACCGCCGGCGTAGCCCCTGAAGAGCTCCGCTCCCAGCTCGACCAAGGTGTCACAACCTGGGCGGAGCGCGCTCATTCTGAGCTCCGCAGTTCTCTGGAAGCCGGTTTGGCCAGTCCGCGCTGGCGGGGTCTTGCATGGTGGAAACTCTTCTGGCGCGTCGACGATGTGAGCATGGTCACCTCAGAGATCCTCGAGAAGCAGTTCCTCCGCCGTGCCGAGCGGGAAGTCATCTGGACCGCAGGCAAATACCAGCAGGCCGGCCTGCTGGACGACCCAACTTCTATCCCCGAGTCGGCCACAGCCCCTGTTCCTGCTGAGCCCGTTTCGGCTCCCTGGCCAACTCAGATCTCCGGCCTCCGCACTAAGCTCCTCACCACCACAGTTCCCTCCCTCCAGGCCCTTGCCCAGAGTCTGGTCCTCTTCAGTGTCTCCACTACCACTCTGACCTCCGCTCTTTCCGCTCTGACATATGTGGCTGTGCCATCTGCCTCGGCATACGAGTCATGCACACTTGGCGCGATTGGTCTGATTTACTCTATGCGTCGCCAGCAGAAGAGATGGGACGTTGCTCGTACCTTCTGGGAGGAGGAGGTCCGCGAGGAAGGACGTACTTCTCTGCGGGAAACCGAGGTTGCTCTTCGCGAGATTGTGCGGGATGGTGGTAAGTCTGTTCAAGATTTGTCGGATAACCGTGCGCGGGACAGTGTTTCTCGCGCGAAGAAGGCCCTGGAAGACGTCAAGGCTTGATCTGGCTCATACAGCGTACTGTACATGTATTGCCTTTTAGAATAGACACCGAGAGCTACAAGTTACTCTGCTATGTATTATACTTTAAGTTCGTTGATTCATTCGGTCCGAAGCCCTCATCATTCCTTTTCTCCAGGCTGTACCTTGCACAGTGTCCGCTCGCGTTTCCCCTACACTGGGTACCGCCTGTTCTATAAGTAGAAACCAAAGGAGCTGTCTCATCGCGCGTGAAACCATCAGCCAAGATGAAGTCTTCTCCACACTGTAGTTCGACCAAGCCCCAAGAACAATGAAACAACCCGAATCAAGTATCTTTGAACCACGAGCTCCACAGGTATTTTAATTAAAGGTCCACACCGCGTCCTATACAGAGCAAATGCCGGAAAGTTAGATAGTGTCAAGCTTCGCAATTTCGACATGGTTGTTTCACTGCGGACATATGTACAAGATCTGAGACATCGGGCTGGGACAAAGGATTGGACCATTGCAGAAATAGGTAAGATGCCCAAGACTCAAACGACCACTGTCTGGGCAAATGAAGGTTCTGTTTGGCCGTGCTGGGCTTCCATAGATCATGATATATATGCCCACTGTTTGATAGGTGGATGAAATCGATACTTCTCGCCAGTATATATCAATCATTCTAATAAATGAACAAGTAATCTCGCCTACACAAATATCAGAAGACTCATTGCTGGAGGGGTTCAGATAATCTCTGGCATTGTTTCATCATGCGCTGGGCTATCCAATCCCGCAAGTCAGCGTGGACCCGCCGAGACGATGGACGTTGTACTAATGAATTAGTCCCCCTGTTAGCTTCTGTTAGTCCAGGAACACGCCGTTCGTTTCATATTCCCCGTAATTATCCACCCATCTTGCTGTTACTCTCCTATTCACACTGGATAGTGTGTATGTGCTCATTTTAATTTCGGATGAACACCCAATCGTGATAGGTTTGGCTATGGGTGCTTGGGCTATTGAACTGGCGGTTATGGGTCGCCGTGTCTAATATCCAGATCGACAGATTGGCCAAGTCATTAAAATCAGGCCCCTCTCTTCTGAACAATGCTCAACTTAAGGGGGTTGAATTATAGTACTTGATTCCCCCTCCTCCGCCTCGTGACTTTCAGCCCTTTTCTTCTGGTCGACTTTGGCGTCTCCTATCTTTTGCCCGATCTCAGGGTCTGTCGCTCGTTCATTTCGCTCTTTCGTCTGTTTACAGACTGTGTCTCTCTTTAACAATTTACTCTCATTCGATATTCAATACCAACAGTGAGTTGATCGACAAATTACAAGTAAAGGCATCGAGTTGATACTGACCTCTCCAGGGCGATAGAAAGTAACATCCCAATCAAGGCTGCAAACGACGATCCTGGTTGTTTGTTGACGTCAAGGAGAACGCGCTCAATCGGTAAGCTACATGCTTTAGGGCTTTTCTTTTCGCGCCACTTCATCCCTACGGCATAAAGGGACAGCAAGCAAGGGACCATTCCTTCGCGGGAAGGGAGCATCCCCATCGATCTCCCCGAATTATATCGTCTGAATGACGAATGATTGGCCACCTGGAATCTCCTGTCTGCAACATGAGAGGGACCTGCGCTTGCTGTGCCTTTTGAAAAACAAAGCGCGCCCAGGCGGGACTCTTTCAACTGACATATTGCTTAGCATTCGACAACAACGCTCCGACTGCCTCTCTGTTTTCCCCCACGCCTGACCGATTGATTCGGTGCTCCTGGCGAGTCATTCCTTTGGAATCATATCCCCGAGATTACTTCATTCGCTCCTTTTTCTGTATCGTTGAGCCCGTGGACGCGGCTCTTTCTTTCGCATCATGCAGGACATCCGATTGACTGCCATCTTGATGGCTTGCTTCACTCTTTTTCCTGACTACGCCAGTGCCTTCTGGCGTCTTCCTTGCCGTGGGCGAACAGGTGTCGCGCGGCTGGATCCTCTTGTGGACCCCGGGAAGGTCTCTTCTCATGTGCACTCGGTTCACGGTGGTGGAAGTAAGTATATTAAAGCACTGAAGAAAAATTGCAGCATACTAATCATGTATATAGGCTTTGGCATGAGCTCCACCGAGGGCTCTCTTTTGGAATCGAGCTGCACCTCTTGTGCTGTGACGCAGGATAAGTCGGCGTACTGGACACCGGCTCTATACTTCATGCACACCAATGGCAGTGCCGAGCTAGTTGAGGAAGTTGGAGGCATGCTTGCGTGAGTTTGGCTCATATTTTGTATGATCCCTGCTAATATACCATCAGCTACTACCTCCTTTACGGAGAGAACGTCACCGCGTTCCCAACTGATTTCCGCATGCTGGCAGGTGATCCCTTCCAGCGTAACTTCACCTGGCCCGTTCCCGACCCTCCCAAGTCCTCGTGGACTGGTGACCAGGCCTCACAGGCTGCTCTGCGCCAGAAGGCTCTTGGATTCAACTGCTTGAACTATCAAACCACCGCCGAAGCATCCCTCTACCGTCATTTCATGCCGAACAAGACTTACCTCGACGAGCACTGCACCGACGGCATTCGCTTCGAATTGATGTTCCCATCCTGCTGGAACGGCAAGGATGTCGATTCCGATGACCACAAGTCCCACGTCGCGTATCCCTCTCTGGTGATGGACGGTACCTGCCCCGAGGGATACGAAACCCGCCTTGTATCACTTTTCTACGAGACAATCTGGAATACCTATGCTTTCAAGGACGTCGACGGATACTTCGCGCTTGCTAATGGTGACCCCACTGGATACGGGTACCACGGTGATTTCATCCAGGCCTGGGACGACGGTGTGCTGCAGGAGGCTGTTGACACGTGCACCAGCGAGACGGGCTTGGTTGACGATTGCGAGATCTTCGACATCCAGACTGAGAACAAGCAGCGCCAGTGCGAGTTTGAAATCCCCTCTGCACTTAAGAACGAGGACGTCTACATGTACGCCGACGGTTTGCCCGGTTCCATGGGTGTTTCGTGGGGTCCAGAGTACGCTTCGATGGATATGGACACTTCGACTACCACGACAGCTGCAGCCATTCTGCCGTCCCTGTCGGTGCCCTCTGTCCCTGCCATTTCTCTGGGTCTCTCAGTCGATGCGGGTGCTTTGCTCGGAAATCTCAACGTTGCCAACACCGCCGAAGCCCCGGCAATTACTTCGACTTCTACTTCCACGTCGACCCCGACGCACACTCCCACCCCCACGACATCTCTCGTTCTCGACCCTATCACCGAGGAGATCATCTATCTCCAACGTGATATCATCGTCCTGATCGACGAGAACGGTGCCCCGTATGCGACTACCACAGGCAGCACCCGCACGTTGTCTACTGCAACCACGACCGTCACTGAGACCTCCACTGCCGTTTCCTACGTGAAGAGGGATACTGTCGTGGTGGACTCTGTCGTAGAACAGGAACAGCCCGCTACCCACGCACGCAGACACCTCCACCGTCATGGTCACCTGCACAACAAGTTCTAAGAAACACGCTGTTCAAGACATTACGGGAAAAGACGCAGCGCGTGACATTCCCTGTTACTTTGACCAACAGGACATAACTGCTTCTTGATCAAGTTGGACCCCATATGTGCCGGACTGCACCCAAGAGCTTTGATTCGTGTATATGATTTTCTGATTGGACATCCTCCAGTCAGGCGGGGAGGGTGTGCTATGGCCATACTATAGTTCTCGTTCTTAAATTTTAAATACGTCTTGGTACGCATACGCAACTGTGCTTCATTAGTTGATGAATCACGCCTACGTAGGAGAAACAAACACTTTTCCGTGGTGACTAGCAGTCTCATGTCTTATTTTGTTCCTCGGCATCCATCTCCCCTTCCCCTATATGCCTCACATTAACAAAAGTGATAGATAGGACAACATCAACCCAATGTATGTCTCAGCTAACACTCTCCCAATTACCCCCATACTGAAACACCACCAAATCTTTCATCCAAACCCACCATAACGGAAATGTCTCAACCCACCCCACACAACAGCAGACATGGATGATCACCATATTCGTTCTGAAAGACGGGTACATTACCGACGTGCGACATGTGCAACAAGCCCCGTAGGACTGATGAGACCCAAACAAGACTCGAAAACCGCCAGGCAAACACAAGATCCAAAACAGAACGAGTTAAAAGACGATCTAGACGAGGACAGTGCCCGACAACATATCATTCTAGCTGATTCAGAAATGAATCAGCTAACACCTCATCACATAATTGCCAGCGTCGCAATCATTCCATGGCCTGTCTCGCATCTGATTCTGTTGCAGTGTAGTACACACATCTTTACTGCGCAACATACGCAACATACGCAACATACGAGCTAAATCTCTCCTCCAATCCGATTCCCGTTCTGGGACACTATGCACCACTACGGCGTTCTTGTTCACGGGTGACATGCCTTCGAGCTAGGATGACCGTTTTTTTCCAGATTGCGCTACACACCAGCGCAAACTATTCTTGAGCGCTGGTTTTCCTGATAAGGATCCCTTGTGTGAGAAGGGTTTTTTGGCTGCTATGTTCTCATGCTTATCGGTAGCTAGATTTATGCCATCGTGGCGTGCGAACAAGCGTGAGGACCTTGATGGTTCTATTTATCAGACTGTTACATACAATCTCGACTGCGAGGTTGTTTAAGTTGAGTTATCGGCGTTTCTGATGTGCTTGAGGACTATCAGTGAACTGGTGCTTCATTCCTGGCTTGCGTTAGCAGAGATGAGATCTTTTGAACTCTATTAAAAGACAAATTGGGTTGTGCTGGAGCTTGAGCCGGATTTGGGGCGATATAAGGATCGACTTAATCGCTGCTAACTGCTGAGGAAAATGCTATTGAGCCAGTTCACAGCTATTGCATCTCCCTTTCATCCAAGAGACTATCTAACAACATGTACCTCAACCCCCAAGCCCTCATCTGCCTCCCCCTCCTCCTCTCAACTGCTATAGCATTCCCCCAACAAACCGGCACAGTGACAGCATACAAAGCCCCAGCGATGATAACACCAGCCGCAAGACTCCGCTGCTCAGGCGGCCAAATCGAAATCTACACAACCGATTGCACACGTGGAACACCAGTATCCTACTGCTCCAAGCCAGAGCCCCCAGTCAAATGCCCACAGGGCTTCTTCCCATCAGCCTGGCATCCAGACCACTGCATGCAACGCTCAACCTGTTTCCCGCTTGATGCGGCATGGATCACGACTGAGTGTTCGAATGGTGCGCTTGCTTATGATACTTCGACTCTTTATGAAGGGACGCTTGCGGGTGGGCGGTCGACTGTCATTAGTAGTGCGTATTTACTATCTTTCTTTTTTTTCCAGATAAGAAGAATCTAACGATGGTTACTATGAAGCTGTCTCCTGTTCCTGTGCCGAGGATCAATGGTACAGTATGACCCTCCTCGAGGACTCAGCAACCTACGATATCTTCTGCATGCCTTCCAGCTATTGTCCACCTGGCATGACGACTTCGGTTTCGTTTAATGATTACTGTGTTACTGCGCCTGCGAGTATTTGCTCGGATGTTTCCATGGAAACAAATCTCTGTCAATGTGCTTATGCGGGGCAGACGCCTGTTTATCCTGAGTATCCTGGCGCTGTTCCTACTGGGTGTGAGTTTTGAATTCTAAGGTAATGATAATATCACTTGATAATGTGAGGAAGAGGTATCAATGCAACGAGAAATGAAAAGAACACAACCGAAAAATAACGAAGCAAGAAGGGCTATAACAGCCGTATTTGTCCATGATAGTTCTAAATGAAGGATCCCGAAGAAGCTGTTTTGCGGTAAAACTTTTCTCTGGATCATAAATAAAGACTTTACTCATTGGTAGAGTGTACATGTTGTTACTCATCTAAATCCCCCTCAAGATAGTAGCATGTAATGAGGGACCGACGCCTTACATTCTCTTTCAGCACCGACTCCATAATGTTTTGTCATTTCTAAGCTGATGTAATTTTATGCATGTTTCAATGCGTAAATATGATTCAATTTATTCCCAATATCTTCCGACTGAAAGTACAAACAGTTCGACAGACTTCACGCCCTCAGGCTATACCGATACCCATTCAACATCTGATACAAGTCAGTCATTTGATATTGTGATATGGTGGGCTCCATCCTTAGAACTAAGCGATAGCGAGCTTAATGGTATGACCACTAAATACTTCATGATGGCTGACTTGCCACTCAGTTTGAGATCTCGAGAACATCTGCAGGGAAGGTGTACCTGGGCTATGAGACCTTGCTTGGGGTGTAGCTAGTCCTTGATCTCAGTTCTAGTTATACGAACTCCTCAACTTCTTCTCTCCTCTTACCCTTGCCCATCAACTTCACCATGGTCTCTCTAACATGCTCATTGCGTTTTATCGGTTTTGGCTCTTTTCTCTGCCACTTTCCAACTATGCAAATCAACATGAGCAAGTCTTCATTTATCTCTCTTCACTAGCGATGTGGATCCGAGGCCTTGCCCATAACCTTCGCGATGGCTTTTGACGTAACGGTACTCTGGTCTTAAGGCTGATCCGTTGTCCTCAGCTTTTACAGGAGTCATCATCAGCTTTCAGTAATTATATAGCGACGTGACAAAACTGCAAAACACCAGGAGATCCCATATCTAACCAAATGGGAATACATGTCTGTTGCCACGCTGACAGGATACAGGAGAGCAGACAGACTCAGCAGATCGAAATCACAAAGGCAAAAATGTAAACAAAAGAAGTGTTGGGGAGTTCTCAATCTGAGGGAAGGTGAGCAGCTAGGCAGGCACAGTCAGGGTTGCAGAAGTCACCAGCCTCATGACGAACAGCATCAGGAGAAACGGAGAGGTCCTTCAAAAAATGGCCACACACACCCTGATGCTCCCAGTGAACTAGACCCTCAAGAGTTGTTGCCTGTGTCAAAGGTTGAAATTGTCATCTCACAACGGTCCTTGGGGGAATTGAACCCTGGTCATAATGAGTCGGACTGCCTAACCCAGAAATCGTAGTACGTTGAAACTAGACCCCCAGGGCTGCGGGCGTTGCAGATTTGAACCCTTAACGTTTTCATGAGGTTGTTTTCCTGATTTGGAAGTGGTCCACTTGTATACTTTCACGTGATAGAATCACGTGAGACCCGCACATTGTTGTCCTTGCTGTGACAACATGGAGCTGTGTAGCATTATGCATGAATTATGTAGGTTGGTGACAGTTGCGTCGTGGTAATATCCTGTGCGGAAACCCCCACGTGGTCCTGACCATGTTTCATTTCAAGCCACCAACCAAGCCACTCTGAGCCAAGCATTTCCAAGTGCTCCCCCTGCAATTAGCCTGAATTCCGTCATGTCCTAGATAACTGGTGCCACCAGGGTCCAAGCCTACTTTCGGCGTCCCAAAAAGGGAAAATGAGGAACGCAAAGAAAGGCCCGAATGCCGTCTTAACCCCGGAGCCCCGCACCGGCCCGTGTTGCGGTTGCCCATAAAAAGGGTCCTCCCCGCATGAAAGCATTCCATACTCAACTTGACTCAATTCTCTCACCATGTCCGACACGCTTCCTGAAATGCAATATCGCTTCCTCGGCCGCACTGGGCTGAAGGTCTCTGTCATCTCGCTGGGTAGCTGGCTGACTTATGGCGGGCATGTCGGCAATGGTATGTCTGCACTGGACTCCCATCGTGGCCGTCAATTGAGATACTAATCGCTTCCAGAAACTGCCTTGGAATGCATGAAGGTCGCCTACGACGCCGGCGTCAACTTCTTCGACACAGCCGAAGTATACTCAGGTGGCCAGTCTGAGATCGTCCTCGGCGAAGCGATCAAGAAGTTCGGCTGGAAGCAGAATGACCTGGTAATCTCCACCAAGGTAAGCATCACAAGCCCAGCATGCATCCCGCAAAACCAAACCAAACCAAATTAAACCAAATCATTGACAACCATAGATCTACTGGGGCAAAGCCAACAGCGCCAACCCAGAAAAACCCCTCAACAACAACGGCCTCTCCCGCAAACACATAATCGAAGGCATGAACCTTTCCCTGCAAAGACTGGACCTGCCCTACGTAGACATCGTCTACGCGCACCGCCCAGACCGCGACACACCTATGGAAGAAATTGTCCGCGGCTTCAACTACCTCATCAACAACGGCAAAGCCTTCTACTGGGGAACATCAGAGTGGTCCGCCAGCGAGATCTCAGATGCCTGGCGCATCGCCGATAGACTAGGACTCATCGGTCCCGTCGTCGAGCAGCCGCAGTATAACCTGCTCGTGCGCGAGCGCGTCGAGAAGGAATACCGCTGGCTATATGATGCGCACGGGCTTGGATTGACTGTGTTCTCGCCATTGAAGGGCGGTGTCTTGACGGGAAAGTATAATGATGCTACTGCGCCGCCTGAGGGGTCACGCTTGGCCGAGTCTAAGGATGGGTATGTGCAGAGTTTGAAGAAGACTGTTGGAGATGAGATTTGGCAGAAGCAGCTTGATCAGGTTGCGGCGTTGAAGCCTGTTGCTGAAGAATTGGGGATTACAACGGCGCAGTTGGCTCTTGCTTGGATTTTAAGGAATCCTAATATTTCGTCTATGATTACTGGTGCTTCGCGGCCGCAACAGGTTCTTGATAATATTCAGGCTTTGAGGGTTGCGGAGCTTTTGACTGAGGAGGTTGTTGAGAAGATTGAGGCTGCTGTTGGGAATAAGCCTGCTGTTGAGACCAGACGGTTTTAGACTGTCTGCTTAAATGTTGACATCATAAAAGCTGCATATCCTGTTCATACATGAACATATGAAGCCTTTTAGCTCAGTCTATTCCTTCAAAAATCATCAATGATCTTAGCAAGACGGTAGCGAGTAAAAGAGACACCCAAGTAGCGTACATATGATCTGGTTTCAAAAGATCATCCTCTCAACTCTGTATACATCAACCCATGTTCATCAAGCTGAGCCTTATCACGTGGCACAACCTGGCTAGGATGAAAGATAAGAAACAAAACCATAACAAGAAACACTAAAGCAGTATCAAAGACATAAGCAAAGTATTCGTGGCTCTGGAGAGTCCCACTCTGCCCTTGAATATACTCCGCCACACGATAGATGCAACGAACCATAATCAGGAAACTAGCTGCATACAGCACCATGAGGTAAAGCTTCCAGTTGACCTTTGTGCTCAGAGATGCTGAAGTAGGATTATTTGCCATTTTCCTGTGAAAGATGACAGAGATAATGACGAAGAATCCGAAAAATACAATCTGGACAAGTAAGCCGACGATGATGATTCGCTCACCGAGCTTGAGATTGCTGGCAGATTTTGACCCGGATAGTATTGCACCACCTACATCATAGGTCATGTTAGCAAAAGCCCCGAGAAAAGAAACATAGATGCATACCGCCAGCCTGGATTAGAAATGCTAGCACATCCCCTAGTACGAAAATCTTGGTCAATCTCGTTGCCCGGATAAGAGATCTGGAATCACCATCGGTCAAACGGAAAATGCGACCCAAGATCATGTAAACAGAAGCGGCAAATAGCGATGGCGCAATCAGAATGAACAAACTCTGGAGGGCGTATGGCATGGCAGAATAATTTGGGGTTTGTTGAGCGCTGATTGCTCGCGCTACATATCCGATGGCTTCGAGTATACCGCCAACAATGAACGCGATGAGGAATTTGGTTCGGTGTTTCCATGCAAAGAAGATGTGGGCTATTGTTGCGATGACGAAGAGAATGATTGCTACAATTGCAGCTGCGACTGAGGGCTTGTAGTTGTAGAGGACGTATCCAGACATAGCGAAGTGATCAAAAGGATACAAAACGAACAGACGAGAAGAAAATAGGGAAAAAGAAAAGAGACGAAAGAGACTTGGGAAGAAGAACGAGTGTGATGCTCTTCAATGATTTGGATAACTGCACTCTTTATATCAGTAGGCACGGTAAGCCCACAGGCTTGAAAGGGCTGTTGACCCTATAATCAAACCTGCATAATCAATCAGCCTTATACGGGAGCCTAATCTGATGGGATTATGGAGCGTGTTGCCGTGTCTGGGCCCCATTCCGATTACGAATCCGAAAATGACAAAGTTACCTATGGTTCACGTTTCGAGATATCCGTCTGATCAATCGCGACATAGAAGACAGCAAGAAAATTGACCTTGTGGCTTTCGAAAAAAAGGCCTGAAGAAACTGGGACTCCACTTCATCTAGGTCCGTAATCACCAAGTACCGAAGTACATATCTGGCTGCCGACATGGGGCTTCAATTTCCCGGTCTTGAGAGGGAAATCAGATTGCCATGAGATATCTGACTCTGTCGGCTAAAAGCCCCATAGACAACATCAGAATCTGCCCTCGCATCTATAAACACAGCCCTGTTATCAATCCCGATCCCGAAAGTGGGTCTTCGGCTTCGTATTCGGCTTTTAGTTGAAAGTCCCAACGACACGAGCCGATCAAGGCTGTTAGTCCACTTCTCATTGCACTGAAGCTTTGAATGCCATGTTTCTATCAATGGAATAGGATATATGTGCCAGTTGCCTAGACTAGCCCCCAGCTCCATCCATGTGGTTCTGGTTTGTCTAGAAGTCCACAACAACCGCGCTCTTGCAACCTGAGCTCGACTTCAGCGTTGCTAGAGAAATGTCTCGATTAGTAAGTGAAAGCTTAGTCAATGAATGAATAGCCGAAACAATCTTCATCTCGCAATATTCTCGAGGTCTACTATTCCATCCATGGATTTCTTTTATGTATCGAAACTCCAAATGTCTGGCTACGTTTTTCCTCAGCTATATGCTCTTACTGCTCAAACTACTGCATTTTGGAATCTAATCAATGCAGATGGACATAATCATATCGTCTATAACATTTATATAGACATGGCGATTAAATCATTGCGGCAGAACAATCCAAGAAAACGCCTTTCTCTTATTTCTAATCCTCATCACGAAACATGACTTTAACTGTGCTTTAGCTCATTTATTCTGCTTTTCCAGCTGTACCTCGGCCGGACGACTCTTAGAGCAACGGGCATCCTCCCGCCGCAAAACAACAGAAGGATGCATCACGTTCATAACAAACATAACCAAGAACATCATAGCAGCATCAAAGACGTATACAAATACCTCATGACTTATAAAATAGCCATCATTGCCCTGCGTAAACTCAATGAGGCGGTAGACAGATCGAACCAAGATCACCATGCTAACCGCATAACACGCAAACAAAAGACCCCTCCAGTCACGCGGCCAAATGAATGCATGAGGTTGCATCGTTTGCTCAGACTCGGCAGTTGGAGTCCGAAGAATTTTGACATGGGAGACAAGCGACGTGATGATAAAGGCTCCAAAGAAGACTAGTTGGACGCAGAGACCGCCGACAATAACCCACTTGCCAATTATGAGGCTATCCTGGGATCCGCCTGTCATGATGCCACCACCTATACAAAGAGTCAGTCAGAAGCTCAGACTAGAGGCTCGTAGTGGTAGGAGTCACTTGCCGGCTGCTTGAAGAATGAACGATAGTATGTCACCGGCAACGAATATTGTTCGTCATTATCCGCACAGGTATGTAGCTCAGATGCTCGCCGTTTAGTTGTGCGATAATTCTTCCAAGGACCATGTAGATTGATGCTACATAGAGTGTTGGAGCTAGTAGAACAAAGAGAGTCTGCATGGCATAAAGTATGGTAGATGTCTGGTGAAAATGAGAAACTGCCCGAGCGACATAGCCAATTATCTGGACTGTGCAAAATGTCAGTGGATCTGACTTGACAAGATAGAGAAGAGAATAGTAGGATACTGACATATTCCTCCAACGATGAAGGGGTTGAAGTATTTTGCGTAGGTGCAGATCCTTTGGTAGAGATGGAATGTAGTAGTAAGGAAGAAGAGGACCGCGAATAACACTGCACACACTAGGCTTGGGGGATAGTGGTAAAGTACATAGGTAGTCTCTGTAGTGGCCATGGTGGCGGTGAAAAATAGCAAGATGGATCTCGAAATTTAGGTACTTGGTTGAAATGGTGGATTTCAGCTCCAATGGAGCAAACAGTGATCAAATACTATGTCATACAGATTCTTCACCTCGGGCTCGTCACTACGAGTCTGCAATCCTTTCCGACAACCTATATCAAATGATTGTAGGTTGTAGATCAAATCCAGACCATCCTTCGCATCGGCCCGCAGCCGAAGCCGAAACCGAAGTGAGATACTCTAACAAAACGGTCAAAGATTCCGCACTCACTAAGCTTCAGGAAACCGGGATAAAAATAATTATTATTGAGACGCGCAAAAGAAAAAAGCATTGGATCGTAATCTTTGTAATGGTAGGCACCTCAATTAACCATGGAAGTAGTAATTTCCTGAAAGCGAACCCGAACACGAACCCGAGGCCAGCGCCTTGATCTGAGACTTCCAAGGTTTGCTGGATCGAAATGGTTATTTTGGTCATTAAATCCACTTAATACGGTCATTAAGACTAAATCTCTGCCTAATAACTATCAAGTCGCTACTTGGATATTTTCAAAGATTACACTGCCATAGTCATCTCTATATATACCGTTTCACTCCAGGACATTGAAACCGCAACATATTTCGCCCATTTGACACTTCTGAACTTCTTTACAGCCCCCGTAGAGACACAATGGAACAAAAAGCAGACTTACCTCTCTCCGAATACGATTATGTTTCTGACGACGATTCACAATTTCACGAGCCACCTCCAACCTATGATTCAATTTGCAGTGACATTGCATTGGAACCACAAAAATTAACAGATGAGAAGGCTTCTTTGACATCTGTTGAAGGTAAGAAGCTCAGACGTTGCTTTATTACTTGCGGATTTCATGCTCAACACGCGAACACAGAAAATGGTCGATTCAGCATCAATCTGAGCGCAGGGCCTCGTACATCAGCTATCATCCAGGAGCTGTATCGGCCAACCCAACTTCCGAGGCTAGTGAATGTCACATCAACGGATAGCCCCCAGCATTCAGAGACAGAAGATATTGAGAGTGCAAAGGAAACCAAATTCATCTCCTTGGATATCGTTTTGATGCTCGTTGGTAGTAGAGGTGAGTAGACTGACGTTTTGGTCCGATATCTTACTTACTGGTGTTGCATGAAAACTAGACGAGATCAGATCATGTGCGATAATCGGTCAGAAATTACGCCAGCACGGCCATCGAGTACGCGTGGTGACGCATTCTATCTTCAAAACGCTCATTACAAAACTTGGCTTGGAATTCTTCTCTTTCAGTGGAAGTCCTGAGCACCCTGTTGCAGTGAGTACCCCTATATCAGTCAACGAACGCTCGCTCATATCGCTTACCTCTATCGCAGAAGCAAGACTCAGGTCTAATGCCTGAATTGAGAAGCTCGAAGAGGCAGGAGGTTTTGAAAAGCAGTAAGCTCCTTCTGGAGACATTGAAAGGATGCTGGACTGCTTGTACACATCCGGGCTGGTGGAAAGACAGACCCTTTCTTGCAGATGCAATTATCGCAACGCGGCTTGCGCATGCGCACCTGCATTGTGCTGAGCGGCTTGACATCCCGTTGCATATCATGTCTACTTCTCCGTGGACTCCCACTCGCCGATTTGCGCATCCTTTGGCTTATTTCCGTGCTTCAACTGAAGTGGAGCAGGAAGTACAGAACTATCTTTCTTATACCTTGATCGAGGAGTCGATTTGGCAAGAGTATGTAGACTTGGACGAAGCACACAAAAGCATCGCTGATTGAGACATAGATGCTATCACGTCGTTGACCATTTTCGACGAGCTATTCTGGGCTTACCCGGCTTACCGCTAAATGGTGGAGGGGGGTTTTGAGGAATCTCAATGTCCCTCACACTTACCTTTGGACGTCTGCTCTTGTACCGGCACCGAATGATTGGGAAAGGACAATAAGTCAGTGCACAAGTAACCCACATTCCTACCACGCAATTGATTGCTAACAATTTCGCAGATATTGGCGGTTATATTCCAACGACCACACAGGCTCTCCCTTACAACCCCCCAAACGAGCTGACGCAGTTCCTTGAATCTACGCCGGCACCCATATTCGTATCGCTAGACATCAGTCTTCTGCAAAGCCCGGAAAGATTCGTTCGGTGCGTGAAAGAAGCGTCCGAAAAATACGGCCTCGCGTTTCTTTTGCCTAGTACATTCCACTCTGTGAGCGGAATTTCGGAAGATTCTAAGCTTTTTGTTCTTCATGATGTTCCAATTGGTGAGTACATTCCTAGTATTGGCGTTCGTTTTCACAAAATTAACCAATGGGACAGAGTGGCTCATACCGAAGGTTTCTGTACTTTTCAATCATGGAGATTCTTACACGATATCAGTGGGACTTCGTCATGGGATACCGATGATCTCAGTCCCTCTTTTGAGAGAGTTAGTGTCATATTTATACTTCATCCTTTGAGTTTGCATCGACTGATTTGAGTCACTATCATCACAGCCAACCCTTTTGGTCAACAGCAATCTTCAAAGCAGGCCTGGGCCCACCCCCTGTTCATGAGAAAGACTTCTCCTGTGAATCGTTAGTTATGGCCATTCGACAATGCCTACAGCCCGAGGTCCGAGAAAATGCAAGAGCAATTGCAAACAAGATGAAAACAGAAGATGGCGTCGCGAGAACCGTGAGATTATTCCATCGCTATATGAACTGGGATGCTATGCAATGCAGTTTCTCACAGGAAGATGTGGCTACTTTCAGAATTTGTGATAATCCCAGTGTGCAGCTATCTTCGGTTGCGGCGGTCATTCTCCTAAATGCAAAAGGGTTGAGATGGTCGGAATTGGAGTTGTATGTCTCTCCCTCCTCTGATCGGCGAGTTGCACGCTTACAAGATGATTCGCAGAATTAAGCGACATTCATACAGCACCGACGAAAAGCCAGAGGGCTCAATCTCAAAGTGTGATACTTCACGATCTGCAACATCCATGTCGGTTGGAAAAGACCTGATCAAGGCTATTGCCAAACCGACGTTCTCGCACATTGCAGATGCTTGCAACGGAATAGAGGTGTGACACTTCAGGCATAGGTGCCTTTCAATCTGGATAAGCTGACAAGCATGTTACTCTGACTCAGAGTACAAACCAGACAAGGTCTAATATGGAAAGATCGAAAACAAATGTGGCCGTGGATGTGGCCAAAAATGTAGGTTTCGGGTCAGCTGTTTTTCTAGGAAAGGTTGCCATGTTGCCATTCAAAAGTGAGTCAAGCCACACCAGATTTCTGACATACTAGGAAAGAGATTGCTCACGGATTGCAAACAGCTGTGTATTACATGGGCGGGACCGCGTCTTATGGTGTCAAAAGCCTTCAGTCGTCCAACACTCGACAACATGCCACAGGCAATCATAGTCAGCAATGGGAAACAAGTTCATATGGTGCTGGTACGTTTCTACTTCTGCTACTGGCTGAGGCATAAGTTGACCTGAGATGCAGAATCCACTGCTACTTCGAGGCCATCGTCCCGGAGAACCAACTCGGATGATTCGATCAACAGACAACAAATCGAAGTCATTACCAAGCTACAGATAGAGCGGGGAAGAAGAGACAGGAGGCTCCAGGATCCAGAGTTTGTCAACCTGGTTATCACTAGCTTTGAAGCTCTTCATAAAAGTGCTTCAGTCTGAAGTGTGATGATCATTTACATAATACAAAAACTTCCCGAGGAACTTCATGCTCCGTGCAGATGTAGACCAGCTTACAGATGTTTCTTTCTGTGATATCCATGTCCACAAACCGGTGTAAATAGTGAAGTTAAAAGCAAAAGCATGATTGCAGCGATGGTCGTATTGAAACTGAAGTATGCCAATATTCAAACACATTTTCCACCGTCAACAACCATCTCAGTACCATTAATAAACCGGCCCTCATCACTAGCCAAATAAAGACACATATTAGCAATATCATCAGCCTCAGTAAGGCGACCAAGCGGCACATTTCCAATAAACTTTTCCCTGTTCTCGGGGCTATCCTCCATACCCGTGAACATAGAGAAGAGCCCAGTACCAGAAAGAAGAGGAGCAACGCTGTTAACTCGAATATTGTGCGGACCATACTCCGCCGCGAGACCTTTAGTGGCCTAAAATCATGCGACATTAGTAATTTCCCAAAGGTAAAAGTACAACCACAAACTCACATTGGATACTGCTCCCTTGGACGCGTTGTACCACACCAACCCAGGGCGCGGCCGACTAGCACCAGTGGATGAAATGTTGATGACCGAGCCGCCGGATCCTTGCTCGATAAAGCGTGGCATGACAGTCTTCGTCGCAAGGTAAATACTCTTCACGTTAACGTTGAACACACGTTCCCACTCTGCATCTGTAACCTCTGCCGTAGGCTATTGGAGGAACCCAATAGTCAGCAAAAGAATCCTTGTACATGTAGTACGTTTCATCTCTTGGCAATAACCGACCTTGTTTCGATAAGTAGTGCCCGCATTGTTAACCAGCGCATCGAGTCGCCCGAACTTCGAGAACGCCAATTTCAGAACTGCCTTCCAGTCGCCCTCCTGGGTAACATCCATATGCTGGAAAGTGAGATTGGAGGGGTTCAGTGCGGCAACCTGTTCGCCGCCTTCAACATTGATATCTGTGACGATTACTTTGGCGCCTTCTTCGGCAAAGCGCCTGGCAATTGCTGCGCCGAAGCCTGAGCCGCCTCCTGTAGAGCATGTTATATCAGATGGGGGTTTGCGACTGTATTGTGTCGGGTGGTTTTCTCACCGGTCACAATGGCAACTTTGCCTTGGAGTCTTGTGCCTTGGGACATAGTGGTACGCGTATTCTTTACTTTTGATGGAAGTAGTTGGAAGATTGTGGAAGGCAGCCAGCGATTTGATCGCTTTAGACGTTCAGGGGCTTTCAAAGAGGGGTTTCGGTAGGAACGTTGGAGGTCGGACTGAATTCCGAGGCCTTTCCCCGCAGTGACTTTTGTACCATGCAGGCTGTATGCTCTTGATCTACTTGCTCTTCTCTTTGTTTGCTAGGCAAAACAGGGTACTATAGTGCCTAATATATGGTTTTCTTAAAAGGGTCACTGCGAAATTGACTTCTTATCGGCCTATACAACTACCCATGAACCCTCAGATATAAGGTTGGTCCGAGGATGATTCCCTGCCAGGGAACAACCCTTTTGTAACATTTATTTTGATCTAGTGCTATCATTTCAAAGCTATTTTGAGCTTTTTAGCTTTCAGGGAGACACTCATCTGGATATAGACTTTATGGAAGGCCAGCATCTTTGAGAATTGAGTTTCGCCATAGCATGCTGCTATCTTTGCTCTTTCAAGCCACATTCCATCACCCATGTTTGGCTTAGGTTCAGATAACAACGTATGGAAGACAGCGAAAGGACACGCTTATGCAAAAGAACACATCAAGTGAGGGTTATCAATACAAAAGTTCCGCTCATACTTTGGGGCCCACTTGCGGTCAATGGCTGTCGATGATCACTGCAATACGAGGAGAGCGCAACGGTCAGTCCAATGATGCTTTACATATACAGTTCACTATTTTATGATCTTTTTCGGCTTTGCTCTTCTACAAGACCCCCAGTTTCTGGACAATATCAAAAACAGCGCCCAGTGGGAATGAGGCTACCATTTTAGCGTGTTTTTGGTCCCACCCGCTTATCATAGATTATTCTACGGTAGAATCATGCATTTCGTTAATACATGACGGGTGTAATTATGTTGGAGATAGGTGCAGCACTCTGATTCAAGATTCAGTACTGAACTTGGATACATATGCCTGGACCGTTTCCGTTGACTCGAGTACTGCTACATATACCGGAAAGTTGACTAAAAGCGGGCCATACTCCATTCTATCTAGCGTAAGGACTTAACACAAGGCTCTGAAGATGAAACGAACTCTTGCATTAGTACTTATCGGTGTTCGGACCCGAATAAGATCCAGTTGACCCCCACAGCGCTATAGTTGACCCTATCTGGTATTGGAACGGGGATATGTACAACGTCAGAGGTGGAGATTTCAACAAATAGCCTGCTAGATCCTTTGAATATGTAAGGTGGTCTGTTCTTCTCACTAATACACATTGCCCCCCAACTGCAACCCGTCGCCAAGATTCTCTCTCGCCTGGTATCCTACAAATGGGGGTAAATAACTAGCAGACGCCGAGTAAAGATTATTACTGAAGAGCTAACCCGGATTCTCGTCTGGATAGTGAGAGTTGACAATGAGATTTTTACCTCAAAATTGGCCTCTAGAGCATCAATCCAAGCCAATACCAAGCAGGAATTTCCACCCTAAAAAGCCAAGCGTTCAAGCGTGAAGGATGTCAAAGCGCGGGGATCGAACAGCAGTGGGGAGCGCCGATCAGATGCCCCTGTTCTCCGCCCCGCTCCATCGACTTTTCCACTCATGTCTGGCCGCACCTTCGGCGCATATACGCATGGTGGCTCCCATGACTCCCATGACTCCAGACACACCAGATACGGATACACCGACCGAACGAAAACGAGTGCGCCGCTGGCACAACCGAGGCTTCACCGGTTGTTCAACATGCCGCCGCCGTCACGTCCGCTGCGATGAGGCTTTCCCGGTTTGCAACAATTGTGTGCGCTTGGGACGCGAATGCGATGGAGCCCAGGGCAGGATGACCTTTAAGGTCTACGGACCTACGTCGGACTCTCCGCCAGAGTCATCGGCACCGAATCGACCAATGAAAATCGCGAATACCTCAATACCCAGCCCAGAGTCGGGGTCGAGCGACGGATCTACAGTATCGCCGCCAGCGAGGGAGGAAGATGCGCACCGGACAGCCCGCGAACCTGTGATTGTGTCTTCCACCGTGACTGCACAGCGGTCCAAGTTTCGCTTCCAAGAACCCATCACGACGGCCAGCATTGCCATGTCTATCCAGCGCGCCGACGAACGATATTTTACATATTTCATCGATCAAGTCTCCACCCTCCTGATCATCTACGACAATCCCAACACGGCCAATCCATACCGCGCATACTTTCCAGATTTTGCTCGGTCATCGCCGACAATGATAAATGCCATGCAGGCATTGGGCGCATTACACCTTGCGAATACATCAGCGGGGACACAACGGAACAAACACTTCCAACAGGCAATGGGGAAATACGGGTCAGTGGTGAAAGGATTCCGTGCTCGATACGGAGATCCCAACCAGCAGCTAGGTCTAACCGATTTCGCCACGTGTTTGCTACTATGTCTATTCGAGGTTCGAACTATGCCCATCCGATAATTTTCGCGCAAGGTATTAACACCTTGCTAGATGATGGACTCCCAACACCAGAATTGGGCTGTACACCTCAAGGGCGCGCGCGAGATCTACAATCTAATTTTCTACCCAGTTACCGGCGATTCAAGACGCGAAGTCCAACGCGTCGCAGAAACAAACCACCCCCTCCGCCCCTTTCTCGTTTCATTACTCTCCTACCTTGACGTTGCGGGCGCGTGCGCAACCCCAGGTGGTACCGTTGTCGAAGGTAGTTACTGGAAGACCATGGGCGGAGGATGGGAATATAACCTCGGCACGCCTAGCTTATCTACCAACATACCGGATAATCCCCGTCTCGTCGAACTACGAGAAACATGGTCCCGCCTGATGGAAATTCAGGCGAGAATTAGCACCTTTGCACAAGATAAGAAGACATGGATGACGAATGACCAGTCTGATATGATGTACAAAGATATCTTCAACCAGCTTGTGATGTGGCGGGCGGAGACGCCTGTTTCTTTGCAACTGGTGGGCGATCTGGACGATGAGAGTATTGCTGAATATCTGTATCCTGAGGTCCTCGAGTATGCTGGGTGCATTGAAGCATATGAGAAGGCGACGTTCGTTTATCTGCATCAGATTGCGGGTGCTGGTCGTGTTCGTTGGATTACTGATTACACTTATTTGGATATGCTTGTTAGTCGCATTGTCATGTTGATTTGCAGGCTGTCCAAGGGAGTTGGGCAGTTGGCTGTTTTGTGGCCGCTTTTCATTGCTGGGCAGGAGACTCGTAATGAAGACGAGCAGAAGTATGTGCGCCAGACTATGCATGAGTTGAAGCGCTTTGGATTCAAGGTATGTTTGTCCTTTTTCGGAGACGGGGATTGTGCTCACTGTGTGTCAGAATGTTGATAAAGGCCTCGAAGTCCTCGAAGAGGTCTGGCTCAAGCGACGCTCCTTTCCCAATGGGTGGATCAAGACTTTGGATGAAGTCCAGACAAACATTCTTCTTCCGTGAAGACTTACGCCCGATATCATCTGTCTTTCATTCCGACATGCGACTTCCTTGTCCTACTCTATCACCCTTTTCTTATTCGACAGGTTTTTCTACCATCAACGCTATGATACCCCACGCCATGACTCTTCAAATCGTTAATTATTTCCCTCTGGATCACCTTCGACTTCCGCGGATCGAAATGTATGTAATGAACAACGTATATATCAAGAAAGCAGCAAGTAAAAAACATCATCACCACTGTGTTAATACAATACAGAAGACCCCAGAGTTTCAAATGCCACAACTCTTCCCTTCTTGTTCTTCTCACTTGAACTATAAACGCAGATATAATGGTTCGGCGAAGTAACACTGAACAATGTTCATCTAGATATCCCATGATAGCGCGCCCCATCGTCCGAGTCAAGAGTACAATCATCTCGTATTATCACGCAAAACTCAACAAATATAGGATATACAACAGCGAAGATAGCAGCTTAGTCACATCGCGGTTGGCGCGGGTGGGTCATCCGCAACCGGTTTCGTCGAATATTCATGCACATCATGCAATCAAAAGGCGTAGCGAACAGGTTCCAGCCATTCAAATAAAAGGCATGTCCATAGGAAAATGCCGAGCTAAACGAAGCAACTAATAGGCCACCTACTGTTTAAGGTTAGGCTAGCAAAAACCTGCCCTCAACCCTCAGCGGACCAGAAAGCTCCGACGTTTAATGAGATCTGATTTGATCACCACTTTTGCCAGTGAAGTGTAATTTTTGGAATTTTCAGGGCCCGGAATTTGCTCATGCCGGTTCGGTACGTGATGCTTACCCGCACGACCTGATCTGATGTTAACATTATCAAAAAGTCCAGGCTCGTAACTAAAGCCGTGGACTGTGGGGTGAATCTTTCCCCCTACTATTTCCGAGTGGGTCGCTCGCCGAGCTTGACCGGAGACCGTAAAACGGCCTCGGAAAGTCTATCAAAAAAATTCTCTTAACACCTCGACACACTGCTGTTGTTTTTGTGTTTCTTTGACATCTGGATATGGCTCTTCACGACGCTGCTGCCAGTCCATCCGACCTGCTCGCTGAGGGCGAGGGCAATCGCAGTCAGATTGAAGCTAAGGATGATGCTGCTTTGCTGGTGAGTGATGCACTTGGAAACTCGCATATACAGAATAGTAGACTAATATGTAATAACAGCGGACCATGGGCTACAAGCCGGTATGTTCATGTTACTAAAAAACAATGGTCGGAACTGATCATGAACAGGTCCTTCATCGGACATACAACTTCTTCGAGAACTTTGCGACTACATTCGGTATGTGTCAGTGACCAGCTCGTTCACTTACAGTGCTAATGTCTATCTAGCTGCTCTCTACTTTGTCGGTGGTGTGCGCGTCACTTTCAGTACTGGTATTGCCGCCGGTGGAAACCTGGCCTACTGGACCAGTTACCTGGTTACCATGGTCTTCACCTTTATTACTGCCGCTGTCATTGCGGAGGTGTGTTCGGCTTCCCCGTCTGCGGGTTCAATTTACCTGTGGGCTGCTGAGGCCGGTGGTCCTCGCTTTGGTCGGCTTCTGGGTTTCATTGTTGCCTGGTGGAGTACGACTGCTTGGACGACTTTCTGTGCTAGTATGTTGCAAATCCCAAACTAGTAGGTGATGGCGATGCTAATAGAAGTATAGGTAACACCCAAGCTGCGGTTAACTATATGCTTTCGGTATGCCACTTTTCTTGTCACTTTAGGATGTCTGCTAACATTATTACAGGAAATCACTGTGTTCAACCTGGATTTCCCATCAGACTCCAGCGACGTCAAGTTCCGTGCCGTTCAATGGATCTGTACCGAAATTCTGCTGGCCCTTGCAGCTCTACTGAACTTCTTGCCTCCCAGGTACTTCAAGTATGTCTTCTGGTTTTCAGCCGGAGTCGTCATGCTCGACTTCTTCCTGAACCTGATCTGGCTGCCCATTGGCACTGCTCAAACTTGGGGCTTCCGTACTACCCATGAGGCCTTCATGACTACCTACAATGGTACCGGTGCCCCGGCCGGCTGGAACTGGTGTCTTTCTTACCTTGCCACCGCTGGTATTCTGATTGGATTCGATGCTTCTGGTCATGTTGCGGAGGAAACCAAGAATGCTTCTATCACTGCGGCTCGCGGTATCTTCTGGAGTACCGTTGCGAGTGGATTTGGTGGTTTGGCTACTATCATTCTTTTCCTGTTCTGCGCGGTGTGTCTAACTTCTGTACAATTCCATGTTTGGTATGCTGACGTTTTTCTATAGCCTGATGCTGCGACACTCATGAGCTTTGGCTCTCCTCAGCCTTTCGTGCCTTTGTACGCCGTCGTCCTAGGCAAAGGCGGCCACATCTTCATGAACGTCATTTGCGTGTTCGCCTTGTGGATCGTAAGTCACCACCTCCCCCCGATCACGAACATTACCAACTCAATGAATTCAGAACACCGCAATCGCCATCATCGCCGCATCACGTCTCGTCTTCGCCGTCGCCCGTGACGGTGTCCTCCCCTTCTCCAGTTGGGTCTCTCGCGTCAAAGGCGGCCAGCCCCGAAACGCAGTCATCGTCGTCTGGGGTGTCGCCGCCCTGATCACCTGCACGATCCTCCCCTCCAACGTGGCCTTCACCTCCCTAGTCTCCGCAGCCGGTGTCCCGAGTGCAGCAGCCTACGGTCTGATCTGTCTTGGTCGGCTGGTCTGCACACCGAAGCGCTTTCCCAAGCCGCAATGGAGTCTCGGTCGCTGGAGCAAGCCGTTCCAATTCATCGGTGTCTTCTGGAACGGATGGGTTGTTGCTGTTCTTTTCTCGCCCTATGCGTGGCCTGTTACTGGCGAGAACTTGAACTGTAAGTCTTGATCCGCTGTCATTCGCCTGGCCTTCTTGCTAATCTATAATAGACGCACCGATTATCATGGCTGGAGTGACTATCTTAGCTTTGATCTCATACTTCATCATGCCGGAGAGTGCATGGCTTCCTCGTGCTCGTCTCACGCACTTTATTGACAGCAAGGGTGCTGTTGAGGAGACTGTTGAGGAAGTCGGTTCTACAGACCGTGGTGAGCCCAGTACTCGATGATGTACTGTGGGATGTGGAACGGGTCGAGAGACCGATCCGGGCATGCGATGCCTTCAAAATTATACTAGATGGCCTTGTGGCTTATACTGCTTGGCATAATTATTTAGCTAATTCAACATTATTGCCAACAATTCAAATTCATCATTTCTAGTGTGATACTGTATCTTACAGTAGACAGCATAATGTCCGAGGCCTTCCTGTTTGGACCGCTTTGTGGCCCGTGCGAACACGTCCCCAGATAATTGACATCCCTAACTTACCGGCCGCGTCCCTCTTGCAGTCACGCCAGTTTACCATGACACATTGCTTGAGACTGATTGCAACTTCCATGCGCTCAGTTATAACAGTGACCTCATCTCGACCTTTAATCTCAGCTTGTAAATCACTTTGGCATCGAACAAAGCACGCATCAGGGCCTCGCGTGCGACTAAGCTCTGATATGTCCGAGAGCCATCATATCGAGTACAACTAGATCAAGGGCGTGGAAACTCTTGAAGAATATCAACCAGGAGTATGCACATACTCTTGATATTGCTTACAAGTATATCGATATGTATACATAGATCTATCGCTATAATCGTCTTCTAGATGTATCAAGAGTGACAGTGGAGAAGCTCGGTTCGTCGATCTTCCCCGCCCCCGCAAGATGGCGTTCGCCAAACAAGGGGCCGAACTTAGACCTGTTTCTATAGGCGCAGAAATACACCACAGACATATCCCAACCCCAGACCCCAGACCGGGTTTCATCTAAAAGGGATATATCACACTTCCCCTCCCTAACCACCGATTTCGGAGGTTGTCCAAGCTCCCCCCGGGCCATACTTCCCTTCTTCCCGGGTCAGTTCACTTTCTTCTTTGTTTTCTTTCCTTGTCTTTGCTGGACCCCTCTCAGGCTCAGTCTCAGTCCTTGCATTTATCTCTCTCGATTTCATTCTCGCCTGACACGCCCAGTCCGGCCTGGATGCAGTACCCCCAGCTCATTCCCTCGGGCCCAATAAGCATTCAATAGATGTGACAGCAGCACAAAGTGCAACTTGCATGATCACTCACATCATGGGTCCCTCCATGCGGTCAGCGCTGCCGTGTCTCGCTCGCGCGGGGAAACTGGTCCCTGTGACGCACTCGGGTACGCTTCTCCAACCCTCGGGAGCTCGTGTGCCGAGCCGCGTAGTTCCTCCACCTTGGGTATTTACTAACAGGATAATGTGATAGCTTCTCAAATTCGACATGCGACCTTTCTCCTGTCGCATGCTAAACGTGTACCCATCTCGCCCCCACTGTGGCCAAGCCTCTCCAAGCGAACTGCTACAACCTCTTCTCCAACTCCCTCGGAAACCGTCCCAACAAAGCCATACGCGGAACTGACCATCGGTGTCCCTCTTGAAATCTTCCCGGGGGAACGCCGTGTCGCAATCACACCGCAGAATGTCGCTCTGCTGTTGAAGAAGGGCGTTTCGCGCGTACTGATACAACGTGGTGCGGGCGAAGGCGCCCAGTTGCTGGACGATGCCTACGAAAAGGCCGGCGCGACTTTGGTCGACCGCGACGCGATTTGGTCGCAGAGTGACATTGTCTTGAAAGTGCGCAGTCCGCACTCAGAGGGGGCATTCAATGAGATCCAAGCTCTTCGTCAAGGCTCTACGGTTATCTCGTTCTTATATCCATTGCAGAACAAGCCCCTCGTTGAAGCGCTCGCAGCTCGCGGCGTGACTGCCTTTGCTATGGATCGTATTCCCCGGATCTCTCGCGCCCAGGTCTTCGATGCTCTTAGCTCTATGGCTAATATTGCTGGTTACAAGGCTGTGCTGGAGGCTTCGAATCATTTCGGTCGGTTCTTGACTGGTCAGGTTACTGCCGCTGGAAAAATTCCCCCGAGTAAGGTCCTTGTTATTGGCGCTGGTGTGGCTGGCCTGAGTGCAATTGCTTCTGCCCGTCGCATGGGTGCTATCGTCCGTGGCTTTGATACCCGTCCCGCTGTCCGTGAACAGGTCCAGTCTCTAGGCGCTGAGTTCATTGAGGTTGATTTCCAAGAAGATGGTGCTGGCCAAGGTGGCTACGCGAAGGAAATGTCCAAGGAATTCATTGATGCTGAAATGAAGCTGTTCATGGAGCAGGCCAAGGAAGTCGATATCATTATTACGACCGCTTTGATCCCTGGACGACCTGCGCCGAAGCTCATTACTAAGGAAATGGTCGCTGCTATGAAACCCGGTTCTGTTATTGTTGATCTTGCTGCTGAGGCTGGTGGTAATTGTGAGGCTACGGTTCCTGGCAAATTAAGCAACTACAAGGGTGTCACTATCATCGGCTACACGGATCTTCCTTCTCGTCTTCCGACTCAGTCTTCGACGCTCTACTCGAACAATATTACCAAATATCTCCTCTCTATGGCTCCCCAGGACAAGTCGTTTGGTATTGACTTCAAGGACGAGGTCGTGCGTGGTTCTATCGTGACTCTCAACGGCGAAATCATTCCTCCTGCTGCGCCACCCGCTCCCCCTCCAGCCCCGAAGCCCGATGCTCAGGCAGGCGCAGCTAAAAAGGCTGAAGAAGTTGCCTTGACACCTTGGCAGCAGACTACCCGAGATGTGACAATGGTGACTGGTGGAATGGGCACCGCTCTGGCTCTAGGAAAGGCCGCGGGCCCAGTCTTCATGAGCAACATGATGACATTCGGACTCGCTGGTCTGGTCGGATATCGCGCTGTGTGGGGTGTAGCTCCTGCGCTCCACTCGCCGCTGATGAGTGTGACCAACGCGATTTCGGGCATGGTCGGTATCGGTGGATTGTTCATCATGGGCGGTGGCTATGTGCCAACTACGATTCCTGAATATCTCGGTGCTGCGTCAGTATTCCTGGCCTTTGTGAATGTTTCTGGTGGCTTTGTGATCACTAAGCGCATGCTTGATATGTTTAAGCGTCCTACTGATCCTGCTGAATACCCATGGTTGTATGCAGTCCCGGCTGTTGTGTTTGGTGGTGGTTTCATCGCTGCTGCGAGCACTGGAATGTCTGGTATTGTTCAAGCCGGATATCTTGTCAGTACATTGCTGTGCATGGGCTCTATCTCTGGTCTGGCGTCTCAGCAAACGGCCCGGCGGGGTAATATTTTCGGTATTCTGGGTGTCATCTCTGGCATCCTGGCTTCATTGGGTGCAGTTGGATTCTCGGCTGAGACCTTGACGCAATTCACTACTGTTGCCGGAACAGGTGCCATTCTCGGAGGCTTGATTGGCCGTCGCATCACACCAACGGGTCTTCCCCAGACTGTCGCTGCCCTCCACTCCGTTGTTGGACTGGCCGCCGTCCTGACCAGCGCTGGAAGCGTGCTGGCTGATATCGCGGACATCACAACCCTCCACCTGACCACCGCCTACCTCGGTGTACTTATCGGCGGTGTCACATTCACCGGCTCAATCGTCGCCTTCTTGAAACTAGCCGGTCGTATGTCCTCCAAGCCAACCATCCTCCCCGGCCGACACGTCATCAACTCAACTCTCCTCGGAACGAACATGGCAACCATGGGCGCATTTATTACAATGGCCCCAGGAAGCCCCGCAATCGCCGCAACATGCCTAGGAGCAAGTACAATCCTTAGTTTCCTGAAGGGATACACAACAACAGCAGCAATTGGCGGTGCCGACATGCCCGTCGTAATTACCGTCCTAAACGCCTATTCTGGTTTCGCCCTTGTAGCCGAAGGCCTAATGCTCAACAACCCCCTCTTGACCAGCGTCGGATCCCTAATTGGCGTCAGCGGCTCCATCCTCTCGTACATCATGTGCATCAACATGAACAGATCCCTGACAAACGTCCTCTTCGGCGGTATCTCATCGCCAGCAGCGCAGAATCAGAAAAAGATCGAGGGCGAAATCACCCAGACTAGCATCGACGATACAGTAGAAGCCCTATCCAGCGCCGAGAACGTTATCATCGTCGTCGGCTACGGAATGGCCGTCGCCAAGGCTCAATATGCTCTTTCTGAGATTGTCCGTCTGCTACGCGCGAAGGGTGTCAACGTGCGCTTCGCCATTCACCCCGTTGCTGGCCGTATGCCCGGTCAATGTAATGTGCTTCTTGCCGAGGCGTCGGTGCCTTATGATAGTATGTGACGCGGCCACCATCCACTCCCCTTTATTTTCCAGCAGATGAGCCTTTACTAACGGGTGTGATTAGTCGTCCTTGAAATGGAAGAGATCAACGAAGACTTCTCCGACACAGATGTCACACTCGTCATTGGTGCAAATGACACCGTCAACCCCATCGCTATGGAGCCTGACTCGGCTATCTCCGGTATGCCTGTTCTCCACGCTTGGAAGAGTAAGGAGGTTATTGTCATGAAGCGGGGAATGTCTAGTGGTTATGGTGAGTGTCATCTTCCTCTGGGGTGTCATATGGTTTGACTCGGCTAATCAACTGTGTGCGTGTGTTATCATTCACAGCGGATGTTCCAAATCCCATGTTCTTCATGCCTGGTACGCGCATGCTCTTTGGCGATGCTAAGACATCTTGTGATGGTGAGTACCGGTCTGGTTTTTATGCTTGCGTATGGAGTTTCGTACTAATGGTCTGGTTTCCATAGCCATCAAATCCGCCCTGGAGGCGAGGAAGTAGGCTTTTCTAGAACTTATAGTTATCCGCTCTGATCGATCTTTGCTTTCGAGTCATTATCTTACCTTCGCGCTCATAGTTCAGTTAGCTTTGCATTGCATTGCTGATGGAATACTGCTTGTTTCATAGGCGTGCTGCATACATACTTGCTTGCTTGAATTGAGTGTTGTTCATTCTACTTCACCCTACTTCCACCAGTAAACCAGACCCAGTTACACCACGAACAACCCCAGCCTCCAAAAGCAAACTCAGGGGTAATTTCTCCCTCTTCTCTCTCCCTACGTCATTACTATAAAGTGGACATCCATTTCATTTCAGCCGTGGGGTGTTGCATTGCGTTCACCGGAGAGGGGGGAAGGGGCTTACGCTGCATAACCCGTCGAACGGTTAACGGTTTACGGTCTACAATGGCCGAGTACATACATACATATCAGAAACTCGGGGATAATCCTACAAAAGGCTAGCCCGACGGTTCAGTGGCTCACACAATCCCTGCACCTCCGTGGGGTTACTGTACTCGCAAACCTCGCCATTTCCGCCCGTTTAATCTATTTTTCACCCATTTTTAGTATATTCTTCAACCCTCTGACACTTGGTCAATGCTTGTACCGTTTTTTTTTTTTTTTTTTTGTGTGCCTTTTAGCCGTGAATTTCTCCGAGTCCCATACTCTGTATGCATGTCTCATATCCTTGCCAAGGTTGTTTATTTGTTTGGTCCACTTGGACTCGGGGCCGAAGGGGAAGGTTTTGTCCGGTGTGGATGGAGATGGAAGTGGAAGTACGTGTTTGTGCAGAATGACGTCTGAAACACCAATGCAATGTGATATGGTATTTGGCTTTTTGGTGGGATCTACATAGGGTGGTTGGTAGGTGTAGTTTGACAAACTCATTTAAGTTGACTGCACGAGTATCATTTCAATGCGGTAAACAATCAGAATCTAGTTTGCTTCTTCGTATCAGGAAACCAAAGAGAACTGCAAATTAAGAAGCAGAATAAAAAAAGACAAAGAACCCAAGATTCTCCCTAAAAATTCAATATCAAATCCATGACGCCATTTGAATAGATGTAGACATTAGCCATTCCAGATTTAGCTCAGTCCTGCTTTTGCAGGCACGGGCAGTAGGAAATTTCTTCCGACATGGAAGTCCGGAAGAATCAGAAAGATGAAAAAAAAGATGAACCGCCCAAAAGAAACCAGAAAAACATCCAGAGAAACGCCCAGTATCAACCAAGACCCAAAGAAAACCCTGAAAGTCAGATAATCCAACCCCCGTTCCTTGCGAGAAGGTGAGATTACCGCCCATAAAAACATTATCAAGAGGAATATGTCAATCAAACAAGAACAGTCAAGGAAGACAAGATAAAACAAGAAAAGAACAAGAATTAAGCCTTATTATTCAACCTCTTCCCAAGCTTCAACCCCATAAACCCACGACCAGAAGGGAGAAAACTAGCATGTCTGGCATGTTTGCGCTGACTAGATTTGCGAACGACATTTGCACCTGCGCTCGCATTCGAATCGACAGATCCAGACCCAGAGCCAGACCTAAGCCCAGAACTCATATTAGGCTGCGTGGCAACGGAAACCTGCGAAGAAGAAGGTCCCATCCCGACCGGATCAACCTCTGACCGTAACGAACTCATAGAATGAACACTCGACGACGAATGCTTCCGTGTCATACGGCGCATCATCAGAGGAGAGCGGGGGTTGAGGATATTCGAGACGCTGTAGGAAGATGAAGACGATGAGGTGGGTGTTCGTTTCGAAGAGATGAATGATTGAGGAGGTGGAGAGTAAGGCTGCGGAGAAGAGACCATAGACATTGAACTGTGGGTCCGCGAGAATGGGTGGCTGGATGGGGTTTGCTGGTCATCTGTGGAGGGTGAGGCTGGGCAGGAAGTATAGCTTTTAACGGTGTGACTGCTGAGACTGCGGATTGAGGCCGGGCGAGATATTTCTGTTGGGCGTCGGGGGCGGAGGAGAGGTGGGTGCATTGCCAGGGATCTGTCTGCGCCTGCTGTTCTGGGTCGGTCGGTTGGGAGGGATCGGGGTGGTGCTGGGAAGTAGGGGACTAGAGGGACTTCGGAGACGCGGTTGATTGTTGCGCTTGGGGCTGTTGTTTCGTCCGTGTCTAGGGTTACGTGCTTTTGTGGGACTGGCTTGGGCGTCGTTTCTCTGTGGGAGTATCGTTTGGAGATGTGCTCTGATGAGCGTGGTGGTGCGAGTCTGTTGTCTGCTCTTGCCAGGGGGGACGACTGCGGCTGCTTTCGCGAGAACGAGAGTGGTTGGTGCGGGTTCTGGGGATTGGTCTCTTGCTCAGGGTGTTGATTAAGACCACTGTTGGTCGTGTTTGGGGTTCCATGATGGTGACTTTCTTTGCCACTTGGATATCTGCTTCCTCGACTGAGAAGATCGAGGAGGGTGACGTTGATCGAGACCTTGTGGTTGGCTTCGGCTTCGGCGAGACGTAGACCGATGGCTGGAGGAATATACTAGACGCCAGTTGGGGAGGAGAGTCTGGTGATGGCAGTTCAAGTACCATTTGCTCCTCTGGGTCAAAGACATAGGCATCTTCATCAAAGGCAGCGGGGCTCGTCCTCTTGATAGTATCCGTAGACACGGGCCGTGGCCGTTTGACTGTTGGCGGCGCCAGCAGATGTTCTTCACGGTCCGAATCAGCGTCAGCGTCCATGTGAGAGGCATCGTCGGCACTCAGGTCTGAATCGAAAATGGCAGCTCGTTGTGATTCCACCGGAGAGCCCATCGGCGAGGATAGTAGATCCTGGGCTCCGGTATCAGACTCGGACACAGCCTCTTCGTCCGATTCATATCGTTCTTGGAGACTATGCCGACTCAAGCGGTGTAGATCCAACGAGGTAGTAGACTCGTACATGATTCCAGCAGTCGACAGGACCGATGATAGTATAATAGAAATAGTAGTTGTCACCGGTGTCAAACGTCAAGCTGTAGATAGATCCAAAGAAGAAGAAGAAGAAGAAGAAGAAGCGAACAGGAGATACCAGCCCTGAACTAAGAATGCCAGCAACGACAGGGTGACCAGGAACCAGTCCAAGGAGAGAAGACAGCGCCCTAATATCCCACGGGTGCAAAGCTGCAAAGGAGATCCAAAAATCCACTCCTAGACACACGGGGAGAGGAAAGGCTCTTTTAAGGGGAGTGGGACCAGGGAGCTATGGACAGGGGATATACATAATTCGATTTAGAAAAAAACAAGGCCGATGAAGAAAAGAAAGCAGGGAAGGCTACAAGAGGGGCCATGCACGTGTAAGAAAAGGCCAAGGTTCACTAACCCTGAAATCCATGACCTGCAGCGCGTATGGAGAGGCAGGGAAAGCAATGTGATTGGAAATTATCGCCCTTGCATGGAATAGGGCGGAGCTGGGAAGGTCAGTTTCAGCAGGTTAACGCGTTGCGGTCAGCTTGAAACTCTATGGGAAAATCAAATAATAATTAATTACTACAAAGGTAGAAGTAGACAAAATCTGATATATCAAACCTGAGCTGTCGTTGGTCAGGGCCAATGCACCTAACGCTCGAGCATAGCCCTATATACGCCATGATTGGACACGTATCAGGACGGGATGTCACGGACTAGAAAGCCTGAGGTAAAGAGCGGGATATTCTAGGGTCCACTAGGAGAGAATTCTCCTAGAGTGTAAAGTGGATCTATATTTGTGCTTTGATTGAAATTCTCAAGCGAAGCGCCCGTAGGACGGGAAAATGGAACGATTTATGGGAACAGGAACAGAATTAGTGCATAATCAGGACTTCATCGTCGAATCAGCGTGGCTGAACACTTGCCAAGTTAGCCGCCGCCTTAGATCGGTGGGGCATGTATAGCTCAAACACGCTACACTACGAACTCCTTGGGGGCGCCTTAGCTTCAAACCGTAGTGTCTTCGGTATGAAGGTGCCGAATGCCCGTCCCTTCTAGGATGTTGAAGCCAGGGGGATTTGCCTTCATCTTTAGGGGGATCCTTCAGGGAGGATCAGGGGCTATCTATGGATTGTAGGACTCAAATCCTAGACGATATGAAGCATTTGCTGAGGTTTTGCCAGAAAGTAAAAGAGATCCTCGGCTTACTGTAAATAGAGTGAACCGACTATGGAATACAGTATACGGTAATGGAAAGAAACTATAGATGACTCCTTACATAGGAAACGACCTCATCGCCTGTCACATCTCGGCGATTTTCTCTCCTCCACCATTATATGTACAATATTCCAATATCCTATTCTGCTCTTATTTATAGCGTGACATGTATCATCTGCAAATAATCCATTACCCTTTATACTGTACGCAAGGACTCCGCTCTCAATATTCCCCTCTTTCATGCAGCCGTACCTGCATACTACTCCGTATGCGCCTCTTTCTCTTGACAATTAGCTAAATCTTCACTTCAATTTAGCAGTGGGTCTGTTCGGCGCCATGACTCCATCAGGATGTCACTCAACGCTTTTCAAACCAGCCCGGACATGGGCTGATGTCGAACCCCACGTCGACATGGCAACAAAAGCTACCGCACAATACCATCATTGCTTTTGACTTTTGCTTTTCTTTTTTCTCTCAATAGCCTGCTTTGGTGTCTGTTCTTTCCAAACTAACCCGGAATCTAATACTTTCCGACCATGCATACAATGCACTTTCCAGTCTCCGGCGTGATTGTCCGCATGGCATCCACGCAAGGCGCTTCGGGTTAGAGAGGCGGAGGCTGCAGGTAGTCGGTGATCTAATGCATTTATTGATTACCGGGCTCTTTGCTGTACTTTCTCTGCCTCGCTTTACAGTATGGGGTACTTATTGAATGAATACCCATCGCGTTGGTGGCTGGTATTGGTGGTTGGAAAGATGACGCCTGGGGCTGGTGAGAGGCTGGTGCCAGCCCATCTTCAATACTTCACCACTTACTTTTACCCACCTGTCTGGCTATTTCTCTGCTGGCCAGCTGTGCGGCTCTGGCCGTTATCCCTTGATTTTGGAATGATCATCCCGTTGACTAGTTGACTAGTGCTTTTGATATGTCACTTTGGCGTTGAGTCTCCGTTGCACAGGCCACATGATTTGCAGAGTTACGCTTTCAGCTGCCTTTCGGCCGTATAATTTAGCGTTGGATGTGATGCTTCCAATCCATTTCGAGCTTGGTTCTCTTTGCTGCTCGATGTTGCCATATCAACCACAGTGCGGAGTGATGATGTGTTTGTTTTTGGGTTTCTGTGAATGACCACAATTCGGGGTTGGAGTTGATGGATATGAGGGTTGGGCTCCAGATCTCCATTGTGGATTGTCTGTTTTGATAGATTGGGTCTGCATACTATAATATTACTAGTTGGAGATGCAGGTCCTTGGTGGGTACGTTATTCCAACATTCCTTGCTGACCAGATGCGAACCAGAGACACACATGGCTATCCAGGTGCCATCCTCGCTCCCATGTGGTACATTACAATATGCTGACAGTGAACAGATAACATGATTACATTCATCTTGATATATGGAGCATCTATCAATAATACTTTACTAACAATAGGGGCGAAGGGTACAATAGAAGGGCCTGCCACCGACAGACGGGTGATAACGACAAAGATGAACAAAAGAAGAAAAATCGACATTATAGAATACAACCAGGACAAGACTGCGAGGGCAGTCCAACAACATTCCCGGATCGAAATGAAATGCCTCGCCCCTAGGTCTTCGCCCTGATGTTTTTTTCCGAAAAAAACGTTCGGCACATGCATTCCGACAACTCCGAGGCACATACCCCATGTCCGGTTGGGCCTGGCATCATGAGGTGGTCATTCATTAAACAAGTATAGAGACGATTCACCCAAGAGCAGCTACAGCCCTTCTGCTCTGCTGTGTCCACGGATTTGGGTGAACTTCCAATTGCTCCTGAAACGATAGAACAATCGAACTTGTGGACACTGATTCTTCAAATCGCACATTGAACTCAATCAAGTGCGATTGATAACTCAACGGGCTGTTTAAGCCTTGCGGGAGCGAGTGACGGGGCCGTTGGAGCGGCCAGTGGAGGCAGCGCCGTTGGACTTGGCAACACCGTTCTGGGCACCAGCGGGGGAGGGAACTTCAAAGTTCTTCATGTCAATGAGAGACTTCTGGCCAGTGTTACGGCGGGGGCGGCCGGTCTTGGCGGTCTTGTTGTAGGTGGCAATGTAGAAAGAGATGAACAGGACCAGGTAAGAGCTGATGATACCGATACCAGCCATGGCAGCAAACTCCTCACCAGCACACTTGCCCATGTTGGGGAGCCAAGGGAAGTAGGCGGAGGTGAAGTAGGTGTACGAGGCGAAGTAGATGAAGCCTTGAGTGGGTTAGTCTTTATGTTTGGGTTTATTCGGATTGAATTACTTACCGACGTCAATGACGAATTGGAGGATCTGAAGCATGGTGATGTACTTCTTCCACCAGATACGGACGCCACGGGCACTCTGGAAGTAGTACCAGTACATCACAACGTGGACCAGCAAGTTGATGGTGATGGGCACCCATTGCACAGCAGTCACACCAATAAGCTGGGTGTAGCAAAGAAGGGCGGTGGCACCGTGGTGGTAGGTGTGGAGGAAGGTCAATGGCTTCTTCTTGAGAGCCAAGAAAATGGTGTCAATGAACTCGACGTATTTGTTGATGTAGTTGAGCTGTACATGGCTGTTAGTCTCTTTGTTTTGATCGTCCAAACACGGGGCAACTTACGTAGTACAGCACAATGAGGGGCTGAGTCCATCCACCGCGCTGGTCACAAATGGTATAGAAGACTCCATGTCTCCAGAGTGTAGGCACAAGCTGCTCAATGAACAGAACCAGTAGGATACCACTGACAACAGTCAGGAACAGATTGTGAACCATGAACAGGAAGTTGAGCTTGAAGGCAGGCAACTTCTTCATGATCTCCCGGCCACCGAAGATGATAATGTAATAGGTAATGAGCATTGTCGCAGTCTCCTTGAAGGTGGAGAGAGGGGTCACGCCCTCTTGGAACTTGAACTCGCTCGCGGGATAGCCCATGACCTTCTCGTAGGCCTGGTCGAAGATGGGCCACAAGTGGACACCAAAAGGCCGGTCGAGGGTCGGGAGGGGGACATTTTTGAGAAATTCAGCCGCCATTGTGAAATAAAAGGTTGTTGCTCAACCGACGCGATGCGATGAAGATGGCGACGCCCTAAGAGGCAACAATGTGACGGGCAGTGAACCGCAATGAACCGTCAGACAATCGCGTGGAGATGCGAAAGTCGAAAAAATGAAAGAAAAAAGAAGAAGGAAGGAATGGATTGGAGGAAGGGGGATGGAAGAGAGAGAAGAGACAGGAGAAACGATTACTTTTTGCGGCCGGCGTGTTGAGATCCCAAAGGGGACTAGCGTGGCATAAAAGGGGGTACCAACTACACCCGTGGCTTCCGATCGCAACTACTACTATCAACTATACACGTTAAACTTGACGGAGTCAATGCCTCGGAGTGAAATATTGACATTGATTGCAATTTTAATGCAATTGCAATCTGGGGTGCTCTATCTTCACAGTATCCCTCCTTGTTGGCCTATGTTCTGGTCCTCGGTACTATCACATGCTAGTCTACGTACCAATAGCGCATCAGATATTACCGAGTCGTTATATTAGATATCCAGGGGTCTTCCCAAAAGCTACTTGTTGAATTCAGTACTTCCTTGCAACCATCGCAGCAATTGACCATCTTTCATAGCACACGTCCATTCACTGGTGGATTTCAGTCCCCGCTTTGCGGAACCACATCCATACCCGGAGGGTCGCAATGAAAATCTACCGACTTGTTTCTTGCCAAAGTTGGGTTGCAATTGCATACCACGGTGAGGCACAGCGTGTCACTGGTGATGATCTCAAGTACATTTCAACAAGGCCGAAGTACTGTACAACCATCTTTAAGCTAGCTGGCATCCCGATTTGCGCAAGAGTATAGAAGAGTCATATCGGGTAACAGATACAACCTAAGATCTAGATTTTCTTCAATTTCCTTCGGCTCATATATTTCTCCCTAGTTATATAAACAAAGTATCTACAGTATCTTTCCTTGCTATTTACATGCCATGGACTATCATGTTGAACAGATTTTGCTAGAAGACATGTGCCAGTGTCTTGTCTTCGCAGCAAGCACAGGCAAGCTATTCATAGACTGGAACTTCGGTGATATGTAATAGTAAGTAGATGGCATGTCTTTATCTTTTTGCGCAGTGATTGGTCATCTAGACAATCGAACTACATATCTGAATGGCATCCCCCATGACTAAAAGAAAAAATTTAGATCAAACTATATGTACATAGTATGACTTGGATACAATTGTGGTTTAGAGTTTCTCAACAGCTAGCTCTCATCTACTATAACATCTCAATCGAAGAAAGTACTTTATCAACCAATGACGCGCTCGTTGAAAAGTGACAACCGGCCAGCCAATCAACATGCTTCCTTAGAGATCAACGGGGCCAATCGGGTGATGACTCAGCAGCTCCCGTGTAGTGCCTGAGGCGGCGACACCACACCACCGGCAAAATCCTAGAGCACTTCTCACCTCCCCTTCCCGTCTCCATCCATACCTCTCCCCTCACCATTGTTCCAGTCCGGTCCACCGTGGTCCTCCGCCTACAATGCAGTCCCTCTCCATCTTCCGCGCCGCAACCCGCGCCGTTCGCCCTACCGGCTTCTTCAGAGCTCCCCAATTGGCCCGGTCCCGGATGCAGTCCCCGATCACTCTGGCCGCCGCCCGCGCCCACAACTTCGGCACCACCTCCAAGCTCCTCTCCGGACACGAAGACGAGACATACGAGGAATTCTCCGCCAGGTACGCCCCCAATCGCCAACCATTGATGTCTGAGTCGGTCGGAAGAGAGGGGAGAAGTGCTGTGCATCGCGACGTTAGGCGCTTCCCGGAACAGACACCGGCATTCATCTGGGGTTAATTGGAGCGTGTTATACTGACTGTGTATCCCAATCGCAGATTTGAGAAGGAATTCGACGGTGTGCAGGATGTTTTCGAGCTCCAGGTATGACTGATCCCGTCTTTGCACCCCCGGCATCTTGATCGACATGCGATATGGCATAAGCCTTTTACGTCCATCACTCACGCACTCGTTACCCATATCCATTCGACACATGGCTAACTCTTCTCAAAATAGCGCAACCTGAACAACTGCTTCGCCTACGATCTCGTTCCCTCTGTTGAGGTCCTCACTGCCGCTCTCAAGGCCGCCCGCCGTGTCAACGACTTCCCTACCGCCGTCCGTGTTTTTGAGGGTACGTCTTTTTACCTATACTATAATATCAGTATACATCTGCTATGAACCGAGATTAACGTCATGTGAACAGGCATTAAGGCCAAGGTCGAGAACCAGGACCAGTACAAGCAATATCTCGAGTCCCTCGAGGGTCTCCGTCAGGAGCTCGGCGTCGCTCTCCGTGAGGAGCTCTACCCCCAGGAGGAGTAAATTCGCATCACCAATTCTCCATTCACGTCAATTTTCTCTTGAACAAACAGTACCCTTTCGCATGTTGTTTATCCAGCACTGTTTGACTGGCTGAGGAGCAGGTCGGGTAGAAGAGAAAACTGTATTCATATTTAGAGATCTCTTGTGTTGTTAGTGCCGCTCTTATTTGGAAGAAGGTCTCTGGTGCCTCTGTTGGTGCTTAATGTATCTTGATTCCATGTGTTCCCATTTTATTCAGCCATCTTACACTTGTTGTATTCTCAATCGCTCAATTCAGTCTTCAGTCTTCAATTTTCAATCTTCTTACAATCGTAGCACAGCAAATTTAATCATTTGTAAACCGTCAGACTAGTCTGAATCTCAGTTCTTGTTTCTAAGTAGCCAATATATCACACCAAATGACAAACTGCAACAAAGCCCAAGAGACACCACACCAAATTAGATCGAGCCTCCCAATTGACCATGCGCAATCGATATAAGTACAATGAAGACAAGGCCCCTGTAGCTCCCCAGAAGACAGCAACACGGCCAAGAACGTATTTTGTGACAAGGAATTAAACCAAAATAGAAAGTGAAAAAAGGGAACACAGAATCATCAATACACAAGGGTGTGTCCGCTCAAACGCCGGGTACTAAGCTACTGGTTTTCAGGAATATAGTCATAGAGGTATGCAAGGTGATGCAAGAAATCGAGTCGTGAGGCACTCTCCAGAAAGGCAAGCGACAAGACAGGTCATTCAAAGACCTGGTGTTTAGTGTGTTCCAACATACTTGAAGTAAGTCGGGCGGCAATCTTCTTTGGAGAGGAAGTCTGCACCCTGGAAGAATTGCCCAGCTTTGCAGCCGGAGCACTTGGGAGAGTTGGGGCAGTTGAGGTACGGGATGTGGTTGTATCCAATATCGCGGAACCTAGATTATAATGTGAGTGAGTTTTCTCATATGTTAGAAGGAATCATCACGTACCAATGGACATTTGCGGCATCGGCGAAAAGACCAATTCCGAGGGAGTGGACGGGGGCATCACCCCATCGCTCGTAGAAGAAACCACCGGCACGGTCTAGGTGCTGGAAGTACGCCTCATACTTCTCACCACGGAAGAAGTCCAGATCGCCGATCTCGAAGTTGGACCAGAAATGGCAAGTGGAGTATCCATTGCCGCCCTTGGTGTGTTCGGGACGAGCCACGTCATCTGTAATCCACTCCCACATGTTGTTGTCGCTCAGGTATGAGGGGTTGGCGGCGAGGAAGCGCTGAGTCTCTGGCCAAAGGGACGGGATACTCTGAGGGGCATCGTAGAGGTTGATGGTGAAGCCGTAGGTCTTGTTGCCATCCTCCATGTACCGGAAAACATCGTAGTCAACGTCGCAGAAGAACTTGACGTTGGGTTCAATGCGCCAGTAGTAACGGTATTCCTTGAGAGCAGGGTGCTTATAGAACATGCCACTGTTCCAGCGACACATCTGGTGGTAGGAAACCTTCGAGCTGTACTGGATGTCCTGCTCCTCCAGAAGCTTGGCGGATTCCGTGAAGAGGTCCATGTTGATCCAGCTCGGGACTTCCCAGTGTTCCTTGGGGACAAGCTCTGCGATGAGAGTTAGTCATGCTTCTCCAGCAGGGCGAAAGGGTAGGGCGTACCGAATTGGCACTTGGCCTTGGTGACCGACTGCACCTTCGACTTAAATTCCTCAGTAAAGAGGACATCATTGAAGAAGATGTAGGGGTAGTTAAATTTGCTGTTCCATGTGCGCTCCAGATCCTGCATGGTATCGAGGAGCTGGCCTAGTTCCTCATTGCGGACCAGCGAGATGAGTGCGGCGTTGGTGCGGGCCGATTTGTCGCTATCGGGGGAGTAGTCATGTTCGGTGGCTCGCCATAGGTTTCCGGCTGGTTCTCCGGTAGCTGAAACCACAAGGTTAGTATGTTGGGAAAGCGATAGTTGCGATAGGAGAGGTGGCAAGAAACCGGGGTCACGCACGATCTACAAGAGGATCTTTTTTCATGCCGTGAATCAATTTAGACCCATCATTGGAGGGGCTCTGATGTAATTGGAATACAAGAAATAGACAAAGAAGGATGCATGCTGCACCCAGCATGCGAATCGGTCGCGCGATAGCCATGATGGGTTGTGAAAGGGGTAGATGTCGGCGGGAGAGAGAGGTGCGCATATGAGTGGCCATCTTTCCTGGTCGGGACTAGCGTCATCCAAGCAAAACATCCCGACTTTCCATCAACTTCAACTTCAACAACGTTATTGATGTGATCTTGTTTTGTCTTGCCTTTGTCTAAAATGGCTTTCGCGGCTGATCTCAGCTCGCTGACTGATGCCTTGATTAGCTCTGTCACCAAGATACCACCAAATCAGAAGGTAATAATGGAGTCCTACTACGTACACCGTCACACATTAAGTGTCTAACTTTCATCTAGGGATCTGCTCGCGTTCAAGGCCTGAAGCGTCGCGTACAAGGAGGTCTCCGGACTGGTTCTCATGCGCGCACTGACCAGTTTGCAGTGGTCAAACAACTCGAAGGGCTGCAAGAAAAGTTCCAGGTCCTGAATAAAGATGAACTGGCTGAGGCTCTTCGCTCCCGCCTGGTAGAGCTGGAAGACAGCCGAAACTCTTGGCTCCCGGAGATACTCAGCATGTTACTCCAGCTCTCAGACCGCCCTGCTCTGTTGTCAACAGTTGACCGACTGGGGAAGAGAGACAAGTTATCCGAGATACCAGAATCTCTGTCATGGTCGGATCTCAACCCGGAGGGGGCCGCATACAGTGACGAAGAAATATGGGAGCAGGTAGACTTTACTGCCGACTCATCAGATGACGACGATTTCTCATCCGTTGTCAGCGATGTGTCTGCTCCAAAACACAGAGCTCTGTCCTCTACAACGGTTGAAGAGGATTATATCGTGCCAGATGAGATCTTCACTCCAGCAGAAGACAACAAACTCATCATCTCTATAGAAAAGGCACAATTCTGGAAAACAGAAAACCACCCTCCAGTCACTCAAGGAAAGGAGGATGCCTCGCAAACCATTACCGAACTACAGCTTGCGAGAGAGACTATCTTCATGCTTCAGGGTCTTCCAACCTCTGTATTTTTGCATTTGGATAACAATGTTGGAGTAGATCGCAGGTATACACTTGCACATTCATCCAACGAATCACTAGCATCACTTTTGCAGCGCTTTGGTGAGATCGGTGCCAAAATCAACGCTGTTCGAGACTTTATCAAGACACATCAGACGATCCCATACCTGCAGACATTTTGCCGAGGCGTTGAAGAGCGTCTTTGTGAGTTCGATGGGATACTTTCCCAAGTTCAGTGCAAATACCTTTCCTCTGGTTCAACAATCAGTCTTCTCCAGCTTCTCGCTGATGTTCGTCAACACTCCCACGAGCTAGTCCTACTGGCAAAAATGGTCGCCAATCTAGGGAATAGCTCGACCGATCAACCGATGCGCTGTCTAGATTTGCTATATGATTTGATATGCAAGCTGGAAGCTCTTGGGGATGAAAGTGCGTCTCGAAGCCTTGCAGAACTGTTCTTCCTATGCTTCAAAACATACACAAGATCGATTCAGTTTTGGATGGAAACAGGCCAGGTTGATCCTTCAGATATCACCTTTTTCATTCGGGCGCATCGTGAGGGTGATCTTCGCACCCTTTGGCACGACTGGTTCGTTCTGGATGAGGGGCTTGATCGGCAGAAAATACCCCAGTTCCTCGAGACAAGTGTACAAAAGATCTTCACAGCGGGCAAAAGTATGGTCTTCTTGCGCCATTTGAACGCGGTAATCCCAGAGGCCCGTGAGAAACCGGCCATGACAATCGATGAGATTTCCTCCTCAGACTCAGCGCTCTTGCTTCCATTCTCTGCGTTAGTGGAGTCAGCTTTCGAGAAACTTGTGGATATAGATCATTCACGTAGTGCCATTCGTTTGCGAGAGGAACTTGATGAAAAATGCGGCCTGTGGAGTTCTCTAGACGCTCTTCAACATGTTTATCTTGGCAAAGATCTGAGCGCGCTGAGTATAATCGATTCCAAGGTTTTCGAATTGATAGACCGCGGGCGCTCTTGGGATGACAGATTCTTGCTCACTGAAATCTCGAGGACGGCTTTCAGCTCAATACCCACCATTGATACATCGCGACTTCTCGTGCGCCCAGCTACTACTGCTTTGCGTGAATCTCAAAACCACCGAAGCGTAGCAATCCTCGAGTCAATATCGATTGACTATGGCCTTCCATGGCCTGTGGCAAACATCATCACCGAGGAAGCAACTTGCTCTTATCAGCGAATTTCGACCTTCCTAATGCAGATCAGGCGTGCCAGATACAGCATAGTAAAACAGCGCATACGAGACGCCCGCAACACGCAAGACGAAAAGAACGACACTTTGGTGCATGCTCTCCACCATAACATGCTCTGGTTCATCGATTTTATCTACGGTCATCTCACCTATCTTGTCATATCCACTGCAAATCAATCCCTGCAGTCCGCTCTACTCGAAACGAAAGATGTCGATTCCATGATTGCAGCCCACAAATCCTACATGTCTTCATTAGAAGCCCAGTGTCTGCTCACTGAGAATCTATCTCCGATTCACAAAGCTATCATCAGCCTATTAGATCTTTGTGTTAATTTCGCAGATCTTCAAACTGCACACTTGACTGGACAATCCACTAGCGAAGAGCAAGATGACGAAGAAGACTCCATGGAGGCTGTCAAAATACCAACGAAGAAAGACCCCGAAGATGAATTTGACTCCGACTACGATGACGATGACATGGGCCACGAACACACTCTTACAGTTTCATTTCATGACTCCACCTACTACCAAAAAATGAGAAAGGTCAAACTACAATTCGATCATCTAGCTACCTTTGTCGCGGATGGCCTCAAAGGTATAGCTCGGGTGGATGGATTACCTAGCTGGGACATACTTGCTGAAAGGCTTGAATGGTGTAGACGTTAGGATCTTGCCGTAAACGAAAAAGGAATGAATGGACGATCCCAATTTACTTTTGCTAAATGCTGGTTGAATGACAAACAAGTACGATATAAGTTTTATAAGATAGCATTATTCTATCCTTGTGTAAAGATCGTTTTAGTATATTTATGCATCAGAAATCATAAAACGCCACGCTGACATTCCCTTTCTTCCAATTATTACAGCAAAGCCCCACATCAGATGAAACTGTACAACCTGGAAAAGATTACCATTCCTTGTATTAACATCCCCTAGTTGTTTGAATCGACTATCTAGGCCTTGATGGCCTGCTCCTCATCGTCGCTGAAAGCGTATCTCGAGAAGCGGCGAATGGCTTCTCCCTTGAAGTAGAAGACATAGGGAATGAGACAGCAAGCCAATGCGATGAAGGCAAGGAGTGAACTGGCCCATTGGTAGCCGAGACGGTTGTACATCTGTTCGGTGAAAAGAACAGTGGAGGCGCCCCACATCGAACGCAGGAAAGTCTTCGCAGCGAGAGCAGAGGCTGCCTGGTGCTGATAAGTATCCACTAGAGATATTGTTAGTAATTACTCGTATCGAGTGTGAGAGTGTTGTACATACCAAGATAGTTGTTGGCCGAGTTGTAGAGGAAGATGAAGCCGAATCCAACAGGCCAGCCTCCCATGGCTGGTCCGATCCAGTGCAGATCGGTGTAGGAGGTCCAGGCAAAGATGAAGAGACCGATGGGAATAAGCCAGCAAGCCCACATCATGGGGATCAGACGCTTTTCGGCAGGAGGTTTGCCGCCGCATTCGGCAGAAACCTTGAGGTAGTGCTTGTTTACGAAGGGAGCACAGGCTGCGCTCATAAGAACACCGATAGCTAGGGGAATGAACATGAGACCAGTCGAGGAGGCGCTCCAGCCCTTACCGGATTGGTAGACAATGGGGTAGGCAACGAAGAACATGTAGAGCAGGCCGTACAGGACAGACATGTAGAGAGAGATGAACAAGACGATGGGCTCGAGGAATAAGAGCTGGAAGGGGCGGAAAAGGAAAATGCGCAGCTTCTCGCCAAGGGGACGCGGGTCAAGCTCGGCTTCAGTGGTGTACTTGTCATCGTTCTCAGACTTGCGGAGCTTATTGGCTCTCTTCTTCAATAGGATTGGGGCGTATGTCTCTGGGACAGTGAAGGTGATCAGGCACCACGCAACGAAGCCCAGAATCAACTGGAGCCAGTAAAGCCAGCGCCAGCCAGCGTGGTCTCCAAGGAAACCACCTACAAGAGGACCAATGGCGGGCCCAAGGAAGGGCGCGGCACTGAAAGCTGCCATGGGAACACCTCGCTCCTCACTCTTCCACAAATCGGCGAGAGTACCACCGACCAAAGTCATAGGTGCACTGAAAGCGATACCGTCGATCAAACGGCAGACAATAAGGGTTCCGATGTTCTTGGCGACAGCACATGGAACGATGAAGATGACAGCAATCAAGAGTGTGGCAGCATATAATGGGCGACGTCCGACCATCTCAGACATAGGAGCAAATACCATGGGGCCTAGATGAGTTAGAACCAAGATGATCAGGGAAGGAAACCAGTCAGCCACTTACCAACACCGAATCCAATGACAAAAACAGTGACAACAACCAAGCTGACTTCACGCGAGACACCGAAGTCTTCCATAGGTCCTTCAAGATCAGCAGTGATGGTACTGCTAGCAAAAGCCACTACGAAACAAGTGAAAGCAACGACCATGGTGCAGTACCATTTGTAAAGCTTCGACCAGTTTTTAGGGTTCTCAGGGTCATCAATGGTGAAAGTTACCAACTTCCAGTCCTCCAGCTTGCCAGTGGCATTAGACTTGACAGGCTTGATGATCTCGCCTTCCCTTGTCTCGGTGGTGTATTCGCGAAGATCGGCGCCATCGCTCAGCTCGCGGATGGGGAGGTTGAGGAAGTCAAGTTGCTCATGACCAGATCCGATGGAAGCAGTCCGGCTGGTCGCATTTGTCTGAGTATGTTCTGACCGTGGGGTTTCCATGTCGAAATAAGTCAATCGATGTGGTGGAGAGTGGACCCCAGCAGAGGTATGGGATGTTGTAGTTTTGATAACCTGTGATGGAATGTGGCATCTACCCCGGGGGGTGCCATGTTTTATATCCCATTGTATAGAACCGACCCCGAATGTTTGACAGGTGGATCCCAAAAAAATATCGGAATGCGGCATGAACCACTGGATGCTTGCGATGTTCCTGGCAAAGCTTTGATATCGGGCCGTACCCATATGGCGGATTGCCTTTTGTGGAACAGCGGTGCTAGCCGTATCAGGTAACATGCTACGATGGCCCGAACACTGCTTATATAGAGGTCTTGGCAGCGTCACGTCAAAAGATTGGTATATGCATCTGATACATTTCGCACGTTTATCTGCTACATGGCTTTTGACTGCATCAATTTGCTGTTTTTGAGCACAGTTCAAAGACCCGTAAGTGGAGTATCCTTGTGGATGTTGTAAGTCATAGTCCAAGGCCAATCCATAGAAGTGGGGTTATGGAGATGTATGCGCTTTTCCGTAAATTTAAAGCACACCTTATTTAGCCCTAGATCAGCGGGGGACAGATCGAAATAGACTGGTGTCTGGATAATAGGGAACGTTATGCAAATGCTGTTTAGGTTTATTCAACGACTTTTTTTTGATATTACGATCACCCTTGGAATAAGAGGAAATGAGCGAAATCTCACTCTTGGCATCTTAGCTTCGACTTTTCTTGGCTTCAATGCACTTGGCCTATTTTACTTCATTAGCCAAGCAAGTAGAAGGAAGTTGGGGGTTTCCCAATAAAGACATTATCTACGCTGGAACCAATCAAGTCTCAGATTCATCCTCCATGAGAATATCACAAGGACAATATGAGGTCAGATCTAGAGCATGAAACATGTGTTGTGGTGGAGAATCAAGATCCACCTCGCATGATATAGTCCCAAAGTGGTAATTTTTTTTGAACGTCCGTACTTAGTAATATGCTCCGATCTACACAAAAATAACCGGAAGAGACAGAGAATGCAAACCCACTGCCCAAGGGCCGTGTTACTTGGCGATAGAGTTTTATATCTTCACCGAACTCAGACCCACGTTACAGGTCTATGGCCCTGCCTTTATGGAGTATTCGTCCCCCAACTCGTCATTGTGCATGACTCAAATCGGACCGGAAGGTTAGGAGAAGCGAAATGCTCCACGTAACAGTCCCCGGCACGTGGTATCAAGCACTCTGTTTAAGTTTGCTTATTCATTCCCTTTAAGCTTGTAAAGCCGGCGGCAGATTGACAACGAGACTGCCTATCCTGAGAGCCATGGGCATGGACCGGCACGCCCCAAGATAGCTTGTATCAAGATACAACCAGCAAAATCGCAGCAATATATGTGGGGAGGCTAAAGAAAAGCGCGATTTTGTAACAAAACTAGCGCGTTCTTATTACTTTAATGAATTGAGGCTCTGTTTTGGTGTTCTTGCTAATCAGTAATAGCCCAATTGGTCCACGTATATATATATCACTAATTTTTGTGAAGCTTGGTAAAATTTCCACAATTACCTCAACTACCACGTCCAAACCTAGCTCAATATTGATCATTATCCCTAAAAGTGTTCAAAAACGAGAACTTATTGAGCAGGGTGGCTTTTTCAAGTCTATCGATATCCAAAACACCCAACAAAGCAAAACATTCCCTCAATAAGGGCGTAGCTCGACTGTTTGTTGAGAAACCTTGATGCAGAAGAAGGAATTCTAGTTTATGGACAATTGAATGTTATAAGCAACTAAAAAGAAAGCCAGATACATTCATTTCTTTTTCCAAGACCACGAGGACGCAGGTAGCAACTTTACGTATTTCTCTAATTTGACGAAAAAGAGGATGTTGAAGCATTTTTTTAAAGCAAGTCAGACTCATGAGCAGTTTGATAGCTCTTGCACTGCTATATGTTTATTGAAAAAGCTGCCCTAAATGCCGCCCCTATTGTCTCAGATCTCCCCGCACTTTTCTACCGGGGAACATCGCTCTGCATCTGGCCACGCAGGTGCCACTCCAACACTGAAAATTACACCGACAGTTTTCCACTAGAGTAATAAATTATCTTCAATGCGTTAAAGCAAGTTCTCACCGGGAAATTCGCGAACATTTAAGGGTTTTAATAGCAAAGTATAAGTATCCTATCGACACGTGATGAGTTTAGATAAGCCGCATTGGGCCTAGGGCGGGGCCACTCATTTTTTTACAAAAAAAAGCGATAGAGTCATCGCCGGTCTCCTCTAGCGATCTCAAGTCCACTACTTGAGAGAGGTCTTGAGCCACTCAATCTCCCTTGATCTTAGGAGATTTATTCCCATCCCCGTGTGTCAGATTGATTCATTGGGAGAGCCCCACGTCTATTCAAAATGACTTCAACCGATAACTATTTGGCCATCCCGGGCTCCGTGGCCTATTCCCGCTCTCGTGGACATGCAGTTGCTGCCAGCATTGGTGTTCAGGATGTTCGGGCCCAGTGGATTCACTATGTGCACACCACTCAACCTTTGGACGAGCCCAAGCGTGCCGTGCTTGAGCAATTGCTCCGATACGGTGATATCAACGACGTTCCTCCTACCTTCGAGTCTACCGACGGCCAATTCGATACCTTCTACATCTTCCCCCGCACCGGTACCATTTCACCATGGAGCTCCCAGGCAACAGGTATCTCGCACGTCTGTGGCCTGTCCAAGTACGTCAAGCGGATTGAGCGGGGTATGAAGATTTCCTGCCTTCGGAACAGTGCGGAGGACTACAAGTCGGACTACATGGATACTCTCCACGATCGTATGACTCAAATCATCGGCCAAGATGAGCCCGATTTGAAGCTGATGTTCTCTGAGCACGCCCCCCAGCCCCTCAAGACCATCTCCCTCCAGGGAAGCAGCAAGTCCCCCAAGGAGATTCTCCAGGAGGCTAACATTGAGTTGGGTCTCGCCCTCGATGAATCAGAGATCGATTACCTGGCTGAAGCCTATGGCCCCAACGGCGCAATCAACCGTGACCCCACTGATGTCGAGTTGTTCATGTTTGCTCAGGTCAACTCGGAGCACTGTCGACACAAGCAGTTCAATGCATCCTGGGTCATTGATGGCAAGCCGATGCCCAACAGCCTTTTCGCTATGATCCGCAACACGCACAAGAAGCACCCTGATCACACTGTCAGTGCCTACAGTGACAATGCCGCCGTGCTGGAGGGTCCCGAGGCCGCTTTCTGGGCCCCCAACCCAACCACCGGAGAGTGGATGCACACCAAAGAAGTCGTTCACTTTTTGGCTAAGGTTGAAACTCACAACCACCCTACTGCTGTTTCGCCCTACCCTGGCGCAGCTACCGGATCTGGCGGAGAGATTCGTGATGAGGGAGCTGTCGGTCGTGGATCGCGCCCTAAGGCTGGTCTCTCTGGCTACTGTGTGTCTGATCTATTGATTCCAGACCTGAAGCAGCCTTGGGAGCTCGATGTTGGCAAGCCCAACCACATTGCCAGTGCCTTGGACATCATGCTGGAAGCACCCATTGGTAGTGCTGCCTTCAACAACGAGTTTGGTCGCCCCTGCATCGGTGGGTACTTCCGTACTTTGCTCACAGAGATCGATGTTGGCAATGGCGAGAAAGAAGTACGTGGCTACCACAAGCCTATCATGATTGCTGGTGGTGTCGGAACTGTCCGTCCTCAGCATGCCATCAAGCACCCCGAGGTTGTCAAGCCTGGTGCTTTCCTCGTTGTTCTTGGTGGACCCGCCATGCTTATTGGTCTCGGAGGTGGTGCTGCTTCCAGTATCGCATCTGGTGAAGGGTCCGCCGACCTTGACTTTGCCAGTGTTCAGAGAGGCAATGCTGAGGTCCAGCGCCGTGCCCAGGAGGTTATCAATGCCTGTGTGGCTATGGGAGACAACAACCCCATTAAGTTCATCCACGATGTTGGCGCCGGTGGTTTGTCCAACGCGCTTCCCGAGCTGATTCACGACTCCGGCTTGGGTGCTACCTTTGAGCTCCGTGAGATTGACAACACTGACCGCAGCATGAGCCCCATGCAAATCTGGTGCTGTGAAGCCCAGGAGCGCTATGTCATGGCTGTTGGCGAGGAAAGCATGAACAAGTTCACTGCCATCGCCCAGCGCGAGCGTTGTGGTTTCTCCGTCGTTGGCCGCGGAGGTGGCACCTCCGAGGAGGAGAAGAGACTCATTCTCCTCGACCGCGAGTCCAAGGAATACCCATCCCCAATTGACTTACCTCTGTCTGTTCTCTTCGGAAAGCCCCCACGGATGACCCGAACTGTCGATTCGCGGAAGCTCAAGCTGCCTGCCGTCGACTCCAGCCTCACCAAGTACCTTCCCTCTCTCACTTCCAAGGTGGAGCTTGTTGATGAAGCTGTCAAGAGAGTCTTGTCTCTGCCCGCAGTTGGTTCCAAGTCTTTCCTGATCACCATTGGTGACCGGACCGTCGGTGGTCTCACAGCTCGTGACCAGATGGTCGGCAAGTGGCAGACCCCCGTGTCCGATGTTTCCGTTACTGCCACCTCCCTGGCCCAGGGCATGAAGACCGGCGAAGCTTTCGCCATGGGTGAGAAGCCTACCCTCGCTTTGATCTCCGGTGCTGCTTCTGCTCGCATGGCTGTTGCTGAGTCCCTCATGAACTTGGCCGCCTCTGATCTTGTCGAGCGTCTTAGCCAAGTGAAACTCTCCGCAAACTGGATGTGTGCTGGTAGCCACCCTGGTGAGGGTGCTGCTATTTACGAGGCCGTCGAGGCTATTGGCCTTGACCTGTGCCCTAAGCTTGGCATCAGTATCCCCGTTGGTAAGGACTCTATGTCCATGAAGATGAAGTGGAAGGATGAGGCTACCAAGGACGCCAAGGAGGTCACTGCTCCGATGTCTTGTGTTATCTCTTCCTTCGCTCCCGTTGGCGATATCACCAAGACCTGGACTCCAGCTCTTCGCAGATTCGAAGATGTTGGCGAGACTGTCCTCATGTTTGTCGACCTCTCGTTCGGCCGCAAGACACTTGGCGGATCCGCTCTTGCTCAGGTATTTAACGAAGTTGGTGCCGAGTGCCCTGACGTTCGTGACGTTGATATACTCCGTGACTTCTTCGATGCCACTCAGCAACTTCAGGAATCCGGAATCGTTCTGGCCTACCACGACCGCTCCGATGGTGGTCTTCTGACTACCCTTGCTGAGATGATGTTTGCTGGCCGCTGCGGTGTTGAGATCATGCTCGACAACATCTGCTCCTCTTTCCACACCCAGGATGTCATCGAGTCTCTCTTCAACGAGGAGCTCGGTGCTGTCTTCCAGGTCCGCAAGGAGCACGAGATTCAGTTCCGCTCATGCTTCGCCACCTGCGGTCCTCCTCCTGGTCTGATTCACAAGATCGGACGAGTCTCTGAGCAGCCCAAGCAGAACCTTGTGATCTACCACAAGGCCTCTCTTATCTACCGCAACACCCGTTCCCACCTCCAGCAAACCTGGGCCAAGACCTCCCACCACATGCAGAAGATGCGTGACAACGCCGACTGCGCAGAGCAGGAGTACGCCAACATTCTTGACGATGCCAACGCTGGTCTCTCGTGGAACCCTACCTTTGATCCCAAGGACAAGGGCTTGCCCATGATGACCAGCCTTTCCCAGTACTCTCCCTTCGCCAACAAGCCTCGCGTTGCCATCCTTCGCGAGCAGGGTGTTAACAGTCAAGCCGAGATGGCCTTTGCCTTCAACACCGCTGGCTTCGCTGCTGTCGATGTTCACATGACCGACATCATCTCTGGCCGTGTCTCCCTCGCCAGCTTCGCCGGTCTCGCCGCCTGTGGTGGTTTCTCATACGGTGATGTCCTGGGTGCTGGTCAGGGTTGGGCTAAGTCCGTTCTCCTGCACGAGAACACCCGTAAGGAGTTCCAGTCTTTCTTTGAGCGCCCCGATACCTTCGCCCTCGGTGTCTGCAACGGTTGTCAGTTCCTGTCTCGTGTCAAGGAACTGATCCCCGGTGCAGGCTACTGGCCCAGCTTCGAGCGCAACACCAGTGAGCAATACGAAGGCCGTGTTTGCATGGCCCGTATCTCCGACCCCGACCCTTCCAATCCCAGTGTCTTCTTCCACGGCATGAACGGTACTTCGCTCCCTATCGCCGTTGCTCACGGCGAGGGTCGTGCCTCCTTCGCCGGCTCTCAGGGTATCTCGGCCTCCGACTTCGTTCGCGAGGGCCTTGCCCCCGTCCGCTTTGTGGATAACAGCTCACTCAAGCCTACCATGAAGTACCCCTTCAACCCCAACGGCTCCCCCGAGGGTATTGCTGGAATTCGCAGCCCCGACGGTCGTGTTTTGGCCATCATGCCTCACCCTGAGCGCACTGTTATGAACGGCATTGCCAGTTGGTTGCCCCCGAACGCCGAGAATTGGGGCGACATTGGTCCTTGGGGACGTATCTTCTACAGCGCCAGACGCTGGGTCGGTTAGAATATGTCCTCATTTACGAAGCTTTACAATTTATTTCCTTTTTCGAGTTCTTGTCTATATTCTGGTGGAGTTAAAGAAAAGCCAAAATGTCCCCCCGCTCGCAACCCGTATATACCAAAATTGAGCAATCCAAGTTTACTTCCAAATACATTCCCGTACATGCAGATGTAGTCAGACCACGGAGACCGCGGAGTATAAGCGCTTATCGTTGTACGGAACGGTTCCGACACGACCGATCTGTGCCCGTTCCAAATTTGGTGGGGTGAGTCAAAATCTATCCCACCTTTTCCTTAGTTTCGCGCCTCTTCGCCTCTACACTTCCCCAATTTCACCTTCAATCATGGATTCCGCAGCGCAGGCAAGATACGATCTAATCACCAACAACCTCGCTGAGGTCCTGGACCCCGAGATCATCCAGAAAATCTTGGCCGAGGGTCGCAACCCCCGAATTTACTGGGGTACCGGTATGTTCACCACCGCCGCAATCGCCGATCATTGCATTGCAATGCCTATCGCTCCAACTGCTGGGCCTCAGAAACTGCCCACTCGGGAATTAGACGCTAACATAAATATCCTTCTCGGCCTAAAGCTACCACTGGACGGTAAGTCAAATCATCAAGACTGTCAGCCGACGGAGGACATTGTGCTAACGTCGCATTCTCTAGCCCTCACACCGGATACTACAGCCCTGCCCTCAAGATCGCCGAATTGCTAGCAGCAGGATGCGATGTTGTCATCCTCCTCGCCGACATCCACGCCTTCCTGGACAACCTTAAGGCACCTCTCGAACTCGTCGAAAACCGTGCCAAGTACTACTCAAAGGTTATCACAGCAATCCTGAAGTCTGTCGGTGTGCCCACCGAAAAATTGGAATTCGTTCTCGGCAGCTCCTACCAGAAGAGCCCCGAATATGTCATGGATGTCTATAAGCTGTCTTCAGTTGTTTCTGAAGTACAAGCCAAGAAGGCTGGTGCTGAGGTCGTTAAGCAGACTGGCAATGCGCCTCTGAGTGGGTGAGGATACACCATCAAGCTGGCTACTTTGGTAGGCTATACTTGATCCTAACTAACAATCGCTAGACTGTTGTACCCAGTCCTCCAGGTTCTTGACGAAGAGCACCTCAAGGTTGATGCTCAATTAGGTGGTATCGATCAGCGCAAGCTATTTGTTGCCGCCAAGGAGTGGCTTCCTAAGATTGGATACCGCGAGGTAAGATCATGACGGAACAAATAGTCGCAACATTGGAAACTTACAGGAGACTAGCGTGCCCACCTGCTCAACCCTATGGTTGCAGGTCTCTCTGGTGGAAAGATGAGCTCTAGTGAAGAAAGTATGTTATCTCTTCTCGGGTCTCTGTCACTATTCCAATCAATACTAATGGCTGAATAGACAGTAAAATCGATCTCCTTGACAATGCCGACACCGTCACCAAGAAAATTCGCAAAGCCGAGGCATTCCCTAAGATCGTGGAGGGCAACGGTGTCGTCGCATTAGTTGAGTTCATTCTGCTTCCCGCTGCTGCTCTACGGGGCAACAAGGAGTTCCGCGTTGAGCGCCGGGATGCAGAGCCCCTGGTCTACACCGACATCAAGCAGCTCCAGGACGATTACACAAACGATATTGTATGTCCACTTGGTATACCTTGATTGAGACCTTGACATTAAGTACTAACCTCTTTATAGTTGACCCCACAACTATTGAAGCCTGCTGTCGCTGCTGGCCTTGTCCAACTTATGGCGCCTATCCAGGCTGCCTACGAGGCTGACACCGAGTGGCAGGAGATTGCCTTGAAGGCTTACCCTCCTGTCGTTGCCCAGAAGAAGGTGAAGAAGCCTAAGGACAAGGGCTCCCGCTTCCCCGGTGCCAAACCGGATGGTGAGGCTGCTCAGCCTGCTGATGCTAAGCCTGCTGATGGTGCTGAGCCTTCAGCACAATAGACGTAGTTTTGTGAAAGAATATAGTGCATAGCCGATACCAAAAAGCAAGATTTACGCCTTCAATATTTCTGATCTCCTTGAAATCTATATCAAATAGAAGTGAAAAGTACATGTAGACATTGTAGGGCTCAGGATGTGGAACCTGAAAAGGGCGGGATGCAAAGCGCTGACATAATCCATTTTGATGCCGCTCATCGCATCGACTTCGATAAACAGGCTCTCTTTAACCCTGACGTCGAGATCAAGAGTCAGCACCAACACCCCAAGCCTACTCATTGCCAATAATAATATACATCGATCCTCACAATGGCATCCGATGCCGCCGCCTCGCCGGCCGAGCTCTACGACTCAACCATGACAGTCCCCTCCGACTCCGAGAACTACTCCGCCAACCAGGAGCTGTCCTCTTCATCTACAAGCTCGCCTATGATTCTATACAAGCCGCCAACTATCTGGGGTATTCTCCGTGGTGCAGCCATCAACCTCTTCCTCCCCTTTGTCAACGGCCTGATGCTTGGTTTCGGAGAGTTGTTCGCACATGAGGCCGCCTTCCGGCTTGGGTGGTCTAACACCAAGGTATGCAGGACATGATTCAATGTTTAACAGACCTCACAACTGACAATCACTCCTCGCAGATCTTCCCTACATATCGCCGGTCAGTGGGCCCTGGAGTTGAGCTTCGGGAGCTTCCTTCAGAGCGGAGACGCGCCCCTGCTGGACTGAAGGACACCGCATCTCTAGAGTAAAGCATTTCCCTCGACTGTTCACTGTTTGGTCCGTTCAAGAATGACTGCATTTACACGGAACACAAAACCGAAGCATCTTTGATTTGTGATTGATACCTTCTGTGTACACCTGAAGTCTGTGTACATAGACCCGTTGAATCGGGCGGCGTTTGGCGAATTAAGATATGCAAGCTCGTTATGAAATTACCAGAATATCCCCCAATCCACGTTTATATAAAATCCCCGAGTCCCCCGTACCTGGACCGTAGCCATGATCCGGGGTGTTTACCGCTCCGCCCGGCAGAAAAAAGTCGCGCCGAGAGAGGCAGGAGACTCTTCCGCATCAACTGTGTCCCCATCACTTGCGTCTCCACCTCCCCGAATCACAATGATGGGACCTGTTGGCCTGAAAGGGCCCAATCTTACCGCGGCGTTTGCTCGTCAGCGGATGACCGCCATGTCCCGGTCCACTCGATCTGTTCGTCCTCCGTGACTGCTCGGACCAAAGACATTGAAATTGACTGGAATTGCAGATCTCGACCTTCCGGTCTCAATCGCTTCGCTTCCCTATCAACCGGGGACAATTAAAGTCGGCCCTGTCCGGAAATGCTCCCTGGCACATGGCACCAGCCGCTATCGGCCCGGCCGCAGTTCGTTTCAACTCTACGTCCTCGAACCAAACACCCACCGAAATCGCCGATAAGGCCACAAATTCCGAATGGTCAAACACATCCGAACTATTTGATATCACAACTATCCCTGAGCGCATTGGATATCTCAAGGAGCTTGGACTGGATTACGGCTGGGGCCCTTCGTCCATGATTGAATGGCTGATCGAACACACGCATATTTGGACAGGCTTGCCCTGGTGGGCTAGTATCGTGGCTGCTGGTCTGATCACACGTATTGCTCTGCTGAAGCCAGTTATGGATGCCGCTAGCATGGGAGCCAAGATGAGGAACGTTAAGGAAGAGACAGACCCAATTCGCACGAGAATGGTAGAGGGAACTCGCAATGGCAACCAACAAGATGCCCAGCTGGCAAGGGCTGAGTTGGCTGAGATTCACAAACGGGAGGGAATTGTCGCCTGGAAGTCGTTCATCCCCATGCTGCAGATCCCGCTGGGTTTTGGTACTTTCCGTGTCGTGCGAGGAATGACTGAGTTGCCTGTACCCGCTGTGGCCTCTGAATCCGTTGCCTGGATTAATGATCTTACCATTGCCGATCCGACATTTTTGCTGCCGGCCATGTCTGCCGCTATGCTGATGGCTGTCCTTAGGGTAAGTTTGATCATACGATGCTGAAGCGAATGCAGTGCTAACTATGGAATAGAAAGGTGGAGAGGCTGGCACAATGCCTGTCTTGAACTCAGGTGCAGGAAAGGCCCTTATCTACGGTCTTCCTACCGTTTCTTTTGTCTTCATGGCATTCATGCCTTCCGCCTTGCAGCTTTACTTCGTCGCAACCGGTGCTTTTGGTCTTGGCCAAACGTACCTAATTAATTCGGACAAGTTCCGCGAATGGATGAATATGACCATGATCAAAAAAACCGACGCTGGTATGCAGCACCTCTCCAGCCTCACCAAGAGCACTCACAGCAAGGGCCTTCGTCTCCTAATGGAACGGGTTGAGGCGGAAAAAGCCAAGCGTGAAAAGATGACCGCCAAAGGCCTGCGAATGCCCGAGAATGATGATGGTGACAGAGCCCCGGGAAAGGTCTCTCTCGTTGACCGCTTCATGGCCAATGCCAAGGAAGCTGGTATGGATGTGAAGAAGGAAATCCAGGAGAAACTGAACACCGGTCCTACAAAGCAGATTGGCCGCCTCTCTGCCGAAGAGCAGAAACGGGCGACGGAGTATGAGTCCCAGCGACGCGCTGAGGAGGACGCTATCCGCGAGGAGCGTAACCAGGCTCGCCGAAGGGAGCATATGTCAAGACTCCGGGATGAGATGACGAAGGCTAAGGACTCAAAGCGCAACTAAGCTGTTGCGTTTGAAAAGAAAGCCTGGCTTTAATTGACGTGTGTTTATACAAACTGTAAAATATGGCGCCATTGCATTTGTACTTGTGATTTGATATTAGAATCTTTTTTGATTGCCATTTCCACTGGCTTATATACTTTCTAAATCCCTGGCCACCAAGGTGTTGGTACTTGGTAATTTCTCCGTGCTATCTCCAGCGTTAGGCCGTGGAGTGGAATTGTATATCTCTGATTTCATAGTCTGGATGGTATCCCAAATTCCTCCTTGGTTATGGTACCAATGTACATGTAATCTCATAGATAGAAACTGTAGCGAAAATAAAACAGATCCAGTCTGCTATTCCAATTACCGAAACCCATACCATCAACGCTTAGGTATTATTAGACATGAAGGTATGGATATCTTACAATGAATATCCCAAATTTATCGAAACAGCCGTCTTCCACCCCCACTTCCAGAGTTCCACGTGAATGCACCTCGGACTCCCAGATTCTCCATACTCAATCCCGAGTATCCGACACCACCACCCTCGCCATCACGCTTCACGCGCCGTACAGCCTCGCGCAGATGTGAAGGTAGAAGCTGACCTCGGTGTGGGTTTGGAGGGGGACGGAATTCACGCTTAGGACGGAGAGGAGTACCGGGATGGGATGAGTAAGGAGGAATAGAGGATGCAGGCGTACGGTCAGAGTCATGCGGCTCTTTCTTGACTCCACTGCCAGAGCCGGGGAGAGGAGTTCCCCCAGGCGTTGGTGTTGAGGGTTTCGAGTTTCCGTGTAGACCTAAAGCTCTGGCCTGTGCCGCTGCTTCGGCAGCGGCTTCTTCGGCCTCGAATGCGTCGCGTGCGGCTAGATCGTGTGCATCGGCCCATTGGGCTTGGACTGTTCGTGCCATTTCGATCATTTCACCAGCGAAGACCTTCGTGAAACCGTTGACTGTGGTGACAACACTGGCGGGGACGGATTGTGATAGGGCATGGTTGACGATACGGCGGAGTGTTTCTTTGCGCAGCTTCGCTCGCTTGAAGAGGTCGTATCTCTCTGACTGCATAGGATTGAAAGCATCAACCAAAATCCTGTTCAAAAATGTTAGCTTCAATACCACAAAGACAGGAACACAGGACAAAAACGTACGCAAGATTCTTCTTCTCAGCCTCCGTATCTGTAGTACCCTCTTCCCGCCCAAGGAGCTCGCCCTCGTCGTCGTCCTCATCATCATCACCATCATCTGCCCCACCACCGCCTCCACCACCGCCAGAAGGACCACCTCGAACCGAGCCCTCGTTATCAACCGACCCAAATCGCGTGGAATCGCCTGCTCTAGCGCTGAGGGCATCTTCGCGCTCCCGTTCACGCTCTTTCTCGGCTTTGCTCTTCCTCCCTCGCTTCTTGCCCTTTGCTGCACCAGAAAAGACTCCATCCGCGCTGGCTCCGCCGAGACTCCCTGTGAAGCTCCCTGTCACGCTTCCGGTATCACTTGTTGCTCCGAAACTGCGCTCGCCGGCATCAATGTGTGCAGGGAAGGAGGTCTGACGCAATGGGTGCATGCGCGGCTTTTTGCCGAGCGGTTGTGAGACGGAGGAGGAGAGGGATGGTCGTTTGAGAGGGTTAGAGGGTGGTGGTGGTGACGACATTTTGAAGGGCTTTGACGAGTTTGACGGGTATGTGAAGGAATTATAAGACTCAATCTATGTGGATGACTTTAAACGAAGGGCCAGCAGGTTTTAAAATGATGTTCTGTCGACTGAAGGCGATTGAAGAGCGCAAGTTGAAGCTATCGTGAGGTCCGCGGGTATCGCGCAGCGCGTTTGCGCTCGGCCTGAAAGTAGAAAACAGGCTCCAGCTGGGATCAATAATAGTATATGCTCAGGCTCGAGCAAAAAGCCAGGATCGCGGTGATTTAATGAATGCGACAAGAACTCGACAAAAAGTGCTGCTTGGACTTGGATGGTCGAGGTCCCGAGTTTGATGAGACATGAGATAAGGACGCATCTGACCGCCTTCCACATGCAGTAACTATACATAGCAGCCCTACAATGAGACAGGCGCCTGTGCACTGAACAATAGATAATCTACATCCTAGGCTCTGGGCTTATCAAACAGACAATACCTGCAAGATTTTCTATAAGTTTTTGGGATGATATAAAGCATGAACTCGATCAGATTCAAGATAAAGAGTGTCAAAACTAGCATTGAAATGTCAAATGAATAAACTAAAACAGAGTCGCTCAGAGCGTAAGCATGCGATGCTGTGTACTATGTAATCATTAAAGATTGACAATAAGAAATGAAATGAAAGCCAAAAACAACTGTGCAAACTTTGAGTGCGGAATTAACATGACCACAAATAACTGAAAGGTCGGAACGCGAGAGAAAATAGAACCCATGCAAAAGTCTCATGATTGAGTCTCGCTAAAAGCCCTTCTCTCCAATGCGCGGTGCCCCCCCTTTCCAGTCATTGCGTTCGTAGTAACGGAACACAAGATCGTAACCATTAAGGTCGTGAACGATGCGGTCAACACGGCGGTAGCCCTCGACATGCTCCATCTTGTTGCTGCGACGGAGAGCGTGACGTTGGGCATGCTGCTGATCATGCACACCACTGACTTCATCAGCCTCATCAATTGAAGGCTTAGTCTCGAACAAGGTAATGCTGAAACGGCCGGGCTTGAAGATCTCGACGACCTGCTGAATGATGTCTGCAGTAGCCTTGCCATTCTGGGAGTGTGGCACGTTGGTCTCGAAAGACGCGTACGAGCACTGAGGCTCCGGAGTGACATGCACGGTGAAGTAGTGGGTCGGAGACTTGCCATCAGGGGCCGGCACAACGCCGTTGGCAGAGAAGCCGCAGGGCGTGAACAGGTAGGCGTCAATGCGAGCATCGGGGAACTTGCTCTTGGGGTACACGTCGGACAGGCCGCAGGACTCTGAGACGACGGTGCCTAGGGCGTGGCCCTCAGTGGTTAGCTCTGGCGGTAAGATACCACCAGTCTCCTCATCCATGTCGGAGGTGTTGCTGAAGACATCCAAATGATCATCCTGATCCACCTTGCGGTGACGCTTCTCGGCCACAGCGGTGGCATTCTCCAAGTAGAACTGCTTCGCATTCTCTTCATCTAGATCGGTCATCAGAAGCTCGAGAGTCTCGTCATGCTCATCGCAGTCAGAGCGAGAAGCAGCCTCGGGGAAGCTCAAAACTTTAGTTTCGGTCTCAGGGAACTCGATCTCCTCCTTAGGGCTAGCCGGCGGGGTGAGCATGGTGCCAGGCTCAGTGAGGTACAGGTACCAATGCTCTCCGTTCATCTTGCCGATCATGTAGGCGCTGCCGTTGACAAAGAGCTTGTCCATAGAGCGTACCTCATCGCGCCAGCTGCGGTGAGGGCCGCGCTGGCGATCAGGGAACAAGAAGTTCTTGCGGCTGTAGAAGACTCGGTAAGGAGCCGCGGCCACCGTGATACCACGGGACGAAGGAGCAGTGGCGCGAGGAAAGCCTGCGAACAAGGCGGCGATCTCCAAGATGCGCGGGAGACCCGAAAGAAGAGTAGTGGTTCCGCAAGTCTTCAGAATCAACTTGTGCGGCCAGACAAACATGCTGGACTCAGACAGAAGGTACGCGTCCATCTCATCAGATGAAATGACGGAGAGCACCTGGCAGTTGACCAGGTCCAGCATGTCCTTCCAGATTTCTCCTGGGACTTTCTTGAGACCCTCAGGGCCGGCGCCACCTAGGTCAGCCGGAGATGGCGCAAACCAGACCTCCAAAAGTTTCTCGGGACCTGTAATTTTCATTAGTAATACGCCTACTACAGTCAAGAAAGACGCAACAAACCTTCAAAGGCATTGGTCGAGTCGAGGTCCTGTGTGGCCTCATAGTTGATGGTCAGAGACGGAGTCCCCGCGAACGAAGACGGCGACTGGGTGTAGTTCTGTGGAATACCGACGTAAACCATTTTCAATGATTATTTTAGCCGAAGCTGTTGTGCTTGTTAAGTTGAACGAAGCTGAAACAGTGACGTCGGACCGCCCTATGTACTCTCCGATGATAAAAGGCTGTAAAAGCACTGTCTACTTACCCAGACGAACAAGGGGGCGATGCCCGTCTGAGAAGAGAAGGCCCTTGAACAAAAATAACTGGTCAAACCAGGCAGGTAAATCTCCAACAGTCCAAAGGGCTGCTAAGGAGGGCGAAATGCGAAGGCAAGGAAGAAGACGCTTAGAGAAATGGTGACTAGCAGTCGGTACCCTCGTTCTGGAAGATACCGATACCGTTCAAAGTATCGGGTCTAGCAGACGAGAATGCTGCTTTTAAAAAAGGGTATTGGAAAGATGATCGTTTGTAAAAACGGGAGTCGTGTTATCGAGGCCTGGAGAGAATATCAATATTAGCGACAGTGAAGGTAATAAATTTGCTTCAGAATTAGAAAGCATGATTTTATGCAACCAAAGCATTGACCATCTACCCTGATCCAACGTCATAGGATCACGGATATCACGTCGAGGTATAGTGGAAGACTTACTTCGCGGGCTTGGAAAGGAATCGCAGAAGGTCTCTCGAGCTCATGGAAGGCTAAAACAATAAAAGTCTTAGAAGAGCGAGAAGTAGCAAAGAGCTAGACTCGTGAACATCGGCGGGATGTGAAAGCGTCGGTCAGACAGTCTCACACGGTAGCCCAATGAGTGCCCGAGATCACAATTGATTACTCGGGAGCAGCGGAGTGATAGACAGGGGATCGCTCGCTAAAATTGGCGATTGGTGCAAGTTTGTTCGGGCCTTGTTGACCTCGAGAGGAGGGGGGAGGGTTGCAAAATGTTTCGCTGTACGGCAGTTTTGTTGGTAATGAGTGATTTTCTCTGTGGGCCCGCTCTGGGCGTGGGGCGACGGATCAAAATCTGTCTGACATCAGGGTTCAGGTTAGGTTGATTAGGGAATTGAACAGAGCCTGCAGAATGACACACCAATGGAAAGAGGTCAAAAGCTGCAGTGATATGCAGACTGTCGACGATGTTGGCCAGATGGAGGGAAAAGAAAAAAGTGGGCGAGGATCTGGGAATCTTGGTTGCACACGAGCGGTGACGACGGGCAAAATAGACTTTCCGGTGCCTGGCGGTTAAATCGTTCTACGGATGAGACATATCAGGTAGTTACTGCATGCATTGATAGAATAGACTATTGAAACCCATATGTCTCTGAAAACACCTCCTGCGCCCCTAACACCAGGCCGTGAAAACCCCACGACCTATTTTATAACACCAGATATTGTTAAGATGAACAAGCTAGGCCTCAAGAATGATATGCGCCAGCTGCATTTCACCAGCCTCCAGAATCCTAGATGCAAGGATTTCACCGACGGCGTCTGACAGTCGTGCCCGCAGGTCATCGGTCACAGTATGGCCATTAGTCAGGGACTGCTTGCCCCGTAGTGAAGCCAGAACAGATACAAGGGCAGTCAGAACACGTTCAGCTGCCGGTCGACGGGCAGAGTCTTCCAGTCCATCATGGAGCAGCTTGCTGTATTCACGGAGGTTGGGCACAATGAGCACTCGAACCACTTCTGATCCTCCAATAGCTTGCATTCCAATGACAGCACCGTAGTGAGCACCGAACGGCTTGGAAGGGTCGAGGAAGCTCTTGAGACAAGAGCGCACAAGTCGAGGCTTGAGCATGTGAGAGGCGTGAGTGTATTTCTGGGAAATGCGGCTGAGCAGAGAGGCGGCCATATCGCGAAGGGCGAACTGTTCGACCAGATCCGCATTTCCGCCGAGTTGACGACCGATCAAGCATGTGAGAATAGAGGGCACGAGCGAAGCAATCTTTGATAGTTAGCCACTAAGTCCTCTATTATTGCAGGGTCCACTTACGTAGGGGTCCACGTAAAGAGACTCGTTCTGGACCAATGCCTCGGCCATGTGCATGACCTGCGTGAGGACAAAGATATCCTTGAGGCTGTGCGTGACCTTTTCGGCGATGAATTGGATAAAGTATGGTACCAGCTGGTGCAGACCTGGGTCCTCCCGAAGACTGGAGTATCCAGAGGTGCGATAATCCTCGCTGGTCTCATCCAAGAACGCGCTGCAGACCTTTTCGAAGTATAGCTGGAGCTCTCTTGAAAGCACATGCTTCACCAACGGCTTCACAGACACGTCACCCGTGCCGCTCATCGCCGAAAGTGTAGAGTTGGCGTTTGGTCCCTTGGAGACCAGCTCGAGGTTGCGAGAGTCCGCAGCGGTAGGGTTCTGAGGGATCGATGGTTGCACGCCTTCTACAGCCAACCAGTGGGCTAGATTATAGACAATATATTAATGACTGGATGGATGCTAAGCTCCATTGCTGAGGTAACCACTTACCAGTGAATGAGACTTCACGGGGCACCTTTGGCAGGGGCGCATTGATCAACTTCTCAAAGTCCACTTCCTCATCTTCAACATAAAACAGTGGTTGGCCGGGGCCCAAAGAGGCTTCGCCAAAACGCAATGCACGGGTCGAGTCGTACCCATACAGTGGCTCCACGTCCAGGTTGCGCAAGGCCAGCGAAATGTCCTGGGTAGTCAGAACTGTGCGCTTTCCATGGCGCATGGACTTGAGAGCCTCTTCCAGTACCTGCGCAACTCGGTATTCGACGTCTCGGGCCAGGTTCTCGGTCACATCGTGGTTGAGGTTGCCGATGCCGACGGACTCAGCCACGTCGCGAATGTTATCAGGATTCCAGACAGACATGCTGAGCAGTCAATATTGTGATTGGAGATGTAAGAGAAAGAGAGAAGTGAGGTGTTGCGGGCGCTGCGGGCAGTGAAGCGTGTCGCGACGGGCGCCGGCGAGCTTATGTCGTATATTTAGAGGATTAGAAAGCGGGTCGCATGCTGGAACCGCCAGCGGATTCAGGGGATGAGACGGTAGAATGACCTTTATCTTGGGCAATTGAATAGATATGACCCTGAACCAGTACCGGAAACTGAAGCTGAATAGATGGTTGTCACCAGGATGAAAGCTTGTCGATAAAGAACTGCGCTGGTGGTGGTATGGTCACCCGTACAAGTGTTCAATGCTCTAAAGTAACTTAACAACCCGAATGATATTAGAGTGACAATGCAATTTAGTAACAATGCAATTTTGTGAAATTAATAATGTCAGGCTAAAAATACACAATAGTGGGAGGGAACACAAATGAGCAGAAGCCAGGAAAGCAAGAGCGAGGAATTATCCACTGCTCCTCCGGGCATCACAACAGACGGCCAAAATTTACTGAGCAATCTCCTTTGGCTCTTCCAAGGCAGCCTGCTTAGGAGCTTCCTGCTCTGGGAGCTCAGCCGGGGCAGGTTCTTCGACTTTCTTGTCCTCTTGCTTGTCCTTTTTATCCTCCGGCTTGTCTTCCACCAAGGGGACAACGCGAGCATCATCCTTCAACTCCGGGCCCTTGCCACCATAAGTCTTGGGGATTTGCTCCACAACAGAAGCAGGGAACTCACGAGCCAGGTTGGCACCGTTGGTGATGGGGTGGAACTTTCGGGTTGTGTTGCGGCTCAATATGAGCTTCATGGCGGTGAACATCCAGCCCATGATCGCAGGGACATTAACGAAAAACTTCTCGCTGAGCAGTTCGGGATAGGCAGTGGCGAATACATCGATGACCTTCTTGGTTGCGGTGCGCACAGAGGGGTCCATGCGGAGGAACTTGACGTTCAGGTAATCGTGGACCTGAATCATCTGGTAGAGGTCCTCGCCATCATACTCAATCACCTCAGTGGCATCCTTCATCTTCAACTCTTGCACAGCGAGCTCCATGAGAGCGGCGCGCCATTTAACAAATCTGGAAAACGTCAGCGTGCACTTTGGTCAATAGATTTCCCACCTACTCATCCGAGTCTGCAAATGTCGCATTGACGTCTTTGACGGCTCCATAGATGTTCCAAGTAAATACCAGCGGGCGACCCTCCTTCTCGTAGGTCGTCAGGTATCCCAGACCCCCGTACTTCGATGCACTGTACTTGCCCGACTCGGCCAACGCCAACGGGTTCACGTCCTTGCGCCATTGGAGTGCCTTGCGAAGCTGGTCCTCGGCAGCCTGAACATTGCCCTCATTGGCGCGCAGGAACTTGATTAGCACATTGACGGTAGGAACATCAGCGCTGTCTTTAAGCTGCACTCCCCACATCTCATCGTGTCCGATGCTGGTGAGAATGGTTGGAAGGCGATCGAAGAACTGGCCGAGCGCAGGGGTCTTGATCAAGTAGGCAGGCTTCTCGACCTTTTCTTCGGGCTTAGCAGCTTCGGGCTCTGCATTGCTGGCGGTAGTGTCTTTGGCAGGCTCTTCTTCCTTAGCCGGGGCATTGATCGCGGGTTCATCCTTGGCAGCTTCGCTGTTTTCAGCCGCAGTAACGGGAACCTCTAGCTTGTCGCCCTCTACAGCCTCCACGGGCTTGAGCTCAGGCGCAGCATCAACTGGCTTTTGTTCCGACATGACTTGGGACTGAGGATGAAAGATAGCAAGGCAAGGGAATAGGGGGGATGTTATGGGTAGGGAGTAGTTGCCTTGTCAATAGTTGGGCCACATATCAATCTCCCCACCCTATTTAGTTTCACCTATCTATTATTACTTCGTCTATAATTTCCCTTAATTTTGTTATTTAATTGCAATTATTCGAAACATGGCAGATCCCGAGATCGGCACCGACCAGTCACATAGCTTTTGATTGGTAGATTTGGTGCGGTGCATCAAAACACCAGCCCTATAGATGATTCACTGGATATGTTTTCCGCCCAATCTTCTATGCTGTGTTGTGCTGTAGAGCGTATACAGCTCTTAATATGGAGACTCAAATTGTTTGGGATTTGGTACATGGTAACTTGAAGTGCTGGTGTTGATTAGTTCGGGCTTGGGCTTAACAAAGAAGAGAAAAGGAGGGTAACTTGAGCGAAATCAAAAATTTACATGACATATAGTTTATTTTGAGTGGAAAAGCCCCCTTTTAAAGATCTTTAAAGACCAAAAGAGGCAAGATACATAAGAGAACTGCACAAATTTTGAAAGTTTACATTATTAAATCGATCTGAGACACAGGCACATGATACATATATTTCTTACAAGTCGACAACAAAAATGCAAGACTGGTAAATTAAAGTGCATCTACCAACCTAGTTGAAGCGTTTCTCTCTAGAGAAACATAGTCAGTATAGTTTATCAGAAGTATATAAGTTGTCTTGTATCTCTTGCGTTCAGTCATCACTTTATATACTTCGAGATCCATGGAACGACACAACCTTCAAACCAAACACGCAAAAGAAACAACCAATGAAAGTGCCTTTAGTCAAAGTCAGCCAGAAACAGATGTAAGACTATGACTAGATATCGTGGCGACCGCTATTGCCTTCTAGGTCTGAAAAAAAGGGGCATTTTCAACCCCTAATCACACGAAACGCTATTCTAGATATGATAGCACCTAAATTATCAGTTTCGTAGCTAAGCGGAACTTAAAAACTAGAAGCTCAAAGTCCTACTATAGAAGACCTAGGGGCGTAGACCTATTCAATATTTGCACGGTATGGCAGACTTCATCGATGGGCTCCTTTGCCATTGCGGATGAATGCTGGAGCCGGAGAATGTTCTGTCCACGGAAACTATACTGCTGCAATGTAGTTACTTGAAACGAGCGACCCGTCAATACGGATGCGCCTTGTCCAAATAATTGGGGACGAAGTTGCGATGGCTTGGTACGGTGCGCGTGTTGAGAGTTGGATATGGTGGAGTAGTTGGGCTTACGGGCCCAGAAAGGCGACCTCGGGTTATCATGTTGGAAAAAAATAACGCATCTTCAGGCGAGCAAGTGAGCAAAGTAGCCAATTTCGCCGATTTAGTAGGTCCATAGTCTGCTCATTAAAGCACGCCGAGTGCCTCTCCAGTGTTTAACCCTTGCCTCTGGTTGTACGTTGGAAGAATTCCGCGAAGGATAGTGCACTTAGTAATCAATTTCAGTATTTTGTGAAGGACCCATGGTGTGTTCGGTAGAATTTATTTTCCTATGCATATGATTGTACCACGCTCAAAAATTAATATGAGCACCATCTTTACTAGTTATGAACACCTCACATGAGAATGCCGTTTCAGCTGGATCCCGCTACTCGTATTGCTCTCATCCGGAAAATACCCGCTGAGAGTCTGTTACATACCGCAGGCTTTGTTGAAAGGGCTCAATGCTATTAGTTCACATAATCACGCTGTTCTCAGAGAATCCATGGAAGAGATATGACTCAAGATTGAAGTAGGCTTTGGTCATGGAAAAATTGTACTGAGACCCAGTTTTGCTTTCCAGGCTTTACGTCGATTTAGGGGATAGTGATTTCAGAGCCAAGTATGCCCACATGTGAGAAGGCTGGCGGTCCGATACTTTTTTGCTTTGGTCAAATGTTTGTATGGATCTGGTAAGAATGGTATTTTAGGAGTGTCTGCTTTTCCGGAGAACTCATCTCATTACATAGCACTTGGATATATATAAATCATCTTCAGAATGCATCCTGTGACTACATTCTCTGGCTATAGATTATATGATCCACAGCTTCACTGACCAACCGCAAGGGGATTCGTGTTCGGCTTGGATATCCGAGTGTATGCTTCTCTGAGTTCCATTTTTCATCTTCAAAGCTGCAGCTCCCCTTGCATGGCAAGTGGTGTTCAATCCGCTGTCGCCTATTTGTCGATTTGGTCTCGCTGATTGATCGGTGTAAGCATCATGCTATATTTATATAAGTACTGTAGTGAGGGAAGTGCTGACTACATGAAAGTAGTGGCGGATGATTCAGCACTTTGTAATATATGAGACTTTCCCTCTCATGATTAGCAACTTAGACACTTCTTCTCTTCTCTGAACCACCCTTACGTGCTCTCCTCTCCCATAGTCTACTATCCCTAGTGGTCGACTTGTTCGCAGATACTTTGGTAGTATCAGGCCTTCTCACAGACTCCCCTTCTAGTACATAGCATATTTGAATGGTTATATGCGTTGACTCAACTGGCAAAAATTATTACCAAGAGGTATCTAGAAGAAGTCGAAATAGCCCGGCGTTTCTGTCTGTCCTTGGTTGGATACTTGTGATTGGAAGCCAAAATAGTGGCCCTTTACATGTTTACTTACACACATGGTGGGCCAATGCAAGTCATTCCCATCACGTCTCATAGGCCGTCAAACATCACACTGGTATTCTGAGCATAAAATGCTTGCGACCTGATATGAGGATGGCAAAATCTGGGATTGAAAGTACTGGGCTCTGGATACATTTTAGAAGCTTTCCAATGCAGGATATATTGCATGTAGTGAGTTGTCTTTGGAGTGCGAACACAGCTCATGTGTCGATGGGATCTGCACGGTAGGCATAGGCAAACGTACACCACGGCTATTGTGATAATGAGGCTGATTCAAGATTTACATATAGATGACAGCCTGTTCTAGCGTAATCTGAAGCTACAAGCTACGTGTAGTGATCAGACAGCTAAATCCCTATACATCAGTGACCCACAGAACTTGGAAATACCCGCTAGTCCGTAAAAGGAAGCCAAGGCGGGCAATTAAAGCTCCAGGTGGGGCCGTGCCCATGAGATGCGAATCCCCGTCCACGGTTGACGTCCACGTTTTATGTTCACATTTCTTTTTCCCGCGGTAAGCCTGGATAAGAAGATGTTACAGTAAAGGCAGAGTGTTTTCAATAGCGATCAGGCAAATCTATCAATTTGCACAAGCTTCCATGTGTCTGACATCGGGCACTTCTCGAGGCGGGGTCGTCAAAGCCACGAGTAACAGGCCATTACCTTGCTACTGTATATGGATTATGGGTGTCCAATGACAAGCATAAATATGGACCAGATCCGTGGCATACTAGGCCGGACCCTGAGCTACATTTCTTAAATAATGACCAGCTTCTTCCCCCGCTCGAACTTGGAATCATCCAACATTCTTTCGACTCACTTTTATCAGGAGGCTGGACAGACTTTCCATCAAAATGCCAACAAAGCTCCATCTAGTGCGCCATGCACAAGTATGTCTGCCATATATCGGGGTCTCTCGGCATTCATCTAACAATCCATAGGGATACCATAACCTCGGCCCCGAATATTGGAGCCTTGTTGATCCGATGTTGACAAAGGAAGGAAAACGGCAATGTTTGGAGCTGAGCCGTAGCTTTCCTTCCAAAGATGCCATCGAGTTAGTATGTGCTTCACCGATGCGCCGTGCCATTTACACTGGTTTGGAGGCGTTCGGCTCTGTTCTTCAAGAGCAACAAGGGACTAAATTGATTGCGCTGCCGGATCTACAAGAGGTCAGCGATTTTCCTTGTGATGTGGGAAGCGACATTGTCAGTTTGCGCAAGGAGATCAACGACGCAAATTTGCCAGTGGACTTGAGCTTTGTGGAAGGGGATTGGACGAGCAAAGTAATTCTATTTCCTGTCGAATTCGGTGTAATGGAGCTAATCAGTTCATGAAAACAGACAGGGAGATACGAAGGAACACTAGGAAAGCTTCGTGTCCGCGCTAGAGATGCCAGGAATTGGTTAAAGAATCGACCGGAGAAAGAGATTGTGGTTGTCAGTCATGGAAACTTCTTACATTTCCTGACTGAGGACTGGGAAGATGGTTGTAAACATGATGGTGAGTCGAAGATCCCTTCCCAGAGGCACTGTGTTTCAAGTCCCTGGCTGACTTAATGTGGTATAGCAACCTCCTGGACCAATGTCGAATATCGAACTTATGAGTTTGCCGAGGAGAAGAATGGCTCCCTTGAACAATTGGATGATGCCCCATTGCAAGAAACGACGGAATCACGTCACCGACGCGGGAAATTCAATACTTCGCCTACGCGCGAGGCTCAAAAGGTGATATGCGAGCAGATGCTAATAGGCTGGGCAGAGCAGGGATATCCGGTTGGCACATCGAAAGAAAGTACCTCAGTAGAAGTTATTGAGGTTGAATGAATTGCCAGGACGAACCTCCGGTTCCGTCTACTACCAGAAATACAAGCAGTAAACGACGAAACCACCTACTCAGTTAGATATTTCGACAATTGTATATGTCTAGTTACCAATGTTGAGAGGTCTCTCTCTATGTAGCTAATAAAGACTAAAGGGAGGATGGCCTTGACTTTATAGTATCCCACGTGATTGTCAAAACTGTAACCAAACTCGTTGACTTCCTTCTGAGTTGCCCTCTAGCGCTGAAGCCTACAGCCAACCCCCAATTTTGCCGCCCAATCTACGCAATGCCATATCGCTGTCACTTCTCTATTGCTTGAACAACTCAGATGTCTGCAAGACCCTTGAGCAATACAAGTGCCGATAAAGGTAGTGAAGTGACACGAAATTCTTTCTCTGGCTATCAAGCTAACCTTAACAAGACTGCCACAAGTGCAAAGCTAGGCGTATAAAATGCGATCGTACCCTACCAGAATGTAGGAAATGTCATTCTCGAGGTCTGCAATGCCCGGGCTATGGATTTTATCTCAAATGGGGTCATGGCGTGGCCAGCAGGGGAAGATTAACAGGGAAAACGCTACCGGTCTTGGGACCCGCCGAGGCAAATCCCAACTTTCCTAAAAATTGTCGAGAGAAATTTCCGAGTCAATCTACGCCCCCTGGTTATTGTTTTACATCAATTAGTCGAGAATTGGCGATTATTGTTGACCCTATGATATGGGAGTTGATGCAACATTTTCAACAAAACATTGCACGGAAGCTTGCTTGGGTGGATAGCCCAAGGAATCCATGGCGTCAGATCATCATTCCTCTCACGCGCATATCATCAACCGTTCTTTGTTCTGTACTGTCTCTCTCATCCGAAGACCTTGCATACAAATATGCGCCAGATCACCCTCGATGCACAGATCTGCGACATATTTCACATCAATTTCGGAATAACGCATTAGCCTTGCTGGCGAAGCAGATAAGATCTATGAGAGAGAAAGAGTCACCTCATATTGGGCATTGTTTTTCGGGCGAGATTCGATATGCTCTGGCTTCAATGCTCATACTATACAATGTCGAGCTTCATAGCGAGGAACCTATCAAGTGGCGAATGCATCTGCAGGCAGCTCGAGTGATGCTTCAATGGAGAGAGCAGACTTCTTCTCGCGCGACTTCACTTGACCAAATCGACAAATTCCTTCTTTATGAACACTACTACGCCAGCGTTTTTGCTGGTCTCACAACATTTGATGCAGCGGATGAGCTCACAGGTGATCGATTCGAGAACTCCGACGATATCACCATCTTCAGTGACTTTGTACGCGTCATTCATCGAGTAACACGAATCGAGCGAGTTACACATGACAAAGGTGCCGATGTGACACCAATCCAGGTCAAGGACATCATTTTCGAGGTGGAAGCTGCAAAGCAGAGAATGGTACATTTAAGCCAAAATATACACCTACAGGGCTGCCATGTCCGACAAGACTTCCAGCATTTGATTTGCATCTTTTATCATGCCAGTCTAATATACACATATCGGTTATTAACAAATGACTCTATTTCCGATATCAATGCTCAAGCCTCTCGAGACTCGATTTTGAATCACTTATACTCCCTCTCGAACAAGGAGACATTTGCCCATGATCTTGTCTGGCCACTGTTCATCCTAGGCACAGAATGTAGGGGACTGCCAGAACTGCAAGAGGTTGTCTCTCATGAAATGGAGATTGTCATGAGGATCAGTGGAGTCCTCGATCGACGCAAGGTTTTATTCTTCCTTCGGCAATACTGGTCACTCGGTCTAGATCAAAGCCCCAACTGGATGTATCTTATGAGGGAGATGATGCCCGGTAATAATATGTTGATTCTTTAAGCAAAAAAAAAAAAAGTTCATAGGCTTAGTTGGATCAGTATACTTGAATTTAACTGCAAAGAAGAAACAAGAAAAGTGAAAAAGTCCACGGACCAGTCGCTCCCTTCCAAAAGCTATATACTAGTCAACCGTCAATAAGTTAAGCGCAATATCACAAGCCAATTTGCTATCGTACTGATCTCCACCAATACAAGGATCAGCTTGGTACCACCAACTCCCCTCCCAAATCTCATCGCACTTGTAATATCCCAGTATTGAGGATACCACTCAGCAGATTTCCAATCAAGAAGCCCTGGTAAATAACCATCATCCCCGACAAGGATATTATGAGCCTTCAAGTCACTATGAAGGCGTGGTATCACGGGGGGGTTTTTTTTCACATACTGTTGACTTCATCAGTCGGGGCCAGGTAAAGTCCAGTCGTAGGAAAGTCGGGACCCAGAAATGTGGGACAAAGGTATATCGTACTCTTACCTGAGGCCTTCCTTGTAAGGGGGAGGTATTTTGACGCAGCAGCGCGGAAGGGGCTGGAGTTGGTCTCACATGGCATGTTACTTAGATCGGCGACAGGTCGTGTTCTGTCTGTCACGTAGTACAAAGCCGATTAAAGATCGCCAGATCTCAAGAGCTTAATTAAACGTCAAAGTAGTAATCCTACCACTTGGAATGACCATTTTCAGATGTTTGGTTCATTGAACTCCTGTGAGAAAGTATCACGAAAGGAACAAAAGTAGGTTTGAGAAGGGCGGAAGTGTTGCTTGTCGAACAAGAGCAGAAGCGATAATGAATGGAAGACCCAAGAGAAGAAAATTGCGCTGGTGGATATACATGGAGGAGAAAGCAGAGCAAGAAGCAGAAAGCAGACTAATGCGAAGACACAATGAAATGAAGAGAATCCACCGAGATGGAAGCGAGTAAACAGAGAATATCAAAGAAGTGAAAATGACGCGAGAACCCGAATTTATTTCTATTGTCCACTGCGGAATCGCTGAGGCATAGGAGGCATAGGAGGGGGAGGACCAGGCTCGGATCCATCATCATCGTCCATTTCCTCGTCCATATCCTCAGGGTGACTAGAAATAGAAATATTAGCATCAGACCAAAAGAAAACCACCCCCCCCCCACAGACATGAACTCACGCAAGTAATTCCTTAATATTCCGCATCTCATAATGCTTCTTCCGCTGCTCCTCGAAATGACGATGTTTCTCACGAGCCTCCTCAGTACTCAAAAGCGGATCATCAACAGGCGCATCAGCACCATTCGCTCCACCCCCGACATGAACATGCTTCTCACTCTTGTGCGAGTCCATACTCATACTGCGGTCGCGGAAGACACGAGGATCATCGGATGATGCGCCAGATTGGAAGTTCTCCTCCGGCTCACCAAGTTCGAAATCCGGAATATCGTCTTCGGAAACACCCTTGCGGTGCGAGGGCTTGGCCAGCTCGAGCTCGTCGACGACAATACCCTGCGCGTCCAGGAGGGATTCCTGAGCCTCGTCGAGGCGGATTTGTTCGTCGTCTTCGGCGGGGTCATAGTGCGGGGCGTATGGGGTCTTTGGCTCGTCGATCTTCATCTTTGCTGTGCGCTCTTGCTCGGTTAGGTAAAGGTTTGCTTCATCCCATTTGAGGCGGGGTTCGTTCTCGTCAATGCCGCTGGCGGCGGACTGGCGGCGCGAGTTTGTTCCTGGGCCGGTTGTTGAGGAGGATCTCCGGCGGCCTGCGTTTTGCAGGGTATTTTGGAGGGTGAGTTCTTTTGTTTCTTCGGGCTCGGAAATTATTGGTACGGAGGGTGGGGAGGTAGCTGTCATGGGAGAGGGAGCTTGTCCGGTGAAGGAGTTGGAGTTCTTGAGGATGCCTTCGAGAGGACCCGTTAGTTTCGTTTGTTGCAGCTGTGGACGTGGTTTGGATATACCCTTTGGTCGTGCGTGCACGTCGTCAGAACTGTGCGCCTTTGCCGGCATGTGTGGTGCGGTCGTCATGGTGGGTTTGTAAATAGGAAAGAAGGTGGGATGTGCAGGTGAAGAGGTAGGAAAGTGAGAGAGGGAAATCAAAATGGTGTGGCTTGTTTTATCACAAGCCGCGACTCAGCTGCAAAGAGGCTGAGCACCTGATGGGATAAGCTGGGGAAGGAAATCTGAGTCAGACCAAAAGAGTCAGTGTTAAAGTCACAAGAGAAAAGAAAAGAAGTTGATAAGGTCAAGAGGGGCGATGACGTCGGCCCGATCATCCACCCGAGCAATGCCTGAACCCGTTTGGGTAGCCCTCCCTCAGTTGCCTGTCTGGGTGAAGTATTCTCTACAACAGGGAAAAACCATACCATTTTACTTGCTTACGCCAAGTTTGTCGCCCTATAAGCCTCTGTATTATGCATTTTGAGTTTCAGCCCACAGAAATTGGCGCATACAGCAAAAACTGCTATTCCAGAACGGTCAAGGGGATATAAATTAAAGTAGAAACGACCACCAAATTTTTGAATGTATTTAAGAACGCTAGTCATGGGCCCGGTCCAAGCCTAGCTGTACGGCCTAGGCAAGACCACCAAAGTCCCTGAATGCCTCAAAATCACCAAATAGATTGCATCGCCCGCTGGGGGTATATAGATATATATGCAGAGCAAAGCCAAACCAACATGAAAAAGAAAAAGAGAGAAAAAAAAAGGTAAATCAAGTCTCGAACCAGCGATGAAAATGACTGAAAAAGCCCTAGGCAATAAATATTACCAGGGATATGAACAGTGATAACAGCCCTATGCAATAGAGTCAAACTCCTCACGCTCACGAAGCCTATTTCGCGCCAGGGTATCTCCCCCACTGGCAGACAACTGCATCCAGTGCAGTGCCAGACACATGCTTTGCGGGTCCGATTTTGAGTCCTTGTCTCGGCGATACATCATCTCAGCCTTGAACGTATCCCGCGGAAGAGTCAGAGGGAGGGTCACGCGCGGGAGGAGCTCGGGATGAGTCAGGTATAAAATAGCAAGCTCGCGCTGTGCTACGGGATTACCCTCTTTCGCAGTGATAATCCACATGCCTGCTGCATCCTGGATGGCATGGCCCGGTTGGGATTTGAAATCCGATGCGAAGGGGGGATGACGCCGAGACAGTTCTTGGGAGACGATGCGGTCTGCAATCTCGACTAGACTGTAGCAGATCTCTTCCTTGAGGCTTAGTGCTGCTAACCCAAACTGGAGGAAAGCTGTGCCTCGGGTTTGGTCTAGTTGATCTGCTGGGACGAATGCTGAGATGAATTGTAGATCCCTGAACAAGGTTTTGGGCTTCACTTCCAATATGAGGTCCCGCAGCGTTGCCACGATCTGTGACTCGGATGGCGTGGAGTAGTCGGATCGTCTGGAGCCACCAGTAACAGACTCAGTTGTGGATGTGGGTAGCACCGTGTCCATCTCGGGAAAGCTACGCCGTTGCACATCCGAAAAGCTGTGGCGCGACCGGCGCTGTTGAGGATTGCTCCGGATATCAATTTCCCCAGCAGCGAAAGCCGTACTTGAGTTTGAGTCTTGCGAAATAAGCGATGCAATCACCAACGATCGCAGATCGCGTAGAGCGTTGAGTTTGACAAAGGGACTCCCATGACGCGAGAAAACCTCAATCAACCGATGGAAAACAGCCTTGTACGAAAAGTCCGACTGGCCATCAGAAGACTGTGATAGCATCGGCGAGTCATCCGCACTAGCAGCTTTATGACCAGCAGCACGGAGATCAGAAAGAGACCTGCTCCGACGACCCTTCAAACCACGCTGCTGAGGCCGCCCTTCATAATCAGCGTAGAACCTCTGAACAGCAGCGCGTCTTCGCATCTCGACCTGGATCCTCTTCTGGTTCAGCGCATTGGCGAACCAGGCGTCCGTTTCACTGCCACAACTCCATACCGGCGAGCCTAGGTCACTGAGAAGCAGACTGGTCAGGGTCTGTCTCAGGCCATCCATGAACGCTGTCTTGCCCTGTGTTTTGCGTTCGATACGACGGGGCTGACGGGCTGCCGTTTCGCTGAACATTGATGGTGGCCTTGAGTAAGCGCTTGATACGCTTGCCGCATACATGGGGTAACGCTGAGGCGCAGACCAGAATGTACTGCAGGTATCACCAGTCGATGTTGAAGCAGGGCGGCCTGGTGATCCTCCAAGGGAAGAAACATCGATTGACGGCAGGTCTCGCTGAGGCTGCCACTTATCGGAGATGATGCTCTGAATAGACGGCTTGCGACCCAGTGAAGGAGCATCTGGTGCAAACCGAGACATGGGATCAGGAACGGGTAAGTTGCTCCCATAGAAATGGGAAGCATGGTTTGTCTCATCATTCGCTGTTGACGGGCGAGGGGTCATAGGCATGGATAGGCCCGGAAAGGCGCGAGTACCGTAGCCTTCATATCTTGAGCGTTCCCTTTGGAAGAGCTCGCTCGCCCATAACACCGGTGTCTCGGCCATCGTTTCACCAACTAGTTTGTTGATGCTCGTCCGGACCTCGTAACAGAAGCGGTGGATTCGCTCTTCTCCTTTGCAGAAATTCTCAATACCATTGAGTGACAACCATTTCCTTGTCAGTTCAACTTGTTCATCTGACAGTTTGTTCGGTCCACCTTGACTACTGGGTGCCTTCATCATGTTCATAACCTGCACCTCGGGTTTCTGGAACAAGGAGCCGCCTAGTGATCGAGGTCCGTAGCGAGATCTTTGTTCTTCAGGATATTGGCTGAATAGTCGAGCGGAGTATATCATGGTTTTCAAAGCCATAGCCACATGCTTCGCCTCTTCATATTTCATGGAATTCTTGACATCAGTCATGTACCACATCTTGTCACGGATCTTAGAAAATGTGGCCGTGAGATCCTTGACCTGAGTCTGAAGTCGGCGGAGGCTATGGTCCAAAGAAAGGAAGTCACTCTCACACCGCTCGATGACAGCTCGCGATTGGTTCAACGAGCGACTGTAAGAATCATGCATCGGAGTGAGTATCCACGAATCGTCCGACCGAGTTAAGCTTGGTGTTGCCCGCTGCCCAAGCTGCCTTGAAGCATTCCACCAGTAGTGCGCACCGACAAAGTCAGAGTCATGGTGGCAGGAGAACATAGCCTGGTTGAACTGCTGCTTCAGAGACAGGGCAGACTGTTTCCGAGGCAAAAATCCATCGTCTGAGTCTCGAATGCGATTTTCTTTAACAAGGCGAACGATTGCAGTCTGCAAAGCTTCATGGTTTTCGTCTAGTCCAAGAGTGGAGTGTGCGTCATCGTCACTTTCAATAATTAGACCTTTAGATGTGCCATCTTCATCTTTAGTTTCAGGAAGAAGACTCCAGGTCAGACCATGGCCGTCTGCAGCAACCGAGAATATAGCCCAATGCTCGTTTGAGGGGTGCTCTAGACTCAAACGCTCATTAGGGTGATCCAGGTCCGTCAGCTCAAAGCGGATTCGAGCTGCCTTTTCACTCAGTCCATTGCCTGCGGCTAATATGGATGAGCTGAGTGAGAATATAGAACCGTTGTTTGAGGTCGGTCTTGAGGTGTCATATTTTGAACGATTTAATGCAGATTCCATGGACTCTGGGCGAATGCTGAATGAAGGTGAGATGGTTGGGAAATGCATAGATGCAGATGCAGGAGAATGCAAAGAAGAAGCAGAGGATGACTGCTGGAAAAGAGCGTCTAGAAGGGTGAGAACATCCAAAGAAGACATCATAAGGAAAGTCGAGGATGGGGTTCGTTGAGGGGGTAGTGATTGTAGAGGAATAGAGGAATCAACCGATACTTGAGGGAGCGAGGTCTGGAAACGGGAGAGCATGTTCTCAACACGTTCCTTGATGATTTGACGGGGGATCGAGAAATGATGCCTTGAGTAGTCAGTCCCAACACCCAACGTTGACAAAAGGAAGGACTTACATTGAGCGCAAAACAGCAAATACTTGAGAGTAGGCACGGTGCCCGACCTGATTCAACAACTTCTCGCGGGCATCCTTTCGGATATGGAAGTCGAGGAGGAGACCGTGCGTCTATCGAGAGAATTGCCGTCAGCCTCACAAGAGCATCATGGCCCAAAGACACATACCTCAGGATACGTCAACGCGCCATAGAGGAACCTGGAAAAGAACCACTGGACAAACAAAAACTCCAAGAAGCGAGTACGGCTCTCAGGGCTATCGAGCTTGCACAAAACGGCCTTGGCAAATTGAAGAACAGCGTGGGGGAAACCGCCGTCTGGATCATCAAGTACGCGGAACAGATCATCCACAGCGGAAGCAAAGAACTCCTCTGCAACGTCGGTGCGCAGTGGATCCAAGGCATCCATATCAAAATCCAAACCGGAAGGTGCAGTAATAGGCTCCAAAAGAAAAGCACCGGTTTGCAAAATATCCATAAGGTAAAGTTCAAATTTGGGGCGGGCTTTCCAATTGCTGCCGGTAGACCAGGAAGTAAGAACCTGGCCGATGAGAGGGTAATATCTACTACTTCCATGGGAGATTAGTTGAGCGCAGACAGAAGACCACACGTCCATTCGTAAGCGGGACTCGGCGGTGTCTGGATCCAAGGGGGCAGCAAAAACGTTAAAGAGAAGTATAGACAGTGGATCAGTCCTCTCAAAGGCAAGCGCGTGGTCCTTGAAAGCAGCTGACTGAGCCTGGATCCGGCTAAGATAGGACTGGCCGCGCGCACGCGAGGTAGAAGGAAAAGCAGGATCACTGGAGTCCAGAATAGTAGCCGGGGAGGTAAAAGCGGCCAGTTGAGACGAAGACAGGCCTCGTAACCGGTCGACCAAGAAATGAGGGTCAGAGCGGACCAGCCGCAGAATCTCAAGGAAGTCCGCCCGGGACTGCGGGCTCATCTGGTGAAGGAAATCCGGGAAACGATCAACGTCCGTGCCGGACGGGAGGTCCATGGAGTCTGAGTCTGCGTGGTCATCGTTCAGGGGTGAGCGACACGATTCCTGGATATCATGGAGTGTGTGGTATAGAGCAACGAAATTGGCCTTGTCATCGTGCCGGAGGGCTTCAACCAGACCGCGCTGTGAAGTGAGCCCGACACGGATCATGCGCGCGGAGACGCCAACAGACACCTTAGTAGCGCGCAGACGCTTCTCCAGTCGTTTCCTTTGGGCCTGCTTGCGCTGGGTTTGGTGGTAGCGGGTGGCAAATTCCTCAAAGGAGACCTGGGGAGGCATAGCATTGTTTCCATTGGGAGTGGCCATAACCCTGGGACTGGAACGGCCCGAGCCACCGCACTCACCTGTCCCCACGTTTACCGGTAGCAACATTGGAGATGGAGATGGAGATGGAGGCAAAGGCACCGATGTGGGATCTTGCGCCCGCGAGTCACATGGTAGGTTAGCCGGGGAAGCAGGTAATTGCACTGTTGGTGTTGTTAGGTTGGGCTGCAATAGGGGGGGGAAATCCCCAACATACTGGCTACCGCCAAAGAGTAATCGTCGGATTCCACCATTTCGACAGTAGACAGTCGCAAACCCCCCCGAGCTGGCGAAAGGTCTTTATCGCATGGTTCGATCGGGAGGAAAACCAGCTGGTTCTCAGAGGAGTGCCGATGCACTCGATCGGGACAGTCCAGGTCCAGGATGAAGGTGATGAAAAGAGAGAGAGAGGGGGAGATGGTGAAGAAGCCCACAGTTGACTCGAGAGATCTTAACAAGGAGGTACCGAGTACAAGTCGATGCGTTGGCAATGCATGAGTGAGGTGGACAGTCCCCCCTCATTCGTCCGTCGCCCCCCTCAACTTGCGGAGTCAGCGTCTGTTTTATACCTCAGATGTACTTCTAGAACTTGAGCTGTATGCAATACAACATTCTTTCTATGAAACATATCCCAGTAATACAGTACAAACGACCGGAGAGAAATGATCGGGAAAAATAATTCCACGCTTGGACATGAGTGGCAAACTCTCATATGCAGGGATACAATACTTGATATACTACAACACGCGCACAATCGGGTCTGCCGGCTCTTAATCCATGCAGCTAACCCGGGACACCCCGAGAAACATACAACCAGGTGAAAATGGTTCATAAGACATGTCGCCAATCCTAAGTCCGTTCATACTCATGCAAGTGTACGCAATATCTTAGGGCATCACCGACATGTCCATTTCTTGTCAGCCTCCTTGTCTCCCACGCGAACAGCGACCAGGTCGATGGTGGCTTTCAACGTCTCTTTGGAAACCTTGGGGAATCTATATAAATGTTAGCATAGTGTACGGAAGCGGGGGTTCGGAGAACAAACCGTTTCTTTAAGATCTCGACCAACCCGATCTTGCTGAGATCATTTCCTTCAACAGCCTCTTTGAATTCACCAAGTTGCTCTGGTGGGAATGGTCGCTTGGCTTTCGAATTTGGGGGTAGAGCAGTGCTCACTGGTCCACCAGGGACAACAGGAACACGGAAGACGTTAAGTGTTGCGCGACCAGAAGCGCCAGCAACGGCAGCCTTTGCAGTCGATGCCGGCTTGGGCTTTTCCCAGTAGGCAGTTGAAAAAGGATCGATGGGCAACTTGACCGCATCGGAGATGGTTTGAATTCGATATACCTGGAGCTCGGGATCAACTCCATCGGCAGCCCACTGGATGCCACTGCAGACAGGTTCGAGGTCACCGACGATTAAACGACGCTTGCCATCGGCAGGAGCATCGTCTTCGTCATCAAGGAAACCGTCAAGATCATCTTCTTCGCCATCACTGCCCTCCTCTTCCTCTTCTGAGTCCAGCTCTTCGCCCTCTTCAGGCTCCTCCCATTCTGCCTCCGAGTCATAATCATAATCTGTTTCCGGCAAGCCTCGATAGTATGGGTTTCGCGAGAGTCTTTTTGCGGATGAAGCGGACACACGACGAGTAAAAGTTCCCTGATAAGGAGGGCGTATATCCTCGCCGAACTTCAGTGACTTCATAGTTACTTTGCGCAGGAGATCTTCCGGTCTCGTAGTAGGCCCATTGCTCAAAGTCTGGGAAATATGCGTTGCATGTTCCCCGGGTTTTTGCAGTTGCAAGAAAATGTCCTTGACAGAAGCGGTCGCCCGGCCTCTCTTGCGATGGAACGGAATCATATTAAAAACTTCGGAAGGACGGAATGGTCGTGGTTGTGCTGAGCTATCAGCATTCAGACACGCATCGACTGTTTGGCGTACATGCTCTAGTGCTCCAGAGTCACGCCCAAATCGATGAGGGGGTGCCACTGTTGTATGTGACTGCAAGAAGAAGGTAGGAAATACCCGCTCATAATCCGACTTCTGGTCCCGGGGCATTTCGTCAATGATATCATTGGAAGCCGAAGGTTTCATAGGCGACGCAGTCGTAGTGCTCTGTTCCGAGGGAGCAGAGTTGGTTGGAGGTTTGGTAAAGAAAGAGTTCAACCGCATTTGTGACTAGATGGGTAAGCATGTCTGAATGTTCGCGCCTGCAGAGACAACCTACCCGAGCCTTCTTCACCTTCTCCTCATCCTTTTTGCGCTTCTCCTCTTCTCTGGCAGCCTCCTTCGCAGCTTTTTCATCCTCCTTAGCCTTCTTTTTCTCTTCACGCTGTTTCTTCTCTTCCTCCCGTTCAGCCTCCCGCTTCCTCTTTTCCTCGTCACGCTCAGCATCACGCTTCTTCTTCTCTTCAGCCTTCAATCGCTTCTCTTCTTCCCGCTTAGCCTTCTCCTCTTCCCTCTTAGCCTTCTCTTCCTCCTTCTTCACCTTCTCCTCCTGCTTCTGACGCTCCTTCGCATCCTTCTCTTGTTGCTTAGCATCCTTGTTCGCAGTCGCAGCCTTCCGCTTCTTAGAAGCAGATGTATCAGGCTCAGCATTCGAAGCAGTATTTGGCGAGTTTTGCCCACTAGAAGACTTCCTCACAACAATCTCAACAGTCGGTCTTGGGAACGAATTCCTAAAATTATCCGCAGGAGGAGCAGCCTCATCAGAATGTGAAGGGTCACGATTCTCCTGGTTCTCAGCCGTATATTCCGTCAAAGGCCGCTTTGCATTCGGAGAAGGGGTAGTGGCATCATCAACTTCATGAATGGATCGTTTTCTCGGACCTGCACCTGCAGATGGCGATGCGGGAATTGGTTGGGCCGGGGACATCGGTGATAGACTGGTATTGGAATCCATGGACGGTAATTCTAGCATAGCGACCACAAGTCAAGACTCTGGTCGACTGCTGTGGTCCAATGAGATAGGGATTAAGGGTGTAGTTGCCGTGTGATGGTCGTGTGATGGTCGTGTTTTCAGTTGGTGGATATGGGTGTTGGTAAGAAGGGAATAGGATGGTGGAATGTAAGGTGTAGTGCACAGTATACGGTATGCAGGACAAGTTGGCTCCGCTGGGGAAGCGACTTCATCGGAAGGAGTTGTGCCTGACAGGGAGACGCGTTAATGGATCGCGATGCGCGACCGATAACGTGTGTGCTTAGCTAATGGCCATCTCGCAACTTGCGTGGGGGCTCTATACAGTAGAGTGTTGGCAGGGAATTTCATTGTTTATTGCACCAATGATTCTAAATTCCAAATTGAATTTTCTTGTGGCTTGTGGAAGGGGTTGAATGATACTAATCTATCAATTATAGCATAATTGAGTAAATATTGGTGTACTATTACTATCTCTAGATAAAAGAGAAGCTATGCCAGATCAACGCCAGGATGACCCCATATGCAGCCACAAAAGCCCAAAGACAACCCAGGTAGCCAATCCGTAGAGACCCACAGTGCCATCAAGGATATACAGCAGAACAAGGAAGCCCTGGGAGACAGCAAAGCAGCGCTTGAAGGGAATAAGAACGAGACAATAAAAGCGCAAAGAAATATGAACAGAACATGGACGACACTTTGGTCAAATCATCAAGACTTGCCAGACATGCCAGAATTGGAATTGCAGCCGGGGAGGTATTATGTGCAGTAAGTACGGTGAAAGAAATCATGTAGAAATCATAAGAAGTAAAGGCAGGATCTGGCGAGAAGACAAAGGGCAAGAAGGTAGGCAGATATAAATATTGAGTGGAGGTAGAATGGGCTCAGTCGCTGTCGGCATCTGGATTTGCAACGAACAGCCGCACATTTGTCATGGAAGTAGTCCGTTCGTCCACACTGCCTCGTCGTCGCAACTCATCTGCCTTCTTGGCCTTCTGGGCTGCTGTGTTGGCTGCATTTGGAGCTTCCATGTCGCCAACAAAATCGTCTTGCTCTTGCTCGCTGCTGTGTGTTGTTGCAGCATCATCCTTGACCAAAGAAGACAGTCTGCTCTTCTCCTCCGCTTGGATCTCAGCAGGTCGATTTTCTGACACCTCGGGAAGATCGGTCTTTTCGTTTGGAGGTGTGCTGTTACTGCCCATTGTGCCTTGCTGCCGCGAGTATCCGCTGGGATAACGAGTTTGGCTTCCAAGCGAGCTCCGCCCGCTACCAGTGCGTCGGTGAATTGCGCCACCATCGCTGCTGAGGGCGTCATCTTCCCCGTCACCGATCTCATTCGCACTTAATCGCACAGGGACCTTGGCGCCCACAAGGTTGGAAGGCGAGAAGTCTGCTGCACCCTTGGGTCCATGGCGGATCTTTCCACTAGCCAGGGTTCCTGCCCGGCCAGCGCCTGATCCGTGGACTTCGAGGTACGCTCGCTTCTTGTCACGCATCGCTTGCTCGCGCAACCTAGCGTCTTCTGGCTGTGCGCGATCGCACCAGACAGTCGCCTTTTGCCGCCGCATCAGGGCCACATATCCAAGCTGGGAATTGGCGGAGCGCGAAGAGGCCGTGCGCCGAATATCTGAAACACTTGGCGCGCCATGCGCCATGGGGTGGTTGCCAGTAGACGAGGTGGAAGTGGTGGTGCTGGACATGCGACGAGAAGGAGGATGGTGTGGGAGAGTCATGGTTTGGGGAACAGGAGGAGGAGGAGGAGGAGCGCCGTGGTAGTGGTGAGAACCTTGGTGGTATGGCAGAACGGTAGAGGAGGTTGTGCGAGTCCGACTATGGGTAGTCTGGGGTCCAGCGAGATGGGGAGCAAGCTGGCCTCGAGGAGCATCGTACGGCTGGTAGCCATAGCCAGGCTGGGGACCGGCGAGAGGCTTCCGGGCTGGAGGGCCCTGGTGGAGGGGCATTCGAAATTCAGTCATGTTGGGCGGGGATAAGACACTAGCCATATAATCCCAACGTGCGACTGCTCCAGGAATCCAGAATATTCACCAAATCGCAATAGGACCTGTGAATTATCTCAGGAGGTGGGATGTTGGGTTGTGACTTGGCAAAAGTGGTCCTTTGCGTCTCCGATGCGCGCGGCTGACGGGTAAGGAGATGCGGTTTCAGCTCCCACTGCAGTACGCTGCTGCACAGTCCAATTCGGGAGGTCTTAAGCGGAAGGCTGAGATTGTACGCCTGAATGCTGCACCAGCGCCTGTGTAGTAAAAGTGCAATGGGGTGGACAATCGGGGTGGTGTGAGGCGAGGGTCGGGGGGCGCACACGAGGCACCACAGGTAAGAAGGTGAGGTCTTGCAACGAGAGCGAAAGAAAGGCAAAAAGCAATCAAGAAGCGAGAGCAAGCCGAGTATGGACCTTAAGGGGAGAGTTAGATCGGGGAGAAAGAGGACTTTGACCGTCCGTTCCTTGGTTGGGCAGATTGATTGGTCGATACGGAACACGGCGGACAAAGTACCTTGACACCCAATTTGGCTGGTGGAGTACTTTGCAAAGCCACACTGAGGCTGGCGCAATACAGCTACTGTACAGAGTTACAGCAATGTTTCACTTTCAGTCTTTCTCTTGTCATTTGGATGTCACTTCTTTCTTGAATGCTACCTTACACATGCCTCAGCCCTACCGATTCGCCTCCCGAGCACGTGAGTAGAAGGCGACATGACCACATTTCCCGAAACCCGTGATTATTCGCACCGAGAATAATAGCACGTCAACGGAAATGCTTGGAGTGATGATATGCGTCGTGGATCTCGAGACTTTCCTAGTCCAAATAAACCACAAAGCAGGGGCTGTAGCCATCATCCGGCTCCACCATCCACCCGTCCGTAACACCATTGCAGCCAGGCACATTGGCACCAATACCGGTCCACAGTGCCCACGTCTTCTCCCGAGCCACGGGGTCCGCAGTCAGGTAAAGAGCCGTCCCCGTAACGGGCGCTCCGTTCCCTAAGGCTCCGGGGTTAGGTGAGAACTCGGAAATCATGGCATGGCAGATCGTGAGCGAGCTAGCGTCCGAGTGCGAGCCGGGCGAAATCAAGGTCAAAGTTTTCGTAATCTCCTGCCACTCAGGGGAGGCAAGCAGGGCATAGTGCTGGTGCAGACTGACTAGAACTGGAAGGTTCACGGGCGAGAGGACAGTATTACTTTTCTGCGTGGCTGCAGCGGTGATCCCAGCCGTGGCTGATTCGTTCACTCACCGACGTGAAGATGGACCTGGCCTGGATCCTCCACATGTCGTCCCCAGGCCAGTGTTCCAGAACACTCAGAATCTGCAACCAGAGCTGGCCTTGCTTAGTCGAGGTGCGTCGATTTGCGCGTCCTCTTTGATAGGCAGGATGATCATCTGGGTGGGGACTGCCGCGTATACCATTGCTGCAATGCTTGTCTGGACGTTGGGTCTATAGAGGTTCTTTCGGCTTCTACTCCATACTTTTGTAGAATATATGATCTTATTTACGAGGTCGCTGCCCAAGTACCCATTACGGCCGGTTCAATACAAGCCGCCTTTTAAGACCGAGGACCGATGTCCGCGAGCTGGTCCTAATATGAACAATGCGGGGTATACATCTCCGCAGAGCATACTAAGAGAGCTTACTGTGAGAATTGCTTTGAACAGGGCTAATGTTATTCGCATTCGGCTATTTCTTCAATCCAAGGGCTCCAGGGCTGTTTTAGCGCATACCTGAGCAAGGAATATGACGCTATAACCCCTTCGCTTAGGCAGTTCCGCCCTTGAAGGCAAAAGACACAGTTCATACCAAACCCTAAGAATTCCATGGGCTCCATTACTCTCGTAACAGCAATACACTGCGCCACACTATATGGTCTGATTATCTCAGCTGTGGGGGAGTCATGACGTCAACATGTTTCGGCGTATCCGGGTTTGCGGTCAGTTCCTGATGAAACATTGACACTGACCAGGCACAGATCCAAAACCAGAAACAGATAGTGTGATGTAACCAATGCCCGGCAATGGGCTAATTCAGCTGATGTCTTACGGGAAAGAACATGCAAGACATCAAAGAGACCTATCTACAATGCAAGTGCCAAACCACCCTAAACTAGCGTCAACTAGCGGGGACATGCCGGGCTACAGTTTAGTCCTGCCATTCGCCGGCAATAACGCCCCATCCCCTCGAACGGCGAAGTCCTTGTCTTGCTCCCACCCCATCCACACCCTAAGAGTCTCCGCGCCTCCATCACCCGGTAAAAGTCCCCCACCACTCCACCCACCATTATCGGCTAGGATCGTGGCTGCGGGTGTACTCGCCAAGTGCACAATGGGCCGTTGCTCGTAGCCTGATGCTTCGAGTTCATCTTGCTCCAGCACGGGAGTTGCACATGCATCTGTGCCGTCAAAGACCGCCTCCCACTCTGCGCGGGTCTTTTCCTTGAATCGACGGGCGAAGATGTCCCGTAGGGCAGGCCAATTAGCGCGGTCTTCACGCTTGGGTGTCGTTTTCGGGTCGAGATTCAGTCCATGCAGCAGCGCCGCGTAGAACTGTGGCTCCAACGCCCCAATAGCGAAGTATTTGCCACTGTCTTTCGTCTCGTATGTATCATAGTAGGGACACCCACTGTCGAGCAGATTCTCCCCTCGCGGCGCACCCCAAGCTGGAGTTTGACGCGCCAGTCGCGGGAACGTTGCCAGGTAGGCTGAACCATCGACCATGTTCGCTTCCACTACTTGCCCGCGGCCAGTATGCGAGCGTGAGATAAGTGCTAACAGAATTCCCTGGAAGCAGATTGCTCCGCCGCCGGCGAAGTCGCCTAGGATATTTCCTGGAGCGTAGGGCTTTTCATTGGCGCGGCCGAGCATGGACAGCACGCCTGATACAGCGATGTAGTTTATGTCGTGGCCGGCCATGTCTTTGTATTTTCCATCCCGGCGGAAACCCGTCATGCGCGCGACTATCAATCGCGGGTTATGCCTCAGGAGAACTTCTGTTGGGGATAGACCGAGGCGCTCGAGGACGCCTGGTCGGAATGGGTCGATCAATACATCTGCTCTTGTGAGCAGGCGAATGAGGACACTTCGCGAGTTTTCATCGCGCAAATCTAGTGTGATTGATGTCTTATTTCTAGTTAGCTGGTCTGCGCCGACACTTCCTGGTCTGTCTATGCGGAGTACAGACGCGCCGTAGTCGGCTAAGAGGAGACCAGCGAAGGGGCCTAGGGAGTGGTTAATTGTGTTTCTTGGTAGGGGGTTGACTGCGTACCTGGAGCTAGACCAGCTAATTCAATGACTTTAATGCCTTTCAATGGAGCCATTGTGTGTAGATGTAAAACTATTGCAGGTATGAAGTTGAAAGAGGTTCGACTTAAGTTACTCCGCAGCCGAGTATCCACGGACCTCGGCTGCGGGGAACCATGTGTATCAGATCGGCATTGGACTCTGTTTCCTGTTTCCTATACTCACTATGCATAATCAAAAATCAATATCCAAGTCACAGTCACCAATATCAAAGCCCTAGCTACCGGCATCAGAGCCAGAGTCGGATTCAGAAGAGGAAGAAGAGTCCTCGTCCTCCTCACTCCCATTCTTCCCATGAAATGCACCCTTCACCTTGGATTTCAACCCCTTTGATCTCCTCTTAAGCTTACCCACCAAATCATGCGCTCGAGTATCCTCTGAATCATCAGATTTATTCCCCCCAAGACGTTTATTTCCACTATGTTTCGTAGGACGCTCAATCAAATCATTCGCATCAGCGGCCTCAAGAGTAGCAGAAACAACAAAAGGAAACCATGTCGATTCACCAGTCTCAGAGTTTACGTAGTAAGTACGTCCTGAGGACGGATCAAATTGCATAGACCACGGGTAAGGCACACTATCTGGATCGAGAGCTGCGAAATTTGGAAAGGCCGGATATATGCGCGTGGGCAAACTACAGCCGGCACTTGTGGTGCCATAGCCGTGGTTTGGAGCTGGTTTGTAGGGTTGGTAGCGTTGGTCGTGGCCTTCACTTGGTCCGGATGGATATGCGTCCGAATTCGGTTGGGGTTCGGGTTCGGAAGGGTTTATAGAGTCTGTTGCAGCGTTTTGGGGTTTATCGTGAATTTTGCCGTTGATTTTGCGGAGAAAGCCCATTTTAGATAAGGTGCTATAATATATAGATACAAAAGGGATGGATGGATTTTGCTTGCAATCTGTTTGGATACTGGCTGGGCCGATGATACTAGATTGTTTTAGCAGAGACGTCGAGGCACTATGTATGTTTATACCATCCACGGTAGACCAGACAAACAACAAAGAAGCATAGGCTGCGAGATAGCCTACTGTTTATGTTCTTTGTCGAACCGCCATTACAATAGGAGTGCGGCCATTCGTGAACCTGGCAACGGATGCAATCTCAGGTCTTCAACTTATTTTGAGTAAAACAGTCATCAAGCCCCTTTGTTCACGATTAAGGATAGACTTTTCTCATATCAAAAATACTTAAGGGACAAAGCGACTAGTTTCATGTCCTGAACAAAGCAAAGCTATCCTTGCATGAACTGTGTACCATTCAGCTTCTCACAGCCTCGACCTGTTTCGCGCAATCTAGGCAAGTCTCTCGGTTCGAATGAAAGCCCTGGCCAAGGCTTAATCACTAATACATGCCCCCAGACATCCTTTTTCAAATTTGAGCACGTTTATCTTAGCTATACCGCCATTACTCTTACTACTTGACGTTTATTGCCAGATAATAGGTCTGCCTGACTTTTACCTGTTTGGCTCACCGTACTATGGTCCCGGCAATACTGTTGTCGTAATTATTGAGTTGTCGTCAGTGAGGTAGTGTTATGGTGCTGTAATAATACATGAAACCATCTCGATTTCGCCAGCCTTGTGTTTGTCCCTGTATAGGATGGATCGAAATTAGTTTCACCACCCTGCTCTCATAGAATCTTTATCGAACCCTATTCCGAAACACGCTAATCCATTTCTGACTGAATTCAGTTCCAAATACTGAATCGTGCTGAAAGTCATTGTCTAGGTGGAAAGGAAGTAGTCGCGTACTGTAAGATAGCTGATATGGCTCGCCCAAGAGAACACTTCAAAACATGAATTAGATTACTACTTCGCAGCTAATAAAGCAAACTACGGTAAGTTCATAGGTATTGATAGATACAGAATAAGTCAGACTTATGCAGATCCAGGAGAAGCTTCCCGCTTTCGTACGTATAATTCCGGGGGTGCTTCTGCTTGAGAAGGACGACGTTCAATATCAAAACCAGGCAAGTCCGACAGTAGCTTGCTGAGCTTGGAATATCCGTGTGTAGAGATGCTGAATTCCGGGTGCTGAGTTGTGAGATGCTCACTAACATCAGATAGTCTAGCCCACCCACTGTTATCGAGAGGGATCTCTGCCATGTTCTGCTGCCGAATAGCAAGGTGATCATCTTCGTTGGCCTGGTGGACTGAAGTATGACCTGGGGGAACTTCAGCCCTATCTGAATGCGACACAAGCCCTGAAGGGTGGACAAGGTCTTCCGTATAGACAAATTTGTCGCACGCAGCGACAAAAGCTTTAGGTGTCTTGCGCTCTCCAAATCCGAATACCATGAGCCCAGACTCGCGCACTCGAGTGGCTAATGGGGTAAAGTCACTGTCGCTAGAGACAAGGCAGAAGCCATCGAAGCGACTCGAGTATAAGAGGTCCATCGCGTCTATGATCATAGCTGAGTCGCTTGAATTTTTGCCATGAGTATACGCAAACTGCTGGATAGGCTGGATAGACTGATTTAGAAGCTCATTGCTCCAGCCTTTCAAACTTTGATCGGTCCAGTCCCCGTAGGCCCGCTTTACATGAGCTGTTCCATATTTTGCGATCTCTGTGAACAAGAGTCGAATGATGGAATACTGCGCATTTTCAGCGTCAACAAGAACCGCAAGTTTAGGACTGGTGTCGCAAGCCATGGCTGTATACGTGTATAGAGGAGCGAGGTTCTCATGGTCTTTGCCATGCCCAATATATAGCGTCATCCTCGTGTCAGACCTCAAGCCCTGGCACAGTCACATGCTCAACACTTGAAGTCTTTCATAGGTTCTAAGGGACGCGGACTTCAACGTGATGAGGTGGATGAATAGCCCAACACGAGGCCCTTCGCACCGGCGACCAATTACACAGCATGGATGACTGCTTCTTGAGATATCTATGATACATTAATTTACGAGGTATGATGAGTTGTAGTGGTGTTCCGCTAAATTTTAAATGCACTAATCCGAGGATATAATCAGTATGTTTCAAGATACGGGTCCTTACGACTACGAAATAGATTACCGGAATTTAGGCCAGTTTCTCGAAGATACGAGGGCAATGCAAGGTTGGCGGAAATATTACCTGATACCGCGGGGGTTCGCTTGAGATGAAGTCGTAGGGTAGACAAAGCGCGAGAGATTGAAGGTAAACTCGATTTCCAGTATCACAGTATATCAATCACACTGAGATTGAACCACCTCAAACAGCTATTCTCAAGCCCGTATGGCGACAAGGACCTTTGGCACTAGAATGGAAGACATCGAATCCTTGGTCGGGGGTCTCTTTATAGTGGCTCCAATTATGCCGAGCTAGGCTTTTGTGACCTCTTAAAAACGACGGAATACTGACAGCCAAGGAATGAAGTAGCGTGTGTGGGATAGTTTCGTGCAAGTGTACAGTACACTACACGACATTTCAGACTCGTACCGTAAATTACAAGAGCTATCCAACGCGGCGGTCTAAAAGGCGACTCCGAGTGAGCACGATCTTTCCATACGGTTTACGCTTGAGGACTTAGATAGAATACTGTGTCAATAGATTTGTTTTAATATATTCAATTAACATTTCAATCCGTCTATTGCAGAGAATGTAAAAAAAAAGATACGATAATACCCAGACAGGGAATGACAAGCGGAACGAAATGGTCCACAGAATACACATCGGAAGAAGTCATTAGGGAATAGAACAGTGGGATTTGACAGGTGGTCCAGTCAGAGAAATGGCCAGTAAATCACAAAAGAGGCCAAGAGGTATTGAATCACACCAACCACCCGAGGAAGTAACCCCGAAAAGCTAGCGATCAGTAAGATGAGAATATAATAAAACAAGATCATAATTAAAAATAATCGCCCAGGCAATCACAGCTTCTCGCTGATACAGCATCGTGAGATCAGGCGCATCATATACATGGACATATATGTGATGGGATCATGCTGACCAGATGAGTGGACAGGCTCACAACAGGACGAACTCACAACAGGACGAACATGGAGAGAGCGACAGCGACGAGAGAGCCGAAGACACTGGTGACCTTGGAGGCGGCACCGGTGTAGACCGGGGAAACGCCCTCGGGGGTGCTGGTGCTGGTAGGCGCCACAGGAATGTTGGTAGCGACGGTCGAGGGGCGGAAGGCCAGGGTCGACGAGGTCTTGGCTGGGCGGACGGGTGCAACTGGGGTGCTGGAGATGACCTTGGAAGAGGCGGCAGGTCTAACGGGGCTAGAACCGGAACCAGAGTTGGAGCCAGTGTTAGAGCCCTCGCCCTGGCTGGAGGAACCAGAACCGGGGTTGGAACCGGCGCTGGAACCCTCACCAGAGCCGTGGGCAGGGGCGGTAGCAGTAGCAGTGGCAGGAGCAGTGGCAATAGGAATAGTAACAGTGATGGTGCTACCAGTGGGACCACAGGTCTTGCAGATAGAAAGCGCAGTGGTGTAGCCCTCAGGAACAGAGGCAGAGGTAGTCTCAGCAGCAACACCAGATGTGGTAGGAGCAGGAGGCAGAGTGAGGGTCACAGTGGTGGGAGTGGCGGCACAGACAGTGCAGACAGTGACGGTGGTGGTCCAGCCCTCGGGGATGGAGGGGCTGGTGGTAGCCGGGCCGGATGTAGGGGCGGTCACATCAGCGGTACCAGTAACGATTCCGGCAGGGCCGGTGGCGGTAGCGGTGGCCGGTGTGTTGCCAGGACAGTAGTAGGTGGTCAGGGTGGTGGTGATGGTGGTGAAACCGGTGGGGCAGATGCTAGTGTAGGAGGTGACGATCACGGTGGTAATGGTCTCGGCGGAGGAGGTGGCAACGGGGGTTGGAGTCACGGGGATGGTGATAGTGCTGGGAGCGGAAGATCCAGTAGAGTCAGCGCCAGTGGATTGAGCACCAGAAGACTGAGCACCAGTTGATTGAGCACCGGAAGACTGAGCACCAGTGGATTGAACACCGGAAGACTGGGCACCAGTAGGCTGGACACCAGACTCAGTGGCAGAGGAAGCAGAGCCACTGGAGATGGCACTGGAAGACTGACCCGGGACCAGAGGAGTAGAGCTGGAGGCAGACTGGGAACCAGAGCCAACCGGGGAGCTGGGAGTGGGAGTGCTGGAGGCAGTCACAGTGATAGTGAGGCTGGGGTGTCCAGAAGAAGCCACGGGGCTGCTGGCAGGGCTGCTAGCAGGGGTGGAGGCAGCCGGCGTCTCGGAGGTCTCAGTCTCACAATCAGTGGAAGAAGCAGCGGGGCTGGAAGAGCTAGGCTTGACAGTAACGGGGGTGGAGCTGGGCTTCACGGTACCAGGGGCAGAAGAGCTGGGCTTCACAGTGGCAGAAGCTGAGGGAGTCTCGGTCTCGCAGTCAGTGGAGGAGGCAGCGGAGCTGGAAGCACTGCCGCTGGGGAAAGCGGAGGAGGCAGGCTTGCTGGGGGAGACGGAGGGAGACACGGCAGCGGAGGAAGAGGGCGACACGGTGCCAGCAGGGGAGCTGGGAGTGACGGAGGGAGACACGGCAGCGGAGGAAGAGGGCGACACGGTGCCAGCAGGGGAGCTGGGAGTGACGGAGGGAGACACGGCAGCGGAGGAAGAGGGTGACACGGTGCCAGCCGAGGAGCTGGGGGTGACGGTGGGAGCAACGGAAGGAGTTCCGGAGGGGGTCACAGGTGCCGAGGAAGAAGGAGCCACGGTACTGGCGGGGGAGCTGGGGGTGACGGAAGGAGTTCCAGAAGGCGAGGCGGTGCCAGCAGGAGAGCTGGGAGACACCGAGGCGCTGGGGGTGGCCGAGCTCGAGGGGGTCGACGACGGAGTGGTGCTAGGAGCAGCAGACGACGAAGGCGACACAGTGGAAGAAGCAGCGGGAGAGCTGGTAGGGGTAGCAGAGCTGGAGGGAGGAACGGTGGAGGACTTGACAGGAGTGGCAGTGGAGCTGGGGATGGCAGTGGAAGAGACAACACGAGGAGCACAGCTGTAAAGGATCTCCTGGATGTTCTCAGCGTAGGTGAGGCCATCGATAACATTGTTGTCGCTGGCAGTAGCCTCCCAGAGCATGACACCACCGAATTGCTCGGGGTAGAGCTCCATGTAGGTAGAGATCAGGGGCTCGGCTTCAGAGGGGGTGATATAGTAACCAGGGTTGGCGGCGCTCGAGGAGGCGGGCAGACCGATGTAGAGCTTAGCATCGGGGTTGGCACCAGCCCGGATAATCTGAACCCACTGGCCGAAGTTGAAGTCGCCGTAGCCTTCGACCCAGGCGCGGGCAGAGCAGGAATCGGTGTTGTAGAACTGGACCCAGATGAAGTCAAACCAGGAGTTCTGGATGGCGTCGCTGAGCTGGGCATCGGGGATGGCACACTGAGGAGCACCGGAGATGTACATCTTCTTCTCAGTGTATGTCTCGTAGTAAGAACGCAGACGGTTGATCATGGCAGCCCATCCTATTGATGTTAGAGGTGTAATTAGGGCTTGGGGGGAGAACCGGAACATACCAACGCCTCCGTTGTGCTCAATATCAAAGTCGAAACCATCAACGACGGCAGTCAGGAAGGGGCGAGGGAATTCGAGAATCTTGGCGGGGTCGGTTGGGTTAGGACCGAATGCATACCACAAGAAATCAGCAAACCACTCGGCAGTTGCGTCGTCCTTGAGGTACTCAGTGGTGGCAGTGCCACCACCGATGGAGAGAAGGACAGTCTTGCCCAAGTTCTGACAGTAAGGAATATCCTCCCAGATCTGGTGGCAGCCATTGAGCAGGTCAGTGCCGGGGAACATATTTCCATCACACTGGTTGGCAAAGTTGCTACCAGGCCAGTCGTTCACATCAGCAGGGAATTCGTTGATGAAACCAATATTGATGATGTCGTTGGAGGTTTGGTCACAGAAGTGGCGCAAACGAGGTTGGTTATAACCTTGTCCATAGTAGACAGCAACATTGTTCTTCAAGCTGGCATCAACAGCAGAAGCAGACGAAACAAAGAGTGACAGCGCCGAAACGGCGGCAACAGTTTTGGTCAGCATTATGGCTAACGAAAATGAATGTAATTAGATATCAGATACGCAGATCAACCTGATAAAAGAGTGACAGGCTTGCGATCAAAGAGAGGACGCAGACAAATGTCTGCTGAAATTCTCAAACGACACAAAAAGAGAGTTGTTTGTCGAAAGAAGGGGAACGAGACCAGAATCCATATATGAACTCTCATACGGGGGTCATCTAAGCCCCTTAGCCAACGTGCCGACCTCCGACATGGAGCGCACTAAGCAGAAAATAGAAGCGAACCGTCAAAACGTGGAAATGAGCATATGCGAGATATCCGGCCGATACCAGGATGGGTAGGTCAATGCCCAGGTCCACTCATGGCCAGGTGGATTCAATGCTTAGTAGTGTAAAACGCTAGGTCTGGGGGCAGGATCTGTCCACAAAACTGCCCACAACGGGCAACTCCCGCATGTCGAAGAAAGCATGGCTCGGGGAATTCACTGCAGCAAGAGGTATCACAAGCCAAACGCGTGGCATCATATAGCCACTTGGCGTTGAAGTGTCACATTGTGGGAAATGAGAGCGCCATGTCAGCCAAAGGGCTTGCTGCGGATGGGCGAGTGTGGTGGCTCTGTGCATCATAGAGCCGCATAAAAAGAGACTAAAAGACCCTAAGGGACCTTAGCCGCATTTGCCTCAAAGTCGGATTGGATAGTCGATTTAATGCGTCCAATCAGGTTCATTCGGAGTCATGGCACAGACATCAAGGGGCCCACAGTCCGTTGGGCTCCGAAGGCGCTAAATTGCATAGTTCTGGTTGAGCCATGGATGTTTCGGAGACGATGTGCTGGAACAGTATTGTTTGGCCAATTCTGTATCCGCTTGCACCTCTGCAGTTAGTAAACAACATATGTCTAAAAATCGACAAATAGTGCAAGAGGCAAAGAGGATGTGAAAGGAGATCGCAAGCGACAACGGCTAAGCAATCACACTAACCCAAACAACTCTAGTCACTCCCGAGCCGACCAATCATCATCGCCGATCCGGATAGTCGGAGGCACAGCCGGATCACCATTGTTCTTCGGTTACAGAAATTGGTCGGACTTCCTTATTTAGTCCAATTTAGGCCTACTTCATCCTAGTTAGTCTCTAGTCTCTGCCCTAATGCGAGTCGAGACTTCCCAGTGCTACTCTGTCTTCTTGATCGAAATTACCAGGCTCGGGGCTTAGGGTCTCTAGGTTTGGCCCCCAATTCTTTTTCCCGATTTTTTTTTCCCATTATGCAAGGTACCAGGCACACCGGACATATGACCCATTTGAGGACAGGTTTAGGCGACAGGGACGCCACTCAAAGCAGGTTCGGACTGTTCAGCTCACAGCCTAATAGCATGTTCCTCGCATAGGCCGCCACCGGCTAAGCTCCATTCTCCGGTATTTTTCCGAGATGGAGACAGATCGTAAACACAGTTCCTACCCGTGGTTGAAGAAAACCTGGCATATAGAGCAGATCCAGTGGGAAATTGCGTAGGTGGGAACCTTGAGAACTATGTGGACCGGACGCAATAGTGCAATCTAACTTCCCCTCTATGCTACGTTCAGCCTTGTTTTGTCCAAAGGATCTGGCAATCTAATTAAATGTAATGAAATTGGAGACCCGGCAAACTTGATGCAAATTCACAAGTATTTTATTGTAAAAGGAGTACTTTTTTCTTTAAATTTCGATTATAATTCTTGATTTCAACGGCGCCGGTGTACCGATGGAGTGCCCGCCCTCAGTTGCCCAACCCGCAGCCATTTCGTATCCTGCACATCAAAAATACACCCTGGACTGTACTGTAAAACAAAATCCCACCTATTTTCGAGTAACCAGACATTCTTAGCGATCGAACCATCCATCTCACAAGCCACCCCGAAGCCACGAGATAGGGTATACGCAAAGAAGTGGGAACGGCCACACCGAACCACCCAAGGGAAAAAAAGTACTTAGTTGGCAAGGTCTCCCAGAAATATCTTCTCCTGCCGCCGATGCAGCCTAATGTTCGCGGCAATATCAGCTTGATTCCTCGTACCGTATCGTCGTCTTGCCGAAGAACTGACCCGTCAGCCAATTTGAACTCATACTTCAAAATAATATGACACAGCACAATCTTGATCTGATTCACAGCAAAGGACCAACCCAGACATGTATGATTCCCCAACCCGAAAGCCATATGCCCGGGCGAGGCTGAAACAAGATTCGCAGAGGCAGTTTTACGAATCGATAAGCGTCAAATGTCTCGAGATCTTCGTAATCTTTCGGATCCCACATCCAGCAGTTGGATACAGCTGGCCGAGTTCCCGTGCTGATCTTGTGTCCATCTTGAGATATACTTCGTCGGGAGCAACACGGCGCATGGAATCTGATATTGTCGTCAGACCATACATACCTTACAGGTTATCGATGAACGACAACAGCACTAACAAAACAACACAGGACAACACAAATCAAAAGCAGACCACAATAATCGTTTACTAATTTCCAAAGGATTCATCCTCTGACACTCCCTCAAAAAGACTATCCATCAACTGCAACTTAAACAACGACCGCCTCGTCATCCCCTCGTCCCCAAACACATCAACAACCTCCTTTTTCAACGCCACAACCAGATCCCCCATCTGACCAAGTCTGAGAACAGCCTGCCCCGCCAAATCCTTCGCACCGGCAATAGCAACAACAACCAACACCAACTGCATACCAACAGTTACTTAAGAACGTCCATTGACACACTCCTCAGCCCATTGCAGAGCATCGTCATACCGTTCCGGTTCTCGTCCCTCGCGCTAGGTATCGTCTTTACCTCGCCTTTTCTGTTCAAGGATTGGTGTAACACGTTGTCGGGCTTGAGCGAGGTCATTACGGAGCTGCCGGGCTATGGGGTGGAAAATGGGTACAATGGGGAGGGGGGCTTTTGACCATTTGGTTTAGAGCTCCGGTTGTTTTCGTTGGTTTTGTTGTGTAGTATACTGGTACTTGCAGCCAGGTTTTGTTTCGGCTTAAGTTGCTGCCGAGGAAGGCCCTTGAGGCGATTTGGGAGATTATTTGCCGGAGGGTTTGGTTTGGGGCTGTTGTGTGCCATTCTTTCTATTGGTTAGTTGTACGCTGAGAGTCGCGCACGAGTCGAAAAGCTTAGACTCTTGCAGGTGTTGAATTTGCTGACCACTCTTGTTGTGATGTAAGTGGAAAAATTGACCTACTTTGGCAGGTCCAGATTCAATGAGGTTTTGGCGTTTGCCGCATCCATTGTTAGCTTTCGTGCCGAAAAGGTCGAGTCGACATCTGGGGTGAATAATTGTATACCTCGATCCAGTAGAAAATCTGTAATAAAAAAGCAAGTGAAGCACCAACGAAGACCCAATTATGGACAGTACTAGGCCCAAGAGTGTGCAAATACGTGATTTTCATTCACGGCTGCTGGTATATATTTTTCAAAGGAGCTCGTGCCTTAGAATGTTGATTTGCAACATTTTCGGAAGCCCCAATGACATCCTTTCACTCTTTTATGTATGTTGCTAAAAGTCTCTTGTGTTAAAATAAACATAATATATGCACGACATAATTGAAAATTTTTATGTTCATTTTCATAATGCTCCGCATGACCTTGAGAGATTGAACAGGATCGTTTGATAGCAGCCTATACAACATCATTGCAATGACTGGTCATGACTAACATACACAAGAGTACGGCGATTATCCAATAGTTCAAAGTTATTTGATGCAGAGTAGCGATTCACAAAGGCTATTTCTTTGCGACATGTATTATTCGTGGGCAGCTGGCCATCCGATGTCTTCATACAATCACTAATACAGGCAGGAGGATCGCTTGTTGAGCAGTCCAGTATAGTCAGTCATTTAAAAAAGCGTTCGCTAGATACAATTTCTGCTGAGCTGCTGATCTGCTGATGGGATGAACACCAAGATGTCCAGACAAAAATGTATTCCGCATCATTCTCACTATGTTACGTAGCAACAGAGCAGTTTTTACTCTTTTGTTGCACAATTATTGTCAACTGGGGGGTGGAAGTGGATCTACCAGTACCTCGCTTAAGCAGTGTCGGATAACCGGAAGCCAATATGAGACAAGGCTGGGCCGTAGGAAAAGCAGATTTGGAAAGGAGGAACGCCAGAGGGATAGTCATGCTGTGCTTATATATAGATTGGAAATGAGAAGCCCTAAGCTCAATATATGCCAGACCAAAATGTTGCTCGAGTATGAGAGCCAATCGTTCAATCTCTAGCAAATAGACAAAATATGTCCTTCTAATAATGATATCCAAGAATGTCTAATAAATAACACAAATCGCCCTTTATATCCGTAAATAAAACGGTGTCAGGAAAAGGAATTAGAATGACGGTATAGGGGTATAGTTCAGCCACAGAAGACCCCGTCTTGGAGATTGAATCCGGCACTAGCGAACATGCCGACCCACATGGCCTCATCGCTGAACACAAAGTTCGAGGCTGCATCCATTTGGTTATTGTAACCCATGTTTGAGACAGCGGGGAGACCATTTGGTCCTGGTGGAATGCCAACCATTGGCGTGTCATAGGCAGGGTCTGCATTTGGAATGGATGGCCGGTGGAAGTACGAGGCTTGGATGGATTGTGGATGGGGAGGATGGCTTTGTGGCTGGATGATGGTCTGATCTGGATTGGTTGAGTTGGGTTGCGGGTATGGCCTCGCTGTGGGGATACTATGGGTCTCCGCGTTCTGGTGGATTGGGGAGTTGTGAGATGGGGCGGTGGCAGGGGAATCTGGGAATGAGGCGTTTGATGGTGGAGCGTTTGGGTCGACGAATCCTTGTGGCCGATCGATAGATCTGTTTCTGTCCATTGGGTGGGGACGTCGAAGGGTTGCAAATTCCCCAAGGATATTGTTCAAGAATCGGGATTGGAGACTGCAGCTTGTGCTCAACGGTGCGGTTTGACTGGTAAATACATTTGCCGCAGCACGGATTGTTGCAATTGTGTCGGGTTCAATTTCCTGGCTTATCATAGGGGGAGAAGAGAGAAGGAGCTATAACCAGCATTAGAAAGGTCTTAAGACACAGTAAAAGATACAACGCCTTACTTTGATGAGAAGGACTGCAGAGTAAGCAGTCATGACATGTATGGAGTCTTGACAGAGGCTCAAGAAGGAGGAGATCTCGGTCATCAAACGCAACATGTTCGTTGCACTGTGATAGCTGATCCAGAATGGTTTGAGATCGCAGGTTTCATTAAAGGTTTTTTTCTTCAAGGTCTCTTGGAGAGGCATAGAGAAGAGTTGCAAAGATTGATGAGCACCGTAAAATCGGATCATGAAATTATGACAGCTTCCTAAACACGAGTTAGGATTTTAGGTGAAGGGACGCGTGCAGGCCATAGGGAAACCTACCTGGGTCAACTACATCTAGCCACTTATTTTGCCATTGCTCAATCCTATTTTGAAGGACTGCCAACGGCCGAGGAGCTGGATGGTGATTACCAGGATTGGACAGGTCAAATACCTCCGCTGCCAGCAGTCGGAGAGTGACAAATGCGCAGAGAAGTCGATCATTATCGATGGCGAGTGGATGTCTCCACCAGTCTTGTGCTGACTCGATAAACGGAGTCCTCTCAATCATCCAAGGTTTGCCTGTCTGCAAGCTCATACTGTTTCAAGTGTCAACGCAAATCAACATGGCGCTTGAGAAGTGCTTACCTGCGATCGTACACAAACAGAACCAACCACGTCCGTTCGTCATTTCTGATTTCTCTTTGTTGAGTCTCAGTCAACTGCTCTTGCCTAGGGGGGTCATGCCCCAGTTTATGCCAGCCCAAATCCATTGACATGCGGATTGCAAGACCAACAGACATCCAGGCTCTGGTATCATTAGGCTCCTTCCAATATGTGAGAACCATGATGGCCTGGACTGTCTCGGCAGACTTGTCTCCCCGCCGAAAAGACTCCATGTATAGCTTTTCGGCATGTTCATGGAGACTTGGGTATAATGAGATTTCAAATGATTTGGATGCAGCAGTGAGGACTGCACTGAGCAGAAATGAGGATTTCTGCCGCACATATGTGAAGGAATGGAGACGAGGATCCAGTTGACTGACGAAGGGATTTAATTTCGTCATGAAACTGTGAAAGATGAGCAATTGGCCTCGCACTATGTGTTGAATACGCCCACCTTTCAAATAAGCGTAGAGCAAGATCATGGCTGACAAGACCACACCGAACTGGATCATCAGGTGAAACCGCTTCAACAGGTCGGTCAGGAGTCGAGCCATGATTAGTACTGAGAATATTCTGTAACGAGAACTTCCCCTTCATCGCCTGATGGCTCAGCAGTCCATTAGGCTGAAGCCCTTCGGACTCCGCCCAAAAGTCCGAAACACGTTCGTCCCTCGGTAAGCTAGGCCGTCGCGCAACACCCTCAGGCGGCATCCCCTCAGGGAATGATAACCCTTGTGGCGAGTCGAGCGACCGCTTGGAGTTGGGCTTGATCAAGCTATGTGCGGGGCAATGTCAACACACAATCCGTACAAGGGCAACTGGAACACATACCGCGTGCCAGGTTTCCTTCCCCGGCGATGTTCACGGAACAAGCAGTCCAGTGATTTGCGCACGCAGCGATCGCACTTGACGGCATCCAGCGTCATGGTGCATCTCATCTTCACGCGCCGACATGCTAGGCATGCATTGGCGCTGCTGACAGGTCAGATTTCACTCTAATGGCCGGCTGCAAGGGTCTTACCTAGCTTTCGGGGCCCCATGCACGTCCCCGTCCATGGCGAGATGAGTGAGGAGGTGGACCAGGAAGACTCTCCACGGGGGGTGATCAGCCCGAGGAGCTTCTTCCGCTATCGACTGGGGCCGAAGACCTAATCCGGTTAGTCCGTGCCGATCGTCTCTTTCACCGGCGAACTCATTTAGAACGCCGGCAGTTACGCAATTCCCTAAAACGCGGAAAGATGCCGGTGAATTTCGTTTTGCAGGGATTATCTATGACAGGTGCGATTTTTCATATCTTGATTTTTGATCTTACTCAAAATGGCGCCCTCAAAGCCCAAGGCGGGCCATGTGAACATGATGGCTGATACTAATATTGCCAATCTGCCGATTGAAGGACTACGGGCGGTCCTGCGTGGTATTCTAGCCAATAGGCCTGATTGTACGCCTATTTTTGAAGAACAGACAAGACACTATTTGGACGAGACGGCTTCCAAGTTCACCAATATTGTTGTGGTCGAGCAGACAGCCGACGGTACATTCCAAACGACACCTTCGTTCCAGCAACTACGAAAGCGCATTTGTTGTATGGTGGGATGTGGTCTATGCTACCAGGCCATTCCCCTGCTCCAAAGCATCGTCGAGCAAGTGTCCCAGATCAAGCTTGGCTCCGAGCAGTCCGCTATCGTGGATAAGATTGCTGGTGTAGATGGTGATATCATTCAAGCCATCACGGCCGTTCAGAAGACTCTCTTTGTTGAGACTGGATCTCGAGAACTATCTGAAACCGAACGGCAACCTTTGGAGGCTTTGCTCAAGGCCCTTATGACAAGCAAATCTGTTTGGGAAGCCAACGATTGGCCGCCGTTTGTGTTGGAGAGAGGCCTCGAAGCAACTATAGATCTCGTCAACCCTTCTTTGGCATCTGTTCCGGTAGCAAGCGCCGAACTACTATCCGAGAAGCCTCCCGGTGTCATCTCAGAAACCTTTGAAATGGCCGGTATTCAGCTGCCTCGGGTCTTCTCTGGATTGTGGCAGTTGTCCAGCCCCGCCTGGGGCATCGCACCCCGCTCGAAGATCATGCAGCAATTCTCCAAGCATGTGGAGGGCGGACTAACGGCGTTTGATATGGCCGATCATTACGGTGATGCCGAGATTCTCTTTGTGGGTTTTTCATTCGAACTTTATACAGTTTCGTTCTAATTCATTTCAGGGTCAATACCGGTCTGCAAGTAACTACTCCGACTCACTCTTCGCCGCAACTAAATACTGCGTCTTCCACCCTATGAATGTTACGTACGAGGCTATCCATGCCAAGGTAGACGAGCGTTGCCAGAGACTACGTACTGATAAGATCGATCTATTGCAATTTCACTGGCAATTCGTGGGTTTCAATATTCAGCTATGTAAACACAGGATCCGTTACTAACATGATAACAATAGTACAATGACCCCCAATACATCGATGCATTAAAATACCTGCAACAAGACAGCCGAATCAAACATCTCGGTCTCTGCAACTTCGACACAGAGCATATGGAAAAGGCCATCCAGAGTGGAGTCAAGGTCCACACTAACCAAGTCCAGGTAAGTATCCACCCATACCTCGAACGTTGATCCCTCCAAGACCCATGAGATCTATTCTCAAGACACATACTAACAGCGACACATAGTTCTCTCTCATCGATTCAAGACCCACAGTCAAGATGGTAGACTTCTGCGACAAGAACAACATCAAGCTCCTCACATACGGCACCCTCGTAAGTCAAATCATATCAACCTTAATCAAGTCACTTAGACATCTCCAAAAGAACCAAGAAAAAGTCTAACAACATCAAAGCTGGGCGGCCTCCTAGCCGAGAAATGGGTTGGAAAGGAAGCACCAGACCTCTACGCCGAAATAATGACACCAAGTCTCCGCAAGGTAACCCCCTCCAATACCCCCACCCTCTCACCTAACAACAAACCCCATTAATACCTAATGCTAACAAACCACAGTACTTCGCAATGATCCAAAACTGGGGCGGCTGGCCCCTCTTCCAAGACCTCCTCCAAACCCTCCAACAAATAGGACAGAAACACAACGTGTCCGTGTCAAATGTCGCAACGAGATGGGTATTGGACTTCCCCTGCGTCGGCGCCGTAATCGTCGGCGCGAGAATGGGTGTTAGCGAGCAATCACAGGAAAACCTCGCTAGTCTGGGCTGGAGGCTTGATGGTGAGGATCAGGGGGCTATTCAGGCTATTTTGGATCGGAGTTCCCGTGAGGAGATGTTTACTAGTCTTGGGGATTGCGGGGGTGAATATCGGTGATCAGTCAAGTATATCGGATGTGGGTGCTCATGAGTCAAATTATATGAATGATCCTTTAATTTTGATGGATTAGGTTTAATTTTATACGGGTTCTAGACGTTGTAGGTACATGTGGCGTGTGGCCTTGGTTCGGGGCCTGGTGTATGTGTATATGAAATGGTGTATGTGCAAGAACTCAAATCCAATGCAGAAGTCGTCTCCACCAGGGCCAATCTAGTTGTTCGGTGGTGAGGTATTGGCCAGCGGCCTTTTCTTTCGCAATAAGGTCGAATTCGGATTTGATATCGACCTCTTCTAGGGGAATGATTTTTGACTTGAGGAAGATTTTGAAGAAGATGTAGAGGGCTAGCGGGGTGTTAGTATTATTGATTCATTCGTCTTAGTCTCGGGGCTTAGATAGTATACGTACCGGCGAAGATAGCGATATTAAGGTATGAAGTTAGGAATGTGGACGTGTTCCATCTACCTTCGCAGAAGACATCATAGCCTATTATAGACAGTGGTCAGATTCTGCTTAACGCGATGTATGAGATGATTGATTTGAGATGTCTGCGTACCTGAAGTCAAAACAATCATAACAACCATGAACCCGGTAGCCCAAGCCGTATACGGCTGGAAGGGAGTTTTATAAGGCAATTCTGCACCTGTCAGCACCAATACTCCCATGTATTAAACCATAGACTAAATCGGAACCACTCACCCTCACGAGAATACCCCTGCTTCCTCAAACAAGCAAAGAAACGCAAATAAGTCGCCTCAATAACAATCCAGCCTATGAGACCAGCGACAGTAGTAATGTTAACAAACCAATTAAACACAGTCGACGAGTTACTACCCTCGGACATATACATCAGCGGCAAAAGCAGAACGGTCAAACCGACAGCGAAGTACGGAGTTCCGAAGCGGTTGCAGCGCTGGAAAAACTTTGGTGCGTGGCCGTCTTGACTAAGTCCGTATAATGTTCGCGAGGCGATGAAGATACAGCTGGAACTGCTGCTGATGGCTGATGTGCAGACTACTGCATTGATAATGTGCGGTACGACTTTCACGCCGGAGCGTTGGAATGCCAGGACAAATGGGGATTGGCTGGCTGTTCCGGTTGAGATGACTAGCTTTGAGTCGTTGTATGGTCTGTAATGTTGTTAGAGATCGGTTCATTGGACAAGACAGGAATGGGTGGCTCATACACAATGAGACCAACGACGAAGATACTCAGAACGTAGAAAACAAATACTCGGATGAATGTCTTCCGGGTCGCATCAGGAATGATCTTGCGCGGGTTTCTCGTCTCGGCACCGGCAATGGCGACGACTTGGATGTTACCGAAACTGAACGCGGATGTCAAGAGGACTTTCCAGAAAGCCAGGAATTTTCCCACCGAACCATCTGAAATATAGTTGTTAAAGGCGCCTGGGTCATTCCAATAGTGGAAACCGAGACGTTCTTGGTCAGGAGTGCCACCGAGGTCGATGACAATACCGCCGATGATCAGACCGATGATCAGCATGATCTTCAAGGAAGCAAAAACAACCTCCGACTCTCCATAGAGACGGACATTGCAAAAGTTGAGAAGAGCGATACAAAATCCAAACACGGTAATCCACACAGCAGGATCAACAGGCGGATTCCAGAATTGAACAATGGTCGCAGCGGCTGTAATCTCAGCCGGAGCCGAAATAGCCATTGTATACCCTAATTCAATCAGTAAAAAGGAACCAGACTGCACTGAGTTCACACATACAAAAGTTCCAACCGGTAGCAGCACCAAGCGCAGGCTCAACAAAGCGCGTAGCATGACGAACAAACCCACCAGAACAAGGCATAAAAGCCGAGATCTCACCAGTAGTATAAGAAACACCAGCAGTAGTAAATCCCATAAGAATATAAGCCAAAAAAGCGCCTGCAGGACCGGCAGTGGCAATGACCTGACCTGAGCTCAGAAACAGGCCCGTTCCCTATATCCATGAGCAAAAGCCGATCGGAGAGAAGAGTTAGACTTACGATCATGCCGGCAATGGCGATCATATTGATATGACGCGATTTGAGATCGCGTTTGATCTCCTCGCCTTCGCCCTCATAAGAGCTCGGACGGGAGACCTCGACGTCTGTCTCCAAACCGATTTTCTCGTCCAACATCGCCATGGCATATAGTGATAGTGGTAGATTCAAATCATGCAAAAGAGTGGATCAAAAAGGGGATCCTTCAGCTTTTCTTTAGCGTCAGCGTCAGTTAGAGTCAGCCACTAGATAGCTTATCTGGTGAGACTGGGGTGGTTTGAGGAGGTGGAGAGAAGGGGAGAATTTTGATCACCGACGCGAGTGGAACACCGGTCCGCCTGGACGAGAGAGTACTCCGTACCCGATGTAACTATCTCGACTCATTTTTGAGATCTGCACTCAACCATGTCCGAATCTTTTCAGCTGTATGACCTCCGCGTCGAGGTCGTTTGTCCTCCGGGACAGCGGATCATGTGCGGCGCCAAAGAGGGCGACTATTTCACGCTCAAGGGCGAGATGATGTACTTGCCACCCGGTCAGGGTATTAGCATCTACAGTCTGGGTGAGTTTGGGCCTCCTACATGCACACTGGATAAGAGATTAGGCCAACATGTTCTTGTTTCTTGGTTTCTTTCTTGAAATAGCATCTGTTTTACCCCTACTTGCTTCTAAGCAGCGAATGACCCATGAAAACGACTGGATGACCACCGACGCCAGCATCGCATGTCCCGATCCTAATTGCCCGTCCCAGTTGAAGATTATCAGAACAGGCAAAACGACATTCAATCATTCCGACACAACTCTGGTCCCGAAATCGACTTGACGTGACTACGTGGCGTTGCGCAACATGTGCTTTTTATGCATGTTTCTTTGATCCTCACACTCGAACAAATTGCATCAGCGTGATTATATGGCTCTTTCTTGTTTTTATGTGTTGGCTTTGCCTAGTGGGGTTTCCTAGCAAGCGTGTTTAGTAGCGTGTTCGCGACAGGGGTCTGGAGATAGCGCGCGACACCGTCGAAAAATTTCATGCAGCTATTCTCTCGACCAATCATGCCTCGTATACAATGGTTAAAATTGGGATTTTGTTCAGGCGTACTTTTGTGTGAAGATTACGCGCAGGAGCTGTATCCACTGTTATATTAATTTGATCTTGGGGTTCTTAATCTCGGTGCCCACTTTGATACTAGATCGAATTGTGGATTTGGTGGTACGAGTGGGCTTCTGGCTTCGGAAGTGAGTTGGTGAATTAAACCCAATTTATTCAGGTCGCTTGGATATTGGATAGAAAAGAACACCTGTAGTTAAACCATGTCAGTGGATCAAGTTAGCAGCTTTATCTGCTTTATCCCGTGGGAGAGCGATCACATCGAGTCATTCTATGTTCATTCTGTTTATATTGGATGTTTACTGGATTGGGAAGCACTTATGTCGAGGCCGCCGAGGTTGTTTAAGCCGGGTCTTTCTCCCAATGAGTGAAAGACCCTATCTATATAAATGAGAACTCTTCTCCTGATCTATACTCTACTTGGTAGGTCTAATGCTGATCACTAGATTCGTGCCTGATGTGTCAGGTATCTCGTCTGGATGTGCCATGAATCTCAACATATATGTTATGTCAACTGTATTTTCCTTGCGACCAATACCCAGACAATTGCGTCAACGGTGTCCTTACATACCCCTTGCAGAGTACATACACGGGTCTACACCTAGAACACCAAACCAACTCACAAACCTTGGTAAGTACAGATAACAAAATGAAATCAGAAAAGAAAGGGTAATCTATTCTCTTGTGTAATACATCATCTATAAATAAAACAATCACTGCCAGAAAGCCTTTTGCAAAGCATCACACATTAAAGTAATACACCTCTTACCCTCGGACAAAGCCCCATCCATAGCAAGGAAAGGATGCGGCATCCCCTTCATAACCTGCAAATCCACCTCAACACCCGCCTTACTCAATTTCTCCGCATACTGCTCACCCTCAGTCCGCAGCACATCCAATTCCCCAACCATGACAAGAGCAGGCGGCAACTGCGAATAATTACCCTGCCAGAACAACGGACTAGCCTCGGGGTTTGTCCGGTCGGTGTCGTTGGGCACGTAGTGATCGCGATACCAGTACATCTTGGGTGCGGGGAGAGCGGGGGTCCGCTCGTATTTACGATAAGAGTCGTTGTTCTCGACCGTCGCTGTGTTGTCCGTTACCGGTACGGAGAGCAGTTGAGCGCGGAAGTGGACTGGCGGTGACAGGGTTAGGGCTTTGTGCGTCATGATTGCGGCAAGGTTGCCGCCGGCTGAGGAGCCCCCTGTTGCCATTTTGGATACGTCTAATCCGAGCTTGGCGGGGCCGTCGGCGAGGATCCACAGGAGGGCTTCCCAGCAGTCGTGGACAGCGGCGGGCCAGCGGTTTTCTGGGGCGAGGCTGTAGAGGGAATTGTCAGTGTTAAAAGGTTCGTATTGGAGAAGTTATTGTAAATGTATGGTTGACCTACCGGTAATCAACAGTGACGACCACACAATTTCCCCGAACACAGAGATTCGAGCACACCACGTTCTCCGTATCAATGTTACCCAATACCCAACCACCGCCGTGGAAGTAAAGCATCACCGGCCATCCGCCAGGAGGAGCATGGCCCTTAGGAGTAAAGCAGCGGATGAGCACCGGAGGACCATCAGTCGCACGTCGCTGAACGGTGATGTCCTGAGTCTTGCCCACGTCCAGCATAGGACCAGCACCAGGAATCAAGACACCGCTTGTTCGCGACGCCTCTACCGGCTGGAGGTGAACTTGCTGGTTGTTGATCACATGTTCGTTGTAGAAGGCCACATACTCCGGGTCCAGCAGGTCCTTGACGGAGGCGTGGAGGGGATAGGGGGGCTGTGTGATTCCAGCAGTCATGATGAGGATAGTAGAGTAAAGAGAGGAGAAGAGAAGAGAAGAGAAGAGAAATGTTCCAAGGAGTAGACAGATAGAAGTACAAGTAGACCCCCACTCACGTGGGGGAGAAACAACAATGCGGGGGAGAGATAAGCCGATATGTATACTCTTTTCAGTAAAGATCGGCAGAAGATGTTACACTCGCCAGTCACCGTGTCACTCTGGCACTGACGTTTCGCGTGGGATGACTGCGGGATGTTCCAGAGCTTGATAAAGAGCCGTCCCCCGCGCGTGGGAGACTTCTCTTCTTGCCTTCCTCTCCCACTCCTTTTCATCCTCCCTATTCCATACCCAAAATGTCCACCAAGACCCCCGTCCTGACCGATAAGGCCCCTAAGCCCCTCCCCGGCATCTACTCCCAAGCTATCGTCGCCAATGGTGTTGTCTACTGCTCCGGTGCTGTCCCCATGGACGCCACCACTGGCAAGCTGATTGATGGCGATGTCAAGGCTCACACTGTATGTCCCCCATTTCAATACTAACGGTCACCATGTGCTTTGAAACAAGGCTCACCCCTCCTTTTCTCATACAGCACCAATGCATCAAGAACCTAACCCACGTCCTCGAGGAGGCCGGCACTGATATCACCAAGGTGGTTAAGGTCAACGTTTTCCTGTCAAACATGGATGACTTTGCTGAGATGAACTCTGTTTACATGCAATACTGGGGTGATGTTAAGCCTTGCCGGACGTAAGCCATTGTTCTAATTCAAATTCCTTCTGAAAAGTCTTTCTTGCTAACGTATGTTTCTGCAGATGTGTTGCGGTCAAGACCCTTCCTCTGAACACTGATGTTGAGATTGAGTGCATTGCTGTGCTGTAACTTAATACACTGTCTTGAAGATATAGAATAGATATAAATATAGAAAATGATTATATGACCATACTTTCTGTACTTTTTGCTTTATCAGTCGATTGAGTCTTTACAATTGTTTTTTTTTGGGGGGGTGCATGGAAAATGTGACCTGTATACTTTCCTCGGGTAAGACTTGACCCGCGTGATAGCTGCGAAAACTAGATGCTCTTTCGAAGTTCAGCGAAAGGAGGTGGCAAACACAAGACTTCACAGCCTCTGTACACGTAAATGTAGATATAGGGAGCATTCTGAATCCCAGAATGAAGTGGCACCCCCCAACACTCATGTGGAGTCAACAAAGTTATCGCGTGATCGAATACGCGTTTTAAGAACTGTAACCAAGGCAGTCAATACACGAGAAAGAATAAAAGTGGCTTAGTTGAAACAAGGCCCTTTACCCCCGAAATACCAGGTGGAATGGATCAGACTTACAGATCTGGCAGGATCAAACCCAGTCGAGACCAATCCGCACCGATGGTTCGCAGTAAGATGAGCTGCATTCCCCAACAACAAACTATCGATGATACTTCATTCAGGTGCCTGTCATCTACTTTCTCTTGCGAATCCAGGTCGATTGATCCTTACTGACAAGATCACCCCCTCGGTTCACGTGACCATGTGATTTGGGGCATTTTTCGGGGATTTGATAGAGGTCTGATAAGCAATAGTGATAGAATTGATTATTTAAATAGTTAGAAGTTAGTAGCCGGAGAACATTTCTGTCGATTATCATTAATGAACATAGATGTAGTTGTGGTGAGTTGTGGACTGCACGTCATCGAGGGATCTAGGGCTGCAAAAGCCGTCAACCTCACCTTCACCCTCCTCCAAAGCCGACCCTTCCATGCACGGAGAATAACACTGGATTCTTGGAAGATGAGAATGACATCTTCCATTCTCAGGGACTGAAACTAACTGACGTGTGTAGACTGCTCCACAGGGATACAACCAACCCTCCAATAAGCATCCCTAGCACAACAAGCTCCTCGACTGGGACATTCCTAATGATAGGTGATGGCCATCTTCCCAAGCAAAGTGTGAAGATCCGCTCAGGATTCTTCCCAGACCCCCTCGGATGTGACATTCCACCCCTCCACACTCTAACCGCGTCGACGCGCTCCAGGGCTAGGGAACCCTCCCATTATTTCCCTTTTTAGTCCCGGAGCGCTCCTCTTTCGTGAGCTCCGTATATTAACTACTCAACGCGCCATCTATGACATTTTAGTGTGTCTGCTTGTGGGTTGGATTTGGACCCGGCGCTTTTCTATACGCCAGTCCGTTACTTGCGACGTCTTCTTCCTTCGGCTTTCGCATACTTGGAAGCTTTGACGGATAAACTGCGGCCGCTATCAGCTTTCTGCACTGTCGCCATCATGGAGTCTGGTCTCTCGGTTCGGCCGAGGAAGGAAGGTACTTGGACGAAGCTTATCATATTCGTTGCCCTATACTTCCTTCTCTTCGAGTCTATTCTGGAAGCTGTGCTTGCTCTTTACCTCTACGGTAATGGACAGGTTGACTCTAAGATGACTTTGAGCGTTGTGCTATCACTGGTCGCAGTATGTTCCACCCGGTCCATGTTTCTTGCGCATCTTGCTAACTCTCTTCTAGTCGTTCTTATCGTTTCCTCTGGTCGGTCTGCAGAGCCTGGTCGCCTGGCAGTATAACAATATCGGCGGATTTGGTACGCAAAAGACTGTCTTGCATAACATATGCACTTATGTTCTTCGACTTGACCTCATGCTATGGCTGGCTACCAGCGTCGCTGGTTTAGTGGTTGTCGCGCAGCAGGTTTACTGTCTTCCCGAAGGGACAGATGCCAATTATTGGAGAGTCGGTATGAGCTGTGCTTTCCACCGAGCGACAGTAATTGTATCTGTGGTCTCAATGTATGTATAATGTCACTACGCTATCTACACATTCACTCACAATTGTTCTACAGGGTTACCGTCTGCACGATGTACTGTGCAAGAGAGCTTTGCGATCGCCCATATGATGTCTCTCTTCTCGGCATCTACAGACGCCCGGAAGTTCTTCGAGACGGAAGCATTCTATCAGGAAACAGCTGGGATAGTGAAGAGACACTCAAGAATGAGATTCTCTACCTTTGTCGCCAACATGACGGCAATGGAACTGGATACTCCTGGTCTGCGGATCCAATTGCCAACAGAGTCAACTGTCACCCCAGTATTCGACACCCTGCGCCTGTTCGCTTGCGCCCTCAGCTTCGAGTAAATACAGATCCTGGTTCTACCTATGGCGAGATTGTTTCTGGAACAACCATCTCCCCGGAAGACACTATGACCCGCATCTCACCCGGATCACACAGCCTTGCTAGCGAATTCTACCCTATCTCGCGCACCTCTACCATCATGACTTCGCAAACAGGAAATGAGCTACGCGCCCTACTATCTGACACGCCCGTTCCTAAGGTCCCAATGATTCCCCAAAAGTATACTGGCCACAAGAGACAAAAGTCGTCACTGTCATCTCTCAGGCGGTTCCTCCCAAAATCATTCCCATTGTCGCTGCCTTTATCATCGGACCCTCAAATCCGGGCCCTCGCAGACCCCAATTCTGCCTCAGATGTCGAAAAGCAGGTCGTGACACCAAACAGCATGCCCAAGAATGCATCTCATCCCACAACTCTTCAGGTCAACGGATCAAACAGCCAAGACGTCTCCCCAATCTCCCCAGCACAGGAACCAAGCCCCAAGATCCAAAAGAAAGACCACCCAGAAGGCCATACCCGAACAATGACAATGAACTCCGCCGACGCCCCAGAGGTCGTCCCATCAGCCCCGACAACACCGCCAAAAGTGCGCCGCTCGCAAACAGCATGCCCAATTCCAGCGTCACGAACTATCCACCACCCTCAATATCATCAACCCTTTCTACCAGGCCAACAAAGCCGCAAATACCCCCAATCCAGACGAGCCTCAGGGACCCCGATGCAAATGCCCATGAAAATGCACATGTCCCAACATGGCCAACCCCCGATGCGCCGCAGCACCACCGCCCAACCAACAGGCCTGCACTACCCATCCCGCAGCCCATCCTATCACTTCGACCCATCCCAAGTGCCCCGCCACTCCAACTCCCAATCCCAATACCACCCCAACCAAAATCTTCAACAATACATTATGCCTCAATCCACCCGCTGGAACAGCCAGCGCCGCTTCGACCCATCCCGCTCTATGCCTCCGACTCCCCGCCGCAATGATGTCGAGATCATTTACCCGAGTACCCGTCGTCCGCGCAGTAATACGCATGGCGGTGCAAGTGGTCCGCTCAGTTGTATTATGGAGACTGTTTCGAATCCGCGGGCTTCGGTTGATGAGGTTCAGGCTGGGAGGGTTTCTTTGGGGGGTGATGGTGGTGGATTGGATCAGACTACGTATCGAGGGGCGAATCGGACTAGTATTAGTTTTCACTGAGGGAAGGTGATGGAGTGAGATGATGAAAGAAGTATGGAGGTAAGGAAGGAAAGAGGGTAATCTTTGTGTCTATTTCTGCTGGTCAGATAGACGGGTTCGGTTGCTATGGTTTCCATTTGGTCGTTACTTCTAATGTTATGTCTTTATGATTTGTACTTGGGTGGAATGGATAATTAGCTTGTGTTAGTGAAGATACAATATCAATCGAAATCAATTCTATTACTTGCAGATAGAGCTTCTTTGTCCAATACTCTTTCGACATACGCTATGCCTTTTCAAAAGTCCGCCCCTGTCCCACTTCTAGCTAGCTTTTGTCATTCTATCTGATTGCTTTTCCATTCAGCTGCTTCGACCGTTCGCGGAGTGGTATAGCTGATTGTGGATTATTGAGACATGGAGAGAAAGTCGATAGCAATATTCACGGTAATCTAGACGCAGGCTCCGTACAGTACTCAACAGCAAAATTGGAGAAGGCAAGAGAATACTTTGCCTTCTCAATAATTCGACTTGAACTGATATTCTTAGGGCCTCAGATTGCGAGACCTTGGATCACGAGTATCAAAAACAGAGAAGATTACAGCTCAGTACGGGATACTAGCGCTGCTATTTCATTCCTTTGCCTCTTCTTGGAGGTCCCCGAGATTTCTGACGACGAAGATGAGGGAATGGTCATCCGACTCCAAAACGATTTCTCATTCCCAACTCGCACCCGACTAAACATGACTTCCGCATCCTCTAGCTTGCCTTGCTCATGCATACAAGACCGAGATCATTGACAATATCATGAGTGAAAGAATGATGTGGTCCTAGGGCTTTTTCAAAGGATTTCAGCGCCCTCGTGAACATCTGCTCTGCCTACAAACAGCTAGCATCGCTACAGCTCTGCGGAGCTACTTTCATCTTGATCTTGTCTTCAAGAATTGAAATTTGGCATCAAAGAGTTTATTGTACTAAGATCATCTTCAGATTTATGAATTTTCCGTTGCTTAAAGAGACATGAAAAGTCTCGTTCCCTATTTTGCCTGGGCTCATAGTAAGCGCCTTGGCGCTCACATGCCCTGAATCTCGTTTCACACAAATTCCATATTCCTCCTTTCAAACATATCAAAGAAGCTTGTTCGAATCCAATAGCCTAGTTGTGGCTCAATACTACGCCAGACGCGGGATTCAGCACCCCGGTTATGATCCCAGTCACCCTCTTCGAGAACCCCACCTGATTCCTTTGCTTGATCTAGGCACAATTCGAATGCGGCCGGAGATGGAAAAATCGAAAACTCACATCCCTGTTGAGCAAGTGTGCGATAGAGTTCATCCGCTCGGATAAGTACTTTCTCAAGCCGGGCTAGCATAGCATCGTTCTCCTGTTCTGCCTCGCGCCTCGATAGGCTAATAGCGGGATCGGTCCAAAGTACAAGCATGATGTCTTTGCAATAACGGAAATGAGTTTGCAAAAGAGTGGTAATCGCGTCATATGCTCCCCATAACACGTCGAGTTTTGAAGATATTTCGCTGTTGCTGGCAGTTGGATAAAGGTGCGGAAAATTGCAGTATATTATAGCAGAACTTGCACGAAATTGCTTTTCACCGGATACAACATCCTCACCGTTGATGTACCTAAATAGTACAATGTCAGATCAGATTGAATGCCTAGATCGAGCTTTCGTGGAACTTGAAAGACTCACTTCAGTCGTAATCTATCTAAAGATCAGGAGAACCGGTTATCTCCGGACAGAGTAGGGTGTAAAGCACATGTCATTTGACTCGCAGGAAATGCCGGAGCATCATTTCCACTGTCTGTGGATTGGCCTAGTAGAGTAGTCCAGGAAGAGTTGTTGTCGGAGTCCTGCCCTAAGCGTTGTACATTCAGCTGGATAACCCGGGAATCGTATGGATCCAAGCATTTTTTCATATCTCTCGGATGTCGGAAATCAGGCATGATATAGGAAAGAAGAAATGTTGAGCAAGATTAGGCCGCGGAAACCGTCGCCTCCTGCTACTCGGTCGCGGTGGCTTACCCGAGGCGGCAGTTTTACCGTCACCTAGATAACTAGAAAACATAGACGGTTCCAACAGTCAAAAATTAGCAGTTTGAATAGTGGAAAATTGTTAATGAAAGCCTATTGTTGGAATTGTCTATGTAATTGTCTATTAGTTGCTCACTTCCTCAGCGTTCAGCATTGATTTCCGCTGTTTGATAACATGAGGAACTGTGACGACAACCAAAATACCGGCACAAATAGGGCTGCAGAAATCGTGGATGATGTTCATGTGCCTCGTAGAATCTATGGAATATAGTATGCATTTTCAACATCTACTGAAAAGCTATGCACAACTTCGATTTTGGTTTTCCCTTTAGCACAGAATCAGAAAGTGTTTTAATTGCCTCTGCAATCTTGAGGGCGATCCTTTCTGCAGGCGACAGTACCACAGTCAAAATTAACAAGACGCATAGAGCATGTAGTGTTTAGTACAAGAATCAATTAATTGAAGCTCGAAGCAACATACAGTTTTCCCAAACGGGCATCAGAGAAAGAGCAAAAGTCACATACATACACCCAGAGCCCATGCCAGGAACGAACTGATAACCAACCCAACGCCGCTGAAAGAACCAATAACACAATGCAATACAATACAGAGCCACACGCAAAATCGTACATCAAGTCTCAGTAGAGCACACCACGGATATCAAAACAAGACAATACAAGGCATGATGAGGACTAAGCCTTAGCCTCTCCACTTCTAGACTTGTGCTTCTGGACATACTTGTATCGGTAAGCCTGTCCACTCTTGCCCTCGCCATCTTTCCGGCGGTTCTCCTTCCCCTCTGCAAGAGGTCCGGGTCCGCGACCTAGTTCCTTTTCACCCCAGCTCATCATAAGAGCCTTGGCCATGCGATCCCGTTCCTTGAGGAGGAGGTCGACACGCCGTTCCCATTCGCGTTCGCGCTTGTCGACTGATAGTGCGATACGCTGGTCAACTGCAGCGGACGTTTCGTCCTTGGCGGCGATGACGGCTTCTAGACGCTTGAGTTCTGTTTTAAAGGCTTTGCGGAGGTGTGTTTCTTGGTTTGTGGTTGTTGAGCGGAGGCTTTCTAGCTCGGTGCGGAGGTCTGCTTCGCGTTGTTCGGCTGATGTGAGGAGGTTGCGGATTTTGCGCATTGATTCGGCGTGTGAGGCACGGAGCGTTGATACTGCGGTTGAGTGCGCTGTTTGGAGGCTGCGCAGTTGGCTTTGGTAGTTTGCTTCCATAGCGGCTGTGTCGACTTGTTTTGTTTCTGGGACTGGGGGCGGGCTGGGTGGTTCGGCTAGCTTGTCTTCTTGTAGACGGGTAATTGTCTCTAGGGCTTCGGCGTGACCTTCCTTTGTCTGGGTCAGATCGTGTTGGGATTTGTTGAGAGCCGTTGTAAGCTCCTCTACCCTGTTGGAGAGTCGGCGGTTTTCTGTCTCAATGGTCTTGATGAGAGACTGGGTCTCGGTAGATTGAGCACGGAGACGGTCTGTTTCGGCATCTGCGGCTTTTTGCGCAGCGTGTGTCTCCTGCAGTTCCTGTTGGAGTCTTGAAACCTCCTGCTGGAGTTTTACAATTCCCTCTTGTTGTGATTGTTGTGATTCCTGGACAGTTTGGACCTCGGTAAGCTTGTCCTTTGGCTGTGACAATGATGAGAATGCACCATCCACGGGGTCCACATCTCCATGCCCCAGATCCTTGATTAAGTCGAGAATCTCGCTGTACGTGCTGTGCCCAGTGATAGGCAAATCTGCAGCTGCAGCTTTCAGGGCACTTTCTTGGGCCTCGATCTGAGACTGGACGCGAGTAAGATCCGCCTCTAGCGAGGTGTTCTTCTCTTCTAGTGGCCGATTTCTGTCTTCCAAAGTGATAAAGCGTTCCTCCAGGACTTGGTAGTCATTGTGGGCGCGCTCCAGCTGCGTCTCGAGCTTCTCATTTTCTAACCCGAAATCATCAATCTGAGCCTGGAGTTGATCAATCTCCAAGTTCTTCTCCTGCAACTGGGCATCTCTGTCCCGAGTGACTTCCTTGAGTTTGGCGAATGTCTCATCGAGAGTAGCATCTCGCGCTTTCGATTGCTCTTGGGACATGGTAAGCTGTTGACGCAGGTGGGCAATTGTCTCCAACCGCTCAGTATCCAGGGAACTCTGCGAATCACGATTTTGAAGCTGTTGTTGCATCTCTCGAATTTGTTCCAGAAGAGAATTGAGATCTGCTCCGCCCATATTAGACTGGTGCAACATTTTTTCACGTTCCTCGTTCTGCTTTTGCAGTGACCGGATCTGCTCACGGAGCATCGCCTCGTCGCTTCCCTTGGCATGGACCTCGTCCAGAAGAGCAGCCTTGTGCTGCAACTCCGTCTGTAAGTGACGGATCTGCTCGCCGGCTGAAACAGCCTCAAGTACACGGGTGCGATTCTGTTGCAATTGATTGTCTCGTTCTCTCACGGTCTGTTCCAACTGTTCAATTCGGCGGCGCAAATCCTCGCGATCATTCGCACCATTACTTGACGAAATGGACGACTTGCGGGCGGAAGGAGAGGGCTGGTCTTGGCGCTGGAATTCGTCGTCGTCAGGGTACTCTTCGATATCCTCAAGATGCGTCGAGTCTTTGGGAAGTGCGCTTGTTCTGTGCAACAAATGCGAGGGGGTCGACATGTCCACTGGTGGCTCGAATTCACTGTATTCAGCCGAATCCGCCTCTTCTTCAATCGCAGGTTGTTTGGATTTCCGGAATGACCGTCGCAATGATCCGTACTGTACTTCAGCGTCCTCATCGTCGTGGATCTCTCCGTCCAGATCGCCCATTAAATATTTCTCCAAGTTTGCGGTGAAGTCTTCCGGGCCCCCAACATCAGATAGTTTATCTTCAATGTCTTTATGGAAAGGGGGCAAGGTTTCCTCGTTTCCCTCCAGAGCAAAGTGGCCACTGGGGAAGTTGCTAAAATCCAAGGTGTAATCGGCGAGTCGCGCATCGAGATCTGAGCCAGTTGGACTTTCGGGAGTCACGGGGCGGGAAACATTTTGTAGTTCGTTGTCTGAATGGTCGTTCTCTTTCGCTACGACGCGCTCGGTCGTGGGAGTTTCGGCGGGGAGCGGGGAGTCCGGAGGGCTGGACAGGTTTTGCGGAGGGGAAGAAGGCATGAACAGGGGAGTCACTAGTGTAGATTGCCCAATGGTGTCATGGGAGGTTGGGAAAGGCGAGGTATAGCCCGTGTTGGCCATTGTCGCGTTTCGGGATGCGCAACGAGCGCAAAAGGGAGCGCAAAGAGCGCGATGGGGGGAAAACCAGAGGCTAGATACAGTCCGCGTAGCTACGGTAATAGAGGCAGACGCAACGTCTAAGCAAAAAAAGATAACAATAACAATTGCGGGGGATGTTCAAGAGAAAGAATGAAGAGCATCGTGAATGGGTGCGTTAACGCCTCAGGCCGCAATGTTTACGTGCCCGTTTGGGCCAAGCGGGGCCTTTTTACATCTGCATACATTTGCCTATGCATCGCTGCCTGCAATTGAATTTGTATTCATGCATAATTACGCACATGTTTTCCATTCTTCAAATCCTGGGGGGACTACCGAGGGGTCCTGCGACTGACTGCGTCGTTTACTCTCCATACCCTCTTGATGCTCAATCTCATCCCGCTCGATAGCTGCTTTTCTTTCGGCACGGCCACCTTTTGAGGCAATGGCATGCTATTTTTTACAAGAGAATAGTTAGCCCAAAAATTGTTTGCTGAGATTGAATTGCATACCTGCTTCTCTCTATCCATATCATGAAAACCACCCACGCCTCGGGCTTTGCCGCCTTTCTTTCCACCCTTTTGACCCATTGCCGAAAGCTCGTCGTGCGACCGATTTGCAAAGTTTCCGGGGTTTGGATGTGCATGAGACGGTGCTGCAGTGGCAATACTTCGCCTACTCAGTCCAATACCCACTGGTCGTACCGTCGGAGCCAGTCGAGTGAATGGACGTGACAGATGCGAAAATCCGACCAAGGCCATGATGATATTTAATGGTGTTCAAGTATAAGAGTTTGCAATTTTGAGATATGTTGGTGGTCAATGAATGACCTAATAACCCATACAGTATATGTAGTCCATGAAAGGCTCATAGTCGCCTCCGTCGCCTCATCGAATCGTCAGCTGAGGCGATATCTACTGATCTATTAAAGGTTCTTCATATGGGAGACATATTATTTGTTCATGCTTTGAAGTAACCACCATGGGAGACATTTGCCTGCCCAGGATAGCAAGGTGGCTGCCGCTCGACATAACTTGCTGGAGCACTGGTCCAGTGTTTGATGTCATACCCAAAGGCTTTGTACTGGGTGTTGAAGCCATGGTTTTATCATACAGGCGGTTTTCTAGTACCATAGGCGATCTTTTTGCTGCCTCAGTGGTGTTCATTCTGTTCTCACGAGCCTTGAGAAGAAGGGCTATGTACTCATTCGCCCCATCCGCATACTATATGGAATTGTGCCTATATCGTTCTGGATTTTATCAGTTGATCAACATGATATATTAAGTTCGTTTTCTTCGAAATTGCTTTAGGTAACATGCCAGCAACTGAAGGGCAGATTACAAAATTGATTTCCTGTATAAACTTGGCAGTAGTACGCCCACGCACATCTACCTGACCAATTTTGAGGTGATATTCTTGTACAATTGGCCATGGATATTAGCCTATTTTCTTTTTGATATGTTACTTATCAATTCAATCATGCCACTTTAAGCCCTAGGCTGCCCAGGGTATACACCAGCTGGTTTAGATAATTACGTCAATTCCTTTCATGAAGACATTAAATATAGCATCTTTCCTTGGCGGATTTGGCCTCAACAAAAGATGCCACACAAGTATGCACCCCAAATAATCCATAGAGATATGTAAAAGCAGAAATTGACCTTTGACCCAACTTAGGAAAAGGAATTTGAAACACTTTTTACAGCACGCATAATTTGAGAAAGACTGAATCATCTACCATTATGTTAGGATTTCTAAGAAAAGAAAATAGGCTTCGTTGTGGACAAAGAATATTCTTGTTTACGGTGGTCCATACCCAGGGGGGGCGAAGAGGTTCATGAGTGGAAGACGAAGTGAGGCGATTTCCCCATGACTTCCTTCACTCAGGATTAAGATGCCGATTTGGGTTTATCGAGCGCAGGTGTTGCGACCTATGACTTTGATGTTGCAGTGATATTGATCGGGTGATATATTTAGTGCCGTATTATGGCCCGGGGGATCTAAATAGGCGCCTGAGATTTAAGGACTTGTTATCCCCACATCCGCATCTTCAACTCCCAGCGCGTATCTGCAATATTTAGACTATATTTCACCCTTGCGACATTCAGAATGCCACCTATTCAAGGCGGCGTCGGCGAGCGCCCGCGGGTGATCTTGTACCACCAAACACTGATCCCTAGTGGGAGCCAATATGTGTCCATGCTCCCACTCCTCGAGAACAACACGGGCATCTCGCATGTTATTATCGCTGCATTCCACCTGAATGATCATCCAGAGAATATCACTCTCAACGATGATCCGCCCGCAAACCCCAAATTCGACCCCCTGTGGGCCGAGGTGCCCCTCCTCCAGCAGCGAGGCGTCAAAATCATGGGCATGCTAGGAGGTGCCGCACCGGGCTCCTTCACACGACTCGACGGAAGCCAAGACCAATTCGAGACTTTCTACACTCCTTTCCGGGATGTGATCCGCCGTCATGGCTTGGACGGGATTGATCTCGATGTAGAAGAAAGCATGTCTCTACAAGGCATCATCCGGCTCATTGACCGCCTCAAAGCCGACATGGGCGATGAATTCATCATCACCATGGCGCCTGTCGCCGCAGCTCTCTTGGGCATTGGCAACCTGTCAGGCTTCGACTACCGTGAACTCGAGCAGGCTCGTGCCTCGAAGATCAGTTGGTACAACACTCAGTTCTACAATGGCTGGGGCCCCGCCGAAGATTCACGCATGTATGCTGCTATGGTCGCTCAGGGCTGGTCTCCGCGACGACTCGTTTATGGCCTGTTAACAAACCCGGGCAATGGATCGCAGGGTTATGTGTCGCAGGAAAAGATTGGACCGGTCTTGGCTACGTTGATCGAGCAGTTTCCCAATTTTGGTGGCGTTATGGGGTGGGAATATTACAATGCTTTGCCTGGTGACCAGCAGAAGCCGTGGCTGTGGGCTGCTCAGATGACATTGAGCATGGGTATGAAGGACGTCGTTATGGCTGCTCGTCAGCTGTTGGCTGGGCCGATGGCCAGCACACTCAATAGTTTGTTTCAAGACATGATGAACCAGAGACGGTGAATATAAAGCATAGCATCATAATGTTTTGGTGTTTGACTGCATAAATGTTTACACTGCGCACGGACGTTTTGTGTTATTCGAGCCTCTGGTCGACGTCATCACAACTTCCTTGACTTCATTATCTCTGATACTCTTATATACCTACTCAACTACTCAACTAGAATGACCCAGTAACTACCTTGCAATTGGTTTCAATGGCTTACCTCCACAGTGTAGCTGCCATTAGTTCAACGGCCATTCGACTTGGGGCCTTGATCTTTCTGAGATGGGTATGGATTCCTTGACTACTCAATGGATACGAACTGACAGTGAATAGATCCCTGGTCCTCCGTTTGGTCCGCTCGTTTTTACTTCACTAGCAGTGTATCTGTCGTCGCTGTTCTCTTTAATGAAGGATGAACAATCTAATGAGCCTCGGAGAGAAAAAGGGCGTGATCGCCCAACTAGTGAGTCTACACACACCTCTCTTGCAATGGAACATTTTTTTTTAACTTTGTTGTTACAGAGAGCAAGCCAGCATCTCATTCAATCAAACCCGCTGATTCCGCGCTGAGGACGTTGCTGACAGGGGTGCCATCTGCCAGTTCCCCGCTATGGACGTGGACGACTGCATTAATTAACGTTGGCTTGGCATTGTTGACTCTTGATTTTCTGATCCGTGGCTTTGTGCTTTACCCTACTACAAATGCTACATTTGCACGGATTGGATATGTCTCTCCAACCACGGCCAACTTGGTCTTTCGAGAGCCAGACTTGGCTCAATTGCCAATGGTGGTCTCATATCAAGATATCACCTCTCAAAGCCTTGGAACATGGGCCGAAGAAGGCATTGTTTACACATTGGATGAGAGCACAGACTTCACTGCTGCAGTGACCTTGAAAGATTTGAAGCCATCAACACATTACCGATATGCGCTGTCCAACAACCGGTCTGGGACATTCCTCACAGCACCAAGACCTGGATCTCCAGAATCAAGTCGGCTGTCATTCGTAACATCAAGCTGCATCAAACCAAACTTCCCCTACAGCTTACTCCGACATCCATTACGAGTCCCAGGCATCGAGCAAATGACCGAAGCTCTGGCCAAATTGCCAACCCTACTTCGCCCATCGTTCATGCTATTCCTAGGCGATTTCATCTACATCGATGTACCTATACGCTTTGGATTATCCATGTCCCATTACCGCAGCGAGTATAGACGGATATACTCATCACCATCATGGAAGAGCGGCCCACCAGAAGACCGAGCCATCGACCTACCCTGGATCCATACACTAGACGACCACGAAATCCAAAACGATTGGGCTAAGGGTAACAGAACAGCCCCATACCCAGCGGCCGCGGATCCTTTTATCCATTACCACGTAAAAGCCAACCCACCAGTCCCAAAATCGCCGTTCGCACCCTCAGACAACGTAACCTACTTCGCCTTCATCCACGGCCCAGCCTCATTCTTCATGCTGGACACAAGAACATACCGGACAGAACCATCCCACGAAAACTCCACAATCCTCGGCTACGCCCAGCTCCAATCCCTCTTAACTTATATCTCAACTCCAGAGCCAGCAGGAACACACTGGAAAATCATCTCCTCTAGCGTCCCCTTCACAAAGAACTGGCACGTAGGAACAGCAGATACATGGGGCGGATTCATAAACGAACGAAACAAAGTCTTCGAAGCAATGTGGCAAGCTGAGCGCACACTCAACGTCCGGATAGTCCTGCTCAGTGGAGATCGGCACGAATTCGCAGCAACTCGATTCCCTGACCCGGCACTCAATCTCCCCGCATCCAGCCTTCAACCTAACACGCCGGGGATGGGCGTACACGAATTCAGCGTCGGCCCGTTGAGCATGTTCTACCTCCCCATCCGCACATACCGCCAAACAGACTTCGAGGATGTGGCAGTGAAGTATGTACCAGAGGGAAACAGTAAATTCGGACTTGTTGATATTGCGGAAGAAGTGGAAGATCTGGAACCTGACTCTACGGCACCGGTGCCGGTGCGCAGTTCTGTTCTTACTTATTCGCTTTATGTTGATGGTGTTGTTGTTTGGAAGTATCGCCTCTTTTTGCCGTTGGATCCGGATCAGGATGGTCGTGCTCTAGCTTCCTTTTCGGATCATGAAAGGGCTTTGAGATTGCCTCCTGGTCGTGTTGTTGAGGATCGAGTTGAAGAGCATTGGGGACATGTTGTTGGAGGTTCTGTTGGGAGGATCCCTGAGGTTGCCAAGTCCTTTGTTGAGATGGGAATGGGGTTCTTTCATGATTTTGCAGACCGAGTTCAGCAGACTTGAAGCCCTATCAGAGTCATATTTTTGGTTAGACTGATATATTTCCATCTTTCTTGGTCTTGGCCGGTTCAAAAGATTATAGGTCTCTAAGATACAATATGAACGTTTAAATTAAGGTAGTCTTTACTATACTTCTGAATTAACAACATAAAACAAAACCCCCTTGTTTGGGATGGTATATATGGTAAAGTTAGCGTTCAATATCAGACTTTGACTCATGTACAAAATTACAGATAACGTTAAAAGGAAACGCCAAACACCAGCCCAGATGCTAAGTAGATGAGCCAGCGATTCCATATGAAAAGCAAGAGAACAGATGATAGACCCTCAGCCCCGATCTTAACGCCCTCCTCTGCCACGTCCGCCGCCGCCACCACCACCACCACCACCACCACCCATACCGCCCATCAACCCACTCATTTGGCTCATCATGCTCTGCAGATCCATGCCGCCAAGGTTTGGCATGCCACCACCACCCTGTCCACCGCCCATCATCTGCATCATCTTGGCCATGTCGGGCATGCCGGGCATACCACCCATACCACCCATACCGCCCATACCGCCGGCACCACCCATGGAAGCCATGCGCTTCTGCATAGCGGCCATCTGCTGGTCCTTGTTTCCGCCCTTCATCATGTTCTGTGCACGCTGCATCTGCTTCTTCTGGCCGCCAACACGCTTGGCCATACCAGCCATCATGCGGTGCTGGGAGAGGACATCCTCGACCTCGCGGACTGTGGTACCACTGCCATGGGCAATACGGACCATACGGCTGGGCTGCTCGACGAAGTTCTTGCCATCGCCGTCCAGCTCGGCTGCTGTCATGCTGTCAAAGATGTAGATCATGCGGCGCAGCTTCAACGAACCGTCCTCGTCATCCAGACCCTGGGTCATGTTTGACAGACCTGGGATCATGCCGGACAGTTTAGACAAGGGGCCCATCTTCATGATAGATGTGATGTTCTCGCGGAAGTCACGAAGTGTGTAGATACCCTCTGCAATGTGCTTGTATGTTTCCTTGGCGCCGGCAGAATCCTTGGTGATAGCTTGGACGTGCTCAACAAGTCCAGCAACATCTCCCATGCCGAGTAGCTTCTGAACGAAGGCACGGGGCTCAAATCTCTCCAGGTCCATCATGTGCTCACCAGTACCCAGGAAGATAATGGGAGTGTTGGTTGCGGCGACAGCAGAAATAGCACCACCACCAGCGGCATGACCGTCGGTCTTAGTAATGATAATAGCACCAAAGTCTGCCGTGGCCTTGAAGGCAGCGGATTGAGCCTCAGCAGATTGACCGATTGTGCTATCCAGCACGAGAATGGTCTGATCTGGTGTAACAGCGGTCTGAATCTGGGTCATTTCGGTAAAGAGCTCCTCCTCCTGACGGTGACGACCACTAGTATCGACAATAATGATATCGAATCGCTCCTTCTTGAACTTAGCCACACCCTCGGCGGCCACAACGGCAGGATCCGTCTGTGTCAGACTACCGTAGTATGGAATCTTTGCCTTGGTGGCGTTCTGCTTCAGCTGATCGAAGGCACCAGCACGGAAGGTATCCGCGCAAACCAACGCTGTCTTGAATCCACGTGTCTGATAGTGACGGGCGAGCTTTGTACATGTCGTCGTCTTACCCGCACCCTGCAACCCAACAAACATGATCACGTTTGAGCGGCCCTTCTTGGGACGGAAAGAGTCTGCATGGGGGTCAACCAGCTTGACCAGCTCATCGAAGACGGTCTTCTGGATCAATCGCTTCTTGTTGACTGCGGCCGGAAGGGAGGCGAAGTTGACGCTGGCTTTAATCGACTTGCGGAGGGTGCCCACGAGACGGACGTTGACATCTGCGGAGAGAAGAGCGGCGCAAATTTCCTTGATCATATCATCGAAGGCCTAGCATTGGATTAGCAAGGTGGACATACGACATGTCATGTTGAACAAGACGTACTTTTTCATCAAGGTTATTCGACCTCGTCATGTCATTGACGGCGGCGTTAATACGCCGCCCTAGATCTTGAAGAACCATATTGAATGTGTATGTGAAGAAGATTCAAAGAGAAAAACAATAGAGCAGTGGAGGGGTGAGGGTGAAGCACGAAAGACCAGAGAGGCAATGTGGAGGGGCCAATCGGAGAGCAGACGACTTTCACCGCCCCCAAAAAAAGTTGATACTGCATCTTTTGGATCAACGCGGTGACTTTCTTTTCACTTTCACCATTCTACATAATTTTGTTGCAATGGCTCCTAGTTATTCTAAGAAGCGCAAGGTCCTTGATGGCCTCAAGGGCAAGACCGGTCGCACCAAGAAATTCCGCAAGCAGCGTGATTACCACAGCAGCTCCGAGGAGGAGAGCGACAATGAGAACTTCGCCGCCGTCAATCTTGAAGACTCGGATGCCGAAGACGATGGTGGTGTTTCAGTGAACAAGAAGGCCACACCTGAGCCTCCTGCGAAGAAGAAGAAGACAAGCTCAGCACCCACGCCGAAAAAATCAGAGGAAGAATCAGACATCACCGACGATGAGGAGATTGAACTAGACGACGAAGATCTCGAAGATCTTGAAGATGACGACGAAGAGAACAATGCCTCTGGATCGGACGAAGACCACCCCGCCGCCACAGGCGCCAACCGTGGCCGATCCGTCCCCAAGCGCAACGACCCTACCGCATTCTCAACCTCCATCTCCAAGATTCTGGCAACAAAACTTCCCACATCCGCACGGGCTGATCCCGTTCTTTCAAGAAGTCAGTATGCCGCAAAGCTATCCAGCGAGGCAGCGAACGAGAAGCTCGACAAAGCCGCGCGGGCTAAGATGCGCGCCGACAAGAAGGAAGAAATGGACCGTGGTCGTATCCGTGATGTGATGGGTATCAAGCGAGGAGTGACTGGTCAGGTCACCGAGGAGGAGAAGCGTGTGCGCAAGATGGCCCAGCGTGGTGTTGTCAAGCTATTCAACGCTGTGCGCGCGGCTCAAGTCCGGGGTGAGGAAGCAGCCAAGGATGAGCGCAAGAAGGGCACAATTGGTATGGGAGAGCGTGAGAAGGCTTCTAACGAGGTCAGCAAACAAGGATTCCTTGAGTTGATCAACGGAAAGAAGGGAAAGCCTTTGAATATCGAGGAGGCGTAAAAGTTGGACCTACGATTACCCATGGCATGTTTCTGGCGTTGTGATGGTTTTTGTGTATATTTTTCTTTACATTGTAATACAATTGCTCTTGTGGAGACTTGTTCTTTCAACATAGTACAGGAGATGTTCCATTTTGCGATATAGCGCAATTGTGCATGATGTGTGAGTTAAATAGTAGAATACATAGTCCAATTGGACTAAAGCCTCTTGGCTTGATGCCGATCTGAAGTGAATTCGTTCAAGATCCTAGTGTCTTCCGAACCTCTCCCCGTATTTATTTCGACTCGAAGTCGCTTGCTTGTAGGTTTCGTGTCATAGTCGGCAGTCGCACGACCAAACCCTCCATATCCTTGGTCATGATCACCTGGCAGCCCAGTCGGGATGTCTCAGTCAGGCCGAATGCCAGATCCAGCATGTCGTTCTCGTCATCCGACGGCTCCTCCATTTGGTCAAACATGTCGGGGTCCTCCACAATTACATGGCAGGTTGAGCAAGCACAAGATCCACCGCAGGCACCTGTTGAAAGCGTTGAGTTAGTAATGGTGCATATAAGGAATATTGTTGGTCCAACATACCCTCCATCTCGAGATCATTGGCCTGGGCGATGTCTAGTAAGTTGTCGCCTTCGGCAACCTGAAGTTTGATCTCACTGCCATCCTTATCGATGAATGTGATGTTGATCCTGGAAATGTATCAGCATGCCGCAGGGACAAAGCGCATGGAGAGCGCGGGCCGGTGAACATACTCTTCACCGGGCTTCGGCGGCGTGACATGGCCATGCGCAGCTTGTGCGGTCACAGAGAAAGAGCGACAGGCTGCACTATATCCTTTCCATGACGATTGTAGGGTCCGGGGTGCGGGCAAAGTTGACCGAGGCTGTGTTGTGGTTCCGATAGTCCTCGTTGAGGAACTCAGGTATCTCCGCGATTGAGTCAAACAGATGTCGGAGGTGGCAGTCTTTGGCACACGGCACAATTGCTGGCCGACTTGACGCCAGAAAGCCATTTTGAGAGAAATGAACGAGCAGATGCAGAGGGGAAGAGAAAAAAGAGGATCCGGGGAGAGTTGGGAGTGATCGTCCAATGGCCGCGGAGGGAAAAAAAAGACTGACAAAGCTGCGGACATTCCACTTCCCGACTTCCTTTCCCCGACATCTTTATCCCCGAACCCATCAACATGACGACTCGTGAAGGGATCAATCCCTTGCGGCCTTATTATATCCCCCCGTCGGGCCTGTCGCCAGCTTCAAATGCTCCGCCCGAAGTGACTTCGCCGTCATCGGCCCAGGTTTTCGGGAGCACGGCGCGCGACCTCATCCCGGACCTTGACTATGCCGACTATTTGGAAGCCTCGCCATCGGTATCCGACTGGGTTCGCGATAACTTGAACCGGGCCCTAGTGCGCTACACTAAGGTCCTGACTGCCCAGCCGTTTGATGTCGCCAAAACCATCTTGCAGGTGTATGTCGTGCCCGACGCCGCCGATGAGCAATGGGATCGGAAGTCGACACCGGGAGCTAGCGGTAGCTCTTACGACTCGGTAAGAGTGAAATTTTGGACAGCAGATATAACTCTGCGTTATATACCACATCGGATCACTGACAATTTTGCGTATAGGAGTCTGAATCATCAGATGACGAGAGCAGTTACTTCACCTCAGCAGCTCCTCCGACACCGACGCCGAGTACACCCCGGTCTCGCAAGTCAAGACAACATATTACCGACCGCAGTGGTTACATACGACCAGAGTCTGCGGCAAAGCCTGCATATGCGTTGTCTCTCAAGAACTCGAACTCCCTGACCGAAGTTCTCTCCCAACTATGGTCCTCCAGTGGCCCCTCCTCCCCCTGGAAGGCCTCCAACGCTACTTTCATGTACTCCCTTCTTCTACCGACCTTGAACACATTCATTCGCAGCCTTTTGTCGGCAATTGTCGGTCTTCCCGAGGATGACATTTCCTCGTCGATGACAGCCGACATTTTGACCGCATCTTCTCCCCTGATGACGTTGATTCTATCATTTATTTCATCGTCACTTTCCGCCCTCATTCTAGCTCCTATCGACACCGCTCGCACATTCTTGATGCTCACGCCAGCCACACATGGCCCGCGGTCCCTCGTGCGAGCTATCCGCCAGCTCCCCACTCCCAACAGTACAATCCCCTCACATCTTGTGCCTATCACAGTCTTGCACTCAAGTCTCCCCAACTTCATCATGACCTCGACCCCACTCTTCCTCAAATCTTACCTTTCTATCGACCCTCTCCTTAACCCTAACACATGGAACTTGTGCGCATTCCTTGGCTCCGGCCTCGAGCTTGCCGTACGGTTCCCGCTTGAGACTGTGCTCCGTCGCGCCCAGATTGCCACATACACCTCCTTGAGCCTGCGCCAGAAGTCGTCCGGTGGTAGCATCCGCGCGGCATCTATTGATGCTTCCGACGTTGAAACCATTGTCCCAACCCCGCGCACCTACCGCGGAATCATTGGCACAATGTGGCACGTCGTTTATGAAGAGGGCGTTAGCTCCACACCATCCGATACGGAGCGGGCCCAAACCCTCCTCGGTCAACCATCCTCCCAGGAACAGCTCAAGAAGCGCAAGCAAGGCCAGGGTATCCAAGGTCTGTACCGTGGTTGGCGCATTGGTATGTGGGGTATCGCCGGTATCTGGGGTGCCAGTCTACTCGGCGGAGTAGCGGGTGGCCCAGAAGACGAAGTGACGACAAGAGGCGGCCACGGCCGATCCAGCGGTGGACGCTTCTAATCGAAAAACGGGCCTTCAATTTGAAGCAAAACCCAGCCACCTTTTCAATTTATTCATCCACCGAGAGACAACACCGGTTTTCTCACGTCCTTGATTTTCACTGATCTAACATCCACTTCTAAAGCCCGAGATTGATCCCGAAAGCAGTTCTCATCTTTTGCCTGTGCTTGTGCATCTTCGTTCTCGCACTCTCCTCTCTATCCTCCTCCCTCTGTTTACATCTTATACCCCGGGAATGGAATCCAGGGGACAGAGGCGATCGGCGTCTTGTTTTGCCTCGTTCTTTTTTTAATGCTCTCCGCAGCCCGTGTATAAACTCCCCTCAAACTCCCTACCACATAGCTATGTAACGAGATACGGTCTGGTTCTCCGCTTGTTTGGTAGCTAATCTATTATATGGTATTGAATCTTATGCAAATTATAGAATATATGTATTATATATGTTTTTGTATTTCATCCTAAAAATACTATTGTAATTACTTCCCAATTTCCTTTTTTTCAGGGTGTCAATTTTACGGTCCTACTGATGGTGTGTTCAATGTTTTGCACATGAAACCCTCGAAGCGAGTGTATTGTTCCATGCATTGTGTTTGCCTTACTCTGGTCCATCTTGTTTCCCCTCTAATCTGATCATTTTCAAGGCCCTCGGGATGTAGTTGTTTAAAACGGTAGGTGAAGATTGTAGGAGTGGCTCCTATTTTATCACACAGTGCTCGACGGTGTGTCATTGCCTACCACAGAAGAATATTGAAGAAAAGTACTGTATAGCATATCATTCCATTCATAAAAGCCACGTTGTATACATAAAATCTCAAACGAGAAAAACGCCGCAAAAGATCCATCCGTCTAGAAGAGAAGATTGGAGAATGCCAAAACAAACATAAGAAAAGAATAATGACCATGTTCATAGCGGTCAGCATTCAGATGCCCGCGCCAACTCTACTGGTGTATTGTAGGGAGCGGCGAGATCAAATGAGAAGAAGATGAAGATGAAGGAACATGTGCTTTTTGAGATGAGAGAACGGAGAATGGATTCTGTTCTCCGACGAAGAGCCTGTGACCCGGCTCTTCCCCGAGAACAGAATAGAACAGACAAGCCCGAATGATTGTACATAGTGCGGCCGGGGGTATGGGTATCAAAGTCGTCCTCTGAGGGACGGGCAAATAACAAAAACAAAAACATGAAACAAGAGGAGATGAAACCCCGGCCGCAATGGATTCACAGAAGGAACATGTTTGTTTGTTTTCTTATTTTTCAGCGAAGCGTCGGTCGAAGTAGCGCAGCACGCCCATGACGCTTGCAGCTTCGACTTCCATAGCCGCTCGACTACCACGGGCCTCGGCGAGAGCAAGGTCACGAGGGTTAGGGAGGGTGTGAAGCTTCGGCAGCCAGGAAGAGATCTCGTCGCTGGCGCGGGAGAAGTTCGGGTGGCGTGAGAGGGTGGTGAAAGCGTCAGCACAGCTGAGTGTTAACTCGGAGGGAGGAGCGGGCTTGGGTGCGGGAGGTTGCGGAGGCATGGCGGTGTTGTTACGCGCGGAGGTCGTGGTGGCGGGGGCATTTCTTGACATGCAGCATCCGCCGTCCTTTCCACCTCCGCCGCAGCAGCCTCCTCCCGATGGAGTTCCGCTCGCTGACCGGGAGGCTGCCAGCGTCTTGCAAAAAAGGGTGCTTCGAGGGTCGGCAAGACATTGGGCGCAGGTACCCGGCCCGTTGGCGCAGGGGTTGGATGCAGTCGCTTGGCTGATTGGTGGAAGGACGACTTCTGAGCGGACATCGCCCTCCGACGGGGGTGGTGTGAATTGGGAGATAGATTGGATCGGGGCGAGGCGGTTGTTCTCGAAGGAGTTGCGGCGGCCACGTTGGTGTTCCTGGGCGGCCATCTCCGCGCAAATACAGGGAGTTCCATCCTGGCAGAAACCACAGGGGTCAACGGGGGGTGAGGAGACGTCGTTGTCGTGGGATTGTGCTGGGACGCCGGAGAATTGGGCGGTAAAGTCGATCTCCATCTCCTCGGGGTCAGGCTTGATATCGGGTTCACCAAGGTTGCGAGTAGGGCTGCCAACACCATGAGGTGGGTGTCTAGAGCGGGAAGACTCATGAGTGTCGATAGGCATGGCAAATGCATCTTCGATGCACTGGCAGTGAGCGTTGGAGCAGTTGTTACAGCCAAGGGGAACGTTCATCTGTCCATCTTCCTTGTTCCGGTCGGCACTGCTAGTAGGAACGACATCTTCCATGCGGGAGCTTCGGGTAGTAGGGCGATTCCGAGGTGGCAAAGGCACAGAGTCTGGGATAGGAGCAGATCGGCTGTTGGGATCTGAAAGAGACGAACGGAACTCCTTGACTAGAGCTTCCTTTGCACTGCGCTCGATAGAAACCTCTTTCTCTAGAGCGTGACATCTGTCGCGCCACCAGCCCATCTCCTCACGAACCTGGTCAACCTCATTGGAGAGGTTGCCAATCTGCTGGTTGAGTTGTGCCACTTGCATGTCGTGGCCATCTTCAATATCCTTCATCTGCTCCTCCAGTTCGCTGACGCGGGCAGCACGGCGCTCACGGAAAGCTCGCTGAGCAGCCCTGTTCTGTGCCTTGCGTTTGGTTGGGGGCGTATCCGTAGCCGGCTTGCGGCCGGGCTTGGGGCGTGGTGGAATTACCCATTCTTTCGAGGTAATAGAGCCGGGTGTACCAGGACCGGGCGATGGGGCGACAGAACTCTTGGCGGCCAGTGCAGGCGCCGGTGCAAGAGCCAGCGAGGGGACTCCAGCTGGAGCCGGGGCGTAAGACACACCAGAAGTGGCCATCTTGACACCGAATCGATCAAATGCTATGTTTGGGGTCAGTTGGAAGCTCAAGATTCGGAAGTGTTCGGGCGCACGCACGAGCCGTTTTTCGGTCGGAAGAGCGGAAGTGCGCTCATGCGAGCCGACAAGCGAGAGGGACCAGTGGAGGGGTAGAAAAAAAGAGTACTACAGCCCTGCAGTAATGAGAAAAACAAAGGCCAAGGTGGGTATAAACTAGAAAGAAGAGAAAGAGGTCAAAGCCGGGGGGGAAAGCCGGGAGAAAAGTGATGATCAGATTAGATTATGTGCTCACATGATGCCGGTTTCGGACACGAGACTCGGCTGTCTACTTCTGTGGACCTTACACCTTTGCAGCAGAATTTTTTATCTGATCCGAGTAGTGGAGTTAGTTCCGAGAAAGCGTTGGTGGGCTGACGCGGAGCTCTGACATTCTTTATGCTGATTTTCCTCGCTAATTGCGTTTGTTGGCTTATTACGGGGAGCTTACTTCCTGGGCTGGTCAATCAGACTTGAACTCGAGACAACCCCTAGCCTAGACTGATCTCTCTATCGCAACGGCTCTCTATACAGCTCGCCCGTCTATGACTCAACAGTCAACACACGACCCGGAAGCGAATATTCCAGCAGCAGTGGAGTATCTCGTCAATCCATTGACCATGGATGGGCATAAGGCAAAGAACCCCCTACATACGCCCCACGCAGCCATTACCTAGCAAAAACGGCGATTGAGCCAATCAGGGAGTGCCAATGCGCAAAATAACTTTTCCCGGAGAATCAGTGCAGCGGTGAAGGGGTATAGATCGCCGTAGGACTCGAATTCCGAATGCCCTAGCACCGCTCTCGGGGCCTGATCTTATCTGATTGCACTAACGTAAAATGTTGCTTCTTTGGGCAATGCAAGCGACACCCGATCCATGTTCGGAGTTGTTTAAACGGGCACTCGTTCCCTTCTGCTCGAATGATCAAGTCCTGATTGGCCAGTCCTGTATTCTGCTCAGCGGGCTGGGGTCTCCACATAGGCAAACTCTTATCAATCAGTGACGCCCGCCAACCCGAGCCAGAGCCGAAGAACGGATCTTTCGTAGACTTCGCCCGATGGGGTTGCAATTCCGGCTTATTATTGCCGTGACGTGCAGAGGGGAATTGAGTCGCCGCGATTGGGTCCTTGCTTGTTCTGGCTACCGTGCTTGGCTTGGAATGGTGGCGATCGCAGACTGAGATCCACTGCCCCCGGTGATCTTTTTCGTGCTTCTGCCTATGATGCGTGCTACGTTAGTCTGACGCACAATTCATTCAAGCTCGAGTGCAGAGGTTCAATAATTAAGCAAGGGTCATTGCGTTTGGGGCAGTCTTGACCTAGAGTATTGTAAGTCTACCTTAATCTTATGCAAAGTACCTCTGTCATGACGAGCCGGTACAACTAGTAACCAAGCCGAAACACCCAACTTTGGGTTGATGAGGCGGCGAATTATTGTACGCCCTCAGTGTCGAGTTCAAAATGTCTCATGTCAGTGGTTTATAACATACAGTTTGAATAATCATTCTTGTAATCTTACTATTCGTGAACTCCTATTTACTGTTGTCTCAAAATCGTCTATGCATGTGTAGGGCGGGTCAAGTCATTCCGCGACTAGTAAACCCCGAAGAGCCTCGCAAAGGATACCAGGGACTTGTACTGGGGAGCAAAAACTGCTAGGTATTGACAGCCAGGGCCAAATTCCTGTATCGAGCTGATAGGGATATCGCAACAGCTTTGCGATCCTTCGTTGGTCTGACAGTGTCCGTTGAAGATGTCGAGCCAGTAGGAGATACTTACTGGACGTAGCGCTGATGCTGCTTCAATGGCCTCCGTCGGTCTGACACTCTCGGCTGTTCAGTGGAGGAGGAGTATCTTCCAGAGGCAGGAAATCAGCTAAAGACGCTGGGGGCAGAGCTGATGCTGTTTCACCATCGTCCATCGAGCTCAGAGCCGCACTGAAGCTGGTATTGTATGTCTGGCTTGCAAGATTTTCAGATCTCTCGCTTGATGTAGATTTCTCGACATTTGTAGCCTTCTCAATGGGTGCAGATTCCTCGGTGGGTGTAGGTCTCTCGCTGGATTTCTGGCGGAAACGAAAAGGAAGCGTAACAACGAGCTCAGGGCTCTGCGTGGAGGCATAGCTAGAAGTCGGCGGAGTTTCCATAGTCAGTGACTCGCGTTTGCTGGATGCTCTCTCCATGATGGTAGTCCTGAAGTATCAGACAGCTTGGAAGTGTGAAGCGCAGCGCGGGCACTCAAACCATTGCAGCTGAGTGACGAATCCGATAAGCCCAGTGGATGAAACGTGTGGTAGATGGATGAAGTCATGAGAAGACGAATATGGATGTAAAGCAGATGTAGTTGACCCGCCCTGGGAGTGGAGAACATGAGGCTTAAAAGTCAAAACAATAAACTCTACCTCGGACAAGAAACTAACGGGGCATCCAGCTAATGTAATTTACTAGAAGACAGCAGCAGAAGCGTTTATTCTGAAACAAGAACGCGATATAATAATTCATCTATCTATAGTACTCATGGCATGCACCCAGGCCGCTTTGAATGAGTAAGTCCCTGTGGGGGTTTTAAGGCTCAGATCCCGAACCAGGAGACCGCTCTGCATGAATACATCCGGAGATGTTATCAAAGTCCCAATGCCTTTCGTGCCTATAGGCCGTAATACCATATCCCCCAGAGAGAAGCTTTCCAAGGTGAGTGACCCAGCGACTCCTGTCTGCAGGTCTCCCGAAGGAACTAAGCAGCCTTCCTAATCGGGGGGCTCAACGGCCAATCACAAGCCAGCTCAAATGTGCTCAGTTTGCTTTGACTGAGACCTCATGGCTCATTTCTTGGGAAACCAAGTTTGCTCGAGTTTGTCTGAGTCGGTTCAGGTCTGTTCAACCTGCAATTGGTTTCTTATATTGGTGCCTTGGTGCCTGGGATACCAGGCATCACCATCTGTAGGCACATGGCGTCATAGCGCTTGTAAATGTTGATCACACGAAAGGATAAGATCAACCGCTAGTCACCAGTACTGTTTACAAATTTCCACCAGTAAAACAGCTCAAAAAAAGCTGATTCCAGCTTCGTTATAGGCTGCCCTGGAGATCTCCAGCTGCATCCGTTATCACTCGGACTTGATAAGCAAGGGGCAGCCCAGCCTCCGGACTCCGCCTTTCCCCCCACGATCTCTCTCTCTCTCCAACTCCCCTTCATCTTCACCTTTTTCTACCACACCATGACCCGAAAGTACGCTTCATCTCAAGGCCTCGATATGCCCTGGGCCTCACAAATGTCCGCCCAGTTGCCAAATCCGTGCCTGTACCAGGTTCCTGCAGCCCAGACAGTTCCAGCTCAGCCAGTCCGAGCTCAGCCAGCCCCTCAGCGAACCGATGAGCCTGTGCGCCCCGAGGACTACTCTAAACCCTACTGCGAGTTCATGTCATCTAACCCCACTATCTTCCACGCCGTGAAATCCTTCACCAGCCAGCTCGAGCAGCACGGCTACAAGTACCTCTCCGAACGTGCGGTGTGGACATCGGAGCTGAAGCGGGGTGGCAAGTTCTATACCTCCCGCAATGGAAGCTCATTGATAGCTTTCAACGTTGGATCAGAATATCAGAGTGGTAACGGTGTGGCCATCGTTGCTGGCCACGTGGATGCCCTGACCGCCAAGCTGAAGCCTGTGTCCAAGCTGCCCAACAAGGCGGGCTTCGAGCAGCTCGGTGTGGCCCCGTATGCCGGTGGTCTCGGTCCTACCTGGTGGGACCGTGATCTTGGCATCGGTGGTCGTGTGCTCGTCCGTGACCCGGAGTCTGGCAAGGTCGAGACAAAGTTGGTGAAGCTTGACTGGCCAATTGCCCGTGTGCCTACCCTAGCTCCTCACTTTGGGTCTGTTGCGAACGGACCATTTAACCCAGAGACCCAGATGGTGCCTGTCATTGGTATTGACAACTCTGACTTGTTTGAGCACTCAAAGAAGGCCGAGTCAAGTGATGTCAAGTTTGGCACATTTACCTCGACCCAGCCTGAGAAGCTTGTGAAGATTATTTCCAAGGAGCTTGGTATCACGGACTACAGCACTATTCTCAACTGGGAATTGGAATTGTTTGATACTCAGCCTGCTCAGCTCGGTGGTCTAGAGAAGGAAATGATCTTCGCCGGCCGCATTGATGACAAGCTTTGCTGTTATGCTGCCCAGGAGGCGCTCATTGCTTCTTCGGATAGCACTTCAACTGGGGCTATCAAGATGGTTGGCATGTTCGATGACGAAGAGATCGGCAGTCTACTCCGCCAAGGAGCTCGGTCAAACTTCATGAGTAGCGTCATCGAGCGCATCACCGAGGCCTTTGCTAAGGACAACTATGGCCCTAACCTCCTCTCCCAGACCGTGGCTAACAGTTTCTTGGTTTCCTCGGATGTCATTCACGCCGTGAACCCCAACTTCCTCAATGTCTACCTGGAGAACCACGCACCTCGCCTCAACGTCGGTGTTGCTGTGTCTGCTGACTCGAACGGACACATGACCACCGACAGTGTCAGCGAGGCCATCATGAAGCGTGTTGCCGAGAAGTGCGGATCTACCCTCCAAGTTTTCCAGATTCGCAATGACTCTCGCAGTGGTGGCACCATCGGGCCTATGACCAGTGCCCAGATTGGCATGAGAGCTATTGACTGCGGTATTCCCCAGCTGAGCATGCACAGCATTCGTGCCACTACCGGTAGCTTGGACCCCGGTCTCGGTGTGAAGCTGTTCAAGGGCTTCTTCGATCACTACGAGGAGGTCGACAAGGAGTTCACCGACTTCTAGACGTCTTCACTGTCATATCAGGCCCAGTCTGATCTGATTAATATAAACCACGCATATTGACAAGCCCGTGTTAGGCAGGCTCGCTATACGTTATTCGAGTCTACACACGAAACTACATCAATGTGATTCCGATATAAACTTAGATTCTTCAAGCGATTGTCATTAAACCTATATCTGATTCGACTGCTGTACCTCGACTATATATCCAAGAATTTCCAAACACACATTCAAGAAAACCATGTCCAAGATGACCAAAGAAAAAGAGAAACAAGAGAATGTCGACCCCGTAGGGTAGTAAGTGATGAGTGAAAGGCAGTTCTCAAACTGCGAAAGACCGTAAAGCTCAAAAACATGAGCAAAGAAACCCAAATCCCAATCACGCACATGGTATATCGTAACGCGAAGGACTTGGTGTCTGACAAAAAAATATTAAGCCATAATCAAACAACCAACCCAACCGCAAAGCCCTCAACGCCTCATCGAATCAACCGAATCAGACGAAGGCGAAGCATGAGGCCCGGATCCATTCGCATCAGCAATCGAAGAAATCTGCGTCAACCCCTTCTTCTCCTCCTGAGACCAACTCATGCCATGCCCATGGCCATGTTCATTCCTAAAACCGTTACTGCCGTTACCGGGAACAAGCTCCAGTACACGTTCCGGGTCACCAGCACCATACTCGGGATCTTCACCAGGCGCACCAAGAGTCGAGCCGTCTCCGTTCCAGGTTGAGTTACGTTGTGTTGTGTCGCCGTAGCTTGGGCGGCTTGCGCTGAAAGTTGTCATCATTCCTGGGAAAAGGCGTGCCAGAAGAGGTTTCAGGGTTGGGAGGCAGGCGCAAATTATTCCTGTGTTGCATTCTACTGCGGACCAGGCGGCGGCGGCCACGTTATCGTCTGAACTCAGGTTAGTCTGTATGTCGGGGCTTTGGGGGTTGGGCTGGGGTGCGTACAGGTTGGATCAGTTGAGTCTGCGATCTTTTTGAGGCTGGTTAGACGGACGATACTGGTTATGCAAACACTGGAGGACAAGGTCAGCGGTATATTCTCATGGCTGAGCTGATTTGGTGTAAGAGTAACCCACAAGCCACCCAAACCAAACATAAGCATCAGCGCAAACTTCTGCTTCCGAGGCAAATCAACTGCCATCAATGCCGGAATGGGGATGATCAAGATAGCGAGATCGGTTGCGATATGCATACTAGCGTTCGAGAACCACAGACCAGGCCTGCTCAAACAATATCCTTGGATTGAATCATCCCAGAATTTGGCGACGGGGATACAGTTCAGGAATGCACTGATTACCGCCCATGTACCATAGATACCAAGGATGGTGATCATGACCCAGCAGACGACGCGCATGCGCTGTGTTGGGAAGACGCGGAAGTATTGCATCAGGATTGAGGCTTTGGCACAGAGAACGGCGGCGTTGTAGAATGGGATTGTGAGCCAGAAGGCCTAGTGCGGTGGTTGTTAGATACTGTTTGCAGTGTGTTGACTGGGAAAGCTTACCTTCAACTGTCTTTCGAGGATGTTTGGTGGAATATCCTTGATGTGTGTACCCATTCCACTGAGAGCTTCGACTATATCCAGTCCCATGAAGACATATGAGTTGACCTGGTTCTCCACATTAGCAGTTGGTCCTCTTAGTCTCCCTCTGGGAACCTACCAAGGCAATGATGACCATCCAGTCATTTGCTTCAACCTTTCTCATGAGCTTGATGCGGGTATACATCCTTGCGGCGACGAAACATGTTGCTAAGGCTGTGAAGACAACGCTCACTGTCAAGCCTTGAACTCCGCGAGAGGACATGAATACGCCATCGTTATCCCGCTGAAATATCGCATCGCGAATCTGAAACATATTCATCTTGCAGCGGCACCTTGACCCTGGCAAGGAAATCTGGGGATGATAAGAGCTCTAACCCGGATCCAATATAAAAAGAATGTAGACAAATCTGGGGAATATGCTGAATATGTTGAAGCGAGATCAATAATGGACAATGATGATCCGATCTACAATAATCAGGACAGCCAAGGCACCAGATCGAGGGCAAGACAAATCGGGACCAAAGCGAGCGATAAGAGAAGAATTCCCCAAACCACTTGGAGAAGATGGAGCGGCGTCGAGGAGATTGCCTTATGTATAAGCTGATCTGACAAGGGGACCCATAAACAATGCAGCCAGGCCCAGAAATCCAACGACAAAGGCGAAGATGCACATCCCCGTCTCCACGAGAGCCAGAATTGAACTTATCAATGATCTATTACCATTTCGTCCCCTCGCCTCCTCGGACTGGCGGACCGATATTTAGACGCGAGACAGTAGTCCAGTCTGGATGAGAGCATGGTTGCAAGGTGCAGCGCAAGGGGCTGCATATAACGAATCGGGCCCAGAGTAGATCCCGAAAGAAACGATATGTATGTTTGGAACTGGGTTCTAAGCTTTGGGTTTTCTCCTTCCTTTTCCTCATTCCATCACATTGCATCTGCAAATTGACTCTTTGTGGATGATTTTTTCTACACGAACGAGGAAGAATTATACTTTGCAGGGGTGTAGATAGATCAATCGTTCTGAAACCTCTGAAAGTCACGCCCGTTTGCTCTCATTAGTTCTGAGTGGTAAAATAGTCGTTGATCATCGCGACAATCGCATCTGAAAAGATCCGCCCGACTTACCGATCAGATCAGGTATGCATTGGTCAGTGTGCCTTGATTCCGATGAATTCTGATACGTGGCGGTTTATAATCTGGGGATATTAGAGTGACCCAAGCTGCTGGAATTTCAAAAGTAATAGTTGAAGAAATTCCAAATATATTGTTTAGATGTCCGGGCGACATGCTGCTGACTTCAACGTTCAATCTCCGCAAAAAACTCGACGGAGATCATCTCCTTTGGTGTTCGCCGGTGGCTTCGAGTAGAAAATGACAGGGAATACTGATGAATATTATGGGTCCGGAGAAGAATATCCTCCGAGCTTCAGCCAGCCCGAAGTATTTACGTATCAATCCGCCCGTTAAGCTTGTCATAGGGGTTGATCTATCTTTGAAGAATCGGAGATCTCTGCTATTTAGCGTCTGTTACATGGCGACAAACCTATTGGGCACTAGAATCTGGATCGTGAGTACTGCATGCGCGTCACTCCACGATACAATATACACATCACATCCCTACCTATGACATCGCCGCAATCCCACTATGGGGGGTGGGCAAGGCACGGACATGACAGAAGAAAATACCAAATTGTGGAGAATGAAACTGCCGGAACCCGAATGCCCTCGATCGATCATACGGCAAACATGGTGTCTCATACCCGATCGTATACATTGATCGAGAAACATCTTCAGTGTATATCCACCCCTCGTTCTGCCCCTCTATCGTTACCTTGGGGATGGTGAGATAAAGTTTCTGCCTGTTTCAAGAGTTGACAGAGAAACGAAGCGCCCACATGCGCCAGGGTCTCAAATTTGCATGTTAGGGCTTTGTTAAGCTCGTCGCACAGGTCACTAGTTGTGCAAGGGGTGCCCCAGAACTTTCCCACAAATATACTGCTTCTAGTAAGAGACCCGAATCCAATTTAAAGTGGACTTCTAACTTTGAATAAGATCTCCTATTCATTGGGCGGCATCACCGTTCGATAGTGGCTGCATTCTTGTAAGGGATGGTCGTTGACCGCTTCTACCCCGGATGTAAACGTGCAAAAGCTTCACTTTCTTAGCTTTAATTGAATAATTGTTGCTGTTTGATGATAAATATAAGATCGAGAACTGATTTCTAAAGTTTGGATCATCGCGGTCATTTGACAAGACCTGTGAGGTTCTATGGGATCGGTCACTCACATCGCACAACATGCAAAGGTGTTCCCAATGCGCTTTTCAGCCCGTGGCAAAACTTGCAAAATGATTCTCAGAAAAGCAGTCATTTCATCAGCCATTGAGATCATCAGCTGAAATGTGTGGCTGAAATGAACTCCACCAATGTGGAGTTGACAAACGAGTTTACATGTCACATCTGGGGCTGATTGCCTGCACCAACATTGATAATTGCGAATCCGTCCTCACAGAAACGACCGCAGGAATATTAACGTATTTTTGGGGATTCAAATCCTATAATTTCGTTGCGTGGTGGCTTTGACATATGCAAGGCGCGAGGTTCGGGGCCTGCATGCATAGATTGCCTGTATTGCCGAGTTGCTAGGGGGTTTCGGTAATTGGAAAATGCGACGGCTGATCGAACATATTCTATTATGTTATTTTGACATTACATCAACTACAACAACCATTGCTCGCAAGCACTCGAAAGACGAGTTCAGTGCGAGTACGATTTCTAGGCCACTACGACGGGTCTGCACTTGGTTCAGTTAGCAAAATCATGGAGGGAAGTGCAGGCTTAAGTCTGGTTCAGTATAGCATATTGCATAGCAGTCCCTTTCTTCTGGCTGCTCGTTGACCGAATACGCTGTGCCAGTATGCAGAAACAACGCAGCTGCCCTTGACAGAATAGCTGTGGATCACCACTACTTGTTCATGCTCCTAGATCTGGCATTTCCTTTCATTTGGTTTTGGATAGTAATTCCATAAGTCAATGTCTCGGATTGAAGCCCTCGGAGAGCCCAAAAACGAGATGAGGAAATCGAAGAAGCCAGTTACCTCACCTTTTTCTATGCCTTTGGACTTCGTAGCCAGCTGCAACAAGGATCATGGATATGAATACTGTGTAATGAACTATTAAAGAGTCTCTCCATAAAGTTTTTAAGCATTTACACCGTTTCATACCTTCTTTTCGCCCTACTTTTGCCAATTCTCGAGTGCCTTACGTAAACCAACTAGATCATATAAAGGCAGGTATTTGAGATGAATTATGATCCATGAATATAACAGTAGGTTTTTCTATATTATCTCTTCTACGTAGCAGACTTCTAAGATCATAGGTCGATAGTGCGATTGTCTTGCCCGACAAAAAGGCGATATTGTCAAAGTGGCCCCCATCAGGATCATCTAGAGACACACACGCTTTGCTGCTTGTCATCCAAAAGAGTGGATTTGGTGTCGCTAATCAGTGCTACTATTTGAGGATTTGGAGAGGAGGGGGGCAGTCAAGCTTCCATTCTTGGAAGCCGGTCGCCACGGTCCAAACTCGCGAATCTTTCCATATAGATATGTTCTTGATATCTTCGCAATAATTCTAGAAGATTGGAGCCCTAGCGATACTTGCGCACCAGCTCTTCCGCTGTCACTTTCTTCGCTCTCCACTTCCCGGTTAACAAACTGTGAGTCTTCTACCGTTTCAGGGTACGTTCTTACCCTCAACTTATAAAAAGCATACCTGTACGGAAACCCGTGAAAGGCCTCGTACTATGACAGTCCTGCTTTTACGCATAATTGTAGGGCCAAAGATTTGTATACAATCTTCCGTAATTTCTCGAACCAAAAGCGTTCTAATCTGATTGAATAACGATGAAGTGAATATGTATCCTTGTGATTCCTGACAACTTTGGTTGAATCCAATCAGCTTAGAACTGAGATGCATTCGTCAAATCAATTTTAACTGATTGATTTAGAGATACGAAGACCAGCCCTGAATTCTTCAAGTATACATATAGTAAAACAACATGTGTTATGCGTTCAGGGGTATTCAGCCTTGTTGCCAATAATGGCACCAATTAAGTGTTCCGACGTGGATAGGATGATTTTTCACATAGCTAAAGTCTTCGAACAGCTACAATAATACTAGACGAATGAATTGAACAGCAAGTGTGAAAGAAAAAAAAAGACCTTGGTGGTTATAGATGCGATAAGATAGGGCCGATAAGAACGCACAGACCGTTCACAGAGAAATTTCATCACGAACATAATCACTTCTTCAAGTCGCCTGTATTTCCTCACTCTCGTTGATCAATAGCAATACTTCTGCTACACAGGTCATCATGGCGGAGACTACGAACACAGTCACCAAGCCGGTCCACACAATCGTGTTGGACGCGGGTCCGATTCTCAAAAATACCCCGCCACTTTCAACCCTCCTAGCGCAATGTGAGGAAATTATCACCACACCCTCCGTGGTGGGCGAAATCCGCGACCCCGATGCCCGCGCACGTGTCGAGACCCTCTACCTACCCTTCTTGAAGCAGCGCACACCCACACCACACAGCTTCAACGTTATCAGTGAATTCGCTCGCAAGACTGGTGACCGAACTGTGCTCAGTCGAGTCGATATTGAGATCCTCGCTCTTGCATACGAACTCGAGTGTGAGAAGAACGAAGGAGATTGGCGGTTGCGAAGTGTCCCCGGACAGAAGAAGATCAATGGCAAGCCTCCTGTGAAGGAAGAGCCCAAGGAAGAACCCGCGGAAGAGTCTAAGGAAGCCCAACCCGAGTCCGAATCTGCGGATGTGGAGGCTATTGCAGAGGGCGTGAAGGAGGCCGTCATTGAGGAGAGTCAAGAAAAGCCTAAGGAGGAGGAGACCGTCCCCGCCTCCAACGAGGACGTCGAGATTGTTGCCGCTGAAGAACAAGACCCAGACGAGCCTGCGGATGAAGCCGATTCCGACGGCGGCGAGTGGATTACACCCACCAACTATAAGAAGCGCCTGGCTCAGGATGAGTCCGGATCTGCGTCTCTTGCGGCTGCGCCGAAGACGATGCAAGTTGCGACCATGACCACTGATTTCGCCGTAAGTACACACAAAACCAGCACAATGAATCACCCACTAATATACTTGAATAGTGTCAAAACGTTCTTCTCCAGATGAACCTTAACCTTCTGTCTACTACTACCCTGCAGAAGGTTCAGCACCTCAAGACCTTCATCAAGCGCTGCCACGGCTGTTTCTTGACCACCAAGGATATGACCAAGCAGTTCTGCCCTCGCTGCGGCAAGGACACCCTTACCCGTGTCTCTTGCACCACCACTGCCAATGGCCAATTCACAATGCACCTCAAGAAGAACATGCAGTGGAACAACCGCGGTAACGTATACAGCGTCCCCAAGCCCATCGCAGGCAGTGCGAACGGCAAGTGGAAGGGCGGCGGTGGCAAGGGAGGTTGGGGCACGGAGCTCGTCCTTGCTGAGGACCAGAAGGAATTCGTCCGTGCCAACGCTGAAGAAGAGCGCCGGCAGCGCCGTGAGCGCGATCTCATGGACGAGGATTACCTTCCTGGCATCCTGACCGGCGAGCGCAACAAGACTGGCGGCCGTACCAAGGTCGGCGCCGGCCGCAACGTCAACTCTAGAAAGCGCTAAGCATGCGTTATGGGTGACTTTGCATCTTGGATTACATGGATTGGAGTTTTGGGGCATGGAAAGAAAAAAGTTTCGTTTCATTTGGTCGATGCCACCGTGCCATTCATGGTGACGATCGACCTGCTCATGAGGAATGACCATGTCTTGTCTTTTTGATTTACAGTTGAACATAGATTATGTAGCCAGTCATACGATTGTATATGAACAGTTATCAAAGTCCTTGTTGTTGACGACCTAGATCAGGTATCATATTCTCTAATTTGTCTAGCTCAAGCCCCGACAAGAATATCCAACGAAAGCAAACCAAGTATGCACATCTTAGCCATCCGTTGACCGCAGAAAAACACCATTCGCCGAAACATGGGCTATGCCGCCCGGTAATACACTTTTCCCAGTGTTGATTGCTTTACTGGGCAGGGGTAGCTGTGATATCCATGTTAGTATTCATGAAGTGCAATTCGAAGGGAGATTCGACGTACCGGACTGCTGGGTGAGGAGAAGACCGTAGCGCTTCTTCAGGGTGACACGGTGACTGTGGAAATAGTTAGCTCCCTGAAATTCCAATATCCAGCAAACATTCACATACCGAGAGTACTTGTCATCGGGAGAGAAACGGGCGGGGTGGGCAGACTTGGTAACCTCACCGCTGAGGACCTGTAGTTGACCGACGTTAGAATTATGCATGGTATAAAACGAATCAGAGGAAGCACTGAGTCCAACGACAAAGCAATTCCTCGGGAAATTGTTCCCATACCTTCTTGAGCGTGTAGACACGCTTGCCTTGGGCGTCGAGAGTGTACTGTTCGTTAAAATTAGAGACCGATTCTGGGATGGAGCTGGCGATGCGTGCGCTTCGCAGATGCGAGAAAACGTACCATAAGATGCATTCTGTGAAGATAGAGGTTAGCAGACTGTCAGAACAACAAGAGCGAGATCAACAACTCACTTGGCGGTATTGGTGCTTCGTTTTGGCTTAACGGCGATAGTGGAGGAATTTTTTTCTCGATGGACCTGAACGAGCTCGGGCCACCATGCTGAGTCAGGCACCGCTTTAAATGGCCGAGCTTCCCGCAAAAATTCCTCTTCTTCGAAAGAGCTGCAAAATAGTATCATCTCTATGAACAGCGCATAGTCACTATTAATGGGCAGAAATGCTGTGGTGACTCTAGTAATTGATATCCAACCTACTCCAGCATACAAACTCAAGGTAAGAACAAACTGCTTCCCTCTTCCCATGCACCTTCACCTTCGGTGATGACACCTTTTATTCATGCTCAGGCAGACGGCACTTTGATTTCTAGCTGTCTGTCAATGATCTGCTGAATTGACTACAACGGTATCTGAGAAGAATCACACCATGACGATTGAACACTTCGCCTGTGAAAGAACATTCGCTAACATCGAATTTTCTTCAGGACTTTGACATTCTAACACGAATTCTTCCAGTAGTGGCTTCAAATGGCCACTACAGTAACCAGCACCGAGAAGCCTGTGTCTACCCAGCCTGCGCCTGCAGAGGCTAGGCCACGGGCTCCTCGTCCGCCTAGGCCCAACTTCAGACATATTCACCGGTTTCCTCTCCCGGTCACTGTACATCATGTTCCTCCTGTAATTCCTCATAACCCTCTCTCTCTTATTAGTGTTGCTCTCTCGTACCTCACATTTCTTATCTCCCCGCCCCATCAAGAAGTCTACTCGGCCTACTTTGACTCGGCCACTTCATCGGTCCATGTTACGGACGAGAATGCCGTTAAGGCCCTGTGGCAGATGGGCTTCTTTGGCAAGGGTAGTCTAAGTCGAAGCGAGCCGAGCTGGCTGGCGCGAGAGAAGAAGCGGAGAGGGTTATTGGGCGGCAAGTCAAGCGAGGAGGTTACAAGACAGCGACGTGAGGAACGACGTGAGCTGAAGCTAGAGCGTGCACGTATGGAGAAGCTGGCCATTGAGGAAAGACTAAAGGCTGAAGCTGCAGCCAGGGAAAATGGCACGACGATTGACCAAGACGATCAGTCAACGGCCGCAGATGGTACGGCTAACGACACAGCAACCTCGACTGAGAAGTTCTCTCTCAGGAAGGCAAAGGAGGCTCGAATGCTTGAGACACGCAACCAAGCAGCACGAAAAGCGGCTGCGACAGATTCAACAGATCAAGCAGAGAAGTCACCAAATGGGAAGTCTGTACGCTTCTCGCCTGTCATGCAAAAGCAAGAGTTCCTATCAAACTCGCCGTCCTCCATGAAACTTCCCGATTCTGTCGTGGATAACATTGAAGCGGACGAGGAACCCATCTTCGAAAATGAAGAGCATCTCCAACTTTCCAAGGAAGAAGCGTTCTTCCTCTCCTACTCCCTCGGCACTTTGAACATCTACGATGCCCCCGTCAAGGCAAGCCAGAACCAGCCGAACTCAATCATGTCAACAACATCGCTCCTTAAACTCCTCTGCAATCATTCCTTCAACCCATCCCGAGATGCCTCCGCCGCCCTCCAACCCGACGATCCCTTCATGCTCTCCTACGTCGTCTACCACCACTTCCGATCCCTGGGCTGGGTCGTCCGCTCCGGCGTGAAATTCGGAACAGACTACCTCCTCTACAACCGCGGACCTGTCTTCTCCCACGCCGAGTTCGCCGTCATCGTCATCCCATCCTACAGCCACTCATACTGGACCGAAACCGAGGAACGGAAGGAATACATTGCTGCCAAACAGACTCGCAGTTGGTGGTGGTTGCACTGCGTCAACCGAGTCCAGGCTCAGGTCTTGAAGAGTCTTGTTGTCTGCTATGTGGAAGTGCCGCCGCCTACTGCTTCCATTGATGATATTGGCGCTTTGCTTGGTACTTACCAAGTGCGGGAATTTCTCGTTAAGAGATTCGTGCCCAACCGCATGCGTGATTGAGGAGCATGTTGTTTCGATCACCTTTTTGTAGAACTTAGGGCTTCCGATACCCTCTCAGCTCATGCTGTTGCATTGAACATGAATGGTTGCATACTTGTAATATCATTGCATAACGACCCATGATGTCGACGATTATTCCCAATACTTTTGTCTCCATTGTAAATACTTTTTTAGAGAATAGACTCGTCCGAGCATGATAAATTGTCGTAAAAATGGCTACTGTACTATACAAACACACTAGTCCATATGAGGTAATATTACTTTATATTTTCACGTGACCTAGTTTTCGCGTCCCTCTCGCGTTCGGGTGCCAGAGAACCAATTTCGTTGGACGGGCATCACACGGGGGATAATTTAGAGCAATGGGTATCTAAGGCACCCATCTTATCACACATATCTATGAGGATATTCTGGGACTCTATGTCGTCCGAAAATGGAGACTCAGGAGGATAGCATCGATTTTGAGAAGCTGAGACGCGACGCGTTGGGGCTAGTATGTACCGACCCTGCAGCGTTCTTCACCCTAATTGGACTAATCCCAAAATCCCCCAGCACTCTCCATCTCAGCTGTGTCACTCAAGTTTTGCAGATACTGGCACCGACCCAAGGAAAAAACCCAGTTACACATACCAAGTGAACAGCGCCTCAGGCACATATTCTCGCCAACCTCAACCCCCGAAAACGCCATCCGACCCCGCAAGATTTTCCACCAGAAACGAACTTACTCCTACTCGATCCCGGCAGCATGAATCACAGCCAATGAGTCTCCAAAGAAGCGATGCCGGGCCGGAGGCTGTACCGGGATCGCAATTCGACAATGTGGATTACGGAGATGGAGCTCCGGGGGACACCCAAGTTGTATCGCAGTCAGTGTACGACAGTCTGATCCGACAAAACGAGGAGTCCATGCGCCATGATTTCACAGAAACAGGGGCCGACGGAGCGACATTGAGAACATTGCACGAGGGTGATAGCGGGCATATCGACCTCTTCGCCGAATTGGACACCGCACGCCACGGGATCGAACTCACCCAGTTTGGCGACGAAAACGACGATGTCAGTAATTCTGACCCAAACGAGTCTTCGCCAATGGGCTTTGCACCCGATCTCTTCCCCGAATCACAACGGTTCCTGGCCGAAACTCCAGCAACGGCTGTGAAAAGGGCCGAGGCTAACGGCGTGACAACTGAGACCCCGAGCGTCTCACGGAATCCGCTTGCTGGGGATATCGAGTCGAGTGGTGGCCTAATGGGTCTAAGTCAAGTCTTCAGAGCCACTCAGGCCCCGTCATCTCCTCTTGTTAACCTGCAGTCGGAACTCGTATCGGACCGTCCATCGCCGAATATTCCGATCCAGCAAGCTAGGATCACCCATGGTATCTCCTCGCCGTTGATGGGTGTCCAAAATAACTTCATGAGAGAATCATCCGAGCCGAACTTGAACTATATCTCGATGAAGGAGTCGCAGACCAAGCGTGACAGGACGTTAGGAGAGAGGTTGACTCGATCGGCGGACAATATCCAATCGGACCAGAGTGACAAAGAGTTCTATAAGGAATCGAGCTTCGTCGAACGTGCAAGACGGCAACGGGAGATCGACGAGGAAGCCGCGGCCCAGTTCGCTGGTCTCAGGGCTCCTGCCAGATCGACATCCAACCTCTCGGCTAGACCAACTTCCCGTCAACACTCACCGCAAGACATTGAAATGGTTGAGCCTGTCGCCAGCGAGGAAGAAACAGAACAAGAAGAAGATAGTGTTGTGCAAGTTCCTCAATCACAAGAGCCTCCTCCATCCTCAGCGGAAGAGGACAAGGAGAACTACGACGGCCCTCCGGTGGATGCTGCCGCCGCCGCCAGTGCCCATGAGCGACTATCTCAGGCACTTGGCTTTGAGGCGATCCAGTCACCAACTGCTATTTGCTTAGACGCAGAACCAGAGGACGTGATAATTCGCCCATGCTCCTTCCGCTCCCAAACAGAACCCAACTTTCGTTCTTCCCAACTACAGGTGAAAGATTCTCAACCATCACCTCAACCAACACCTCAGCCCTCACCGATAAGTGTTTACAACGAACCTGTTCGGATCAACATGAACCAATCTCCATCGCGCTCTCCTGTAAATTCTCCTTTGCTACAACGGCTTCAATCATCTCCTCCTTGCTCTCGACCCGATCAGCGATCAAGACCTTCAAGTCGCCATAGCCAACAAGCTGGGATTGTACCAAATAGCCTAGATGCCAAGTTTGAAAAAAAAACACTATTCTTTGGGAATGGAGATGCACAATCTAGTGCCCCATCTCAGCAACAAAACATGGCCTCATCTCACCCCAAAGAACAAGGACTTGGTGTCAACTCATCTCTGCAGTCTCATGTGACTGAAACCCCTGTTCACCAACGCCTCAAGCATGTTGGTGATATGGCTCGATTGACGAGCATCCCTGAAACAAGTCCTAGTAACCCCCATTGCCATTCCGAGGCTGGTTCCAATGGTGATGGACTGAATATCGAAGACGACGATCTTCCGCTAATGTTCAATGGAATTTCCGATAACAGAAGCAGTCAAATTCGTCCAGCTGGTGCTAGGGCACTGTCTTCGCCACTCAAAAAGCTACTCTCTAGCCCAGGCGGCGGACAACGCAGAGCCTTGACCGAGATTGCGGCAGACCTCTCGCCGCAAGTTGGAATTGGAGGATTTGACATGGGTGGGCTCTTCACCAACGACGACAAAGAGTTCAGAGCTCTTGTCGAAGGATCACCAACCCGACCTAAGAAGAAGCGCCGCGGCAATGATGGCCAAAGTTATATCGCCTCTGACCCGATCATACCTTTCACCCCTCGTGCGCAGCCTCCTAAATCAGTTACACCGCTCCGAGCACTGAACAATCGATCGCCGCCTATCCCCGAAGAACCAGAACCTGTATCGCAGGTACAAGTCCCTGCGACGGATGTCCGGAGACAATCAAAACCTCCACGACGTGTCCCCGAAAATGTATGGGACGTGGAGAACTCGCCTGAGCAGCCCTTCCGCCGGAGATCGAGGATCGGCCAACGACTCGGCCAGCGGGCTATGCCGCGATATTTGCGACAATCGCAAACCCCGGAAAAGGGCACTGGGAAGCCTGAAAGACCCGCACCTAAGCCTCAAGCTGTTGTCAACAACCCACCACCTCATCCATCCTCTGATATCAGAATCGACTCAGATGATCTTGCAGTGTCAGAATCAACCTCGACTATAGCCCCTCCTACTACACCCCGACCATCCAAACCTTTATCAGACAACACGCAGATTGCTCCAAGTCAAGTGATTGCCGTCTGGAGAGGCCAACAACTGGCATACTTCCCTGCAACATGCTTTGGGACACCCCTCGGGGTCTCACAAAGCCATTTCTCGGTCAAATTCGAGGACAGTTTCCCTGTGGAAGTGCCTAAAGTTACCGTGAAAAGATTTGAGCTGCATATCGGAGATGAGGTCAAGGTCGACATGCCTAATGTCCCTAAAGTGACCCACGTTGTCCGCGGGCTCGATGACAAGCTTACTAAAGAAGAGCTAACCAAGGCTGTAGACGATGGCCTTCATCCCATAACAGATATTTACGGTCATGCTACTGTCGTCCTTGGCCCCAAACAACGTAAGAGCCTGCCACATGGTGGACTCGGCGGCATCGAAAACATCATCAAGGTTCCTATTGGCCGTATTTATCTGGATACTATGCTCTGGAAGAAGCTCAAAGATCGGGAGTTTATACATCGCTCCGAGTCTGTCCGGCAAGAAAGCAAGGCTGAAACGCCATCTGAAGCAGCGTCTTTGCCTGCATCTCCCAGCGCCCGCTTCTCTCGCAGTATTCGTCAAGCTAGTGGTATTTTTGCCGGAATGGCATTCGCGGTATCGTACAAAGAGGACGAAGTGTCCAAAAACCGTGTCACCAAGCTGATTGAAGAGAACGGCGGTACACTACTACACGAAGGCTTCACTCAACTGTTTGAAGCATCATCAATAATTCCGAATGATACCCCGACAAAATACCCAGCCAAAGATGAAGCCAAAAACCATGGCCTGCGCCTTACAGCCCTCGCCGAGGATGTTGGCTTTGCTTGTTTGATTGCCGACACACATTCCCGCCGCGAGAAGTACATGCAAGCGCTTGCATTGAACCTTCCCTGTCTATCAGGACGCTGGGTAGAAGACTGCATCGCACAAAGGCGCATCCTTGACTGGGACATCTACCTCTTACCTGCCGGAGACTCAACCTACCTCAACGGAGCAACAAAATCCAGACTTATGCTTCCAACACCTCCATCTACCGCCCGCCTCTCGGAGACAATCTCTGCACGACCTAAACTCCTTAAGGGACAATCAGTCCTCCTGGTAATGGGCCGCGGAAAAGCAGAAGAAAAAAGAAAAGCCTACATCTTCCTCACATACGCCTTGGGAGCTTCGCGCGTCGAACGAGTCCCTGACCTCGGCACGGCCCGGGCCTTGATTGACTCACAATCCCATGCCGGTATACCATCCAGCTGGGATTGGATCTACGTCGACGATGCAGATCAACGTGCTGCACGGTGGATGCTTGAGCCAAAGAGGCAGAAGATTCATCTGACCCATGGACGGAAGCGTAAGAAGTCTACTGTGACTATTCCTTCTACTCCTATTCCGAGTCAGCAACAATCTACTCCCAAGGTTGTTGGTAATGAGTTTGTTTGTCAGAGTCTAATTCTCGGTCGGTTGTTTGCTGAGTAAATGCTTTGCTTTTTTAGTTCTTGATACCAATGTCATATAACATGTTGCAAATTTCTATCAATTTACTACTATGTTTTCGGATTATTGTATATCGATTGCTTTTTGCTACCTTTTCAGGAATTCAATTTGAGGGTTTAAGGGACGTCCGTGTCCGGTCACCTGAGCATTAGTGAGCATGCTCGATATTCGGCCCACTTGGTCTCTCCTCTGGTTTGATAACCTCTGGCTCTTTCCCTTTTGCCTCTTTTCTGACCATTTCCTCAGATAAGTCTTGTTGAACACTAGAAGCTGGGCGTTCAGTCTCTTCCTTGGTATAATCATGGGCATTGCTGGAAGATTGTGTGAGTTGGACGTCTTGTTCAGCATCTTGCTCTGCAGCTGATGCTTGATCAACCACCGGAAGAGGCTCTTGAGCATCTTTCAAAAATTGCGTAGGCTGGACGTTTTTTGCTCCGTCTTCTCTGACTTCCAGGTCTTGGTCGACTACGGAGAGAGGCTCTTGGGCATCTTTCGATAATTGCATGGTTTGTGTTTCTTGCTGCGCACCTTGCTCAGCAACCAATCCCCGAGCCACCACCGAATTGGGATCTTGAACATTTGGCTTTTGGGCCATATCGAGATTTTCGAAATTGTACAACTCCGGAAGCTGGGGCGCCTGCTCTGCAACAGGCTCCGTGCCTGGTGCCTGCCCAGCGGCAGGTGCAGAACCACTTTGTGGTTGTTCGCCAGAGTCTCCAGCAATCGTACCAGTAGTCTGAGGATCTAAATGCTCATGGTCTTGAGCAGAAGCCTCACCAACCCTTTCAGCAATGAAGAATTCTCCATTAAGCACATCCATCAGAACCGCAGCCTCTGCCGGCAAAGGCACAAGCCCCGTCAAAAGTTCAACAGCCCTCATCTTCCGCCCATAAAACTTCTTATTCGCATGAGGTCGCTCAGCGATAAAGCCACCCTCAACCGTAACACCACCATACAACCCCCGAGTCTTTGAGTAAGCGAATACTCCAGCACCGCCTTTAGCCCCCAATATACCGCCTGCTTCAGCACTCCGACCAATAGGTCCGAATGCCATAGAAATATTCCCACCGAGAGTCAAACTTCCGGCCTGCATGAATGTTTTCACAGCTGAATCGGTTGTCAAAACGAATACGAAGTCCGTTAATTCCATGCCGAATTGTCCGCCTGCGCCGACACCGCCCATTCCTATTGCTGACGGAGCTGACCAACTTCCATCTGGGAGACGAGCGACTATCAGCCCTGAGCCGAAGCGGGCTGAGCCTAGGAATCCTGCTCGTAGGGCTGTGAAGATGGCGATTCCCTATGGTTGATTTAGCACTATTCAAGTGGCTAGGTTTGAATTCGTGGCGTGGTACCTTTGCGCCTTTAAAGACTTTGCGTGGTATTTCTCCATCGATCTTGAGCTTGGGGTTGATGAATGATTCTAGGATTGCTGCTGCTTTCTTGCACTCGCCTATCGGATCGTCAGTTTAGGGTTCTTCCTGTATGAGGAAAGTGGAGCATATTTACTTGATAGTGAAGCTGGCAATGGATTGTGAAGTGGGTTCTTCATGGTATAACGTATGAAGTAGTTTCTTGCTGGTCTTTTGCGTGACAATGTCTATGAAGATAGAATTTGACTGAAGAATGGGGGCCAAATGCGCTGTTTGCCTGTTCAGCCTCGGGCTTCCAGTTTGTATTTGTATACGGTCACAACCAATAAGTCCCTATGTCAATTGAATTGGGAATATGCCAGATTGGTGCTCAAGTTAAACGTGGAGGGTTGTTCTATGCTCGTAAGGCGAGGTCTAATAGGGGTTGAGTTGAGGGGCCGACTGGTGCACGGACATTTTAGTACACGCCCAATTTCATACTTTGATCTTACGTCTCGAGCCCCGATTGATTTGAACTAGTGGGGTGTCTAGAAATCACGGCGAGTGAAGTCTTTGCATTAATACCAGTCGGGTTGGATTATTTTAACCTAAATGAATAAGGCTGTCAAAGTCTCTGAGATCTCCAAGACGAATCTCACAGGATTCCCAGAGCAACCCCTCACGACTAAATCTACTCAATTGTAAATTGGCCAAATTGTTCGTACGAGCCATTGTTATGTTGTGAACGATCAGGGGAATCAACCAAACTAAACAGCATTTGGGGCTGATGGTTATGTTGCTCGTTTGCCCTGACTTGGCTGGCCAGCAGTGTAAAAGAGGCTTTCCTAACAGGAGGTATCAATTTTAGGATACGATCTCGTTTCTGATATCGATAGAGACCTACTCAATATCAAGATCGTCTTCTCGGCACAGTCGCAAATGTGGTTTGCAGCTGCTCCCGTGAGCTAACACAAGAGATTCCTGGCTTGGTCGGATTGATCTGTTGCGCATCTTGTCATGAAAGCCTTTGACTCCATATCATGGATGTAGGTAGGCAACGCCATGACATGATGATATCTTGAAAAAACGAAGAAATTACGGTAGTAGTCAAGGCCGAGACAAAGGGTTCGTAAACAAATTTCAAAATACACTGCACCTCTTTGTGAAGGGACGGAGTCATTGGGCTAGGTCTTCAAAGATGTTATTCGAAGTCACAATCTCGTCACAAGAACCTCATTTGCGGGGTAAAGGACTTCTCGCATCCCTTTGCAATCTGTATACCAAGGAGCCCACTCTGTCAAAAGCTACTCTGCATACCGGGTGACGCTAGTATATTGTACAGGAAAAATAGTTTCCATGAGTGATGTAGATAATTATAAATTGGCAGATATATCGTAATGGGCAGTGGGAGAGAGAGAGAGAGAGAGAGAGAAGGGCGGGGGGCACATAGCTTCATGGAACAATGGGTTGTGACAACGTAGGGACAACATCTATTGATTGTCAAAATCTAGGCGACAAAGAAGATTGTGACGGATAACGGTTACGCAGCAAACATCCAAACAAAGTTTTCTTACATTTTCGGATCTTGAAAAATTGAGGCATGATCACGATTATTCCCTGAGGCCCCCGAGGAATGTTCATTGGAAGATCGAAAGTATGAGACGGGCCTGCGCCCCCCGCCCTCGGTGGAGATGCGTTCATGGAAACGGCCTAAGCACGGCGACAAGCGCAGGACGTTATGGCTAATTATTGATCCCTGTTTTGATTCTGATCGAAGACAGAGTAGCCTTGTCATGAGAATGATGATCGAGTACGCAAAGTCACCCTCGCCTCAATCTCTACATCAGAAAAGAAGTTTTGCGCGGTTGTGTTGGGAATATACCCCTGAAGGTCCTGGCTTGAGTATGTCTTACTTCGACCAATCCCTCAAAATATGTATATATCAAGAGTTCGTTTCTCAGGTCTTGGCGATTAATCGGAATAATTGATCTAATCATTGGCGATGTGCATCGAGCCGATCGTCTTGGCTTGAAACAAACCGATCCCACTGGTGAACCCACTGGTGAGCCCACGCGGATCCTAGGAACAAACCGCGCATAGACCGTGTGATGTGAAGTATTAGTTGCAGGATCTGAAGAGCATGTACTTTTATCGCCGTGATAATTTAAGCGACAATTGATGTATCCAACGGAGCAGAACAAATCCAGTCAGCGAACTATAATAGAGTTTGGCGGATAGGGCTGGACCACGGACGTTGCTTATGCATAAATTTGGGACAACAATTTTGGCTCGATATAGGCAGAAGAGGATATGGGACCATCGGCAATTAGCCAATTCAATGCAAGAATCCGCTAAAACTGACTCAAGATAGGATCTTGACGACTTTTTGAGACGGACTGGTTCCAAAGTTCGGGGGCTATCATTACCCCTTCAGTCTATCCTTGATCATTCCAGTCCTTGTCACACAGGAGTCCACCAAACATTGGCCGCGGAATCCGAATCAAAATCTGTAAAGCTATGACCTTATATTGAACCCCTCTCGCTCTTATGGTGGGCATTATCTAGCTTCGATTCTCCGTTGATTGAGCCAGTCGACATGCTTTTGAGGGCTATTCTCGTATCTCTCGCGCTCCAGGTGAGCTGCACGGCGGGGAAAGAATTTGAACGACGGGCTGCCCCCCTTGTTGGACAGACTTTTGACTACGTGGTTGTTGGTGGTGGTACCGGCGGTGCTGCAATTGCGACGCGATTGGCACAGAACGAGTTCAAAGTCGCGTTGGTGGAAGCTGGAGGACATTATGAGGTAGAGTCTCTGGCTGAAGTCCCTGCGGCAGATGTTTTGCCCGTGGGATCTGATCCCAATACCAAGTCTGTCATCGATTGGGGCTTTGTAACAAGGGACCAACCAGGCGCCAATGGGCGAGCCATTCACTACGCGCGAGGAAAATGTCTCGGAGGATCGTATGTTTTCCTTCTACATGGACGAGGTAATTGGTGCTAACAATAACTCTCTAGATCGGCTCTCAATTTCATGATCTATCAGCGGTAAGATGACCTGAACTAAATACCCCGATCCCTCAGCTGACCCCCGATTCAGCCCAACCCGCGAATCTATGGACCAATGGGCCACTACAGTCGGCGATGACAGCTACAAATTCGACCAGGTCCTTCCGCTTTACAAAAAGAGCGTCGAGTTCACGCCACCAAACACCCAATATAGAGCTGCAAATGCCTCGGCAGCCTACGACGCCGACGCATATGAAGCGAACGGAGGCCCACTGCAGGTCTCCTATTCCAACTTTGCCATGCCATTCTCTTCATGGATGAACCTGGGTATGCAGGCTATCGGCATCAATGAAACACAGGACTTCAACCTGGGTTCTTTGTTCGGAACCCAGTACTGTTCATCGACTATCGACCCGGCCCATGAGCTTCGCAGTAGCTCTGAGGAGTCTTTCTTATCCAAGATTAATCCCTCTTCCCTGACAACCTATGACCATACTCTTGCCAAAAAAATTATCTTCAACAAACAGAAGAAGGCCACCGGGGTTGAAGTGAAGGGTCTTCTGGGCAACACCGTCACTCTCAAAGCATCGAAAGAAGTTATCATCTCTGCTGGTGTATTCCAGTCGCCCCAACTTCTCATGGTTTCTGGAGTCGGCCCTTCTGATAACCTGCAAGCTCATGGTATTGATGTTATCGCTGACCGACCTGGGGTTGGCCAGAATATGTGGGATCATCCGTTTTTTGCGCCTACATACCGGGTCCAAGTGACCACATCCACGAAGTTTGCCACCAACCTTCTCTACGCGGCTGGACAAGTCGTCGGCGGAATCCTCACCAAGACTGGACCTTTGACGAACCCAGTCGCCGATTTCCTGGCTTGGGAGAAAATCCCAGAGACTTTGCGCGCCGCTTTCTCCCAGGCAACGAAGGAGAGCTTGGCTAAGTTCACAGACGACTGGCCCGAGGCAGAGGTATGATCAAGATCAAGCTGACGAGAAAGTATGAACGCCATGCTAATAGGGATTATGTAGTACATCTCTGGCGCAGGATACATCGGAGACGTCGGCAATCTCCTGGCAGACCAACCAAAAGATGGCTACCAGTACGCATCCATGCTCGGCGTTCTAATCACGCCTACATCCCGAGGAAACGTCACCTTGAATTCGGATTCTACTTCTGATTTACCCACAATCAACCCCAACTGGCTGGACACTGTTGCAGACCAGGAAGTTGCCATTGCCATGTTCAAGCGCATACGCCAGGCCTTCCAGAGCGACGCCATGGCACCTGTTGTCATTGGCGACGAGTATGACCCGGGTACTCAAGTTAAGACTGATGCTCAGATCCTGGAATGGATCAAGAATAATGTTATGACTCTTTGGCATGCGGCTTGTACTTGCAAGATGGGTACGCCGGATGATGAGATGGCTGTTGTTGACTCTCAGGCTCGTGTGTATGGTGTGGATGGACTGCGTGTTGTTGATGCTAGTGCTTTTCCTTTCCTCCCTCCTGGTCATCCTCAGTCGACCGTCTGTAAGTTTCTTCGTGGTGTTGCTTTTCTGGTCTGTTACTAACTGCTGGTATAGATATGCTTGCTGAGAAGATTGCTGCTGCTATCATTCGGGGCGCCTAATTTCGCAAATGCTCTTTTATTTCAAAGTGGCAACTCTTATGTATTTAATTCCTTGTCGATCGGACAATATAATCCAGTCTGTTTCATCATGTACAATAAAGAAGTTCTCATCCTCCCAATCCGTACCGTGGTTGTCCCAACTATGGGCTACACTGCTTTTATATGCAAAGCATCCTACAATGGCAGTTACTAAAGGAATATAATATACTTTAAGAAGTTGATGGGGAAATGCTCTTTCTATTATACAGTGAACACCAGATTCAGATCCTCATATCGCTACAGAAACCCAAAGTTATTGAAACAAGACATCACACATACTGAGGATGCCCTTATTTCTTGCTCGTCTTCTTCTTGCCCTTCAGACTCTTCATTTGGGCAGCACGCTCAGCTCTTTGCTCGCGCTTCCTCCATGCCAACCAACGGTTGCGACGGTCATAAGGCATAGCAGTGATACCGGCCTTCTCAGCAGCACGACCAATCTGCCAGTTAGCCTCACGGTACATGTAACCGGGACGCCACTGGGGGCCAGACTCAGCATCGACAGCCGCAACGTCAGAGATCTGAACGCCGTTCTGGTCAACCGAGGCAACAAGGTCAGACTGGCCGACAACCTTCTCCACCATAGGCACAGAGACCATGTTGAGCTTGCGCCTGCTGGGCGCATTGCGCGCGTGTGGGAGCTTCTCATCCTTGTTGAAAACAACACCGATGTACCGGCGCTCCGAGTGCTTCAATGGGTCGAGGTAGTACTGGACGTAACCAGCCTGTGTAGCGTAGATAGTGTGGTCACGGCCCATGGCGCAATTCTCGCCGGGGAACCACTTCGAGCCTCGCTGCCGGAAAATGATGCATCCCGGAACGACGTACTCGCCGCCTGAGCGCTTGGCTCCGAGACGCTTACCAGCCGGATCGCGGGAGTGTCGGTTGGCTGTTCCTTGCGAGGCGTGTGAGGCGTAACGCACTTGTGAGAATGGGAGGAGCGTGCGGGAGAGGGAGGGTGTAGGTGTGGTTTTCGGGAATGTGGATGCGGAGAGTGTTCGTAGGACGGATTGCGACTGGGAGAGCGCGGTTGTCGACCGGATTGTTGGGGTGAAGGCTCGCTCCAGCGCCCTTAGAGGCGCCAGTACTCGTGGCTTGAACATGGTGAGTTGTAATTGGGTGTTTGTTGAGTCGGATGTCGAAGCTCCAAAGGGGAAGTTTTTCGTTCGGAGATGGGGCTTGGCGTCACGTGCCGGCCATAGAGCGTAAGCTGGCTTCATCTATATCTCTTCGTTTTGCTCTGTACATCTACGAAAGATTTATTCAACTCTTGTTGGTGTGACCTTGGAATCATGTTGCAAAGCTGGCGCCAAGCCCTCTGGGCTCTTCTTCTCCTTGTATCAGTCGCCCAGGCCCAATTCAACTTCTTCGAGCAAATGTTTGGCGGCGGCGAGCAGCAACAGCGCCAGCAGCATCGGTCGCAGAGCGCTCCAAGTGACAGCGGTCGATACCAGCAGATGTGGAATGGTGGTAAGTTACAATACCGAGATACTCTGGTTTTCTTTAGCGAGTCCCTACTCAAGCGACTATATAACTGACTTGGGAAACCTGCTTATAGCCCAATGCGATAACTATCTGTGCCCCGGAACTCTCGCCTGCGTACACTTCCCACATCACTGCCCTTGCCCGCACCCAGACGTTGAAGAGAAGGTCGAACTCGGAGAGGGAAGCGCTATCTGCGTATCGAAAGGCGGATTCAAGGCAGGCGAAGCTGTGCGGAAAATCGAATTGGCCCGTAAGGGACTTCTGTGATACCATCTATCTTCATATAGCCATTTACTTGGTATATTCAGTTTGCATGCATCGTCGTTGGGATGATCAACTTCATGGAGTTGCCGTTGGTCGGAGAGTTGCGATTGATCTACGCTGAACAGTTTTGGACAAGCACATTTGATAGATTAGTTGGCTACTCATATTGCATTTATCCCTTGAGCCCAATCAGTCCTATACTTCAGGCATTTGACTGATTTTTGGAGCCTTGTAGTTTTTGTTTCTGTACAATATGTACTCTATAGAAAGCATTATTTTTGTAGTTCCAGGTGCACCAAAAATGAAATCAAGACTATAAGCTCAATTGACACCCTAAGTTTCTATATAAATAAAAGAAGCATCTGAAATTGAGCGACATGATTTGCGCAACTGAACGCCGCTATCTCCGTTAAACCCCGCGGCAAACCTTCGTCATCAGAATCTCCCGAGCTTCTTCACTTCCGCCAACTTTGCATTACCAACATCGCCTTACATATTGCACCTCACCAAACACGACCGGCTCATATACCACTATCTGAGAAAACTGCTGGCACATCCAACATTATGTGGAGCTTAAGACTCCGACCACTGCAGAGGCAGTTGGCTCCAGCTCGCAGCCGAGCTCTTTCGAGCTTCAGAAGCCACGGCAGTCGGCGTGGTCCCCGCAACAGTATACAAAGACCGGATCTCATTCAGGCTGCTAAAAAGGTCGAACCGTCGCCACAACCCGAACATTCCGCTCCTGAGCCCCAAGATGCCTACAATCCTAATTACGACCCTGCGCAAAACACTTTGCTCTCTCCTGTCTACCTGCCAGAGGACCCTAAAGGTGTGCTCAAAGAGAATCATCCGGCAGTGTCAATATTGGCAAACTCGGGGGTTGTCGTACAGCGACAACTAGAGATGATGAATGTTATGATGTGAGTGCTGCCAGCACCATTATTTGAAAGTGTTGTCGCAATATTTACTAACCAAATCTTGCTGTAGTGGGTTCGAACAAGCAAACAAGTATGTCATCATGGATGCGCAGGGAAACCACATTGGATATATGGCAGAACAAGAGAAAGGACTGGGCAATGCTATGGCGCGGCAATGGTTCCGAACCCATCGGAGCTTCGTGACCCATGTGTTTGACCGACAAGAAAATGAGGTCCTTCGAGTAAGTCTATACAGCGCCTATGTGGCTTAGCTCTACGGGTTTGTACTGACCTTTGCAGTTCAACCGCCCTTTCTCCTACATCAACTCCAAGATTCAAGTATACGACCCTCTTGATAAAACCCTTAATCCGCCCTCGCCATCTACTTCTTTGCAAGGCGTGACACCTGGCATCACATCTGGTGCACGGGTATCACCACTTAACTTCAATGACATGCGAGTCATCGGGGAAGCCCAGCAGCAGTGGGCCCCTCTACGACGCAAATACAATCTCTTTACCTACCATCAGTCTCCAAACTCAGCGACAGACATGGGGACGCAAACATTTCCCTTATCTGGGTCTCAACTATCACAAGGGCAACAAATGCAGCTTGCGCAAACTTCTAATCAAGGCCAAGGCGAATTCAATCAGTTTGCCTACGTTGACGAACCATTCCTATCATGGGACTTCTCATTAAAGTCGGCAGATAACCAGCTGATTGGTTCAGTCAACCGCGATTTTGCGGGTTTTGCTCGTGAGTTTTTCACTGACACCGGTGTATATGCATTGCGGATGGATTCTGCAGGGCTTGGTGCCCAGGTACCAGCCGGCCACGGCGATAGAGTCCCCGGCATGACCCTGGACCAACGTGCTGTCATGTTAGCCACGGCTGTAAGTGTCGATTTTGACTACTTCAGCCGCCACAGTGGTGCCGGAGGTTTCGGTTTCATGCCGCTCTGGTTCCCCGGTATGGGTGGTGAAGCTGCCGCCGGAGGTGCAGCAGGTGGTGCAGCAGCGGGAGGCGCTGCCGAAGCTGGGGCCGTTGGGGAAGCGGCTGCTGGCACTCTTGGGAGAGCTGGGGCCGCGGGTGGCATGACGGATGGTATGGCTGCGGGCGCCACTGGTGCAGGCGCAATGGCCGGATATGAAGCGATGCAAAGAGGCCATGGAGGCGAGCAACATGCGGCATCGCCTGGTCAACAGGGATCGCAGCCAATGGATCAGGAGGATTCACAGGGCTTCTACAATGAGCCCCAGGATCCTTGGGGCCAAGATGACCCGTGGGGCGATGAAGGAGGTGACGAAGGAGGAGGTGATGATTTCGATTGGTTTTGAAAGCCAGCTCATGTACAATAACTTCTGTCAATAAAGACAGTCTATAGATCTGTAAACTCTGGAACTACCCTCCTCGGACACTGACCCTGACGTCAGTTCAACAACTTCCCAATGTACGATTCATCTAATCAATATTTATCTTTGATCTCACTCGTTCACTTCAATTGATACACTTACTTCAATTCATACTCTCACTTCCATGTTGTTTCACACCCCCCATGTCATTGCCCACCGCCCCGGAATTATTCCATCCCCACTCCGTCGCACTTCATCCCACCAACTCCCCGCATACTCCTCGCCACTTCCCACTCGCAATCAATCCAACCCAAAATGGCGTCCAACGTCGCTCAGAAGCGCCTGTTCCACGAATACAAGAACCTCTCCACAAACCCACCAGAGGGGATCACCGCCGGCCCAGTCTCCGAAGATGACATGTTCTACTGGGAAGCCCTGATCGAAGGCCCAGGCGGCACCCCATTCGAGGGCGGCGTCTTCGCAGCCGAGCTCAAGTTCCCCAAGGATTACCCTCTCAGCCCGCCGACAATGAAATTTATCGGAGGAGGCGTTTGGCACCCGAACGGTACGTGCCCGATATCTTTATTCCGGCTGCTTGCGCATCCAATTCTTTGTTCTCTTTTGACATTTACACAATGCGAGACCTATTAATGACATTTTATAGTATACCCTAATGGAACGGTCTGCATCTCGATCCTCCATCCACCCGGCGATGATCCCAACCACTACGAACATGCCTCGGAGCGCTGGTCGCCTATCCAGAGCGTGGAGAAGATTCTCATCTCTGTCATGAGCATGCTTGCCGAGCCGAATGACGAGAGCCCCGCGAATGTTGAGGCTGCTAAGATGTGGCGTGAGCGGAGACCCGAGTATGAGCAGAAGGTCCGCGATGAGGTGAAGAAGGGTCTTGGACTTTGAGCCCGGCGGATGAAGGCCACGATTCTCCTGCTGTCTGGCATTTGGAATTCTGGACTTGCTTTTTGTTTTCCGAGTGCTGGGACCTTGCGGGAGTCAAGATTTGATGACTGGCGTCAAGGGTGATCTTTTTTTTTTTCTTTTTCTTTAACTTGCATGGCTGGGATGTGCGCTTGTCTCTCGGTTTGTATAGCTTATCTCTATCCCTCGCAGTATGATAGCGGAACAAAATGCATACATTTTCATCAACTGGCCTTTTCTGCCTTAGATATAGATATCGATATACCTCTCATACAAGTATAACCATGAATTTCTCTTCCCTAAGACTGGGCAAAATAGTACTATTTCATTGATCGAAATATTGACTGTTCCATAAATGCAAATAGCTATCAATGTATCAAGGCTAGTTATTGTCACTCCTGCCGAAACATCCTCCGATCGATCCAACCCTCCAGCCCTCCAACACACTCATACAAAATCTCAATCTCAGCCTTCAAATTCAACATCAGCATCCGCTGCAATTCAACCCGCCACTCCAGCGCAGGCCCATCACTAGCCCAAACAGGACTATTCCGCAGCATCGCAACAATCTTCGACCGATCCTGAGGAGTTAACGAGAGAAGAGCCTTGTATCCTGGCGCATCAGGAACCGCTATAATATCTGTCACTCTGACGCCTAACCACTGCAGCCGTGGGAGAATCAATCGAGCATTCTCGTGAACGTGTGCTGCGGATCCGTACTTGTATGTTGACAAGATGGCCATGCCGTGTGGGTCGCCATCTGTGAGGCCATAGAAACGGAGAGGTGGTCTATTCTGGTTCGATGCCACGTTTGAGAGTTTGTGTAGGAATTCGCGGGTTGATAGATCAGGGTAGCCTTTGCCCTGGTTGAGTTAGGTTGTGGTTAATCCACGTTTCTTGATAATAGATTGTCAGAGAGGGATTCGGCGTACTGTAACCAGGATTCCTTCTCCGGCTATTGCTCTGTTATGATAGTTACTGCGTGCCAAACGATGGAAGATTGCCTTTTCGTAGATAGTTGGTCAATAGATATTTCAGGTGTTACTTTAATCCTAGTACCTCTTTCTCAATGACGAGTACCCATCGGGCTCGAGAGATGTCAATCTCGTCATCATTCTCAATGCGAGGAATTAGAGTATCCTGATTTGAATATTAAATTGGCTTATGGATCATCATAGGTAATGGACTGACCTCGGTGGCAGACTGGGCATTAACCACGACCTGTGAATCGCGAATCAACCGAAGGCACCCAGCTATCAGGCCCTTCGCTGCTGCTTCCTATATAGTTATTTCATATATTAGCAACTTTGATCCAAGTTACTGTAGCATCTGTTCAATGTGCATGGGAAGAGATAACGAACCACATTCAACGCAGCTCTGTCCACGCCGATCGTGTAAACAAGGTCATCAATGACACCGTTCACCGTTTGCTGAGAACGAAAGTATTGTGGGTCGATGTAGTATATATCTCTAAGCAACGGATAAAAACGTTCAGCATATCATCTCAGGTATAAATTCCACGTGAAGTCAACCCACCTTTTGGAGATCGACTGCCCACTCCGAATTGCTTTGTCAATGATAGCCAGGATCCGAAGAATGACAGCTAAGATATAATCAAAGACTCTGTCAGTTATTTGGTCTACTAGTGCGAATGTATACTGGCCCTGCGGGTTGAGATCATACTGAACTTCCAAGCCTCAAACGCTGTGGTCCCTGGCCAAGAGTATGTTTTGTATGTTTCGGCTCTGAGATTGGCCTCTAATGCCCCGTTGATCGGATTGATTACACAGGCTGCTGGATTGGCTCTGCGCTTGAGGGTGATTGATGGGTGTGCTTCCGTTGGGGATAGCGAGAGCTCATGAACTAGGTCTGTGAGTGTGTTGTCGATGAATGCTCTGACTGTGGGATCTCGAGTGATTTCTCTACTCGAATACTCCGTTGCGAATGTCTGAGCCATTGCGCCTTTGTTGGATGAAGGGTGACGAATCTGAACACTCGGGTTCTGGAAAAGGAAGGTAGGTTGATCTTGGTCCACCTTCATCTCCGGCTCTACTAAGGCACTTTCCACATTATAGATTCTTTACTATGCAGATTGTGATATAAGAACACTTATCAATTAACTTATTATAATACAATGTAGTTCATCATTCTGTGGAACTCAGTGGCTAAAAATATAAACACACGAAGACTGAGGCTGACTAGGCAAACCGATTTTTGTACAGCAGTGACAAGTTGACACAACAAAGAGCTACATCATAGCAAATATTCAATATCCTTTGCGTTTACTTTATTATCCGCATTTAAACCGAATCATTTGCGCAGAGGTTGTTAAACTAAAAACGCGGCCATATACTTTTCTGCACTAACGACTACTTTTGGTGATCTATAGTAAAACATCTCCGGTAGTTATTCTAGATCTATGTTGAGTTAAGTATTAAGTTCTAGACTTCCGATGCCATGCTCCTGTGATGCCGATTTTCATGGTCCGTGGCTTTTGAGTGACATCCTAACAGCGTCATTGACTGAACATCATTCAAATACACAAAAAAAAAAAAAAAAAAAACGCTTTGATGTCATTTACTCCATCAGTCTAACAATTACTTCGCTGTATATTTTAAACAATGCCAAACGGACAAGGTCCACATGTGCTGTTGACGGGTGCCAATGGCTTTGTCGCCTCTCACATACTCTGGATCCTCATAGATGTAAGCAGTGCGATCGTTTGTCAGAATGCCTCGCTGACACCTCATAGCGTGGATATAATGTCACTGCAACAGTACGCTCCCAAGAAAAGGCAGAAGATATCATCAAAACCCATCCGGACTGGCTGGGCAAGGTAGAATTTGCAATTGTTGCGGACTTCACCTCTGCAAAGCCTTTTGATCATCTATTCGATGATTCAAAGACCCCATTCAACTATGTGATCCATACAGCATCCCCGGTGACATTCTCGGTGAAAGATATCCAGAAAGAGATAATCGAGCCAGCCGAAATGGGGTAAAACCACCTTTTATCAATAAAATATCCATTCGAGATAGCTAACGCATTCTTAGGACTACTGCAATTTTGATAGCCGCCGAGAACCACTGTGGAGCTGCTCTAAAACGATTTGTTCTCTTGGGAAGCGCAGTATCTGTACTGGACTCCTTTGAAGACATCTCTAAGCCAGGAAAGCCGTACACCGAGAAAAACTGGAATCCTGTCAGTAAACCCATTTACATTTTCGAACATACTACAGGTTGCCAACTAAATGACAGGTCACAGCCAAGCAGGCCATTGAGCATAAGGACAATGTCCTTGGATATAATGTATCAAAGACCCGAGCTGAGAGGGCTGCATGGAACTTCATGAAGGAGAAATCTCCCACTTTCGACCTGGTAGTGATCAACCCTGATATCATTACCGGCCCAATGACACACCCTATTTCAGGTCCAAAGTCTATCAACGAGACTAACCAATTCGCTATTGCAAACTTCATTGATGGGACTCACAAGGAGATTGAAGGAGTGAGATTTCCTTTCTACCATTTTGTGAGTTGTTTCCCTATGTTGGAATCCAATCATAGTATGATGCATGAACGTTGTCTAACAAAACATTCAGGTGGACGTCCGTGATGTAGCCCGAAGCCATGTCGACGCGTTAGAAAACTCGGCCGCCGCAAACCAACGCATTCTTCTCATCTCCGGTTTGATCACACCCCAGCTGGTCGCTAACTACCTCCGCAAGAACTTCCCTGAGCTTAGGAGCCGGGTTCCTGAAGGTAACCCGGCCCAGATCTTGCCTCCTGGTGTGTGCCCCACGGATTGGGATACGCGGGTTAGTCTGGATATTCTTGCTAAAGGTACCAAGGATGGTAAATGGGAGTATGTGGATTTGGAGACAAGTATCATTGATTCTGTTAAGACAATGATCAAGAATCGGGTTATTTAGTTCCATGTTATGGGGGAGTATACAAAATATCAAGTTGTTCGACAGAAGTACCTTCTACGCGCATCATCAAGTTTTCAGGTATTAAATCACAATCCAATATACTTATGTTATGTGTCTCTTGTATATTAATCAAACCGATCAAAATTATTTCCGATCGGCATAAGTCGGTGTACCGGTCGCTTTTCCCATCCTCTTTCTCACTTTTCCATTCTTTCTACCTTTCTATCTCGCACTCATCGCTGCGCCCCTGCAATTTCGCCCGCCCATCTATCGACATATTCAACCACACAATTCTCCTTCCTCTTCGACTTCCATGGTCATTCTTTCTTCACGTCGACTTCATTCCGAATCTACTACAAAAGTTTGCTCGGCCGTAAGCCGGAAACAATATCTTGCTCCACAGACCAAGCTTGCAAAAGAAAGGCGGCAGACAATTAGAAACATCCGGATCAATATAAGGAAGAATCGAATTTTGGATCGTTTCAAAGCCGTTCAGATCAGCCAAGCATTTAGTATTTGAAGATGAGAGCCTTATGAGCGCCGGCTAGATTAGTACTAACATGCAAGCGGGAAAAAAACCGATTCATTTCAAAAACAAAAGCTGGGCCTGGGTCGCTCAAGGCTAAACCGCTTTTCCTCGGCATCACTAGAGTTCATCTGAAACCACCTTTGTATTAGGTTATGGGCAGATCATCAGATCATCACCCACGTCCTCGTCCAGCTAATGCTTGAGGGCGTTTCAGTGCATAGTTCTCGGGATATTCATTCCCATCTTCGTCCTGCACCGTCCCATAGCAGCCATTGTAAACAGGAATCCATCCATCTGAATAATTCGGACACAGCGCCGACATGGTATCCCAATCATAGTTTATATAGAGCTCCCATAAGGCCTTGATTTGCACCCTCATAAAACCGCGGTAAGAAGCCTTATCGTACCTTTCTTCGGGATTGTACCGTGCATCAACTACCCCAACAAACCCGTTCCGTTCACCCTTCGCAATCGATTTCAATGATCTCTCATCAATCACGAGACAGGAGGCAAAGCGAGATTTCTCGCTACAATCCTCGTGCTTAATCTTACGCAGATATTTGGCAAAATGGCCGCGGATTTGCTCAATGCTAGCACTACCCCAGCGATTCGGGTCAGAAATAATCACATCCTTATGTGATTCTTCTATCAGTTGCTCAGGGCGGGTTTCATCCCCATCGAGCTCCCTGGGATGGTCCAATTCACCCCTAATCCCCCTCTTTAGCTGGTGGGCCATTCTTTCCATGACGATTGGCCACAATTCCTCAGACTCAGGCGTGTAGACTGTTCGATAGATAATAAACCCCCAAGGGAAATAGCGTGGAGATCGCTGAGCTAAGAACTGGCGGCTACGGCGATTAGCCGCATTATTGAACCATGGCTCCTGCAACCATTTTGCGGAGGCCTCTTGAGTGAGCTCGGGGTGGTACCAGCGTTGTGCCCAGACCGGGTGATGGTAAAACTTCTCAGAATTTAGTTCCTCAAACTGATCGTTAGGCTTGTTAACCGGGTCAGAAACAGATGGCGACGTAGCTATAGAAGTCATGTGTGGAAAGTGATATACCACGAAACAACCAAAGAGAAGGAGAAGGGAAAGATAGTACATTATGGAGATAGGGAGGTCCATTGTGGCTAAACCACGGGAGGGCTCAAATGCGGGTGTTCAAGAAGGAAAAGATTCATAAGGGGAGAGATAAGGACCTAGGAGCCTTAGCGCGGATTCTTTGGACGCGACTCCTAGCATTTATAGATCTTCGGTTTGGCCTTCCCTCGATTATCACCTTGGCAGCCCCAAAACCTAACTATAAAATTCAAATCGTCGTCTATAACTGCTATAGGAGAAGTCACAAATGCTCAGCCACCCACCGATGGTTTTCTAGAAGGCCACAACCTTCCTTGAAGATCTCATTCAGTCACTGTGTTCTAACTAAGAGCTCGTTTAAGTAGGAGATATAGTTGCCAGAGTAGGCCGCGAGCTGCTCCCCGGGGTGCTTACGGGGGTAGGCGCACTAGAGGAGATCGACCATCCCGGGTTAGGGCCGACGCAATAAGCATTTCCAACGACCAACCCGTCGGAGCAATTCGAATTTGTGAGAGCTGGGTTCGTAAAGTGACGCGCCGCTTCGCGTGTAGACGGAATTTCTTGCTTTTCAATAGCTTGAAAAGCTAATACGATCCTACCCTCTTGCTCCGTATGTTTTTGTTGTTGAGGATTGAATACGAATTGGTGGCATAGTGGGTGGGTGAAGAAGGTAGGTCTAATTAATTGACGCGTTTTCGCGTCGCTGATCCCCTTGGTTGTGTGATCCACTCGATTCGAGTGAAATACGTTATACGCCGCAGTCGTGATACCGATGACTAAGCTTCCCCAGCTTTCCAATGTTTGCTCTACCCTGAGCTTTTTGTCTTCAATCAACACTCCATTGAGCATGCCTTCTACGCCTCATATTGGTCCGTGGAGGACACCAGCTCAGGGCCATCTCACCCCTGATGCCAATGGAGATCTGCAGACCGACTATACTCGCTGGCGATTGGTCGATGAAGAAGGCCGCCAGACATGGCGGTATCTCGAATCCGACGAGGAACTTCAAAAATGGCCGCAGTCAATCGCAGACAAGTACCATCTAGGATTGCCAACGGTATGTGATCATTGACATCATGTCATCTCAATCTTAGTTCTAACGCCAAGATAGGGTCTTCCCGAGCTTCCAGAGGCCAAGACGCCCTTGGAAGCTGCCGAGAATGGTCTGTCATTCTTCTCACATCTCCAACTCGAGCCCGGTAACTGGGCTTGCGAGTATGGTGGCCCAATGTTCTTGTTGCCGGGTATTCTGATCACTTATTATGTGACCAAGACCCCGATTCCCCCTGAGTATGCAACAGAAATCAAGCGTTATCTGTTTGCCCGCCAGCAACCCGAAGATGGTGGTTGGGGCCTGCACATTGAAGGTCACAGCTCTGTCCTCGGTACTTCTCTTAATTACGTTGCTTTGCGTTTGGTCGGTGTCGGCGAGGATGATCCACGCATGATCAAAGCCAGGGGCCTCCTGCATAAGTTTGGAGGTGCCATCTACGGACCCCACTGGGCCAAGTTTTGGCTTAGTATTTTGGGTGTCATGGAATGGGAAGGTGTCAACCCAGTTCCACCCGAGCTTTGGTAGGTGAAAGTTATCATCAGTGTACGTGGCCGTTGTTGACTGGCTTTCTAGGCTTCTTCCCGACTGGGTTCCTTTCGCCCCTTGGCGGTGGTGGTGTCACATGCGCCAGGTCTTCCTCCCAATGTCCTACCTGTGGTCCAAGAAGTGGTCTCATCCTCTGGATGATCTGACAAAATCGCTCCGAGAAGAGCTATACACTCAGCCATATGATAGTGTGGATTTTGCTGCACACCGCAATTCCATCCACGAGGCAGACAACTACTACCCCAAGACTTGGTTGCTTAACTTTGCTAATGATTTGCTGGTTCGGTTCTGGAACCCCTATCTTCGACACCCTAGCATCGTTAAGCGCGCTGAGGATTGGACTTGGGAGTTGATTCGCATGGAAGATGAGAACACCAAGTATGCGGGGCTGGGACCCGTCAACAATCCAATGAACATGGTGGCTTGCTTTATTCATGACGGCCCTGACAGTTACTCTGTCCGTCAACATCGGGAGAGATTGAATGATTACATGTGGGTCAAGGGCGAAGGCATGCTGGCTAACGGAACCAACGGTGTTCAAGTGTGGGACACGGCGTTCATCACCCAGGCCATTGTGGTTGCTGGCTTCGCCGATGACCCCAAATGGCGGCCTATGTTGACCAAGGCCTTGGAGTTCCTCGACGATCACCAGCTACGAGAGAACGTTCCAGACCAAGAAAAGTGCTATCGCCAACACCGCAAGGGTGCATGGCCCTTCAGCACTAAGGATCAAGGTTATACTGTCAGCGACTGTACAGCTGAAGGTCTTCGTTCAACACTGCAGCTGCAGGAGATGTATCACTTCCCGAAGTTGGTTCCGGTGCAGCGATTGAAGGATGCTGTGGACTGTCTCCTCCTCATGCAGAACCCCAGCGGTGGCTTCTCGGAGTACGAGATTACTCGTGCGTCACCCAAGGTAGAGTGTCTGAACGCGGCCGAAGTCTTTGGCGGAATCATGATCAGTTACGACCACCCAGAATGCACAACTGCCTCCGTGACAGCACTATCACTGTTCAGCAAGTTTTACCCAGATTACCGTGCCGATGAAATCAGGGACGCCAAGAGGAAGGCCGTCGCTCACATCAAGCACGTGCAGCGCGCCGATGGTAGTTGGTATGGCTCTTGGGGAATCTGCTTTACCTATGCTGCCCTGTTTGCACTTGAAAGTCTGGCCAGTATTGGCGAGACTTATGAAACAAGCGCGGACTCCCGTCGGGGCTGTGATTTCTTGATTGAGAAGCAGCAGGCTGATGGTGGCTGGGGTGAGTCGTATCTCAGCAGCTCAACCCATCAATATGTACAACATGAGAAGTCTCAGGTGTGTCAGACGGCCTGGGCTCTTCTTGGACTCATGGAGGCCGACTACCCACACAAGGAGCCGTTGGAGAAGGGCATCAAGCTGTTGATGTCGCGTCAACAACGAAACGGAGAGTGGCTACAAGAGGCGATTGAAGGTGTTTTCAACCAGTCCTGGTAAGTGTTCCTGATTTGATTGTGAATTGTGAATTGTGAATTCTAACAGACTCTATAGTATGATATCGTATCCTAACTACAAATTCTACTGGCCTATCCGTGCGCTGGGCCTGTACAGCAGGAAGTATGGGAATGAGAAGCTCTAGGCTAGATCACCAGGGGAAAGGCTCTCAGGCGGGAAATATGTACTTAATCAATAATAAGACTAAGAAGCTACCTGATATTTACGACGTAACGCGACGATGTGATGACTCTGCCGCGTTTGACTGCCAAACAAACGACCGATTGTTCTTGTAATATGCAACTTTTTCTCCTTTTCTTTCTTTCTGGTTCTCCTCCCTGTCACGCATCAAACAAAAAGCCCCTGTATCTCAACAGTCGGTGAGGGTATGCGCCGGACCGCCATCTCCATCCAGCCTTGGCTGAAGTGGAACCGCAGAAACACCCGGCCCTACCTCCAACGCCTCCTCTTCGGCCTCGAGTTCACTCTCCGCGAGCCCCAAGACCCCTCCTACGCCGCAACCGTAGCCGCAATGAACGCCGCAGCTCAAGGTGACAAGGCGCTTAAAAGCTCCGACCTACCCCTGGCCATCCAGCACTACACCCAAGCTCTGACGGAGCTACCCCGCGCCCCGGCCTACTACATTTCGCGCTCGACCGCCTACACGCGCCTCAAGTCCACTGACGGCGGCCCCAACCCTCAAGCTGCCCTCCGCGATGCTGAATGCGGTCTTATCCTCGCTCGCGAGCGCGGAAAGCGTGAGCTGATGCTCGCTGCGCAGATGCGCCGCGCTATCTCGCTGTACCAGGTTGGCCGCTACGGAGATGCGGAATTCGTGTTTACTATCGTTGATGGGAAAGCTGGTGTGTCGGAGCCGGAGGATAGATCTGCTGGTATCCAGGCGGCTATGTCTGGTGTGAAGAAGGGTCCTCTGGGTTCTGAGTTGCCTGTTTGGCTCACTAAGGTGCGCAAGGCCATGCGCGGGCTGTCTGAGGGTGATGAGAAAGCTGTTGTTTCTGTTGTTGAGATTCCGGAGAATGTCCAGATTCCTACTGAGGCTGAGTTGAAAGCTCAGCTGGCTGCTATTAAGTCTGGCAGGATTGTTGGTGCTGTGAAGGCACAGGAGGGTGTTTCCAAGGCTGATTCGGCTCCTGTTTCGTCTGCCATTGCTGGATCTTCGGCTGCTCCGGCTCAGAATGCTAATATCGGTGCTGCTGCCCCTGTTCCGGAGAAGGTGCGCCATGAGTGGTATCAGTCTCAGGACTCTGTTGTCGTCACCCTCTATATCAAGGGAATCCCCAAGGATAAGGTTACAACTGACCTGAAGGAGGGCTCGGTAAGTCACATCTTTGTTCTTCGCCCTTGCATCGGATGCTGACAAGCTACAGATCTCTCTACAGTTCCCTCTTCCCTCTGGCTCCGAATATGACTTTACCCTGGATCCCCTCTACGCCACCATCAATGCCTCTGCTTCAAAGGTATCTGTCATGGGCACTAAGATCGAGATCACCCTGCAGAAGCAAAAGGCAGGCCAGAAGTGGAGTGCTTTGGAAGGCTCTTCCGCCATCGCGGGGCTGACCGACCGCCCCGCTGCGCCTGCTGCACCAGCTGCCTCAGGTCCGTCCTATCCCACCTCGTCCCGCAGCGGCGCCAAGAACTGGGATCAGGTTGCCTCTTCGCTTACCGAGAAGAAGTCCAAGGGAGACTCGAAGGATGGCGCTGATGATGCCTCGGATGATGAGCTCGGCGGTGATGCAGTCGATGGATTCTTCAAGAAGCTTTATGCGAACGCCGATCCTGAAACCCGCCGCGCCATGATCAAGAGCTACACTGAGAGCCAGGGTACTTCTCTGAGTACCAACTGGTCTGAGGTTGGAAAGGGCAAGGTTGAGGCTCACCCTCCAAATTGATGGCTCACGACTTGCTTCAATTCGCTCTGTCAAAAGACTTGATTTCATGATTCCATATGCTATGCCGCATCCAGCGAAGGTGTTCTGCCAAATGTCTTTATTTTTATCATCACCCATGTCAAACTAGTTTCCAATTTACTGGCTTAACCTTCCTGGGACATGGCTCATGGCCTTGAACCGTACTTCAATTTGTAACTACCGGGATTATGCCCACTGTCATAGTAAGAAGACTGGGTCTGAAAGAAAACCGAAAAATATCCCCATCCCATCTTTTTCCCAGCACCAAACTCATTCAGCCCTAACTCATCTCATCTAGGGACATCTTAAAACACCTGTTGGAGCAGTCCAAGGATTAACCGACTTCCCATTAGCCCCCCTCAGAGCAGCACTGAACCCATTCCCAAACAGCTCAATGGAGAAATAACAACCAGGTGTGGTGGGCGATGGTCCCAAGAACGAAGGGGCATCATAATACCTCACAACGATCTCGCTTGGCAGAGCAAGTCTCTCTCCCGCACTCCTCATCAAACCGCCTTTCTCTATATTCAATTGCTCGCACAGAATCAACACTTGGACCGGCTGGTTCCCAAACACCGTGCTCTGGATACCTGTGTAGGTCGTGCAGAGCTTGGTCATGGCACCCTGCTCCAAGTCATTCCCAGTGGAGATGTTAGCGGCCAGGAAACCGTGTTTGTTGTATACGACCACGATGCTGCAAGTGCCGAACCCGGTCATTGAGACATTTGGGTAGCTGCTCCAACTACCGTGGGCTGTCTGTTCGGGCATCACGTTCATTGTTGCGGGTTTCTTTGCACGGGAGGTATCTTCGGAACGGGATATTGAGTCGAGTTGTTGCGTTTGGGGAGGCAAGAGAGCTCTCGTCTTGAGAATGAAAGATGATTGCTCGGGTGGAAGAGTTTACTAGGGCTTGCTTTGTCTGCTCGGCTTTGTGCCTTGGTACTCTGCTCAGTCCGACTACATCTACCCCGGGGGATTCCACGACTCTATATATAATCAACACGCGAAAAAGAAGAGATCAAGATGTAGACAGTTGGGCTGGAATCAGTAAAAACAGATTCTGCAAAGTCCAGCACCCAATTCCGATGCAAACTCCCGGGTGGGAGATACAGTTGGCTGGGAAGACACCACAGCAACCACAGCAACCACAGTGAGCTCATAGAACCAGAAACCACGATTTACAGTAGAGAAAAAACACCTCCACCCCGAACCGTGGATTACACCTGCATAAGTGAAAATAGGCAAACTCAAAGCCGAAAATGATAGGCTGGTGTTTCGTGAGGGCTCAGACTTAGCCTGGGTGCTATTCGTTCTCCGTGAAACTTATATTTGCCGCCGGCCCCCCCTAACCCGCCCCAAACTCCCCTCGTTACATCCACTATAAGTGATGTTTTCTTCGTAAGATTTGCCGACTTTCCTTCTGGATGCCCGACATGATCGGCTGCTTGCTTTAGTGTGATGGTGTTTCAAGGTATTTGCATAAGTAATCCTGGGAGTGGTTGGCTGCCGTGCCAAGTTCTCTACTAGGGGTCCTGGTGAGAACCGTTGTATCCCGCAGGTGTGAGACCAGATGGGCTTCTTGGGCATGATGTGGGATGTTGGGAGCTGGGAGAGCTTGCTTTTTGATATATCGATCCATGTCTTATGGCGTCACGAATCCAATCGCGGATCCCTAATCCCTGTTCTGTACCGAACTCTTCCCTTGTACTTTGCTGGCGAGGTTTTCGTGTTGATATTGACCGCTAGTCTGGGCTTGATCATGTTCCGGGGGAAAGAAGAAATGTGTCTTGCAGGTGTTGCTTTATTGGCTCATATTTGGCCAGTGTTCTGGGCTTAGACTAAGGTTCGAAGGGAACTCTTGAGTCCGATCATCAGATGGCGCTTCTGAACAGTTCCAGCAAGTAACGGGATCGGAAACAAATAGACCTTGCTGGGAGTAATCGCATCCTGGTCATACAGCTCGCGTGTCCACCACAGCAGCAACGTTCATTCCGTATCATCCTGAATAGAATATCTTGCATGGGTATTTTGCCACCGTTAGCGAAGAGCAAACAAAGAGTGTACACAATAAGGGAATTATATGACTATGATATCGGACTCAAAATGTCAGATATCTCAATAGATATAGAATTAGAGGTATGCCCTTACCCGAGACGATCGGTGTCCGCAATGTTATTGACCGGCCTTTGGTCAACGTGCATAACCAAACGACGATATCGATTTCTTGTCTAGGTGGACAGCTTGAACGTGGCTCCAATGCCTGAGTCGACCAGGAGTCGACGATTCTGCCCCATTAGTCGGTTCCATGATAGACAAATAGAAGTGCTGTTTATTGATTTTGGAGCTATGAAGTGTATGTATTCAATGGCCGGCGTGACCGTGTTCTCAGTATAATCATTTCGTTAATCTTACATGAGCCGTTTGAGTGGCTACTCCTGGTCATCATACTCATCATCAGCACCCTTGTTGTCACTGTACAGGAAGAACTGGGCGAAGATCGCCATATCCAACAAAAGGGTGCCAGCACTACCAACAAGCCAGGACAGATTGACCAGCACATACCGCCCATATAAGGCAGCCGCCTCACCGGGGTGGCACTTCTCGCGGTGACGATGACCCATAGCACCCACAGAAGACGATTCGCGGTGGCAAACAGGCGAGTATGCCAAGATGGACAGCACATATGTTAGGTTACCAATGCAGGCAAAGAGGAAGAAAAGCAAAGAAACTCCATCTGTGGATTTGCGGCGGAAGTTCAGGAGGAGCTGGGGCAGACGGGATCCCAGGTACAGTACTGCGCAAAGGTACCCGAAGACTTGGCCGAGGACGTCCATAGTAAGGGGTTCCGCATCAGGTGCTGAGGACTTCGAGGCTGGGCTGACGTACCATCCCAGCACACCCGCGGCACAGACGAGAGCCACGGCGGTAGAATTGAAAAGGATGGTTTGGACGGTTGAAATACGGCGACGGCGAGCTCTTTCGGAGCGGCTGCGTGAGGAGTCGGGCTCGACGAAGGGGGTTGCAGGGGAGAGATGAGTTCCATCCACTGATGAGTGAAAAATATCATGGTACGAGGCTGCTGAGTGTCTTCTTCCCTCCGAGGCATGGGCTGGGCGTGTACCTTCTTGGGAAGAATGTCCAGCTGCGTTCCGGGCAGGTTCTTGGGGTTGAACATGGCCGTTAGACTTGGGAATCAGTGCAGATCTCTCAGTTGGTGCTGGGTGCTCGGCGCCACTAGCCTCGGCATCGCTGGTACCATTGACTGGTGTAGCTCCCGGGGTGGGCGACGGAGACAACTCGTCTCTGAGGTTGAATCCTCGGTAGTAAAAGCATTGACCCAGTAAAACTATGTCCGCTAGAGTGTAGTACACAGCAAGGATAATCATGGTGGGCAGAACACCCTGCATGACAGCACCGAGAATATTGAATACATCTCCGGCCAACCAGACAATCAGGAAAAGAAGAGAAAGACCATCTGCAGAGCCGCGTCGGAAATTTTCAATAATCTGCGGAGAGAACACAACTACCCAGCAGGCAATTGAAATTGACCTGAATTGAATTGGGTTAGTCTTTGGTTTGAAAAAAACGCAATTGACAAAATCGAGAGATCGTCGGTCTCAACGGATCTACCTGTCACACACGTATGTATGCACTGAGATGCACCGTAAGGACCACATAAAAGAACAACAAATTCAACAGAAATGTAACTTTTGAGACTTACCCACAGATGCCGCTCAGGGCCTCAATGTTAAAATTAGCCGCCTGCGAGGGGAACATGTTGCAGGCGGAACCGTATGATTCAGAATGCGAAAATTTTCGCTTAGGTATCAAGTCTAAGAAACAGTATATTGCACAAAGAGAGTTGAACACGAGTCAAAATACATGGGCAATCCAGCTCTGTACAAGTCGACAAAGTAACAATTAAAGCGGGAAAAGAATTGGAGAAAGCGGATGGAAGGTGGATGACGTCTTGGGCCGGTCACGTGCCAGGGAGTATAAACGGAGAATTCAGCAGGCAGGACGTGTATTTCTTCCTATTTCTTGCTATTCCTAGCTGAAAATAAAATCAATGAGGATGGACTACCTATTGATGGTCTCATCATCTTGAATCAAGCAGCAACCTTCATGATTTGCTCCAGCTTGTCCTGGAAATCACAGAAGATGTTTACAGCCTAGACATCATTAGCACAAAAGGAAATGTAAATTATACTAAGTTGACATACCTCAGTCAATTTTATCTGACTAGCGCCACCAAGGTCTCGTGCAAACGTGATCTGATAACTCCCCGGATCATTCACGAAAGACACGCCCTTCGCTGGAATAGGCAAAGTAGGAGCAACATCAAACAGCGAGTTAACATTTCCAGTGTAAGGTTGATTTAATTGACTCAAAAGATGAGGTGCAATGGTAAGATGATTTACTCCAGCAAGGAAGTAAATCTCTTCAACAGAGGTCAAACTAGCGGGCAGGACCTTTGTGGAAGCATTGATCGCTTTGTAATGTTTCTGTATAGCTGCACAAAGCGGGAGTAACTTTGCCTGGTCAACGAGCCTGTCAAGAAATAGCTCACAGTTAGCTCCATAAATAGGCACAAATATTTAAACTTACCCAGTATTGACCTGAACCTTCAATTCATTAACATAAGGCGCAATATAAGTGCACCCAACTTCAGCAGCAAGAACAGCCTGCGCCATACTAAACAGCGTAGTAGCAAGAGTACACACACCAGCCAGCTCAAGCGTGCGACAGGCCATCATTCCTTCCCACGTACTTGGGATCTTGATAGAGATGCGATCCACATCGAAACCGGGATGGACGTGCTGGAATAGTTGGACAAGACGTAGTGCATTGATGACTGTCTTCTCCGACGAGTAAGAGTAGTATGGGTTTGTCTGTACATGGACTCGTCCGCGAATGTGCTGTGCCATTCCGGCGGCCATTCGCACCATCTAGTATTTCTTTTAGTGGCAATTTTCTTTGAATTTGGTATTTGTTGTTATTCGAGACATACCGCGACCTCGACGGCTAGTTCTTCAATCGTGATCGAGGAGTACTTTGCATGCAGTGCTTTCGCATCGGCTAGCGATGTGGAAATCACCTCGGCGCGTATTGGTTTGGAGAGCTCGCCGAAGGCGATGGCCTGGGCGGTTAGCACCCGCCTTACGATTAGGTGCATTGAGCCATACTTGGTTGGAAGTGCAGTCTTGGAATGGGCCCAGAGTTTTGGCAACTATGACCTCTTAGATTGTTGTTCATAGGCATGTGTTTGTTGCTAGGTATCTTACCTTCTTCGTCCATTGTGTCGCAGTCAACAACCGTGCGCGAACGCATGTAGTCAAGACCTGTCTGGAGAGCCATCCTATATTATAGAAAGAAGAGAAGATTAAAATTCAACCGGCTGATATAGAAAAACCCGGACACAAAGTCTGAAAAGGTGAGTGATGGAAAAGGAGAGATGATAGACATCCCACCTTCTCCGGATAGAACCCCAGATGGGCTATTATTGGGGGAATTCCGGGGCCCCAACAGCCCACCAAGTGGCAAGTCCAGGCACTTTTGCCCGAGTACTTCAGATGTTGGACTACGTTGCTCCGAGCTGCATGTCAATTGAGGGGTAGTGCTTAGATTATCCCAATCAGGTAATTGTTGGATTGTAGGACAAGAAATATAGGATTGATATATGCCTGAAACGCCCCGCGATGCAAAATGGATGATCCTCCTGAAGTGCCGAGGTATCAAGCTAGTTCTTAATGCTTTTCTTTACCCTTTTCTCTATTTGGCCTGGGTGGCCAACCACGCCTCGTGCGTCTTCTTCTGGCGTTCCCAGTCTTTGCGAAGCTTCTTCGCGCGGCTCTTGGTGATCTCCTCGCCAGCGGCGTCACGGGTAGGAACACCGTCCTCGTCCCAGGCGCTAAACTCGTTGGTGCGGAACATCTCCAGATGGCTCAGCTTGCCTTTTTCGGCCTTCTTGAGAGCTTCCTGCTCCTTCTTCGCCTTCTCTTCCTGCTTTTGACGAGCACGGATTTCCTTCTCCTCGCGTGCCTTGAGCATCTCCTGGGTAACAGGTCGGACAAGGGCGGGTTGGTTGTCCCGGTCCTCGAGGTAAACACCAACATCGAAGAGGTCAATGTCACGCACTCGGTCGCACAGGGACAGGATATCCTTGCCGACTGAATCAGATGACTCCAGGGACACAACCTTGTTGCGGAAGTTGGAGTAAAGCTCCGCGTAGGGCTTGGCGCATTCGGAAGCCTCTTGCGGGGCCGGTGCGGCGGCGACGGCGTCCTCGATATCCTTGGCTGAGATGCCAGCCTTGGAGCGAGCAGCTTGGCGCAGAGTGTCACGAATGGCCGAGAGGGGGTACAGGTAAGCCTTGGCCTCTTCGGGAACATCAATACCAGTCCAGCCAAGCTCAGCAGTGTCAGCCGAGGCCGTACCGTTAAGACCAAAGATGTTGACGATAGAGGTGACCCATCGTGCGGCATCCTCGGCGTCCTTCGGGTTCAAGGTAGCCTTGTCGACAACGTTGAACTTGGTAATGAGCTCCGAAATCGACTGCATGACAGCTGGAGTGTTGAAGGAGTCGCAAAGCTGCTCATCGACAGCCTTCTTGGCAGCTGCCAAATCAGCAGCAAAGGTGGTGTCGGTACCAGACGACTGGACAGCCGAAGGGTTCTTGACCTTGAGGAAAAAGTTGTTCACCTTGTCCTCCCACGAGCTGCTGGTGTTAACCAGCTCATCTGTGATCTCAACGCCGTCCTTCCAGCCACCGAGAAGGAAGACAATACGCAGACTTCTCGGAGTCCAGTCCTTTCGGTCCAGGGCTTCCCGAATGGTGGTGAAGTTCTTCAGTGACTTGGACATCTTAGACCCTTGAATAGACAGATGGCCCATGTGCAAGAAGTAGTTGACCCACTGGTCATGCTTGTGGTCATCATGCCAGTAGGCCTCACTCTGCGCAAGCTCATTATCGTGGTGGGGGAAAGCAAGGTCAATACCTCCGGAGTGAATATCCATCTGGTTACCGAGCCTGGCAGAAGCCATGGCCGAACATTCAATGTGCCATCCAGGGCGACCCTTGCCCCAGGCACTAGACCAAGCCGGCTCACCGGGCTTGGAGGACTTCCAGAGTGCGAAATCAGAAGCACCACGCTTCTCTGTGGTTTTGCTAGCCAGAGAACCTTCACCTTCTGCAGCCAACTTGTTGTCAGACCGACTCCAGGGCTCAAGGCGAGCGTATGGGTGACCTGCGGCCTCGAAGGCGTTGATATCGAAGTAAACCGATCCATCTTCAGTGGCATATCCAAACTTGTTCTGAACAATGCGGTCCACGAAAGCCGCAATCTCGTCACCGTATTCCGTCACGCGAGTCAATTCAGTAGGATCCAGAACATTCAGGTCCCGCATATCGTTAAGGAACCGCTCCTCGTATCTCTTAGTAAGCTTGGTGAAGATGCTGTGGTCGTTGGCATCAACAGATGCACCCTTGAGCGCATCAAGATAGGGAAGAATGAGGTCTTGCGCATCCGTGTAGAAGGTCTCAGCAAACAGAGCAGGGTCGGCACTACTGCCATCCCGGGCTTCAGCCTGCGCAATGACATTTGCGGCCGAGGCAGCTGTCTTGATGTGCATCTTGACCTTAGCCTCATCATCGCCAGCTTTTTCATTTCCGGGCAGAGCTCCGCCATTCAGAATATTCTTGTAAGCCTTTTCCACGGCGGCCCTGTATTGCGACGGAGGAAGTGCGGAATCGAGCAAGGGCAGGTTCTTCTTCAAGTAGGCAGTGAAAGCACTCTTGGCGATATCGAGAACCTCCGGGGTAATTGTCGGACTAGCAGCGACGAATTCGTTGAACAGGTGTTGTTGTCTGGCGCGGAGAATGATCTATACAATTCGTGAGTCACACCATTGAGGACCTGTGTCATCTACACCACAACGCGAATCCATACCTTGTCGTCAACATCCGTAATGTTCATAACAAAGTTGACATCGAACTTGAAGTAGTCGCGCATAATTCGGCGGATAATATCGGTGCTAACATAGTTGCGGGCGTGTCCCAGATGCGCATCGTCGTAAACAGTCGGGCCACACGCATACCACATAACTTTCTTGCCGGCAGGGTCGATCGGAACAAAGGGAGTCTTGGTCTTGGTCAAAGAGTTCCACACCTTCAAAGCAGGCAGTTGCGCGTCCGGGCTGGACGGTTGCCGCCATGGCGGCTGTTGACGTGAAGACATGGACCTAAACGAAGCGAACAAAGGTAGAAACCGCTGTTTGGACGGAGAGGGGAGTAAGGGCAATCGGGGGAGGAGCATAAAGAAGCTAATGGAGGGGGAGGGGCTCTTGTTACGACTCATCCAGCACTTGCGGACTCGCTGTGATTGGCGGTAGCTGGGGATTGGAGGACCAAGCCCTGAGCCCTACTTTATACCCCGATTGGGTAACATGGCAACTTTTTCGACATCATCTCGCCTTCCCCAGGCGCTTTCACAGTTCCCTCTTGTCACTCATCATGCCGTCTCCATTCTTGACGCCGAGCGCCACGGCCGACGCAGATGGTCTCGCCCTTTTGCAGCTGCGTCGCGATCAGATTATTCCAACTATCCTCCGGACATATGACGACGAGAACCAAGGCTACCTCGAAGGAAAAGTGACAAACACCCGATTTGGGTCCTTCCCACACAGTACCCTCATCGGCAAACCCTGGGGCTCACAAATTGTCGCCTCAAAAGTCGACACAGGCTCGCGCGGCCGCAGAAACACTGCAAAGCGCAAGGCCGAAGAGCTGGAAGGATCCGCCGCGTCGACACCCGCAGAAGATGAGAAGCCCGAATTGAAGACCGCCGTCGCTGCAACAAGTGGTTTCCTCCATGTTCTCGCCCCAACCCCCGAAGCCTGGACCCTCTCTCTCCCCCACCGCACCCAAGTCGTCTACACACCCGACTACAGCTACATCCTCCACCGACTGCGCGCACGACCCGGAAGCACAGTCATCGAAGCCGGAGCCGGTAGTGGCTCCTTCACACACGCGGCTGTGCGCGCCGTGTTCAATGGATACCCCGAAACAGCACAGGCGACAAAAAAGCGCCGCCTAGGAAAAGTGTGCAGTTTCGAGTTCCACGAGCAGCGCGTCGGAAAGGTACAAGCAGAACTCAAGGACCACGGACTCGACGGGTTGGTGGAGGTTACGCATCGCGACGTGTATGAAGATGGTTTCCTACTGGGTGATCCCAAGACCGGCCAATCGCCCAAGGCCAACGCCGTTTTCCTGGATTTGCCCGCGCCCTGGTTGGCACTGAAGCATCTCACACGCAATCCTCCCTCCGGCGAGTCAGCGCTCGACCCGTTATCACCTATCTATCTGTGCACTTTCTCCCCTTGTCTCGAGCAAGCCGAACGCACAATCCGCACTATGCGCCAGTTATCATGGCTGAACATCTCCATGGTGGAGGTCGCCCAGCGTCGGATTGACGTGCGGCGGGACCGTGTCGGGTTGGATACTGAAGGTGTGCGTGGTGCAACTCTTTATCCGAAGACCGTCGATGAGGCAGTCGACAAGCTGCGCAGTGATGAACAGCGCGCCAAGCGCATCCGTGAGCACCGGGCTAACAGGGAAAACCCTGATTACCAACCTATTGTGGAGGATCTGCCGGCTTATAAGGACGCTGCTTCTGATGTACCTTCATATGCTCTTGGTCGCTTAACCCATCGGACAGAGCCGGATCTTAAGACGCATACTTCTTATCTGGTTTTCGCTATCTTGCCTCGGGACTGGTCTGAGGAGGATGAGCAGAGGTGCAGGCAGGAATGGCCTTCTGAGAAGATTGCTAAGCCTGATGATAAACCGGTTAAGAGCAAGAAGCAGATGAAGAAAGAGGCCGCGTTGGAGCGGATACGCATTCGGGAGGAGAAGAAGCAACAGGAGCGGGATGGACAGGCTGCTGGGGCTGGTCAGACTGAGGGCGAGGTCCAGCCTGAGACGACTGAGGCGGAGATCGAGAAAGAGGTCAAGTTTGACGAGATGACCGATGCATGAGCAATGATCCGTTGTACAGAATAAGTAATTTGCCAACAACAAGCAACGGAGTTCCAACATGGTCATCAACGCGATAACCCGACTACTACATATACAACCCCGAACGATAGCCATGGCAATAGCTCAGATGGAATAATCTAAACGTAAATGCTATAAAATGCTTTCTAGGGTTATCAGATCATGATATGCAACAGAGATAAAAATCAGGGAATAGATGGTATCAACAATGATAGCAAGAGCAAAGCTAAGCTCATAGATTATTCTCAACCCTGAACTTGTCCCAAGCTTCATTCAGAGTTCCGAACACAGCTCCAGCAATCATGCGTTGTTCAGTAGTGGCAGTGGTAGAAATCTAAAACAGAGCAAGTCAGAAAAGAACCGAGCATTGCAGGGGAGTAGAAAGAAATCAGGATAAAACATACCTTGTCAGGGTGCACCTTGCCAATACCTTTCATATACTGAATCTTGACCTTGTTTGGCAAAACCAGTTCGGCCAAACCGACCTTCTTCCATCCGGCCTCGGGCCACAGCACAGTATCCAGACTGCCCAGGAGAGCGCGCAGGTTATCTTGCTTGCCATTCCTCCAGGTGGCAAGCCTGAGATCGACGCTCTCGGTAAGAGCGAATTTCTCTTCGTCGGCACGCTCAGCTGCCTGGTTAGCTTGTCGCAAACGACTGACAGCTTCAAAGTCCTTCCCAGACGCCGAAGTGGCAGTGAGATCCGACAAAGCAGATACCTGTTTAGGTGCCGGCGACGGCTTCTTCCTGGCAGGGGCAGCGGGCTTGGATTGGGGTTTGCTGGTGCCAGCGGCTTTCTCGCTTCGGTTCCGGCCTGCGATGCTTGTGCTTCCGCCATGGCCAGATTCGACGGCCAGCTTCCATGCCTGCGCTGCATCGCCCCAGCGCTCCAGTTGCTCGAGTGCTTCGGCCTTGCGCATTAATGCCTTGCCGTAGAAATCTTTCATGGGCTTGGGCGCTTCGCCGGTTCCGAGGTCAATCGTCTCAGATTCCCCCCTGGATGGGCCGATGAAAGTGAGGATGACGTCTGCATCTTCGATCGCGGACTTAGGCTCTCCAATCTTTAGACCAGTCATTGCGCGATTACTGCGAATGATAATTGTAATAGGGTGGTTGTCAGGAAGCATAGCAAGAGCTGCAGAGAAGCTTTGGTGGGCTTCTGCGTAATCGCCTCGCTTATATGATTCTGCAGCCTTACCACGGTGCCGATGTGTTGATTCAAGTGCCTGTGGCGATACAGGGGGGATAGACCGTGTTGGGGCTTTGGGGCGCACGGGAATGGGAATTGAGTGTGCAGGAGGTGTAATAGTTTGAGCTGGGGGAGATGGCTTTGGGCGACCAGCTGAGGGCGCAGAAGAGTCAAATAGGTCGACATTGGGCTCAGGCTGCGGTGACGCTTGTGGGCGCCTGCGTCTTGCGGGACTGACATAGGCTTCCGTTGACTGCTCTTCCGCAGCAAACCGTGAAAGTCGAGTTTTTGGATCCTGGGAGGTTTGTCTGGATGGGCGCTGGAGGAAATTGGGTTGCTGTCTTTGTTGCGCAGCGCCTGGAGAGGGCTGGTTGCGGGGAGGAAGATTCCTAGGATCAGGTTGGGGGCTTTCACGGGGACGAGTGGGTTTGCGAGACCGACCATCACCAGACTCAAGAAGAAGAGCTTCATTTGTGAAATCTTGCGGTTGCTTCTGGGCTTGGGCCTGGGCTGGCTGCTCACGGCGACTTAGGCGTTGAGGCTGTGGAGGAGCTTGATCGTGTGCGGATGGTTCTCTCATCCAGCGAGGCTGGCTGGGGTCATGCTCGGCGTTGAATTCATTCACAGCTTGCTGAAACTTCTTGCTACCGGTTTTCCAGAGCGAGCCTGCGGATTTCAGCAAGTTGTTACCGAATTGCGACGCCATCTGCGCAGGATCCTTGTCTGCTGAGGCAGGGCTCCTGTTATCGCGATTGCGAGATTGTGTTCGCTCTTCCCTCATCCAGGTGGGCGCATCGCGATGACGGCTGTCGCTTCTTTCGGGTCGTTCAGCAGGGTGGCCGCTAGGGCGTCCGTCGGATTTCTGCCGAGATTCGGCATGGGCCTGGGTAAGAAGCCACCCAACAGCAACCTGTACATCGGTTCCAGACTCGGTAGTTTTCAGAGCTTGGCGAGACCTGTCCGTAGAAAATCCCATGTCGACCAGCTCCGCAATGGCTCGATCGACGTCGTTTGAAGGCATGGGGGATGCATCTTGGTCGCGTCCGCGGTCTGTGGGCGTGACTGACGCAAGAGGCGATTGTTGACGAGGAATCTCGGATACGGGCTTTCCTAGTAATCCAAGAAAATCGTCATCGTCGCCTTGTTCGAAGACAGGCGCGGGGGCGGCCTTGGGCTTCAATTGATTCAAACCGAACGGGTCGTCATCATCAAGATTATTCAGACCCCCTGTATTGTCCTGCATCGAGATTCCTCCATTGGAAGGTGTTTGCCGACTGTTCGTGTCGATTCGAGGCGATGATCTAGCGGAGTTTGGGACTGGAAAATGAGTGGATGCGTCAACCGGCGCAGCGGAATTGAAGGCAGCTAGAATATCGTCTTCGTCGGCTGGCGATGATACCGACTGCGGAACTGGAGCTACAGCCGGGCTCTGCGTACGTCCTTGTTCAAAGTTGTCCCAGAATTGGTTGTTCTGTCCTCCGTATTGCAATTCGAATCGGCTGCGTTTCTCGGCATCCTCCTTGGCCTTCTCCTCCTGCATCCGCTTCTGTTGTTCCGCGAGAGAAAGGTTCTTGTTTCCAGCGGAAGGGCCAAATGAAACTAGATTGGCGAAGCTGTCGCCAGTCGATGCGGGGGGCTTAGCTGGCGAGCTTGAGCGATTCGACGCGGCGGATAACGGTGTAGACCTGCCGGAGCCGCCATTTGATGGAATACTAGGAAACAAAAATCCAGAACCCATGGGCGGGGGTTTCTTCGTCTTGCTTGTGTCGGAGGACCAACTTAGGCCGTTGAGGTCCTCCATGTTGGGGTGTCGCAGAGCTTCGAGAGTGACGTCGGGTCGTCTGGTGTCGGAGGATTAGGTCCTGGGGAATTGATGAAGGGTTTCCATGATCTCACCAGGTCATCAAAGAAGTGTGAAGTAATTGTGTCTTGCAACGGTCAAACAGATGTACAATGCCCGTTGCCTCCCTGCATGTGGGGGATCCAGACCGCACGGGCTGAGGCGCTGCACGTGATGCTATGTTTCCGTTCATTCTGAAGCTCAACTCTCTGATCTCACCTCAACTATGCCTACTCCTTGGTGAGGGTGGCATATTAAGAATCATATTGTTCCCGGGTGCAATTATTAGGTACCAACTGCATACGAAGTGACGTCGATGTCAGGAACCGCCCAGCTCAGATCTTCTGCTTTCCGGCTATATTTACATCCAAATGCCTTGATGGACTTTACTTGGCAATCCACTTGAAATCTGTCAAAAGTGTGTATTTAGTTGTCTACCACCAACCGCGATACTTGCCTATTTACTATTCGCGGCCCACAGACGTACAGATATACATGCAAAGTACAGACAATGTAAAGCGGCAAAACGCTAACTGATCGATTTCACCCGTCTCCATGCAAGTGGAGTGTCGTTTTTGCACTACACAGCCGAGAAAGATCATCGGTTCCTGGCCCTAATTGGCACACATCTGACACTTGGCCTATGGCGTTCGATTTAGTTACAGGACTTGTGCATGCTAATCTGTCCCTATCCAACTATGAAAGAGGGAATGACCCGAGAATTTCCCGGGCCGTCAATCATAGTAGATTAGAATAAAAGGTTTCCATGGTGAATCCTGCGGTGGTGGCCTCCAATGGGGGAAGATACGCATCTGCGCCTTTAGGGGGCAGAAGAAGAACCAGTCGTCATATCCCACAAACCTTCCCGATATAGAAAGATTTAGGGTTGTCCAAAAGCCGAGGATTTATAAAGGCTTCAAGTCTTAGCCAGTCTTAGTGGGCAGACTGAAGAAAGTTTGACAGCCGGTGTTTAGAACCTGTCTCGTATAGGCTACTTTTACGAGTACCAAACAAGGCACTTGTTGTCAGTGGGTCGTGGCGGCAGTCTCCGTGAATGATTATTCTCGAGCACTAAGTACAGACGGCGCGTATGTAAGGGCATATAGCCCACAATTTCCTCTTGTAAGACGCTTAGGCTGCCTCCTTCCTATTCTATCAAGCTTCACACATTCTAAATTTCCTGCTCGATAATCCACTCGACCTAGATGCTTCGAATCTATGAAACTAGCAGGGGGATGAAATAGCAGATGGGTCTGTGGCTGGGCAGAATGGCACCAGTGCAGAAGGTACATTTTCTCGTATCCCTAAGTTATCATCACCATGTAATATACCCATTCTAGTTGCATGTCTAATGTGTAATATATATGTTGATGCTCAATGCCTCACCAGAACATAGTTTGGTCAAGTGCAGGCCGTATAACAATAACTCTGTTATGGAAAAGAAAAGCCAGGACTCCGCTCACAACAGCTGTGAGCGGAGTTCCTCGGGTAGATGAGCCGCGTAGCGAATTGAAAGGTATCAGTGGACCACAACGGTATTGCCGATTCTTGCCCCGACAAAGTCCATGAGCAGGTAATTTTAATCCCCGAGGAAGTCAACTTGAAACAGACCCAATGGAGTGGCCAGGCCCGTGCTTCCCGCGTTAGTCCCAGTGTTGTATAAAGGGCGGAGATGAGACCCCTAACAAGCATATGTGCGAGCATTGGACGTCATACTCCTATGCTTGTCTGAGTCGGGGTTGGTTCATGCGAACTTGTCAAACTTCCAGTGGTACGCAATATCCTGACCCATGCTAAGTCCCCCTGTTCATGCAGATATAGCGCGGAAGGAATACTCCGTACACTCTGTAGAATTCTCCGATCCTCGTCGGGGGTTTAACTGCATGTGAAATCCCAGTTCACCTTTTTTTGATCCAGGGGTAAGAACACGTATATGATAGAAGAGGCCGAACCCTAAATAGACGGATCCTCACTGATTTCGATCTACGCGAGGCGTGTGTTAGAGTGTACCAGAGATTCACATAGGATCTATTGACGCGATACGCGACAATTAGCCATTCATGATTCTGATACAGCTCCAGAGTGGATTAAGGACCGCACAGGGCAGTGGAACGGTACGCCAGTCCGTGCTGGTTTTCTCCATTTTGGCCAGACCCCAATAGGGGAAAGTCTGATATATAGCGATCTATTCCAATGTGTGATCTTACTCGAATTCCGACTGGTTCTTTCCTGGCGGGGCATGTGTTTTCTTCCTATTTCGGCAATCGGTCGAGTTCGCCGGACGTCGGGTCTTTAGGCCGTACCCAATACCCCTCCTCACCATACTAATTTGGTTGTTCTGGGCGGTACCCGGTACCTCCGAAACTTTGCCTTTTTGCCTCACGATCCAGCCCCTAATTCATTAAATTTAACAAACTCCACCTTGAACTTGTCCCCGCCTAAAAATTCATTGGGAAAAAAAATACAATAACAAAAACATTGGATCCCCTTCTTTTCTCTCTTTCCCTCCTTCAGCCTTACACACATCATGGGCATCTTTAAGCGGAAAGACTCGAAGCAATCCGAGCGGGATGAGAATGAATCATTCGTGTCGGTTAACAGCGCACGCACGTCAAATACCTCCTTGAGATCACCAGGATACAAGGGCAGTGGCCCGCCAGCCTCCATTCCAGAATTGCCTATTGCCAGACCTCCAGACCCAGCATTGGACCCCGCCGCATATCTACGAAGCATTCATGCTGTCCGCGAACGCTCAACAATTATCCTGAACAAAGCCAAGAACAACCAACTGAATCATTTCGACGTCGACCTGAGTAAATTCGAAGCTACCGCATCTTACGTTGTGTCTATCATCAAGGTAAAATATATCGAAAGAACAAAATCATGTGATCCGCCAAGCGCTAATGTGTTCATCTAGAGAGATTACGCGCCAGACTATGAGAGTATTCCGCCGCATGGTCGCTGGCAGCATTTCGACGTGGGGGGTCGACCGCGTGTTGACCAGCTTCTGCAATCATGGCCCAGTCGGATTGATGTCCAAGAGCGCACGCGCCGTTTGATTGATTTGTTTGTGGTGTCCGTGCTGTTGGACGCTGGTGCGGGTAATAAATGGTCTTACCGATCGAAAGAGTCCGGAAAAGTCTTTTCGCGCAGTGAGGGCCTGGCAGTTGCCAGTCTGGAGATGTTCAAATCTGGTCTTTTCAGTAGCGACCCGACGGAGCCATGTCAAGTGGATGGTGCAGGATTGAAGAAGATTACGGCCGAGGTGCTTGCCAAGGGCATGCAGCATTCGGAACAGAACCCACTGACTGGAATTGAAGGTCGCACGGGACTGTTAGTTCGACTTTCGGAGGCTCTCAACAACCAGGACTTTTTCGGCGTGGATGCCAGGCCAGGCAACATGCTTGGTATGGATATTTAATGTCCAAATTGCGGTTGGATAGCAGCTAATTCGGTCTCTAGATTACCTGCTTGGCCACCCATCAACCCTCGCTTCTTCCGTGCCAATTGTACCACTCACAACACTTTGGTCTGTCCTAATGGACGGATTGTCTCCCATCTGGCCCCCTTCACGAACACAAATTGACGGCGTACCCATCGGAGATGCCTGGAAGTGCTCCGATCTCCCTAAGTCTCCCCCGGCACAGCAGTGGGAGAACATCGTCCCATTCCACAAGCTTACGCAATGGCTATGTTACTCCATTATGGTCCCCATGTCTAAATTGATGCACATTCACTTCGCCGGGAGCGATCTTCTGACTGGCCTTCCCGAATATCGAAATGGAGGTCTACTTGTCGACCTAGGCCTCTTGAGTCTGAAGCCCGAGGATATGCAGCGTGGAATCAATGCATATAAAGAGAATGCCCAGATTAAGGGCCAACCAAACGTGGAGGTTGCACCGCTCTTCTCTGCCGACGACGATGTGATTGTTGAATGGCGAGCCGTCACTGTCGGCTTCCTCGATGAGCTTCTGGATGAGGTCAACTCCCAATTAGGTCTCAGAGGAGAGGAGCAATTATCTCTAGCACAAATGCTCGAGGCTGGCACTTGGAAGGTAAGATTTCTCTATCTCATTCATTAATAGTTCTAACAAAATTATAGGGAGGTCGCGAGATCGCGGAAGTTTCGAGACCCAACACCAAGGAACCCCCTATCATGATACGATCTGACGGCACTGTCTTTTAATACCCTCTATTTTCATATTAATATCCTGATGACCTGAGACTTTCTTTGTTTATATATGTCGTCATCCCGACAAAATGCTCCACCTGAAAATCACCTGAAAATCAGGTTCTGAAGATCATTTTTGAGTGCCGCCGTAAAGTCCCGAAGTAGACGTAGATGTAGATAGTTGATGCAAACAGAGTGGTAATTTCCTTAGTGCGAATTACGAGTGTCTCTCAACTCCCTCCCAACTCGACTCCTCCCTCATCGTACCTCGCTGCCTCAACCCCAACCCCCTCACGTGACACGGCATAGCTTTAGTCCGCGCCTCCGCATCTCAGGGTTGGAGCTTGTCTCTTCTCCTACTCTTTCTTCGGTCTCAAAAAAACAATGCTCAACCAATAACGACCCCCTAATAACGACAATTTATAACAGCCTCACTACCGTCTTGAGCCGGCTGAAGCTGTCTCCAAATTGATCCGCGCCGTCCCCGCAACAAGAGCGGGGCATCCGAGCTCGACACCCCATTCCGATGATGGACGCTCGGAAGAAGAAGAGAAAGGTGCTCTTGATGGGCAAGAGTGGATCGGGGAAGTCATCCATGCGCTCGATCATCTTCAGCAACTATGTCGCAAAAGATGTCCGGCGCCTTGGTGCGACGATCGATGTGGAGCACAGTCATGTCAAGTTCATGGGTAACCTGACATTAAACCTGTGGGATTGCGGAGGGTGAGTTCTAGTCGATTAAAAAGCCCATTATAGAAACAATTCACTAATCCGAGCGGCTTCGCAGACAAGATGCCTTCATGGAAACGTACCTCGCCTCCCAACGCGGGAACATCTTCTCCGACGTTGCAGTGCTCATCTACGTGTTCGACATTGAATCAAGAGAAGTCGACCGAGACCTAGACACATACCACGCAATTATCGAAGCACTCCGCGAATTCAGTCCGAACGCCTACGTCTTCTGCCTCGTACACAAGATGGATCTAATCCAAGCCGAGCACCGCCAACGCATCTACGAAGAACGCTCAGCCTTGATCCGCAGCCGCAGCGACAACTTCCGTGTAGACACCTTCGCCAGCAGCATCTGGGACCAATCGCTGTACAAAGCCTGGGCAGGCATCGTCCACAAACTAATCCCGAACCTAGTCGTGATCGAGCGCTTCCTAACAGCATTCGCAAAGAAGATCCACGCCGAAGAAGTTATCCTCTTTGAGCGATCTACCTTCTTAACCGTGACATCTGTCACATCCGAAATCGGTGAACTGAACCCCATCTACGATCGCCATGAACGTCTATCAAATATCATGAAAGCCTTCAAACACTGCGCCGCCCGCAACACCCTGACCACACCAGCCTCGGCTGGCTTCGTTGTTATGCACACCAAAACCCCCCAGTTCAATATCTTCCTCGGCCGCTTCACTGATAATACTTATATATTCCTTGTCGTGCCGCCCGGCGAAGCCTCCTACAACTGCGCCGTTCTCAACACCATGCTTGCCCGCGAGGGTTTCTCAAAGGCGGCTGCTGGCGGCCGTGGCGATGGCTTCCCGCTTCCTCCGCCAGATTCAGAGGATAACGCGACCAATGGATATGCCCCGTGATTATCGGGACTGATACGTGGGCAATATAGCTTGGCTTATTGTAGGGTTGTACATGTGAGGTATATGTTGTTTTCTCGATCTTTCACGATTACTTGTTCATGACACAAAAATTTATGCAGGCGCTCTTTGTTGGCGTTTCGGAGATGAATTCATTTTTGATATGAGTCTCCCCTTTTTTTGGCTGTCCTTTTTTCATTTTCTTTTCTTTTCTATTCTTTTCTTTTCTTCGAGAATTGAGATACCCTGTCTGTACATTGTTTGTTCTTTCTTGTGGTCTCATTCTCACTTTCTTCCTCTTCCTCTTCCTCGTGGTTTTATGGTATATAATCCACTCGGGCAGATGTTCCAATATGGGGATGGTGATGTGTACTCTGTGTTGTGCTTGTTAGTAGATAAAGATTTGATATTTAGCTTGTATTTTGCTTTCAATTGGGAGAGCGTGAATATATAAACCCAGATCAAAGCCTGGTACTTGAACTAGACTACGAATTGCTGCAAACAAACCGAGGTACTACACGTACGATTGCCATCACACCAAAATATTCTAGACTCTCTTTTTCAAAGTTACGCAAAAAAAAAGCAAAGAATAAATCCTCCATTAACGATCTATATTTCCTCGCATCCGATGCATAAGGCGGACAAAAAGGTGTGGAAAGGGTAACAACATGGAGGAATTTGATTATCTATCGGACCGGCCGGCCTCAACGGAGAAGCATGAAGCATGAATGGGGGGGTTAGGAGAGTAAGGAGCAAGAGATAAGAAAACGATTTGGAAAAAAGGAAAAGTGAAATAAGGGGAGGGCTGTACAAAGTCAAACACCCACGGCGCAAGTCATGGCCATTTTTTTTGTTTCATTGGACGTCTGGCATGCGCATAGCGATGTCGCCTGACTGTGTGATGTATCGCACCCAAGGGAGGGAGGGGTATTGCAGCTATTAGTGGGTGGGTTGTTAGTTGATAGCTCTCAAAATATGATTGTCGACGACACGTGGGGAAGGGAGGGATTGCATACCTTCGGCTCGGTGATCTTCAGATACCGCACTTGGATACCACTGGTTGTGAAATAGGGGATCTCGAACTTGACGTTAATGGGTCTCTTTGCTTTGCCCATGCCGCCGGCTCCACCCATGCTTCCTCCAAATCCACCAGTCATACCTCCGCCTTGCTCGTCGTCGCCCTTAACTGAGGGCAAGCCCAGCTCGGCGCGCATGAGGAACTCCTTGCCACCGCCGAACTGCTTGATCTTCCAGATGATGGCTGACTTCTCGGGAGCGTAGTGCACTGTTCCGATGTTGGTACGGAAACGGGGAGAGTCTGCGTCTTCGGGAACGGGAACGAGAATTTCGACATTGTTTGCTGTGCTGCGGCGTTTGAATTGCGCCTTGGCCTGTTGGGTAGATGTTTTAGAGGTGTGCGGTCTGAATAGCTGGCTGACGTTCTTACCTTGAGCATATATTCGATACGGGATCCTGAGTGTGATTCAACCACGCACTCCACCCAGATCAGGGGCTTCACTTGTGTGTTCAATCGGTAGCTCATGAGCTCGAATTCACCATCTGGCGGAATGAAGCTGATTGTTCTGTCATTCTCGAAGCGCGAGAGTCGGACACACTGGTGGAACTTGACATCTTCCATCTCGACCGACTTGCCTCGCGTGGCACGGCCTGTGGTCTCGAACATGACCTTGTCGTTCAATCCCAATCGGAGTTCTGGCATACCACTCAGGTAGCACTTCATCTTGACTGCGCCCAGGATCTCAGATCGCAGGACATTTCCGTTCGCCGACACGAGGAGGTTGAGAGACTCGACCACATCCAGGAAGACTTCGTTTTTGCGGTAACGAATACCCTCGCTACGCCATGAGACGGCATTTGTAACGGCAATAGGTGGCCGTGCTTGGACATCCAGTTTGTGTGATTCTTGGGTGATGTATCTGGATTCAGTGTTAGTTGGGTCGAGTTACCACACCAGCATTGCAGCAATTGCTCACTCTTGTAGAATCTTGCTCTCTGTTGTCTGCGGGTATCCAAAGTCCATCATCTCATCCAGCAATTCGTAGATGACGACAAAGTTATCCCGGATACTCTCCTCCTCCAGCACCTTGAAGTATTCGGTGAAGACCTCCACAAGCTTGTGGAGAAACAATAGGATTTCGGTGGCATTTGTGTTTCTTTTTGTCAATGCGAGGATGTAGAGGTTGCTGTGGCGGATATAAAGGTACTAAACAGTATCACCCCTGTGTCAGTGGGTGGGAGCGCACAAAAGGAGGGACTCAGGAGCGGGTGGTTTCAGGCTGTAGCAGGCGGGGGACGCACGTTAATGCCCTCGTGAGAGAAGCAGGGAGGCACTGCGGAAGATTCTTCTTCGGCATCACTGAGGAGGATAGGGAATTTTTCGACTGCGGACATGGGAATGTCCCCGCGATAGTTGCGGGCCAGAAGGGTCTATAAAATGGTCAGCGGGGGCGTGTCCCTCGACGCATTGGCGGGTGTCGGAGCTGGAAGTCGCGTCGCCATGGTTTGCAGAGTGCTGCATAGCCTACCTTGCCCTTTAGGTCGAGGAAGAAGAGTGCGGACGCCATGACGTGTCAATGGGGGTAAATAGGTGATGGAGGAGCGATGTTGATGATCTGGTCTTTCGGATGGGAGGCGTAAATGAAACAAAGCCAGCTTGTGCGCCTACTGCAGCATTGTTGTACCAGTTGTTAGAGCAAGAAAAAAGTAGCAGATGGAGTGAAGAGCAAATGAAGTCGATCACGGATGATTGTTGGCGATGCCCGCATGGTCAACGGAGATGGACGCCAACCCCAATGGGGACTAGCGTATGAATTTTGCCATATAAAAACTCTTCGCGCATTTTTCCTTTTCTTCTTTTTCTTCTTCTCCAACGCTCCCAACAGACAGTGCGAGGCAGCATAAAGTCCTTGTGATTTTCTACAGTTAATCTGGCATTCTGTCAGACAGCTGTAGTGCTTTATTGCTACACTCGCGATATAGAGGCGCGGAGACTATGCATCTTACGAGGGTCCCATAAGAACTGGCCGAGTATTCTTCACTGTTACTCGGGCGGTGTCAGAGGGACCGTACATTCCTAGTTATAATATATAAATATTTTTTTATTAAATTGAATTATTCTTCTGGTCATTGATTTTTTTGGTTTTCTTTCAGAATTTTCCATTGTGGTATTGGGCTGTATAATAAGTAAGAAAGAAATGGAGAATATAAGAAACAAGTTGTTAAAAGTACATGTACAATCGTGTAGAGGTTCCCAAGTCAGAGGGTACACGCCTCATCCCCTGCCACAGATGGAAATATCAAACAAGATAACGCCCTGAAAATGCTCCGAGAGACACCAATGCCCCCAAAGGCTCAGACCTTCAGACCGACTTGAGGCCCAGGGGCTCAAGTATCCGCTCCCGAGCCAATTTGGTCGCAACGACAGCTCCCTTTTCCAACGAAACAGCACCGATAATAGCATACAGGGTATGCGCGAGCACGAGATCATAGCCAGATCGTTGCAGATCCTCGGGCTGTAGTAAAAACACTGGTTAGTTGATGCGAGGATACAAGACTGGATCGAGACATACCTGTTTGGGGCTCCATCTGAGAACCTTGGGCAGATCGTACTTATGTCCAAGCTCAGCAAGTTTCGATCGGTCAGTAAGGACCTTCTTATTTTCGGGGGATAGGTTGCCCAGTCCTTGGAGGGCCGGGTGGGAGAATGGCACGCGACCAAACTCGTCCACCTTGTTGACAGGCTCCGTGGGTGCCGCGCCTGATGCCGGCATAGCTACGTTCTGCGCCAGAGCCAGCGATGCTTGCAGGTGCACAATGCGCTTTCCGAGGAATGCCAATCGATCGTTGAAACCCCGACGTCCTTGGTCGAAACTCTTATGTGTCACTGCCAACCACTTGGTCTCATCAGAGAGGACCTTGTCACCACCATTGCCCAGCAATCGGATGTAGAACCGGTCCAGCAACTCGGGGTCTGTGTTGACGTGGTAGACAGGGCGCTTGGAGTTAAGGTGTAAACTGAAAGGCGCCTTGGCCTGCTCCGGGGTGTAGGACCATCGGGGCCGGTGTTGGGCGTCCTCAGCAGAGTTTGAGTAGGCGCGGGATGGGATGAATGTCGTAATCGGGCGGGCGACAGATTTGGATGCAGCGCAGGCGGTCTTGGCCGCTCGGGAGGTGAGGTTCAAAGCCATTGGGTTGGTTGGTCTGCGAGTCCAAGCCGGAGGTGATTGAACGAAAAGCAAAGAATTCGGACTTGGCGGTGTGATTCTGCCAACCACAAGCCTCCAACTCTATATCCATTGTTTGAGAATTAACTTCCCTCTCTTTCTACTCCTGTTTTTCATACTACGTAGAAGGGGCTTCGAGGATATCCAGTGGCTTATTTCTTTAACTCATCGGGTTTCCATTCCTGCGGTTTGACTTGCAATTATGGTGCGTTGGAAGCCGAGAGTAGCCAGGAGCTTCACCGCTGCTGCGTGTTATCTTTTGGCTCGAATGCTTGGCCTATGGTGCATCGGATCCGAAGCAACTAGCACAAGCTCTGGCTGTGGGAGCCTACCACAGATCAGCAGTGCTTTGATGATTGGGGTGGAGTCGAGCAAACTTCTACTGCCATGCTTCCATGCATGTAAGATTGAAAACTCATGACTCACATCAATCAGCAGTTCTTATAGCATCAAAGAAGATTTCTTGTGGCGGTCTGAGAGTGGAATTGACACAGTCTTCGATATACAGACCGCTGTTTGGTAGCCTAGAACCAACATGTCTGGGCTTCAGTTGACTCTGCAAATGTCATGCACTCATCCAGTGTTTGACCATCACAAAGTGAATAAACGCCGTTCTTTTCATATATCCTTCCATTGAGGAGGCGCTTCCGGGCTCGACTCGAGTATAGAAACATTCAGCTTGGTCTTGCAGATCACCCCGCCACTTGATCCAGCAACATCCTTCTCTGGATAGCATTGCCATACCATCGACCAACAAGAAATCTGTGTCCTCTGCCCTTCCAGGCGATAGGCCAGAAAATCAAGACAGGTAACACCAACCCGCTATCCGACTGGACGAACGGCGATACAACGGTGGCGCAACAGACCCTAAGCGCGGCCCAACCACCAGGGACACCGATATCTAGCCGCTGCAGAGCAACCGTGGGAAACTCTTCAAGAAAAGCCAAGACGGACAAGGAAGGGTTTCAAACGGTTGAAAATCGTTCAAGAAAAGATTCGGCGGTCTTCGCGAACACAGCCGTTGCGCGCGACCTGCCGGATGCAGAGGTCATAGCTCGATAGAACTACGAGCTGAGGTGGCACAGCGTTGGCCCTAGTGGAGCACGGGCAGTTTTTTGAGTCTGCTTGGCGATTCTGCGGATGTTGGCAGTGGAAACGACTGGGCGAGGCGCTGATGGTTGGCTAGAAAGGCCCTTGCCACTCTCGACCGCAGAAAACGGGTCTGCTGCATCGTACCCTGAGCTTCTTCCCTGGAATAGGCAAGAGACTTGCAGTAAGAAACAGAACGTGATCCACGTGTGTTGGGGTTCAGTCTATTTGCGGGTTTGTGCTCTATCAGTAGGCTTCCTTGTTCTCTTTTTTTTCCTCTTCGGGCCGTTGGAAGCTTCGACAGCCTGCATCCGCATTATTCTCGGGACTAAGCCAGTCAGCAAGTCATAATGGTTATTGTGGGATTAACAAGTCAGGGCATGTGGCAACTACTTTAAGTGTCTTCGTAGGATGTCAAGGTAAGAGTACAGGTCACAGAGACACAGAGTAATTGAGAATGTTTGGCAGCTTTAGGTCCATATAGTTCCCAAAATAAGTGGCCACGGCATGATTGTTCAACCCAACCCAATTAGTCCCTAATATCGCATAAGTAGCGGCGAACCGACAGCGGCAAGGCATCTAGAACAAACCCACTGAAACACACTTCTTCAAGACGATCGCTGCACGAAACCGAAGGCTCATACCGCTGGTGAAACTCCCCTGTACTCTGCCTCCAAGGCCAGTGATCCGGGGAAAGGATCAACAGCCTTCCCCCACGGTATTTGAGCCATTCACCACTATAATCAAGTGTATTTCCTCCAAGTGAATCAATTCCGGTCAATGCTTGCTTCCGCGGAACAAACAAGCGGTGGCCACGGCAGCGGGTGTGACAGCGGTAGCACTGGCTAACGGTTTATACATCAAGTCTTCAAGCGGGCCCTTGCAGACCCAACCGAGATATTGCCAGATCTTCACGGGAAAGCCAAATTGTAGAGCAACGGGAAAGGCCCTCCAAGCCTTTTATGATCCTTGATTGGGATGCTCGACAGGATGGCGGTGTACAACTTGTCCGGCGTGAGTGGATGGCGCGATGTATCCAACGGCTTGGACGCTCATGAACATAAATAGACAAGACTGACCTGTCCAAGTGGCCTTCTTTTCATTTTCAGGTTCAAGGAGATCTTCACCTGTGTTCTTTGTCTGCCTTTGTTAAATACGTTGCCGTTGTTTACTTGGACAAGTGCGTTGTCTGTTCTATCAACCTCAACTATAACCACTTCCGCTTTGAGATACTCCGCGAATACCAAAATGGCGTGCAGCTACCTCTCTGTCTCTGGCTCGGTTATTTCATCACTGGCCCATATCTTCTACACCTTTGCCGGAGGCATCCCGGCCAGTGATCACTCCGTGCAAGATCCGCCTTCGCCTCAACCTTTCCCTCCTAACCCACCTCCAAGTCCTGCTTGAATGGCAATTATGGGTTCTTGCTTTTTTGGCGTTGCGGGGAACCAGGTGCAATATGTCAGTCATCCTGTAGGTTACGGGCTCGGATATATATATATATACATATTTGGGTCGACCGACGACGGCTCGGAAATGTGCTAATTGATTGTATAGATCATAACGGGGCATTTCAATTTCGGGCTTCATGATGGGAACATGCATTGAAGGGGCGACTGGGAGAATCATTATGTGTATCGTCGCTGGAATACCACCTGGGCCACAAAATAACATGTGGTAAAAGTGTTTGTTAGGAGCCGCTAGGTGATCAAATGGCATAAAAGTTTCAGCAACGAAAGCTTTGGCTTTATTGACAATTTAATATCTCAAGGTGCCCTCTTTTTGGCATGGTCTCTGCTCACATAATAGCTTAATGATGCATCACTACATCAATGGAGCTGTATTCCAGAGTACTTTCACCAAAGAATCACATTTCATATTGAAACAAAGAAGCCTTAATGAAAAAAAGTTTAGTGATAGATCCATGACCTATAGACCGAATCCATAAAGTCAGTGGTCCAGTGTCAGTGATCCAGTTTCGAGCCAGACAATTCCTAGCAGAAATCAGATAGAACAGAAAAGAAAGAACCCGTGCCTTTGAGCTTGCGCCAATCGACCCGATTCGTGTATATTTGGCAGAAATCACTTTAATAACACAGAAGGAAACTCGGAGGTATGAGGTATGGAAACATTTAAAGCAAAGCAAGACCAACAGCGCTGGCAATGCTGAGGCCAACGACAGTCCAGCCAGTCTTGATAATAACGGGGTTGGTAAGACCACGGCCAAGATCCCACATCAAGTGGCGGATACCGTTCATGCAGTGGTAGGTGAAGGGAAGGGCAAGGGTGCTCTTGAGGAGGACCTTGGCCAGGACGGGCATGGCGCCCATGGAAGCGGCCATGGTGGCCGACTCGAGGTGCCATCCGAAGGTGGGGGAGACGAGGTAAGCGGTGGCCCAGAGGTAGAGGGTGCCGGAGAGGGCGACACCAGAGATACGGTGCAGAGAAGAGCCGATCCAGCCAATCTGGGGCTTGTAGATGGTGAGGTGGGGAGCGATGGGCCGCTGGAGACGCTGCTTAACGAGGATCTGGGTAGGGTCCTCGGTGTTGGGAGACGAGGTGACTTGTCTATAGATCACGATTGTCGGGTTAGTTCTCGACTTTCTCTTTGCAGATGACGTAGGATTCCGTGGGGTTTAGATCCGGGGTTTGGCGAGAATCAATTCGTTGTGATAATGCTAGGTGACTGACCTCGTCTGGATGTTCTGGCCGAGAGCAACAGCGGCGGGGGAGGCGCGCATCAAGGAGGACTGCATAGCGAACGGCTGCTGGACGGCAACTGAGAACCCGGGACAAGTTAGATCGCAAATTCGACAAGGGCGGCATTGGGGGATTGAGACATACGCCGTCGCAGCGACTGCTGGGCAACCTTTTGAGAGAACATTTTGAAGCGTATAGGGTTGAATATGCTCTCGTGGATCTGAACAAGAAATCCCAAGTGCCTCGCGAACGTTCGGAATCGCGGACGACCTCGGGTACCGGAGTACAAGTCACGGGACTGGCTCCCGGGACTTCACTCGGCCAATCAACAGCCGTCTATTACCAGCCGGAAGATTGTTCTTCCCACACACTACGCAGGCCACGTGATCCTCGCCTGTTTTCCCACTTTCTCTCGAGTTTCCCGCAGTTTCTTTTCTTTCTTCACCAAGAGTCTCGGCTCTCGTCGTCTACCTCTCTGGGATGATGTCGTCGTGTTTAGCTTTCCCTCACTGATTGCGGCTTTCTGTCGTGATCGCCGAGGGATATTGAGGCTCTCAGAAGGACTCCCGTCGTTAATCGCCCGTTCTCCTCTTTCTATGAGCAGAAGGGGTTTCATATCAGGGTCACATACTGTAATCATTATCACATTGTAGAACAAGGCCAGGGGCTGACTGTCATGCTGGATTTCTTGTTATTTGAACGTCCTTATAACTGAAGAGAAACTGGCAAATGGCTTAGCGTACGGCCCGCCATGGATGCTATTCGGTCTGGTTCATGTGAATCTATGTCTACAGATTCAGGTCCTTGCGGCCTTTGAGCTTGCTTCAGAGCTTCAGACAGATCAATGCTCAATGCCAGCTAAGCTACTGTGCAGAGTATGCAAGTACAACGTACTCTGTAGTCTTGTGAAGGGGTCACGGGTTTCTATCACATGCAATCAGGGGTCAGGCTTGTAATGAGTTAAGAGTGAGTTCTTCTATAGAACCTCTCTTCTTCTTTGATTCGAACCTAGGCAGCCTAGTGTGGTCATATTTGATTATTTGATCAGCATAACTACGCAACACAAGCCATTTATACCTATTTAGACCCGGTAATCCAGAAATTATCCCAACCTCGGCATCTCGGACCTTCCCCACAGTAGTCCGCGGCTTTCATCGGTTTATTATCTGGTCACTCTCTCTTGCCTTGTGACTATATTATACACTCGCTTCAACTTCTATACTCGGGAAGTGATCAAGTTCATGTCAGTATCCTGTCCCTAACCATGTTAGGTCTGTACTGACCCGAACTTCCACAGTAATTAGATTAGATACCGATACCCCGACGACAACGTTCAATATGCCATTCAACACAGCCTTGACGCGGAAGCTCGGAATTCGAGGTGTGTTATATTACATATACACCCCACACATGTTCAGTCGTTGACAAGATTGACAGTACCCGTTGTGCAGGGTGGTATGCAATGGGTTGGATACGCCGAGCTGGCCTCGGCCGTTAGCAATGCAGGTGGACTGGGAATTGTATGTTCCCCCAACCTGGGCACAGTATAAACCGCATGTTCTCACTATCTATAGCTCACTGCTCTCACCCAACCAACCCCCGAAGACCTCCGCAAAGAGATCCGGAGATGTCGCACCATGACCAAGTACCCCTTCGGAGTCAACCTGACCCTCCTTCCCGCCATGGTTCCCCCCGACTACGGTGCGTACGCACAAGTGATTATCGATGAGGGCATTAAGATCGTCGAGACTGCTGGTAACAACCCAGGCCCTGTCATCGCCCAGCTGAAGAAGGCCGGCACAATCATCCTGCACAAGTGCACGACCATCCGCCACGCAAAGTCCGCCGTTAAGCTCGGCGTGGACTTCCTCTCTATCGATGGATTCGAATGTGCTGGTCATGTTGGTGAGCACGACATCACCAACTTCATTCTGCTGAGCCGTGCTCGCCAGGAGCTTGGCGTGCCCTTCATTGCCTCGGGTGGATTCGCCGACGGCCAGGGTCTTGCTGCTGCCCTGGCTCTTGGTGCCGAGGGTATCAACATGGGTACTCGCTTCATGAGCACTGTCGAAGCTCCTATTCACCAGAAGATCAAGGAGGCTATTGTCAATGCCCAGGAGACTGATACCGCTCTTGTCCTTCGTCGGTGGAAGAACACTTCCCGTCTTTTTGCCAACAAGGTGACTCAGGATGCCTTGAAGATTGAAAAGGAGAGCAAGACTGGTGACTTTAGCGAGATTGGACCCTATGTTAGCGGCAAGCGTGGTCGCCAGGTCTTTTTGAACGGTGACCCTGACTACGGTGTAAGTTGATCCTACTCTAGACTCTATATATGATGCTTTTTCTAACTTGGTGCACAGGTCTGGACTGCCGGCCAGGTTATTGGTCTGATTCATGACATTCCGACTTGCGATGCCCTGCTCACCCGGATCGAGAAGGAGGCCCTGGAAGCCATGAGCCGGACCAGGTCTCTGTTCAGCGATACTCCCATTAGCAAGCTTTGAAGTTGTCTCATTATATATGCACTCTCGGGCCCCATTTGTCTAGTTTGCTCATGTCTTGGAAATGTCCAATAGAATCGACTGGCTTCCATTTTGTTCCATATATCATGAATTACATACGCGTTTACCTTTTGGATATACTCGGATTTTCCTTGCAACTTCACGCTCGTCAGCGTCATATGCCTCGTGCTATTAAAAGAAATAGGCCAATATTCCAAAAGGGGAGCCAACGGTCTATCATCAAGCATTCCTGAGCGAGGGTCCGTGAGACGCGCAGCAAGGATCTGCAAGCACGTAGATCCACGCTCAGACACTCGCTGGCATTCCTCCGACCTCCAACAATAATGGTCCAACCTCATACAACTATCTACAGCTACAAATGCGCACACCAAAAAACATCATTATGGCTCAAGTGACCAAAATAGACGACTGCTGATCCCTAAAGCCCTATGTCTGAATATGCTAGGTAGAAAGGGATGTGGAGAGATCCTTGCATGCAGCAGATCCTATGGGGAATTCTCGAGGGCACTCTTCCAACAGAAGCGATTGGCCAGGTCTCAATTCCAACGTTGATTCTCGGATGATCATAATCTTGTATCGCTGTTGCCAGCACATTGACGATGATTGGTCTCCAGGCAACCCAGCCCTTACACCTTACCGCACTGGACTCGGCGTTTGCAGCGTAGTGGAGACAGAAGCTCTTCTATACAAATCCTTCTATTTCACCGCTATGCCACTTATTCCCAAAGAAGGTTTACAAGAATAGACATACAGAAACTCTAGCTCTGTACATGTACATGTACAACTCAGTTACAAACTACACTCACACTTGCCAATCCCCAGAACTTGTTTCTGCCCTCGTACTGCAGCTACATGTAGACCAGCACCCCATGGTGATCTAGATAGCGACACATACCTGGCTCCCGAGCTTCCCTAGTCCAGAATCGAATGCAGCCCAATTTAGTTCCTTATCTTTCTCCCTTGTCCCATCGCTTTGGTTCTGGGTACTTGCTTGTTTAAGCCCCTCAATTACTTCTGTCGCAAGCTATACCACACCTCTATGACCATCATCTAGCTCTTCGTCTTGACTGCATATACACCTCCACACCACACATACCTTGCCTTTACATCAATACACCATCTTCCAAACCAAACCACCCCTAAAAAAAGAACACCCAATCACCAAAATGGGCCTCATATCAACCCTATCCCGCCACATGCGCAACAAAAGACTCTCCCGTCGCCTCTCATCCCAATCAAGTAAACTCCAAGACGACGACTCAAATGACCTGATAAAACCATACTCAGAAACAGCCTCACTACGCGCCGAAAGCGTAGCATCCACATCAACAATGGTCCACCATTCCCTCCATGAACCAGTCCTGCCGTCAGAATCCCCAGCAAATAGGATGACAATCCGGACGGATAACCTCAATATGCGCACCTTATTCGATACTTCATCTCATACAACGCCCATCTCGCCTACGTCTATCTCACCAATGGATAATCGTCCCGTGAGGGCACTGTCAAGGCCTGAATACCCAGTTCTTAAATTGGATATGTGTCAAGCACCATTTGAGCCGCGCAAATTGGCGGAGCCATTGGAGACAGGCCCGAGGAGGGCACATGATACTAGGAAGATTGGAAAGAGTCGTGGTAGGGAGTGTTCGTCTGAGTCCTCGACGGATGCTGAGAAGGACGTAGATGTTGTTTCGCCGGGGAAAAGTGGGAATGTCAATGTCAAAGAGAAGAAGAGGAGGTCTATGAAGGGTTTACTCAAGAAGCATTGTGGATTGGATATTCCGCGCTCGTCGCTTTCGCTTAAGACGAGGAAGAGTCCTGCGTCGGCTTCGACTAGGTGGTTGGATTCGGCTGGGGCTGGGGAGGATGGCGATGAGGGGTTTGTTGATGTTAAAGATGAGAAGTGGTTGGAGGCTCATTTGGGGTTGAGGGGGAGGAGGAGGAATGCCATTTGGGGTGGGAGTGCGTTGGGCAGGCCATTGTGAGGGTTTGGGTTGTTTTGTACTTGGGCTCATGAGGTGGTTTTAGGGGTTTTTTTGTATAGCGTTGCCATTTTTGTTTTGTGGATTTGGTAATGGGATGAGTGTTTGAACACAATAAAAGTTTTTCATTCCAGTTCTATGCTCAGCAGTTGCAAGTATGAGACATAGGTTACTTAGCTCTCTGGGGTAGAAAGAGTTAGTAGTTGGAAGACATTACGCAAAGTACTAAGGGTTAAGAGATTTGACTTCAGAGTATAAGTGAATAGGGCACGCCATGAGAGGGCCGACAGGATTGTAGCTCATGTGCTCAGGTCCCCACAGCTTCTTACAAGGAAAATTCACCAGGCAAGCCAAGGTTTAGGAGAGACGGAAGAGAAAGAATGGTTAAATTGGCAATTTTATATCAAGCAATCAATTCAAGAAGTGCGAGCGTTTCTAATGGATTAAAACTATATATGCGAAAGATGCCAGGTCGAGACGGCAGCTCGAAACGGTTCCAAAGCACAAAAGCAAGTAGCGAAGAGCACCATGCCAAAAACAAGAGCGATAAAGCAAAAAACAGTCTTTCTTCTCCGAGGGGTGCCACACGACACGATTAATGATACACGGACGGCGCAATAAACAAGGCATCTAACTAATCAAACAAAAGCCAGAGCCTGTTTTCCATCCCCGAGATCTATAACAGTTCACATCTTCGCTCATGCCGAAACCCAAGAGCCAATCGCCCAGAGGGCTGGCGAAGTGACCAGCGCATCTTGCTTAGTGCGAGAAAGCATACGAAAGCGCTTAGATGATGGAGCCAAGGGCAACGCAGGGCAGACCGAGGCCGACGAGGTCGGAGTTCTGAAGACGCTGTTAGCTGTGAATCGTAGGAAGACAAAAAAAATACTCACGGCGCTGCTGGGGGAGTTCTGGCAACAGGCAATGTTCTGCTTGCACTTCTGGTTGATGAGATCCTGGATGGGGACGGCAATGAGGATAGGGATCTGGAGGTCGAGCTTGGAGCACTGGTCGAACAGACCGAGACCGCTAGCACCAGAGCCGGAGCCAATGAGGTTGCTGAGGGTGCCGCCGAGCATGCCGGAGTTGACATCGGTGGTGTCGCCGGCGTAGGTGGCCTTGTTGCAGCAAGAAAGCTGAGCCTGGTCACCGCACTTGGCCTGAGCCTGCTTGACAGTCATGTTGTCGGGAACAGGGAAGCGGACGTTGGTGTTGCCCTTGTTGGCGACGCCGTTGGCGTTGCCAACGCCACCGGCGGAGGGGCCGACGGGAGGAAGAGCAGCAACGGTGGCAGCGAGGGCCAGGACAGCGGAGATAGTGAACTGCATTGTGACTGTGGATTTGGATTTGAACGAGAGAAAACTCGGAGTAAAAGATGGAAGGCAAGAGAAGACTGCTTCGAGAGAAGGAGAGTTTGAAAGAGAGTGATGCGGATGGATGAAGAAGGAACTGGGGTGCAGAATCACCTCGTCTTTATAGATTTGGATCGAGGGTCTGTGAGTCCCTCTCTCCCTCTGTGCCAGGGCCAAATTGTTGCTTCCTTGGCTAGAGTCATCTCCAGTCTGTCTCCGGAATGCCACTGGAAGGAAAGGGAGGTGTTGATCAATCCGTTGTGTAGGGCTTGTAGACCATCAAGTGGTCCCTGCGAGCCTCCTGGTATGGATCTGCCCCATCGTAGGACCTCACTTCACGCGACCACAGGATTGTCCTGGCATTCTTTGGCACTGGCTTATTTGTTCAGTTGGCCTAGGCTCGTAGAGTGCCCACAATTCGTTCAGTTTGTTGTTTGTTGATCCATTTCCCAATGTTATTAGTGGGTATAGACCTCAGAAACAGGCATGATTAATTTCACTATGTTTTGGAGCATTCACACCACGCAATACTGACCAAAGTAAGCTTAAGCTCAGTGGGTCACAGGGTCCTCGTCCCTGAGACTCATTTCCCAGCCACACAGGGGCTTTCTTCGCCCTCCTTGGTTGGCTCCTCTACGCCTGCTCGGGCACTAAGGCATGCACCGCAGCCTTTGCTCATGGCCAACACCTGATCCTGCCCAGGGACCACTAAGATTCCCCCCCCACTGGTGGAGTATGGCCCCTACCTGCAAGGGCGCACGCTGCACCTCGGGCACTTAGCCCGTACACAGGGAGAATCGAGACATTCCCTTCATTGTTTCGGAGGCCTTCCAGCTGCGAAGAATTAGAAATCGTAACGGTAAAACTCTTGGCTTCATGCGCCTTTAGTCTCCGATTGGGGATGGGCTGTTTTCTCCGATGATGTCGTCGGTAGTTTCAGCCAAATTATCCCTGACGTCTCACGGGGTTTGTCCCAGTTTGCACTGTTTGTGTCTATATCCCCTTGACGGTCCCCATTTGCTCTACTATGCTTGCTCGTTACATTAGGTCTTGACTCTACTATCTGATCGGGGTCTTGGTCATGTGAAAGTAGTGACTCGGGGTCTACAGAATCCAACTGCACATCACAATCTTAGTTTTAGAATGGCCCTTCATTGTAGATTCTTTGCACCGTCATTTTATCCTTGCAACAGCATTTCGCAGCTCTTGCTGCAACGCTCTACCTTGCGTATCTAATACCTTTGAACTAGACGAATGAAGAATGTTTTGAAATATGTCCCTGATTTGGTTGTCTGATTTGAGGAAGTAGATCTATAGGCAATCTAGAGAGGCGGTCATACTGCTGAAGCAATTCACGGACAATTCGAGGTTTCTGATGTAGAGACTAAGTATCGAGGTGGTAAAGTAAACAAACATAGATCTGCTCTGTATTATCTCCTTGCCCTGTAATTGAGTGTGTAGAATGTTAAGGGTTAAGGTATGGTCCTCTAATGTGAGAATATCAAGGATGGTCATGACATTATACAGCATGAAGATATAATACTTCTTGGTGGAATCGAAAAGATCTGGTGTATGTTGACTCAATATCTATCGTATAACCTTATGAGATTTCTGGGTTTCAAATTTGCATGTTATTCAAAGGATGTAGTTAGTATAAAATATACATGTAGACATTGAACATATATTTCAAATCTCAACAACCAAAAGAACTGAAATCTCATAAAAATGGCCCAAACTGCTTCAATTAAGGCCTTGACGCTTATAATTATATATCTTGTAATTATCTAACCCAATGTTTCCTTTTTTTTTGTCATATCAGTTTAGCCTTATTCCATAGAATCGATATCTGATGCTGGCAGTCAGAGCATCTAAGATACCAGTTAGTAAGTACAACTCCTGTTTACATTGAGTTGAATCCGGGGAATCATTCCGCAAGATCTTATTGAGATAGGACCCTTGCGGGTATGATGTGTGATTGCCCAAGCACACATCCCTACTGTCGTATGGCCGAGGTTCAATTTAATACCATTTTCTCTAGGACTATTACCGCTTGTTATCATAGGATGATTAAGCTTGAACGGTGCTTTGTCTTTGTCTGTGCTAGTAGTATCTCAACTAGCATTTTGAGTGTTCAACATAGCCACGACAAGTTAGCTCACATACAAGCCTTGAGCCAAGATGATAATGCAGCGGGTTAGCTCTCCAGAATATATCACACTGGAAAGAGAAAAAAGACTTACCGTATGTCCTTGTTCAATTTGTCGTGAGATGTACCTAGAGGACCACGCTACATCCATGAATGTAGTCATATAAATTATAAAGGTAAGGTAAACGCTGTGAAGTAGTCCATGTTTCTGCTATGCACTAATCATAGTAATTTCAGGATGCGCTGAGCCACAGTCAGTACAAGGACGCACTTAGTAGGAGATGTTGGTCCAGATCTATGAATTCGACGCGGGGGCCCGCAAACTGCACACTTTCGCCGCTTGGGCGACCGTATCGAGGCGGTCAACTCAAACATTGCGCACGGGCCCCCTTCAACAGGCAAAATGCGCGAATTCAATGTACTGTTGCTTCAACTTCATCTTTGCATCCAATTACACACAAATCAGACCCCGTGCTAACCACCATGTCTGCCTTGCCTGCCCCGCTAGAAGACTCCACGTCAGCTAGCGCACAGCTCGCAGGGAGCTCCCCTGCACCTGCCTTACCGCTGGCTTCGACGGAGGGCAAACCTGACCCCAACCAAAGCAAGCAAGAGGAGGAGAATGAGGATCCAAAATTTGCAACAGAAAAGCCAGACCAAGATGCACAAAAACCGGAAGGAAGCGAAACGGCCGAAGTTGACGACGCGGCTGCGCCGCCATTGCCCGATGAAGTCCCTCCACCATTGCCTGACGAGGCCCCGCCAGCGAAGCCCGAAGATGATGGATGGGAGCCCGCATGGGATCATGTTGCGCAAAAATATTACTTCTACAACCGGTTTACCGGAGTCTCGCAATGGGATAACCCCCGCGTGCCCCAGGCATCGGTCCCCGCTGCACCAGGCACGGAAGTAACCAGTCAGGAGGAAGCACCCCGCAAGGCACCCGTGCTTGGTGGCTACAACCCCGCCATCCACGGCGACTATGATCCAACCGCACCTTACGCGCAGCAATATGAAGAGCAGGAGCCCGAGTCCAGTGCAGCAGGCCAGGACGCGGCCGCCGCTTACGCTGCCACAGGCACATTCAACCGCTTCACTGGTAGATGGCAAGCCGCAGAAATCAACCCCGAAAACCACAATGACGAGAACAAGTCCCGACGACAGATGAATGCGTTCTTTGATGTCGATGCTGCAGCAAACAGCCACGACGGTCGCAGCCTACGTGCAGAGCGCAGCGCTAGGAAGTTGACTAAGGCAGAGTTAAAACAGTTCAAGGAAAAGCGTCGCGAAAAGAAAGAGGAGAAACGCCGTGCCTGGTTGAGGGACTAGGAGGCACTGACTCGATGTTTGATTATGGTGGGGTTGTTTGTTGTACCTTCTCATTGCTGCTTGTCGCATATTTCCATTCCGGAGCTTTTTGATACCATCTCACTGGACGTGAGACTCGGGGCGTTTGAGCTTACCTTTGTTTATGTTTTCTCGAGGCGTTTGCCTGGCCTGTGGATATAGGCACTTTATCTGGACTCCACGATAGAGCAATTCTGTACAATGTACAATGTATGAATATGAATATCTTTGATCAAGACGATCACTCTTGACACTTTACTTCCACCACCATTAAATGAGCCCTGTCTTGGACTTGTAGTTTCTTTGATCCCCACTATCAGTCACATGACCGCGATACCAATTCTTTTTTTGCGGCGAACGCTACATTTGCGGCCGGCATAGACCACATTCAAAAGCAAGAAACTAAAAAGCAAAGGTAAGATTGAAAATTCCACGTTCATAAAGAGTGCATATTTGTTGTGGAAAAAGCCACCGAACTCTTGATACAACTTTGTGGCTTGAAACTGTCCCGCTTGAGATCGATGCCCTTATCAAGAGAGGACTTGCATGAAGATCTTGTGGGGGAGACTGTCATGCAGTCCAAATGCCTTGTAATTATTGCAAATTGTCCTGAGCAAAAAAAAACTCCACACTCTGATTTTCCTTGACGTTTTGAAATCGAGAGAAAGTCCCATACTGACACCCCACTAGCTACATACATTCTGCATCTCTCACCGGAGCAGAAAAAACCAATTTCACCTACCAATTCTCATTGCAGAAACTGCAAGAGGTATGAAGCCCAAACTCATATTCAAGAGGAAGGATCGAAGTTGATCATCGAAAAAGCGGGATATAAAAAAAACCCCCACCAAGCGAAGAAAAAAAAATATCTAGCCACGAATCATGTCTACCTCAGTGCCAATCACCCTGTCGGCCGAGGCAATCGACGACCTGATCTACGACGCTCGCGCCGGCGACCTCGAAGCCCTGAACGAGGATGTAGCCAACCTAGCCAACCAGCACAGCTGCAACGAGTCCCAGATCGTGGCCTCGGCCATCGACCTCGCAGAGCAGAGCGAGGGCGGCTCAGGGTCCTGCGTGCTGCACTTCCCCGCTGCCAATGGAAACATCAGTATGTTTGATTCTTATCTTACATCAGATTCATTCTAACATCCATCCTAGAAATCCTCAATGCCCTTCTTCAAAAACTCTCCGCCGCAGATGCCGCCCAGCGCTCGGCACTTGTCAACCACCGTAACTACTCTGGTAACACGCCTCTGCACTGGGCTGCGCTGAACACGCACTTGGAATGTGTCAAGGCTCTTGTTGGAGCTGGAGCTGATCTTACCGTTAAGAATGATGCCGGTCACGATGCTGTCTTCCTTGCTGAGCGCAAGGCTTGGGAAGCTCTCGAGAAGGATGCTCAGGAGGGTGAGGGTCAAGGAGAGGGTGAGGATCAGGATCAAGAGATCGAGATGACTATTGGCGGTGAAGAGGGTGAAGGCGAGGTTAAGGATGCTGGCGAGATGTCTGCGGGCAGACAGGTTGTTGAGTGGTTGCTTGCATCTGATGTCGCTGCTAGTCTTGAGAAGGGAGCCACTGAGGGCTCTGCTTCTGGCGAGCGTAGTGCATCTGCTTGAGTATGGTATTTTTTGAATCGGTTGGAAATCATGGGGAAAAGTTAGCATAGATTTGGAGATTTGGGTACTTCTTGTGGATTCTTTTGTTATTGTCAATATTCATACATGATCTTTTTTTTTTCAGATGTCATAATGTCACATTGCAAGGCTATGCAGAGCTTGAAATGCTAGTCTAGTATACATAATGTTCATATGGGCTCGTATACACATCAGTCGCTTCGGAATTTGCCCGCTTTGCTACTGGGATGTTGGGCTGGGACAGGGCCAGCGTTTGCTGCACTAGCAGAAGGCATTGGCGCAGCAGGATCGATCTCGTGGACTCTTGCATCAAAACCGACCTTGAAGCGCCGGTCTCGCCAGACGACTGTCACACCACCATAAACAGCCATGACCCAAATGGGAAGGGCTAGCACTTCACGACCGAGCCAAGCAGCAAACCACTGCATGAAGGGACGGCGTGTGGTCTGGGACGACCGGTACCGTTGGGGCCGCGTAAAGGCCGGAGTACCCTCGTCCATCTCAATAGTCTTTGCGGAGTGCAGCTTGATGTACAGCGTCCAGTCAACCATGATCCAAGAAATCATGCCGAAGACGAAGAAAGCAAAGAATGCCATCCAGGTCCCCAGGCTAGATGCCCATTGCACACCTCTCTGCTCAAGATGCGGTGCCAATGCAGCTGTGACGCCCCAAGCGCCATATATACAGCATAGGAATGACTCGGTGCCAGGCTCGACAAGTGTAGCGAGGAGAACGGTGAACTTGCGAACCCGTAGCCAGCGAACTCGGCGTGCAACGTATGCCGGCACGCTCATGTTGGCAACAGGCTGAACTGCCAAATCGCCAAAAACCATGGCATGCTTGCCCCAACGTTCACCAAGCTCTATCTCTTCCCGGACCTTCTTCTTCCAGAGAAGATCGCCAATCAGGTGATCCTCGCAAATGTTTTCCGAGAAGAAGTCAATACCGGCAAGGCGTGCCTGAGGATTTGAGGGCGACGGAGCAGTGAGATAGTCGAGATGAGACCGGCGGAACATGTTAGATTTACCTACAATGCAAGGCGCAATAAGGACCGTGTTGATAGCCGTGTACATCTTTGCATGCGCAGAGGACAGGAACAGCTCTTCTAGCCGACCACCTCCAGTAGCAATCATAGCCGCCAGCCCATCCTCCGGACGGACAGATGGCATGGCTGCAGCCGCAACATCCGCATCTGCATCCGAGGATTGAGGATTGGCATCCAAGAGCGCCTGCCGCTCTTCAAGCAAATTGCTCTCTCCCGTCACATCCACAGCCACAGGCAAGTGATGCACGAACTTGTACTTCTTGTCTGGCGTCGCTCCAGTCCCGCACAGTCGATCCACCATCCGGCCGCAGACACCTTTCCCAACCCACACATTACAGTCGATGATCCAGATGATGTCGCCCTTTGCCTCGCGGTATGCCCGACTCATATTCCGGATCTTCGGATTCGGGCCTAGAGTATAGGTATTCGTTCCATCCCGCTGCAACAGCGGATCCTCCTCTTCGACGAAGACACGCGCGTCAATATCTGGGAAGTCGGTGATGAGCTTGCACAGCGTGGGGTAGGCGGGATCGTCTCGTGTCGACACGCAGAGATAGATGGTCAGCTTGTCGCGTGGATATTCCTGGCGGAAGGTTGCAGCGAGGCAGTCATAGAGGTGCGGTTCCAGACCCTTGACTGGTCGGATGGCGGTGACGTGTGGTGCGTCGGCGGCGTTTGCTAGACGGGACAGGTGTGGCTGTCGCGAGAAATATTTCCATCTGGCGGGCAAGGGGGTCAAGTTAGTCGCATATTCATACTGATTGCGGATATCTGGTTTGGTTGTACATCTGGAAATATCCCAAGGCGCATACTAGTTGCACGACTGTGTACCAGATCAGAGCAACCCAGCTGGCCGCGACGGGCACGGATAGGGCGCCATCAGCGGTCCGGAAGGAGAAGAGGGACGAGGAGGTAGACTCTAGCATGGGATTGAAGGCGACAACATAGGCACAGCGTACATTCTAGAGGAGAAGAAGTGGGAAGAAGTGCAGGTGGATTTCATTTTTTGGCGGTGGATTGGGCTGTACCCGCCCCATTAGCTGACCCTCGCATATTGCAATCCAACATCTGATGTATATTCGAGTTATTTCAATTACTGTGATTCTATACTCATTTTGAACATTCAAAGGAAGAATTGTATCTCCTGAGAGACCTTGGTAGGGCAATCCGTGAATCCAAGCAGCTACAGAGCTGCATCGGAGCTTGCTTACGCCCGGGCTACTATAAATATCAAAATGCATCGCGTACGCGGATGTCCCGGAAATGACCAAGTCAATGCATACAATGGCAACCATTGCTACTAATTTTATGCTGAGCGCCGTATAACCAAAAAGAAACGGCTTTACTCCCCCCAAAACTCCAAAGTCACACCCAGATACCAACGACCCAGTCCATGTATCAAGTTTTCTTCTTCTTGCGAACCAATGTGGCATTAAGCACATTCACAGGAGCCGATTGCGATGGAACTGGGAACGTGTCGCTTGATCTACTGGTTTCTTGGATATTGACAGCTGGATTGCTGCCTTCACCCTCGGACTTCTTGCGCTTACGCATCAATCCAAGATCGAGGATGTTGTTGGTGCTGCCCTCTGTCGGCTGAGGTACATCACTGCTAGCGGTATTGCTGCCGATGAGCTTCTTGCCCCATGTAAGCTCATCTGCGAGCGAAGCAACCTGGTCGACGTATATTTTTGTGCTAGCGAGGACTTCTTTCTCGTCGTAGAAATGATCTAGAACGGAGTCCATCATCTTCTTGTAGTCTGCTTCGCTGAGGACAACGTGTCCACGCCCGGCCTCCGGCCAGTCGAAAGGATTGAGGTCGTTCGATGCATCGTCTCGAGGAAGTTCAATGGAATTTTCGGCAAGTTTGGCATCTGTTACCGATGTTGATGCATCCGGCTCATTGTTCTTGCTGGGTTCAGCTTGCGATTTGTCTTCTGTCGTCGCCGCAGGCACATCTGAGCCACTGGGCACTTGACCAGGCTCAGTGGCACGGGCCCGGCTTTCCATCGAAGTTGAGTTCATCAAGCCAGGAGGATTGATGACGAGCCACAAGAAGCCAACCAAACGACCGGCAGAGCACTCCTGGCGGAAAGACATCATCTCCCAAAACTGGTCCAGGGATCTGACACTTCGCCATCTTCCGTCATTAGGAGGAGCAGATTGGCCCTTCTCTTGTTCAGGAAGCTCGCCATCTAGATCAAGAAGGAAGCGAGTCTTAGGATCGTCAGGAAAACGGGGAACCAAACATCGAGGAGGAGCCGAGGGGTCATGATACAGCTGTTTCAAAGGGTAGCTATTGAGCCATCGCGGTCGATCCTGCGCGTCGGATTTGGCTGTAGGCGGGAAGAAGTTACGCGTTTCAAAACGATCGCAGCTTGGAACGATGAGGTACGCGGTGGCAGAGGCCTTCGCCGCCTCGACAGCTTGGTCCATCGTTGTCGTCTCCTGGACGGCAGACTCAGGCTCATGCTCGCGTAGAATCGGGTCTACGGCACGACACCACCATTTGATAAGGCCGCGGTCGTCCAGGACATGTTTCTCGGGATTTTCGATACTGCCCGGGAACAAGTACTGGTTCTGCGCGCGGGCGAAGAGGGACACAACTAGGCGCACCCCGGGCCGCTGCCGCGTTTTCGCTAGATATGAGAGGAAAGTGCTTGAAACCAGTCTCAAGACTGAGACCTTACGCGGAAATTTGAGCAGATGCAGGAGGCCTGTCGAATCAGCCTTTGAGACGAAGATGACGGTCAAGTGGGCCGTATTATAGACCATCACTTCCATGCCAAAAATGATGATTTCCCCTTCATCCTTGGAGTCAATTGACACCGAGAGGAAGTGGTTCTCGCAGAATGTTGGCTCAGACGGCTGGCCCGGGGCAGCTGCGAAGAGAGCTTCGCATGGTGTTGGTGTTGACGAGACATGGCGAACGGTGATCTCAACCCCGGTGGGGAGCACCTTAGCCAAGAGATCTGCCAGATCTGAGACCATTTCCTGTTCATCCAATGAGAATCGTTGAATTGGTGGTGAGAGGAGGAGAACTGCGGAGCCGTCGATTGAACGCCCTGTGGAGATCACGTGCCGGCAACTGTATATGGAGTACTTTGATGTTGATATTGGGTTATGTGACAATGTAAGCGGCAGGTATAAGCATTAATGATTGAAAAGGGTACTACGTACTTCAGTACTTAGACCTGAGCCATGCAGGTGCAGTGAATAAATATGGAGGTCATTGTAGTTGCTCTGAATATGGTAAATCCACCCAAGACCAATATAGAATGGCAATTGTTTGTGACACTCATTGCCAGTAAACATCTCTTTGACTCTGGGGTTTCCTCTTCTACTCCCATCTTTTATTCTGCCACAACCCAACGATCGTCATATCCTCATCTACAGCTACACTAACCAAGACCATCAAAGAGTAAGCAGATACCACCAACAGTGAGACCAAGTCTCGGACCCACAAACAATCTCACTTGAAAAAGATTCCAGTGTACTGATACAAGGTGGCACAGATTTTTGAGCAACGTGACCCTCCACCTACAAGATGCCGGTGCCGATGCCGTACAAGAGAGTCTACCAAAACCTCCCCAGTAAGAAAACATAACTGCTACCCTACAGACACGTCACTTATACATGGTAGTTCTTGAGTCCAACACCCTGGGGTGCTGCACCCAGATGCAGATCCGTTATACCTGCGGCCACTCCACTGGAGGCGAGTTTATCAAATGTCGCCGACACATGCACACCGATGATGAGCGCTGCCCTGGACGCCAGGTTGCGCATGTCGATTTCAAAATCTCTCCCCACAAATGTCGCTCCTGCCTGCGAAGCGCATAAGTATTTGCTCTCTAGCAAGAGCTCGTCCCAGGACAATGCAACGAGAGACGAGGTCCCCACAGACGGATTGCACATTGACGACGGAATGGACATTTATTCAATAAGCCTTAGAATTGGAGATTAACTCTATGCTTTCATTTCTGACCAGCGCCATAAACCTAAAACCCAAGTAAATGCCACGTGGGATGCAGTGTAAGATGTTACAGCCGCTTCTGATGTGATTCAAGCCTGCCGTTTAAAAATAGGCTGTTACAGCATCTAGGTCATCAGCGTTAAGCAGGATGACTCCCTCGCGTAGTAAAGTCCTCCATACAAGGTTGCGCTTCCGGATTGGGAAGTATGGCGTGTTCCAGTACCTGGCACCAATCCCGCGCTCATTTGCAGTGGCGATTTGGGCTCGGAGGGCTTTAAGCTGGTCCTCTGATAGAATCGGGTCTGTATCGACAGTGATCTTGCCGACGGCCTTGTCGAAATCGGTTGAAGCGACTGGCGAGACGATTCCAGTTATGTCGGCATATTTGGGGTCGTTCAAGTCTGCTAGAGGTGCATCAAAGAAGTAGTCTCGATCTTTCACTGGCGCAACCATATCCAGCGGTGTCTCGCCAGTGCCGATGATAGTGACTGCCCCGTTGATAACAGTCTTGCCATCTTTGACGGTGGTGAGATACCCTTTGGCTCGTAGAGGCTCAAGAGCATCGATAACTGCCTTGAAGGTCTCGTGGCCAGAGGTCTTCACATCGATGAAGAAATACAGTGTTTGATCGGGAACAGTGTCCCAAACGCCACTGTTTTTGGAAACCTATTAGCAAGAAATTAATCAAGGCCAAGAAAACCCACTTTTTAGTTGCCGATGTCAAAAACGGGCTTTCCGGGTTCTGGCGCTCCAGAACATCTAGAATTGGATTAATGTACAAGGATTCTAGAGTTCGCTGCTCTGTCAAAGCAGATTGATCATGTCCAACCTGGTTCAATTAGCATGATAATGCAGAATGATTCGGGTTGCGTACATATAGTGTGCCATTGTAAAGCCAGACATCGGCTTCCGTGGATGTACAGCCATGAGACAAACCTGGTAGGCGATGAGCTAATTACAATCAAGTCCAAGTTTCCGGAATGACGAACCAGTATAAAATGGTTCATCACGCCAATAGTCGCTATTTCTAGGTCAATATTAGACCAATTGGATGTTGGGCAGTTCCATACTTATGAGAATGAACAGGAATCTAAACATCCGCTCAAGGTCAACAACATTCACTTTATTGATCGAGACAATTGAGTACCAAAAGTTCCAATTGATGAAAACTCACCGGGAGAAGATCTCTAGTTAGATCAGTCGGATATCCATAATCTTTGCTGCCATGGGTGTTCCTCAAGATGCTCTGCAGGCTGGAGGTGATCGCCCCAATTGCAGGGACCGGCCCCGCGAACAGAGCCACAACAATGCCGGTGATGAACAGCATGAGGACAGAGAGCATTACTCTTTGCAACCAATATTCATAAAACGATGCGACACGACCACGATGGCAGTTGAAGGGTAGTTGAGCAAGATGGAATTCTTACGGCGATCGGAACGCGGATCTCGTGCACGTGTTCGTCAAGGGCGCCTTGGTTGCACGCCACTCAATAGGAGTCAGCGACATCAACTCTACTCTCTATTTTGCCTACAAAAGAGTCGAATGAATAATACAAACACATGGTATTTAAACGCGATGGCTAAAACGTGTGCTAAAAAGACATGGAAATCTCGGGCGAGTCACGCATCTAGGAAGTGCATGGCGAAGCCCGGAACTGTCAATGAAAGGTCATATCGTGAGAATGAATGCTATGTACGTCATGGTTGTATGACTCTAGACCTCTCGCACACTCGGTGAAGAGGCACCTCCAGACTCTTGAGAGATGGAGGTACGACCCCGAAGGCTCAGATTTCCTATGCGTTGAACCAGGTTGCTCCCGACAGCATCCACTGCACCCTTTGGTGCAAGCAAGGTAGGCCCTTGGGCGGCTGCCTCCTGTACTCGGAACAGGCGGATCCCAGTGCCGTTCCAAACACCAACACTGCCTGGTGTTCCACCACCAGCAGAGCCGACAACCATCTCGCTGGAGAAAATGAAGCCCCAGAGCAACGATTCATACCAGCCCATGGAGAGGGCGGACCACTCGAATGACTGCACACGGACGGGGGTTGGTTCGGAGATGATACCTTTGACCTCGGGTTCCTCGGCGAATGATGGGAGGTTGTGAATTAGCGTACGGGCCTCTGGGCTTGCTGTGCTTTGAAGAGCCGAATCAGGGATGTGGGGTGCGATTGCGGAGATGATGGTGAGAACTGTATGCAGCGGTAGCTCGGGCAACCAAGATTCGAGCTGGGAACCATTGTCAATGCCGGTGAATCATGCTTAGGGTGGGGATGTGTCTGTATGAACTTACCCAATGGACTGTCGGAGTAAAGCCACTGGCAGAGGCGGAGAATAAAGCAGAAATGCTAGTCTGGCTCGTCATGCTGTTCTGCCGGGAGAACGGAGGCTTTCCAGCTGGTTTCTTGCCTCGCGCCTTCTCAGACATCCCTCGTACTTGCTGTGCTCCATTCTCGTCGATAGTGGAGGCCATTGAGGCTCTACGCGAGGTCTGAGCCGAGGGCGTTTGAGAAGGAGTGTGCTCCTCCCTCTCATCATCAGAGTCATCGTCACCGATTGCAAATGGGCTGTTCTCCTCAGGAATCCGAGTCAATGGTGATCGGGCACCGGATGAAGTGTGAAGATCTTCCTCGGACTGTGAAAGCGTTGGGCTAACCGGTGCGTCAGAAGAAGTTGAAGCTTTCCTCTTCTCGTTTTGGCGCTCGATTTCTTGTTGGCCACTTTCGAGAGTAAACGCCCGCACAGCTTCAAAGCGTTGCCTGTACTTCAAGATCGCGTAGACAAGGTATGGGTTGTCTGCACAATGTCAACAAGACTCCATATTTTGGACAGAGGTGGACAAATACTTACCTGTGAATTTATGCTCGAGCATGATGTTGATAAAATCGAGCAACGACGCAAGAAGAGTATGGTTTGTCTCGTTCGCTAATAAGAAACTTGGCGCAGACATGGACGAAAAGAGTTGAATGACCTTCGAGCAAGCACTCGGGGAGATGTGTTCAACGTAGGGAGCAATATTGTTAAGAATGATCAACAATGCAGGGTATACAGTGTCCAGATTGCCTTTGCTCGTTGTTATCAAGGTGTGAATAGACTGCTGCAGTTAGCTTTTGATATTTTGCTTCTATCATTGAAAAAACTTACCATAATCAAAAAGTCGGCGTATGAGCCGCGGAACTTCAACAACCGAATTGATTGTGGTAGAGTTTCTTGTGCCTCAAATTTGTTGTTGAGGCTCTTACCAAATGTTAGCTCCGCGCTCATTGTCTGAAGAATGAAAATGCACATCCGAACGACTCCTTGCTTGGAGGGATCCATCCTGTACTCCATTGCATAGAATATGCACAGGACCAGAAAGTCATGAGAGCGATTTGAGTCGATGATAAAGGACCGGAACCTCTTATTGCACTGGAGAGTCTCCCAGAAAAGGACCAACATTTCCGGTGCCCATTTTACCGACTTTTGACTCCCAGGAAGATACGACGCAGTAGCTTGCATCTGTATCCATGTGTTAGTCAAACAAGCTGAAAGAACAGGAGACCTGGGGAGATGATTACAGGTTGGTTCAGAATCCTTGTCATACCATCGACAAGGAATTGGAAATCCTGAGGTCTATGTAGTCGACCAAAGTAATGGCGGTAATAGTTCTTCGGGGGTGCTCCACGGCCATCCTCAGGAATAGGATATAACAGGAGAACAAGAAGAAGCTGCACACAATATATCACCAAGATTTGCCTGGGATCCTTCCAAACAACGTGGTCGTACGGGACTCTCCACGACGCAGGGTTATATTTCATGGCCTGTTTGCGAGTGAGTTTTATTCAAAGCATGAAAGTGAGTTTGACTCACCGTATTCAAAAGAGAACAGAGAACAGTCAAAACAGACTGCTTATCCTGGCAAGTTGTGATGTAGGTAATGGCCTTGACGCCTTGCACGGGTAATGTGTCTAGAATAGTCAATAAGTGTTGCAATGCCCTCACAGAACCTGACCAGACTTACTTGAAGGCAAGTACATGGCCTTTCCAGTCAGCGTAAGCATGAGGCGAAGAATCTCGCATCGGTTGCTCTCCAATTGTTTGTTGGAGCCCATTGCTGTGTTGCAACCAACTCCGCTCTGCCAGATTGAATATGAGACCTTGCCCTTGGCAGTCGGAAGCCGGGGAATTGTGAAGTCGGCAAAGAAGAGCAGATCCACCAATGTGTCTATCAACTCCTCTGCGAGTGGTTTTTCATCCTCGTAGTCGGCCTCTCGCGGTGACGTCTGATCTTGCTCGTCTTCAGGTTGCGCGTCATCGAACAGAATCTCTCCAGAAATCTGCGCTTGTCGGGTCATTCGCTTTCGGTGCGCCCAGAAGAACTTATCTTCCCATTCCTCCAGGTGCTCGGCCTCGTAAACATAGGGGAGCAGGCGAGTGAGGACGCGGACGCAGTTGAGGACATCACGTTCGGGTGCAAGGTCGGGGTCAGGGAACGAGGGATGATTTCGCAACACCGTTAATCGCGAGGTCACGGCGAGCAGGAGCGTTTCAAAGTTGGCCAAGGCATGATCGCGAGTTCGTCGTATGTCAGCCGGCGTAAAGAGGCTGAAGACGTCCTCAGTTGATTCAGGAAGCTCCCAGAACTATTGGCACAATTAGCTCTTATGTCTCTCGAGAAGATTGTAAGTTATCTTTAACATACTCTGGCCCAGTAGGGGTCGTCTGCGGGGATCTCCTGTTCCTCGGAGAGGCGGAAGATGCCCTGCTTGAAGACAAGCTTGGACTCCGAAGCCCCCATGACGCAAGACAAGAGCTAATCACGCCGTCGTGAGCTTCATGCAGAGTTGAACGCAGCAAAGGTCAAAGTAGTAGCTTGCCAGGGAAGGGTGTCAGGTGTATTGCCAAGTGCTGGTGGTTGGCGTTCCTAATCTTGCGGGCGCGGGACTTGGCCTGAACACGGGGGTGATGGCTGATCTGCAGAGTGCCCACAATTTACACAGCTAGACGCATACTTAGAACGTGAATACTTTCAGAACTTGATAATCTTAGAATTTGGTATGCTTGTAGTACATAAAAAAATGAATCGCTATGACACCATGACCATGACCGTGACCCGAGCGCCCATTTGAGAATATTGTTTAAAACCCTAAGAATCAAAGCGCACTATTGCTCGCAGAAAGCCGCCGGCTTCTCTCATACAACCACTTGTTCTTTACCCCCAAGCTCGCGCGCTTACCGGCAAGCGGAGAAGGTGTACTCGGACCGAGACTCGATTCTCCAAACGAGGATGCCCCAAAGGAGGATGCCCCGAACCCGGACGAACCAAAGCTCTGTCGCCGACCAGAATCCATACCTCCATTTGAAACAGCTTTGTAAAGCAAGGGACTCGAAACGGGAGAGTAAGGAGTACCTGCCGAGGGCCTCCGCTCAGAAAAGCTTGCATTCGCGGACATAGGGGAGGATGGCCTGCTTGCAGGACTAGGTTTGCGTGAAGTCGAGAGACGGTATCTGGGTGGCGTGGCAAAGGTGGTGCCAGGAGTTGTAGGCGGAGTTGCAGAAGGATCAAGGCCGAGGAGCTTCCGTTGAGTGGGAGTAAGAGGAATGTCTGACAGGTCATCCTTCGGCCGGAAAAGAGGAGAGAGCGCCATTATGATATTGACAAAGAGGAAGAGTTGGCAAACGAGCACCGAGAAGTCTCGGAAAGCATCGCCAGTATCGAGAATTTTACGCGAACTGTAAGAGAGGCTGTTAACACGCAATGCGCAAGAACGGAGGGTCTCCCACTCACTATTCTTTGACAGTCCCCCTGAGGGCACATGTCATTATAAGGGCAGCACCATTCCAGATCAGCCGCTTCACGTTCTTCTCGCCAAATGTGGCTGCATTCTGACGTCTGACAATTTCAGCCAGCATAGGGTGTCGCCATTTGCCCGGAGTTCCAGTGCCTTCTGAAGCAGGAGCCAGCGGGGTCGCTGCTTTGGGAGTAGCAGGGAGAGATTGAGTCGCCATTCGTCGCGTGGAAATAATGAGACACGGAGGAATGAGAAAAGGCGAATTGAAAGAAAGACTGAAGCTTGAGATTAGCTACTGAAGCACTGCTTTTTTTCGGCAGGGATAGAACTCACAGTTTTCACAGAACTTTGCCGGCACTTACCTGGGGTAACAACTAAACGAGGAACTGTTAGTTAGTATTCAGCATGCACGTAGCTGGGGCAATTAGAAAGCCATGTTATGTTATGTTGATGTTGACTTTCAGATGGCTGGAGGATCAGGAGTTTCACGGGCTTTGGTTGACCCGAGCAGCTGACCTCAGCCAATCAGATGACCATCTTATCAGCTCTGCCCCTCAACGTCATAGTCCTTCTGTTGACACACTTCATCGACCTGATCAAAATGTCTGCTTCCATCGTGGAAAGGCTGGACACTCTAGTGGCTGATATCCTGGCTGACTGGAACATTTACACCACTATTGTTGCTGGTGTTGTTGTCGCCTTTGCTGTGTACTCCGTTGTCTCATCTCAAGACCCCGATGTCCATCCATTCCTTCTTGCTCGCCAATCTACTGCATCCCCTATCCGCCAGCAGGGCGAATCTGCAACATACAGATGTCTGGAAACTCCACATGGCTTACCCCTGCGATTTGGTCTGAACGTCAAGGATCCCGGTGCGCCAAAATGGACCGGTGGCCGCCGCGGTGACCTGCGTGATATCTGGAAGACCGCTGTGCGTGGAGCTTTGAATGAAGATGGCACCATGTCCGGAAAGCAGGGCAAGATCTATACTGTGCTGGGGAAAAAGGCCATTGAGCACTCGTTGGGCCAAATCACTCAAGAGATTAACGTTATTGGTCGTAATCTGCAGAGCGCCGGTGCGAAGACTGTTGCTATTTGCCTCACAGACTCTATTGAACTGCTGGCTGCGATCTTCGGTATTTATTACCACCCAGTCTCTATAGCTTGATTGCTAACTGTGTCATTCAGCGGGTGCTTTCTACGGTTTCAAGGTTGTTATTGTGCCCCATAACCTCCCAGCAGAGACACTATCAGCTCATTTGCAACAAGCAAAGGCAGATGTTCTCATTGCTGAGGCTGGATCTATCGATCTGTCTGTTATCTCAAAGGACAACAAACAGCTCTCGCTCGCTCTCTGGGTCGCCAAGTATGGTAACCGTCACATGGACTGGAACGAGGTCCCCGAGGACGTCAAGGATAGCTTGAGTGTGGCAGTTTGGCATGACCTAGTCGAGGAGCACAAAGATATTGCTGGCTTCGATGTTCCCGAGTATGATCCTAAAACGACGACGCCCTCTGTTAGCACCGTTTGGCCCTCTTCGTCTCAATCAGGCCAATTTATCGAGTTTCAGCCCGAAGTAAGAACCAAAATGCTCTGGTACTAGCACCACTAACAATCAATTTTAGAACCTTGTTTCCGCTGTTGGTGCATTGAATTCATCATTGCCCCGTACCCAGCGCTTCACTCCGGCTGACACTGTCCTCTCCATCGACTCGCTTTCTCGGTCTTACCCACTATGCCAGACCATGGGTGCACTGTTTGCCAACTCTTCCATTGCCCTAAATTCTGTCGCCGGAGAATCCGTGGACTTTGCTTTGGCCACTGCTGGTGTGTCTCCTACAGTCATTATTGCATCGTCGCAAACCATGGGTGATTATCATGAAAAGATTATGCGCCCGCACACTGGCCTTATCTCGTCCATTGGTCGCTGGCTCCAAGCACGAACTCTCGATGCAGGAAACATGCCAACCCACAACTTCTTTAGCCAGCTGGCTCGCATTGGTCCCACCGCTGAGCTTTCTCTGGACAACCTGCGCCTCCTTTGCATTTCCCACCGCATTGATAGCAACTCCGCTTCTCGTCTGACCTCTGAACAATTGACCGAGCTTCGAATCTTCACTGGCGCTCGGGTTGTTTATGCCTTGACCGGGCCCGGAGTTGCTGGTGCCATTGCCCAGACCAACGCCTTCGACTACAGATGCCTCACTGGCCCCAGCCACTTTGGTGCCCCGTTGAGCAGCACTGAAATAACTCTGAAAAATGTCCCTGAGAACTCTAACGGTGTGGAGGAGGGTCACCTTACTGTGTCTGGCCCTGCTGTTATCGATGGCACCACCTCTTTTTCCGCAAAGGCACGCATCGGTACCGACAACACCCTGGAATTGTGCTTATAAGCGTCATCATATTGGGATAACGTAAAGAATCCACCACTCGATTCTTATCTTTCGGCATCTTTAGCAAATCTGTGTTTTAAAACATCTTACCTGAACCCATGCCTAGCATGATCAAAAGCGATAAGGAATTATCCATTTTAAGAAGTACAAGTACCAGCTCCAAAATATCTGAGAAGAAAGGTGTAATATACATGTAGATATGGCTCAATCAGGACCAAAAACAGATGAAAAAGACAAGCAGCTTGTCAGACTATTCCTTGATGAACCGCTGGGCCACCTTGTCAGTAAGCACCTGCTTGTTCTTAACGCCCTTCAACTGCTTAGCCAGTACAGTCTCAATAGGCCCCACGCGCGACTTGAGGGTTCCCAGAGATGAGGTTGGCTTGGGAATCCGATTGGCCAAAATAATGCCATGAACAACAGCGAGGTTCTCCTCAACCCTTGCCTGCTTTTCAGATGGGCTGGTATACTCATCCTTGAACTTGCCGAGATCCCAGGCGGCGTGAAGCCTCTGGGCATAGTGGATAACCTTGTCATCTGGGGACTGCTTTTCAAGGGCACAAGCGGCACTGAGTTCCAACAGTGTACCAATAACGAAAGGCTGCTGCTTCGGGTCCTGAGTACTGTCATCTCGGATGGAGTGTTCAGGGCTGTCCATCAAACTGGCGGCCTTCTCTGCCAGATCCAAAGCCTTGACGACTCCCTCGCCCTTGAAGTCCGCGCGCTGCGCCATCTGGTGAAGCTCGAAGAATAGACGGCGAGCGACGTTCATGTTGCTCAGGCTCAAGCCGGTGCGGGAGTACTGTCTGGCGCACTCGATGACGGCACCGAGCTTATCGGCCTGGCCAGCTTTGCGGATGATGTACTCCCACCGGTCGTTGTTGAGGATATAGTTCGACATGCGGAGGCCGCTGAGGAATGGGAAAAGGTTGCTGAAGTTCTTGGTCGCAACCATCATGTGGAGAACTTCCATGGCATCCTTCTTGGATGGCAATTCGTGCCTGTTCTTCGGCGTTAGGGTGAACTCTTCATTTTCACTGATCTTCACGGTAATCGGGTCGTGTTCCAATGCCTGGGCGTATTTAGGCTTGAACACACTCTTTCTCTGTCGCTTAGGAAGTCCAAGGGGAATGAAAAGCTCCTGTCGGAAGCGGTCGAGGGCCTCATTTAATTCGGCGGAAGGTGTTGAAGTGAAAGTCGGGATCGCTGCACCAATCATTGCTTGTGAGAAACCGCATACTACTATTAGAGGCACAATTGCATACCTGATTTGCTACCAAAGCAGCGGACCTGAGATGGCCTCAGCATGGACTGGCATACCGAGCTGGTGGTGCTCTGGCGGAAGAGCCTGCCGACGGCGTTTTGCGCCATTGTAGGTAAGCGGCAATTCCTGTATAAGATAATGCAAATAGAAAGAACAGTGGCCAGTCTTCCGGTATGTTTTCTCGCAAACAAACAACAGACAAAAGACGTCAAGGGAGGTGTGTTTGGTCGGGGAAAAAGAATCGCGCTGTCTGCAACCCGAACGGCCAAACTTGAGGCTTGGCGGAAATTCTGCCGGTCCGGCCCAGCCAAAACTCGACTCCGACTTTCTCGACTTGACATCCGCATCACAACCATGGTGGCTTTACCAGCAATGCGGCCGTTAGGCTGTCTGAGGTCCCTGATGAGGCCATCGGAGCCTATCACACCATTCCTCAACCGCCGGTTTATCTCGACGGCCTATAGCAAGAGACCTCAACGCATCCCTCTTCCTGAGAACATTCCGGAGCAATTCCTCTCTCAGATCCCTCTTCACTACCGTCCAGACCCTGGTACGTGTTGGCACCGATCCAATTGCTTATTTCGAGCTTAGCTGACTGTAATTTTCTGTAGCCAAAGAACCCCTCAAGGTCTACCCTGCTCCGCCATCTGCCCGCAAAACATGCCCGGATCCTGTCGCAGCAGTCACCGCATCACAATTGGCCGAGCTCGACCCCAAGGGTGAGCGACAGGCTTTGTTCGACTACCGACGAAATGCGCGCAGTGTCAAGCCTGGTGATATTGTTCGTGTGGTCTTCAAGAACGGCGATCCATTCAACGGAGTCGTCCTGAGCATCAAGCTGCGCGGAATTGAGACTTCGTTCCTTCTGCGAAACGAGCTTACTCGCGTTGCTGTTGAAATGTCCGTCAAGGTCTTTAGTCCTAATGTCCAGAGTGTGGAGATTGTCCAACGCTCCGAGAAGAAGCGCAGACGCGCGAGATTGTATTACATGAGGTTCGTACCTGGTCCCCAAATTTACTTTTCGTTACGCCTTTGCATGACATTTCACTAACTTTTGATACTCAATAGGGACCGCAAGCACGACCGCCGCAGTGTTGAGAACGTTGTGGCCAGCTACGTCCGCCAGAAGAAGGCCTTCTTGGGAGGTGGTGGCCGTGGTGGCCAGAGTGGTCGACGTCGGTAATCGATTTAGAGGGAGTCTGGCGTGACACCCGTTTGCAAAATTGTAGCTGTATTACTATTAACATCTTGTACTTCATTTGTGTTCATAACTTGCGACATCAAATACACCTTTGAGCTTTCTTACCCACTGTCCAAACCCTCTGACATCCCGCGACACTGTTCAACCACCGGGCCAAGCCATACCGATTTCGTTCCAAAAGGTTTGCTTATTTTCCGTCTGCCTTATGCGGCGGTTCAGACAGGTAGCAGGGCTGGCCTCGGTCCTTGTCACCGTTTGATCTTCTAACGCAGGGTAACTCCATTCATACTCATTGATGATTCAATTCATGACTGTTCCTTATTCATCTGAAGATAACATGGTCTCCCTAGTTATACATTTTCGATGACGATCATCCCATCCCGCAGAGAAACGCCTCATTATTATATCTTGGTGAACAAATATGTCTTGTCCTTCCTTCAATATGACGATTTTCAGTCCATTTCCAGTGTCAGGGCCCACCTACAGAGTATCAATTTGACCCTGTGGACCTCGTGAGTCTAGAAACCCTCTCCCCTCATTTGCAAGGATCAAAACTGCAGCAGCTATCTTTGAGTCCAGGTAATTGCAGAAAAATTGTTCTTTCTCGAGATAGAGATCCTCCGTCCTAGACAATTATCAGCGGGCTCGCATATAACACGGCTCTTACAAGTAGTAAAGCCATTGGTTCGTTTTCAAGGCCCTTGTCATCTTGGGCATAGGCTTTGTGGAATATAGCGCTGTTTGGTGTGTCCATGATTGGTAGAAGCATTTGATTAAGATGCTGTAAAAAGGAATCACAGTAGAGAATAGTTTTATGGGGGGTGGGGGCACACTTTACTTGACTGCTGTTTTATATTGCGAGAGATAGGGCATCCATGGGACCCTCTCCATTAGATCGTGGCTCTTTAGCAATCGTTGACTACTCAAATGCTCCAGCAGTATGGATATGTGATATGCAATGCGTATACTACATCTCGTCTCGTGAGTGCATGTCTTGTACGACGAGAAATGACCCCTGATGCATTGTCCACGATCTTGTCCATCACTTCAACGTGCTATCTCATTGACCACTAGATCGTATTCGAAGCAATGCGACAGTCACATAATGTTGCACATAATACACAACAATTCACGTAGTCCTCGACCGAGCAATTGCCCAAGGTCAAGATCAAGATCTCAAATCTGACTTCTTTCAATGTGATCAGTGGAATATAGTATAAATACCCTATTGGCATCATGAACTTACTGCTTGCAACAATATGTAATCATAAATTGCGTCTTCCTCTTCCTCTTTCTCAATAGCGGAATGAAGAACACTCTTGACGAGCTATCGTGGTGCTGGTCTGCATGACTTTCCCGTTCAATTTGGCTTTACTCCTAGCTCGTATTCCTGTCTATTACTGTATCGCCAATTTGCGGTTCCCAAATATCTGTGATGGGATGTAAATTGAGTGTTATGAAACGACAAAAACCAGGACGACGAAAACTTCAGGTTGACCCAACTTCGAGCTCATATAATTCTTCTTCATAGAACACCTCTAGGCTCATGGAACCCATACCAGCCACGAATTTGTCAGGAGCCCGGACAAGCAATATGTTGATCTGTAATGGCATATGTGAGGACGTCTGCGCGAGACCCGCCATATCTGTCTCCTTATTTATTGCAGATTGCACTGTCTCGCTTGCACTGAAGCCTTCTCGCCTGAACTTCTTAGTAATCGACAATTCAAGCATGACCTGAAAGCTTATGTTATCCTCCCCAAACGAGATGGCACGATCAATGAAGATCAATATATCGTTCTTCCTCAATTTACGCCTTGTGAAGGTCTGCACGGATGGTCGTATGTCACATGCTCCACGAGGAAGCGCAGCTTGGCTTGATCATCATGCCAAATAAATATGAGAGAGCCCATTGAGAGAAAAGGAAGTTGCAGCTTCATTTGCCCCAATTAGCTATAAACATGTATAGATTGTCCTCACTTTATCTCAAGACGGCCTTTGTTCTTTAAGACCATTGCTGTCAGATTGGTTGAGCCGTCAGCGGTAAAGCTTGTTCAAGTGATTGAATTTCACTGTTTCCAGGGCCTAGAAATGCAAGAATGGAGAGCAAACTAACTAGTACAGATAGCGACGTCTACCTCCTGTGCATTACCCGATAAGAATTATAGCTCTTAGTATAGCCAAGTAATCGAGTAAGTCACGCAGATACGTAGATAGTATTATACGTAGTCGTACAGAATAGTCTAAGCAGTTAACAAACTTATCTCATTCTTCAAACAAGTTGCAACCCTTGTTAGATTGTTAAATTTTACATCTGTGTGTATACCGCAGGGCATAGTGGTACCACCGGGGTCAGAAGTCTTTTCAGACCTTCTATATATGATCTAAATAGTGACCCGGAGGCACTCAAGATGGACAATAAGAAGCGGACTAGGATGTGAAAGAGCAGAGACCAAAACAAAGTAAAAACTTTGTATCAATAGGTACAGCCACAATGAGGTTTTCCTGTAGAGTCCGTCTCAAGTCTCGTAGCACGCTGTACACACTCATGACTCCATTCGTAATAACAGTTTAACAGTTCTTCTACTCGTCCCTATGGTGATCTAACATTTTCCACGTCATCCACAGACAGAGACATGTAAAATTCCGCGCTTGGCACTTGGCGATGCCAAATCGGAGCATCGATCGGGACAGCATCAGGTAACCGACGCCCGCTGTGGGGTGCCATGCCACTCCAAAGGTCTGGGCGCTCGCACGGCTCTGCCTCGGCGTGAATATTACGAAGCGAGATCCCTTTTCTTCAACGACGCGATGTGCCATGCCTCGCTAAAGCCGATCGGGGAAATTTTAGGATTACTCCGTTCCCCGTCCGCTAAGCCACTCCCTGTCAACGGGTTTAATATCGATGATTGCCGCCTCCAGGGGGCTGCGATCTCCTCACTGTCCTCACTGTTCTCACTTTGAGATTGACTGGGACACGGGAAGAGATGTTCAACTTCTTTTTGAGGCAGGTTTGGACGCTCACCGTCAAGAATCTGCTTATCACCTTCGTGCGCCCCAGTGCAACAACCACCCTTAGGGCTTTGGTTTTGCCTGTCGTCTTTATTGCTATCATGTATGTCCAAAACTGCTCGCCATGATGAATTAAATGGATAGTGTTAACGAATCAGTTCTTATGCGCGAAACTTCTTTGTTCCTCCGTCTATCTATGGAATCGGCGACCCAACGCCGGTGCGGTCTCTGACCAGCGCCTTGGAATCAGTTAGTGGAGGAAGAGACAAATTGGTCTTTGTCGATAATGGATTTACTGGTGGCGACATCCAGCGGGTTATAGATCAAGTCGCAGAGCCTGCCCGACAAAATGGAGACCAAGTTGTGGCCTTAACTTCCGAGAGTGATCTCAGAGAGACCTGTCGGACCACGCTCAGGGGTACATCCTCATGTATAGCTGCAGCTGTCTTCTACTCGTCACCTAATGAAGGTCCAGGCGGGACATGGAATTACTCGATTCGAGCTGATGGCTCATTGGGTGATCGCATCAATACCGAAAAGAACACCAATGCCCAGGAAATCTACCTTCTCCCTCTTCAGCACTCTATCGATCGCGCCATCATCCAAAGCGACAGTTCTGTGGATAGTAACGGTATTCCTGACGAGGTCTGCCTTTGTCCTATGCCATTTCTCTCTAATATATGTTGACTGTGATTAATAGGTCATGGAATATCCTTACACCTCACTGACCCAAAAGCAACGACAAGATCAGATCCGGGTGCGCTATATGAGCGCGATTATCAACATCATCAGTATTGCGCTGTTCATCGGAATGGTTGGTGTTACATATCAGCTCACGGGTTTAATTGCCATGGAACGAGAACTTGGCATGAGCCAATTGATTGATTGCATGCTGCCTGGTTCCTCCCAATGGAAAGCCCAAGCAGCTCGATTCATCGCAGCTCATATTGCTTTAGACCTCATCTACGGACCCGGCTGGATCATCACCGGTATCATCTTGAAGTACGGCGTCTTCAGCAAAACATCGGCCGGAATCACCGTCGTCAATCACCTCCTTACCGGACTGGCATTGTCTTCATTCTCGATTTTCGGTGCTTCTTTCTTCAGAAAAGCACAATTGAGCGGTATATCCGTGGTGATAGCCAATCTATTGCTCGGAGTTGTGGCGCAAGTCGCTGGCATCAAGACTAACGGTGCAGTCATCGTTCTCGGTCTTCTGTTTCCGTCCATGAACTATGTGTTCCTTTCGGTGTTTATGGCTCGGTGGGAGAGACAGAATCAACCAACGAATCTGATTCATGCGGCTCCCGATAATCCTTGGACAATCCCAGGTATCGCACTTTGGGTACTTCTGATCGTACAGATTGTTATCTATCCCATTCTCGCCGCGTTGGTGGAGCGTATGCTCTATGGAACCGCTTCATCTGGCCGTGAAGCCACAGCACTTGGAAATGCCTCTGCCCTTACCATCAATGGTTTCTCGAAAGAATACAAACCAGGCTGGTTCCACAAGAATATTGGGAAACGCTTCGGTTCCAAGAGACAGAGTGTTTTTGCGGTCAATAATCTCAGCTTGGATGTTGTCAAGGGTGAGATAATGGTTCTCCTTGGAGCCAATGGCTCTGGAAAGTCCACCACGCTCGATGCTATATCAGGTCTCACCAAGATCTCATCCGGAGAAATCAAGATTGATTATGGCAACAACGAAGGCGGCTTTGGATTATGTCCCCAGAAGAATGTTCTTTGGCATAATTTGACTGTCAAAGAGCACGTCAAGATCTTCAATGGTCTGAAGACCGCTCAGAAACGTGATAGCCAGGATAATCTGATGGAACTCATTGCCGACTGTGATTTGCAAACCAAGCCAAATGCACAATCAAGGACACTTTCCGGTGGCCAAAAACGGAAGCTTCAATTGGCCATGATGTTTACGGGTGGCTCAAGTGTTTGCTGTGTTGATGAGGTCTCCTCTGGTCTCGATCCAATCTCGCGAAGGAAGATCTGGGATATCTTGCTAGCCGAAAGAGGTCGCAGGACTATTCTGTTCACCACTCACTTCCTGGACGAAGCAGAGCTTCTGGCAGATCATATCGCAATCTTATCAAAAGGTTCGCTGGAGGCCCAAGGGTCCACAGTCGAGCTCAAGCACCGTTTGGGATCCGGATATCGAGTCCATGTTCATCATCCCCCGGGATCTACTTCCACAATCGACCTGCAGCTTGAAGAGCTTGAAGGAACTACCAAAGAACCCCAATTTGATGAAACGGTGTATACTGTACAAGACTCAGCTCTCGTGTCCAGAATTGTTGCCGTTCTTGAAAAAAAAAAGATCACTGAATACCGCATCAGTGGACCGACGATTGAAGATGTGTTCCTCAAAGTTGCCCAAGAACTATCCCAAGACTCTAAGCAACCTGAAAAGGTCGATGTTGTTAAAGGAAAATCGGATTCCGAAGGCTTAACAGAGGACAACGAAAATGGCACCCCAGAACTCTTGACAGGAAAGCGCATTGGCATGGTGCGCCAAACATGGTTTTTGTATGTTAAGCGTCTGACAATTCTTCGCCGCAACTACATTCCATACCTCGCCGCCTTTTTGATTCCGGTGATTGCTGCAGGTCTCGTTACCCTGTTCCTCAAGGATGCAACCGCGCCCAAATGCTCTGGGGATAGTCTTTTCATGAGCCCAGACCCGAAATCATTGAGCTCATACAAAGACATTGACTTAGTGGTTGGTCCACAGAGTCAATTCTCATCTTCTCTAGGCAGCTACATCAATTCCTTGTCTGGTGCAGCAAGCTCGGAAAGCCGGAATTTGACCAGTTATTTCAACTTCGTCGACAATTACCCAGATTTCACGCGATACATTGAAACTCACCAAGCAAATGTCACACCCGGTGGAATCTGGCTTGGAGACTCATCCTCCAAACCAACCTTCGCATGGAAGGGTAACAACAATAACTTCCTGCTCGCGGCACTCACGCAGAATGCTATGAACAACCTCTTGTCAAATACCTCAATTAGTTTCCAATACCAGTCCTTCGACATTCCATGGCAATCTGACGTGGGAAAAATGCTTCAGCTGCTGGTTTACTTCGGTCTAGCCTCGGCTGTGTACCCTGCTCTTTTCGCACTCTATCCAACAATTGAACGTTTGCGAAATGTGCGTGCTTTGCACTATAGCAACGGTGTCCGGCCGCTTCCCCTGTGGCTTGCATACCTTTCCTTCGACTTCTGCGTTGTTCTCTTAGCAAGTGTTCTGGGGATCATCATCTTCCGAGCCGCGTCGGATGTTTGGTACCATGCTGAATATCTCTTCGTGGTATTCTTTCTCTATGGTCTCTGTTCGACTTTCTTGTCGTATTTAGTCTCTCTCGTTGCCAAATCCCAACTTGCGGCCTTTGCTTTTGCTGCTGGCATGCAGTGCGTCTTCTTTCTCATTTATTTCATCGGCTACATGTCTGTCCTCACATACGCGCCGACTGCCAAGATCGACTCTTACCTCTCCATTGTGCACTTCACCTTGTCAATTATCATGCCGATCGGCAGTCTTTCGCGGGCTATGTTTGCTGCGCTGAACATCTTCTCGATCTTGTGCAGAGGACAGGAGCTCGCTTCCTATCCTGGTGATATCACTGTATACGGCGGTCCTATTCTATACTTGATTGTTCAATCACTCATCCTGTTCGGTCTGCTTCTATGGTTTGATGGAGGTGGCAATGCAGTGTTGGCTTTCAGATCAAAGCCGAAGCCGGAAGACGTCGAAGAAAAGGAAATGGACGAAGACGTGGCCAACGAGTTATCCAGAGTTACAGATTCTCAAGACGGTCTTCGTGTGTTACATCTAACAAAGTCTTTCAAAAAGTTCGTGGCAGTTGAAGATGTCACATTTGGAGTCGGCAGAGGCGAAGTCTTCGCTCTCCTCGGTCCAAACGGTGCCGGAAAGACAACAACAATCAGTCTCATTCGCGGTGACATCCAGCCCTCCGAACGAGGAGGCGACATCTTTGTCGAAAACGTCTCCGTAACAAAAAACCGTGCCATCGCCCGCTCCAGCCTAGGCGTCTGTCCTCAGTTCGACGCAATGGACCAAATGACCGTCATTGAGCACCTCAGGTTCTACGCTCAAATCCGCGGCATTTCGGATGTCGATCACAACGTCAGACAGGTGATCCGAGCCGTAGGACTTACACCATTCCAGCATCGTATGGCGATGAAACTCTCCGGCGGTAACAAGCGCAAGCTATCCCTTGGAATAGCACTCATGGGCAATCCGGCCGTTCTCCTGCTCGACGAACCATCTTCTGGCATGGATGCCGCCTCGAAACGGGTCATGTGGAAGACCCTAGCGGCCGTTGCACCAGGTCGCTCAATCGTCCTGACCACGCATTCCATGGAAGAAGCAGATGCCCTTGCAAGCCGCGCCGGTATCATGGCGAAGCGTATGCTCGCCCTTGGTACAACAGACTATCTCCGCTCCAAGTATGGAAATATGTATCATGTTCACCTTGTTCACTCTCAAGCCCCCCATACATCTGATGATGATATGGAGCGCATGCGTACATGGGTGTATGACACTTTCCCCGGTGCTGTTGTTGAGCAAAAGACTTATCATGGTCAGCTTCGTTTCAGTGTACCCACTGAATCACCATCTGATTTTCCGGCAAAGGATGGAGTCGAGTCTATCGTCGAAGATGAGATCCATGTTGATCTTGGACGTGATGGTCAGAAGGTTCAGTCTTCGACTCTGACAACGAGAGGAAGCAGTGGTATTGGTAATTTGTTCTCGTGTCTAGAGGCGAACAAGGAGTTACTCGGTGTTCAGTACTATTCTGTCAGTCAGACTAGTCTCGATCAGGTTTTCCTTACGATTGTTGGGAAGCATAATATCGAGGAGGAGAATTCGGGAAGCAAGTAGCACACGTGGGCTTAGATCTAGAAGATATCCAATATGCAATTTCTACTACAATTATCACACCATAAGAATAAATCTTCATTCTGATTATAGGCTGGAAAGTGGGGATCACGAAGAGCGATCAAAGTCTAATAGATATATCGGAAGCTATTGGAAGCATCGTCAGCAGGGTTCCGAAGGGGGAAATGGAACGTTATAGGGAAGATATGTACTTCATGTTCTCACGATCCGTCAAATCCAAGAACGCAGTAGCATCCAAATCTCTTCCTTCGAGACCACCCTCCATTTGTGACTGAAGACGATCGCGTTTTTGGTTTTCCCAGCGGAGCAGTAGGCCAAGGATGCTGATCAAGACAGCTTCAATCAAGTGCGAAACAATCATGGACCAAATTCCAAGCTCGTAAGTTGGCCTAAAACTAAGGTTAGACTACTTCTCGTTGAGATAGGGCTTCTGGTGATTCCAAAGAAAAGAGACAACATACGATTGTTCAGACTTGTAGAAGAATGGACCAGCAATATTACCGGTACAGTATCCTAAGAACAGAACGGCATTCGTGACGACTTTTTTGGTATGGCCTGCGCCTGTTAGTTAAACTTCCACCAGACGGAACCGTTATACAACAAAGTCTTACCAGCTGTGTTTGCAATTTGCATACTCAGGACGAGCACAAATGCAGCATTGTATGGACCTGTCAGGTAGTAGCAAATCAGTCGTCCCACACTGTGTTGAACTGGAACGAATCGAAGACCGAAGGAGCCAGCCAAATTTGGAATCAAGAAAATGAGCACGAATACGCATCTTCTGTTTTCAAAGCGGTCGTTCAGATAGACACAGGTCAAGATGGATATGGCGATGATGAATCCGTAGGGGATCTAATCTCGGGCATTTGATCAGCTTTGAACAACAAAGATCTACAGTGATCGATTCTGTTGTGCGAGTGGAAAAGCGCTCTTACCTGCATCAATGTGGTCACCAATGTTGAAAAGCCGAATCCTTGGATGATAATTGTGCCGAAATTCGAGATTCCACCATTGGGTACATTGCAAACAACACCCAGAGTAAAAAACATATAGAGCTTATAGTCCTTGAAAGCCTCAAAAATTTGATATGGCTTTAGATGTTTGTTCTCAACACCAGTCTGGTTTTCCCTCAAGCGTTCAACGGCCATACGGCGCTCTCTCTTGCTCAGACCGCGAGCTGTGACAGGAGAGTCTGGCAAGAATATGAACATTATTATACCCCAGGAAGCACAGAGAGCACCACTGGATAGCATTAGAAGAGTCATACTCGAGCGAGACTCGATATAAACTCACATTACGATAAACTCGTATTTCCAAGATGGCAACGCACCGCGAATATGGCCGATTCCATAGCCCAACAGCCCGCCTAGCGCAATACCGAGTCCATTGGCAGTATACCACAACCCCAGACGTACGGGCTGTTCACGACGTGTGTACCACATACTTGTGATTAGCATAAAGGCTGGATCCGAGCAGGCTTCGGCGGCACCGCCGAGGGCTCGAAGGACGGCGAGGGTTTCGAAACTGTTGCAGGCAGCTTGGATCATGAGAAAAACCCCCCTTTGGAAGAGATTTAGTATATGGTACTAAAATAGTGATCTTAGTCCGTTGAACGTACCACATGAAAATATTCACACCAAGGTATTTTCCTAAAACGTTCGTTAGATTGATGGCTGTAGAATAGATTTGCGAAAACCATACCGATTGGGAGACGTTGCATCAAAAAATTGGTTGGGAACGCCCAGGCCAAAAACCCAAAGTAGAAAATACTACTCAGCCAGCTGTATTGTGTTCCATGGAGATTGAGGTCGTCTCGAATTCCAAAGATAGCTGCATAGCTTAGAGTTGTCTGTGTCAATGCAAGTACCATGTGTTAGCCCATTGACCAAGTACCCCTCGAGGATTCAAATAATGGAAGAGAAAGAACCAACCTTGTCAATGTAGAAGAAAGCATAGCAAACAGCCAAATAAGGCAAAATCATGAAATCAATCTTCCACAACAGCTTCCTAGCTTCTGCAGGATCAACCTCTTCGTGAAGCTCGTCCGGGTCATCGAACAGCGCCATGGCTGTATCGCCGTCGGAGTTTTTGGCATGCTTGAACTTGGTCTGTTCGTGATTACTCTCTGCGTGCACGATACTAGGAGCCTCGGCGATGTGGGCCTTTGAACCAGATGTTGGCTCGGAGGGGATATTGTCCGCCATAGTGGATTTAGATGTTCTTAGTATTGAGTGGAGTAAATGGGGTATCAATACAGCTGGGGTCTGTCCAGGTATATAAATGGTCTGAATGAATGAAATAGAAGAGACAAAGATACGCAGATGTATATCAGAAAGATAATCCCGAGCATCCTATGCGCCCCTTGCTTCACATCTCCAAATTCGAAGGGAAATCAACTCTTTTCCCCCACGTTCAAAGCCTAGCAGAAGAAAAGAATGCCAATCTGCGGGGAACCTCTACGGCATCTTCCCCACGCCAGGGAACGTCGTATCGCGCGCTGATCAGTCGACTCCCGGGGGAAGCTTGGTCTTGGCTGACGAGTAGCACAGTCGAATTTGCGCCGCGATTCATTCCAATTGATTGTGCATATGTGTGAGGTTACGCCACAAAGACTGGCTGATGGCCAAGGTTTGCCTGCCGCGAAGTATACTTGCCGTATGTTGTTGTCGGTGGAAGTCCGAGGGCTCGGAGACTTTGCCGTTACCTTGTTTCTTTGAGACGATCTGGCGTCTACCTATGTACTTGATTTCCTCTGCCACTTCTTGGGATTCCCTTTCCGCTTTAGTATTTAGGTCTTGCCGCTTTTTGCTCACTGAGCACTTGAGCACGCCCCTGAGCGCTCTGATCTGCTCATTGAGCATCACCTGATAGTCACCTAAGCACCCTGATTCACTCACTGATCATTATCCGAGTGCCTCGATTCGCTCACTAAGCATAAGCTAGACTTCCGCAAAACCCAATTTGGGTCCAAAAAAGTCCGACCCAGAACCCAACCCGGACCCAGTACTGGGGCCCTAGTAAAACCCAGCTTGGACCCAACTCGACCCAATTTCGGCATTAAAAACTAGTATAAAATGCTTATAAATTATACATTGGTATTGGCTAATACACCTATTATCTCACTTTCTATATAGATTATAATATAAGATAACTATATATAGCTATATATAGTTATTCTTTTAATATAATTACTTAATTAGGAAGGTAGTAGAAATATTAGCTTATAGGCTGTAAGGGTATAATATTTCTACAATATAATTCAAATTAGATACTAAAATTACTTTCTATAAAAGGGGGGAAACGGCCTTTAAACATGTGTACTTTTGCATAATTCATGTTTGCACTGTTTATAACCCAAGTTGGGGCCCTAGACATAGTGCCGGGTTGGGTCCGGGTTGGGTTGGGTTCTGCGGAAGTCTAGTCAATGTCTAGTCGCGTAGTTTAGTTCTATTCTATTAAACTTCCTTGACTAGAACGCGATAGGGTGCCACTTCTCGGCCGAGTCGGGTTAGGATAAAATCCTAGCTATCCCGAGATTGGACGCGTCCGATTCGATACGAGTCCGCTTTTCTATATCAACATGTTGCAAAACCGAGGCTTTTTGGAATAGGAGTAGAACCCGCCTGGGAAATACCGGAATAAGAGTTGAATAAAATACAATGGACGCTCGCTGACTCAAAACTACCTGGTGGGGCATGGGGAAGCTGAAAGAGGGCATTCCAACACTAGATCTGCCATCTGACATTATGTGGCAGCTATTCACACCTTACTTACTATTATCTCGAGGATGGGACTGTTGGCGGCTATCTCGTAATGGAGAGATTTGAGAAATTTGAGTATGTGATTGCGAGTACCATGAAGAAGCAAGCAGAGAGAACGAGGATACAGCTGCGGACTTCTGACCAGAACGGGAGACTGATGCTACGCCAGCAAGAACCAGAAGCTCTAGAACCAAACATCGAGTCGATTTGATAGATATGAAACTCGTTTCCACAATATGATTTTATGTTGATAAAAAAAGAGAGAAGCTTGGGGGTTTGGTCGCCGTTGATCTCTTAATGGGAGACGTTTCACTCGCTTCTCTCTCTCTGTCGAGTAATGAAGTGTTTTGTCAGTCGCTCTGCGTATTTTCACAGAAAAGTAATTTCTGGAAGCGTCTTGACCTTCATGGCTGGCTAGATCGCAGAATGAATACATTCTAGGTTTCTAAGCAGTGGCATAGTGACCAGGTCACTTTGGCCTGACTGCCTGATTTCTACCAGCGAAGTTGTGCTTGGAGATCCCACGGTTCCCGGGAAAACCACACACAATGGTGTTTCCGCCGTCACCATATCGGGACTTGTTGAAGATTCATCTTGATATATGATCCTTTAGGGTTAGCACTCTTTGTTCTTTTGCCCTGTGCGGTAAAACCTTTATGCCCAAGGGTGGTCGACGTTCTTTAGTTTACCACTACCTTACCCCACCCCCATCTCCTTCTTGTTGACTACGCAGTGAGGCATTTCTTTATTGAATTGGATCGCCGAACTCCGTCTCTTACACTGTCATTGGCGCGACCAGTCAGGTTCCTTTTTTTTTTTCGCCCTGGTTGCTCCGGAGGCAATTCTGTCTTTGGTCCGCTGCGCTGATTTTGATCCACATGTTCACCAATCATCGCCATTCTACCCTATAGGCCTAGAGTACTACTGAGTCCCATACGCTTTTCAAATTACTCTTCTTTTCTCGGGCTCCACTGCCAAGGTGCTAGCGTAATGATATATTTGTGGGGTAAGACTAATGGCACCCCCGCTAGTCCGAATACAGTTAGAGCACTTTGACCATGAATATACACAAACTAGCATATTAGGATCAACTGTGAACTAGAATAACCCCCTGAGCCATGGATAATAGTTGAAACCACTCAATTTTCATTTACTTTGGCAAGTTCAGTCGCTGGTTCCGATCATTTGGATTGCATTCTGATTCCGAGCGCTCCACTAGATGTGGCCATGAAGCACTATAGTAGGTGACAGCTATTGTCGTTGAGCTGTCAAATTAAGATGACATTATCTGGGCCAAAAAAAGTTTCTCTTGCCGATGACCAAATTTCAAATTCGTCCGTAAGGATCTTGACAACTTTAAGATGACCTTTATCTGCTGCACTATTGATAGGAGTCCATACACCATCACTCGCAGCATTTGGATCCGCACCGGGGTCGAGGAGTAGTTGGATCACTTCAAGATGGCCGCTATTTGCTGCACTATTGATAGGAGCATTCAGACCTACACCTTGATAAAGGGGTAGTTGCACAATGTTTATATCTCCCTTCTGGGCCGCCTTTGACCGTGTTGTCAGTTTATACTCTGGGTCCCCGTATTGCACGGGTGCTCCCTCGTTTGTGACAACTAGCCGAACAACCCCCTCATGCCCCTTCAAAGCCACCCATCCTAGTGCTGTTTGGCCATAATTCGAATCTTTGTTGCCCAATTTGACTCTTTCATTTGTGGCCAGGTGCCACACCACACTCTCGTGTCTGTTCTCTGCCGCCCACGATAGTGGGGTCCGTTTAGATTCTGACATTCAATCTGGATCCACTCGGGCATCCCGGAGCAGCAGCCAAGCCACAGCCTCATAGCCCTTCTCCGCCGCCCATGACAACAGCGTTCGTCCATGGTTGTCCCTAGAGTCAGGGTCGACCTTGTCAATCGTAAAGAGTAACAACATGACATCCTCATGTCCGTTTACTGCCGCCCAAGACAGCGATGTTCGTCCGTTGTTGTCTTTGGAATTTGGGTCCACTTGATTCATTGTCAGTAGCAGCCACACCAGTGCCGTATGCCCGTTCTCTGCAGCCAATGACAGGGGTGTTCGTCCGTGGGAGCTTTTTAGATCTGGGTGATGTCCTTTCCAGACTAAAGCAATCGTCACCTTCAGAAAGCCGAAATGAGCCGCAAGGTGCACACCTGCCATCTGTCTTGGCACGTTCTGACTGTATTTGATGAACCGATAGTGGCTTTCATCCACCATCATTGCCTGACACGAGGCGGATACATTAGCCTCGCTGCTAAGAAACTATAGAATCAACTCCTCTGGCTTTCCAGATGTTTCTCGAGCATGATGCCCCCAGTTCCGTGCGCCATAATCATAAAAGGGATTGTTGCGTATTCGTGACTCAAAGCTTTCATTGGTGGAGCAAAGCCCATCATTGAAAGTTTCCAGCGGAAGATATGTGATAGATGCGGCTGAAACATCAAACTTCTCTTCTGAGAATTCACATGTACTCTCGAAATACTCTTTGGCTGTGTAATGTATGAAATCGATGATCTCACTCTTTTGGTCCACTGTGATCAATCCAGCGCAGATAGAACCAATGGAAGCCGTGTCCATAATGAACCTTTCATCTAAGCCTGGGACGCCTGTTCTGACAGCTAGAGCATGTTGTATCTCGGCAGTGAAAGTCCTCTCTTGCTGTACGTTAACCAAGACAAAGGCCGTCTCGCGAGATCCCTGAGGCCTTTCGACTGGTGTCCGATTCTTTCCACTGCTTGCATATAGGTATCGTTCAACCCTGTCTCTTCACCGGCTAAGTTCATGAGTGCTATTTCAAAATCCCCTATGGTTGGTTCACCCAGGAGGGAGTCCATGTGCGGTTTTGCAAGAAGAAACCTAGATGTCCTGTTAGATTTTTGACTCAGATTACCCCTCCATATAATATTGAACAGATGAATATACATTCCACAAGCGACTTTGACAATCATATGCCTGGCCAAATCCTGGATCTCTGGGTATCTTGGTATTTGGGAAGGACAAAGCCTTGACATCTGGCCGTTGACGTAGTACAGAATATCCCTGCTTTGAGCACTGATCACTTTCCATTTGCATTCGTTAAACTGTGGCGTGGTCTCTGGTATGTCTCCTGATGTTGCAAACAAATCGAGTGCAGTGTTCTTCTGGAATTGGCGTTCACAAGTCACATATATATACCAGGTGACCAAATCCAAGTCGTACGAGCGGAGTAACCTATTGTATAGTTAGATTTAACAGAAGCTCTCTTCTATTAAAAGTTGACATGAATATATCTGAATTTAGTCATATTTCATCCGCTCTAGCAATATTTAGATACTATAAATTAGCATAATGGCCATGCTTATCTTAATAAATTTTTCTTTTGCCGTCTCAAGCGCAAAATGAATACGACTATGCTTAGGTGGGTTGCAGCAAAGAACTAAAACATGTATAAAGAACCTCATTATTATATGACTTCTATGCGCACTAGTATCTTGCATTTTTGACGGGATTAGCACTTCATTATTCCCTTTATTGCGTTTGATTTAGTCCCTTCTATGTACTCAGTTTCTTTTTCTCAACATGATTACATCTTAGTTGTCATAGATTCCGATAAACATATTGATCCCTTCTTCAGTTTCCAATACAAACCCAGTATCCCAGCCACAATGACTGGCAATTGCCCCCAACGCTCGGATTCCACCAAATGAACTGACTCAACGAGATACCAGCTGCAGATGCAATGGTCCCACACTGATCCCCATCAACAACCTTGTGGAACTTCTTACACGAGGTTGTCATCTCGGGCTGGATTGGGGCGGGCGTAGCGATTCCATTACCGGCAGTGGTGGTTGCCTTCGTAGTAGTGGTTGTCTTCGTGGTAGTGGTGGTAATGGGGTTAACACCCACGACCTTCACGCACACGTAGTAGCCATTCCAGAGCGTCTCGCAACCTTTGCCTACAGTGGGGTTCCACGAGTAGAACTGCGAGAGGCTTATTCCGCTGTTGCGTGCAATTGTGGTGCACTGGTCGTTCTCAACGACCAAGTGGAACTTGTCGCAGTTGCCCACCCTGCCATCTTGGATAGGAGTTGGAGTGGCAATATCGTTTGTTGGCTTTGTTGTTGTGGTGGTAGCCTTGGTTGTAGTGGGTGCGGTGCCGATGCGTGATACACAGACATAGTAGCCAAGCCATAAGGCGGAGCAGGTGTTTCCTAATGCGGGGGTAAGCGCGTAGAATTGGGCGGGAGTGATGCCATTTGCTTTGGCAATTGAGTCACAGCCGTCGCCGTCGACTACCATGTGGAATTTGTTGCAGTCGGCGATCATGCCAGGCTGGATGGGCTGTGGCGTGGTGAAACCATTGGTTGGAGTTGCAGAGGTTGTGGTAGCCTTGGTAGTGGTCGGGCTAGGGGTCCAGCCGGTTATACCGGTGCATATCTGCTCAAATGGTTAACATTACTCCGTGGAAATTGAACTCGCCAGTCTTACATATGTCTCTTCCCAAAGAAACTGGCACTGGGACCCAATGGCGGGATTCCATGCAACGAGGTTGGCCAAGGTAAGGCCGGGATACTTAGCCAGGTACACGCTGCATGTGTCTCCGGATTGAACGAGATCCCATTTGTTGCAGTTGGCCACTTGTCCTGACTGGCTAGGACCCAGGGCACAACCAGTTGTAGTGGTACTTGAAGTAGTGGTGGTTGAAGTGGTGGTACTCGAAGTAGTGGCACTTGAAGTGGTTGTGACTCTAGTAGTAGTTGTGCCAGTACCAGGAGCTGGTTCTCCGTATGCTTCGACACAGTCAGACTTACCGGAAACATATCCTGCGCAGTTGCTGCCGACGGATGGGTTCTGGAGAGATCAGACATTAGAAAGAAATAGCTGGGAGGAAGCAACTTACCCATCGGACAAAGTCTGCCATCGATATAGCCTAATAGGCAGGGATATCAGCGCACTTGCTTGAGCTATCATCGTCTACCCACCATGTGCAGTATGGAGTAGTATTTGGATCATAGGGTAGTTGGGGAGTCTCGTCGCGGCGGACGACATTTGGCCTGGCAAAAGCTGTTGACAGAGTCAAGCTCGTGGCCAGAAGATACAGGCTAGGCGAAAGCATAATGGTTGATGCTCTGAGTGGTTATCCTGTAGGGAAATCCTTCTGTCATGGTCGCCTGCTGTGATTTATACACTTATGGACAACGCTTATGGGCATCGCCGTTGTTCAAGTCTTCTCCACAGAATCACACATGGCTGAACTATCGATTAATTTCCTTGAACGAGATTAGTAGAGTCAATTCCAGAGCTAGATGTCTTTTGTGTACCGAGTACCGAGTACAGAATTGACACAACACTAAAGAGAGTGAGACCTGACATCTAATTCCGGCGCTAATAGGAACGATGTAACCGTCCTTTGAGAGAAATAGATTCCACCTTTGGCCCAGAAGATCACGGAGGTTAGATGAGCCGAGAGATGATAAGAAAGAGAAGAGGGCGCCCCCCATTCCAAAACCCTGCGAGGCCAGAAAGATGGCTTGGCAGCCCCTGGCCCCCGGGTCCGTGGCTGAACCCTCCTTAACCTCGGGATCTCGTAACCTTATGCTGTGACCCTTTCAAGGTTTTTATTACTAATATGATATTGTTCGGCCCGTCCCGAATGTACAGATAGACTGCCGGCACACAAACCCCAACCCGGCCAAGGCCGCAAATGAGCCGGGTTTGGGGCCCACTGGGATTTTATGGGGACCTCATAAGTCCCCATCAATGGGCTGTTGGGTTGGGCTTTGCGGAAGTTTAATTACAGAAGTGGAAGAAATGCCGATCGTTTAACTTTTCACTAGCCGAGCATTTTAAATTACATTGCCCTCCTGCATAATTTTGGAGACAGACAACATGTTTTGCCGAACCGCCAATGGCATATCCGCCTGATTCACTAGGAGAACCTCACCGGCTGTTTGTCCACCAATGCGGATGGAAGAATCAGCACCTCGACTTGCTAAGTATTCAAGATACTTGGCCTGTACATCAAGCTTCTCCCTCCAATGATAAGAGTGAAATCTTTCTTCCAATGTCAGGAGCTCTTTGTAAAAGGCTTCGCATACTGCATGCAAAGCCGTTGGTCCGTCCTCGGCCCCCATGCGGGCATTGATGTTGGCCCGCGACGCCAAAAGCCGCTCAATTGTGGCGCGGCCAATTTTCTCTACGGGCTTATTCCATATGCATAAACCCCTTTGTAGGATGTATTGGCTCAATAGTATGGTAGGGTCCACCTTTAAATCCTCTAGAACATAGGTTAAGAGACCTTGCCATGCCGCTGAAACTTGGACTAGTGGATCCCCAAAAACCGAAAGTTTAGAGTCGTAGGAAGCGAGGGACTCAGCAAGCGTGCCAACACTGACCGCGTGCCGGAGCAAATATTGCACAGCCAGGAGAAGACTTGGACTCGTGACCAATTTGATCAGTCCCCACTTCTCGAGGATGAAGTCCAGGCACATTTGGGAAGGGCTCCAATAGCACCTCACCCAAGGCGCACTGTGTATTCGCTCCAGGTCTCCACGATCTGGAATGGGAATAGGCTGTTGAAGGAGTGCCCCTCGGCTAGCCAGAAATATGAGTCCATCGACCGGGTGCAAGGCATGCATCGGTTCGTCCCAGTTGTGAATGGAATCAACATAGACAAGCGCAGGACTCATGTATTGGTATTTTTTGCAACCATGGTAGCTATTTTCGCAAATCAGAGGTGCTGGATGGTTGATGTCTGCGCCATGGTGTAAGCATCGCTCGATCATAGCTGTCCCCTGGCTTGACATGCATGCCACAGCGGCCATGATGGGAATATGCCAAGGCTGACGGACAGGACGAGTAACATGGGGTCCATGAATAATTCCTCCTTTTTCGATCAGGAGATCTAGAACATCAGTGTGGGCCTTCCGAATTGCCACAGTCAGGGGAGTCACCAGTCGGTTGCCAGAGAAGGAGAATATCTCATTGGGGTTACAACCGCGGTCCAGTAAAAGGCGCACCGGACCCAGCGGAGAGGCCGATGCCGACTGGGAGATTATCCCAAGCAAAGGTAGGGTAGAGGGGGGATAGTGCCAATAGTGCCCCATACGAAGCTGATGGTCGAGGCCGGCATCCAGGTAGAGGTGCAGCAGAGCCCAATCATGTGCAGGGCTGCAAATGCGGCTGACGAAATGAGGGATGGCCCCTTTGCCCAAATCAGGATGATCGAGGCGTGCGCCAATACCACGCAGGTACTGGAAAGCTTCAATTTGCTTTCTAGTGGCTGCCAGATGTAAAGTTGATGTTTTGATGTAACACCCCGAAGAACTGGTGCTCACAGAAACCACGCTAGGGGATGCACCTAAGGAGACTAGGCGACCAATGGCTTGGCAATTTCCATGCGAGCACGCCCAGCTCATTGCGAGGTCCATGACATGTTCTCTGCCGTAGAAGATTGGGCCAAGCTGGTGGTATAGCTGTCTGTTTGTGGCTAATAGAGAGGCCAAATCACGATCTCTCAAGTGCGATATGATCGCATCGAGAAGCTCGGCGGGAAGTGTATCCAGCCGTCCTAGTTTATCCATAGTTTTTTGGATAATTAATCGAAATAGATGGGTAGTAAAAAATAGTGGTCAGCTAACATTAACAAAGTCGCTTTATCACGTGGTAAAATAGTCGGATATACTAACCCTAACCTGATCGGACTAACCCCTACTCCTATAACCTTGGAATATACGGAGTCGGAGTACTCCGTCCATTATCTAGGTGAGATATGATGGCCATCAAAAAGTAGTTCGCAAAATACATAGTATTGTGGGGCAGAGAGCTACTTTGGGGATAGACTAAATATAGACTAAGTGCTTAATAGATGCCTCTAATCAGTGTCTAAGTAATCAGGGAGTAATCCGAGAGCGGCCAATCAGAGTCACTAAGCACTCACTAAGCGCTCATTAGACCTCACTGGTTTATCACGTGATATCACTGAGCAGCTCAGTGAGCCTAAGCCCGGACTCTAAGCGCCCTCATAAAAACGGCGGCAGCTAAGATAGGAAAGCCCCACCCGGCAGAGAAAATATGATATGTAAAGTCACCTATTTAACACCATAGCCGAAACATTTGAATACGAAGTGGGTTATGCCGAGAATGGCGCTGATCGTACTTGACCTTCCAATCAGGGCTAGAGTGCGTGGGGGTCAAGAATCCGGCGTGATGCGGAGAGGAAGATCCCCCGGACATTCAGAAAAAAGAGAACACACTTTTATATTAATATCTCGACATTCGAGGACTCCTATCTTCGACCCTTTTCTTAAATAACATTATTGTGTATCCTTCTTCTCTCCTCCTCTACATTGATAAGCACGTCAACTTTGGCATTAGCGGCGGTTGAAGTTCAGATAGCGGGACTGTCAATCTCATATTAGTCCTCAAGAGTGAGATCGAATCGGTGAGTGTTTCACTTACCGCCAGGAACAAGATGATCAAGTTGGACCCGATGAACGCAGCAAAGATGCCCAGATCTCTCCATCGGTGATCAAAGTACATTTCAAAAGCCGCATAGAACTGGTCACCGACCTTGTACGCACAATACTTGCAAGCCTGAGTGGCCTCATCAACGAGATAGCCATTACCACCGCGTTCAAAGAATGGCTTCATGTATTCGCCGCAGGTGAGGTTGGAGGGAGCTGTAAAATGGTTCAACTCAGCTGCCGAACAGACAACATCACGCCCGTGTAACTCCGTGACAACCATTCCTCCAATCAAGCGAGTGAATGGGTCGAGTTGATACAGCCACGCGCGCCAGAAGCCTGGCATCTGGGGCTTTGGAATGGCCACACCACAGAATAGAGAAAAGATGATGGTGATTGGTGGATTCATCTGAGATGCGATCAGGCTGTTGGGTGTCAGAGCCGATATCATCTGGCCCAGCGTCACGGAGAATATCTCTGTGATTAGGATTATGAAGAATTGGTACCCGGCTCGGCTGGAATCTGACTGGAAACCGGGGATGTAGTACAGAGGTAGGAAGAAACAGAGAGCACACAGAATGCTATAAGGCATTTCCGCGATGACCATTGAGAGAGAAAATGCGAACTGGCTGTAAGTCTTCGATGCTGATTCGCGGTAGAAAATCAAACGCGACATGTCATAGCGTGGCTGGACCATTTGGAGGATGATTGCGGGGAGAACAGTCACGTTGAAAATGACGAAAATGCGATATTGCAACGAGGATCGGGAGTCATCCAGGTCGAGGAAAGCAAGACCGGTGATAATAGCAATTACAACATGAGTATAAAGCCGAGTGAATCCGTAGTTCTTGGAGCGCCAGAAGACGAGATTGGTTCGTCGACCGACAACCTTAATTTGATGCCAAAGAGGCGAGGCATACTCCTTTTCAACTTCAGCGTCGTCTTTGTTGTCTTGAACAACCTGAGCCCGGTTAGCTTTGATTTGGACAATCTCTTGCTTCAGCTTTTCCAGCTCTGGAGAAGTTCGCCAAATGTCACCCCAGTCACGGTCTCCAATCCGACGTGTTTGACCAGCACCGACGGCATCAAGCATCCACTCAGCAGGATTGGCATCCGCAGGGCAATCCGCTCCATTACGGCGGAAATAGTCCAGCAAAATGTGAGAGTCGTGACCAATGTCACCGCAGTAGATAGTCTCGCCTCCTCGCTGAAGCAACAGAAGACGATCGAAGTTTTCGAACAGCGCAGAGTTCGGTTGATGAATCGTACAGAGAATGGCTTGGCCTGCTGCTGATAGCTTGCGAAGGAATCGCACAATGTTCCATGCAGATTGACCATCTAGGCCGGAGGTAGGTTCGTCTAGGAAGAGTAAAAGCTCAGGTTTCGCGGCCAGTTCGACACCAATGGTAACTCGCTTCCTTTCTTCTACTGAGAGACCAGTGTCGGGAGTGCCAATGATTGCATCTGCCAGGTTCTCCAGCTCCAAGAGGTTCAGAATCTCCTCAACATAGGCGTACTTTTCGGATTGTGGAGTTTCGAATGGCTGACGCAGATCGGCAGAGAAACGAAGGGCCTCTCGTACAGTCTGCATAGCTTCATGAACATCAAGCTGTTCGGCATAAGATGTTCCTCGTTGAAATGAGGTGCCAGGGGGTTTGCCATCGACAAGAATGTCACCTCTGACAACACCAATGTTTTTTCTCGCTGCCAGGACATCGAGCAGCGTCGTCTTTCCTGCACCTGAGGCGCCCATGAGTGCCGTAAGTTTTCCTGGTTGAACGTATCCGTAAACGGAGTTCAGAAGGCGCCGAGTACCAGACGGAACAGGCACTTCGTAAGAGACATCTTCCCACGTGAACACGGACTTCGAGCTAATGTTCAAGTTTGATCCGGTATCGAGAGCCTTGGATTGTCTGTTGGCTTTCTTTTCCATCAAGGCCTCATTGAGTGCTTTTCGCTCTGCGTTTTCCTTTTGGTAGAAAGTGATAGTCTTACCACCTGCCTCGAATTGAAGAATTTCTCCGAAGTACAGATTTGTGCCAAGGAAGCCGACGATCAGGGCAATCATAATACCAAAGTTTCGCCAAAGGTCACCCTTCATGTAGCTGAATGTCTGTGCAACGTAGTTGGATCCCGGGATTATTGCCGAACCGGGCTCACCTCCAGCCAGGGTACAGACTTGGTGTGCAATATCGTCATAACCAGGACCGGTGGGAACAAGGGACTCCGTCGTGCATGTCATAGTCAATCGCTTGAACTCATTGACCATCAAAGATGCAAATCCAAGACCGAATGGGTTGATATAGTAAATCCATCGTAGCCATACCTGGGCCCCAGACCACTGAATAAGATATCCGGAGGTCAAGACAAATAGGGTGATAATGACCGAGGCAAATTTGATAGCAGAATCAAAGTCGGGACAGAGACAGCCCACCGTCCGGAAGAATACTGTCATTGTCACATAGCCCTCGAGGATAATCAGAACAAATATGAAGAAAGCTCCAGCATCGCGGACTAATCCACACATAAAGTACACGATTATGCTGAATACGAGGATTCTTGCAATCGCAAACGTTGTGTCAACAATAATCTGTGCGATAAACAGTGCGCTAGGCCTGTAAAAGGCGAATGATCGGTGTTTATTTACGATTGAGCGACCCATCATGGTCGATGCAAGTTCGGAGAAGGCTTGGAATCCGTTGAAGAGCAGACTGATGAACAAAAGACCACCTCTGGTAAACGCACCAGCACTGGTTGTTGGGGAGTTGAGCCATACAGTACCGAGGATGATAGCAATACCAATAGATGTAATCCAAGAAACGGTCATGGCAAATTTGTCCTGCCATTTGAGAAGGAATTGTCGCTGCATCAAGGACCAAATCTGAAGATGGAAGGGAATGGAATATACCGATGAGTCAGGTGTAAACTTCCGCTTTGCTTCCTTGTTGGCGATCTCAAAATCATTGTGGATTTGCTTCTGGTGTGCAATCTGAGCGCGGTAAGACTTCATGTCCTGGTCTAGTCTTTCGCTATACACAGATTTGTTGAAAGCCTCGGCCAACGCCTCTGGTGTCGAAGGTACATTTTCGGCACTTCTACCATCCTTGAATTCTCTCTCGAAGGGATCGGTAGTTCCTGTCAGGTAATCAGGGGTGGTTTGACGAGGCTTTTCACGAAATCCAAGGCCTTCGAAGTAGGCTCTTGCTTCCGATGCTGGACCGAAGAATACTTGACGCCCGCTGTCGATCACAAGGACTTTATCAAACTGCTTGTAGATATTCTCGGATGCTTGATAAAGTGAGACGAACGTGGTTGTTTTGTAGATGTTGGTCAAGATGCGAAGGGACTTGGCGAAATCAAGGGCGGTCGAGGCATCCAGTCCGCGAGTGCTGTTATCCCAGGCCAAGACAGTTCCGGACGTGATCATCATCTCTGCAATCGAGACACGACGTCTCTCACCTGCTTCAATTAGATTCTATCTCGTTGCGCGATGTTTAATTTCCAAGACTCACCTCCAGAGACACCGCGAATGAACATGTTACCGATCACAGTGTTGGCGGTATGCTCAATGTTGAACATCTTCAGCAGCATATCGATTACCCTCTCCTTGAATTCGGCCTTCGAAACTCCGAATGGACGCTTTCCAGGAGTCTTCGTATCGAGGGCAAAGCCAAGTGTTTGCTTGACAGTCAAGGTAGGCTGGTGAATGTCATCCTCCTGGTTGTACACGGATTCTCCACGGAATCTTTTTGCGAACACATCATGTTCATAAGGGCCATAGAGGACTTCTCCATCGATCCTAGTGTATCCAACACGCTGATTCGAGATTACTTTCAAAAATGACGTGCAGCCTGAACCGGGACGTCCAAGAACCAGCACCATCTCACCGGGTCGCGTGAGGCCCCGGAAGTTTTCCAGGATATTGACTTCTTGTCCTTTCTTCCCCCATCCAAAAAGATCCATGACCATCGCCGGGACATTCAAAAAATCGATAATGGCATCTGGAAAGGTCTTGATGATTGTCTTGACACCACCAATTCCACGGACAGAGAGGTTGTCCCAGATCACACCTACAGGCAGTCAGCAATGCATCTCATTTCAAGCCGAAAGGGAACCCACCAATATGCTTATCTTTGATTCCCGCTTCTTCCTCCGCGGCACGTTGGCCATGAAGGGCTGTCTCGAGATCCCATGACTCGTCTGTTTCGGTAGAGCTTGGAGCCTTTTCGACATCTGCAGTAGCACCAGGTTTGGAAATACGAGATGCCTGTTGCGATAATCTGCGGGCTTGATGCGAGCTGGAGAATTGTCTGTTCAACTCTGAGAATTCTTGCTCGGCCTGTTCAACGTCGACGCCCGTCTGCAGTGGCGTGTTGGCTTGGGTGTTCGCAATACGAACTTCTTCGAGCTGTCGTCCATAGCTATCTGTCTCGAACTCATCCAAGTCTGACTTGCTACTTGTCTCCATGGCTAGTTTTTCGTCAACGGCATCGGCATGAGGTAATGGCGACATCCAGTATATTGGGCGTATACGCCGGGGTTTGGGCACGTGTTACCTACTCCACGATCTGATTCACAGATTTGTTGGCAGACAGCAGTCTCTTGTTTGAGGATTGTTTGAGAAATAGTCTGTTGATTGAGCAACTAAACTTAGATGTCCAACTCTCTCGTTCTCCGGGGGAGATCACCACCCCTCTGATATAACTTCTCGTCAAGCTCAGCAATGACAGCACGAGAGTATGTTGGAGCAAACAAGAATAATTGGGGAAGACAAAATTTGAAAATGGCCCCAAATTCCCCTGAAATGAAATCTGCGCTGAAGAAGAAAAAAAATGAGCCTAGAAAAAAAAGATAATGAAGCCAAGCCCGAGCTGCCCTTGTCTTAAGTCCGGTAACATCAAACGCATCTACCTAGTGTCCACAGGGCTCCACCGAGCACCTCGCAAGTCCCTAAGACTCGCTTGGATCATACAAGGGTCCTCACGAAAGGGCGGTGTTGGGGAAGATCGGCAGGTGAGTCACCGAGCCGGAGACCATTTATCTCCGTTGCAAAGCATGGCTTCCATGCGTATGCAGGCAAAAAAACTGTTGGCAGGCAGAGGTGGGGGAGTGGCCACGGACGGCTTGTTCCGCGGTGGAGTGACCATATTCGAAGATGCCAAGCGGGCGGAGTCCGAAATGGGTTAAAGCCTAAGCCCAGTGAACACGAGTCATGTTGACTCGTGATGCGTCGTGCAGATTGGATTATAATTTGTACATAATCGCTTGGAAGTGGTTGTTCTAGAGCATAATTCTTCGCGGAGTTGCTTCCGAGGTATATCTGGGGTTGATATTGGGGGGGGGGGGCCAATTAGCATCTTCGCCACACTATGGGGGGGAAAGTCTAATACACGGTGAACTATATGTAGAACAAGGATACTCCTGGATTAAATATGGGTGAGTTAATAGTAGCAGTAAATTTCTGCATCGTGACTCAACGTCGAAGATGTATAGAGCGACGTGAAACTTAGACCCTAGTCTCACATCATCCTGACCAATTGGAGATAGTCTTAATATCGTGCTAGAGTAGACACTTAACTTTATAATACTTAGATCTCAAATTCAGTTGCATTTGGAACCCAAATCAAAGGGTATCACGAACCGGTCAGACGGTCAAACGGATCAAACGGATCAAACGGCAGTTTGTTACTTTTATAGAGCCGTTGCGCCTGGACCGATATGGTTAGCCTCTCGGGATATCCTCGGCCCAAAATTGGAGGTGGGAATTTATAACTTATAATTTCCGAAACAAAGATTTATAATACTAGCTGATACTAAGAATTTGGAGGCCTAGATGTCGATATCTTGTACAAGAATACGAACTGACTGAATTCTACCCAAAAGCCTACATACACATTCCTGACCAAAACAAGAGCTGTGTGTTGTGCGACCTGGTCCAACCCCCATGCTGCAGGATAGAAGCCTTGTCTTGCATACTCGGGGGTGGGCCACCAATCGCTAGCCAACATACCTCTCACGATATATGTACATATACCTGATTACATGCGCGCCAGGCCCACATTATCATCTGAAACAATTTCCATGATTTTGATAGGAGTGATACGCAGCATTTACCCGACCAATGTTCAATATATTTTTGAAGAGCACACGTGCATCTGAGAGTTATGTGTCACAAGTTCTATTAGTGATTCGTAATTTGGGCATACAGAAGGTTGGGCATTTCCCGATGCTATGAACCGGGGTATTTCCGGGAATCTTGATATGACACTTCATGTTGTTGACCGTAGAAAAGCGATTATGCGGTGATCGCCTTGATCTGGGTCTCGAGCTTCTTCATATCTCCACCAACGACACGGTCAACTTCCTTGCCATCCTTGAACACCACAAAGGTAGGCATAGCATTCACGCTGAGCTCTTTCGCCACGGATTGCAGCTTGTCCACGTCCACCTGGATGAAACGAACGTTGTTATATTGCTCGCTGAGCTTGCCGACAACGGGAGCAACAGCCTTGCAGGGACCACACCACGTAGCGAAGAAGTCGACGACGACGGGGCCGGAGGAGGTGAGGGCCTTGAAGATGACGGCGCTGTTGGGCGCGGGTTAGAACAGGACATTGACGGCGCGAATATGTTTTCTTACTTGTCAATCTCGGTGACCTTTCCGTGAGCCATGATGGGGGCTGAAGAGTTTCTGGTCTTGAGGAATATGCGAACGGCTATGAGGGGTCAGTTCAAGTTTCGGTGTTTTTATTGCGTGATCGCGGAGAGTGGAAAAGGTAGGTGATAGAGAGTATTCTTACCAATGTAAATCGCGGTAAGGATCAGAATCGTCTTGAGCTCCATCTTTGCTTGTTCGTCGCAAGTTGGAGTGGAGTCGTCTTGGTTTGGCTGGCACGTGACGCAAACTATGCCCTATCTGGAGATACTTCAATTGCGACATTTGAATATATATCTAGGTTGATCGTGTTAGAAGTAAGCCTTGTGGAACCAACGTTTACCCTTGTCTAAAACTGGTTATGGCTTCGGTAAGATATGATGTTTTGTACAAATTCGGACGCACTAGTCACACAATATATGTACATCCCAGTCGGATTAAATTTGGATCAAGTCTCTTTTGTAGCGATACGTGAAAAACACATCTCAAGCCTACTCAATGTCCTTGTTCTTTTGCGTTACTCCCTACGGTCGTTCAGCCAGATTAAGGCCAGACAGAATCATGCGATAAACGTTCTTTACTCCGAGTCATTCCCACATGCTTATCAACAAGCCCACGTGCATTCCTTCAAGTCTGCATGTCTCAGAAATGTATGTGAAACAGGCTGAAGATTGCTGATATAATAATATCTACCGCGAAATCAAGAGCGGGTCTTGGTTGACATACTTTGCTATCATGATAGCAGCCTGTGACGCGTCAGGGTGGTATGGTCCCATAAAATTTGCCACTGTGCCGTATCCGCAAATGGTTGATTGTGAGAAGGAAGGGTTATTATGTAGTGATTACGGTCCTGGGAATCAAGACCCCCTTTCTTTAAGAGATTTTGCACGTCCCTGCGATTACAGACTACTCTACCCTGTACTTCATCTGACATCTATGAATTTGGACCAAGAACCACCAGGATCAAGTGTTTGGCAATTTACATAGTTTCATGCTTAACATGTGGGACCTACATCGTGCCGATACGGGACAAACCTAATTCGGACTTTTAAGCTCAGTGAGACCCACCGATGATCCCTTCAATATTTCGCAAAGGCTGTCCGATACATGTCTTGAATGACTGTCAATACCCTGGATGACCGACATCAGCACTTGTGAAGATTTACGAACATTTCAACCACCCTAAAAGCCCGAAGTTCGTCGATAGGTATAAAAAGAGTAACATGACGGGGTCCTCAAGCAACGGAGACCGTCGACCTTCAGCTAACAATGCTCCATAGTACCACCCAGTGAAGGCCATAATGTGTTCAAACCCAATAATATCTACTTTGCTTGTCCAAGGTTCTCATACGCAGTGTTACTTCAAAATGAAATCGACTGTGGAGTTGCTCAAAAATGTTCAACTTCCTCTTCTTCTGAAGGTGATATCATCAAGTGGAATTATCCAGATTTGCGCTAAGTCATAAGGATACATGATAAGGATCTTGTTCTCAGCTCAGCCAATGATTGGTAGCTCAGGTGGTTGGCATTCCACATGACAAATAGTGTACGTACGTTGCCGATCTAGCATGCAAGGAGGATGAAATGAAACTCAGCCGAGCCAAGCACTTACAATGAGCTTATATGCCGCGGATCTCCGCCGATCTTTGTAAATATCGACAGCCCAATCCTCTATTTCACGACTTGACTACGAAACATAACCCAGCCTCTCCCAAAATGGGGGTCCAAATCCCCATACTAGAAGCCGAGTCCAAGGCCAGCTCTCACGACTTCCTTGCTGATGCTGCCACCGCTGCACAAGAGAAAACCCCAAGCACAACAGGCTCTATGCTGCGCGTATCATTATGGGCCGCGTTTGCCGCGTGGATCGCAAATTTCGACAACGCTTATGCCGGTACTGTCTTGATCATGCCGTCTTACAAGCGAGCATTTGGAACCTGCGAACGAATCCTAGATACGACAACATACAACAAGGTTGAAAGCTGCTCGTTAACCCCACTACAGCAATCTTTGATTAGCCTGAGCTATCTGTTCATTGCCATCGGCGGCGGGGTTTCGGCCTTAACAAGCCATCACTGTGGACGCAGGGGTGCAATCCAGATAGGATGCATGCTAGCTATTATTGGGGCTGCTGGAATGCTTGGCACAAGTGGAAGCTTTCTCCAATACATCGTGTGCAAGTGTATCAGCGCAGTGGGTGTTGGTCAGCTCATGGCATCTAGTGTCACATATAGCTCGGAATGCATTGTTGCCAGCAAGCGTGGGATTTCTCTGGGACTCTACAATGTTGGACTTGCCATGGGAAACGTGGCATCTTCTGCAGTTTGTGCTGGCTCTGCCCAACTGGAGCCACATAACAATTGGCAGTGGAAAACACCTATTCTGTGCCAGATCCCGTTGGGTCTCATCCTCGGTACTGGAATTCTAATGTTTCCCGAGTCTCCACGTTGGTTCATGGTTCGCGGCCGAGAAGAGGAAGCGCGCCAATCATTCGGTGTTCTTCTTCGCCAAAACCCATACTCGCCCGACATTACTGCTCAGATTGATAACATCAAAGCAAATCTTGCGCAAGAGCGCGAAGATGCGAAAAAGGTCTCTTGCCTTGATATATACCGCAAGAAACACATACGTCGCACTCTGATCTCTGGGTTCATTATGGTTGGTATGACCATCTCTGGTATCCAGTTTGTGCAACCATACGCTACATTGTTTTTGAAAGGCGTCGGCATCAGGAACCCATATCTGATAAACGTCATCATTGGCCTATGCATTCTGGGAGGATCGTTACTCGGCCCATTTATCGTCGAATATGGCGGAAGAAGAGTCGCCATTATATCAGGTTACATCGTCATGGCCACCTGCATGCTTGTTCTTTCCTCGGTAAACACGGTCCTTGGCATGGATGACTCTGCAAAAATTGTGATTGTTGTTCTTCTTTGCCTGTGGGCTTTTGTTTTTGGTGGGACTATTGCAGCAAGCGCCAACTTGTCCGCCGTTGAAATGCATAGTGTCTCGCTTCGCACCTATGGGCAAGCAAGCACGACGATCCTCTACGGTATATTCACCTTTGCTGCAATATTTTGGACCCCTTATATGCTTAGTCCATACTATGGAGATATGGGTCCAAACGTGGGTTACTTTTATGCTGCAATCACTATTGTCATAGCGGTCATGACTTTCTTGCTAGTACCGGAGACTGCTTGCTTGACACTGGAGCAAATCGACAATCAATTCAACTCTGGGATCAAAGCATGGAAGACGTCAGTGGTGAAGAACAAAGCCATCGCTTTCTCCGAGAGGGGAGGTTCGGCACGCAGAGATGCAAAAGTATAGCATGGAAGATGAAATTGCGACTGTACATAATATGCATACACGATGCGGGACATATAACAACTGTTACAACATACCTTTACCCCCTGTCAGCTATCGTATCATCTTTCATCCAAGTCATATCCTCCAAACTCTATTAGCACATAAAGGACTAACCAGTCAGGCCAATTATGTCACACGTGACCAGTTGGCCCTAACAACGCGATGTCTGATAGGCAATACACATAGCTACACTATTGTTTCACAGGTTGTTATGAGAGAAGATAGATTAAAAAGATTTCAGCATTGAAATCGTGAATGATTGAACTGAATGTCTAACGACTATACGTTGTGATCCAAATGAAGCATCTCTAGCTCTACTCCCATGGCCTTGTGGTTATCACTCGAAATTGACAGCCCACAAGAGAATATAAGAGCCTAATTTTCCCTTGCGAGCTACCGCTAAAACTCGTTGTCTCTCCAACGTCGGACAATAATCAAGACAAGAAGACGTGCATATTACGCAGAAGATCTCTCGAAAGGTTTGCCAGTCCCGTTTCAAGCAGGAACTGCAAGTCAGCTCTTAAGAAAAGTACGCTTACTTTGGAAGGCTCAGTTCACCAGAGCTTTTTTTTACTCAATTTCCAGTCATCCTCAGTCCCTACAATCATGGCTACTGGTTCCCACCACCCTGGATTCCGCCACCAAGGCGTTGGGGCGAGTCGATCACCTCCACTCACCCAAGCCACACATCTGCCAAAAGAAGTACCAGTCACCTTACTAGAGATCTCAAAACTTAACCCACAATCTAGCACCACACGCTGGGGCAACGAAATTATGCACGTCCTCCGACCCTTCAAGCTGGAAACCCTCCTGGACTCAAGCTTACCGCGACCACAACAACACCACGAAGACTACAGGAAGTGGAAATACTGGACCTCGATAGTGTCCCGTTGGCTGTTCGATCAAGTGGAGCCCTCGATACAACTGAAAGTCCGAGACCACGCGCCCCAACTGACCTACGCGGACGAGATCTTCAGATCGATCCGAACAATTAGTCTGCAAGCCCATGCATCGTATCTTGCAGGGGAACTGGAGAAATGGGAGGACTTGCGACGTGACCAGTATCCCACAGCTGCCGATTTCATTATGGCATATCAGAATCAGTTCAATCGACTGAAGATGGAAAGTCATGAGCCTACCTGTGCTGTTGCTCTGCGGCGTCTCCTTCAAGCGTTGTCCAGTGAGATTATTAGGGTTTCCTTTATCCGTGATGAAGTTGAAAACTTGGGGCGGGAGGTTGATTATCAGCTTTTTACCTACTACTGCCGGATTTTGGTCACTGAGTCGCGCCGATCTATTGACCGTGGTGCTGGCACTCCGTCAAGCAGCAGTGTTTCTGGAAGAGGAGGAGGCAGTGGAGGAAGTCGCAGAGGCAGTGGTGCCAGTGGAGGATCGAGCAGTGGAAGAGATGTTTCATACCGCGGCTGGAGGCAAAGCCTCAGGGGACAAGGACAGGGACAATAATACGGAATGAGGGCATTCAGGGTCGCTGCATGAACCGCGCAAGACACTACCTGCCCCAAACAAAGAGATTTTATCCAGCACTCGGACCTCTGACCCTAGCCTGCTTCTGACATTCGTGATTTTTGTACGTATTTTATGCTTTCCAACATATGCAAAGCAATGAACAAACAAGATGACGATCATTTATCAAACAATGCCGCACTACAACCAAGATACCAACACGGACTAAAATTATATGCAAAACAGTGGCATTGGCTAAGATATCCACAAAGACAAGTCCAAGGAGACAAAGTCAGAAAAGGGCAAGTCACAACACTCCAAATACCCCAGGGGAAAGCACAAACACACGCTTGTATGAGATATTTATCAGAAGAAAGTACAGTACTGCCTACAGAGCAAGGGCAGAAGGAACCAGCTCGCTCAGATAAACAATCAGAATGAAAAGTGTAAAGAAATGAAAGGCGGTACCTGGTAGGCCGGTAGAGACAAGATAGTTGGCGCTCATGTACATGCAAGAAAAAGCCTGTCCATATGTTGACAAGAATAGGCTGTCGGTTAAAGATTGTGGGGTTCCTGGGAACGTTTGGGATGGGCGAATGTCAACAGTCAGGCACAGCCCTGCTTGACACCGTGATGTCAAAAGACAACCCAAAGAATGTTTGAGAATAAGGAAATTGTGATAAAAAGAAAGAGAATTTTGTGTAGTGTGGAGGGTGGTCATAGATGGACCATGTTGGGTAAAGAAAAGTCGAGGAAGAGGTTACATATGATACACATGAAGAGAGAGACTGAGGGGTCAATGAGGGGTGGCAATTACAATTCGGATTTCCGAATTGGCTCGTCACTCTCCCATTGAGTCTTGCGCTTGTTCATCATCTCCTCAAGAACATCGAGGCGTTGGCGCGTGGTGCGGATAGCATGGTCCATTTCACGGTCCGAGACCTTCTCCTCACGAAGTCTCGAGGCTAGCTCACGCTCGTCGGCCGCATTGCCTCCAGATGACCTGCGAGGTGGGTGTGGGTCGGGCGCACGGTATACATTGGGGAAGACCATTCCATCCATGCCGACACGGTCTTCCAACCAGTTCCAGAGTTCAGTTTCCTCACGGCGCCACATCTCCTCGTATGCAGCCAGTCTCTGAGGTAAACTGTAACCAGGGCAGCCAACTTCATGTGAGAGCATAGATGAGGACGAAGACGATTTGAAGAAGGCCAGGTAGAGCAAGATGCCGATGAGAATGATAGCGACGTTGCCGCTCCATAGCGGACCGAGGAGACTGGCGAACGGCTCTAGGAAGGGGCGAACTGGTTCAAATAGTCCCCAGGAATCGCTCTTTCCGGCGTTGGAGTCCATAGTTACCTTCGATGACGCAGCTGCGGTGGACTCTCGGCCTGCATCCTCGCCCTTCTTGCGGCGACCTTTGCCGCGTCCAGCGCCGTTTGGACGTCCGCGAGGAACAACTCCGGCATTGAGAGATTTGACGAGATCATTACCGAAAGTTGTTTGGCCGTCGATAGCGCCCTTCTCAATCGGACCTGGTAGAAGTCAGTTGTCTATATTGCATAATGTATCACTGATCAAAACAATTAACTTACCCTTTAACCAAGATTTACCTGTCCACTCAATGGTACAGGTCATGAGGAAGCGAGTTTTGTTGTCTGCAGCCCAGGTGAAAAGGTATTTCGTCTTGGTAGCAAAAACATTTCCGCTGGGGACGTCAGGTGTTTGAGTGCTCAGCGTAACGAGAACGGCCTTTTCGAGATCTAAAAAGTCCAGGTTCTCGGTACTGATACACTTGGTCTGTTTCGGGCCAATGGCGCCGTTGAGAGGCTTGATGTACGAATACTTCCGGATGGGACTTTCATTCGTCAGTCCCTTCGCCGTACTTTCGAACTGCAGTTCCCCGGATTTCTGATTGTCCACCAGGAACTTGGTCATGAACTCGCCAGATGCTGGACCAAAGACCAAAGAGTAGACCTTGCCAAGGGGTGCGGCGATGGTCTCGTCTTTGATGACCTTTTCGTATTGTCCATTGGGATCGACGTATTCCGTAGGTGCATGTGTAACGGGGCCAGGGAAATCAGGAGGTGCATCCTTGGAGAAACTCTTATCACCGTTCTTTGCAGCGCTGGTAGTAACTGTTCCGGACGTAGGCATCGCGGCATTTGCGGATAGGCTCGATGCCTTGCGGCTTAGACCAGCTCTCACCGGCAAAGATGTTGCACTGGCGTTGGCACTTCCGCCAGCCTCGAAGAAACTGTCGTTGTTGTCTCCTTCCTCGTCCTCATCGTATATTTCATCTTCATCGGAGACTTCGCTCTCGGAGTCACTTCCCTCATCTTCAACTTTTTCTGTCTTGTCACCGGTGCCAGTGACACGGGTTCCATTCACCGAGCTCTTGAGGGACGGATGGTTTATCTTCCAAATGTTGACCATAAGGTCATACGTAGATTCACGACTGAGCAAACTTCGGAATGTATGGCGGGCGTGCAAGGTTTGGATGGCAATCGCATTGGGGAAGACCATCGCAGTGTTCTCCTTTTCGACTGCAACAACCTCATCGAAGCTGATCACAAGAGTCGTAACCCATCCTAATATGTTACTGGAGAAACAAATATGGCCTTCTGAGATGTAGATACGGCCAGCAAGAATGATTTCACGCTGCAACGCACAACTATAATCTTCAATCAGATAGTCGTCTTCAGGCACGCTTCGGAACAACTGGTGGAAGTCCCTGTTGCGCTTCTTACTTGCAACAGCAAAGCCAGTTAATCGAGGTACACTCGCGTTGGCACCAGGGGCACCCAATGCGATGGCATTAGCGGCAGCTGCTCCGATAGTCGAGGTTGTTGCTCCAGATGAGCCCCGATGACGCCGGGCAAGTTTGCTGCGTACACTCCCACTCCGTTTGATGCCACTTGTGAGGTCACCATCGAGGATACTACCACTAGGAGGAGTCTGATCACCCATCATTGGAGGATCTCTCGGAAGCGAACTTGTAGACTGAAGTTCCAGAACTTCGTCTACAGGCGGGCCTATCAAAGATAGCTCAGGGGGCCGTTCATAGGCTACCTGAACAGCACGCGCCGCACGCTGGTCTTCAAGCTTGGCAGCCGCCTCATCCCGCTGAAAGACAGCAGTGTTCTTGCGCTTGTCAAGTGGAGTGCCGGGTTTCGTGATCACGACACCGTCGGTGGTTGAGATAACATGACCTGGCTGTGCATCGAATTCGAGGTGACTGAAGTTAAGGTCTCCTGCGCCAAGAGTCTCGACGGCAGAAGGCTTGCTTTCGTCACTCTTGCTTCCATTTTCGGAAGTCAATTCTACCTCGTCTGAAGGACCCTCGACGGGGGTCTGATCAAGATCAGCCGCAGTAGTTTGAGAGTTGGGGCGATTCCTCTGCTGGGCGTTCAGGCTGTTACTTAGCGAAGAAGCCGCATTTTGGGCAACCGAAAATACAGAAGAGAAAAAGCCGCTTTGCTGAGGGTTTGGGGTCTTTGCGCCAGGGGCCTTTTCGTCCAGAGGTGTCAATACTGAGACTGAATTCGATAGTTTGCTCGGACCATGAGCTGCGGAAGCCGATCGTACGCGACGATGTGATATCATATTGCCAGACGGACTGACGGTGGTGACTCCGGTTCCGGAGGATATGGAGTTTCTAGACTTTATAGACTCTGGTGAATCTGTTACATCGTTGGACATAATTTGCGAGTTGAGAGGGTGGTGTTCAGTGGGGGTGGGAGGAGTCACTGTTGTAGCTGGGGCCGGAATGGCGGTATGGGGAGGGGTATTTGGCATGGGGCTCGCTTGGAGCGAACGAGGCTTGTCATCTATCAGATCAGTGCGAATTGATGCTGGCATCGGAGGAGCTTCATCGGGAGCCGCCTGAGCTCGTTTAGATGAGAGACTGCTTCGCCGGCTGCCCCCGAACAGACTCCGCCCACTTTTATTTGCCCCAGACTTGGTTGACGAAGTGTCGGGCTCATCGGTAGATGCCTTCTTGTCTGAGCTGAAAGCATCCTTGAACCGTCTCCCAGGAGACGCACTGCGTCGCTTGCTATTTGGATCGCTGGGGACATCCAATGCAAGGCTAGATTGTGTTGGGCGCCTGGATTGCCGTTCACCCTGGTTCGAGTCTGACCCAGTTGCACTAGGACCGCTGATTGCTGACTCGACATCAGCTTGTGAACCTTCGGTGTCCGCGGCATCTACCGAGGTGGTCTTGATCAATGGGGATGACGAGGTGTAAAATCCAGTATGCGAGTTATGGGAGGTGAGCGGCGGAGTTCTACAGCGAAAGAAAGGCAAGTTAATCAGGAACAATACAAAACGCAAGCGAACCGGGTATTTGTCTTACCTGTCCGGCTCAGAATCATCCGTTAGTAGATTGGTGACTTCTCCTTCCGGTGCTGCAGCACTTTCAGCGACGGACGAGCTACCTGCAGAGGTTCCATCGCGAGATTCGTTGGATCGGCTTCCTTGTAGATCGTGGTCTAGGGGAACACTGGGCACTGGCGGCTCGTCACCTTTTTTATTCTTATTCTTCTTTCGCCTCCGACGTGCTTCGAGCAGCTTTGAAAACCCACTGGGACCAGCCCTGTTGGGATCTGCCGGTTCTCCACCTTGTGTCTTCGGCCTCTCGGTGTTGGAATCCACGGACGATCGACCATTGCTCTCGATTGCACTGGACTCAGCTGAGATTGTCCAGGATCGATGTGATCTTCGGTCGCCTTTCAGGCTTGAGGAAGAAGATTCGGCCATTATTGAAGGAGTGCGGAGGATGTGGAGGTAATGGTTCGGGGATCGGGGATGCGGGCCAGAACGCGGACCGATCCTGAAAGACTCGAGTGAGAGTCACCCGGCATGGAGCAAGGATAGAAGTGCTGAATAGCTATCGGGAGAGTACTCTGAAGATGGGTGAAGCTGGAGACAAAAGGAGTGTGGAGGTTGGCATCCCCTGGGTCGAGGGGATCTCCAGCTCCGCAACTTAGTCAGAATTTCCGGTTACAGTGCACAATGTACTCTGTCTGATATCGGACGCTATTTATTTTTTTACATGGTCTGTTTCTTGATCTCAGCAAGCTAAGTGTTAAGCTAAGTGTCAAGGTAGCAGCTAGCAAAGTTCTGTAACCAGACGTGGCCATACAAAAGCGCAGAAACCCAGCCCTGTCACTCCGCATCTCCACCGTCTAGAATGCCGATGTGACATCTGCTGCTTTCAGCCATTTAGCGACCTCGCGGATACAATCTCCAGCGTTGAAAGGCTGTTGGGCAGAGGCTCTGGACCTTTGTGCCCAATCTTTTTATAGAGGGCACATGGCGTCACCTCTCCGCTTCCCCAGACTCAACACATCACTTTGATATCGCCATGGAGGTAGCTCCTCTGACATTGGTGAGCACTCTATGCCTCACCATCTGACCTGATCTGACATGGTATTAGGCTCACACGCATGCTCGGAATGCAGTCCTTGAGACCCGCAAGGCCAACCCGGTCGCTGCGAGCGAGGAGCACGATCTAGCCGCGGGTGAGTTTGCGACAGCTGCACAGAACAGCTCCGACAAAGAAGTGAGTGAATTAGTTCTCAGTTATCCTTTTGTCTATATCCAAGCTGACCTATCGCACGAAGGCCCTACGAACACTGCGCCTGCTCGAAACTCACCATAAGAAGCTCGCCGAGCTCCTCAGATTCCAACATGAGCATCCCACCACTGCCCCTACCGAAGTAACATCCGCCACCACGTCTCCAAACCCCTCAGTTCAACAAGCTGTGGCCGATCCCACCAGCGCAAAGACCGCAACGTCGACCCAGGATGCTCACAACCTACCACCGAGACTGGTGGGAACTGGTCGAATTTTGAGTCGAGACAAATCCTCCATCGCCAGCAACCTCGCATCTGCACGAGGAATTCCATCACAGCCTCGCCGTGGGTCGCCGGCATCACCGACGCTCTCTTCTCAACAAGCTGCAGCAAAGATGACCGAATCCCCAACTAAAACTACATCCGGCGAATCCAGACTGCGGGGTGGGCCAAATAAAAACCGACAGAGTCGCATGTCTACACCTAGACAACCGTGGTCTCCCCCGACGTCTAATTCTACCCAGGTCACAACACAAGAAGTTGTTCCTGCCAGTACATCTGAGTCTAGAGGACCCACAGATAAGCCTTCGGCTGCCGAAGAACCTTTGCAGCGCTTCTACTCGGCATTTGGCGGACTAGTCGCCAAGGTTTCCGTGCCTTTGGCACTCGCTGGGCTTCAAGTAGGAACTACCAGTCCGACACAAGCTGGACAGAACCGCAAGTCTTCGGCCGAAGTGAAACTAGACCGTGATCATGCTACCTTGGACCGGTCGACGACTGCAGGCGAGCCTAATGTGAATCAGATATTCTCTCGAGCAGCTCTAAAGTCAGTTCGCGAAGGTGCCGGGACAACTATGGGAAATCCCGCCGAGTCATTCTACGTAGTACCGACCACAGGCGGGACCATGTCGTACGCAGGGATCCTCACTCGGGCCGAAAAGGAAGCACGCAAGAACAGTCTCGAAGACGGCGAAGATGATTTTGTGGATGCGCGAGAAACACCCTCGTCGCCCGAAATGCGGCACAGCGGTAGTGGCTCTCGCACATGGCGAGGACGCCGAGATGTCCCCGATCAGCTTGCCACCGCTCCGAATACTAAAACAGTGGAAGAGATGCAGATGGAGAATGAAGCTTTGAGGGCTTTGACAGACACGCTTTCGACTCGTCTACATATGTGGGAAGTTAACGCGCAATCTTCTACTATGGCGCTGCATCAATCTTTGAAGATGATGCACCACGCTCCATCGGGTACTACCTCCCCGGTAGCTACCATGAGTGCACCTCCGGCTGTAACTGGGCCTGACCCACGAGTCAAAAAATTGGAGGATCTCATTCGAGACCACGAGAGCAAGCTTGAAGCTGCTTCCCAGGAGAATGATAAATTGAAAGATGTTCTTAGGCGATACCGGGATCGCTGGGAGAAACTCAAAGAAGGCGCCAAAACGCGAAGAGCAGAGGCTCGCACCGGTGATACCCAAACAGCTCAGCCGCCCAATGAAGTTCCGGCTTCTCCGGTAACTGGACAGGGCCCATTTACGAGTCGATCTTGATAAATAAACAAGTCAAAGTTCGACATGACTACGACGACCATTATGAACGACTCAAAGAAACGATAGGAGCGTATCGGCTTAATTTGACATGAGATATCTACAGAACTGTAAAGCTGGGAATTCATTCTTTCTTTCACTTTGCTCTGAAGGAAAACTAGGTGAACTTTTGATTTGCTTCTGAGTAGAATGCTTATTTGCCAAATGGAGTATAGTTCCACAATTGCAGCCACAATTCCAGAAATACGCCCGCGATCCATGATGATATTGATCGGGCTCAAATCTGCATGGGTGAATACAGGCCGGTACAACCGGGTATGGACAGCTGCAATTTTGTCCTTTGTATACCGTAGGACTAATCCATGCACGAGATAGGAATGGAATTCGGAAAGCAGATGGAATGGACAGAATATGCTCATAGGAAGACGACAATCCACCAGAGGACCACCGAAACAATGCGTACAAGGGTTGGTTTGGGGCAGAACGCACTTGTGAGATTACATTTTTTCAGGTTTTTCAAAAGCTGTTCACGCTCTGAATATGAAGTCGATAGAATACTGATCTCAGCGTTTGTCCAGGCACGGCGCTCATGATGAGGACAGGATTCTGTTCTTCATATCGTCTGCCCAAAGAGGCACAAAAATTGAAGTAGAGTTATCTACGAGTTGCAAACTTGTGGACTCGTTCTTATATAAGTGGCTGCATTCTTTTGCGTGCAGCCTGAGTGGCCGCCGGTACACAAGGCCGCTGGAAGAGGGCGGGTAGAGGTAGTGTCCTAGTATCAAAAGCATACGGTACACGCATATATATATATATATATATATATATTTGGGAACTTAGTGCCAATCACAGATTAGGTTGTTCTGTGTTCGTCGATTAAGTAGTAATTTGAAAGTGAACAAGTCAAGCTCAAATATCTTGTAGGAAATGGTGGACAGAATTACATAAATTTCACGCGCTCTTCTGATCTTATTCTCCTCATCATTCCACTCATGTCCGGTTTTGCTTGGAAGAAAAAGTACAATGTGTCCGTTTCTAAAGCAGAAAGCATGTTGGGAGAGAGTGAGACAACAGATTCCTTAATTGAGACTTTAAGCAGCGACTCTGGGAGAACTTTTGGAGCTTCAGGTGTTTCATAGGGGTCAAGAAGGCCCAAAGAAGGGCAAAACGAGAACCCTAATAGTGTGGTGAAGGCATCGGTTAGAATCCTATCGCTTATTGTCATTGTAGACCAGTAGAACCAATTCTTACCTGCGGATCTATGTCACTGTCATCAAAAAGGCGTGAAGGGATGACCCAGTCATAATCAGAATGAACGGAATATGAGGATCCAATGGTCTTCCACTCCATCATAAAGCAGCGGAATCTGTCCCAAATTTTGACTAGCCTTTGTGCTTGGGACGGGATTTGGTCGCGCCAGGCCACTATTTGAGGTCAGCAGAAATACAGAGAACGCTGGCTTTCAAATGGCAGTTAGAGACAACTCGCTGCCAGTCGAGGTTGGAACCTTGCAATGTTTGCTCTGGAGAACAGTCGGAGGCATGAAATCTGTCCCAGATACAGCTAGCAGTATATTCTGGACTGACGGCATGGTTTATAATGGCTCTCCATATCAAGTGCTCGGTTGGTATGAGCTGGGCGGATTGGATCAGAATGATTGTGGAATGGTATCTTGTAGCTTTGCCCAAGACGATTTAGATGTAGTTCCGAATTACCTATATCAACCATGATGTTCACATATGATACAGATGCAATATCAAAGGTGAGAAATGCAAGATAAAATGCCCTTGTGACGTGCAAGTCCTGGCCACTTTCCTCGTGCCCCGTGACTGTCTCTGTGTATCTGAACAAGGGTCAACGCGTGCTCCAACCCTTGCCTTATTGATTTGCCCTGCAAGAAAGCCCTTACATTATTTTAAGATGTCAACGGCCTTTATATCCTTCTGTCAAATCGTGGTGATCGTTACACATTCCACTGAAGCTTCCGTCTACACAAAACTACAGATTCATGCTATATCTATGAATTGATAAACGATCCCGATCCACGCGAGGGGTACCTCAACTCACAGCCTAGTGAGGAGAAGATTTCCTCCCAAAGAATGATTGCGGCCCTCAAGATAGGACGTCTTACACCTACAATGCATTAGCTTCTGCTTGATGGCCGAAAGGAAATCCCAGCTGCCTATCCGAACCGCTATCACGAAAAGATTACCTGTCGATCATGGCTTAAAGAAGCACTGTTTGCTTTGGATGATGAAGGCTATATCAGCCTCGTTCGTAGCGTAGACGATATCGTAGCCGAAGCGACTAATCTTGCAATAATGAACAAGTCTAGGGGTGGGAAAGAGATTGCCAAAAGTACTGTGACTCGAGCTTGAGATGCTACGGATTTCTTGTCCAAAAATGACGGATAAGCACTAAAATGTTTTGGGAATTCTAAGAAGTGGCGGGGTTCAATGATGGCTGACTTGGAAGAGAATCGAACAAAGCTCAAACTATATACAATCATAGAATAAAGGCCTGATTCAGATACTTGCACAGCTCAATGTATCTTTAATGACCCTCCAGCAATCATCGAACAGTCAATGTCGTGTTCCCCCGAATATCCTCGGAGCTGCTACCAACAAGCACCGTGAAGCTACCGGGCTCAACAACATACTTCATACGAGAGTTCCACACACCGATATCCTCCACCTTGATAGGAATCTTAACTGTCTTCGTCTTTCCAGCAGGGATGAAAACCTTATCAAAGCCCTTAAGGGCGCGATTCGGAACAACAACAGAAGCAATGTCATCCGAAATGTAAACCTGCACGACCTCCGTGCCGTCGCGGGTGGCAGTGTTGGTCACATCAACACTGACAGTAACGGTGCTATCAGATGCAGAAATCTTGCTCCGGTCGACACTGACAGTTCCATACTTGAAAGTGGAATAACTCTTGCCATAGCCGAAGGGGTACCACGGTGTTGGGCTTCCGAGAACGTACTGGTGGCCGAAGACCAAAGTACCGTTGGCTGCAACGTAGCCCTGGTCGCCGATTGAGCGGCCGGAGTTCAGATAGTCGTAGAAGATTGGAAGGTCGCCCACATAGCGTGGGAAGCTGACTGAGAGCTTGCCGGATGGGTTGTAGTCGCCGAAGAGGACATCAGCAAGAGCGTTACCGCCCTGCTCGCCTGGATAAAATTGCTGAACTAGAGCAGAGGTGCCATTTGATAGCCAGGTCTCTGTGACGGGCTTGCCGCTTGAGAGAACGACGACTGTTGGGACACCCGTGTCGACAATGGCCTTGATCAGAGGCGCTTGGGCACCGACAAGAGACAGGTCGTCTACGTCGACATGCTCACCAGTGCTTTAATACAGTCAGCATTGATTTTTCTTGAAAAACCATGGATCAAACAAGGATGACTTACGTTGCGTTCAATCCTTGCCAAAGCTCAAATTGATCGCGCGACCAAGTTCCAACAACCACGACAGCCACGTCGGAATTCTTTGCGGCCTCGACTGCGGCCTCGAAGCCTGACTGGTCGTTGCTCCATCGCTCACATCCCTGGGCATAGTTGACCTGGGCCTTGTCGCCAACAGCAGCCTTGATACCGTCAAGGGGAGTGACACCCCGGTACTGACTCTTATAAACGACATAGTCACCGTACTAGAGCATTGGTTAGCATAATTGACAGTATTTTCGTTCCATCACACAGTTGATTGTGGGTTCACTCACGTTCATGAAACCATGAGCCATAGGCCCAATGACCGCAATGCTACCTGACTTCTTCAAAGGCAAAGTCGCGTCATGGTTTTCCAACAGCACAATTGACTCCTTATCCAAGTCCCTGGAAAGCTTTACAGCCTCAGGGCTATTAATGAGCTTCTTCCATTGCTTTTCTGGGGCAGCAGGGTACGGGTTCTCGAACAGACCCATCTCAAACTTGGCTTTGAGCAATCGAGAAACCGCAGTGTTGACAACTGAAATGTCGAGGTCCCCAGACTTGACGAGCTCGGGGATTTTTTGGAAATTGCTACCCAGTGATCAGTACTCAACAGGCTAGAGTGGCGCGGAATTTGTACTTACAACGAACCACCTCCCATTTCAACGTCAGTTCCAGCAGTCAGCAGCTGTGTAGTGACTGAATCCATGTCAATTGGTTTGCTCTCGCAGAGCTTGAAGTAGCTGCAAATTCTGTCGCTACCACCTGCATCAGTCATGACGAAGTATTCATAGCCCCATTCCTCTCTCAAAATCTCAGTGAGGGTGTGATAGTCGGAAACGGCGGGAATTCCATCATATCTAGGAGATCATGTGAGTGTTATATCGATAATGAGAGCCGACGGTGTACACATACGAGTGATATGCAGCCATGATAGACCAGGCACCCGCATCAATGATGGCTCGCTTAAAAGGTGGCAACCATCTACTCAGTTTTTAGCAATGCAATGGTGGTTTGGGTAATTTGAACATACGTTGTGCGCAATTCTCTCTCACCACCGTGAACTGGGCCGGTGTTTATTCCTTGCTCGGGGCTACTAAAGCCTGCAAAGTGCTTCACCATCGACGAGACCTTCTTGCTCTGCACACCTTTGACATAACTGTAACCGACTTCACCTGCGAGGAAGGGGTCCTCGGAGAAGGTTTCTTCGACCTTTTGTGCACTTTGTCAGCGCAACCGACAGATTTATCGGTTGGTATGACTTACACGGCCGAATCGAAGCTCACGAGCGAGGTCAACAACTGGAGCAAATAGTTGGTTGACACCGAGGGCTTTGGCTTCTTGGCCAATGATCTTGCCCATTTTTTCAATAAGCTGCATAATATTTCTTATTAGATCAATTGAACCTATTTTAATTCGAAATAGGATGTTGAGACCACATACATCTCTGTTCCAAGAACATCCATATGCAATGGGCGAGTTGAAGATCGTAGCATTGCCAATCAAGAATCCGTGAATACCTGTTGCACAAAGAATAAAGTCAGACATCGGATATTCCTGGATCAAACGCCATGCATGTAAGATACCTTCAGTCTGAACTATTGCAGGGATTCCAAGAGTGGTGTTCTGAATTAGATAGTCCTGGCCTCTCTTGATGTTATCCGCAATCCAGTCCCAAGCCACGGGATATCCAACTGGTAAGCCATTAGCAATGTGTTTACACCGAGGTGTTGATTGCTTGAAATGCTCGAAGGCTCATACCATAAAACATGCCCGCCTTCATCTCCATGTTGGCCACCAGACCGGTGTAATTGAATTCTCCCGAGGTGGAGTTCATCCAGTTCGTGATATCGCCTATTAAATAAATGACTATATCAGCACTTGAACATTACTCTTTGTAGAACTCCTCGGGAAATAATTGATCATGTACCAGGCGAGGATTGGAAACATACCTTGAATCAATTGAGACATTTTATCCTCGATCGTCATCCGACCCAACAAGTCCTTGACTCTCTTTTCCACCGGCGCATTAGCATCTTTGTAAATCGGCGCTGAGTCCTTTCCTAAAGCCAGAGCTGCAAAAAGCTGCACGAGCAATAGCCCGCGAGAAAGAAAATTGGCCACCATTTCGACGACAGCTAGACGTCAACCTCGTTCCCAAGCTCAATGGATAAGAACCAGTATACCAGCTAACAACTCCTCAAATATTAGAACAGGGAATAAAACAAGAAAAAAAAAATCATCGGGGAGGAAACATCCAGCATATATGTTCATGCAGACGAGCTATGCTCCCTTGCACAGTGGGGACACCAACAGTTGGCCAAGATACCAATCGCATCAGCACGAGATTGATCGATCCCGCAAATTGGAGTAAATTGAGGGAAATCACTAGCTTGCAGACACATGGTAGGACCACTCAACCAAGAGGAAACTGACTTCAGTAACAGAACAGGCCAAGCTGGTCAATGTGACTGCAGTAGTCCGCTACTTGGCGTATTTAGATGCGAGCTAGGACCGTCATGAGACGGAGTGACATGCCCGCCTCCACGCTGGAAGGTGGACTGTGGTTGAGGGATACAGATTTCCCGGCTAAATTGACTTGTCAGGTGAAGGGCGATCAAGCCATCCGGGGTAATGGGGTGTAATTCCTGCAGGGCGGTGTTTGCTGTTTGCATTTTCCACCTATTAGGGTTTTGCGTTTCGCCCGGCGGGGAAGGGAGATGCATCATGTCATACCAAAAAGGCTAGGAGCCCGAGGTCAAAATGTTGACTTTGGATTAATCGAGAATATAAACTTTATTGTGCATAAGACCAAAGCGAGATGGGTGGATGTTCGAGCCTCTGCTCGCTGCTGGCCAAACATACATGGAAGTAAAGAAATGGACAGGAAAAAGAGAAGATGCATTATAGAATGCCTAATATATACCCGGACAATGCAATAACAATTACAAGAGAATAGTGTACCGCCGAGGGAATATCAAAGATCGCAGAAAGAAGATGCCCAGAAAAATGGCGAGGAAAGTAGAGATATTATGTACAGTTCAAGTGACCCAGCCACTGTCATGTGTCTGACCTTGCAAGTCAAGGACGATGTGTCCACTGCGGTGATTATCGCCGAGTTTCATTTTCGGCGCCGGTATCACGGCGTGGCTCATTTCTTGGACCGGGCGGCCCCTCGTCGTCGTGGGAAGTTGGCATTCCTTGTGTTGCAGCCCCATCAGTGGCTTTGTTGTTTTTACGCAGAGAACCCCCCAGCCATGCAAGTCCACCATTCCACGAGTCACTGAAACTGCGAAGACGGGTCACGTCTTTGTTGGAATCCGGCTCCTGCGTGGGGTACATGTCTGTTGCGAGGGCAGGGTTAGAACGGCCAGCCTCTGCATGCGCATCGACGAAATTTGTGGCGGAGTGGAGACGAGCAGTGGCAATTGAGAGTGATGACTCTGGTCCATATCCATCAACCAGGAGAGCTTCAGTGAAGGCACCGTCAAGTTGACGGCGACGTCCTAATTTTCGCTTGGTGCGGTCCTTGAGAGGGCTGCCATCTCCGCGTCGAATTGAGTCAACCACGACGGCACTGAAACCACCGGACAGCGTGGGCAAAAGAGGCCCAGGCGAAAAGCGGTGTGAGACGGAGCTGCGCAAAGCACGACGCGAAGGTGTCTCCAAAGGTGTCTGATCGGGACCATTTTGATTTGCCTGGGTTAGCAGCGTAGGTGTCGAAGCACGTCGCACAGTCCCAGCACTGCCATTGTGTCCTGACGCTTCTTCCAGACCAGGGGCAGGGGGAAATCGGAGAAGAACGGTGGAAGCTTGTGCTGAATCACTATCATGTTGTGTTGGAGTAGAAGGGCGATAAAGTTGGTCCTCGGATTCGGGAGTTACAACAGCCACTTCCTGGGTTTCTGCCCAAGGGTTAGACATGCGAGATGGGGGTCGCAAAGGCGAAGCATGGTCGAAGGATGGAGGAGAAATAGGGGAATCTGGGATGAGTGATCCCCGCGGCGAAGAAGGTGCGGCAGAAAGGACGCCTCTAGGAGTCAACTCGTCGTCATCGACCCCTTCAATGCCGTGGCTCAATAAAGATCCTGAAGGTGACTGGGCGGTGCCGTCTTGCCCGTCCATGTCAAGATGCGAAGCCTTCGGCAGTTGATGACCGGGAGGGGACAAATCGATCCTATCATGGTATCTTTCGCCGTTCAACAAACCAATCGATCCCTCTTCATCTTCAGATGAGAAGGACGACTCGTCGTCAGCGCGAACTCTACCACTGGTGATAAAATATACGCCAAGGAATGTCAACAAGCAACCTCCGACAAACTTTGTAGCACGGGTTGCTGTTATCGATTCGAAATCCCGGTAAAGAACCGCACTTCCAATGATCACAGCGAGAGTGAAGAGTACAAACTGCGTGGGAATCACCTGCGTAGAATCGAAGCGCTGCAAGGCCCGGTTTATGTAACGAATCTGCATCAACGCGCTGGAAACGAGGACAAAGACGAGGACGTAGGTGATTGGGAATGTGATGATGTGCCATAATGAGCCAGACAGGAGTGAAGAGACACCCTTGGTAGATAGGGCCGTATACCCACCTATTGCTAATTAGTAAACGATCCCAGAAATTGAGTGCCATAAAATGGCAGCTGAGACTCACCAAATAGTGCCACAAGCCCTACATCGATGAGGATAGAGCGAGAGCCATATTGGTGACTTGCCCACATCAGACCAGCAATCAAAGAAATAGTCAACCCGAGGTAGAGTTCAAACTCCCAACGGGTAATCATCACCCAAATCTCATGGGGTCCGATTTGCTCTTCTGACGATTTGGCACTCAGAACGACAACGACGGCCCCAGCAACAGAGATCAGCACACCCCATAAATCGCGTTTGCGGAACTTCTCTTTGAGCAAACATGGCGCAATAATGCAATTCGAGATCAGAGCCACAACTCCCAACGGTGACACAATCGAAGCGGGCGCAAAACCATAGGCCATGAAATTGCCCATCTCGCCCACAACCATGAGGACGATTCCAACCCACCAATACGGCGACTTGAGATATGACTTGCGGTTCCCGCTATCTCCAGGATCATTGCTGTCTCGCGAGCTTGAGGTACTGGCCCGCCGTTCAGTGTCGTCGTCACGGTAAGGCTCGAAGTTATCCTCAGAATCTCGGTATTGTTCCCGGGACCGCCCCCGCGACTGGTCGCGCGCTCCATTGCTTCCAACAGCTCCGTTCGAGTTCGCGGTATCTGACCCGGAATGTGTGCGTCTCCAATCGGCTTCCTTCTGACTCTTGTCCTGCTCCCATTCCCTTGCGATTCGGATATGCGCATAGCGTTGAATATTGAGGGCCAAGGAGATCAAGACATTTCCACAAAGAGCGGTCACGATACCGATCAGGGATGACCATTCGTGCATATTTCCTCCACTATTTCCGTCATGGTTATGCGGAGCGTCCGAAGTGAAATTCGAGGTCGTGGTGAGGAAGTCGTTGATGGAAGAAGAGGCATACGAGATAGATCTGGATGGAGAGAGAGTTGAAGAAAGGATAGTGGGCAGCAGGTTTGCCATCAAAGAGGCCTGTGAAGAAGCCATCTGGTCGTCTGATGCGCTTTCACGCTTTGTTTGTATCACACCCCTTATACACCCCAGCTCACCAGCGGGTGCGGCCGATTACGACGAGCTCCCAGAATCAACGGTGGACATTCGATCTCAAGTCGCAAAGGACTGCATGCTGGTCCGAGGAAGCCGAAGAACTCGCGTGAAAAGTAATCACTGCAGATACCACATTTAAGGTGATTGGGAAGAAGTTAGGCAGGCGGCAATGCACGGAGGCGCTGGAGCGGAGAAAAATTGCTCATGTCAGCAAACCAACCTCAGGCCTTCCTCCCTACGATATCATTTAATGTTCAGCGCATTACACATGGATTAAAACCGCGCCAAATGCGAAGACTGCATGAGGCCTGAGCTCGTGCGGCTGCGCTCATAGCTGCCATTGGCGGCGCGGGAGGACTGTTGCGGATCGGCGGGCTCTGAGGACGTCATGCAGCGGTGAAAGAGGGGACACTCCAGGAAGAATGTAAGGAGAGATTAAACGCGTGGATGTTTCATCGGTGAGTTATGAAGCTTACTATGTAATTACGAGCATGTCAGGGCTTGCAATAGCAGTCTGGTATTTGTTGTGGTTCGCGATCAGTGAACGCTTAGATATTATACATGTCCGGTAACCAAGCGTGAGTTCAATCATCGCCTAGCCTTCTTTTTTTCGGGTCCTTTTTCTTCGTCGTCACTGAGATCTGCATAGATGGCGTCGGGTTGTGTCTCCTTGTATGCCTTGGTGAAGATAGGGTCCTTCTCGGCCTTTTCGGCATACTTCAAGAGTGCCTCCCTCGGGTCCTCATCTCGCATAGAACTAAGCGGGATATTCTCACGAATGTGTCTTTCATCTGGCGTAGACTGCGCGAACGGCGTTTGAAGAGGCAAGTGCGGCCGACGAGGGTCTCGAGAGCGACCGGAAGCTGTCAGACCAACATTGGGGTGACGGGCAGACCAGGTGGCCGAGCTATAGTGTGGAACACCATTGGAGCCAACAACAACGGAGTCTCCTGCCAACCCTTGAGTCAGGTCCGTAGTCAGAGTGACATTATCATCTAGGTGGCGGCGTTTGGGTGCCTTGGACATGACCGTGGCGGCACCCTTGAAGGATGTGGTGGGGTTATAGAGGACATGCGTTTCAGCATTGGCAGAGCCCGTCAGGATCTGATTGAGCTTCTCATGCCAGAATACAGTAATCAGAGGTGATCCCGGTGTGACAGGAGTGACCAGCTCTGGCCTGAGAGTTGCCGGGTTGAGGATGTGTAGATGACCAGTTTCTGAGCCCACAAGCACATTTGCAGACGAAGGAGAGAACTTGATATTTGATGTTGGGTAGCGGAAGGATGTCGATTTGTGTTCAATGGTAGTAACCGGTGTCTTGAACTTTCTGGTATCCCACAGTTTAATTGTATCATCACCCCCACGGCTGATGACAAGCCTTCCATCGGAACTGACATCTAGTCCGCTTGTCCATGTATTCTTGACATGGGCATCCCGAATCTCTGCGCTGGGTCGTGTGTAGGGACCGTTTCCGCTCCACATGGCCAGACTGCCATCGAGACCTGCCCCCACAAGGATATCAGACCCTCCCTGCTTTGGGGTACCCCAAGCGATAGCAGTCATCTTGGTTCGACCAGCGGAGCCAGCGGCGCGTGACTTGTGCACAATTACCTCCCTCTGCGAGCGGCCCACATTCGCATCCCAAACTCGAATGGTGCTGTCACTTCCAGCAGTTGCACATAGGTTGAGATCGGAGGGGCTCCAGGCACCGCATGTCACTTCGGAGATATGACCTTTGGTGTGGTGTAGATCGCGCAAATACATATCTCCTTTGACAAACTCTGTCAGGGTTTCGCCATCGCGGTCCAGGATCCGGGGCTGTGCTGTCGCGGTCACGACAAGTACATAACTTGGCGAAAGTGGATTGAAAGCGGCGTAGTGAACGGCGTGGGTGTCCTGCGCTGCTGATTGTTTCTTGAGGGAAGGGTCGACAGACTTGAAGGCGCGAATGGTTGACGGGGTCATTGAGGCAAAGTCATGGAGCTTCAACGTGCAATCGGTCGAACCTGTGATTAGTCGTGCACCTGAAGGGTCCACGGTCATAGTTGTAACAGCACGCTCGTGGGTCTTGAGAACAAGCTCATGCGATACGGGGAACTCATCCTCGTCATCGTCTGAGTCGTCGCCACTGTCGTCGCTATGATTATCATCATCCCTTTTCTCATCTTCACTGCCTGCTTGTTGCGCACCAGGGGCGCTTGTGGATGTGCTTGGTTCATTGCCTTCCAGCGTGAGTTGCGCCGAAACCTCGGCGCGCTTGGAGCGATTGATCTGCGAGTCAACATCAACCGACTTCTCCTGCTTTCCAAAACTAGAAGGGAAGAATTTATTGAATGCTTCTTCGTCAAATCCGTCCATGGTTGCGTACGTGAGGAAACTTGCGACAGACAAGTAGCCAGCTGATAATGAGCTTTGTTTGCACAGTTTGCACAACTGATAAGGCGACGATCTCGGACTAAGTGACATCTCAAGGTCAACCGATATATATCAACGTCGTCTATTCACAAGATAGAAGTCATTTATAGAGCAATAATCATTCGAACGGCCTTCACGGGACTCTCAATACTTTCTTTTCTACACGCAGAGAATACAATTGAACAATTGCCCATGGAGCCATTTAAATTCGTCCGATTATTACAATACACAAATGACCTAGTTGGGTCTCCCACGCAAGCATTCCGGCACTTGATCGAATTAAGCAGTTGCCAGAGCTTACAGGTACAGACCCTCCACAGGGCCACCGTCCTGCTTCGTCTTCATAATACGCTCCCGGGCAGAGCGGAAATCTTCCATCTGAACTCTCATCCGGCGCTCTCTCAGAGCCATCAAACCAGCCTCAGTGCAGATAGCACGAATATCAGCTCCAGAGAGATCATCCTTCTGGTTGATAAACTCCTCGAGGTCAACATCGTCACTGAGAGACATCTTCGACGTGTGAAGGGTGAAAATCTTCTTCTTGGTGTTTTCTGGAAGCTGTTAGTGAACCGATACAAAACAAGGTACATCAGGATAACACCTACGGTCTGGGTTCTCGAAGAGAATTTTACGATCAATACGACCAGGTCGGATCAAAGCCGGATCCAGAGTCTCGATCTTGTTGGTAGCCATGATGACCTTGACATCACCACGGTCATCGAAACCATCCAGCTGGTTGAGAAGCTCCAACATGGTTCGCTGAATTTCACGCTCACCGCCGGATTGCGATTCATAACGCTTAGTACCAATGGCGTCAATCTCGTCAATGAACACAATTGAGGGAGCGTGTTCAGCGGCAACCGAGAAGATCTGGCGAACCAGACGAGGACCGTCACCCAGATACTTCTGGATCAACTCACTACCAACGATACGGAGGAAAGTAGCGCTGGTCTGGTTGGCGACAGCCTTGGCAAGCAGCGTCTTTCCCGTACCGGGGGCTCCATAGAGAATAACACCTTTGGGGGGCTTGATACCCATCTCCTCGTACAGCTCGGGGTGTAGTAATGGCAACTCCACGGACTCACGAACCTCCTGGATCTGTGATTCCAAACCACCAATGTCGGCGTATGACTCCGTGGGAGCTTTGTCCAGCTTCATCACTGACACAAGAGGGTCGGACTCCTCGGTCAATACACCGACGACAGAAACGGACTTGTGGTGTAGTAGAATACTGGCACCCGGCTCAAGGAGATCTTTATCAACGAAGGACATGATCGAAACGTAGTACTCAGGGCCAGTGGCACTCGAGACAATAGCGTGGTCATCGTCGATCAACTCTTCCAGGTTACCAACCCCCATGGGGCTGCCTCGCATGTCATCAACTCGACTCCGCTCATCAGCGTTGCGGTCATCCAAGTCACCTTGACTGCTGGGATCTTGAGAAGCCTGGGCCTTGGTTTTGCGCATGCGTTCCATATTCTCGACGTACTCCTCTTCTAACAACAGGTGGTCGTGGACCCGCTGCATGCGAAGATAACGTAGCTTGCATCGCGAGGTAGGGTAGATATCTGGGAGTTTAGAAGCAGTGCTGGGACCGGCAGCCTTGCGCTTCTTCTTTCCGATGCGAGTGGTAGGTGGTGGGGGAGGTTCGTATCTAGGCTTGTCCTTCTGATGAAACGCGGTTTTAGCGCCAGTGACGTTAAAAGAAACGAGTCAAATCATACCTTCTTGTCCTTGTCATCACGTCCATCGCCACCGGGGCCGCCGCCCATGTTAGATTGTTGTTGACCCTGGTTTCAAATGTCAGTTTATTCCCACGGCTGACCGAAGGCGATAGAAGGTTGAGGCACTCACCATGTTTGTCAGCCACTTGGAGGGATACAATTAGGATCCCAGTGGTAAGATAACAGACTGAATGGTCGTGTGAGTCCCGAGCTCCAATGAGTTGGAAATGATGGGAAATACAACGTGGAAGGGATGGGTTGTGAATGCAGGTGTTGGTGTCGCCTGGTCAGTTGCTCGGCGAGCTTCCAGCTGTTGTCACTCGTCACATGACATAGTGGCCTCAGGCCTCAACTGCGTCATCTCTGCCTCGATGCCTGAACTCACTCGACACTTCGCAGCTTGAACATTTTCGCGCAATCGAGGATATTCGCATTCCAACTGAACGGTATACAGGTATTAGTCTAGCCTGACTGGGCCTCAAAGGTATACTCTCTCCTGAAACCCTTGCCAACCAAATTAAGTCCTACTTGAATTTGTTAATAGAGCTCATTTCCTGACATAGTTCCCCTCCATTTAGTGAGATTCTTGTCTATCTCACGAGTTTCCTATTGATTTTGGAATGAAAGCCATTCGATACCATATTTACCTTGTTGCGTATTCAATTTCAAGCTTCTCTAACATGTTTTTTCATATTAGTACCATCATACTTGCACATATCTTCAAACTCCTAGCCGCGGCATTCCTCCCACACTATCGCGCATCTATCGACTAGACGACACTATATATTATATATACTCTCACAGCCCCCAAAAGAAGAATCCCTTCTTCCTCTCCTACCTGGGTCGAATTTATAAACCACCATGGCCAGCAACCGCACTCGTCGTGTTGGCAAAGAGATTGCCGACATCCATGCCGACACACATTCCCAGGTCATGGTTGAGCCCTTTGGAGACTCAGACGATATAACTCACCTTCGTGGATCATTCCCAGGACCACCTGGTACTCCATATGAAGGTGGCACCTACACAATCGATATCAAAATCCCTACCGACTATCCCTTCCGTCCACCTACAATGAAGTTTGAGACTAAAGTGTGGCATCCCAATGTCAGCAGCCAGACAGTCAGTATTACCATGAATTCTGTTTTGGTAAATAATCACCTTGATGCTCATGTTGGATATCTAGGGTGCAATCTGTCTTGATACATTATCTAGTGCCTGGTCACCAGTACTCACCATCAAGTCTGCCTTGCTGTCTTTGCAATCTTTGCTCAGCACCCCGGAACCCAAGGACCCACAAGATGCTGAAGTAGCCAATATGCTTCTCAGAACACCAAAGGAATTCGACCGTGTTGCCCGTGAATGGGCAGTTCTCTACGCTGGCGCCCCGATGAGCAGCACAGGAAAAGGAACTGGCGCCAGCTCCGATGAGGCGAAGCAGGGTACCGGTGTTGATATTCTGGCGAAGTAAGTTATTTCTCTATCATAACTCGGACATGGCTGCTCACTTTGGTAATAGATATGATGGATACAACAAGGATTTGATCGACCGTTTTGGCAGCATGGGTTTTGATGTGGAACAGGTTGTAGCTGCTTTCCAGTTTGTCGATGCTCCCCGACGAGGAGGACAGGATTATGAATTGGAAGAAGGTCGCATGGCAGATATTACTGCTCGACTTCTTGGTGAGTGATGTATAGTCTGATGTCTGCGACGAAATAGGAATAGCACATAGATGGACAGACTGCATTGGGTAGCTTATGCATCGCTTTGTGAATTGCTCTCTCAAAACACATGAAATCTCACACATCTTCTATCCTTCTATTCATTTAAATATATTTGGCTCCAGGTTAAGGTTTGGAGTAGGGCGCCAGTCGGCCGCGATGTCAGGATCCTTATCGATAAGAACTACCCTCTCTCCAACTTCAGACGCTCACCGTTGCTCGTCCGTATACTTCTTTGATAATTACATTCGAATTCAGCCAGATCTAATTCTGCGCCCATCTGCTACGCCAAAATTTGCACGTACTTCCTTGCAGTATCCCAGCTCCTGATCACGGTCGGTCTCAGCCATCAAGCTCAAAACAAAAAAAGGCGGGCGCCATGATCGAAGACGACATCTACCGTACCTCGTCTCAATTTCGACTATGGTCTTACACTGAGGCTTCTTTGCAATCACTTCGAGCCACCACAAATGCTGTGGCCAGTGAGCGTGTGCGGGCTGCCTTGCGCAGGGCTCGCGAGACTCATCTGTCGGCCGCATCCTCTGCACCTGGCACGCCGCAGCCGGGTAGCGATGTGGATGGCAAAAGCAGCGAAGAGAAGCCCATTGAGTGTTTGACACCGGAGGAGGAGCTTGTTCTGGTGCGGTATTATTGCGAGAAGACGCTGGAGCTCGGGGAGACATACAAGCCGCCGTTGCCAACAATGGTTCGGGTACGTCTGCAGACCGTGCTATTGCTGCCTTGCACGAGAACGGAATTTTAAAGCTAACCCACATATTCAATATGCCTAGGCTACTGCGATCCAATACCTTCGCCGCTTCTACCTAACAAACTCGCCTATGACATACCATCCGAAGTCGATCATGGCGTGCGCGCTTTTCCTTGCGACGAAGACCGATAACTACTACATGTCGCTTCGTCAATTTGCAGATGGTATTCCGGGAGACACAACGACAGAGGATGTTATTACACCAGAGTTTCTGCTCATGCAGGGACTTCGTTTCACCTTTGACGTACGGCATCCGTTCCGAGGACTCGAAGGTGGCATCATGGAACTTCAAGCTATTGCACGTGGCCAAGGACAAGCAGCTCCTCATCTACCACATGAAACTCCTGAAGACCTGCAACAGGGGTTGATGTCCATTGCACCTCCTCCAGTCCCATCATCATCAATGTCCGATCGCATCGCGCGAGCCCACGGCACGACTCGTGAGCTGCTCAAGACCGCAGCGCAAATGACCGATGTGTACTTCCTCTACACCCCCTCCCAAATATGGCTTTCCGCCTTTCTCATAGCCGATCGTCCCTTGGCCGAATTCCTTCTGGACGTCAAACTCGGTGGGCCCGTCACACCCGCCACAGCTACCCCCGATACAAGCCAAAATGGTCTCCAAAATCCTCTATATGAAATCCGCTGCAAGCTTCATCGCGTCTTGACCGACTGCACTGCTTTCCTCCAATCCTATACGCCACTCTCCTCCGACCCAGCCCAAATGAAGAGTCTCAAACGCATCGCAAAGAAGCTATATCATTGTCAAAACCCTGAGAAGGCGAACATGGCCGCCCAGAAGCGTGAATCAGCTCAGCCATCAACTGCCGTACAGAGCGAATCCGGGATGGCCAACTCTGAGAGTGAGTCGGAACGTCTAGCGAAGAAGCGGAAGTTGGAGCAAGAACAAAAGACTCGCGAGAGCAACGATGTCTTTGGACCCGAGCTGGTCACTCAGCGAACAAAAGAGCAGTAATAATCATTTCGTTAGAATTAATGTCTGACATTTACGATACACTTTGATCAATCACCACCAAATCTCATAACGGAGTTTTCATCACATCGTTCTATAGAATATCTCCCGAGGATGGGAATTACGAGTAGCATTTTTCCGTCTTGTCTCATGCCTGATTGTATATATAACTGGAGCCCGAGATCTAATAGTAGCTGGAGCAGGTGAAATTATATCTGCAAATCCGACAGCCACCCCTTCTTCCACTGCTGCAACCAGATATCCATCAACTTCTCGTTTACCGCATTCATTTTGCGCATTGCAGCACTATGAATTTGAGCATTTGAAACCTCAACGTGTGGGTGCACTTGGCCTCCTTGGCCCTGGTGCGAGACCAGACCGCTGAAGAAATCCAACAGCTGGAGAGCAGGGATATTTTGCAGGTCATCGTGACTCTTTTCGCTGCTCGCTTGCTGTGAAATCTTTTGCAGGTTGGCCACCCATTCTTTCAGCGGCAAAACCTCCGCACCGCATGCCCGGGCGACAGTTGCCGCCAGACGCTCCCACTTGGTTGTTTGGGGATTTACAATGTGGAAGACCTCAAGTTCTGGGTTGCGTGCTTGAGATTGCGATTGGACAATTTGAGTTATTGCTTGTGCAGCTGTGTCCTGATTTTCAATGTCAACACGGGCCACTTGTTGTCAAGGTACGGACACTGTTCGACTTACGATTGGCACCCAGTCCACATTTATTGGACCCAAGCTATTTGGCAACTGACCAAGAGACAATGATGATTTAATCAGCGATGGAAGCCAGTCCCGAGGATTCCACATAGCACCAGTTAGCGACGAAGAGCCACCTAGCTGGCCAACACGATGAATGCTGATAGGGATGCCACAGCGCTGAGCGGTTATTCCACACAAAGTCTCAGTCACATATTTGGATTCTGCATAGCCCTGATGAAGTGTCACCGACTCGTCATGAAGAGTCTCTTGAATAGAGTGCCCGTGTGTCGCCCGCCAGCCACCCACTGTCGAGATTGACGAGATATAGTGGAATTGTGTAGACTGTGGTGAATCCTCTGTCAATTTCAACAGATTTCGCACTCCAGTGATATGCGATTCGAAGGTGGACAGAGGCTGATTGAAGTTCACCATCCAGGCGTTATGAATTACGACATCGACACTCTCTCGCACCCATTTGTAGTTCTGTGGCGTGAGGCCCAGGTATTCATTACTAAGAGAGGTTTGCCAGAAATGAACACGAGCTTGTTCCGATAGCCAAGATGCAGGAAGCTGTTTCGTTTTGAAGCTGTTTATTTGTCGAGATTTCGCATTAGAGGAGCGGTTGAAGCAGTATATTTCTGCTATTGACGGGTCTTTCAGCAGCTCATGGAGCAAGTAGCTACCCAGCTCCCCAGTCGATCCCGTTAGAACAACTGTGAGCCCTCCATTCCCGAAGAACTTGGCCTGGTTCCAGACTGAACGTGTCAGTTGTTCTGAACGTGTCCACGGGATATCCCCACTGTCAGTGTTGCTGTCACCACCACCACCACCACCAACGTGGCTGAAAAAGGCCTTGGCTAGAGAACGAACTGTTGCCAGCTCGTATATCCTTGCATTTGTCCATGAGATTTGTTCGCCTGCTGGATGCATCTGCTTTGATGCGTCCTGGATAGAGCGACCAAGCTGCATCACTTGCAGCGAATCTATTCCCAATGCGACCAAGTCATCATCAACACTGAAAGTGTTGGGCATTTTGATTACCTTGGCTACAAGGGTTTGAAGCCACTCTTGTATTGCATCCCGACTGGATCCACGAGGGTATTGAGAGCTGGATTCCAGCTGTTTCTTCCCCTGGCCAGGCGAATAAAGCTCATCAATTACTGCTTCATAAGCCATGGCGATATCCCGACGACGTATCGAGCCCTTTGCGGTCCGGGCGAATGGTTTGTCACGAGATGTAAATGCAAAATGGCCTGCTAGAATCTGCCCATGAGCGGGCAGAACAGCATTCGCCTTGTCCACGGTTGGCCATATGGACTTTTGCAGCCACTCTGGTGTCCAATCCTGGGGCAAAAGATCCCAGCGAGGCTCAACAAGGGCTACAGCTTGGAGCCTGCCCTTTCCAAAGACAGCAGCACCATCAACAAGTGGATGGGATTCTAACGTTTTCTCTGCGTCGATGGGGTTGAACTTCTCGCCGTTGCTCAACACAATAATGTCGTCACTTCGGCCTTCATAGTGCCACAGCCCAGGCTTAGACGGGTGAGGGCGAAAGAGATCTCCAGTGTGATATTCGGTCAATTCTGGATAGGTATAGAAGACGCCATGGTGCTCAAGTGACTCTGGCCGTGGGATGACAAGCTCCCAAAGGTCGTTTCCGACGTCATCCATGCGCACTCCGAAGGCTGGATTCCATTCAAGATATTCCCAGTCATCAGGATCCTCACAAAGAAGCGATGGGATGTAGGCTGTCTCGCTGCTTCCAAGAACGGCTTGTAGGCGGACAAGCTTTGATAACTCCCTGCCGGTCGATTGTGACAAGGGGGCTCCTCCGTAGCTCACGGCTTCGAAACATGAAAGGGCTTCGCGCCCTGTTTCGGTTGAGAATAGATCTTGAAGAGTATATGGGGAGAGCAAACCCCATTTGGGGGGAATTTCGCTTCTCATAATTTGCAAGAGAGAGTTCGCCGTCAGTGGCCGGTCAGGATAGAGCAGAAATGGCGTACGGTAATATATGCATTCAGACAAACAAAACATTCCCATGATATGAAACAAGGGCGAGTTGAAGAAGCGCAGCTTGCCCTCGTACTGCAAAAACAACTGCCCAAATTGACGTCCAGGCGGGAGTGGAAGTCTCTTGAAATTGTCCGTTGTGGCCCAAAATCCATAAGTCAGGACGACTGGCTTCGGAAAGCCCGTTGTACCAGAGCTGTGGATTATCATGGCGGGTTTATCTGCGATTTCGGAGAGCTTTTCGCTGTAAAGATACAGCTCTGATGGGGATTCTTGGAAAATGTCCCAGATTGGAGCCATAGACCATCTTTCGAAGCTTTCGGGTTGATGGGCTGTGAGATCGTCCAAGTTCTTGCGAAGTTGTTTCTTCTCACTGCCATCGACCACCACCGAGCAGTGCGTAGAGTCGAGCAGATGCTGATTCGCGGGTAGAGAATTTCTGGTCGACACGAGCAAGGCCTTCAGAAATATTAGCAACTATGAACAGGTCTCAACATTGCATGAAACTCACAACGTGTCCTGTCTTCATACACGCCAGCACAAATACGGCGTATCGGAGATCATTTGTCCCTACATACGCGAGAACATGTTGCTCTCCGTTATTCTTGCCACTCAGCTTACTCTCAATCCACCAGGAAACTCGGTTTATCGCGTTGAACAGATCCTTGAACGTGATATGTCGCCATTCATCAATCCTATCCTGGGAAACCGGATGGATACAGAACAATCTGTCGGGGTCTTGCTCGTTTATATCATCCACAAGTTGAGGCAGAAGCTGACTGGGTCTGTCCGCTTCCTTCTCAAGGTTCTTCAAGTTCATGATGATGAATGGGAGGACCAGACGAGGTTGAGCAATGAAAGTTCAGTTGAGAGAACTGCGATAAATGGACATTTTGGTCCAGCGAGCCCTTCAAATATACGTCTGTGGCAAACTCCATGAGCAGGCCATCCTATCTTGCATCTGCAAAAGGTGCGCAGAACCGACAAGCACAATATTGCTGATTATAGTAATCTACGAACCCCGAGAGGAACAGTTGCATACTCTTCACACCATCAACTTATTCAGAGAACCCTATGTTCTGGTCGATCTTTTTGCATTAGGATTTGAATACATGATGTTTGCCGATAGATGAAATCTATTGGATCTCACCAGTTCGATGAGGTTACACAATAGGAGTCATGGTCGCTTTGGCCCCAGTTACCAAAAGGGATTTATGATGTGATGGATTCCTCGAACTATCTATGCGCAGCGCCTACGAAGTCCGCCTGCATGTGCTAGCATACAGTTTCAAGCGCGCCTATTGGCCATTCAAGGAGCATGGCGCTCATCATGTCGGTGAAATCCGTGATTCGGCTGATATTTCTTTTTCTTGTCCCTTGTAGCGCACTGTAAGCGCAGTGTAATTTGGCCCAAGGCACTTGGAGTATACCACCGGCTAAGATGAGGATGATTCGGCCGGGTTGCCGGGGTTAGTCTCCAGAGCCATATCACATCGAGCTATATCTATGTTTGCTTTGATTTTCGTTATTTGGTTATCTCTCATAAGGATACCCACGTGCAGCAATACATGTACTAGCTATTGATGCAGATTGGGGGAACCACGAATCACACTACTCGTTGGGGCTTTAGTGATGTCGGCATAACTCAACAATTTCTTCAATGGGCGGTGTACTGATTTCTTTGTCCCTAAGTTGTAATTCATGCATGATGCCGATTTTGGCAGCGGTTTCTATCAAACAAACGAATGTTCGGTTTCACGATGTGATCGGGGAATGCTACCTAGGGTTATGAGCGCTCAAGGATCAGGCACGCTTCCCTCAGGCCAGGGACCGTTGACTAACCTTGCACTTTCCGAGAAGAGACAGATACAGGGTATTGATGTATTAGCCGTGAGCATCGTCTAAACCATGAAGAATATGCGAGTTGATAGCGCTTCTATAGATTAGCGCCGGGACTGAAAGCATTCTCTGACCCACTCGCAGTGCGTCATGTTTCATATACTCACCCACGCGGTTCATTGTCATCTCAACGGAGTGATGAGCTTAGCGCAATTCTTACCCGAAGATTCATACCGGTACCTTTTCGAAAGGCAAGCTGTTTACAAGTTCCTCCAACTCATTCCCCACAACAACATCGTTTCTATCGTCAACGGCAAGCATAACCGCTAGTTGGGCCAGGCTGCTGCTGATCGCAGTGCAAATGTCTCCCAGGGTCTTGTATCCGTATTTCCGTAGAACTCGACGACGATCAGGAATATCCAAGCCTCCAACCCGTCCAAGATATCCAATTTGCCCAGCGAGAGTAGCAAGGTCCCTTAGCTCCAAAACAACCTGGAGCCGATCGGGCTGTGGGCTCGTAAGAGCAGTAACCTGCTGATCTAGCCTCTCTGCCAACGTCTGGCAAAGATTATTGTATGTTTCGTTGAAGTTGGGTGGGATATCGTAGTTTGTAGGTTGATCCATTGGGTTTGGGATTTAAGGGGAATTGTTAGGAGAAGGGGAGTGATTCAAAGTTGTGTGAGGGCTTGCCTTGAGGTTGAGGATAAATGGCAGTGGTAAGTAAAAGATCGGTGGAAGTTCTTCAACCTTGTTGTGCTTTGAGTCAGTGTATCCGGTTGGGATGGAGACTTGAAAGATGAGAAGATTGCGCTTTATGATCTGCATTTTATAATCCCTCGATGACACAGGTACTTGGAGGTGCTTTTCTTTTGCAAATCCCTTGGTTCCTGAGACAAAGGTAGAGTCAAAAAGGTCACTTGGTAATATTCCTTTCCTTTTCATGCATTGTACACTCGCATTATGGTCATCGGAATATGTCAAAGAGCATTGAAAATATGTCGAGCCAGCTTTTGTTACAACAATGAGCATTGACATATAATCAAGCCGGACAAAGATGTCCACGAAATCCTTCGCACAACGGCCCTGGCTTTGTATTAGTGAAAATGTGTAGACGAGGAAGATGAATTATAGAGCTGAAGTTGTTCGGCATCGATGAATGGAAGACTAATCTACTACTTCACTTGCAGGGCCATGTGCTTGAGGATGTTGATGCTGTCTTTGTGGCGCCTTACGCTAACTTCGATGAGGCAAAAACACTAACAACAAAGCCGTTTAGGATGAGGGAGTTGAAGCTGGTGGCGTCTCAATGAGTTGTCATACACACCCGCGGATCTACGTATTCTACGTTCTACGACAAAAACACATGCTATGCAATACATCTATATTTTCAAAGTTCCAATCACCCCCAGGCAGGACATATAATCGTAATCTCGAGGCGTGAAAGCACAAGAGAAACATGAGATAGAAAACACAAGGGCTTGAACCTATTAAAAAAGACAGTGAAGCGCCAAACACCGCTTCCATGGGTCATATGTCATTACCAAGACAAGACGCAAATAGCACAAGTAACAAGCAAGACTTATCAAATCCTCCGGGTATTTCACTGGGTTCCAAAGCCTATCCACATCCTACAACCCTCCATCAACATCAATACTTTTTCAGCGCCCATATCCACTAACGGAAGACCCTCCATACCCAACAGAGGATCCACCATACTCAGTCGAGGCCCCAAACTCAGTGGGCGCAAACTGATCACCGGGTGCGGTATAGTGCTGTCCATGAGCACCACCGTAGCCAGTACTAGCGTTATAATCATGGAGAACGCCACCAGGAGCAGGAGCAGTGGGATCGTAAGAGCCATGCATCGCGGACCGGCCGTGTGCATTGCCCAGATCGTCCACCTCGCTCTGCTGGAGGAGGGCGTAGTCCTCGTCCTGATCGCCGCGGGAGGAAGCGGGCATGCCACCGCCACGGCCTGAGCGGAAGTCGTCCTCGTCTTCTTCAAAGTCGTGGGCTGGGTTTGAGGAGAAGGCGGCTTTGGTCTGGGCAGCGAAGGTGGGGTCTGAGACTGCGTCGGGGAGGGTTCCTGTGCGGCGGAAGTGCATAACGTTGCGGAAGGACATCCATGCGGTAATGGCGAATAGGATACTGTTCGGAAGAAAACATGTTAGCGTATTTGTTCGCGGCTACTCCCCAGGCCAGAACAAAGATGCAGATACACGTACAAGATCACAACACCAATGATAGTCGTCGCCTCACTAAGCTTACACTTCGCAGCAGAACCATAAGCCCAGTTGTCACAGCCAGACTTGGAAGAACTGCTATCATCAGTAGCCCTCTTGGTGCTCGACTTTGAATCCTTGTCACTGTCGGAAGAAGAAGACCCCTTCGACTTGCCAACGGCAACATAAGAAGCAAGACAAATCCAAGCACTAGCCCAGAGAATGGTATAGAGAACATCGACACAGGCAAAGGCGTAAACGTTTCCGAAACGGCGGGCGCGCGGCCACATCGGTACTGCGACTAGGTAGACGAGGCCGGGGATGCTGAGCCAGCACTAGATGCGAAGAGGGGCTGTCAGCAATCTCATCTTCATTCCTCAATACGGCCTGAGCCTGAGCCCGAGCGTGTTCTGTTCTGCGACAGCAAGACTCAAGTCGGACTAGGACTCTGGGTTTGCGCAACTCACCAGACCCCAATACCATCCCGTGCGCCCGTCGATACCATCACCCTTCGTCCAGATGGCGATAGTAAGCGCCCAAGCGATGAAGATAATAAACGCCTGAGCAAAATGCAGGTAGTTCTTCGTGCGTCCTAGGCTTCCGCCTGATGGGCGCGGCATTTGGAACTTCATGTTGTGCAAGGATTCGGTGTTTCAAGCATGTACATGTGATTTTTGTTCAAGGGATGGATGGAGTATATCGTTATTGCATTGACAGGGGATGTGTGAGATACGGGTTCAGATTGCTGTAAGGTGAGGTAAGGCGAGGCAAAGGTAAAAAAGTGACAGCGGAGGGTCGGGCGCGGAGGCTGTGTTTTGAGGCTCGGGAAATGTTCTGGTTTGTTTTGGTTCGTATTGCGATATGGCAATGTCAATGTCAATGCGAGTGTGTTATTTCCAGGGAGATGGTGAGGGTTGCGTCTGCAATCTCAAGTAAATTGAGAGGTTAAGCTTGGTCAAGCTGTTTCCACCGTCTACGTATGCCATCCCGACGATCATCGCCCAGGCGACAGCCCGTGGATCTATTTTCGGAAGGCTTGGCATTTCCAGCCTTTGTGGTATAGACCTGGGATAATCGTGACGCCGGTTATAGCATCATGCATTTACATCTGCAAAGCCTCAATTGGGCCCAGATGGGGTCCAAATCGATTCGAAAATGGAAGAACTTTGTACTTCAACGGTTCATAATATTCGTTCATAGTCACATTGCTCATATACACACACTATCATGCTCTCATAAACCTCATCGGTATCATCAATTTTACAAACCGGCCTCCCGAGTCTGCTTCACCAATATCCAGATCTCCCGCAGAGGTTGGTAGACATGAGCCTGCCACCACCAAGGAAGCGGATCTTGGAAGGAGAAGAGTGGATCTTTCCAGAACAATAGCCGCACAAATTCTGCCTTGGACAATCCGAGCACTAGAATTACATATCGGAGCCAGGAGGATTGGAAGAGTAAAGCCGTAAGTCGGCCCGCCGCGGAGAATCTGGAAAGAGATGTCGCACGCGAGGATGAGAGTGTCGGGGTCGTCTTCGAGGAAACATCAACCGGATCGGAAGGAAAGACAGAGAGATAGCCTGCAGTTGGGGATATAATATCCTGCAAAAGAGGCTCGACGGCTTGCGCGCCGGGTACACAGCCGGCAATGTACACGGCATGTCGAACAGAATGCACATCGAACTCCTCATCCACCATGAGCCGAACAGAGAGATGTCCGGTCAAGCGTGGACCGATTTTAGCAGCGAAAGTCTGCATGAGCTGATGAATTGCAGCAGCCAACGCCTCATCCAAGCGGGAAGTGCCCCATGGTACGGAATGCGCACTCGACAAGCGAACATTGATCGCTTGAACGTGACCACGGACCACGAGGATATCAGCAAACAGCTCGCCCAGCCGCGAATGTTGCTGCAAAATCCAAGGCCGATCCTTGGAAATCTGAATTTCACTGATACTAGTATAAGTCTTACTAGTCGTCCGTTTCGGCAAACGCATAGCCTTATCATTCGCCGACGGACTAGCGCGCAACATCTGGTAAGATTTCGACGGCGACCGATGCAAGATCTTATGCACAGAGTCGCGCGAAAGAACCTTGTGATACTCCAACACAGGCAGACCCCGCTCAATCACATACTGTCGAAAAGTATCCGTGTGACTGAAGCACGTCGCCAGCTCTGTATCAAAGGTAATGCATTTGCAGCTGGTCCGGCTCTCGACCACCTGTCGCGCTGTCGCGTCTTCACTGGGAGTAGCTTTAGGCGAACACGGGATCCAAATGTCCACTTTTTCGCGGTGGATGACATCGAGTAGTCTGGAAATGTAGTGGTCTTTTGGAATGCGGTAGAATGCTTGAAGGGCTTTTGACATGCTGGCACCAGATCGGATGGGGAGATCTAGATCGGTGACATCGGCTCCGACCACGCAATGGCCCTCTGCGGTCCATGCTCGTGCAAGTGCCAGAGCATGAGGGGCTCCCACGCCTGTGATCAGTACTGTTTTGGGATAGAAGCGGACGTTTCGGCGTGTTCTGCGACGGCTGGCTACTGATCGAAGATATGCTAGACAACTCGCGACGGCGAGGATGGTATTGTCGAGGAATAATAGAGAAAATGAGAGGCAGATGCGGAAGAGGTGCCAGAAAACGCGGATTGCTATTCCTGATGAAACCGAGGCTTTGGCGGATTTGATGGTCATTTTGAGCCTTTCTTTCACCGCTGGCAGGGGGATATCGCGGTTCATTTGGCCCTGGGTTGGCAGGGCTAGAGGAGGGCTCAAAGAACCTCGAAAGGTTTGAGAGAAGTTAGGACATTGTGGAATGCTGAAAGTGAGTTGGAAATGCGAGGAGGCTGGTGAGGGGGGGCTTGGCTGAGCAGATCTACGGTGTGACGAGACAGCTGCCAACACCTCACACCTCTCTCTTCGGCACTTTCAAGATCTGAGAGGTCTTAGCTTACTCTGTAGTCGGATGTATTTTAAGGCTGTTATGCCCGAGCTGTGGGATCAGGTTTCCGTTCTTTATCAATCTCGGACAAGACTTCCTAAATGATGAGTACCATATCCTCGAAGATCTGGATGGCATAGATACGCCATTTGACTCATTTAATGCGACTGCCTGCAACGAGAGGGCTCGGACTTGCTCTCTCCGAGGTACTTATCCCCGAGGTTCCGGACTATAAGTTCAGGGCGCCTCAAATACGATGACTTCACCGTTCTTCGTGGTTTGAACTGCATATCCGATCAATTTGTTTTCAAACTCATACATCTTTCTACACTCTCAGAATGGCGACAAACCAGCAGCCGCATTCCAAGCCCGGGCAGCTCTCTGTAAGTCTTGTCTGACCTCTCATCGATATCTCAGCTAACCATACTGTAGCGGGAACCAGGCAGAGAGCTGAAGCTCCTGCACTACATCTATGGCCAGCCAAACCTGGACGAGATCCGTGGCCATCCGCAAAAAGTCATCGATCTAATCCACGAGTTCGAAAAGGAATACCACTTCATGAATGTCGGGCCTGAGAAGGGCGAAATCGTCACCAGGCTCATAGACGAGCTCAAGCCCAAGACCATGATCGAACTCGGCTGCTACGTAGGCTACTCAGCAATCCTGTTCGGCGACGCAGTCCGTCGCAACGGCGGCGAACGCTACCTAAGTCTAGAACTGAACCCGGAGTTCGCAGCCATTGCCAACATGCTCGTCGAGCTAGCAGGACTGCGCGACTTTGTGCGCATAATCGTCGGCCGCAGCGATGTATCCCTGCATAAGTTGATCACCTCGGGCGATGTGAAGAAAATCGAGCTTCTCTTCATCGACCACTACAAGCCGGCATACACTACTGACGTCAAACTGTGCGAGCATTTCGGGGCAATCGTCCCCGGCTCAGTGCTGGCCGCAGACAATGTCATTTACCCAGGGAACCCGCCATATCTGGAATTCGTCCGCAGTACAGTGGCACAGAAGCGAGAGAAGGCCAAGGCTGGACCTTCCAAGGGATATGACACCACCGGTATGGCCGAGCGCACGGTGCAGTCATTTGTGGGCAGAGACGATGTGCCCACTTTCGACTTTGTCGGGAACCCGAACTTGGTGTACCAGAGCGAGTTCTGTCAGCCTGAGGGTTTGGGGGTGAGTGAAGATTCTTCTCATGTCTTTTCCGAGGCTAACCATTCACAGGACGCCATTGAGGTCACGAGATGTGTTGGAGTGGAGGAATGAATGGCATGACGCAAGTGGGGGAAAGAGATGTGAAATATGGAGGAGATATTCAGAGTCAGAATACGGAGTACAATTGATTATGAATCAGGGACACAGTACTCCGAGGTGTCATTTCCGAGAATATACAATATACCGTAGTAGAGTAAAGAAGAAGAGAAGAAGAAAAGAAAGCGGCAACCCGAGTCGGCCTTTGACCCCACCAGACCCAAACATTGCCGTCGCCAGGACCTTCCCAAGTCCCCCCGCGTAGTGGTTTCCGGGGTTATATAAGTTGACTCTCTTCTGTCTTTTTTTTTTCCCTTAATCCACACATTCACCATGGCTTCCAAGACTTACAACGTTGGCATTGTCGGCTACGGCTTCAGTGCAAAGATCTTCCACATTCCCTTCGTCAACGAGGTTCCCGAGCTGAAGCTCTATGCCGTCGTTCAGCGTACCCCGAAGGCGGGCGATGATGCCGAGAAGGACCACCCCGGTGTGAAGTCCTTCCGCGCCACCGAGGAGATGGTCCAGGACCCCGCGATTGACATTGTGATCATTACCACCGCCCCCGACTCCCACTTTGCTCTCTCCAAGCTGGCGCTGGAGGCTGGCAAGCACGGTACGTATCCGCAAGTCCCGGATAAGCATACACCCAGCTAATCCATGCGCGTCATAGTCGTCTGCGAGAAGCCCTTCACCCCCACCACCCAGGAAGCCGATGAGCTCGTCGCCATCGCAAAGAAGAACAACAAGCAGCTCGCTGTATTCCAGAGTACGTCCACCCACTCCATTGCACCAATTGCGTGAGCGCATAGATTAATAGTACATCTACAGACCGCCGCTTCGATGCCGACTTCGTTACCCTCTCCAAGCTGATCAAGAACGGTTCCCTCGGCCGTATCTCCGAGTTCGAAACCCACTTTGATCGCCACCGTCCCCAGGAGCCCGCTGCCGACAGCCACAAGTGGAAGAACAAGGTCATCCCCGGTGGCTCCGCCATCTATGATCTCGGCGCCCACCTGCTGGACCAGGCCTACGTCCTCTTCGGTCTGCCCCAGCGTGTGACCGGTTTCATTGGCTCCGCACGTGAAGTCAACGCCTCCGGCTTCGAGGATGCCTTCACGGTCCTGCTCCACTACGCCAATGGCACCATGGTGACCGCCAAGGCCACCGTCGTCAGTCCCGAGGATGAGCAGCTGCGCTTCTGGGTGCGCGGTGACAATGGCAGCTTCAAGAAGGTAAGACAGCCCAGACATAATTGCGCGCAATGCGCAATTCGCATACTCCAAACATTTACTAACCTCCTCTCTAGTTCTACCTCGATATCCAAGAAGACCAGCTCAAGGCCGGCATCATGCCCGCCGACAACGGCTACGGCCGTGAGCCCAGCGAGCGCTATGGTACTTTGACCACCATGCAGGGTGACAAGCCCGTCAAGGAGGTTGTGCCTACTGTCGAGCCCCCTACCTACACCGAGTACTACCGCAAGCTTGTCCGCGCTCTCAGTGGTGATGGTGCCCTTCCTGCCAGCGGTGCTGAGGCTCGCGACGTCATTCGTTTGATTGAGTTGGCTCGCGAATCTTCTCGTACTGGCCGTACCCTTGACGTTTAAGCTTGGGCTTGTAAAATGCAACGATGATTACGATCTGATAAAGAGTATATAAATTGATTTCCCGGGTTTTTTTTTCGTTTTGATTGAATTCTCTCTCCGACAGTAGTCTATATATTTGAGTCTTAGTTTTGGAAATTGCAATGTGAGTCTAAGTGCCAGGGTGAGGACTCTGTGATTATATGCAATAGCCCACACTCATGACGAGGATTTCCTAAACAAAATCGACCCATCCCTAGTCCAATATCAACACATCCATAACCCCTATTGCATACATCCCACCTCAGCCTGGCCAAACACCAAACCCTCCGATCCAAATCTAAACCCCCAAATCCCCAAAATCCAACCCAAAAAACCAAGCCCGAGGAAATTCCATCCCCCACCTCCCCATAAGAGCCTCAAGATCTTTCCTCGAACCAGGAACGACGTTAACAAAAACCCGATCTGAATGGGAGACAGGCTCGGAATGAACTGCGCCTTCTTCCTCGCCAACTCGGAAAAACACACACTGCCCGGGTAATGCTTGGACCACGCTACCGCCATCACTAGCTCGATGGTCATTGTCGTCGGGATAGCCATGGCCCAGCTGTGCGGCTAGTGTTTCTCGGACGGATTCCGCGGCCATTGCGCAGCCTGTACAGCGGATGGAGAGACAAATGTGATCTGGGTTCTTGGAACGGGCTGTTTGCTTTGCGCTTTTTTGGGCTTTGCGCGCGAGACTGCTTGAGGTTGTTGGGATGAAGAGGGTGCCTGGGCCTAGGAGGGTTGTTGTTAGTTTCCAGTTTGGGGGCTTTGGTGTTGGTTTGCTTTGAGGGGTTGTCTGTAGTTTAAGGATATTAGATAGCTGGGTGAAGCGTGCTCGTTTTGAGGCGTTATTGGTAGTAGGTGTTGTGCTTGTAGCTGTTTGTTGTGATGGCGAGGAAAAAAATAGATCATCCGTATGCCAGCGCGGAATATCAAATTCATTGGTGGGTTTACTTGCTCGGATCGTGAGCCAGTAATGGGACTGGCTATTTTTTGATAGGAATTCGTGGGTGTAGCTTAGGAATGAGAAGAGGGATGGTATGATTGAACCGTTTATTGTTGCTTGGGCCCAGGTGTTGAAAGAGCATGGGAGGGTGTCTGCATTCAGGGATAGGAGGGGCCCGCAGTAGGTCCAGGAGGAGGATGTTTTGAGGGTAATTAGATCGTCTGGTTGGTCTTTGGAGTCGAGAGCTGGATAGGGCAGCATTTGAAAGTCCGGTAATAGCTTGACGTCCATCGCGATAGAGGTATATGATTTTCTTCAGGGGCGTGGAACACTTTTTGATTCATTGGAGATCGGGAGAGACCCATGCTCAGGCCTCACCATGTGACAGTGAGACAAGGAGTGCATGTTTTATAACTTCGCTGCTGCTTCATTGCGGGGCCTGTGGGACCATTAGGTAGATTTAGGCAGCAACTTGGAGATCTGGGAGATCCTTCGGTTTCTGGGAAGTTGGAGTGATAGCTGAAGGCTTGAGTTGCAGGGGTCGGAAATCTGTATGGCTATGCAGACAATACACTAGTGTTAATGGGCTAGTATATTTGTAGTACTATCATCCGCATACCGCGCCTACTTCAACAGTATAAATATCCTAGAACTGGTATTTGTCCCTAGGTCTAGATAGAATGAGTGGCTCGATGTATAAAAGTGATTGGTTGGCATTTTCCTGCAAGCTAGCTCCGCAGGAGGAGGGGTGAGCTTGAGGCGCAGCAACACACCCTCGGCACGAAACTTCGACCAACTTCAAATTTGTTCAAAGACGCGGTCTTCAAATCTCAGTAGTCTTTTTCATTGTTGGGATGGCGGAAGTCATCGGCGTGTGGTTCGGGCGCTATCACTTTCGCAACCGTTGTCGCCCAAGTCACCGAATCTATAATCACGATCAAAGATTGCTAATTCGCCTGAAGAGCGGCAAACACGCTGTGCAAGGTCTTCAACGCGGCAGAGAAGCCGTCGCAAGATTACAGGAGCTATTGAACGAGCTTATGCGAGACCTGAGTTTCTCGTATAGCCTGCGAAAGTTATACGCTGCCTATTTACTCAAGTAGAGCGCTTCTACCGGTCCCAACCTGGTAGTTTACGATCATGGATTCCGAGCAATGGTTAAGCCAAACCACATGTTTTCATGTACATTTATATTGAAAATCAGGTTGCACTTCACGTTCTCTGCAATTACTGTCTTACTTTCCCACCTCCGAATTCCACCCCCTGATTTGGAACGGGCGAATCCAGATGCGTGACTGCCGAGCTCCCATTTCGAAGCAAAGGTGCTGGATCTGACATGGCGATATGGACTATATTAGAAAGAATACGCTGTCAAATTCGAGTCAGATGGTTCTCGAAGCATAACACCACTATATTCCCGTTTCTTACATGAGTATCCGTCATGAAAACATAACAATAAAGGGCAGAGTGATCAAGCTATAAGCGACGGCACTTTGTCGGCACAGAATCAAGGCAGCGCCATTCTTATTGCTCAAAGATTCAGAGCCCTGTGAATTATCGCCAGAAGAGGTCGTGAATGAGGAATACGCTGTGGCCGTTTCTGTGGGGTTGTAGGTAGCAGGAATGGAAGAAAGGGCAACATCAGATGTATAAGTTGCCGTGAGACCCGTCGTGTTGACACAGTACTCTGGGATTGTCGTCGCCATTCCGGCAACAAACTGAACGGCAGCACACTGTCTTTGTTAGTTGGGTTCTTTTAAATCGGGTTGTACAATGAACAGCGGAAGGATAGTACCTGATAGTTCAAAGTGTCACCGGTGTGCTGCACAACACCAACGACTCCCTTACTGCCAGCCCACGATGATGGGACAGTCACTCCAGGCTCGCAGAATGGTCCCATAACGTTTGGGTAAATGACCGGGCGTAAGCTAGTCCAGTTCCTAGCCGCGGTGACGTCCAAAGTTGCGCGAAAGAGCCACGTCCCTTTGGTTTCGATGAAGGATGCCACGTATATTGTATCTCCGTTGACATGGAAGTTGGTAATATTGTCGGTTTTGAAGTTGGGGTTGAACATGCCGCATGGGGGGCTGTCTAGTAGGTTTATGTTGAAACCAGTCCGCGTAGGGTATTCGAGGGAAAAGGTAGCCTGGCCGAGCTGAGCGGCCAGTGCTAAGATACAAAAGGAGCTTCGAGTCGCTAACATTTTTTATGGTTTGTCGCGCCTTATTCAAGGCCTGCTAATGACGGCGAAGAAGAAGAGCAACTGAATTTGGGGCAACCTCTTGCTTTTGGGGGTTTGGGTGTCATTGACTAGTAACTAGCCGAATTTGTGGCTTGCTCATCTATTGGGCGATGAAATGGTTTCATTATTCTCTTGGTAATTTTCCCCCTTACAATATAAGTTATAAGCCTCCTCGACTATCGCTGAAAGGTCTCCCCCAACAAGACACAGTGATTGGTGGGAGAGATGACACAAGCTTCCTCAGACCTTGCTAAGCGTTTCTCGAGAAGCTGTCATGTGGACGACGCAGGCCATTGCTTTGTGGGATACGAGGTGTGTGAATTGGCATTCCCGCATGATTCAGACAACGACTGATCCGTCCTTTGTCTATTGTTAACGACAAGACTTAGCGTCGTTTATGGCTGAGAGATAAAGTAGACATCCCGAAGTTGATCCCAATATAGTATGATAGAGCTTAGCACTTGGGTTGATACACAAGCGAAGACTCTAAATAGTGACACTAGTGACAGGATGTCAGGGCGGCCTCGCCCTCGACGCCAGTTAGTCGGATCCTCGACCCTCAAACTTGAGGGCCCACTATGTTCATTATTTGAAAAATTACCGAAATGTCTACTTGGGGAGGAATTCGGCCAAATTTAGCGCACATGGACCATATCAGCTTATTCAAAAGTTCCATACATCGTCTTCCTATCATAGCAATGCGAAGACAGCCATTGCTGCGCCCACACCCAGGCCAGACTTAACACCCCCAAATGCTTCACTTGCACCTCCAGTCTTCGTTGCGCTCGTCGCAGCGCCAGTCTCTGTGGCGGTCTCGCTGTTAGAAACCGTTTCTGCTGCGGATGAAACCAGCGCGGTCTTGCTGGCAACGGAAGTTGTTGTACCAGCCGCAGCGGCGGTAGCAGCCGTATTGAAGCCCAGTTTAACAGAAGCGGCGGGCAGGGTGACCGTCGACGTAACAGTACTCAAGCTTGTGACGAAAGAGCCACTCTGCACAACCACGCCAGGAGCAGCTTGTAGAGTAACACAAACTGCCGAAGCTCCAGCGTCGATATAAGTGCATCCGACTGAGGAGGTACTTTTGAGGCATTAGTGACGTTTTGAGCTTGGTACTTGATTCTGGCTTGAATATCTTGGCTCACAATGTCTCCGAAGGTTCAGTATATGATAGCCCAACAGATGAAGGGGCAGTGACAACGGCCACACCGGTAGCGGGAAGCGAGCAAAGCGTAGCCTTGCTATCACACTTCACATTGTATGTGGTATGGGTGTCATCCTGTGGTGTTGATTTATTAGTTCTCAACGCCCGAGAATAGGAAGATTTTGCGACATACGCCTCCAACAGTAGAAACGGAGTAGTCGCTCAGGATAAGCCACTGGGCTAAGAAAGGAGAGCCAACAGTGGCTTGAGCACAAACTGCGGAGACTCCGCCCAAGGCAAGAAAAATGCGAGTCAACATCTTGAAAATATGACTTCGATGATATTGTTGGTTGCTGCGGGATGGACAGTGGAATGAAATGAGATTTCTGTTCAATTGTCATTCAAGAAGGACTAGAGGCTATTTATTATGCCAAGCTTGGCCACTACGCTCGGATACACCTATGAATTGGAACGAAATTAGTGGGAGTTGTGATAACTTGGACCCTCGCTTCCAGGGGCTCTACAGCTGATTGGACCCTCGGCAATTTGGCACTCTGTCAAGCTTCGTTAGTTCAGTCGCTTTACTAAATTGGATCATTTGTGTACTGGACTAACTACCCGTGCTGTCAGCCAAAGGCAACATTTACGCAAGGCACTCAAAGAATTTCGGCACAGGTTTCGGCTAAACGCCGACGGTGAAAATGCTTGCAACCCGCCATATTGTGACAGCCCAGAACGTCGTAAGCGATTGATTCGGGGTGCAGGACCTGGGACGAAACCATGGCCAAAAGAAATAAATGGTGGGTTGGAACAGGGGCACACAGTCTACTCGGCTTAGGCTGCGCGTAACAAACAAACGGAGATTGCGAGACAGGCGGTTAGGCCTTTGCTAGACATTTAGGAATCGCCCTTGATTTGATGGGCCTGAAATATTGCAACTTAATTCAAGGACAACTGAAATAGTGAAACCTGAGTTCCAATGTGACTGCAAGCCCGCTTACATGGTAGACACTGGTGTTGACTTGAGCCACATGGTTGACTCATAGACCCTGGTTCGTTCTTGCCCTTTGGGAGGCTATTTCGACTGGCTTGATGTGTTGAAATATCAGATCTTGACCCCGACTGCATCAGTTCGGAAATGGTGAAGGATCTCAACTGCTGGCATTCACCTACAAAGTTTCGACGAAGTCGAGTACAGCATCTGGAAAGGGGAACTGTTCCAGAGGAGGTTTGGGCCTGGAGACGAAGGCAATTGCTGCCATCGACTGATTACTTCTCTTATGGTCCATGTGTTGACGATTGGTCTGTGTGGCTGTCCCCATGGGATGACTACTTGGTAGATTTCTGGAGCTTAATAGAGAGAGGCCTACAGAGACAGTGGTTGGTGGATAGCCCAGCGAATGATGATGCTGACTATGAGGAATCATGAAATACGGTATTCAGCACCTTGTGTTGGAAATTTGTCAAAAAGGCGTAGTCATGGCTCATATAATCTGACATCGGAACAAGGGATTAAGTCCGCTGCTGTCTACTTCATTCCCACCTTACAATGTTTGATATCTCCATATCAAAGGTCATATATTGGCATCACTTATATTCACCTCGGAAGAGAGGACTACATACTCTATCGAGGATGCAAAATAAGACAGGGGAAAACTCGGACAGACGGATCACGTGTGTCCCAATCGGGGTAATTCGAGCATGACAACCAACGCACGAAGTCCAGGCGACCAGAACCACCTCATCTAGGGTATGGAAGCAAGGACAAACGATCTAACAAACAAAAGGAAAATAAAATGAAACCCATCCCAAAACCAAGGAACTTTTGTGTTGGAACGTCTCCCAGTGGGGAACCAAACTTTTAGCGCCGCAAATGGGGCATTGTATTCCTTCAGTTCTCGTCTAGCATTTCGTCGTCATCAATGAAAAAGGAAACATGAAAAAAAATGGAGCAAGGAGAAGCGAAAACAAGAGAACTGCTCTAGACAGCACCGGCAGACAACATCTTGTTACGGAGGTAGTTCTTGTACTCTCCGATGGAGCCGTCCCAGCGACGAACGGTCTTGTGCTCGCAGACCATGATGTCCTTGGCGATCTTGTCGAGGAGACGGAAATCGTGGGACACGACGACGACACCACCGCTGTAGGCGTTGATGGCATCGGCGAGGGAGTCGATGGTAGGGATATCCAGACCGTTGGTGGGCTCGTCCAGCAGGATCATGTTGGGGGACTCGATGGCGAGCAGGGCGAAGACGATACGAGACTTCTGTCCCTCGGAGAGGGTACCCATGAGGGCAGTCTGGCCCTCACCACTCAAACCGTAACGGCCGAGCTGCTGGCGCCAGTACTGGTAGTCCTGGGACTTCTCGGGGAACTTGTCACGGACGAACTCCAGGGAGGACTTGGTGAGGTCAAGCTGTTCAGCGGAGTGCTGGGAGTACATGCCGAGCTTCAAGTGGGTGTGACGGGAGACACGGCCACCGATGGGGCTGAGCTTGCCGGTCATCAGACGAAGCAGGGTAGACTTGCCGACACCGTTGGGGCCGACCAGGGCGGTACGGGAGTCCATGTCCACACCGAAGTCGAGGTGCTCGTACAGGGTGTCCTCCCACTCACCGGAGTAAGAGAAGCTGACATCGTCGAAGGACAGAACTGGGGGAGGGAGCTTGTCGACATCGGCGAAGCGGAAGGTGAAGACACGGTCGGCAAGGACGGGCTGGATGAAACCATCGGCCTCCATCTTGTCGAGAATCTTCTGGCGGGACTTGGCCTGACGCACCAAGTTGGCGTAGGTACCAGCGGAAGCAATGAACTTCTTAATGTGCTGAATTTCTTCCTGCTGCTTGGCGTAGGCCTTCATCTGGTTGGTCTCCTGCTCACTACGGGTCTTGTGGTAAGAGTCGTAGTTACCACCGTAGTAGAGGAGCTTCTGACCACGCATGTCCAGCATGTTGGTGCAGACACCGTTGAGGAAATCCATGGAGTGAGAAACCAGGATCAGGGTACGGTCCCATTTCTTGAGGTACTCCTCAAGCCACACACAGGCCTCCAAATCCAAATGGGCAGTGGGGTCATCCAGCAGGAGCAAAGAGGGCTTGACGAACAGGGCCTTGGCGAGGGCCACACGCATACGCCAACCTCCGGACATATCCTTGGTCTTCTTGTGGATGGTGGTCTTGTTGAAACCGAGACCAGTCAGAATGAGAGATGCACGGACGTGGAAAGTGGAAGGATCCATCTTGTCAATGTTCTACGACAACAGGTTAGTCTGAGTTCAGTCAAGAAGAAGAAAAAAATCGGTGAGAACATACGTCATAAAGATCCTCAAGGATGGGGCTGTCAGGGCCCTCGGCCTCAAGAACATCCTCGGCCTTCTTCTCCATGGCGTCAAGTTGACGCTCAGCCTCACGGACCACCCACTCAAGGGCGCCAAGATCACTGGGAGGGGCACCCTCGTTCAGAAGGTAGATATCGACGTGCTCGGGGACGGGGAACTCGCGAGCAGCGATGGACTTGAGCATGGTGGACTTTCCGCAACCGTTCTCACCAAGGAGACCGTAGCGACGACCGTAGGTAAGTTCGAGGGTGGAGTCGGTGACAAGGACCTTTCCGTGGAACACGAGGGAGGTGGAGGTAATCTTAACATCGCGAGAGGCGGGCAGAGACGAAAGCACACCGGTGGTGACACGGTCAGACAGACCGTGCTTGTCCATCTGGGCTGTGAGCTTGTCGACGGCCTTCTGGTCGGTGGTGGCAGGGGCGTCAGAGACAACGGGCTTTCCGTTGGCATCGAGCTGAACCTCCTCCTTGCCGCCCTTCTTGGGCTTCTTCTCATCGGCACGCTTGGCCATACGGGCAGCCTTCGAGGCGGAAACCATGTTGGCGGTGTGACGAGGGTATAAAATGGGGAAAAGAAAGGGAAGGGAAAGACGGGTGGGAGAGAGAAGAAGGGACACCAGTGAAAAGAGATTGAAGAGAAATCAAAAAGGCTGAGTGGATCGCCTGGCGGGGCGGAGACAAATGGAGGGGCGCAAAGCAGTGGAGTGCCTGGTTTGCCCTTATCGATAGAATTCTGCGTCGACGTCAGTGGGAGAATTCTAGTACAGCAGAGGTAAGACGTACGATCGGATATGTAAAGATGTTGAAGAATCTCAGTCCTGCCAGTCGAAGATTTGAGAAATAAAAAAAATCCTCAGTGGGCCGAGTACATAAGTCGACGCTGATTGGGAGAGACGTCACCGCAGTGTGGCCTGAGGTGTCTATTTGCCACCCGATAACAAGTACAGTTCGGAGTACTCTGTTGCGCGCGATACTTATATGTATATGGGCATTTATTCTTGTCTTAAAGTCTTTTGCTAATCTTCTCCAATACTTCTGTCTCTTCCACTGAAAGTGTCACTCCATCTGGCACCGAAATGTCACCCCGCTCCATCACTAGCCTTCGAGGAACATCCGTCAGACTATCCTCGTAGTTACGAGGGAAACTCGGTGGTTTCTCATGTTGAATCTTCTCCAAATCCATCCTACGCGCAGCCAATGGGTGTGAAGTCCACCAATAAAGCGGATACCGCCCCTGCACATTGTTGATCAGCACAGCCGCGGCCAGCATGAGCGTGATGCCCAACATCATCACAGGAATCAGAAACCAGCCCAACCCAACGGTCTGAGGATTTATCACTGCCAGAAGAGCCGTCGCACCTGCCGGTGGGTGTACAGTGTTGGTGAGAACCATGGCCGCTGTGGTAATCCCACATGCAAGCGCACCCCCAAATTCGGTATACCTTTCGGCATGGGGATTCAAGGCGAACAACTTCGAAATCCCGACACCGATGATGCATGCAAGCATCTGACTTACGATCGCATTTCGAGGCTGTGCAAAGGGCGAGTCGATGGCGCAGAACTCAAGGACCGCGGCGGCACCCTATTCAAAAATTGATGTCAGCCCAGATGTCTTCCGAGATCACTTCGATCTGTATCCATTCACTATATCACTCACGAAACTTCCAATAATGGCCGGAGCATCACGGGCCTCGAACGAGGGCACTCGTTTCGAGACTGATGCCACCAACGCAACACCACAAAATGCGCCGAAAAACGACCAGATAGCGATCTGGATATTACCCAAAGGCTTAGGGGATTCCTCTCGATATCCCAACATCCGAGCCACAGGTTTTGGAACAAGATGCCATCGCGGCGCTGGCACGAACGGGTTGATATACCGGTCGATATCAAAGTGCCAGGTCGACGGGTGAGACAAGGTCACCGACCCGTGCGGGGACGGTGTCATGGTAGGTTTTCCGCGGATATCAGTATACTCAAGTGTCCTATGCTCGTTTCGTAGTATTTGCTGGTAAAACGCTCAGGAAATCATCCGGAGGCATCAGCCCTGGGAGAATATTTGCAAAACACTCCATCGGTTACTGATCAATCCCTTATATGTACCGCCTAACACGCAATGTCACAGCTTCTCCGCGGACTTGGAATATACCTTTATTGAGGCTTCTGAGTGTTTTTGCCCTCGTCTTCCACTCATCGTTTTGCGTGTGGTAACAGAAACCCTCTTTGGGACTAGTGGCTTGGCACCATTGTTCCTGGTCAACACTGCATCACTGGGTGCACACAAGCCCTAATGTCTTTATTCGATGTATTCTAAAGTATCCTTTGTTTACTCATAGTTGTGATATTTAATTCAATGTTTGAGTGCTTCATCGAAGTGGATTAGTGGATTAATTGGTAGATCAACGAGGTGCCACGTCTCGAATACGACAAGTTATACAATAGGCTCATAACGAAGTTCACAGTGCTATGAAGTGTTCAACTAGCGCTCTCCGAAATCCTCGAATTGAGGGTGCTATTTCATATTAGAAAGTGTTCAGCCACTTAGTAAGTCACATCCACAATAGTCGATATCAACTATCAGCTCTAGTAGAATTTGCTTGCAACAGAGGTCAAAGCCGCATTAGTTCCGAAGTGATCGAAGTTTTTGGCATAATGCATCATCCCTCTAATGTATCTTGAATTCTCCCCCGGGGCATAGCCAAGCAATACCGATACCGACTCACGGTTCACCCGAACATACAAAGCATTCATCCCACGAGACAATGCGACATTCAGCCGATTTGGATTACTGAGGAACCCAAGCCTTTCGGTAGTTGTCGTGTCAAATATGACCACTGGGGCATCTCCACCCTGCACTCCGTCGACTGTGTGGACGCGGACTTCTGCAAGACCAGCTTTTTCTCTCGGGCTCATTGACTCCAGCTGACTGATGTACTCTCGCACTATGCGATATGAGGAGCCACGGCCGTAACTTCATGCGTTGTAACTTTTCCGTGGAGAGACTTGTCGGCAAGGATCATTTTGTAAAGTACAAGGCCAGCTGCAGCTTGTTTGGGGTTGGCTTGAGACTCCCCACGTGCTTCTTGTTCGGTCATTGGCAAGTCAACAAACACCACGACAGCACTTCATAATTCAGATAAATTATCAGGGCATATAATGGGAGTCTCAGGCCTCGCCTTGTGACTCCATTTCTTAGTCCCAGCTATTCTGAATTGCTGAATGAACCATTGGTATATCCTCTGACGGTCTTCATAAATCGTGTCAAGGCTCTTCAGCACGTTGATGCTTTGGCAACCATAGGTCTCTCCTCCTGTGGCCTAAAAATTCCTTGCACTTTCGCGGAGCCTGGACCCTAGTCTTGCGTGCCAGGTCTTTCTCTCAAATGTGATGAATACCACTGAAAGCTAATCTAAGGGGATGGAAGACCAGAATCAGAGATCACCGCCAGTATTTGTATACTGCTGGACACCTAGGTGACGTGAGCAAGCAAATCCGTCAATGCCATCAACTTCAACGATGTCGAGGGTGTCGAGGAGTACATGGTCGACGACGCCCACCACTCACTACACCGATCGCATTGAACCTACAGAGCCATCTTAACGCAATGCTACGCCAATAAATAATAAAGATAATGGGGAGGTTTGGCGATACTAGTGAGGGCCTAACGGCAGGAAGACGAGGCAATAGAGACACCGGATAGGCCAACCACCCGGATGCACGACAGCCAAATAAGGAAAGAAAACAAGAATAGCAAGATGAATGATCAAGGCTACCGTGTACGGCCTCATATTCTCATCGAATATAATTACCTTCACCCACGAAGCTTTGCAGGCTCGGTGGCGGCTCTCGGATGGCGAGAAAACAGCAAGTTTTGGGAGCTTTCTGGTTATGATATGATGCTTATTATGCCGTACTTTAGAATTGTGTTTTTGCAAAGTATCAAACTGCAACAAGAAGAAAAGTACTCTAGTGTGTAGAGCAAAGGATTACCCAATTTCAACCAAATTGAACTATGGAAAATCGAGACACGTCTGCAGTTTTGCCTGGGTGCCAAATTGCAGGGTCATGCTGATAGCCAAGTATCTTTATAACCTTGGAGCAGATACGCTCTTTGAGTGGAACCGGAAGCCTGAGATATTGCACATTCTCTCCTGGTGCGATGTATCACTTCTTGACTTGCACCCTTGGTACTCAATTTCACCGCAAAGCGTGAATCTTTCTGCAGTAATACTTGCAACTGCTACGTCAGATAATATCTTTCATTTTACATACCCTGAATAATAACATAAAGCTATGTACTAATGTCGAAGATGTCGATAGATTCTATGCAAGTCCTTATACAAAGATGACGCACGAGTATATTAAAAAAACGAGCAGGATAAATGATATAATACTCCTCCTGGAATCAATCGGACTAACATTACTAACGTCCCAATAGATGATTATGAATAATCTCATGAAGCTGCATGAACGCATCTCTTCGCCGTTTTGGGAGTTGATATGTCACGCTAAACCCGATTTGGGCAGCGGATCCGGCCTCCGCGAAGTATAAGATAACGTAGGGACAGGCAGTTTAAATACTCTGCTAGAGCCGCGGGGTTAGCAAAACATTATCCTCTTCTTCTTACAAGACTCGGAATTTATCTCCGAGATCTTCGCATCTTCTTCGTCTTTTCAAGGCCCAAAGGCCTTAGCACAACATGGTCCTCGACAGATTACAGCAACTGACCCACCAGGTCAGCGCTATAGCGCCTGCTCCTTATCCTCTTGATCCTTTGTCTACATTAGAGATTGATTGTGCCGTTGAAATTATCCGCAAAGAGCATGGCCTCCTTAACTTCAATGCCGTCACATTGTACGAGCCACGCAAGGCCCAGATGATGGCGTGGGTTGCAGATCCCGAGAAAGCTCCGCGTCCCACCCGAACTGCTGATGTTGTCGCCATTGCACCGGGTGGTAAAGTCTACGATGGACTTGTTGATCTAGACCAGAAGAAGATCATTCAATGGCATCATACGCCCAATGTTCAGCCTCTGATCACAATGGAGGATCTACAGGAGGTTGAACATGTCGTCCGTAAGGACCCCAAGGTCATTGAGCAGTGTCGAATTATTGGAATTCCCAAGGAGGATATGCACAAAGTCTACTGTGACCGTAGGTCCATCCGGCTCGTTCCGCAAAGATCCACACTAATTATTTGATGTAGCCTGGACTATTGGATATGATGAGCGTTTCGGAACTGGTGTCCGACTACAACAAGCTCTTATGTACTACCGTCCTCACCCCGATGACTCTCAATACACGTACCCCTTGGATTTCTGTCCCATCTACAATGCAGAGACTAAGCAGATTATTCACATTGATGTGCCACCAGTGCGGAGACCTGTGAGCAAGGCACCACCCAACAACTATCACCCAGCTGCCATTGAGGAAGAAGGCGGATACCGTACCGATATCAAGCCAATTCACATCACCCAGCCCGATGGCGTGTCATTCCAGGTCAAAGGGCGGACAATCGAATGGCAAAATTGGAGCGTACACGTTGGTTTCAATTACCGCGAGGGCATTGTCCTCAACAACATCACATTCAACGACAAGGGCAATGTACGCCCCGTCTTCTGGCGTCTGTCACTGGCAGAAATGGTCGTACCCTATGGCAACCCCGAGCATCCCCACCAGCGCAAGCACGCCTTCGACCTGGGTGAATATGGCGGCGGATACATGACCAACAGTCTTTCCCTCGGATGCGACTGCAAGGGCGCAATTCACTACATGGACGCAGCATTCGTCAACCGTGCCGGTACTAGCACCATCATCAAGAACGCTATTTGTATCCACGAAGAAGACGCCGGCATTCTATATAAGCATACCGATTTCCGCGATGAATCTATGATTGTCACCCGTGGCCGCAAGCTGATCATCTCGCACATCTTCACTGCTGCCAACTACGAGTACTGCGTGTATTGGATATTCCACCAGGACGGAACTGTGCAGCTCGAGGTCAAGCTGACTGGTATCCTTAACACCTATGCCATGAACCCCGGTGAAGACACCCACGGCTGGGGAACTGAGGTCTATCCCAGTGTCAACGCCCACAATCACCAGCACTTGTTCTGTCTACGCGTTGACCCAAACATCGATGGGCCAGACAACACCGTCTTCCAAGTCGATGCTGTTCGCGGGGAGGGTGAAATAGGCAGCGCCGAGAACATGTATGGCAATGCCTTCTACGCCAAGAAGACCAAGTTCAACACTCCACGCGAGTCGATGTCTGACTATAACGGGTTTACCAGTCGTACATGGGAAATGTCTAACACCAACAAGCTCAACCCCCACAGCAAAAAGCCTGTCTGCTACAAACTGGTGAGCAGAGAGGTGCCTCCCTTGCTGCCCAAGGAGGGCGGTCTCGTCTGGAAGCGAGCTGGATTCGCACGCCACGCAGTTCACGTCACTAAATGTGAGTGTCCATTCATTTCCTCTGTCTATAAATTCTTTTACTGACATACTCATCTAGACGACGACGAACAAATCCACCCAGCCGGTCGCCACGTTCCCCAGACCTCTGGCGAGCCGTCGGAAGGTCTCCCAGCTTGGATTGAAGCCGCGGGTCCTAACTGCTCTATTGACAACACTGATGTTGTGCTCTGGCATACTTTCGGTCTGACACATTTCCCTGCGCCGGAGGACTACCCTATTATGCCTGCTGAACCTATGACTCTGCTTCTTCGTCCTCGTAACTTCTTCGACCGCAACCCTGTCCTTGATGTGCCGCCTAGCTTTGCTCGTACTCCTACACAAGTAGCCGCTGGTGCCATCTCATGTGGTTGCAAGAAGAGCGATGGCTCTAGTGTCCTGGTTTGAGGCTGGTTGATGAGATTATTGTGACGAACTGATACGTACAGTGTGGCTTTCTTGTATATACTGTTTTGGTGAGGAGTTTCGCAATAGAGAGACTGATATGCATTGATTTACGTGTGTTTTCGTATGCATTTATGAGGATTCACATCCACATACTGGAAGCATTACACTGCATGCATTATTGTGAACAACACAGCCCCGTGCTTTTAATCAATACTTGTCGATTTAGGTGAGTGCAAGAATGAAGTGACAGCCTCTTGGCCCTTTAATCTCCAAGGAGACTTGAAAAATTCGAAGAAGATGCGATTGAATGCTTGCAATGTACACATTATTGAGAGTTTCCCGAAATCGTTCTTCACAGGCCCGACAGGACAGAGATTTTCGAAAGTAGTTCAAGTTCAGTGCAACGCAAAATACGGTGTCGTCTTTCTTGTAAATCGTGCCGCCCACCATGTCACAGATGCTATATGGGTTATCCCCACTAGTTTCCGGGTGTTGCTGAGGTCACACCCCCGCCCACATGTATCGCATTGGACAATGCGCAGCCAAAGTAGACACGATTGCTGCTTAGAAAGGGCTCATACACGCCGCCCGGGCACCCGACTTCGCATTCTTTGTTGGTCCCGCAGACAAATCTTGCTTGACTGATGCCAACGATAGCGAGGAGAATGGCTGCCAAGTTGAACTTCATGATGGCGGATGGCTAGAAGGACTTTTGATGAATAGGTTAGTATCGAGTGAATTCGAGGTCAGGATTGCCTTACTTACCGATGGTTTGTGTACAGTGATATATCGAAGAAAAGCGAAACCCGAGATTGAGAAAGAAGCCGATACTAGAAGGGGCCTTATTTATAATATTTTTGTTGGTCCCTCTGGCGATCTATTCATTCTATGCCGTCCTGAAATGCGGTCAGTTTGTGATCGAAGCGCAATGATGCATAGATTGGCAAACAGATTGATCATTCGTAAGAAACATAGATCGACCGATGTTTACCGAGAGCAATTCCTCTACGTGATCCATAAGTGAGAGTATGATTGGTTTGGTTCTTTCGATAGTGTTTGAGAGGTGCACCTGTGGAAAGGGTTTCCGGCATGAAGCGTCAGCGTTCGACAAACATCGACCTCTTATTGCATCAACATTCTGTAAAATACACTAGCGGTCATTTGAAGCGTTGTTGGGCGCAGTTCTTTTGCTGTGGCATTACAAGATATAATGCATACTGTGCTACCTTACTTGAGCGGTGTAGGTGTAGGTGCCGATACTAAACTGGTTTCTACCTAGCCACAACTAGATGTGATACTGACTCGGGCTCTGGAACGCATACAGCGATGACGACATGAAAGCTCGAGGATTTACCTTGCCGATCTTGGCTAATGTATGTGATGTATATGACTAAGTTGACAATGCTTATGTAGCAAGAATCATACGCGGTGTTTGATCATGATTGCTAATTTTTTACCCGAAGACATAGTACAACCTTGTAGATACTTGAGAAACCCATTCAATTGCCCCAGTACGCCAACAAAAATTCAGACAGAGAGGGAATCATGTAGTCCGAGTCGAACAAACTGAATAAAAAAATCAAGTAGGCCATAGGAGCTGAAATGCTTCGCCGATATGCTTAAGATGCCCCAAAAGAAGATGTAAAAGGCCCAAATCCCCTTTAAGCAGAGGCACCTCGCAGTAAAGCTTTCTCAATATCCTCAAGCAACCCAATCAACTCCTTCCCACCCTCGGAATCCCTTCCCTCAATCTCAAGTCCCTTAGCCAAGAACTTCTTAGACTCTTCATAGCGGGCCATCTCAGCCAAGCATTTAGCAATGCGCCACCATGCCTTGACATTGGCAACGGGTTTGGAGTCCACACTGGACTTGCCGTCAACAAGACCCTCGGGCCAAGCCTGCTTGGCCATATGCGCTTGTGCGCGGTTCGCATAGAGACCGGACAGCTCCTCGCGCGCGAGTGTTACAGGCTCCCAGCCCGGACGGGCGATGCCCATCTCAATAGCGTAAGTGTACAGGCGAATAGCCTCATCGTAGTTTCCCTTGCGGTATGCAGCGTTGGCGGAGTCGCGGAGCTTGTTAATTTGCGCGCCGCGCTTGGGGTTGATTGGGAGGGGAGCTGGGGGGATATTGGGAGGGTCAAGAGTTTGGAGGGAGCGGTGGAGTTGGTTTAGTTCTTCCAGTTCAGCGCTGATGGCGGCTTTTTGGGCGGGTGTTTGGGCGGATGTGGCGAGGAGGGAGAGGGCTTTGGAGGCTGGGTCCATGTGCAATGGGTATTCATTGAAGATATCGATCTCACTGGCCATTTCGGAGGTTGGATGACCTGTTCAGGTCTTGAGGTGGATTTGGTAGGCGGGTATAGTGCTGGGGTTTGTTAGTATATGCTGCGGTGACTTCAATTGTGCTCCGAGGATGCTAGAAATGGTGGGTATGGAAGATAGGGGATGTGGTTTCGTACTATGTCTTGTTTGATATTTTAGTCAAGCCAATCAACAGAGCAATGTTGTCTTTGGACTTGCGACTCGTGGTTGTAATGGCCTCTCGAGGGTGTCAAGAAGGCAAGCTGTCCATAAACCGACTGATATGCAAGGCGGTGGCAGAAACAGGTACTCATGCAGCCCTAGTTCCCGACAGCAATCGACCCAAGTTAGCGCTATGGCACCTATTTCTCTCTCCATTGATGTTTTGCTTATGGCCGTGCAGATCAAATCTCTATGATTTGTATATTACTATTAACAGGATCTTCGAATAGGGCCTGATCACAAGGTGGTATTTACATGGAAACCAACAATAACATCGAAACGAATAATGGTCTCTCCGTAGAAGAAATGAAATGCACATAGATTACGGATAGTACTGCTTAACATAAGTTAACTCAAGACAAATAAGGAAGAGAAGCTTCTCTACATTCTAAATATTCGTGATCTACAACGCGTGTTTGCTAGCAATTGCGGTCAGGAGAGCTGTCTCAACAATAACTGACTGCCTTGTGATAGAGACGGAGATAAATCGAAACTATGAAGGATTATGAAGGAAAGAGTAACGTGTAAATACCTAAAGTCGTTTCAATAGGCAACAGGATATATATTTCTACTTCCCTGTGACTCAAGGCCAACCTTCTTATGCCACATAGACTGTGTGCTTCTACAACGAGGCATTTAAAAATGCAAGTTTTACATTGAAAGAGTTGCATACTGTCCCAGCCCTAGGATTATTGACCTTACGAGGTGAAGTATACCCCGATCAGATAAAGCTTGGCTGTTTTCCAGGGCGGTCACCAGGGCGGTGAAAACCAGAACGCCATCTGCCGCGGGGGTGTGGATTTCTAAGCGGGGAGTTGGAAAAAAAGATCGAGCGCATTCTACCTTGCCTCAGCAACAGTCATTTTTTTTGTTTCATTCTTTGAAGCAAGTCTTAAAAAGTTGAGACTCTTTGCTCAGCTTTAAACCATTCTCATTCTCCCCGAAATAAGAATACCGTCTGAATTGACATCCATAAACATGTCTTCTAACGAGCACCGGGAGACCGAAGATGACGCCTACATGCAGGCAGACGACGCCGAGGAGGTCTTCGACCGCGACGAGGATCATGACATGGAACTTGAAGGAGAGGATGATGCCGATCAGAACATGACCATTGAAGATGAGATTCATTTCCAGAACGACTCTTCGGCACACTTCGACTCGCACTCAGACTCTGTCTTCTGCGTTGCGCAGCACCCCATTCACAACAACATTGTCATTACTGGTGCAGGTGACGACACCGCCTATATCTTTGACTCGACACCCCAAGAGCGACCTGTGTTTCCCTCAAGCTACGAAACCACTCCTCAGCCCAGAGAGCGTGAGTCGCTGCAGCCTATCGTCAAGATGGAGGGACACAGTGACACCGTCAATGCCGTTACTTTTACCGAGCCCGCTGGCGAGTACGCCGTGACCGCCGGTATGGATGGCAAGCTCCGAGCTTGGAGGGATACCAGCCCCCAAAAGAACGGATACGCATGGGAGTTCTTTGGTGAGGCCCAGGAGGTCGAGGAGATTAACTGGATGGCGGTCTGCCCCCACAAGCAGGGCGATGACGGCAAGCAAAATGTTATTGCTATCGGTGCAAATGACGGTAGCGCTTGGGTCTTTCGTATTGATCACACCGACCCCGCTCAGCCCATTTCTATCATTCAGACCTTCTTCTCGCACACCGCATCCTGTACCGCCGGTGCGTGGACACCAGATGGAAACCTGCTGGTTACCGTCTCCGAGGATGGCAGCTTCTATGTGTACGATGTCTTTGGAGCCGCTGCCGCTGCCGGTATCTCTTACTCCCCGGGTACCAACGCTGTTCTTGGTTTAACTGCTGAGGACCAGCGTTTCGCTGTTGAGGGTGGTCTATATGCCATCGCAATCTCCCCAAGCGGTGGTATTGCCGCTGTTGGAGGTGCCGAGGGTCACATCCGAGTTGTTGGTCTTCCTCGCATTGCAGCCGCCGCACCGGCAGCAAAGGGCAAGGGTCCTCTCCCGCAAGCAGCCGGTGCTACCGCTGCAGGAACCATCATGGCTGCGCTGCAGGCTCAAACAGATAACATTGAGTCTCTCTCTTTCTCTCAGCCTCCGTTCACCCTACTCGCTGCTGGATCTGTTGATGGCTCGATTGCGCTGTACGATGCCGCCCATCGTTTCGCCGTCCGTCGCCATATCAAGGAAGCTCACGATGGCGCTGCCGTTGTCAAGGCTGAGTTCCTGCCTAGTCGCTCCCCTCTGGCAGCTCCTGTACCCGGAGCCCTTGCTTCCGCCCCTGCTGCGAACCAGAACCGGTCTTGGATGCTCACCTCTGTCGGATTGGACGGTATCGTTCGGCGCTGGGACGCCCGCGGTGGTACCGCCGCCGCTGCTCAGGGTCTGATGCAGGAGTGGAAGGGTCACATGGGACTCACCGAGAACGAGGATGGCGAGCAAGCCGGTGGCATCATGGCCTTCGTACAGGGCTTTGATGGAAAGCGTATCGTCACTGCGGGTGACGATGGCATCTCGCTGGTTTTCGAGGAGTAATCTGCTTCAAAAAAAGTAAATAGATTTGGATGTTCCCAACATTGCATAGTGGGGGCTTATGCCGATAATGATATTACGTGTTCATAGAAGAGATCAAAGCAATCTCAGCTTGTTGACTATCAAATCACCCCTAGTGCACTTAATGATCGAACAGTAAACAAATATATCGTTGTGGTAGTGGAACAAAAGCTATGTACATTCGACAAATCAACAGACCCAAAGCGCCATCTGGAAGCTAAGCTTCTCATGAGGCATGAAAAGCCGCGTCTCCGTCCTGACACGACGAACGCTCCTGGGTTCAACAAAGCCGTAGGTGCTTTTATTCAAAACCCGATGGTGGATCTCACGGAGGCAAGTCGACTCTTTCTCGTCGTCTGGGGTATACGTCCTCCACTCAATGATCCGTCGGCCGGCGGTTTTCTCAATTGGTCTCCAACAAAAGTTTAGTGGTGGGCCTCGCCATGGTGGTGGTCGTCCTTCATGAAGAAGTGCTCGTATGCGCAGTAGGCAGTGAAAGCGACAGTCGCGATACCGAAACCGGGGAAGAGACCCTTGAAGCGGTTGAAGCGGCTGAAGGGGCCGGTGTAGCGCCAGGTCTCACTATTAAAGGTCAGCATTGATACAATTGGCGTGGTCATTTGTGTGTTTGACATACTTGCGAGCCCATGGGTCCCGCTTGGCCCAAACTGAAGATGGGGAGGCCGCGGCCTTGAACTGGCCGATGTCAAAACCGGTGGGGTGGCGGGCGGGCATTCTGGGAATTGTCAAAGAAACGTGACGAGGGGTGAGAAAAAGAACAAGAGTAGAGGTAGAAAGTGCTTGGAGTTTGTCCCGTAATCCGCGATCGACCACAAGTGACGCTGTGAGGAGCCGGATGTGAGGAAAAGAGGTGTGCTTGGCAGAAAGCACCCACGCTAACCGCTTACGGACCACCCATAGCTTTCCCGCCTTCGAGGGACGAAACTGTCACTTCATCTATGCGCAACCTCGAATCACACAATGCCACCTCCCGTCGGCAGATACGGGCCATCTGGCCTGACTACTCCTTACACGCTACAGCAAGCTCACCTTCAATCTCAGCACCCCGCACACGCACAGTCAGCCAATAGCCTACCACCCCCTTCGCTTGGGCATCCAGGCTTCGCGGGCAACCCCAACACCAACATCAACCCTTTCACTCTGTCTGGCGCTAGCATTGCAAATGGTATGGCTGTGGGTGGCTTCCCAGGGGCTGGTGCGAGTGATGGTGGGGGCACCGGTCTTGCCAGCCATGCAGCACAGATGGGGTTCGCGCGCGGTGCGCAAATGCAGCAGCAGCAATTACATCAGGGTCACGACGGTCGGTTAGCACTCGAGAACAAAGCTGGTGCAGTGAAGTCACGGATAAGAGATGTCTGGAAACACAACTTGGCACATGAAATGGCAGTGCTGAGACAGTTGGTTGACAAGTACCCATACATCAGCATGGTAAGGACTCGATTCTTGGGAGGCGGTCGAGTGAAGCTCGCTTCGATGTCGGATTGCGACTTACTGGTTTTTGTTTACAGGATACTGAGTTCCCCGGAATCGTTGCACGACCTATCGGTTCGTTCTCGAATAAAGCAGACTACCATTACCAGACCCTCCGATGCAACGTCGACCTTTTGAAGATGATTCAACTCGGTATTACTTTGTTCAATGATGAAGGAGAGGTACCGCCAGCCTCAGGCACCGATGCCAATGGACAACCTTACGGCAATGCAATGATGCCCGCACCTTGCACGTGGCAGTTCAACTTCCGGTTCTCACTAGAAGGAGACATGTACGCCCAAGAATCAACAGCAATGCTCGCAAAATCTGGAATAGATTTCCCCATGCACGAAAAGAACGGAATCGATCCGTTTGAGTTTGGTGCTTTGCTGATCAGCTCCGGGCTGGTGCTTCTGGACGATGTTCATTGGGTCTCTTTCCACTCTGGATACGACTTCGGCTATTTGATGAAGATTATGCTCTGCTCTCAGCTCCCCGAGAACGAGGAGGAATTCCACAAACTGCTCACCATCTTCTTCCCTTCACTTTACGACATCAAGTACCTCATGAAGCACGCCGGACGCAACCAAGCCGTCAACGGCTCTCCTCTCACACCTGCTGCCGCTCAAATACTCACCAACCTCGGGCAAAAATCCGGCTTGCAAGACATCGCTGATGAGCTGGGCGTTAAGCGCGTTGGGATTGCTCACCAGGCTGGATCCGACTCCCTTGTTACTGGTGAGATTTACTGGAAGACTCGCCAGCTCATTTTCGGCGGCGCAATTGATGACGGCAAATACTCTGGCCAGATCTGGGGTCTCAACGGACAGATGCCCGCAATGGCCTACAACATGGCTCAGCAAACCCCGAACCTGAACGGAGCCACTATCTATTCCGGCGGCACTCCCAGCACCCCCAACACAGGGTCCCACGGAACTGGCGCTCACACCCCTCAACATCACGGAGCTGGCTATAACACGACCCCGGGGGCTTTCCAGATGGGTCGAGCATAAGCCTGGAGAACCTTTGGGTTGATACGATATGATGCATGTACATACGCACGATATTTCTCGTGCTATTTTCCTTCGATCTTCGGCATTGTCTTCGCGCCTATTGCTTGCATAGGCTCGGTGCCTGTGCCAGGTTCTGGGGCTGGACGACGGTGTTCGGCAGGAAGGTGCCTGGCGTTTGATTTGGCTGGTATTTTGAATGGTATTTGATTCCATTTCCGAGGCGTTGACAGGCTCTATCATGGCCTCGTGCCTTTCGTTATTGTCATCTAGGTCGCGTTCTCTGCTTTCTGGGGCTAGATCGGACCTGTGTCTTGTGTATAGGAAATCTGATTCTCTTGACTACTTTGACCTAGCCTGGATTGTAAAGGAATCCCCAAGAGCATTTCAAAAGAGTACTTCTAGCGGCAGTCTGACAGTAAATTATATTGGCTTTTGTCCTCGAACGATGCTTATCTAGAGCACATCTAGGCGCAAGATCCTCGCAAGCAGTGGCCTTCCATTGAGAATATACCCCTACATAGTGAGGACATACTGTTCAATGTATCTGTTCCCCGGCTAGTGACAAACAACACGAGCAATATTATACGGAGCTGCACGCACGCATCCCCTTTCTACTTTGGCAGGGATAAAACGCTAGGCCCAATCGGGGCAATGGATCCGGCAGTTAGATCTCGTAGGCGAAAGCAAAAAAGCTTCATCAAAAGCACATACTGGCTTTCAAGTACTGCTGTACTGATCAAAGGCTTTCTTGTGAGCATGTCTTCAACCATCCCAAAAAGATTTTACTGTTGCTTTACCCAGAGGGTTTACGCTATTGAATTTTGTTAAGCGGAAGAGCGTTCTACAACAGCGGACATAAGTCCTTTCACACTCACATTTATATGATCTGAATGGCTCACCCAAAGCACTCAAAAACGCGAAAAAAAAGAGGTACAAAAATAGAGGCCAAATTCAGACACAAAAATGCATAAATTGGCACTCACACCGACGACTTTTCAAAGAGCTTGTCTAATACTTCGTAGCACTGCAAACTCCGAAGATGCATAACCATAAAAATGATCGGCTAGACAGTGCTCTACCTTCGTCGAGAAACAGTTTATCTTCAAGTTTTCGTAATCGTAGGTGTTACTTCTAAGTGGAGAATCACATTGTTGTTTGTTGTTAAAATGTTTTAGTGCCTATTTGACGTTGATGAAGCCATGCTAAAACTTACTGGTTTTTTATGTAAAAAGAAGGCTGTCGGAGACTTTCTACAAGACGGAACTACTTATATTGAACTATACTTCTATTATCTTCGTATATTAAGAGCCTAAAACAAAATAAGCTTCTACCCTTCTACATCGTTGCTTCACGTAACAAAGCCAGTATATCTATTACCCTATATTCCTCTAGGGCTCACGGTACTAGCCGAACAATACCTCCTTTTGAGCCTTGACTTCCACCCCACATTTGTCCCCGCGCGTCGCCCAGCATCCGCTTGCGACAAGATGGTCCTCTCTCCCATCCCACTATCATCGTTCATACAATATCCTTTCCCCTCCTTCTTTCAGCCACGCGCGAGAATGGGCAAGCATGTCCCTCGCAATAAGGTCGTGGGTGATGGCATTCCCATCAACCCTGCCTTGATCAACCCAGCCCTTTTCGCTCCAACCCTTTCATTTCTATTGTTCGCATACACCCTTCAAGTTAATTCTGGTACCTCTGATCATGAATTGTCAATCGGGAAAGGAGTTTTGCGCGCCGAAGATGAAGATTCGAACTTAATAAAATACTTCGTTCAAAGTCCAAAAAAGCTCTTTGTGCATTTCGAATCCCCCAGATAAACCTAAGTTGCTTTATTTAACCCCCTGAAAGAACAATTAAACTGTATATCTTTTCAACCCCCTAACATTGTATCCTCTATATGACTAACAAATCCCAACCGACGTGTCTGAAATAAATGGTCACAAAAGAGATGGAGAAGTAAAGGCCAATGCAAAGTGGACAGGACACCTAAGAGGATATATTCACTACGAGACTCGTGTATAGGGTGTCTAATATTATATGAATGGCATTGTACCCACCGTAGTACTCTTTTCATGTACAAAATGGGATAGGTACTGTATTCAATCAACTATAACTTCATTGGTTGCTTCTAAATTGGTTGCTTCTAAAATGGACTAAAGCTTGACACCAGCCTTTCTCCGTGCCTCCTTTTCTTGGTCACGGATCAATCGGCGAAGAATCTTACCGCTCGGGCTCTTGGGAATAGCATCCACGAATCTGATACCTCCCTTCAACCACTTGTGACGGGCCTTGTGATCTTCGACATGTTTGATCAGCTTTTCGGAGACGGACTCATCCGAGCCTGCCGAAGGTGCCTTGACAACAATGGCCTTGGGGACTTCTCCTGCACGGTCATCTGGGATAGCAACAACGGCACAGTCAGAAACATCTGGATGAGCGAGAAGGTGGGCTTCGAGCTCAGCTGGCGCAACTTGGAGACCCTGAAAATGTCGTTCGTTAATTTAGTTCAAACAGAAATATCTCGAATTTTGGGGTATATCACGAACCTTGACCTTGATCAATTCCTTAATACGATCAACAATGAAAACGTGTTCTGTGCCCTTAGGACCGAGTCGTACAACAGCCTCGTCTCCGGTGCGCATCCAACCATCTTCGAAAGTCTCTTTGGTGGCTTTGTCATTGTTCAAATAGCCCAGAACAACACTTGGGCTTCTGACAACGAGCTCGCCTGGAGTGTCATAGTCTGTGATTTCTTTGCCTTCGGGTGTCATGATTCGAGCCTCGAATCCTGGAACCAGGGTGCCAGATGAACCGAGGAAGATGTCGTCAGGATTTGTTGAGCTGACAACCGTGCATGTTTCCGTTAAGCCTGAAACAAGAATGTCAGTGTGCTGTCAACTTCGCGAACTAGTCTATGCTTACCATAACCTTGCCGTATAAGAACATTTGGCCACACCTTCAGGAAATCCGCTGCAGTCTCCGGTCCCAATGGCGCAGCACCGGTGAACAGAGTCTGCACCGAGCTCAGATCGTACTTAGAGCACTCTTCCTTAGCACCAAGCATATGTATAATTATTGGAGGAACCTAAGCTTAAGGTCAGCAAATGATGAGGTCTATCACCAGGAAGGGAAAACCCTACCAAGAAGAGCGAGGAAATTTTGAAATGCGCAATCGAGGAAAGGTACGATTTCAGTTCAAATTTGGGAAGGACAATTGTCTGGTCTCCCCGGTATGCACCAGCATGGCAAATTACCACAAGGGCATAGATGTGGCTCTGGGGAAGAAGGCCAAGGGACACCGCAGTATATACGCCTCCCGGTGGCGCTCTTTTTTCCCGATAGGCCTTCTCAAATGCAGCAATCTGCAGTACATTCGCGATCACATTGCGGTGCGAGATCATCACTCCTTTCTGCAAGGTGACCCTAAATCAGCGACATTCAAACAGAGTTAGTGCACATTGCTTACCGGCAAACCAGAAGTTCCACTAGAGTAGCACACAAATGCCGTTCGTCGAGCACCCTCTCCCGCACTCCATTTCAACTCTTCAACTGGCGGCAATGATTTCCCAGCTTCCGCAATTTCTGTAACAGACTTGAGCTCTGTCGGGGCCTTTGTGGCACCGAAAAGCTGCGTCGGCAAATCAAATAGATATATCCGACTCTTTGGGAGACCAGCCTTGGCTGCAGCCTCAATCGCGATAGACAGGAGAGGAACACAGGTGACCAGGGCTTTCGCCTTTGAATCGAGGAGCTGGTGTGTCAACTCGGCGGCGGAATAGGATGCATTTGCAGGAGAGATGACACCTCCTAATCTATGAACGGCCCAGAATAGGGGTAGGGAGTCGATCTGACGAGAAAATTACATGTATAAGCTTTCTTGGTTGTCCAACCTGAGATCTGCGCTTTCACATACCGTGTTCAGCGTAAAGACGGCCAGCGTCTTGTCCCATTCCGACCCTTGATTTGGCGCCCATCCAAATTCTTTGGAGAGGCCCCGAGCCAAGTGGTCCACGCGGTCCACGACCTCGCGCGACGAATATGACTTTCCAGTCAGGCCGCATGTGTATGGATCCCGAGAGCTATCGTGTGCCACTCGTCCATGTTTTTCGTTGAGAATGAAATCACAGATCGGAATGCTGTCGGGGACCGGCCCTAGCTCACCGGCCTCTTTTGAGGGCAAGAAGACCATTGTTGAAGCCTCGGAGTTAGAGCGACACTGACGTCAAGTTGGTGATTTTGAAAGCCGGAAGTTCTGGTAGAGAAACGATGTGGACTATATTCAAACTGCGGTGAGCAATATCCGAGATAGCGCAGCGAAAGAAACTTACTCAGTTGCTCAAAGAATGGGAGAGTTTGCCTTCAAAAAAAACGGCCGACGGGACAATTTATGGGGAAGCGTGGAGCCGTGCGGGGAACTCGGCAAGCTCAGCGAGTGATCCCCCCTGGTTTGGCGAACTCACCAGGATATACCGCTGACATACCGCTTGTCGCTAGTTTTGGCCGAGTTCAGGTAGCCGGTGGCCTAATTTGTGGAGAATTGACCAGCTCGGTGGATAATTGCGACTATTCCGAGCATGTTGAGACTGCCAAGACCAGAGATGCCTCGGCATTTCGGCGGCATCTCCAATATATCCGAAAGGGTTGCTGTTGTTCAGTTCTCTGCACGAACGAACCAAACTTAGTTTATCTTTTACTTCTTTTGCTTTTTATAGAAACCCTCTGATCTATGCTATGCTGTAGATTACATCTAAGTCTTCTATGGCAATTGCTATGCAAGTAGTAGTTTGGTTTCATGCATGTAAGAGAGATGTGACAGTATTTCGTTGCAATCTTAAAGCCGATATCTTATGTGAAGAAAATAATGGCAAATTTTTAAGACTATTGCTCAGAAAATGCGACAATATATGCAATATTTTACCCCTGTCTGCTAATGATGCAAGACTGCTCAGAATTAAGGTGGTCTTGGCATGCAGATCATCGCCCTTTGCCCGGCTAACAGGGGTTATACCAAACCATCCCCGACTACACGACTACATCTCTTCCTGCTCATGTATATATCCCTGCAACCATGGCTTGTAATAAATAATTTGTTGTTTAGCGTAGCCTCAACTGACATCCATCAATGTTTTAATTCTTATTTTTTTCACTTTCAGTAGTGTAAATACTTACAGTCTACCTACAGAACTCGCCTTGCCTAAATTTCTAAACTTGATACTCGCCTATATATGCAGCTTGCGGTAAATCTTTCCCAGACTGTAGGTACTTATACTCTAGCAAGCTTACCTATTTTCTAAATGTAAGACAAGTTCTATATGTATCAGGCATGGTCATTTCAATCGATTTATACACTTTTACTAAAGTTGCTGTGTTGCAGGTTCGGAATATCTCTATACTTCGGCCCAAATATCCAACCTACTATGTTTCTCGCAGAGCAAATATACTTCTAGGCAACAACTTTTCGTGCTCGTTATAGTTTGGCATTGTTTCTTGCTTCCTTCTTGTGTGTTTCGGTGACCCTTACTTAGAGGACGAAGCACGTTGTGGTTTTAGAGCTGTCACATCTTCGAGTTCCCTATCTATCATTGACGTCGCGTGGGCAGGATTGACCTCATTCTATTGTATTCAATCAAACCTGAGATTTTACGAAGAGCTCACGCTAATAATAGCTTGTGGTATGTCGTCAAATTAGTGTTTACTGCCAGGATGTCAGCGATCTGGCCGCCGCTTTGGCAATATTCATCTCCAACCCCCATCCAATTCATCCTTCTTTCATCACCTCACCTATTCTATCCCGACCATTTGGGATCTTTAGCATCAATTTCAATCTTTAAGTTTGTTCCAAATCACTTATTCAAGCAATTGGTTCCATAAGGGATATCCTAAAATCCGTTCCAGAGCTTTTTTTGCTGGGGACCCTCCCGCAATGTAAGTATACCCGCGTATCTCAACTCTTGTGTCTTCCTCGAGACATATTTTATTTTGGCATACCAAAACTCCCATTTTGATTATCGGAAATTGCATTGATCGTCCAATAGCAGGCCATTTACAATGGCTCCTCGTCGTGCTGCCAGTCGGGCCCATAAGCCTGAAAAACCTGTACGAGCTGGACGCATCACGAAATCGATAAAAGACGAACCAGTCAAGGGTGAGCATAATCCTTTTTTCTCCGTGGCTCTTGAAATTATTTCCATGTGAGAATTTTTGTTGACTTCACGTAGCCTCAGTTTCACCTGACAGATTGGAAGATGCTCTCAGCGCCAATCTTCTTCAGCCAGTTTATGGTTCTCCCCCTGCATGGTCAGAGGTATGAAAATGATGAAAACATAATTCAAACAAAATTCTCACTTTTTGATAGGGCCGCCAACAGCTCTGCGACGCGATCCCGTGGTTTCGCTGCACACAAGGCGCTATGTATCACAGCGAAGGATTCTGCTACGGGTTTCTGATTGATGCTGACTGCGGATCTCGTACCTATATCGACGACGAGGTCATTATCACAAGGATGTGAGTTCAGTTTGGCATGCTCTTTTCTTAAAAGTCTAACATTTTAATGTATCAGTGGTGGATGTTGCACCAAGGACTCGGAAGGAAATCTGACTCTTGAGAAGAACCAAGACCCGCAAAATGCTATTGTGCAAAGTATTATGGGCAGCATGAATTCAAAGCTTGCTGTTGGTCTTGTCATCGGTAAATTACCCAATGCTGCATTTGCGAGTACCGCTGCTAATAATCATCACAGGAAGCAAAAACAAGATTCTCAACCGAGACCTTCCCCATCGGTATAATGTCATGGACTGGTTCCGCGTTACCAATGTCTGGTTTGAGAAAATTGGCCAAAAGCACGGGGCCAAGGTCCGATTCGAAAAACTGAGCCTCTGTGAGAAGAGCTGGTGGGCTCTGAAGGATTCCCTTGCTCCAGCAACCTTCGAGGAACGAGATTTCGAGACCCGTCCGGCATCCTTTGAGTGCCAGATCTGTTCCGAGAAAAGCTTTTTGCTTTACAACGAAGGATGGATGTGTCTGAACCCTGGTTGTGTTGACTTCTGGAAGATTGATGACGCTCTTCCTCCTGCTGAGCTCACCTTCACCCCTGACTTCTTGTTATTTCGCCATCGGCCAGACCCCACAGTACAGCCTCACTACAGTCTCGTACCGGATCTACTTTCTACGTTAGATGAGAATGCCGCAGATGTCAGCACTTCTCGCATTGCATGGAAAGGTATTGTGTGTCCTGAATGTTCCAAATGCATCCGCCGAACTTTCTGGCGAGGCTGGAAGTGCGATGATGATCTCACCAATGCTCAGGAATGTGGCAAAAAATGCCCATTCGAAAAGTTCATGAGCATGAACCCGGTCTCGCTTCGTGTCGTTCTCGATCATTTTGAGCTGGCCCCAATCAAGCGCGCAATTCTTTTCGACAGAAAGTTCAGCCTCCCAGACATTGATGATAGCTCCATGTTTCCGTATCGGAGATTGACTTACAAAATCGAGGGTGTCGGTTCTATCACCCACTACGTGTCTAACAGAGCGATTAATAGCCGCAAGAATGGTCCAGACGATCTTTTCGTGAATCTTCAACGTGATGATCTCGGATTGAAGCGGTTCCGCCTCCAGTCAAGTCTAGGTATCAAGACTCGATACAAAAGATTGACGTGAGATTTGCTTACTTTGATACAGTTGCTGGTACACTGACTTCTCACTTTGCTGTTAACTATGTAAGTTAAAGTGATTCGAGCCAGGAATGTTTGTTTTGATCCAATCTAATTGGATTGTGAAAGGGAATGCCTTACAAATACGTCGTGTCCGTTGATTCCAAAGGTTTCGATGAAGCACCTGAGGATATGCTGCGAGCTCTAGGTCGCTTGTCCTGGGCGACAGAGAACGCTGTCCTTTCCGCTGGGGACAACTATCTACCTCCAAATGAACTATTGACACTTGGCTATTTCGAAGAGATGAAGATAGGGGTCAGTCAAAACACGTGGTGCTATTATACCCACTGACATCTTTAGTTCCATGACGATGGAGAATCCTCATTGGGCCCAAGCATCGCCACCCTCTCACTCGGAGCGAAGGCAACCATGCTGATTCGCATGAAGTACAAATACTTCAATGGATATACTCGAAAGGCCGATAACAAATCGATTGGAACCCTTCTACAAGATGATCCCGTCCTAAAAGACTGCATGTTTGAAAGCGAGCGCAAGGCCCTCAAACAAGAGCTCCACGATGGAGAAATCTCACAAGATGAGTATGATAGCTCTCGTCGCGCTCTATCAAAAGGCCGCAGGGGGAAAGAAGCACCAACCACAATCAAGATGGAACTTCACCATGGCGATCTGGTCGTCATGCATGGAGAGAAGCTTCAAAAGTATTACGAGGTTTGTGACGTTCACTGCCCTTATTTCGTCAAAATTAACAGAAATCCTCTAGCATGCTGTGGCGCCCGAGAACAAGCTGCGATTTGCTCTAACCGCAAGATATGTTAAGCCTGAACATGTCGATCCCCGAGAATACAAGAAAGGCGAGTATTCCTTGGCCGCTGAGCAGATTTACGATGGAAAGTGATGCTATTTATATTAACTGTCTACCTCGGACTTGAGTTCCCATTCTCTCAATTGTTTTGTTCACGCGTCGCATGCTACGACTAGTTAGGCGCAGCTAATCTCCCATCCATCGCGACTCGGCAATATACGGTGTTTTCGCGTTGGGTGTTCTTTTTATATGTCCACGCATAATTGCTGTTTGCTATATACCCTATTGCTATATACATTTTGTTATGCTAGTCTTTTTTTTAATGCTTTGCTGATTTTGTAAGTCGAGGCTTTTAACTATCTGGCTCCACTAGATGTTCCCCTATATATACTATTGCTCCAAATATTTTCTTATAACGTATTAGTACAGCAAGTGGTCCAGGACAGCGAGTGGTCCACCCCGCGTTATTACGCGTCATATTTATTTCTCTCTTATTCAACCGCCCACTATGCCCCCAATTCGATCTCAAAGCTCTCAAAAACGTACAGAGCAAGAGGGTAGGATCTTATTAGCTATTAAGGCTTTTCAGAATAAAAAAACAAGCTCGATTCGTCAATTGGCGCGCGATTTCGATGTCTCAGTCACAACACTCCGCCGCCGTATCTCCGGCATCAAAAGTCGCGAAGAAACCCGCGCCAACAACCATAAATTGACTTCCCTAGAAGAGGAAACTCTTGAGAAATGGATCCTCTCATTAGATGAGCGCGGAGCTGGCCCCGGCCGAATAATGTACGAGAAGCGGCCAATTTATTACTCGAGGACCGAGGAACTAAGCCTATCATTACGGTTAGCGAAAAATGGGTATACCGCTATGTCCAGCGGTATCCTAACCTCCGTACTCGATTCTCGAGATCTTACGATTATCGGCGAGCTCAATGCGAAGATACAAAGCTCATTTTAACGTGGTTTAACTTCGTACAAAATACGGTCGCGGAATACGGCATTCTCGATGACGATATCTACAATTTCGATGACGATATCTACAATTTCGATGAGACTAGCTTCGCCCTCGGCCTTATTACTACTGCTAAGGTAGTAACTCGAACTTCATACGGTCGGAGGGCTCTTTTATCACCAGGAAATTGGCAATAGGTGACTGCAATTAAGACGATAAATGCGTCGGGGTGCGTGCTACCGCCATGCGTCATTTTTAAAGGCAAGGTCTTCATGAAATCTTGGTTTACCGGCCCGACCCTTTACCGGACGACTGGTTATTTGCAGTTAGTGAAAACGGGTGGACAACAGATGCAATTGGACTTAAATGGCTTCAAAAAGTATTTATTCTATGGAGTAATAGCCGGAGGAAAGGGGTGTATCGCCTCTTGATACTCGACGGATATAGCAGCCACCTTACGCCGCGATTCGATGAAATTTGCTCTCAAAACAACATTATACCAATTTGTATGCCGGCGCATTCTTCTCATATCTTACAACCTCTCGATATCGGATGTTTTGGGGTGTTAAAGCGCGCTTATAGCAAGGCTATCGAGATGCAGACGAAGCTTGGCATTATGAGTATCGATAAAAATGACTTCCTCGAGGCATATCGGACGGCGAGAATCGAGACATTTAAATCGGAAATAATTGTGAATAGCTTCGCTAGTGCTGGCCTTATTCCATTCGACCCGCAGCGCGTTTTATCGAAGCTAAATATTCGTCTTATTACCCCCCCCCCCCCCGGCGTCCGACTAGCCAGGGAAGCGATTCAAGCAAAAGTTTCACCCCGAAAACGCCTTATACGGTTAAAGAAGTACGGAGATAGGCTTCATCTATTAGGAAACTCGCTACCGATGATCCTAGGCGTCTAAGTGATGCGATAGACTAGATGGAGAAAGGCTGTTAGCTTGCGATACACAGCTTCGCTATCGCGAAGCAGGAAATTGCTGAATTGCTCGCTGCCAATGCGAAAGTCGCGCGTAAAAAGCGGCGTACGAAGGCCCGAATAGCGCATAAAGGCAGTCTATTACTTGAAGAAGCTGTATCGCGGTTTTTAGCACCTGGAGAGGTTGAAGAAGAGAGATCTGATCAAGCCGGCGGGGCATCGCCGACGCCGAATCCGACCAATGAGAGGCGCCCACAGCGATGCAGTCTCTGTAAAAAGCCTGGACATAAGAGAAATAGGTGCCCAGAGAGGTCTGAATAGCTTCAATTTTATTGAATTCGCGTTGTGGTTGAAAAAATTGAGTAATTATTGTAAGTAAAATGGGCGGGTGGACCACTCGCTGTCCTGGGCCACTCGCTGTACTAATACGTTATGGGTCAAATCAGATATGTATGTGCTAGGGTAACCGAGCAATGATCAACGTCTTCAGCAATAATAATATAATTCAACTTAAAAATCAACCATTTGAAAACAAATCAAAGCTTCCTATGAAGAGGACAACTCTTTGATGCGAGACTGATCAAAGGTATTTTTTGTTCAAATACATAAAAACGTCGGACCATGATGCCTTCGACTTTAAACAATCGCGTGAATATGGTACAAAGATGATTTATTTAAAGAAAGAGTCACACTTTCTTTTTATAACATTCTAGAGAGCCGCTAGACATTTACCTCACTATTCAATTTGGTCAGATCCCTGAAGAACATGTCGCACCCCTGACTCTAACAATGCCTTTGCATACTGTTCATGCAGCCATATAACAGGGGCTGGCATTGGAAGCTTGTCACTCTTTCCAAGTCCTTGAAAGAACAATGACTTAAATCCGAATTGAATTGAGTCTTCTTCCGGCTTTGCGCGCACACTCAATTCCATCAACGCGTCCAGTGGACGAAGGCCGTTATTGGACACTTTGTCACCTCCCCGAATGAGCACCGAATCTTTCAACTTTTCCAATACAACAAATTCGTCGGTGATAACTGTCCCCGGGTCGAACTTCGAATTTAGCATTTCGGAAGGGGACCACAGTTGATGTGAGGTGGTTCCATATTTGCAGAACCATGTAAGCAGGGTTCGTTGGATTTTGAATGCTAAATATAATCAAAATTAGTATTATAGAGCGTGTGTTAATCTATCGAAAGATGTGTACCAAGTAATATCTAACTTACCAAACCCTGCCCATACTCCGCCAGTAAATCTTTGGGTTAGCCTCGCCTCATCTTGTAAAAGCGCCGGGTCAATCTGCGAAATCGGGATTGTCCGGATATGCAAATCATGAACAGTCGGGTTTTTGTTAGGATTGTAGTCTTGGTGATACTTCGAATTGAGAATTGGGTCTGAAGGAAAGAGCTCAACGGCCTCAATGTGACGGGTTGTATAGAAGAACGTGCCGACGGCGAACAATCCACTTGTAGGCACTCCGAGGGAAAGAGCCCGGATTGGCGGCATCGTGAAGCGCTATAATACACAATTCGGTTCTGAGAAATCCGGATTGTGGCTAAATTTATACAACTTGTTTCATTATCAAGCAACAAGACAAAGTGATTTTGTTTACGCACTTCTTCCGAATTGGATCGGAGCCGACTGGAATAGGAAAACAATACGTTTTCGTATTGATTATTAAGCGGCTTTGGGCTCAGCATCGAAGGGTCGGATACAGCGCTGTTTAGGTGCCAAAGGGACAACTCACTCCCCTTGGTGCCACTATTCACTCACTGCATGTCTTATTTCGCTTACTTCAGTTTATATTCGAGCTTTGAGATGATCTTACATAGACTGAAGGGCTTATAATCATCTTTTAGTTGGTATTCAGGAAAGTTTTAGAATAAGTATTCTGACGGTCAATTGAGTATCTATTTAAGCCATTTTTTCAGAGTTCTTTGCAATATCTTCCTGTGGATATTCTGAGAACATTGATATGGTTGATTAAAGAGTATATCTGGGTGTCTGTGATCAATATAGATACCACTAGATCCATGAGCATCGATTCGAGCCTATTGATTTGGTGGGATGGCCGCTAAAAATTGCCACTGATGGCAGATCGATCGGAGTCATTCGGTTCCGAGCAATCTACTGACCTCTTCTCGGTTTTCTTATGAGCCATCTGAGCACCTCCACAGATCTAACCAAAGGTCTTACCCCTTGTCATTAATTTTAGCGCTAGCTAGCTTGTTTCCGACCGACCCGATGAGAAACAACGCGTTGTGCGCGGTAAGTGCCACCTTGCTTAGTTTCACATTCCTGCATGAGGCTAATCATTGCGATCTAGTGTGACCTCTGCCACTCAAGGAAGGTTAGTGATAGTCACCAATCATTTCTTGTACCGATCACCTATTTAAATGGAACATAAAGGTACGCTGCGATAGACAGCTACAGTGCGCAAATTGCAACGATGCAAGTGTTGAATGCCGGCGCACTCGGGCCAAGCGCCCAGCTCGCCATGAACCATCGTCAGTATAGGTATAGGTCGATACTGCTAGGTATCTTTAGCTGAATATATAATTCAGGGCTTCCACACTTGGTGAAGGAGTACTAATCCTTGAGAAGGCAGTTTCTCAACAGAATGAGTATATTCAATCCAATTCACAAACCCTCACTGGCTGGTTTATTGATCTTTCATTGCAGTGGCAGCATAAGTCCCAGTCCGCTCTACTCTCAAAACCAGATAGATGCAGATCCTCCATCGAAGAAAAGGCGACTCGATGCTGTCTCCGCAACAGGCGCTTCTCGGTCTCCTCGCGGTACTCGTCCGATAGTTCTCACCCCAGAGGACTCCACTCACCACGCAGAACAGGCTAGAGCCGTAATACAAGGGGAACTCGACGGCAATCAGAGCATGGACCGTGAACGACAATCGATTCTAAGATCAGCCTTGGAATTCGTGAACTCCACGACGCAAGCCAGGGCGTTAAATCCTGACGAAGCTGTACCAGATGTCCCTCGTGATCGCCAGGACGTAACTGAGTTTCTATCCCCGTCTCCAGAGCTGCTTTATATGCTTCTCCAAGGTAAATATCTTAATCCTTCTATGGTATACACTAATAAAATTACAGAACCGACCGCTGCGGCCAGGAGTTCGAATTGCATACAATGGCCCGATCACATCTCCGACAAAACACTTGAAAAGATGGCTGCATCCGTTCTCGGCAGTGAGTCCCAAGATCAACTATTCTATCAGTATTCAATATGCATCTACGTGAAGGCCATCTATCATCTTTATCAAAAGCCGAGAGCGTACAAGAATCCGTGCATCAACGACCAGTTTCTAAAATCAAAGATAGCCTATGAGTCTTCTGCATTACATGCTCTTCAACATCTCAATTTTCTCAATCCCCCCAGTCTTTCATTCATTCAGTCATTGGTATCAACAGTATGGTCGTTCCCTTCCTTCTATGGAAATATTCAAATTGACACTGATGCAGGCATTGTTGATGCAATATCTTGGTAACATGAGTCAGTGTTGGATTTTGAACTCATATGCAGCTCGTTTGATTGCTGCGTTAGGCTATCATGAAATCGGTAGTTCCCATGAAAGTTCAGGGCTGAATGAAGAGATCAGCAGTTCTGTGATCTGGTGCTATTATCTTGACCGCACACTGAGCACACTCCTGTATCGACCCTTATCACTACCAGAGCCTCGCGTTTCTCCATCAAAGATGATCAGTACACGCCCATCCATACCACACATGCCGTTGTTTCAAATTTTACTGGACTTAGCTCACGTTCAAGGAGAGCTATCAAGTTTCCAGAAAGATGCCGACGCCCGTCAAATTATTGCCAATCACTCAAAACTTCAAGACAGAATGGAAGTGATACATTCAAGCTTACAATCCGTAAGTCTGAGCTCTCAAGTTCTCGTTCTGCTGACTGACCTTCCGACTCAAGAGTCGAAACTCAGCGCCAGGTTTAATATCGTCCGATTGGATCGCTGGTGACTTCTGCTACTATGCCATTCTAGTAGACGTATTGCGATCGCGATTAAGATATGCATTCTCCCCTTTGACGCACAAGGAATGTGTATCATATTCACGCAGGTCGCTTAAAGCATTGCATCACCTTCAGAAGAATCTTGCAGACACTCCAGGCTTTGTCGACCCATATCCATCTTTCCTCTCGTGGTTTGTTTACCGATTTCCATTCGGATTTAGTGCCCCTCGGCTGATGGTTCACCCCTTAGGACTGTTCTGCTATACCCGTTGAGCCCTTTCTTTGTACTCTTCTGCAACATCATTGGAGAGCTGGACATGGGTGACTACGATCTCATAAGAGAGATTATACAGAATTTATCTCAATTTGCTTCAAGTCCATACATTGGAAAGTTACACAAGCTGCTGGATTCCCTGAAAAATGTCTGCACGCCCTTAATTCAAGCCAAGGAGCGTCTAGGTTCAAGGGCTAAGGTAGCTACCTTATATCCCTTGATGACTGAACCACGAGCAGATCGACCAAATCTCTCAGGGACCTTCATTGATGACTCTTCATACATGGAGTCTGTCGTTGACCCAAACCATCAGTTGCAGACACCGACTGGTGGAAGCTACCCTCCGGATGATGAATTGATGTGGCAATTATTCAATAGCCAGCTTTCATTGGAATGGTTTGAGTCGGATCTTTTCTTACAGGATACTCATGTGGATTTCCCGTGACCAGCGACCTTTTTGGTCGACGGTGACATTTGGCGGCAGTCTTAACATTTCCAATATTGGACCAGCGTCACACTTTTGAATATTTTTCGAGAGCATTTTCTACCGCATGTTCTGAGGTATTTTGTCTTCATTTGTATTGTTCAAAGTACAGGTCAACGTTTCCATATTTGTCTTCAAAATGAAATGTGGTTTGCAATGACATTGTTAAGATCTAACATTTCGCGATCCCAAAGGCCCTGTCTAGCGTTAGCGAAGCATATTCAATTTCGATAATTCAGGTGAGTAGAATGGAGGGGATAACTTACCCAATCGAACATGACAAAATCAGAGTCATTATCTAGCATATCAGAAAATGGGCCAAGTGTGACAGTTGCCGCTCGGTCAATGAGAACATTCTCAAAATTCTCATGTTCATATCGGTTCTCAGGGGTAATCGAAGAAACAGGTGTACACGTGGTATTGTTGGAATCATATGAGTCCACGAGATTGAGCATTGTGGCTATAGCGTCGGCAGCCATAGATGTTTCAAATGAAGCTGTTGGAAAAACTTTCCAGGTATCATATGAACTGCGCAGTAGTTCAACCAATCCAGCACGGTACGTGTCATCTGGGCCCCTCTCCGCTTGCGATACGTAGATGATCTCGAAGCAGATGATCATGGCGGCAGTAAGACAATTGCTAATTGAGATAGAAGCGCCAAACCAGACCCTAGAATGTTGCCAGGCTTGGTCTACCGCATCTTGGAACAAATCTGCCTGGCAACTGAGTATCCTGCGCGCAGAATCTACACAAGTGTCGCGGAGATGTGCGTATTTTTCGTCAGACCGATTGGTCAAGAGGTATTGTCGGTAGAGGATACACGTGGCGCGCTGGATTGTAATTTCAAGCGTGTATTGTTGGAGCTTGTGGCTGCTGCCGATCCTTCTTTTGCTAGGATTTATCTGCGGTAGACGCAACGGATATGGGATTCGACTTTTTGCGACTTCGAGTTTTTGACTGAGACGAACGGTTTCCCCATAGGATATAGTGCCGGTAGATATTATGTCTGTGATCTCGCTGGTAACCGACAGAACCTGCTCAGTGGCTATCATATAAACGACTCCGCTAGCAAGGTCAGTTTCAGGCCGTGGGTATGGTAGCTCAGACGTCGTTGGCCCGAAATCTTCATCCAGAAGATTCCGAGGGAAGGAAGTGTCGCCTAATTTGTTGAAGAGTACTCGAGGAAGCCCAGTTTGCCAGGACACCATGGAGTCAGTTGACTGCAAAAATAGCCAGACTCGTCGACGCATTTCTGCATCGAATACTGTGATGTGTGAATACGACTGGGCATCGTGATGATAGCCCATCATGATTGCCAGTCGAATGCAAATTGTTAGCAAAATTGAAACGCTCGTCTTCAAGTTATTGCTAGTAAGATATTCCAGCCCAAAGTAGAGACCAAGGGCCTCGACTTTGTAACGGCCTGGAACTGTATAATTTGAGGCTGTGAGACATAACGCACACTTCTTCCGGTACAGTTCAAAAATCTCTGGTTCCTGGGGCCCTATCTTTGAGGTACCCATGTTGGTGATATGGCTGATCCATGTTGCGCACGAGATGACGCCGTAGAGGATTGCCAGCCACGCTGGAGAGACTTTTGCTGGATCCTTCCAGAATTCATCACACTGGTTTAAATTTTATTTCAATTGGTTTCACATCCTTTCTGTAGTGTGTAGGATCTATATCTTACCTCCTCTCTGAAGGCTGGGCCATGTATGAAAACTGTCAACAAAGTTAGATATCAGAGCTTGTGAGGGCAACTTGGACATTTACTTACTCAGTGATGGCTCTTTTGAATCGAAGTACTTGGATATAAGCACATCAACAGTCTGGCGACTCGGTAATGCTGCAAGGAGGTCTGTGATACTCATTTGTGTTGATGATCCCAAAAGCAAGAATGGGCTTTGCGAAGCTCGATCGGAACCATCCATACTTTCGGTAGCACTTGTATGAATGCTTCCTTCTTTGAGCTTCCTGGTCTTTCTACTCAATCAGCTTCCACAACCAGCATAGTAAGCATGGTGGTACTGACAGCATTCATAATTGCCTTCCAATGCGCGGAAGCCAGATATCTTGTTCCACTTGGTCCAGGTAACAGCAGGTCTTTAGCATCCGACATCTCAGAGGCAGATTTGACACCTGATTTATCAGTTTTCATGCTCATTTTAATGGATGTTGCGCATGCGTCAGAAGTAGCAATTGGTATCTTTGCATTTTGAGCCCACTGGGCTGCAACATAATGGCATGAGTCCTCGCAATCTCTCTTCGTACACTTATCGCATGGTATCTTGCGATTGCACTTCAGCCTGTATGAGATACATGAGTACTAGAAAGGAGTAGAAGATATGGTATCGAGCCAGGCCACACACCAAAATGAGACTAAGAGAAAATCATTGTAGCTTACTTACTTCTTTCGCCGGCACGAAGTGCATGATTGTAGCACTCGGGGCTTCTGGTTTCTCCGTTTTCGATCAAACATAGGCTTGACTAGTAGCTGGCCTTGCCTCGATATGGAGTTCGACGGTCCCCAATGAGAGCTCATGAGGGATGATTGTGACAAAGTGTCAAATGTCATGGCTCCACTGCCGGAAAATTGTACACGGATCGAGTATCGCTCGAGGTCCGCTTACATTCGGATTTCTCAGGTTGCACGGATTTCTCAAGTTCGACGGATTTCTCGTTTCGCGGATTTCTCGTATTTTTTCAGTAGTGGGTCTCATCCAGTCCAGTTATATCCAATCAGAATCTTTAAAAAGATTAAGGATTGTATAATTACGCGTAAAAGTGGAGCTGCAAGGTACCTTACACTGCATTGAATTGGAAGTCTTGATGTCGATAGTGTCAGGACCCGGTCCAAGTACGACGATACTTTCCACAAAAAGAACCATAAAATGGCATGCTGGCATCTATATCGGCCCGGTTTTGTCGGATGGCCACGGTTGCTCTAAACGTATATATAGACTTGACTTGTCCTTCTTCGAACAGTTTGTTTAACTGAACAAACTTTTTGTTTTTTTTTTCGTCCATCCCTCTTGGTATCGTTAGTATGGCGGCCAAGCAAGATAGCTTTCGCGTGATTATAGTTGGCGGATCTGTTGCTGGTCTGACTCTGGCTCACTGCTTGTTCAAGAACAACATTGATTTTGTGATCCTCGAATCAAACTGCGATATTGCCCCCCAGGTCGGTGCTTCAATTGGCATTCTTCCCAATGGTGCTCGCATTCTCGACCAACTGGATATTTTCGATGAGATCCTTGATGCAGCCGAGCCTCTAGAGCACGGTTGGACCTGGTCGGCAGCAGGCAAGATAATATCAAAGACTGAAGCCCCTAAAGTCATTCATCAGAGGTGCGCAACTTCAATGGCCTTTCTCAGTATGAGATACTAAGCCCCATTATCTCAATAGGCATGGATATCCAATTACCTTCCTCGATCGCCAGATCTTGTTGGATATTTTGTACAGAAATTTGAAAGATGGAGATCGTCGCGTACATACCAACAAGAGGGTCACAAAAGTCGAGCATTTTTCTGAGAAAGTGCGAATTCATTGTGCAGACCAGTCCGTTTTCGAGGGCGACATGGTCGTTGGAGCCGACGGTGTGCGGAGTACAGTGAGACGAGAGATGTGGGATTACATGGACTCCATGGCTCTAGGGAAACAGGCAGCAGAGGAACGAGCATGTAAGTTTACGCCCCTTGGTCTTCGAAGAGAAGCTAACCCCTGTAGGCATGTCGTCTGAGTATTCCTGTGTGTTTGGAATATCTACCGCAACGCCAGGACTACAGCCCGGACAGAGCCATCGTACTTTTGCAGATGACTACTCGACCTTGACCGTTGTTGGCAAAGAAGGCCGTGTTTTCTGGTTCCTATTTACCAAGATGAACCGTGTCTACTCTGCTTCTGAGATCCCTAGACTCGACAAGGAAGACATAGGACAGCACATGAATAAGTATGCTCATGTTCCGATCACGGATAGTGTCACTCTCTCTGCTGTTTATCAAAATGTTGTATCACGAAATTTCCTTGCTTTAGAGGAAGCTTTCTACACACATTGGTGCATGGACCGATTTGTTTGCATTGGAGATTCGGCTCACAAGGTATAGTTCCTACTTCGGTCATTGGGATCTCTTCTAATTTAGAATACATACAGATGACTCCTAATATGGGCCAAGGGGGTAACAGTGCTATTGAGAGTGCTGCTGCGCTAGCCAACCATCTCGCTATTCTGGTCCAGGGCTCATCCAGTGACTGTATCTCCCTTCGAAGCATCAAATCTTGTCTGAATAATTGGCAAACAGCGCGACAACCACGAACTAAAAAAGTCTGGACCAAGGCAAATAGTTTGACAAGACTTGAAGCTGGGGCAACAGTCAAAGACAGGATTATCGCCCAGTATCTACTCCCTTTTATGAGCCAACTACTCATTGACAAGATCTCCCAAACACTCTTTGGGGCAGAGAGGCTGGATTCTGTCCCACTTCCTCTCCGAGCATCTCAGTGTTCTATGCCACTTCACTCTCAGCCACGTCGTAGTTATGGACAGACTGGCTGGGGGCGGACTCTGTGGACCGTGCCCCTCATTGGATGCTACTTTGCTGCTCATATCACCATGGGATCTTTAGTACAAAAGTTCGGACCCTTTCTGGGGTCTACGCTTGCCCAGGGCTCTTGGACCGCAAGCAACGGAGAAACTCTGGATCTTATCAGGCCCATATATCATGTTTCTTTCTTGGACAAAATGTTTGGACCTCTCATTTGCTGCTTCTTGCCCTCAATCAGCGGGTCTGATCCCAAATCATACGCGCAGATGATCTCATTTATGGCCGATATTGGCCCGGTATACGGAATCTGGCTACTTGAGAGCTACCGAAAAGGGAAAACTAACATTGAGACTATACTGTAAGTTATAGAGACATGAAGTTCTGTTCTCGGTCGCTCTCTGCTGTTCTTCAAAAAAGCTAATCCTATCCTTAGACCAACTCTGATGGGGGTCGTTTTTCAATTGAAGGGAATCGGCAAATTGGCCCCTTTGTACTATGCAATTGAGTACATCCACTCACCTCTTTCCAGTCTCATTCAAGGAGACAGGCGCGAGATAAAGGCAACCGCGTTGAGGTCATTCTTGCCAGCTATGCTCGCAGGATACTATCTTCCAACTTTCGGAAACTTCTTTGCCTCTACCCTTGAGTCACGCCGATCATACAATGCTGTCTGGCAGTTTTTCCCCGTGATTGTACCCCTTCTGCAGGTCTTCTTTCGTCTTTCTGCGGACCAAATCTCTGAATGCAAGCCTGTCCAAATACAAAGAGGCCACAGACAGGATATGTTCTACATCCGCTGTGCATACGGCACTATGACCGCGATCTCAGGACTTGCCTTCCTCTACGCCCGGATTTCGGCTCCACAAAGCATATCCCTGGTGTCTGTTTTCCTGCCTAGTCTGTTTGGGCATACGGAGCCTATCTCTTCGTTTACCGCTGGGATTGCGAAGCTATTTCAGTATGATGAGTTGATTTCTATGGTATCTGGGTTTGTCTGGCTGGGGCTTCGATTTCAAGAAATGAAGCAAGCTGGACCACCCTGGTGGAAGTCAGTATGTGCTTTGGTTGGCACTACTCTCACTCTTGGTCCTGGCGCAGCATTTGCACTAGGTTGGGGATGGAGGGAAGAAATTCTTGCTCACATAACTTCTGAAGATGAGAATTATTCCAAGCGCCATTTGTGATTGCCAAGCTTCAATCCCCAGTCTCAAATCAAAGGTAATTTTTGGATCTTTTGGCAGCCACAGTACGGGTCACCAATGTATTCACAGTGCTATGAAGTAGTGGATAGACGAGCGCTCTGTTTATGTGTTAGTCTCGCCTCTTTCTTCGCCTCTATCTTGTGCATTTTCAATTTCCTTTGTTAGATGGTCAGTAATATATAAACGAAGGGGTGCAAGAGGATATATGACCCTATCTCCCGTGATTCAGGCATGATAACAAGCATCCCGTCTCTCTTTCCTTTCGATCTAATGCAACTTATTATGGATAGAACAAGTTTGATGGAACATCAATTTATTGGTGGTGTCTCTCAAACTATCCATGCTCTGTCACAACACAAATCGCTGGATTAAGATAACCACTTTTTCTTTGGGCATTGTAAAAATCCCGAGAACAAAAGATGCTGCTTATCCCAGGACCGGGAATGCAAATTATTAGGGCCCATGAAACGATGGATGTCGCCGGAACGTAGCTCCTCATAGGCTTCAAGTTAAACGGATGTGTATTCTGCAGCAAAGACAGCAAGCTTGGCATTGTCGACTTCTTGCTTCTAGCAGAGGAAAGTATTTCACGGACCCAGGACTGATTTACAAGGACATTCAAGGCACTTTGGCCCTGCGACAGAGCCACGTTTAGAGGGTTGGGCTTATGCATGGACCCTCACTCGCAAATTGCAATGAGAGTCTCTCCGCTTTGCATGCCGTCAATTGTGCGCACTTTGATACTAGTGAAGTCCTGATCCTTGTGCACGGCAAGCTGGCAGACGTATTCAGTATACTATGCTTCCTAGGGAGCTATGATTGTGGTATCATATCTACCTCGACCCAAACCCTCGTGCGGGTCAAAGAACCTGACCCGAACCCAACCGATTTACGGGTGCGGGTTAGCGCGGGTTCTGGGCCGGCCTACCCAAGAGACATGCCATGATGGTGCAGCAGCCACTCTGAGATGACTTGTCGCTGCCTATTTCCTTCGAGCCGCATTAATCCTACGGCCGAATTTGATGCATATTACGGTGAGATTAGCGTAGAAGTCCTCTACTCCATCGTTGCTCAATCAGAGTGAGACGCACTTGTCAGCAACCAGTACTAGGCAGGACCTCCTGGCGCCTACAACGTCCGATGTTCCAAAAACAACCCCGCAGTCCATCGGCTGCGCCAACTCGGTCAAGCACAAAGATGCTTTCAGAATATCTCATCACAGGACTGACATTCATTTTCATCCACTACCTTTGGCCTTCGAGCGCACCGTACGAAATGGACCGAATGACGTTATCGAAACCATCAATAGGCATTTCTCTCACGGCTTCATATGGGTATAGTGCTACCTACCTTGGTGGAAATGAAATTGTACTCACAAATATATCGTAGGACTATATCCCTTCGTCACTCCGACGGTTCATTTGAGGACCTTGGTCGCGTCGAAGGTGACTCTAGCTATATCAACATGATAAGACGACTCTCGTTACGTGCTGCATGCCATCCTAGGTACATTTCCCAAAGCGAACTCTTTCCCAACATACAACTTCCAGTGTATTAACCTAGACAGTCCCCCCTACTCTTCAATGGAAGATATGTGGAACGATATACCCCGACAGACATGGCGATCTTTCCGCAAAAAAGATAGGTCTAGCAGCATCCCCAGACGTCCAAATCATGAGTGAGCTAGTCCCAAAGCTCCTTTCTTTGAGCAAATCCGCCACCCTTCCATACGTCGTAATCAGCTACCCAAGAATTGCGGCACTTTACAAAGAAGATATCAATGACATGGCGGAGTACCTCGGCCTTCCAAAACTCACGGGCCTTTACAAATACCATCCGTGCGAAGCTTACGCTGCTTATGCGGGACACGGGCTAGGATAATGTGAGCACCCTGAGGACAAGGATCAATGCAAGGATGAGGGATACCAACTACCGGTGCACGAAACACTCCTGGTGGAATATACCGATCAAGTCATCCTACTGCACACAGCATGTTTACAAGCAGCAGGGGATGTGGATATGGGATATGCTGAACCCTCATGCAATAGCTTCTTTTGAATTGGGTGCCAATTCACGAGTCGGTAAACATGCGTCGCATGTGGCAGAATTCGTTTATCAGTTCTTAAGTCCCTGGTACAGAGGTCCACTCCTTCCTGATAAACTCTTGGTCATCATCACCGGGGTCCTGGATGACGCTATAGAAGAGGCTATTCGAGAGGCGGCGGGGAGAGTAGTACACAAGGTTCAGATATTTGCGTCCAAGTCTGAGTTTATTGCATCTAGGGGATCTGCGGAGCTTGCCTTGAGAGTGAATATTATGGAATTTCCTTGAGCTGCCCTTCTAAAGAGTTGGGGTGGATGTGTTCTCAGGAACGCAAGAGAGAGGTAGATAGATAACTGACAATATAAGCGTCATTCTACCTCTTTTCGAGCGTCCTCCAGTTAAAATGGGTAGGAGAACTTCGCAACTAATTTCATACAGAACTATCGACCAGGACATCCCTGACATAAAGATTAGATAGATATCAAAATCTACGATAACGTAGCTCCTTACCCTTCGCCGACTTTGCTTCCCTTAAACACGAGCAGTATGGATATAAGAACGCGACAGTACCCACAATGACTTGACTCGAGATGAGTGGTTTCCTCGGTAATTATTATGGTAGATCAAATGCTCTGATCGATATAAGCCACATGAAAAGCCTGTCCCATAGCAGACAGTTGCTACCATGGATGTAGACAATTAAATCACTAGATTAGTGTTCTTTTTAGAGGTGTAGTTGGAGCGGCAGACTTCTGTGGCTGTGTTCGTAGTGTTGCGCGGTAGATTTTGGTCTTTGCTCTTAAAAAATCTGTCTGATTTAACCGCTGATCTTCAATGTTGCCTTATATGTATCTCAGTCCACGGAAACCCGGAAAATCCATCCATTCACCGCACTACTTAAGACGGAATATAAAATAAACTCTGCGTTCTAATGAACTTTCTTTAGCTTGGTAAACGACATGGCTGCCAAAACCTTTTGCACTAGAAAGTAATCGGTAAGCGATCCGGCCACCCTGCCCAAAACGCGTGCATGAATTAGCATTAAATCAATTCAACCACCCACTATGCCACTAATTCACTCCCGAAGTTCTAGAAACCCAGTAGAACAAGAGGGTAGGATCTTATTAGCAATACCGGCTTTTGAGAACAAAGAAATTTCATTAATTCGCGAAGGAGCGCGCCGTTTTGATTAGACAAAAAGACGTTAAAAAAGAGACGAAAGAAGAGAGGCTAATTTAGAGCACAAATAACACACGAAACAGTACATTTCCTTCGAGGATTTTATAAGGAACTTATTTAATACTTCGTGACGCAAGGAACAGACTTATATCCCCTGTTGTAATATATTTTAGTGCGTTGGTGTGGTAATCATATATATCTACCAATAGAAACCATGCAATCCTTACACTTACGGGAGGCGGACCCCCCGCCTCAACAACCCCTCAGCCATAAGACAGCACTGCTAGTTGAGCAGAAATCTCAAGACCTCCTCATACGATCAACACAATTCTCAGTGCATACGGTGTACTCTTAACACGACATCAAGTCCCTGATAATGGACGAGCATTGCGAACTATGCCTTTCGTCTGTATCATACTACTCCGGCAGTGAAGATGGACCATCTGAACAGGAACGCTATGGCCTGTTTCATCAACAATGCTCCGCCTGCTCTGTCATAGACTCCCAGGCAGATTCCCTGTGTGACTTTTGCCAACATCTACGATTGAGACATCTGGTAAGATGCGTGGAGCCCGAGACTCGAAGGAGATTTTTATTCCCTTTGCGTAAGCGATTGGTAGAAGATCCTGTCGTGACTGAATGTCGGCTTTGTCGTTTGATACACCATACGGTCGTGGTCGGGCTCAGTGCTGCACAATTATCTGAAGTGAGAAAAGCAGACTACGATATCTTTTTCTACCCAGGACTGCCTCAGGACTCGCAACCAGAGGGATCAAGTGCTTTCTCTGCGGAAATTTGGGCCCATTATTCTGAATGGGGTGGAGTGGCAACCATTTGGGTTGGCGATCTTCACATAGATGATGTTAAAAGTGGTAAGACATTTCATTCTTCCTTGCATGAATAAGATCCTGATAAGAAATTCGAAGTGTCTACTGCGTCTCCTGTTGGAGAAATGATATCTTGGGTCTCTTTGATGGGCAGTATAAACGAATGCTACGAAACACATAGCGAGTGTCAGCGGAAAGCCCGATATAGTCTTCCTCTAGGCTTTCGGGTTATCGATGTGAATAGACGATGCCTTGTTGAGAAAGGCAATTGTCGGTTTGTTGCCTTAAGTTATGTATGGGGCTTAAATCCTCAGTCATTCCTGCTTGCAGCAACCCGTGCCACAGTCGATGGAATGAAGAAAGATGGTGGTCTTCCTGCTTTAAGAATGCCCCAAACAATTGAGAACGCAATTGAAATATGTGTTCGAATGGGGGAGAGGTACTTGTGGGCTGATAGGCTCTGCATTATACAAGATGACGCAGATGACAAGAAAAATCAAATAGAGGCTATGGGCGACATTTATTCCTCCGCGCAAATTGTGATCGTGGCTGCCTATGGCGATAGTATGGAATTTGGGATTCCGGGCATCGGCGAGCCAAGAAAGACAGTCCAACATAGTGAAGATATCTTTGACTTACGAATTACGAATGTCATTCGAGATGTCCAAGATGATCCGCTTAACGTCTGGGTCAATCGCGCATGGACATACCAAGAGGCTGTTCTTTCGGATAGGCGGCTCTATTTTACAGACACTCGAGCCTTCTTCGAGTGCGAACGATTGCTCTGTCACGAGGATCAGTTTAACGTCGAAGAAAGTCGAAATGAGCTCTTCTCGACTAGGCTCACTATTCCCGAGGATAGTTCCCGTTTTCAATCCTTTACGCGTCATCTTAGGCATTACACTTCCAGAAAGATCACATACCGGTCCGACGCTCACAAAGCGCTAACTGGTATCTCTATGTCATTATACAAAGGACCTAGCGCCTTTATTAACGGGCTACCAGTAGTAGACTTTGACCGTGCGTTATTATGGTACCCTGACACTGGTACAAACCTTATAGAGTATCATGAAACTCAGGGAGAAGTCTTACCAACGTGGTCATGGTCCTCGGTCATGGGCCTGTCCGATCCACTTCACTACCAAGCAGCGGATTTCTATGGAACTTTAGCCCCTTGGTATCACATAAACTACCATGTCATATCTTCTGCTTCTATAGCAGCCTTGAATGGTCACGCTGACTCGGGACCGGATGATGATTGGCAAGTTTATATGGCTATTGCCATCAAGGAAGGATGCATGGGAAGCGTGCCCTTCCCTTTCTCATTGGCAACCGAAAACTTCCAAGCCGTGCATGAGCTGTTCAATGCTAGATGGAAAGATTACCTCTCATTCCGCAGGGAGGCCATACCATTGACCATTAAGACGTCTGAATTACCACATGGCATTTCCACAGACGCCGCAAAGCAAGGAGTCATAGCAACAAGGTCCCACACTGCACTTCTCAGAGTAACTCCAAGACCTTACTCTTCCTTTTATATCATCAACTCAGAAGGAGACACAATCGGTGAACTCTGCGGAGATGCGGCAAAACTGAGAGAACATGTCATCTCCCCGGAATATAACTCGCGCGCTGAGTTCGAATTCATCGCGCTCTCGCTATCCGGAATCGGATCTTATTCAAGGGACTTTAGTCGGAAGAACTATATTGATGTTGATGGGAACTCGTTGAAGAAGGCACCTATCGTGAACGTGTTGATGATTGTCAATAGTGGGGGCTTTGCACATCGTCGGGAGCTGGGATGGATATACCTTGTTGACTGGGCCAAGGTGCAACGAGAGTGGAAGATCATTGTGCTTGAATGATGGAAAGGGAGAGTAGCAGACAACATGTGTTCGAGGACACCCACTACGTCTTCGAGGAGGGATTTGTTTTATGGGAACCGGATCCATTGGTATTCTAGGATCAAAAGAGTCGAAAGTATCGTACTGTGCTTTAAGAAAATAGAAAAATGTCGAGCACCTATCTGTGCGTAATCGCTAGTGTTCCTCCTGTTGAAGCTAAGGAGGAACGAAAGACGACCTTTGTCAGAGGTAACAATAGTGTTTTCAGCCCAATATCCGGGCAGAACTCACCCGATAGATAATCACTTGGCCCGCCAGAAGCGCCATCAGTACTAGTGCGGGGTTTGACTAAACAACTGAGAGAAAAGAATCCATACTCGATTCTTCCAAGAAATCCGATTTGGTGAGAATTCCCAGTGGCGCTCCCAGATTGGGGATGAACGAAGTTGTATGGGAGGGGAACTTCTCTTGTCGGGTTATACGGCTTGTTTGCTCAAATTTTGATTAAATAATTACATTAGCTGGATCATATTGCAGCAATTTGATATCTCATATCCATAGTATCCAATTTCCAAATCCCTCACCTAAGTCCTCTTCCATACCCTCTGGCAGACGCGAACTAGGCGTTTACAGAATGCCTAATGCCTCCCATGGTGCCCAATATCCCCGTATAACATTCGGAGACCTCTTGTTTTGGCAGTGAGGCTCGATCAGATCTATAACAAGGGGCCAGGTTCACGACTAGATTTAGCATATCAGACCTTTCTATATTCGTGTGGGTACTAAACACGCTCGCCGTACGGTCTGTGACGTCCGACCGGTCGCTATTCTGCGGAGATGCGATTTCCAGCAAAATTCTGGCTTGGCAAGATATAGTTTATGTTGATTGGTCGTGCATACTCCAACTCAGGGATGCTGACCACCATCAGCAGTGATTAAGAAGGCATTCACGAGCACAGGCGCCACGTGTTTGGGTGATGGCTGCTGTAATAATGACATGCCCCTCGAAGTAGAGTTAATATTTAAGATCAACCCTTCGTGTGCCACATATACACAGCCTAATCAACTTGAAGGCTAACTGGCATCTTCTTGTACATCTTCAACCAAATTTAATCTCATCAAGATACTCGGTACCTGCCTAGTTTCGCTCCTTTTTACCAAGTCATATCTACATGTATTATTATAAACTGACTACTTCCTCAGAGATAAACATAACGCTCCTCATGACTTGTTATGCGCGTTTTCAAATGTTTTATCGTTGCGGCCACGGTTTCTACTACACGGACTGGAGCGAAACATCCTGCTTTCACTTGGTTGGTGGGTGCCAATACAATACTTGGCAACGCAACACAGGGCTCTGCGAGGGTTGTGATATGGAGAGACTAGAGACGGTGAGATAAGCTACTCATGGAGCTAGGTTGGGATTAGTTGGTGCTGTGTTGCTCTATAAGGCCGTCATGATATTTGATACCAGTGTTGCTCCGTGTATCTAGTAAAACACTACAGAGCCGAGGACTATTATCCAGAGCCTCTTTCCTAATAATAAATATCATTCAATCCTCGGATCCTAGGTACTAACAGCCTTTAGCTTTAAATATCCAAGCAACCTATCCAAGTCATTTAAATCTGATGACCAGGGATCCACACAAAGCGAGTTGCTGCGTATTGATCTACAGCCCTATAGCACATATCAGGTTCAGCCGAAGTTTTATGTTTGGAGTCCATCTTCAATATACAGCATAATAGGGGTCCTTGCTTGCTAACGTGTGTATCTCTCCAGGGCTATGGACAGAATTGGTTAACTTGACTTAACCAAACTGGTTTGATTATCAATATGAAAATAACTTTCCCAGATGAATATTTGTGACCCTTGTATCTTGAAATAAGTACCTAGGTGCCATGCAATTTATGGTACTTGACTCTAAGCAAATGTAGACCAGAATTGGTAAACGAAGCAGTTGATGTTAGGCCAAGCGTGCCACAGCACTCGAGTAAGAAGTTCAAGACAGCAATAAGTTAATAAATTCACATTTGAAAGAAACACCATACAAATTGTTTATTCACAGAATCAAAGCATAAGCTATACATGAAAAAGACCGAAGTAAGCAGGCATTGGCAAATGGGGTACATGAAGACTAGGTTTGAATTCAAGTATAGGCAGTACCAAAGAAATAATTATTCATGCGCATTCGTTATCAACGAAAGAGTCAGCCAGTCGACCGAAGATAGAAACCTCATAGTGGTTCAGGTTGTCGACTATAGAGGAGTGGTTAGTATTGGATACTGGATGAATGCGAACAAATGATAATCTTTGCAATCAGACTTATCATCATGGTAGGCATGCATGGCAAGGAAGCCAATGAGTAGAAAGTCGATAATTATTCGTACCTATAAAAGGAAGCTAGACTAGCAGAAGGTATGGTGGATGACCTATTTTCACAATGTCAGTAGGTATGCAACCTGGAGGACAATAAGACACTTATAACTATGGCAGCAAATAGTATGCTTGACTGCCAAGCATGGAACCTATATTGCAAATTAGTATATTATTGGTAGATATCGACTAGCTACTGTATACCGCACATAGTCACTATTGTGCTTAATCAGCAATAACAATACACCTTCGACCGGGGAGGGGGGGGAGAAGTAGATAAGCTAGCATAGCCTTCATCTTCGTCCGGATTGGGAGACTTGTCTCAAAAGCTTTTAAAGTCGCAAAGCTCCCACTATTGTAATTGTGACCGGAGGGTACATTCACATATGCATCTAGCGAAGCTCTTGGGGAGGGAAGGTTTGGAGACACGCGATATCCATCATTTGGAGGCGACAGAGCACGTTCGATATCTAGCGACTCGTCTTGGTAGGGAGCGAGAAAGTGGTTAGGGGAGAACTGTTGGTATCGAAGTAAATCCTTATCGTTATCGGACACGCGACGTAATGGCCTCAAGACGTGAGGCGATATCACTTTCCGGGGTATCACCGATAAGAAGTCGATGGGGGGATCTACTTTAACCCGTCACGCATCAAAGGCTTCCTTTATCGGAGTTGTCTCGTCTAATCCCTGATATTACTTTTTATTCAAATGGTTTTCGCTATGGAATGCTTGAATTGCTAAAGGAGGATATTATCGTCATGCTGCATCAAAGGCAATACGCAATTGTATCGAATACGAGCCTAAAATCAGATGTATATGTGGTGCCATTGGTAAGTTAGACCTTTCTGGTGCTGTGGGTCAGACGGTACGGGCCGAGCCGTTTGGCTGCGGTGTGCGCCAAGGCTACCTGCACGCGCACGCCGCCTTCTGTATTATCAGTGGAGGGAGGGGTTTGCTACGGGTAGAGTCAGTCATTGACCTCAGTCAATTTCCGGAAATATACAAGAGGTATTTTACCAAGTCCAATGGAGGATCACAGTGCTCAGGTTGTTACACTCGCATCTGGCAGAAAATGGAGGCGCAATTCCATGCCATTGATCGAGCGATCGCCATGGACATGCAGAGCATGGCTACAAGGAAATTGCAGGTACTGCGGGCAATCCTTGGGGTGGTCCGAGGTAAAGCTTTTCAGCCGGATAAAAGGGACACTAGAGACGCATCTTTATAGCATGAGGGAAGGCCAGCAGCCATTTCCGAGAAACAGCCTTACTTCCATGTTCCATGTGATTGCCCAGGTCATTGAGAACAGCTGCTACATTCAAACTGCCAGCTTCCATATCCAGTGGTAGCTCTGTGCCGTGTTTACCGCTCACCCGATCTGAGCCTCACCGGTGCATCAGAGAGTCTGCAGTCATTCGCCCACACCGTCAGTCAATCAACACTTCCAGAAGCCCTTTACCGCACTAACAGTCGATGTTGAATCTTATGGAGGAAAGAGCAATCAAGGATCGGCGAATGCACCAGGACTGGTGGAAGAGGGTCTCATAGGTGCCGCAGGGGGTGAGAATGCCCCAGGCGGTTCACAACCGGCGGCCACTTATAACACGTAGGGCAAGTCTCAAGGGCTCCACAGCCGGTTTTGCAACGGTCGGCAGCGACCGAAGGAGCACCAGGTGGTGTGGAAATAGCTCTAGAGACCTCACAATTGCCGGCAGCGAGGTTAAGTGCTCCACAATGGGTGGTCGGGTTTTAGTCTACGGCTAGAGGTGGGAAAATGGCAACGGAGATACCTCTGGAGGCGTTGACTTGACCGGCATCGTTGTCGAGGTTCAAAGCGCTCCACGTATGAGAGGCTGCTAGCACCGACTGGCGGCAAATATCTTGCCATATCAGGTAATATAATTGAGCTCATACGTCTCCTAGTCGCAAAATCCGTCGAATTTTGACATGATACGTCCAAAATTTGACTTTAAATGGCTGCTGGCTTCGCGCATTTCCCCAATTTAAGCATTCACCGCTCCTCTTACCGCTTTTCCTACCGTATTCAAACCTACATCCTATTCTGATGATTCCAAAGCCTTGTTAAGTATTATAAGCTGTTCATTTTGTGCTCAAATTGCCTTAATTAGCTGGTTGGAAGACAGCAGTGTGATCAACATCAGAAATGGTAGTAGAAATAGCGTTGAACATAGCTCATACTGTATCATTTATATACTTCGATAAGCTGGCAGGAGACACACTATTTGATATTTCTCAAAATATTACGTGGTGCTACAGTAGAGATGGCTTAGAGACATCCAAGTATTCCATTAGACCTCCGTATTGGCCGCCAATTAACATCAGTTCTGCCGTTGGCGGTGGAGAACCCCAAGTCCCTCGACTAGCGTGGGCGAGGCTGAGTCCCAACTCAACACCATCTCCCACCCTCCACACCCGTGCTGGATTTGGCTTCTTATACTGCAGACTACGCTTCGCGGTTCACTACCGTGTGGGGATGCCCAGAGCCAGCTCCCCGGCTTATCACCCGCCCGCGTGGTTCCCCTCATTCGAATCAGTTACCTTTCCCTAGTCGCTCGTTTTTCCAGTCGCTCGCCTTAAGGTCGCCTGAGCCACACGATTTCTGCAACAGAGCCCCTCACGCAATCGT